TATTAAGCTCGTTAGTTTAATAAGATTATTTTATTTTAGATAGTGATTAAGAGTTTAGAATATTACTAGCTTAGTAGCTTAGAAGCTAACTTTTAAGACTTTATTAATATTAGGCGTTATAATCTATTTAAAGATAGTCCTAGTCTTTAGTTTAAAAAAATTTAATCTTATACTAAAGGGCTAAGATAATACTAATTATATAGATATTACTAAGCTCTTTATTATCTATTATAGAGTAATACTCACGGAGTTTATCTTTAGCTAATTTAAGGGCTTAATATATCTATTATTTCTATCTAATCTTCTTTCTACTAAACTATCTAATTAATCTCTTAAGATAATTAAATAGCTTATTATAGATAGTAAAAATAGTATAAATAGTAATATCCTTTATTTTTAAGAGGACTATAATAAATTAGAAAAATAGCTAGATAATATTAAGAAGATAGTCGATCTAGCATTATTTATCTATATCGATTTTAAGATAAGAATAATTATATTTAGAGTAAAATTAATTAAAGACTAGTTATAACTATTTTATATATCAGAGTATTAAAAAGATTGAATTCTATCTAGTTCGGATATCTTAAATTAAAACTAATTAAGAGTAGTCGGGCTAGAGACTAAGGAAGGACTCCCGATATTAAAGGCTTATATTAATAAAGATTGTAAGGTTTCTAATCTAAAATATAAAGTAGGTTAGTATTTTAATTAATAAATAAGGAGTATAGATATATATCTTTATAAGAATTATTATAATATCTTATTTTTATATTTTTCGACGGGCGTATTAGATATATTTCTTAGACTAAATAGTCTTAGTTACCTTATTCTAAGGGTTCGTTTTTATCTAGCTAAGTAGTTACTTTAAATTTAACTAAATTATATATATAATATATAGAACCCGAATAATTATTATCTTAGAGTTAATATCTAATAATTAAATAGAATCTTAGATACTTAAAATAAAGATAGAGTTATTTAATATATTATTAGTTATTATTATAAATACTCGGTCTTTAATCTAATATTTCTAGAGGATATCAAGGAGGGTTATATTAAGATTCTATCTAAAGTATATACTAAAAATAGGTTCGAAGCTAAATAAAATCTCTCGATAATTCTAGTCTATATTAATAAAATAGCTAGAGATAGCTATAAATATTTATTAAAATAGTAATATCTAATAGTTAAGATTAATAGAGAGTTTAGCCTTAGATAGAAGTTTCTAAAGTAAATCTTTCTATTAATCTTAGGTTATTCCTTAGATTCGATATTATATAGTTTAATAAAAAAGGAAACTAAGGATAAATAATAATAATTAGATTATTCGAAAAAGGGCTTAGAATTCGGGATATTTAATAATTTAAAAAGAAAGCTATAAAGTAATTATTATAATAATTAACTATTATTCTTATAGCTCTTAGATAATTAATTAGGCTATTCAAGGGGAGTTCTTAGCCTAAGAAAGATTAGCCTATAAATTAAATAATAGCTATATAATATACTATATATTCTATAAGATATTAGATTATTAAATATTTAGTAGTGTTTTAGCCTTTCTAGTATATACTCCGATTCTAGTAGTATTAGAGACCTATTATCCTATTCTTAGTATAGATTAGATAGTTTATAATCTTACTATATCACTTATATAGGAGCTTTAGCTCTTTTATTACTAAATATATAACTTAATTAAAATATGATTATATATTAGTCTATTATAGACCCTTTTAGTTTATCTTTTTTATAGTATTATAAGAACCACTAATTTAGGTATTAAGCCACTAGTTTAAAAACTCTACTTTATTTATACTATTAAAAATCACCTAGGTCTTTTTCCGATTATTGGATCGTTTTAGTATTAGTGATATAATAGAAAAGAGGCTTTACTTAGTTTACTAGCTTTCTAGTGGTTCTAAGAGGGTATTAAGAAATTAATTAGAATAGAAAATAGATAACTTAAACCCCTTACTCTTAATAAAAGAGGGAGGGTATAAGGTAGATAACTAAGATATAGAAGAGATATAGTAATAGTATATTAAAATAAAGGACTCGAGATATAGAAAAATAATCTAAGGTAAATCATTATAGATTTAGGGGAATATATAGATCTAATACTTATTTTTTATTAGTAGATAGGATTCGGTACTATCCTAGTGCTAAATTTTATAATTAATCAGAATAGGCTCTACTAATATATACGAAGTTTATTAGATAGTAAGAAATAGGTTAACGGGTTAACCTATAGGCTAACCTGTTAATCTAAATAATTAGGTAAGAGTAATACCCTTAGATTTTTCTTTTTATCCCTAAAAAATTTTAACCTAACCAGCTAACCTTTTTACGTAGATATATTAGAACTAGGGTTATAAGTAAATACGTAGATAGATTAAAACCGGGGTTTTAAGTAATCGCGTAGATAGATTAAAACCCCGGTTCTAATAGAGGTAGAAAGACTACTATAAAAAGGTATATATTTTATTATATCTAGTAAAAAAGAGATTATATAACCCTTTTATAGTAAGAGACTCGAGATATAGAAAAATAATCTAAGGTAAATTATTGTAGATTTAAGGGAATATATAGATCTAATACTTATTTTTTATTAGTAGGTAGAATTCAGTACTATCTTAGTGCTGAATTTTATAACTAATTAGAATAGGCTCTACTAATATATATAAAGTTTATTAGATAGTAAGAAATAGGTTAACGGGTTAACCTATAGGCTAACCTATTAATCTAAATAATTAGGTGAGAGTAATGCCCTAAGATTTTTCTTTTTATCCCTAAAAAATTTTAACCTAACTAGCTAATATTATTATTTTATATAAATTCAGAAAAAATATTTAAAATAATTCTTTTATATAAATAAGACTATAATATACTTATATATTAATAAAGAAATATTAGATATTAGATTTATATCTATTTTATTGTTTCTAATATATATAGTTTATTTATATAAAAAGTAGAAGTACTACTATAGACTTTAAATATATATTTTTAGGTTTAGTATAAGAAATAGTTAACTAATATCTTCTTTCGTCTATATCTACCTATTATAAAATATAATTCTTACCTTAAAGTATTAAATTAATAAATTAATATATTATATATTCTAAATATATTATTACTATATAATATTCTTTTTATAAAGAGTTAGAATTATAAGTTATATTAGAACAAAAATAGTATTTAATAATAGTATATTATTAAAAAAGGTAAGCAAATTATCTATCCTAATTAAGAAATTTATACTAAAATAGGTCAAAAATAGGTTAACCCGTTAACCCACGGGTCAACCTATAGACGGGTCAGGATTTTATTGACCCAACCTATGGGTCGTGGGTTTGGGTTATGGGTCAAGATCTTTGACCCATGGGACGGGTCTGTCCATGTCTAGTAATATATTAATAAATAATACTATATTATATTTACTAGGATATAATATTATCGAAACTTAAGCTTATATATCGGGGTATATTTACTATATACTATATATTAGGTAAATCTTGTTTAGGCGGCTTTATAGAGTCTAATATAAAAGATATAATAAGAAAAAAACTAGTAGAGAACTAGTAAATAGCTTCTTTACCCTATTAAATAACGCTAATATTATCTATATTAATAAAGCTCTTATTTTTGATCGCGAAAAGTAAAGATTTTGCTAATAAAATCGCTATCGATTAATATATAAGGTATCCCGTTAAGATATTTATTAAGATATTAGTAATACTTAATACTACTATATATAAAAGCTTTTTTAGTTATATAATAACTAAGAAATAAGTAGAAAACGTTATCTACTAAACCGTTTTATTTATAGGTATATTAGATCTAAATTTATTAGTAACTAGTAAATAACTAATATTTTACTAGTATATATTTATTATATTTAGAGTATTCGCTTTTTCTTTTAGTATTATATAGCGAAGATTCACTATATATATATATCTATTAGGATAAATACTCGGATACTTAGATAGAAGCGGTATAAACTTAATTTCTATAGTAGAGATTAGATTAATCGTTCCTTAAGTAAAAGGTATTAACGAGTGATCGCTATTCTTTATTTTAAGGTTAGTTTACTAGTAATTAACTAGTAAATAATATTATCAAGAGTATATATATATATATTTATTTTAGGGGTATAACGCTTATATAGAAGCTTATTATCCCTACTCTTAAAGAGCTCCTTATTATCTTAATTATTAGAACTCTCGATCGAAGGTGTCTTATAAGTATCGATTAGATCTTCGATTCTGGTATAGCGATATCGTTACTAAGTAGAAGTATACTCTACTATAACGTAGTAAAAAATAGAAAACTAGTAAATCAATAGGAAATACTAGTATTATTTATTAGCTACTATAAAGAAAAATATAATATTTCAAGAATATAATAGCCCTAGATACCACATATTTCATACTGTAACCGATATTATATAAGCCAATTACAGCACATACTACTGAGCTCGCCGCCCCACATACTACTAAGAGCTAAAGGGGGTCCCCCTGACCTGTTTTCTGTCTTCCATCGCGGTAATCCGACTTTGAAGCATCCTCTTCCCTTCCCACGGACTTCTCATTCTCGGCAATTCTGCGATCCAAAATCAAGGAAATCCACCAAAGCTACAGGCGCTGCCTAAGTTATCCTGCACTCATTCAGGGTTTGAACCCCCACTCTGATGTCACAGACTATCAACACCTTGATCGATCACGGCCATTCCTGCTAGGCTCGTCGACCATGGCGAGATCATTGAGTCCCCGTCGCAGTATAATCCTTTGGTTCTCGAGGAATCGATCGGCTTGCCACTATCCACCCAACGGTGATGAAGTCAGTCCCAGTCAGGTTGACGTCACTTGCCCTGGTTTGTCTTGCATGAAGTACGCCAGTATAAAGCGGCGACACTGTGATTGCCTAAAGAACAACTAAATTCTTTCACTGATATCTTTTCCAAAGTATCATAGTCCTTTTTCCTAATATATCCATTCACCATGAGCACCCTCAACAACGTGGATTCAGTTGCAAATGCCAACCAGGGCAGCTTCAAGCCCTCCGTCGCCCCCGATGGACCTATGACCACCAAGGGTGTATGTCCACCATTGACCGTGAGCAAGCTGCAAATCTTTAACATGGCTCATATAGCACCAACCCGGACGCAAGGTCAATGAGGCCGACCAGCGGCCCGAGTTCCATCTCCAGACCTACCCCCGGGGAAGTGCGCCCGCTAGTAACTCCTACACGCCCAACACGGAAAACGAGGTTGGCAGCCAAGCCAACAACCCGGACGTGCTGCGCGGACACGGCAAGGAAGCAGTTCACACCTCCGCAGCTGACACCCTGATGGGGGCGACTTCACAGGATGTGAACCAGGGCATGGGCCGGCCGTTGCAAGGCCAAACCGGCGTGGAGCTCCAACATGATGGCGCCCACGGTCGCAAGAAGGACTCGGCCGGCCTGGAGACTGTTGGGGCTTACCGTGAGGACAAAGGGGTCGAGCGCCGGTTCCCCGACCAGCGCGGCTATGAGAAGGAGCAGACTAGCAGCGGCCTGCGCAGTGACAAAGCAGACCGCGCGGCCGAGAACATGGTGCCTGACTCGGCATGAAGTGTTTTTGTGACTTGATGGAGCAATGTGCGTTTGGGATTAGCATGGTTATGCCGGTGTTTGGTCGAGCATGATTGTACACAATTTTGAACGCATCGCGGAACTTACGAATCAAATAAGTCCCAGAGAAATACTGGTCTCACTCGACGTCTAATTATATATTAAGTAGAGCTGTTGGAACGCCTCTGAAGGATATGTACAAATGTTGTCGTGTCCCAGGGAAATGCAAAGCAGTCCCCGCTGGTTTGTGAAAGTGTTCTGCAGGGCCAGTTCCTATCGACTGCTTCGGGCAGTCGTGGAGGCGTAAGGTTCCTCCTCCAGTTGTTTCTTGGGCCAGCTTCGTGCGAGGTCGATATTTGCCCGGGGAAACCACATCTCGAGAAACACATAAATCAAAAAGTCAATCACGACGCAGAGGCAGAACAACTTGCCAGCCCAGACGCCGCAGCCGTAATATCGTTTCAACCGATCAACCAGGGCGAAACTGCGCACACGGTCCCCGCTAGCCTCCCAGCCCTGGCCTGGGTAGTAGCCATAGAATTCTTCGGGACTGATGTCGCCAATGATGCCCTCATAGACACGCTCGGTCCGTCGCGCGACATCCCGCCAGGAATACATCATTTTCACCTGGTCATGGAATCGGTCCGTCCGAACTTTGTTTGAGCGCAAGGCTGCAATAGCCTTACTGGTTGCAATCACGAGATCGTCCTCCTCGGGTTTGGCGAATGTAGTCATATGTTGAGGGAGTACTTCGGGAATACCGCCGACCCGGGTACAGACCACGTATAGTCCGCAGCTGGCAGCCTCGACAATAACCGTCCCGAATGCCTCCGTCAGACTAGGGTGGAGGTAGATGTGTCCTCGCACCATGACATCGCGCACCTCTTCATGTCGCACGGAGCCAAGCATTTCAACCTTGTCCTGCAGCACGTTGCGTTCTAACATTTGCTCCAAGTCGATGGCTTTAGGGCCAGATCCTGCAATAATGAACCGAGTATTGGGGTTCAAGGAGAGGATTCGCGGAATAGCGGCAATGAGAAGATCAGTGCCCTTATTGTAAAAGAGACGAGATATAACCACAATGGTGATCGTGTCATCAGGGCCAATTGGGGTTGGTGACGGTCGCGGATCGGCAGGGGAAGCCGGGATCTGATCAGACGCACGGGGGGTGTAGGAAAGCGGACAAAAGTTCTCCGCGACAACAGCATTGGGAATGACCGAGACCATCAAGGGGTCCAACGAGGCACGAAGCACCGTGTTTTCCTTACTGTGACTAGTTAGTTGGTCCGCCCGGTAGACGTGCGAGATAAACCCACCAAGTATGGCTGACACAGATTGCATGGTCGACATCACTCAAGGTAAACTTGAGGAGCTTATTGGTGAGAATGGAGGCAGCATCGGCAAAGCCGAAGAGGGAGTGGTCGGTAAAGACAGTTCGTAAACCCATTGTTCGTGCATGGAGAATAGCTTCCCCGCAGAAGCTACTCAGACTGGCATGTCCATGTACAATGTCGATTTGCTCTCGAATGACAATATTGCGGAAAATTGGAAAGAAGGAGAAGACAGTAGGGAAGGTAGTCTCGCGGTAGATGACGAAGAAAGGAACGTGGTAAATTTTGAGTCCATTGGTGAGGTATCGGACTCCGGTTCGACCTTTGTATGCATGGGTAATGATTATAACCTTGTGTCCGCGGTCGATGAGTTTCTGCAGGGGCTGTTAGAGGGTCGAAGAATGAATGCGATAGAGACGGTCAAGGTATTCGTACAGAGGACAATTGGTAGATGTGACTCTCGATCCCCCCTAGATAGGTCATCAATTGGGGAACATTCCAGTAGCTTGGTTTCGGAACATACCTGACTGGGGGAAAAAGAAGTCACTGACCATTCTATTCCAACATTAAGGAGAGTCAGCTATTGACGCTATCACTCTGGAGGCCAGTGGAACCAACGCGATATTATAAGGCATTTTGGCGCTGATTCCCGGGGGCGAGGACTCCGAGATAATGTGAATGTAGTGCCGGGACTTAGTTTTCTGTCCATTGCGAGCAAAGCATGCACCAAGCACCAGCCTGATAGAATCTAGTCCAGGTGTTGACATGCGCTCGTCTTGGTCGGCGATAACTAAAGCGGTCAGTGATGGGCGGTGAGCAGAAAAGTGTCTCTGCCGGCACAAACACATCCGGCAAAAATGAATTTGTTTCCCCCACGACGCTCCCAAGGATCGCTGAATCTGCACAAAATCTCTTGAGAATGGCTGGCAACCGGGTTGGGCTGGAGTCCCCAAAGAGCTCTCATGCAACCCTCACTTCTGCCAAAGTCCATAAGCGAAAGACACTTTCCGATGATTCCCACGCCTCGACCTCGACGACGACCAAGAAACATAAGAAGCGCCAAAGTCTCTCGACAGCCCCCGCGGGAGATGATGGTAGCAAAAGGAAACGGAAGCGAAGCAAGGATATCACTCGAGATGGTGATTCCCCGGAAACAACTGGGCAAGAGAGTGCTATCTCGTCGAACCGCAGCGCAGCGTTTGCTGCAGACTCGGACCACCACATCCCTGAGACAGGAAAGAAATCGACGAGCAGCAAGCGGAAGAGCACTGGAAAGGACGACAAGGCAACTCACGAGACTACGCCTGTGACCCATCGAGAAGAGGAGATGCCCGACGCACCGGCTGAGGATCCTATCGTGGACAAGACCGAGAAAAACAAGTATTCGGGTATCCTATCCAAATTCCAGCGTACCAAGACAGCAGCAAGTGCGAAAAAGAAAAAGAAGGATACAGAGCCCGAAAACAGTGAATCCGATGAAGGCCCAACTGTTGAACCGGTTATTGCGCAAGGACTCGAACCGTTGCCGCAACCAGAAAATCCGCCGGAGCCAGAGGCAGTCCCGACATATTCCTCTTTACCAGACTGGTTAGCGCACCCATTACGAGTATCGGCGAACGAGAGATCCAGGTTTTCTGAGCTCGGAATGAAGGTCGACCTCCTGCGTATTCTCGAGCAACACAATTACAAGGAAGCGTTTGCTGTGCAGTCCACTGTCATCCCACTTCTTTTACAAGGTGGCCGGCACCACCCAGGTGATCTGTGCATATCGGCTGCTACAGGGTCCGGAAAGACACTTTCCTACGTGCTTCCGCTAGTTACGTCTCTGAAGCCGAGAGCTGCCTCCAGACTCCGAGGGCTGATTGTGGTTCCCACCAGAGAGCTAGTGAAGCAGGCCCGAGAGGCCTGTGAATTGTGTGCCTCTGGGTCCCGACTCCATATCGGGGGTGCGGTTGGCAATGTGGCCATCAAAGACGAGCAGACTCTCATGATGCGGTTTGACCAAGTCTATAACCCGGCCATCGTCGAGCAGCGACAGCGCACAGGCTTGCAAGGGAACGAATGGATAGATTTCAGCCTTGAAGACTGCGTGAGCGAAGCGGTTGATTCAAACGGCACTCTTCCCGGCTACATCCAAAGACCCGAGCCCAACGTCGACATTCTCATTTGTACTCCGGGAAGACTGGTTGATCACATTCGCTATACAAAAGGCTTCACACTCAAGCACCTTGAGTGGCTTGTCATCGATGAAGCCGATCGTCTATTGAATGAAAGCTTCCAAGAATGGGTGGACGTGGTGATGGGTTCGTTGAATGCTCGGCAAGCCCCTGAGACTTTCGGACCCGGCGGGAAATTTCTTTCTGAACTAGGACTCTCAATCGAGTCCAAACCACCACGGAAGGTGGTTTTGAGTGCAACCATGACGCGCGATATCTCGAAGCTCAACTCTTTGCGTCTGTCCAACCCCAAAATGGTCATCATCGGTGCCGAAGATGTGGCGGATGGCGCAGACCCATCGGCCGCGTACGCGGATGCTCATTTCACCCTGCCGTCGACCTTGCAGGAACACATGGTTGCTGTCGGGGATGGATCTCAGAAACCACTCTACCTGTTGCGTCTCCTCCTTTCCCATATCAAAATTGGCGTGGACACCCCCGCTGCTCCTCGCGCGTCCGCTGCATCGGACTCGGACAGCTCCAGCTCGGACGATGACACTAGTGACGACGATACTAGCTCTGATGAATTTTCTGACGATGACACCTCGTCATCTGGATCCGATTCGGATTCAGAATCCTCTGTTGCCGACTCCTCTGACGACTCTAATAGTTCAAACAAATCGGAATCAGACTCGGTTCGACTGGTGCCAGAAACCGGGCCTCCACGCACGACTGTTTTGATTTTTACCAAGTCCTCCGAGTCCGCGTCGCGACTTTCTCGTCTCATCTCGATCCTCCATCCACCGCTGGCCAATCGCGTGGGAACGATCATCAAATCGAACAAGTCCTCTACATCGCGCAAGACCTTGACTGCCTACCGACGGGGCCGCATCTCCGTGATTGTCGCCACTGACCGTGCTTCCCGTGGGTTGGACCTACCGTCTTTGACCCACGTCGTCAACTACGATATTCCGACGAGTGTTACCACCTACGTGCACCGGGTTGGTCGAACTGCCCGCGCGGGCCGAGAGGGTTCTGCTTGGACACTCGTGGCGCACCGGGAGGGCCGCTGGTTCGCGAATGAAATTGCGACGACTGACGGCCGGATTACGCGTGCGTCGCATGTTGACCGAGTTCAAGTGAAGTTGGACGCGCTCGGGTCAATCAAGTCAAAATACGCGGTTGCCTTGGGTGAACTGGAGCAGGAAGTGAGATTGGGCAGGGCGCCTACTCGATGAGGTGGTGATCTCAGTGGACGCGAGGCCCCCTGATCGATTTTCTTGTATGCATAGCGGGTTGAATTCTGGACGATAAACAACTTACCTCCTTCGTCAGCAGATGTCGGGTTTGGTCCGTCCCTTTCCCGCCCCATGAAGTAATTCGTAGTTCAGTTCCAAACATCATTCCTTTCGGGTTTCCTCGAGGGGAGAAGTGGGCCTCGTCTGGGGGCAGGGAAATCTGGGGAGCGATCGCGCATCGAAGGGGTCGAAGCAAGTCCGAACGAGGGAGAAGAGTTGGATATCTTCTTCCCTTCTGCCAAGCTCGTCTTGTCTTCTCTGGCTGCTTGGCACACAAGATGGCATTCACAGAGAAGCATGTTCTCGGCGAGGAGCTTGGTCAAACCCAGTCGATCTTCCGCCGTACGTACATCAGGGCCGTTCGGGTAGAAAAGTAGAAAAAAAAAAGCATACGAACATCCTTGGTAGCCGAACTTTGCTCCTTATATTCCAGAGGGTTTCTCACCGTCTCGATGTCTGAAAATCCAGGGGAGGGCGATGACCTATCCGATTTTCGGATTTGCAGGATGTGCTATTACTTTCTTCGGTTATGATACTGCGGTAATGAGCCAAGTTAACGAGGATTATATGCTACGGATGGGTGTGACCAGTGGTTGCGGTCGCAATGCAGCAGCAATTGGAGGCCTGGTCAGTCTGTGGTTTGGTGGTTTTGCCATCGGTAAGATCCCTGATGTTGGGTTGATATTGACAGAGTTAATGTATGCTGAGATGGTCTTGTAGGTGCATTGCTCGTGGGATATATTGCCGACCCCATCGGGCGCCTGAAAACCATCCAACTGGGATGCCTCTGGGGGGTCGTGGGAGCCGCTCTCCTGGCCTCTGCGCAAAACATGACTTGGCTCGCTTTTGCACGCGTCATCAGTGCAATGGGATGTGGCCATCTTAACACGACGGTGCCGGTCTGGACGTCGGAGTTAGCAGACCCTCATCTGAGAGGCGCATTTGTGGCTGTCCAATTTACACTGGCAATGGTCGGCTCAGCAACGTGAGTAGATGTTGAGTTTTGAGCACTGGCTTGGCTGGCTACTTACACCTCGTCATAGGACATATTGGATGGAGTTTGGGTGTCTCAAAACACAGTCCGTGGCTTTTGCATGGCGCTTCCCTCTGGGATTTCAAATCATTTTTCCTCTCTTCATTCTTGCTGCGGCTCCATTTTACCCGGAGTCGCCTCGGCACCTAGCCAAAACTGGAGATCTGGAGGGGGCGAGGTCAGTACTGGAGAGATGTCGCCTGGAGACCAATGAGCAGGCAATCGAGACTGAGATGGAGGAGATTGTCTCTGCAATCCGCGCCGAACCAACCTCCACCTCCCACAGCTTCTATAGCATGCTTTTCACCAAGGACAAGCTTCACACGCGCCGGCGAGTCATCCTCGGACCCGGTGTGCAAGTGATGCAAAAGCTCACTGGCATCGACTTTATTGCTGTGTCTGCCCCGAACATGTTTGCGCTGTCAGGGTTCAAGGGCGACAATCCTGCCCTTCTGGCAGGAGGTAATTGGTTCGGGTATATTGCGAGCTTGGCTCTCTCGATCTACCTTTGTGATCGAGTAGGCCGACGCAAGTTGATGCTTACAGGGGGTCTGCTTATGTGCATAGTGCTGATTGTCGGTGGTGTCCTTTCCCAGGAAACGATAATGCACTCCAACAATGACCCGGCCCTGGCGACCGAGTTTGGATCCGGCGTCGCGACCATTCTCTACATCTACTCCTTCATATACGGCAGCACCCCGAGAAGAGCAATATTGCTGACTTTCTTTTCTATTCTAGTTGGGTCTATCCAACCGAGGTCTTCCCTCTGGGCAAGCCGAAGCAAAGGCGCCGCTCTGGCAACTTTCGCGTTCTCAATTGCTGGAGGCACAATCATCATGATCATCCCGTATCTTATCGACGCGATTGGATTCTGGGTTTTCATTCTTTACATTCTCTTTGCCCTCATTAATCTGGCACTGGTGGCCCCTATCTATCTATTCTATGTCGGTCAGTATTGCCTATATCTACAGATTGCGTATTGCGTTTACTCACAACACACACAAACCGCAAATCGGCCCCTTGCACAGCTAGATATCCTCTTCTCTAGCGATAGCTATCTCTCTTGGAGAGTTGAGAGAAATTTCATACAGATGAATATCACATCAGTCTTCACAGTGAGCTATTCATCCAGGACTTAGAAAGAGCGAGACAGGAGCATAAAAGATCGACGGCGATCCCTTTATTTGGCAAAATTGCGAAAGTGAGCCTGTTCCAACTGTGGGGAAATTGCGTCTCGAACCCAACCACACTGCGCGGTCTTCCATAGTCCAAGTCCCAAGATTTGGATCGAAGTCAATACCGAAGACAATTTGTTTATTTCCTTTGATTTTAGCCTGAACTAATATCCACGCACCTGCCGTTGCTGTCGAGGAGTTTCTTTCATTTCAGGGGAACCCCAGATGAGTTGATCGGGTATGTAATCCCCTAACCAGCCATGAGAGAGTCGAAATAGCCTGCATAAAAACCCTTGGGATATATTAAAAGGCTAGAGCTTGAATGCACATTTTCACGAATATGTAGATATTTTGATGACAGAGATATAGCCATGCAAGCCCTCGCCCCCCCCCCCCAACGGCCCATGGACCTTGAACCGTTGTTTTCCCGACATGAGCATCGTCGAGGAAGATCAGCAATAGCATGTATTCAGGCTAAAATGCTCGCACTGACTTCGGAGAATCCCCGCGTGAAACCATCGGGGAGAGCATCGGGATCGTCTGTGGGACTTACTGGGTTTGGAGGGAGTGGGGAAGTGAAGTATACCCCGACCTTGTTAACGATGCGCAAGGTCCGGAGCTGCGAGATATAAATTAAGCTGAAAGGCAAAGTCTCCTATGAAATCAACTTACTCTTCTTTTCGGAGCTCTTCTGCATGATGCGGGTAACAGTGTATGCCGTGCTCGCGGCGTTGATGCCAACTATATTGGCCCAAGCCAATACAACCTACCAGGACTATTCGACCAACCCTCAGCCCGACTTGACGCCACAGACCGATGCAACTATTGAGCTTTCTTTCCCCGATTGCTCCAAGCCTCCCCTGAGCAAAACTCAAGTGTGCAACACGTCCGCAAATGCCCATGATCGAGCCGTGGCCCTTATTTCAATGTTTACGTTCGAGGAGCTTGTGAATAGCACTGGAAACAATATCCCGGCGATTCCTCGCTTGGGTCTTCCCCCGTATCAAGTGTGGAGTGAAGGCCTGCATGGACTATCGCGTGGGAAATTCTCGGAGTCGGGCGATTACAGCTGGGTCACTTCTTTCCCGTCACCCATTCTCACCATGGCCGCTCTCAACCGCACCCTGATAAACCAGATTGGCGGCATCATTTCAACCCAAGGCCGCGCCTTGAATAATGTTGGTCGATTTGGGCTGGACGTCTACTCCCCCAACATCAATTCCTTCCGACACCCCGTCTGGGGCCGCGGTCAGGAAACCCCCGGCGAGGATGCCTACTGCCTATGCTCGGCGTACGCGTACGAGTATATCACAGGTATACAGGGAGGTGTGGATCCAGAAAATCTAAAGCTGGTGGCTACCGCAAAGCACTTTGCCGGATATGATATCGAGAACTGGGATAGTCACTCCCGTCTGGGCAACAATATGATCATCACCCAGCAGGACCTGGCGGAGTATTTTACGCCGCAGTTTGTTGCTGCCGTGAGAGATGCCCGCGTGCACAGTTTCATGGCTTCATACAACGCCGTCAACGGAGTTCCAAGCTCGGCCAACTCGTTCTTCCTTCAGACCCTCCTACGAGACAGCTGGGGCTTTGTGGAGGATGGATACGTCTCATCCGACTGCGACTCTGTCTATAATGTTTTCAACCCACACCAGTATGCTGCGAACGTGTCGGGAGCTGCAGCAGACTCGATGCGAGCAGGCACGGACATTGACTGTGGGACTTCATACCAATACCATCTCAACGAGTCCTTTTACGAGGGTGCGATTTCCCGCAGCGAAATTGAACGTGGGGTTGTCAGATTGTACTCCAATCTTGTGCGCCTGGGCTACTTTGATGGCCGAAACAGCCCGTATCGGGACCTCCAGTGGCCGGATGTGGTGACTACTGATTCCTGGAACATCTCCTACGAAGCCGCAGTGGAGGGAGTTGTCCTCCTCAAGAATGACGGCACTCTCCCGCTCTCCAAGAATATTAGCAGTGTTGCTTTGATCGGGCCATGGGCCAATGCCACGGAGCAGATGCAAGGAAACTATTTCGACACTGCGCCCTACCTTACCAGCCCCCTGGCGGCTTTACAAGCATCACAGCTCAAGGTCAACTATGCCTTTGGTACAAACATCTCCTCGAATTCTACGGACGAATTTGCCGCTGCCATCTCTGCGGCCAAGAACTCAGACGCTGTCGTCTTCGCCGGTGGCATTGACAATACTCTCGAGGCCGAGGGTGTTGACCGAGCCAATATCACCTGGCCCGGGAACCAGCTCCAGTTGATCAAACAGCTCAGCCAACTCGGCAAGCCGTTAGTGGTGCTACAGATGGGTGGCGGACAAGTCGACTCGTCGGCACTGAAGGTCAACAAGAATGTCAATGCGCTCGTCTGGGGCGGATACCCCGGCCAGTCAGGTGGCCAAGCCCTCCTAGATATCCTCACTGGCAAGCGTGCGCCGGCCGGTCGGTTGACAGTGACCCAATATCCAGGCGAATACGCGACACAATTCCCAGCGACCGACATGAACCTGCGGCCGAACGGCAAGAATCCCGGCCAAACGTACATATGGTATACGGGAAAGCCAGTCTACGAATTCGGACACGGGCTCTTCTACACGACATTCAAGGTCTCACTCGCAGGGCGCAAGACCAGACGCAACGGGACATCCTTCGATATCGTCCAGCTGCTTTCCCAGTCACACACAGAATGCAACGTGGTTGAGCAAGTTCCCTTCCTCAATTTCACAGTGAGCGTTGAGAATACAGGTGGAATGGCCTCGGACTACACGGCAATGCTCTTCGCGAACACTACAGCAGGCCCGAAGCCCTATCCAAACAAATGGCTCGTTGGCTTCGATCGACTCGGCGCCATCAAGCCCCACGAGTCGCAGGAGATGACAATCCCTGTGTCGCTGGACAGTGTCGCCCGTACTGACTCGCAGGGCAACCGCGTTGTCTATCCCGGGAATTATGAGCTGGCCTTGAATAATGAGCGCTCGGCGGCGGTGGCGTTTACTTTGACGGGCGAGGCGACAACGATTGCAAAGTGGCCGCTGGACAAGCAACAGATTCCTCCTGCCTAACAGATTTATTTATTCCTTACTTCTCAACTCTGGGATATTTTGATAGTGGAAACTAGCCCCGCAAGGTTTCGCATTCTTGCGACTATTCCTATTAAAATGCCAGTGCATGTTGACGAAGGTCAGACTTGAGGAATGGGCCCTTGTATTTGAAGACATTCGCTGCATGAATAACTTGATATTTCGCAATAACAGAAAATAAAAACATCAAGTAGAAATATCATGAAATCATGACATACACAGCACTAAGCATAAGACCAACAACGACTGCGGTCACTATAGCCGCCCTAGCCCTGTCCCCAGCAGTGATCGGAGCCCTTATTGCATTACTCGTTTCGTCGGGGCTCGTGCCAGCAGCACTATTTCCCTTGCTAGTTCCGCCAGTAGATGAGGTCAAGGGACCATTGGAATCTGCAGCAAGGAGACTTTGAAGAGCTTCAAGAACACCCATCTGCTGCCCAACGCCAGTAGTTCCATCGTAGGTACCAGATGACCAACGAAAGCCACAGTAAGTGCCAGTAGTGCCGCCTTGGCATTGGGATACAGCCGCCTGCGCCGTGGTTCGGAGCTTGGGCATGATCGTGTCATAAGTGTAGGGCGCAAACTGAGTCGCGTCGGCCATCCAACGAGAGAGGTAAGCTTTGAAAGAGAGTTGATCCGTGTTGCAGTCACCTTTCGTCTCACAGGCAGGCTCGTACATGACATTCTCGCCAGATGAGTTGGAAGAGAAGAAGTGGGATGATGCGGAGATCAGTCGATCTAATCGCGATTTCCAGGTAGATGAAGTACTGTTTGAGCTGGAAGAAGTCTGCATCAAAATTATATCAGTATTTGTACCAAGGGATATAGAGGACGTGGGTAGCATCGAGTTACTCACATAGTTATACATCACCGAGGCCCCATGAAGATATACGCCAGCGTTGTACGACCATCGAGTCCGGTCTAGAGAAGAGCAATTTTCTGTATCGCTCGACCCATCGAAAACTTCATAATTTGAGCCCAGCAAACCCATGGTTTCAGTCCAGTTCCAGGCCTTGGTTGCCCATTGCGCGTAGCTATCATTACCCGTGTACCGGGCCAGTCGGGAAGCAATGTTGAAGAAACATCCATTGGCGATGCTGTTTTTATAAGTGTAGCCGGAATTCCAAGTGTATATCTGCCAGCGCAAACCACCCGCACAAGTCGATGTGTCCCACCGATGGGCCTGCTCATTGAAGACAGCCTGCACCATGGCCAGCCAGCCAGGCTGGGAGGAAGATGGGTTTGTGAAGTTGCGCTCCGCGGCCATCATAGCACTAATTGCCCAAAGGCATTGGTCGTCGTTCCCCTCGGTGTATGTCTGATTCAGTGGCATAAAATCACTTTTTGTGCCAGCTTGGTGGACCATGGCTTCGCGGGTGATTTTGTTGTAGGTTGTGTCGCCCGTATATGCCCAGTAGTTGACAAGCGCTCCAAAGAACGCACCGGCCTCCCACCAATAGTACGGTGAAGGCAGGTTGCCCGGCACATCGCCAGTATTGTTGCCGGTGTAGAAGGAAACAAGGTCGTAGGCCACCGTGCTGGCGGCGGATTTGATGGAGTCTGTGCAAATTAGAGACCAGGCGGCTGTAAATCTAAAAGGGACTAAAACAGGTATACTAACCAACACTGTCCAAGTCAAAGGAAATGCCAGTCGCTGTACCCGAAGAACTTAGGGCTAGAAGAATGGCTGAGAGTGTAAGCCATAATCGCAAGAGCGGCCGTCGAGAAACCATGAGGGGTATTTTTATAGGTCGGAAGTATGGATATGAGACCTGGAAATAAGAAAAGAAAGTTTTCAAATTAACTTGGAAGTTTTCTACTGGAACGATCGCGGATATGAAGTATTCATAGACCTTTCGACCGCCATTTTCTAAAGTGAGACCAGAGCCCCCTTGGTCCCAAAGAAAACCGTATAAAGCCCCATCATATAGCGTGGCGCTTACGGAGTCAACGGAAACGCATGAAAGACTGAAGTGTCTCTTCGCAACAAAAACTGCCAAAGGCACGGCAAGCCTAGATTAGCTTGGTGCCAACACAGACAAGCAGACAAGTCAAGAGACAGAATACGCGTGCGGGCTTGAAACACCTTGAGGCCAAGCCTGGGCTGACTTTCCCTCACCACAGAGGACGAGTAGTTTTGCCTGGGATGTGGCTCGGCAGATGAGATAGGTGTAGGTGAAGCGCTTGTAGTGGACGCGTATGTTCCTCGAGACTAGCCCCGCCAACCGCGTGGATTCATGTAGATGTGGCGCTGAGAAAAGTATTCGGCAGCCTGGCTGCGATCATTTTGGGCTAGAATATTTCGATTGCCCTTCGATGTAATTTTCCACAGCAAGTATATACTTACTTCATATCCAACACTCGGGTGGTGATCGCCCTATACTCCAGTTTCCTCGATGAACATCTGGAAAAGCATCGTCAAATTTCTCACAAGAAATGCGATAAATTAAACTGTAAGAAGGTTTACTAGACTGTAGAACTTGAACGATGAAATTAATACAATGCCCGTTTTACAGAATTTTCAAAATCTCAGAAACATTCCGACGAGTATAAGTACCCCTGTCTTTGGAAGATTTTTTAGTCCCTAGTCTGCTGAGTAGGATAAAGGTTCAGAAAGCAGGTCTCCTATTAGGACTGCAAGATCGACACTCGTTTAACCAATGACTCGAGCCTTCTAATGCTTAACAATGATTATCGAAAATCACGTAGATCGTCTCGTGCCTGATCACGCAGGCACCCGCCACCAATGCGGCGGCGGCGATTGGCCGACAGCGGGCACGTCAGATCTTCCCCGCAGGCGGCAATCTCCAAGTCCCTCTTTTTTTTTTGCGACACACTTCATCTTTGCCTCAGCGGCAGTTCTATCTTGCAGTCTTGCTAGAGATGGACCCGAGTCCGACCGATCTTAGCTTTGTAGGGCTCTCCTCAGGTACCTCCCGCCCGCACTCGTCGAAAGGACCGTTAGCGGGGGTCGCCAAATTACTCGGAATCGCGCGAGCTACAGTTGCCATACATGTCGCCGTCGCAAGGTCAAATGCGACAAGGTAATCCCTGTCGCATACAGGACTACCCCGGCGCATTGCTTCCTGCTAACATTCGCTCGACTTTAGGTGCATCCAGTTTGCGGTAATTGCGTGAAGAATGGCACTGAATGCATTTACGATCCCTCGTCGCTGAGGGATGACAGCACGCAAGATGTATCTGGCGGACAAGGCGTTAAGCGCAGGAGAGAGACACCCAAGACGCTCGAGGAGGATGTGGATGAAATACAATCGATCTATGGACAGTTGCGACAAGCAGGATCGTCCGCTGATCCGAGATCGGACCCTCGTGCTATAGAAACCCGACTGGACAAGCTCATGTCGATGATCGAGCAACTTGGAGGAACCAACCAGGCCATTCAAACCACTGAAACACAGACGAAGACTCCCAGCGTAAAAGCAGAATCGACTCTCGCGGAGGAGCAGCATCAAAACAGTGGTCCGAACGGGAACTCGCCATCTTCGCGCTCGGCCAGTCCGCGTCGCGTGACCGCAGAGCCAAGTGGCGATGAATTTCCCATCCCGGCAGGGCAAGCTACGGATTTGATCGATCCAGTGGGGAGTCTGAATTTGGGGCATCTCAGCTTGGAAGATGGCGGCAGGTCAAGGTATGGGGACCCGCTACCTAGAGAAACGACAGGGATACTAAAGCGAGGCTAGATATGTTGGAACAACATACTGGGCCTATATCTCTCACGAGGTATTTGATTGGATTTCTTCAGACTGTCGAAGTGTTTATTTGCTCATTCGTATGTCACAGATCAATGATCTGAACCAGTTGCTTAGAGATCAGACCCGGTCGCATGATCCATCTGCTCCTAGCAACACTAATGACGACACAGCAGAACCAGTTTTCAATAACCAGAGGCCATGGAGAGAGTCGACAGCTAGCTCCACACATTCAACCACATCTGGGTCACGGGGAACATCCTTTGAGCAATCCATTATTTTTCCCTCGGGGGACTCCCCATCGGCTAATACAAAGGTTGTGGAACCAGAAATGCTCGAGCATGTTCCGACGAGACGCCAGAGCCATATTCTCTACAAGGGGTTCATGTCCGGTATACACGCTATAAGCCCTGTGATTCACCCACCAAGCATATTGAAACTCTATAACGCTTTCTGGGACTGGTATGACTACAGCAGCTACTCTGGAGAACCTTTTCCAAACCCCTCGTTCATTCCTCTCTTGTATGCCATGTGGTATGGCGGTTCAGTGACAATCTCGATCCGAACCATCAAAGCCGAATTCAATGTGCCGTCTCGCTCTTCAATATCGACTATGTATAGCGAGGAGGTAACGCGCTGGTTGACCAGAATTTCATTCCCTCGCAGCCCCTCGCTGCAGGGCTTGGCGGCCTATCTCCTTGTACAGACCATCCGAGCTAAGGAAGAAGAGCCTCTGACCAGCAGTGTGTTTGTCAGTCTCGCAATGAGGGTGGCCCAAACAATGGGCCTACATCGAGATCCCGCCAAGTTTGGCATCGAGCCATGCGAGGCGGAGTATCGCCGCCGGCTGTGGTGGCATATTATGCATATGGATGGTGTCGTTGCCATGTCGAGTGGGCTTCCCCCACTGGTCAGTGATGAGAACTATTGGGATGTGCGCGAGACGAGCGAAGTGAAAGACACATTGCTGGGGAGTCCGGCGGCTGAGCACTATGAGCGTCTGGTGGCTTCCAACCGACTACCTCCAGACAACCCCGATGGCCCGACAGTTTGTGGTGGGCCATCCAAGGTGAATGTCTATTATCTGACGGCAAGGGGCAAATACATCATGGCCCGTGAGTATTCGTGGTTCAGATTCTTGATTCCTAGGTTGGCTAAAGATTATGACCAGGTGCTGTTCGCCGCATTCTGAAAATTCAGCTGGGCACCAAGCCTCTGACTCGATTAGATATGGAGGAGCTTCGCTCCATTCTTCTCGATCTTCAGCTGAAGCTCAATTCTATTACCAATAGGATCCCGGAAGACACAACTCTCAGCCATCCGTCGGATCGTGCGCTTTCCAAGTCCAAGTCCCCTGTTGAAGGTACTACCACCGAACCAGAACTTCCGGACGAAGGTCCGACTGGTTGCGTGGAGCAGTATCACTCTGCAGTCCTCGTTTGCTTCCATAAATGGGCAAGAATCATTTTGTCGTTGTATATTGACAAGGTACGCCACACCTGCAAGCAAGAGACCATGATATTTTCTCATTAACTTGAATACTTAGGCGTTCTGTGTGGCGTACCAACCCTTTCTCAAAAATGCTAAAAGTCGGATTTGGCCAGCAGCTCGGCAAAGGTAGGAATCCTCCTTAACTTGTGGGATGATAATGATTCTGACAGTTGCAGCGCGCTTCGACGTTGCCACGGCTTCATGGAGAAATTCATCCAACTCGCCACGGATCCTGATTTTCAACCGTTTCACTGGAGCTGGCCAGGGTAGGCGCTTCCCATCTACCTCACCAAGTTGAAGTATCAGCTAATCTCTCTTCCCAGAAATCATCAACCCATGCATGCGACTATGTATGTTTCGTCTATTTTTTTGCTTTTTCTCTTTTTCTCTTTTCTCTTTTCCTGAAAACAAACTAATCAAGCATAGGATCATGCTCATTGATTTGTATGAGCGACCGTATAGCCCTGAGGCATTCAAGTCACGCGCCTTCATTGACCGAATCCTGGCGCTGTCTGGGCCAGATGGAGGTGTTGTAGGAGGCGAGGATGGGGTCTCCACACAACGGCCACTCAAGGATGGAGGTCGCGAAGCCTGGGATATGATCCGCCGCCTGCGCCACAAAGCCTGGCAGAAAGCTGGTTTGAATCCACAGATGCTCTGGACAGAGCAGGATCAGATCCAGGCGGGTATTGCTTCGCCTGCTGGCGACCCATATGGTTTGTCGTACTCGAGTCCTGGGCCTGAATCACCGGCAGCCTCTCCAAAGGACTTGGGTCAGCGCGCGGCCCCGAACCGTGAGGTTGGAGAATTCAGCAAGACGTTTTACAACCTTACGCGATCCCATGCTCTCTCGGGGGTGTCCTCAGCCTCCATTGGACCTAGTCCGTTGCGACACTCACACCTGCCACCACCGGATCGAAACTCTCCATCCATCCATCCTCTCCTTCGTTATACCTCGACTTCCGCCGTTAGCCTGCCAGCCAACACCACACTGACTGAATCTCCGGGCACATCATCTTCCTCTGATGTGGCATCCATGAGAGTGGCCCCATCCAACCAATCTCCTCCCTCCACCTCTGCAGCATCCATGCCGCCATCTCGACAGCCCTTGCATGGACTTGCCTCGATACACCTGCCATTCATGGACCCTCTCTCTCCCAACCCTCCGCCCATGGGCGTTCCCACTCCACCGTCCATGGTCGACCCCAATCTCAACTTCGATTGGGACCAATGGGACGCGGTGTTTGGACAGCACCTACCTGTTGCAGATGAACTTATGGAATTGGACCCTGTCTCGGGATTGGACTTTGCCAATCTCGGGACCACCGCTGCCAACGATGCAATGATTGGTGTCAATGGCAATGAGATTCTTGCATCGCCGGGCGATGCCAATTTCCCCCTGGATGGACTGGACAGACCCCAGAACCCAGGGACCCTCTTCGAACGCATGGACGGGATATTAATGATTTTGATTTTGATAGTATATACGCCATATACCCCAGGGCCGGATTAGAGTCATGAGTAATTTGTACCTATGCATTAAGCTTGGTTGTGTTGGATTTTATATAGAATTACAAGTGCTTCTTTTTCGACTTGAGTCAATTCTATTTACTGTTTTTAATGCTTCCATTCAAAGTGTCGACCTTAAAAATCTCTTTTGTAGGTCTAGCTACGTTCTTTCTGTGGCAACACCAAAACTACGGATGGCCTATGTGGAAAAGAAAAGAATTGGAGACGTAACGGAGAATAGATTCATGAGGCGTGACTCTTACCGATCAGATGGATCGATCAATTAGGATACGAAGATGTGACTGACAGCGTAGATCGAACAGACACGGTCCCGGCGGGAGGACGAAGCAATGCCCGCCGTCTGGACCGGACATGGATGCAAAAAAAAACTCGCATTTTGTTCCTTCATAGCTTCTTTTCTTCAAATCGGGTACACTTTTACGGTCGCCTGGGTCAAAAGCAAAGCAAGGTGTTTAGACCTTGTTCTCCTTGAGACCGTGCTTCCAGAGGGTAGCGAAGGGGGTGACACCGTCCTCGCGGAAGTCAATGAGCATGTGCCTAAAAAGATAGTCAGTTTGTGGTCCGAACAATTTCAATGTTATCACTCATAACATACATGGCGTCACCGTCCATGGATGAGCCCATGAGAACGTCGTAGTTGTCGTAGTTGGCCGAGATCTTCTTGATGGCACCGGCGGCGTTGGCCTTGAACTCGGCGATGGCGTCAGCGTCACCCTTCTCCTCGAGCTTCTTGAGGACCTTCTTGACGTAGGCTATGAAGAGACAAAAGAGGTTAGCTATTTGGAGAATATAGTCGAGGGGTGTGGAGGACATACCCTTCAGGTGAGCCTTGAAGGCGTCCTTGGAGGGCTTGAGACCCTCCTCAGGCTTGAGCCAGGTCAAACGGAACTGGTCCTCGATATCGTGGACCATGATGGCCTCGCCCTCACCGCCATCATCATCACCACCCTCAGCGGAGGGGTTGGCACCCTCCAGCTCGAAGTCCTCGTTGGTCTTCTTGAGGTACTTGCGGCAGTCGACCTCCCACAGGATCGGGCAGTCCTTGGCGGGCTGGATCTTGAAGGTGTCCGAGAGCATCTCATCTCCGGAAATAACGTCCTAGGAAGAAGCATGTAAGTGTCCAAGTACTCTTGAATGAAAAAGGGACACCGCTGTTGCGATTGAGGACCCAACGAGGGGGCACCTCCAAACAACAATATATGTACGATGCGACACATACCTCGTAGATAATCATGGTGACGGTAGAAGACGCGGCGTCTCACAAAAAAAAATCAAAAGAATGAAAAATGGAATCAAAGAAGAGAATTGGGGCTGGAGAGAAGAAAAGAAAGAAAAATAAAGAGGGGAACAAGTTTTTTTTTAGTGGCGGACGGCCGATGGTGGGGGTTTTTGGCTTGTTTGCTTCTGGCCGGAGGTACCCAATGGGTACCGGGGAGTCGGGGCCTCGGCGGATGGGCCCGCATCAGGGCGGTACGGAGTACACCGGGGGTACCTCTCCTGGGGATTTCTCTATAAGAGTGTTAACATGCAGCATTGCGATCCCAGATGGCAGCTTTCTGTCTCCAATGCCCTTCTATCAATGATAATTATCGATAACGTGTTTGATGCTTTATAAATTGAACAGTCTAATTCCAGCTGACTCAGCATATAAATCACGTGTATACTGTACCATACTGTAATCTATATCCTTTGGCTGCATCATCCCCAATCTTACCGTATCCGGTCTCTGTCAGGCCCTTTCCGGGCTGGCGCCACTCACCTCCTGATGGAAACCCGCGTTTATCTTTTATCGTCTTCTCTTCTTTCCCCAAGTCGCATCGACCCTGTTCTCTCCTTTGACTATTCTTATTGTATTCGTACTACTGTCTCATTTTGTCTTAAATTGTCACTTTTACGTCTCCGCATCGACTTCCCCTGATCGCGCCTGCTGTACCCGTCGGCTTCCGACTCTTGTGGTGGGTTGCTGACGAACATCCACTCTCTTTTCCCTCTTAATCCCGATTCAATTCACTTTGAATTTTCTCGTACGATCATTCATCCTCGCCTTTTCCTTCTCATTTCTCGACTTCGAATCAACTGCGTTCCTCGGGTTGCCACCCCACAACCCCCAGATTGAACCATCACCTAAATACTACTTCACCATGGCCGTAAACGCATCCGTCGCGTTCGATCTCCCGCCTCTACCAAGCTACACCTTGAGCGTGCGGGAGCCTCTGTTCCCTCCTATCCCCGACAACGTTGTTTCGCTCCTGTTGCCGATCATCGCCTACTGGGCCCTATCTATGGTATACCACTATTTGGATGTCAACGAGTATTTTGTCCAGTATCGTCTGCACACGCCCGCGGAGGTATTGAAGCGAAACCGGGTAACCCGGTGGGAGGTTGTGCGCGATGTCATTCTTCAACAGGTGGTTCAAACCGTGGCCGGAATGGGTATGGCATACTTCGACCCCGAAGAAATGGTTGGAGGGGGAAGAATACCAGGTGGCCGTGTGGGCCCAGCGACTGCGCATCCTCCAAAAGGCTGTTCCGCCACTTCTGGCTCTTGTCGGGCTAGATGCAACGGGGTTGGCTAAGTCGGCCTCACAGAGCGGCCACGCGATGCTGGCGGGCGCTTTGGCAGGTGGTTCATACCCGGATGTGACGCAGTCACTCATTCTTGAAACCGGCGCGGAGGTTGTGGCGCCCGCTTTTGCAAGCTGGGAGCTTGCGGTAGCTGGCTTCATCTACTGGTACTTTATCCCGGCTCTGCAATTTATGCTGGCAGTGTCTATTGTGGATACCTGGCAGTACTTCTTGCACCGTGCCATGCATCTGAACCGGTGGCTTTATGGTGAGTTCGGCAAAATACCCACTAGCAGATAGGATGGCAGTTGTTCTAACCAAATCAGTGACCTTTCATTCCCGCCACCACCGTCTCTACGTTCCTTATGCCTTTGGCGCTCTGTACAACCACCCCGTGGAAGGGTTTCTGCTCGACACGGCCGGCACAGGCGTTGGGTTCCTTGTTTCGGGCATGACTAACCGCCAAGCAATGTGGTTTTTCACCTTCTCGACCATCAAAACCGTCGATGACCACTGTGGCTATGCCTTCCCCTGGGATCCTTTGCAGCACTTCACTTCCAACAACGCCGCCTATCACGATATTCATCACCAAAGCTGGGGCATCAAGACCAATTTCTCCCAGCCGTTCTTCATTTTCTGGGATCGTCTGCTTGGCACCCAGTGGAAGGGTGATGTGAAGCTGCGCTACGAACGAACCCGGGAAACGGCCCAGAAGCAAGTGGACATAGACGCGACTAAGGCCGCAAAGACTACTCCAGCGGTGAACGTCAGCGAAGAGCGGGAGCAAGAGCGAGTGATTGTCTCGCCCGAGGGGCCGGCGACTCGCACTCGTCTGCGCCGCAAGACTGTGACCCATGTCGAAAACCTCAAGGGTCCGAGTCACGGTGTACCAGGCAGCGTCCTCCACAACTGAATGTGCGATGATCCGAATTCGAAAGCATGAGTGAATTTCCTTTGCATTCTCCCATCAGACTCGGAGCTGCTGGTCATCTCCGGGTCTGGGGGACTCTTTGTTGCATGTATATGGAATCATGGATTCCAGTGTATTAATAATTTCAGAATGTGCCATTCAATGCTTTGTACATGGTCTTTCGCTACGACTTGCTGTCGATAATGTTTATTTGTCTGTCTACGCAGTTTTTCTCGGCCCTAAGCGGTTTTTTTGCGAAAGTCAGCCAAAGCTCAAATATTTTCTTGTCTGTCTATTCTATTGCATTCTATATCGCATTCAATTAGCAACGCAATGCAAAACAAAACAAAGCTCTTCAAATGACATTTCCATGGTCACAGACCAGACTCCAGGTGGTCACCGCAGGAGACGGGTCTTTGCGGACTGGTCCCTCGAAAGCCCAGTCCTCACACTCCTCGTCGGTCCATTCACTGTTCGACTCTCCGGAGCTCGAGAGTGCGTACTCCAACAGGATTTCCGCCGCCTCCATTTCCTTCAGACTTGGGTCCTCGCATTCCTGCAACTCAGGCGACAGAGGTGACGAGACAAACTGGTGATACCCCCTGATCCTGTCTTGGGTCATCCGGTGTTGGTGGACAGACGAGGGCTGCCTCACAAATGTGTCACTTGAATATGGGCTTCCTTTCCCGATCCTCTGGTACATTGCCATCACATCATTAATCTGGCCGTTGAGGCCCGCTTTTGTCGCGCTATTTCGGGCACTCTCGGGGCTGGGCCCGGATGGCTTCAGGTCTGGGCTTGGGATAGTGTTGGGCGGTTCCGGGTTCGCAGGCCGCTCGGGGATACTTTGGGGAGTGAAACATCTCAGTTCGGGGCTCGGAGCTCTCGATCTCCGATAACGATCGTCATCCGTATACCTCGAGGTGTAGCTGTTTTTCCGGTGACGACTGCTCGAGCTCGAGAGACGGCGATCCCGGCGAAGTCCCGACGTCGGTGTCGGGGGATGCTCAAGTACGTCGGTTGATGTTGGTCGATACACTCGGATCTTGGCGACCATGTCCCGGATACCTTCTTTCGACAGCTCGGTTAGTTTGGGGCGAGATGCGCCTTCTGTTTTGTGAGCATGCGAGTTGTCTGAGGCCTGGTCTTGACGCTGATTCGCATCCGATGTCCTGGAAGCCCTGTGGTCATGTTTTCGATGACTTTTACGCTCATGCTTGGGGTCTTCGTACCAAACTTTGGTGCAAGCCTTCCGGGCGTCCTTCATGCCGTATGCCAGCTGGCTAGCGGTACTGTATAGTTCATCGGCGTCAACGCCAAAGCAATTGATGAATTCGTCGATGAATGCCATGAGTCTGCGCGGGTGATGTCTCCTGCTAGTTCGAGTCCGGCTCTGCAACATCACCCGCAAGTTGCGCACAGCGTTCTTGTCAGCGGTGATGCGCGCCAGGATACAGGCCGCGCATCCATTGATCTGGAAAGGCCATGCATTGGGAGCAACCGGGTGATTCATCTGGGGTTTAGTCCACAACCCTTTCAAAGCCCGCAAACTGGCCAGTATATCCGCCTCGATAGGGCTGATGAGGTGCGGAGCGGCGTCGAATTTGCGAAAATGAGTGGTGATCTCTTCCTGGATGAGCAACAGCAGATCGGCCACGATAAACTGGTTCAGCGGCCGGTGTAGCTCGCACAGGTGTGTGGTGGACTTGGGGTGAGGCCATGCCCGAGGGAAAGGCCATTCACGACGCAGGCGCTTGGGCAGATTCTGGATCAGCTCTCGAATGCGCTGCTCATGCGGTGGTGGAATGTCGGCTGTGTTGTCTAGGTGCAGGATCTCGGTTAGCATTTTCACTTCGGCCCGGGCCAGCTCAGTCACGAACCGCGGGTATCCGCCAACGGCTGACCGAGATCTACTGGCCTCCAGGGTGATTCTTCTGGGGGAAACCGTTCCTGGTGGTCCGCCATGGTCTTCCATGACTCATGGGCAGTCAGTCGCCCGACAGTTGATTTGGTGATGATCGGGAATGTGTTTATTTAACTGATTGACAGTCTGCCAATAGTTGGATTGAACTACTGGTGGTATTCTCAAATAGATGGAGAATGAATTCGTCGATGGCAGTTGAGAGTGCTGGGAACAGAACGACATACTTATATCCCATCCCACAGCCCAGCCTCGAATCCTTTCCGTCTTTGTTCTGTCGGCATGAGTCGTCAACATCTTGTTTACCAAAGGACATACAAAGAATTGTTTCTTCATTTCATTGTTGTTGTTGACCGTTTCACGGACAAAGCCCTAACATTCATGGCCTTTTATCTGTCTCATCGCTCTTTATTACAAGCCCCTTTGACTTGACCTTTACTTGGTTTTTCTCGAATACTCCCTTTCTTTTATGATATTTCTTTGTTCTCGCGATTTTCTTTTTCCATTGCTTTCTTCGGCTTTGTAGAGTCGAGTTGGCCGGGTCTACCCTACCAAATACAGAATTGCGTCATAAGGAAATCATCTATCTCCAACAAGCTGCCACTGGCAGTCTCCTCCGGTTTGCACTTCCATTTGTCATTCTACAGAGGCAACGTGCTCATCCCCTGATATCCCTGCTTGTGCATTGTCGAAGCCGTGCACTCCGCCGATTTGAATATGGCCGACTGCATCGACAACCCGAACACCGGCCTTTCTTTGCCTGTGGATTCTTATTGCATTCGGTATAGGTCTGAGGCCTACTCCAGCTTGGCGACTCCGGTGACGTTGACCATGTCGAGTTTGGGATCCGGGAGGTCTACATTTGTTTATACCGGCTTCGCTGATCTTCACTGTATAGATCGGTGACCACAAGTCCCATCATACCCCTAATTCCTTAATAAGGCTTTCCAAATGCTATCTATAGAATAATCTTCTATTAAATAAGATCATGAAGATACTTGATTATAAAAACGCCCGATAGTATAAAAGTGAGAACCAAAAAACATCATCTCAACTACAAAGTATACGGCATAGCTCTACAGAATGTAGCATCTTCACTCTATATATTTAGATACAGACCTATCCTCAGTCCTGCTATTAATAACACAAATACTTCTGAGTTGTTCTCAGGACTTGATCACCCACGGGGCCCAGCTGACCAGACACATGACTCGATGTCATGTCTGTCGTCATTCAGACCTTCGCTTTCCCCAAGGCTGAACCTTTGATCTCCAGTCATCTCCCCCTCTAATCTTTCCAGATCGTTGACTACAATAGTGACGCCATGGAATATCTCACCCAAGCTGCAGTCACCGCAGTGCCCTACACGGCATCCCCAGTGCGACTGCTGTGGAGTGACATCCGTCTGATCCTACAGAACATCTGGACATTACCGGGCATCTTCCTACCACTTCGCCTCGGTCGCACCAGCCCGTTGGACGAGCTCTTTGTGTCGCTTCCTAATGGAGCCACCGTAGCGCTTCATGGGTTCCTTGTCGTGTATCAGCTTGCCTTTCTTGTCTCCCTGCCTATAGTCCTGCTTCTGATGATGCCGGCCTTGTGGATCCTCACCTACGTTGCGGGGTTCTTCAGTGTGAATTATTTGATCTGCATCCTGCTGAATGGGCGCCGGCGAATCATCACCTCGCAGGTGCCGGTGACCGAGACACCCGGCCACGAACGAGAGTGCTGGTTCTTTATCAATGGAGTCGCGGTGGGGTGGGCGCTGCCAACCGAGTAGAAGAGTGGTACCTCAGCTGACTTTCAGCTATAGTCGACGCTGGCTTCAGCAGAACATTAACCAACTGTCGTACACTTTTGGTCGGAAGGTGACCGGGGTCCATAACCGCACGCATGTTCTCTCTGTCCTTTCTTTATCACGATAACCGTACTGATTGAGATTTAGCTCCGGTATTATCTTCGACCTCCTTGAGTGCTTGATCCAGCGCGATCTCTCCTACGCCACAGACGATGTGCGCAGTACCTATGAGCTGCTCAAAAAGGCCCTGCTCAACCCCAACTGCGACAAAGTTGTTCTCCTCCTCCATAGCCAAGGCGCCATAGAGGGAGGTCTGATCATCGACTGGCTGCTGGATGAGCTCCCGCGGGATCTCTTACGCTCGCTTGAAGTATACACTTTCGCAGCTGCCGCCAACCATTTCAATAACCCATGGACGAGCTGCCCCAAGCCCAGCGAATCCCCCACCACCGATCCCTCAGGGGCCATGTCCAACACCATCCGGCATATCGAGCATTATGCCAATGACGGGGACTTTGTAGCTCGCTGGGGACTCCTCCATTTCATCGATGTTCCCAATCGGTACATGGGCCAAGTATTCATTCGTTCGGACTCGGGCCATATGATGAACCAACATTACCTCGATAATATGTTCACCTTGGGCCCTGACCAAAAGGTCCTGGACTCGAATCCGTTCATGGAAACTACCATTGCGACGCAGCCGAACAAAACCATGAGGGAACAAGATGGTGCTCAAGGCAAGCGAGCCGATGGTAAACCCTCTACCTCGGGTGTGCTTGGCCGTCAAAGCCCCGAGCCCAACGGATCTTCCCAAACACTACGGATCAAAAATGTCAGCCGTCTCTGGCAGTATCGGAATGGTGGCTCGCCAGGGACCCGTGAAGGAGCTTGATGAAGATGGGATGAAGAGCGAGACAATTTTTTTATGTTACTTTGAGGCCATACGGAAGGGATTGGTTAGAAGCAGATACTGTACGAGCTAAACCATGCAATAGACTATTGCTACTGGCCCTGGGGATTTCTACATACAATAATTCACCTTTTCAATCATCATCTAGGGATCATATCATTATTACCGTCAAATTGCACAGCTGTCAAGCTTGATCGATCAAACATCTCATCTCATCTTTGCCTGTGCATTTTGCTGACTTATTCGTCCTCTTCCGCAACCCGGATAGAAATGCCACGCAGGTCTTTGAGTTTCGTGATAGCCTCTGTAGTCAAGGGCCTTATCCACCCATAAAGATTCATTGATTAGCTTGCTTGCCCACCCTCTTCGAAATAACTGGTTTTTCTTACGGCGGGATGCCAATAGGTGGAAAGCTTCGAGTTTGGTACCATGCTTCCTCTCCAGTATCCTCCTCTATGATCCTAACACATCACAATTAGCTGGGTTATAAATACATAATTAGATGGAATGCTAGTTAACTTACTTTTGCACCACTTCCTCATGTTCTTCAAAGGAGTCCAGGTCGTCATAGTGGTAGGAGATCATCTAAATAGGCGATATAGTGTGAGCTGGGCTGTGGCACGAGGAGTGAAAGAATATTGACTTTAACCCACCTGTCTTTCAGCCATTTTTGTGGATTTAATTCAAGAAAGTAACCTTGATGCTCAGAAGGTAGAGCAAGCAGGGACAGGACCTCAGACCTAATATATACATCCCCATCGCCCCTCTATTGTTGATCACACCAGCCCCTCGATCTCTTTGGGTGACGTCAAGTGAGGACAGGAACTATCACCACCAATAAGCCGTCCCCTCGAGTTGGACCCCCAGTATTTTCAGCTGTTGGTCCTTTAATAATAGAGAAATCAAAAACGACATCAAATTTGTATGTCGGTGGGAATTTGCGTTTCGGTGTAGAGGACCAACAGCTGAAAATGCTGTAGGTTCGACTCGAGGGGACGGCTAGACATCCTACCACTATTGATAGGTGGTAGTGAGTGGCGCCAGCTGAGTCTCCAATCTTCTGCGGGCCCCAAAGCCTTGTTGAGTTAAGCTAGTGCCGATCAAGCGTCATCTTCAGCTGAGATGGACGCGGTGGTGGATCTAAGGTGTGGGGAACTTGATGCAGAATACCATCTTGTCCCTCAATTGTCCTTTCATTCGGTAGATCCTTGCTACATAGATAGCTGTCTACATCCAGATCCGCACACAAGAACCGCTACTCCCCGTCGCAAGCACCCGCGATGTTCCTTGATGCAATAACCCAACGCAGCTGACAAAGTGAATTGGTGCCCCAGCAATGGTCTTAACCAGGCGAGCTTCTTGCGACAGGTCCCAGCACCGGATAGTCCGGTCGTCACCCACGCTAATGAGATACTTGCCCCCGGGATGGAACACAAGCCCCCGAACCCAGCTATGATGACCCTCCAAGATCTTGACGACAGTGCCTTGGTCGTCCCAAATGCGGATGGTCTTGTCTCTAGCTCCCGTAGCAATGAACGCCGCACTTTGTGACGATGGTGACCTCGACGGGTCTAGAGCAGCCAAGTGTACATGACTGGACTGGGGTGCAACCGCACAGCACTCAACGCAGCTTCCATGCCCTTGCAGACTTGCCTGGACATCTCCAGAAGACAAGTCCCAGAGTATGGCGGCATGATCATGACCAGCAGATACGAGCCAGGCGCCATCCTCGGACAGTGATACGTCGCGGACCCATGCACTTGTCGAAATGACCTTCACGCAAGCCCCGGTCAAGGCATCCCATATCCGCAATGACGCGTCTCGGCTGGCTGACACCAATAGATTCCCCGGAGGCGCGAACCGCACCGCCGAGACGAGGTGTTCATGACCTGAAAGTGTCCGGATGATCGTGTAGTTGTTGCTAGCATCCCACAGTTTGATGGTAAGGTCGCTTGAGCACGACGCCAGCAACGTATGGCGATTAGGTTCCCCGTAATCTACTCCCAGGACGGGCTTCGGGTGTCCTTTAAGCGTTCGCTCCAGCTTACCTAGCTTCCAATCCCAAATGTTGATAGTGCAGTCCTCTGATGCCGACGCCAACGTATGATGAAAAGGGTGAAATGACACGCAGGTTACCGCTCCTCGATGCGATTGCAGCGTGTGTTTTGGGTGCGAGCCCGGTAGCCAAGTGGTATTCGAACGCAGCGGAATGGGACTGGCAGGCTTGGCCTCAGACTCGCACAATTTGATGGGAATTGATCTAATATTAACCAGCGGTGACTTGACCGGGTTGACAGGTTTCAAGTCAGGCTGAATGCGCGCGAGCTGGATCTCTAACTCCAGTATCTCGACGTTGGTTAGCCCGGGTTGCGGGTGCAAAACATGGAGTTGGCGTCATACCCGCTTCTGCAGGCGCGTTTCACTCGCCCATTTCTTTTCTAATAGACCATGATACTTCTTGCCAGCATCGTCGGCGTTGCTGTCAATGCCAAGTTCCTGTCGCAAGAGGGCGGCGCTCCGAGATGCATTGACCGAGACCAGATATACAATGATCGAATTGTGACTGGCCTCATATCAGTAAGGGTCTTTCGGATTATTCGACAACTTACAGCTCGTCTGTCTGCTCAGCTGTCAGTGTTGGGATCATGGTGAGAAGGCAAGTTATGGCGGCACACCATCGTATAGTGTGACAATACGGAGGTATATATATATTGAGGTATATCATTTCCAAAGGGTGCAGTGTGATACAAGGGGCTGCGACCCAGGCCATGGGTTGCACAGACATGCAGCGCGGTGGGGTACAAGATGTTTGAGGTTTGGTTCAGAGAAAAAGGAAAAAGCGGCGCTAGTTCCACGCGGGATTTGGAAGCTTTGTCCCCTGTTTTGGGAGGTAATCATTGACCTCCAGAGGCCAGGCTGTTGATCCAAAAGAGGACGAATAGATGTAGATCCTCTATGGCAATCGAAGCAAATAAAACGCCCATCGCCGTCCTATGCAAGTGGAAGATTCGGAAAAAGAGAAAGAGGGACATAAAACGAGTTCATGCCTTGCCCTTCTTCTTGTCTTTCTTTTTCTTCTCAGCTCCAGACCCTGAAGGTTCGCCCGACAGACCTGGCATCCCAGGCATTTCAGGCATACCGGGGATCGAAGGCATTCCAGGCATGCCCTGCATCTCGGCCATAGCCTCTTTGAACGGGTTGTCCGTCACTCCACCACCGCTGTAGGCAGGCGAGTGGATCGGCAGAATCGTGCCAATCTTCCATCCGCGCGGAGCAGGGGGGCAGAGGGGAGCTTGTCGGGGGTGGGGAGACCGCGGATACGGAGGCGGTACGGGGACTGCTCGGTGGTGGGGTGGGCTTTCAAGTATTGCGCAACGAGGATGTAAAGGTGATGTTCTGGGGGGAAACCGTGTTAACTATGTGCCCAGACCAGGTCATTGCAAACTGATTTCTGGGGATGGACACGCACTGTTCTTGATCTTCGGATTTACCAATTTGCCATCTTCGTTCTTCAGCAGCACGCGCACCCGCCCGGGATTCGCCCAATCCTTGGGATGGAGCTTCTCTGGTTCCAAGCCCACCTTGAAGCCGAGCAACTGGACAGCGTCGGCGATCTCACGAGCGAGCGGGTTTTCGACCGCCAGCTCTGAGCCCACCTTGCGGCCCTCGGCACGTGAGCGGGTCTTATCGAAGTAAACCGGGTACAGGCATTGGAAGTGGCGTGGGATCTCGCGCTGGGGCTCGGGCATGGGAGTGGGCATGGAAGCTGGTGATGGTGTGGGTTTGGAGGGGCCAGAGGCCGGTACTGCTGCAGGAGCAATGATTGAGTCTTGTGCGAAAGAATCATCGGGGGCAATCTCCTCGGGGTCCGAATCGGAGACCTCCTCGACTTGTGCATGGTGCGACATGGCGACAGATAATTAAAGTGAAAATGGGGCCGGGGGTCGAAGCGGGTTGAGAGGTGGCAGAGTTGGGAGTGGTGAAAATGCGGGAGTCGGGTCTGTGCGGGCGGAGTTGGCCAGTTGCCACATTGTGGTCTAGTGGGGGGTGCAATATTTACTGGTAGAATGGAAGCACATCGTTAAAGATATACGCAAATTGCTTATTATTGTTATTATTGTTCTTTTCTGATCACACTAACCGCCGAGAGTCAAGTTTTACTCCACACATCACTTTCGCCAAAGACCTTGGGATATTGAATCCTTTAGTCATCGTGTAGAGACACCGCGAGGTGCCTATCTCCCCCTCATCTAACTTCTGGACATTTGTGGTTCACTACATAAATTCCTCGCCCCAATTCCTACAGGCCTATCCTCACCCAACCACGGAATCGCCTCCGCCAGCAATCAACATCGACTGATAGTCCAAGGTTACAGCCAATAACATGCTCGGCTTCTTCGGCATACCGAGCCCACTTGGCCCCGCAGAAATAGCCTCGGGCTTGGCCAAAAGGAAGTATAAAAGAGGGGGCTCGTCCCTTGAAACTCCCTCATTGCAATTTATTTCCAGACAATAGTGAGCTACCCTTTCCATTATGACAAAGACCGGTAAGTTGGCCTTGATCTGTAATGCCTCTCTGGTTGCAGACATGACCCCCATACTCATCTCATCTAGAAACTCCAGCCAGCGCCATCCTCCATAGGGATACACGATTTGTGCCCAAAAAGGCCATTGGCGGCAAAGGTAGCTACATCTTCCTGGAAGACGGGACCAAGTTCCTCGATTCCACAGGTGGTGCTGCCGTCTCCTGCCTGGGACACAGCCATGAGCAAGTCAACCAAGCGATCAAGGACCAAGTCGACCAGATATCCTATTGCCATTCGGCCTTCTTTGGTACCCAGGCTGCCGAAGATCTCGCCCAATTTTTGGTGGATTCTACAGGCGGCAAGATGTCCAAACTATATGTAGTCAGCTCAGGTGAGTTGGGCCCAGCAGCACACCTATCTTCCTCATAGATCTTGAAATCACTCACACTACATAGGCTCAGAGGCTGTTGAGGCCGCGCTCAAGCTAGCTCGTCAGTATTTCCTTGAGCTGCCTACTCCGCAACCCCAACGGACCCGGTTCATTGCCCGCCTGCCTTCCTATCATGGTATCACCCTCGGCGCCTTGGCTGCCGGTGGACATGTCCTTCGACGACAGCCCTTTGAGCCTCTCCTGGCTAAGAATACCTCCCATGTCTCGCCTTGCTATGCATACCGCGGCAAGTGGGACGACGAGTCTGACGCAGACTATGTCGCCCGTCTGGCGGCCGAGCTCGACGCGGAGTTTCAGCGCGTTGGGCCTGAAAATGTGTGTGCATTCATTGCTGAACCAGTAGTTGGCGCGGTATGTATTTTTAGGTTTCTCTGAGAACTCACAAATGACCAGAAACTCACTATTTTTCCAGGCGCTCGGCTGTGTGCCTGCTGTCTCAGGCTATTTCCCAGCCATGAAAGCCGTCTGTGAGAAATACGATGCGCTTTTCATCCTCGACGAGGTCATGAGCGGCATGGGTCGTTGCGGTACCCTGCATGCCTGGGAACAGGAAGGGATCGTGCCAGATATCCAGACGATTGGCAAAGCTCTGGGTGGCGGGTACGCCCCAGTGTCCGGTGTGTTGATTGGAGACTCGATTGTTCAGACGATGGACAAAGGCACTGGCGTGTTTCGCCACGGCCAAACCTACCAAGGCCACCCAGTATCCTGTGCAGCGGCCCTGGCCGTGCAAAAGACAATCCAGGAAGAGTCGCTGCTGGCGAATGTACGGGCGATGGGCGCGTACCTTGAAAAGCAATTACGCCAACGATTGGGGGCTCATCCTTACGTAGGAGATATCCGAGGGAAGGGATTGTTTTGGGGTGTGAGTTGAACACACTACTGTGCTCTGGAATCAAATTGCTGACTATTCCTTGGTATAGATCGAGTTGGTCAAGGACAAGGCAACGAAAGAACCATTTGACCCGAAGACCCATCTGTCGTTCTTAGTTCAGGAGAAGGGACTGCATCCGGAACACGCTATTTCGCTTTATGGCTGCGTGGGCACGGTGGATGGCGTTCGTGGCGATCATATCGTGCTAGCTCCGCCGTATAATGTGTCTGCGGGGGAGATTGATCTAATTGTCGATAGGACCGCCAGGGTTCTTGCGGATGTTTTTGCCGGGCTGAAGAATTAAGGGCTACGTTTCTACTCGTACTCAGCCCATAGGCGATTACAAGGACAGTCCTAATCAACGAGGATTGCAAGAAAATAAGAATGGAATCCAATGAAATCATCAACTATCGCACTATTGTACACATATGACCGAACCGACAAGCAACCTCTAAGCCTCGATGGCGGCCGCCTTCTTCGCAGCAGCATGTATCGCCATCTCCATCGGCTCTTGAGCTGAGCCGTTAAGTGCTGCCTCTTTGGGCATTGAGCTCGCGGCCCACAAGCCGGACACCGTCTCGACAGCCCGCTCAACAACGACCCGGATGCGATCCCGCAGAACGGCATTGGCACATTCAACCTCCAGATTCTCGAGCCACACGCGGGCAACATGCTTGTCGACCTTGATTTCAATCCCCGGGACGGGAATGCCGAGGGCTTGAAGGCGATCAAGCTCCGCAGACTCGATATCGGCAATGCGTTCAAGATTCGCTTCCGTCTGGTCGCCTCCATTTTCGTGTGTGCCGTTTGCGAGGTCCGCCGGGACGCGCGGGCGCTCAATTGGCGCAATCTCAGAGCCAAATTGTGCTTCGAGCATCATCAATAGACGCTCAAGCCGTTCTGCAGATTCAAGCTGGGAATGGGGATTGGGAGGAGTGGGAATGTCATCATCGTGGTGATGATGTTTATGTTTGGCGGATTCTTAAAACAGGTGATTAGCTTGGAAATCGATGACCAATCGGTGGGGGTAGGCTTTGCATACGTTTCACGGAGGCTGGGCTGCTTTCCACAGTGAAGAGAACAGCCATCACTGCATCGGCGATGCCGTCATTCATCATGTTCCCCTCCCACTCCAACTCGATCTCGCGCGTGCGCGCATGATGACGAAGAACCACACAGCCCATGACGAGGAAGGTTTGTGTTCCCTCCATTGGGATTTCACCGTCAACGGCCTCTTGCTTTAGGCTTGACTCGTCAGCCTCGTTGCCGGGCTCTTCTCTTGGCTCCGACTCGATGTTGGTGCCGACCTCCTCAATCGCCCCAAAGGTACCCTCGAGAGCCCATCGAATCAGGTCCATACTGGCAGAGCTAAGGGTGATGTGCTGCTTGCATGTAATGGTTGTCGTGGTCAGGCCGGCGTACTCCCGCAAATCGTCTGGAGCCATCAGTGACAAGTCGAAGCCGTTCTGAACCAGCACTCCAGCCATCAATTGACTGTCGTTCTGCTCCAAGGGAGGGGCCACCTGCGCCAGTTTGCCGACGACCTTGGCGATCTTGTCTTTTCTGAAGGGAATGCGAACTTCGTCGCAGTTGGCAGGTGTGTATACCTTGACCTTAACAGTTTTGTCGACGTTGAGGCTAAGTAACTTTGACTTGAGTCGCATCATCTGGTGTTTTTCACCGTGGACGAGGATCTGGCAGAACAGGTCAGTGAAAATTCGAAAGTTCTCGTCAATAATTCACCTACCACAACCGGCGCGGCGACCTCTTCGATAAAGTTACGGTTTTCCACACCGTCAACATGGGCCGCAAAGCTGACCTCATCGACGGTGCATCGGCGCGGAATCATAAACTTCTGTTCCTCGTCATTACCCCCAGGAACTCGACCTCGCCCATGCCCGGCGGGTCCTTTGGACATCACAGCCGGGATTTGTTCGGGTTCGTTGAGTAATTGCTTGGCCATAGTCCCTTCAACGCTGTAACCGGTCATGACCACACCATTGCGGTCACTTGGTGCCCACCTCTCGAGTAGCTCACGGCTCGTGCCTGTCTGCAACATACCCGGTGAAGCCAGCATCACACACCCGCCAAGATCGTCAAATCGCTCCAGGCTCCGCAGACTTCGGACAAATCGAAAGTCCCATGGCCCTGCACTCACGCTCTTGTCGCCTCTGGCTTCGGCCTCGGCCATACGCTGCCGGAACAGCCGCTTGATGTTGTCGTTCATAGCACCAATGTATGTTTGGTACACTACCATGCACCGACGTGCCATGTTTCCGATGTAGTAGATAGGGATCTTCTGAAGCTCGGGGTGTCTCTCCCAGTATTCGTCCAGAATGAGGAGCAGCTCCTGAGCACGGCCCAAAGCGAACACGGGCATCAGCACCCGGCCTCCGCGGTTCAAAACGCCCGTTATGGACTTCATCAGCGCAGCCTCGCGTTCCAGCCGAGGCGGGTTGGATGAGATACCGAACGTTGACTCGGTAATGAGAACATCAATCTTAATCCCTCTGGGCACCTCTGCGGGAATCAAGTGCCGATCCTCCTCGCGGGAGTAGTCACCGGTGAACAGGATATTTAGGCCGGCAATCGACACGAGAAACATGGCAGCGCCCAGGACATGACCGGCCGGGAAGGGCGTGATGCGAATGCTGTTGATGGTATGGGTTGTGTTGAAATCGATTGTTTCAATCAGCGGGAGTGTTGAGAGGTGATCGCGTTCGGTGTACAAGGTAGTGCGCTGGTCTGATGAGGAGGCAGTGTTGCTGACCCGAACGTTGTCCTGGATCAGCCATTTGTAGATGGCCTTTGTCGCATGCGTCATAAAGACACGGCCCTTGAAGTTGGTTTTGCTGAGGACATAGGGGAGTGCGGATGAGTGGTCCACGTGGAAACTGGACAGAACGAGCCATTAGCCAAAGGGTTGCTCGAGACATCTGCCACTAAAAGCTGGACAGCTGAACGCCATTGCGGAGATACAGCAGTACAATAACAGAAAGCATGACATTGGATTGTATTGTGCTTCTCATATACACGCAGAGTGGAGCAGGGCTCATGGGGCTCGCATTGCGAGACTGCCGAGGAACCATTGCCATCGGCAAGTGCGCACAGCGGCCCTTGTCGCCACTTCTCTGCTCCGGAATTTGCACCACGCATGGGATCGAAAACAGAGAGATCCACGTACTGGCTGATCAAGAGAATGTCCACGGTGCTCAGGTCGAATTCGTCGAAGAACGGGAGCGCAGAGAAGCCCTCCTTTGCTGGGTGCATTCCCGCATCGAGCTGTAGAAAACACAAGTTAGTCTATTCTGATATTGGGACCGCTCTCTCCGAATCACACGTACCATGACTGTCTTTCCCTTGTACTGGATGATGTGACATGAACGCCCGACTTCATTGCCACCACCTAGACAGTAGAACGCGAGCTCGTCCGATGGGTCGGCCGGTTCCTCATCCACAGCCGCACCCATCGCCGAGGCCTTGCGCTTCGCTGCCATGGTGATGTGAGACGGGTAAGATCAGTGTGAACAAAATGAGTCGCCCCCCCGGGAGCTTCCAAGGAGACACGGCTCCAAGGGCACCGATGCCCAAGTCACGCGATGGGACGTAACTGATATCAATTGTAACTGGGAGATCCAGCCATTGCAAAGGTGAGACAGAGACGTGCAAGACTCAGGAAGCACATGAATTCGCGTTTGTTGAAGTACACTGTCTCTCCACGTTGAGTCGCCGCAGGATTCGGGATACCTGACTAAGAGTCACGTGCCACCAGGCCGCGGAGCAAAACCTCGACGAAGCTCCCTTCCCCCCGGTCCGGCATCTCGCTGTCCCCCCACTCGCCGTCGCACCGTCACCTTGCCCTAGTCCCGGTTATTGACGCGTCGCCCTCATGATCCCACAGACATATTGAGATGATTACACTTGGTGGAAGCTGGTGGTGCGAGCTATCCGCTCACTTCAACGGCCACGCGTGGACCTTCATCTCGACAGTCGCCACGAGTGCGCGCAGTAACGCTCTTCACTTCTAATTTAGTTTCGCCTCTTGTCCGAAAAATTCAATATGGCGCAAACTCGACATCCCCAACAGCAGCAGCCGCCGCCGCAGCAGTTTTCTTCTCAACCGTTCTCTCCCCCCGTCTCCTCGCCTTCTCCCAACTCAGCTTCCCCAGTGAATGGAGGCGTTGCACCTCCGCCATCTAAACGACCTCGCTTGTCGCCTCTTCCACCATCACAGACACAGTCTCCCTACGCCTCCCCTAGCTTTGGCACGCTGCAACTACCGCAAACCCAACCCCCTATGAACGGAGCACCCATGAACCCCATGACTTCTACGCCTGCTGCCCCTCCTCCCGCTCCCCCCGGTACTATGGGGCCTCCTTCGCGTCCAGTCGACAAGACCACAGATGCCGCAGAACTAACGGATGTTCTGGCCTCGTCCGGCATTGACGTTCGGGAGGAAGAAGCTTTCCTCACGCGCAGCTTCTCCGGGACCAATGTGCAGGCGCAACCTCCCCCGCGAGGTCAGCAGCCGTCTGGTCCGCCGCCAATCAATACTTCTTTCACGTCCCAAACCTCGACCATCGGAACAACCTCTGCCTCATCCAGTTTCAATGACCTTCCCCAGATCAAGCCAGCGATCAGGCAGGAATCGTTTTCGTCTGAGCCGGCTTCGCAAACTCCCGTTCCATTCAAAGATCCCAACGAATCAACACGAGAGGATAGTGAGGCAGCGAGGCGAGGACAATACCACCTGCAAGAGCCTTTTCTGTTGACGAAGCTTCTTGAGCAAAAGCTACAGAAGCGAGGGTTTGACCTTGGTGTTCGCATCCCTTCGGAGGGCCTTTTTCATCCTGTTCCTGGGCATCCCCAGCCTATTGAAGTGACAGGCCCTGATGGGTCTTCTGTGGTGCGCACCGGGCAAACAATCCTCAACCAGGAGGGTGCACCCTTGGTTGACATCCTGAACCTGCTGTCTCTTTCGACCGAAGAACGACTACGAGGGGTGGTGGACTATTCGTCGACGCTCTCTCGCAGTCGCCGTGCGCATTCTCATGGCGTGGTTCCTGCGGAATGGGAGGATGTCGCACAGCCTTTTGGCCCGAGCACTGGCAATGCCGCGACACCTTCAAAGCGTATGCTCACTTCCTTTGGCATATTTTGATTATTCCAATGCTAACAACATGTTCAGGTCCTCATGCCTCGATGGAAGGCTCAGCCGCAACCCCAATCGCGGACACGTACCGAATCCTAGTGAATCGGGAGGCCACGCAAGAGGAGAAACGCGCGGCCAAACGCGCCAAGCGTAACGCCAATGCGATCTTGGGCGAGGGTGCAGGTAATCGATCTGACTCCGCCGAGGTGGCAGGATCGGCACCGTCGACTCCGATCGCCGACAGGGCGCCCAGCATTGACAAGAAATCCATGACTAAGAAGGAAGCAAGGAAGATGGTGGACACGAAGGCCAGCGAAGCCCAGCAACATCAACAATCTGTGGAGACGGCACGAATGGCCACCAATAGCATGCTGTCGGGCCGCATGTTCGGGACCAAGAAATCCTATTCATGGCTGAAACCGGGTGGCACCTCCAGTGGCTTCTCGTCGCCATCGCGCCCCAATCCTCAGACTCCCACCGCCGGACCCGAAAAGTCCACTCGACCTGGGGAGGCTGCCCCCGGGCAAGCCAAGCGACGTCTCGGGGCCTGGCGCGAAGATCAGGAGAAAGGAGCGGGAATTCAAGTCCGGGACATTTTGTTCATGCTGGAAGCCGATGGGCGGGCCACCAAGCATGTGCAAAAGGGCTATGCCAAAGATCCGAAGGAGGATCGCGTGGGCTGACCGGGTTCAAGCCGGGTGTAATCTTATTTTTTTTTTTTTTCCTTCTTGTTTCTCTAATTTGTTTCTTTGGGTCCAAGTGCAGGTGGAAGACCGTTTCCGCCTGGATATGGAAACTTACTCTTTTGCATCATGCGAGTTTGGTTTGCGGCGTTGGGACGGTTCGTTCAAAGGTTGCTGGGTTCAATGTGTTATTTCTTTGCTTACTTTCGTGGGCAATTTCATCTTCTGTGAGCAAATAGAGGATCTTTCCTGACTCAACCGATCTACCCATGCCTCCCTTCGCCCTTTTACGAAGTCAATGCTAGCGAATGCTTTGGTCTTCGGGGGTGCGTAATGGGCAGATATCCGAAGACTCGAGCACTCAAAAAAGAGCATCTCGTTCCAAAATTACTTCTCTTTATCAGATCATCGCATCGTCTATCCATCTAAGCTTCCACGGGTGCCACGGCCGCGGTTGCTTGGTTCATTTCTGCCTCGGAAGGCATGTTGACAATGGCCAGGTACAGCACTTTCTATTGCAGCAGTCAGTATACGAGATTCATCAGTGGGTCAATGGCCAGGAAAGATGACCACGTTACCTTTTCTCGTAATTTGGCGAGGGGCGTAAACGGAGTGATGAGCTGTCTACGCTCTTGAAGGGGCGGTTGGGGTTGTGTCCTGCCCAAGTCACCGGAGTCCTGAGGGTCCATCTGTTCAGGATTGCGAGTATCCCTGATGCCTCTCACATTTCCGATGATCCCTCTTAGCCCCATGGAACGCCCAAATGGAGCAGGTTGGTTTGAGGAGGAAGGCTGGCCCGTAGAGGCCCGGCGCAAACTCGGCAGCCGGACATGGCCTCCCGTCACCAGGGCAAGAGGGTCGCCGCTGCTGGCGGGGTGATTGGGGTCGGCATATCGCGATGAGAAGGTCGGGGTCTGGCCTTGGTTCAAGTGGCTGGTGGGATTATCTGCAGCCTGGCATCATCGCAAGAAGAAGATGGTTAGCAGCGTTCGAGGGATTGATGTAGAAGTTATTTTCCTTACAAATTTGGCTCGGGCCCTCTTGTCCAAGTAGCTGGCTACGAACTCCTTCTGTTTCTTCACCTTGTTGAGCTTGTTCTCGGACCTCTGGTCCGAGGCCAGCTGGTCGAGCTGGGGAAACACCAATGGCGCAACCTCCGGAAAGATGTTACCGTATGCCTTTCCGTTCGACGACTTGAATTTGTGCTGCAAGCGTCCTAAAGTCGCATCGCCACCCCTGCTGGTGGCTTGGGAAATGGTGGAGGTCAAATCAACCTCCGTGGAGAGAGCATTCGAAAGTTCAGGGTTCCATGTCATGACCAAACAAAAGAGACCACGCGGCTGGAAGAATTCCGCATTCATTTTATCAAAGAACGTGTTGGACCTGGACTTGGTGTCTGACATTAGCGAACTATTCTCTGAGGAACATCAGACTGTAATCAATCCTGGATGCTGACCTCCGGCGCCCATCAACAGCAATGGCCACCTGAGTGGTGATCTGGACAGCAATCGAGACGGCGATTGCCGACACGGACGGCATGAACATGGTCCCGATGGACGCCAGGTTAATCGCATTCAGCCATTTAGCCCCCTGGCAGGCCTTCTCAGCGGTATCGAGGAACTCAAGGAACATGGCCTCGTCGATGCCGAATTCGTCCAGATCCTGCGCATACGCGCGAATGAAGCCGCGCTCACGGTTCTTGGGTCTGCGCTGGGGCAGGACAACGGGCGCGGAAAGTCGGGGGGTTGGCGCTTCCTCATTGGGGGTATAGGGTGTTGGTGCCGGGTGCTCTTCGGCGAACTGGTGAGCAAGGCCTGCTTCATCGATGGCCTCTGGTGGGTCGCGTTGGTCGGGGGTGTTTGCATGGTCCTCCGATGGATGCGCCAGTTCTGTCTGGGCCTCATCGAGGTTCCACTGTTCTTCGAGCGAGTCGATTGCCGTCCTCTCGTGAAGATAGACACCCTCTTCTTGGGAACCCTGCAATGGAGATCTGTTGTCTTCGGATAGCGTTCGGTCGGTATCAATTTCTCCCTCTGCTGTCTGGGCCTGTTGTGTCTGTTTCTTGGCTTTGTGCGCAGAGATCCCCTCTGAGACCAGGCCAATGCCCGCCGCGATGCCTTGGAAGGCTTTGCGGCCCACGTACGCCATGTTGTGACAAGCGCACAATCAGGGGATAGGTGCTGAGAAAAGAGGGGTAATTGGGTGAGGGATCACAGGGTCCTGACAAAAAGCATCAGTATCACGTTCAGACGCGGTTCTTCCTAGGGCTGTCGCGCGACCCGGGTCATCGCAATAGTTTCCTACCTTGCCAATGAGATGATGGGGTGCAGAGTCTGAGATCTCACGATGGTCCCTATTGCTGTAGCGGGCAAGCATCCACGGGTGATGTGATGGCCCCCACAGGGAGACTGTCACCACAGGCCCAACAAGACCTGCTAAGCACTGCGTGTGGAGTATCACTGCCACCCCCTTCCCGATCGGGGTGGAGGTGCAAGCAGAAAGAGTTGGTAATGCCCGTGTGGAATCGAGCATTCTGCCGGGTGTCCTAACAATGTATATATATATATATATCTAACAATAGGCATGACCATCGAACATATTCGAGATCGACATTACACATGGTCAGAACAGGTCTCGCTAGGATATGGGTGTTTCAGCGGCCGGCCTGTGGTATATTACTGCTCGAGTGTACCTAGGTAATTCCTCTCCAAATTCATGGTATTTAGCGACCACGCTCATGGCGATATCATGAGTAGGATGATATCTACTATTACCGAGGCTACGAATGAGAGCCCCTTATTCCATGATGTCATGTGGGCAGCACCCTGGTATCTCTCGGGATGCGGTCTACCACCGAACAAGAGGATCACCCTAATCTCCAGAACCACCAGACAACACCAGCTCGATTTATTGTGTCAGAGCCGCATGAAACCTTTGATGGGGACAAGGCTATTTGGATCCTGAAATGACACTCTTGTATGACGAGAAAAGATATTTTGTTAAAATAACACTAGTCCCTAAGCACGTACTGTACATGCGAGAGAAAACCACCGGCCCATTCACCGAGAGCAAATCCCCGATCTATTAGCACCTTGACACAGTCTGTTCAGAGGGGACGAATTGGCCCCAGCAAATCACTTGTCAACAATATTGAACGTGGCGGCCCTTCGCCCCCAAAGAGCTGAGCCCATCTAGCCCTAAGGTGGGTCGCCTTGTCGCGACTATGCCCTCGGTACAGAGTTCTGACTGACTCGTGGTTACATCTTCTCCCATGCATATGGATCCTCGATGTGGGGTCTGGGTTCAACAGCAGCTACACGTGCGTTGATATCTGGAGCCTCGTGAGCCATCCCATTCAGCGTCGCCTTGAAATGCAAGACCCGCGGAGTTTCTAGCTTGAAATGAGTAGTGACATGACGGAGCAATGCATACCGTGCGCTTCACCAATACATAAACAGCCGATGATTGCCCGGTTTATTTATCTTTTGATCTTATAGAGTCCTAGAATACCTTCCAACTATGCTGGTATCTTGGTCAATTGTTTTGGTCCTTGCCCTCACAGGGCTGGGGGATGCGCTGCCACCAGCCAGCTCTCGAAGTTCGCAACCCAAACCTCACACAACTCCTGCTACAAGACCGACAGTCTACAGCAAAGTCCCTGTTTCCTCTATTACCTCAAAACCATCAACAAAATATGCCTCCGTCTCTCAATCGGCCACCAGCTCCGCCAGCAGTGCGTCAGTTGGGTTCGCCGCCTCGGGAGACTGGCTGGCTGTTTCTTGTGATGTACACAACAACTCCTATCCTTTTGCCGAGCAGTGGAAAAAGGCCGATGGAGACGGTCAGTATCCATATTTCACTACCTCATTGTGGTCATGGCTAACGCGCTTCTCTTGATGTTGTGTAGAAGCATGGAACCAGACCATGGCCGGCTGGCGAACCTATCTCCAGGATCCCAACGTCGTACAGAAATCTTTTGACGCTTGGCTGTGGAATGCACTTGGTGCTGGAGATCAGCCTCGCTGCTTCGACACAGATACCAACGGCTGCAACCCTCAAGGCTGCGTGGCCAAGTATACCCCGGCCGGAAACCTCATGATGGATAACCTTTCCGGGATCAACCAGGTAAGACGATCCGATGTCTTGGCGTCAACATCATAGAATTCAGAAACTGAGTTGATTTTCAGTTCATTCACACCGTGGAAAAATCAATCAGTGATGCCAAGCAAACCGTGCAAGGCATGATCGGTGCATTTGTCGAAACCTTCACAGCGCTCCCATCCAAGGTCAACGAGCAAATCTTCAAGACTATTCTTGATGCCTTGACTTTTGGAGTAACTATCGCGAGTGCCGTGGCATGGAACGTTTGTAAGTGTCAACCCAAGGTTTCTTCCGACTGTCTTCTTTGGATCCTAACGACATGGCCATAGTGATCAAGCAAGCAAAATGGTTCAAGGGTAATGACACTTCTATTTGGATGATCATGACAACCAACAGACTAACAACATTTCAGTTGATGACTGGCGCGGAGCCTCCAAGGATGTCTTTAGTGGCTCGGTGGCATTCAGCATGACGGCGCCCAAAGACAACATGAAGTGAGATCATTGATCCAACGAACTGGTTGACCAAACGACTAATGCACTTCTCTCCATAGGAGCATCGACCCATACCAACAAACAAAGGATTTGCTGAGTGCCTTCGCCGAGCAATTCATGGACGCCACGTCCGAGAGCGTTGCAGACTATCTCAAGGAGACCATGTGGGCGAAGAATCAATCGGCCCAAGAGCAACTGTCGTCCATTGTCACCGACGGTCTGGGCTACGATCTGCGAAGTTTGCCGGCAACGTCTTCGGACTTGCAGGGAGCAATCAACCAGCTCTTTTTCGCCAGGATTCTTGGTCAGGCCTGGAAGCTGTCCACTGTGGCCATGAACCCATTTATCCTGTGCGTTGACCTATTCCTACTCCTTTTCCCAAGTACAACTCCCACTGACACTGCTTTCTAGCCGAGTCGACCGCTCAAAATACAAGTGTGGAGACCCTGTGTCGGTGCCATCAAAGAAGACCGACCAAACGGGATTCAATCTGGGAAAGTGGATGAACTCGGAGACGGCGGCCAAGACTCAATGGTGTGATCCGCAGTAAGTAGTCACTGGTTCCCAATCACGCCAAACACTGGGCTGACTTATAAATATCACAGGGGCAACGCGTGGTTTCTCCTCAATGGAAAGTACACGGGAGGCATCACCGACGGTGAGTCGGATTATGATGTTATTGTAGGTGATGTGCAGCAAGTATTTGGGACTCTGGCTGGTGGAGACATCGACACTCTCAATGGGAAGGACTGGGCTGGAATCACCATTGAGTATGCAACCCAAATCCTTAGCCCGTCTTTGCTAGATGCTGATCGTGTCGGTTACCAGGGCCATCATCAAGAGCAGCTGGGGTGCGTTCCTAGCAAATGGAAACAAGAACGGCTATGTGAGTGATGCACACCGAGTGACGACTTTATAGTTGCTAACCTTGATCCAGCAAATGATCGAGTCGAGTTCCCTGCAGCTGAGCACCGAGTTCGACAAGGTCGAAGATGGAGGTCTGCCCTTCATTGCTGGCATCGAAACACCTGGTTTCTTCAACTTGACCATTTGTTTCGATCCCTATGAGGCTGTCGAGAACCTCATTTACCGCAAGAGCCCGATCTGTGGGGAGAGCCCCAAGCAAGATGGGTACATGAGTAAAGCACCCAATTCAGCGGGGTACACTTCAGGTGCCTGCACGATTCACGTCACGGAATACCAGCCGAATCATCCGGACTTGAACCTCTTGGACCAGTACCAACTAGCCGTGACCGTCTTTGATGATGCGAAGCAGCAGCTGGCATATGCCACCAAGCAGCCCGTGGACCCGGCGATCAAGATCCTGGACAAGACCAGCAAGCTTCCCTACGACCTGGTGATATCGACGGACCGCGATGATCACAAATCCGTGTGCTTCTGGTACGCAGACCAGTGGTGGTGCGACTCGGACGCAGCCCACGAATGCAACTTTGGCCAATACGACGGCGGCAAGCGAGAGGGAGACTGCAAATTTACCTGCAACGATCCTGGTGACAAGGCCGGGCCTCCACCCGTGGCGCCCCCGGGCAACGTGGTCGACGCCAACCTGGGTACAAACGCCACCGGGGATGGGATCACCCTGGCGAAGACATATTCGGCGGGCAAATGCGATGTCATGGTACGCCAGTACCAGGCGAACGAAATGAGCAACGATCTCAACCCCAGCAATGATCATGCTTTGGAGCTCACGCTGTGGGATGCAAAGGGCGACCTCATCGCCTACACCGTCAAGACCACGGCGCCCCCGAAGACATGGGTGAATGTTCAGGGTCCCCTGCCGTATATCGTGCAGTGCGCCAACGGCGACGGCGACGGCGAGATGAGCTGCCAGTATGCTGACCAGAGCTGGACAACAAACAAAAATTGGAAGAATGGGGAGCGATATGATTATTGGCATTTTGCGTGCGCGTGAGGGGATGCAACCCATGTATAGATGACTCGATAGATATAATGAAAGTTGCCATGTGCACCTAGATGAAGCGACATGATCACCGATGGCAACAGTAGGGATCACTTATTCTCGCTTCTGTTTACTTCACCATTGACACGAAGCAAGCTTCGTCCCACCGAGTCAGTTGTAACACGATGCAGGTGGTCCCCCAGCTTAAGGTTCTTCGATTCGCGATTTAGGCTGAGGGAACTGGTCCCCTTGCATCCGAGACACGTTAGTACTGACAGCATACAAGACAGTCACTCCTACGAGAGCTGACCGTCTTCTCTTGGCTGATGATCCTCAACGTCTCGTGTTTTCTGATTGGACTGGTAAATGGTGGTGTTCACTGTGAAACTCCAGAAGGAACTTGGTAGACAGCAAATCGACACCTGGTCCACAAGGCACTATTGATGAATCATCCCTGAGTCATCTGATGACTCCGGTTGCCCACAGCCACCCCCTACGCTGGTTTATGTTGACGGCCGCGAAGTCCGTGGAGGGCGGTTTCTTCTCTGCCGGGCCCTACCAGCATCCATGGGATGTAACCCTAGCAATAACAGTGCACAAAAGGAGTGCCCTGTCTCGGCGTGGACTTGTATTTCTTCTCTGTCGGCTCAGGCCTTTTTAATATGCTCCATCGTTGCCGGTGGCGGGCTCCCTTCGCGAAGTCGCCGGGGGAGTTCATTCCGGAACAGCGGGCAATTGGAATGAGACCAAAACAGGATAGCCCGAAGATGCCGCAGATTGTGTCTCCCTTTTGAAACGCAGCCTCATTCGCGCTGCTGTTGCTGCCGGTCCAGCACTGGGACCCGGATTCTCTGCTTTCTCAAGGCACAATTGACGATTAAATCCAATAAGATATAATAAAACCAGAAGAAACAGAAAATCAACAGAAACAGAGCCAGCCGAGTGAATTGAAAACGTAGTGAAGGAGAAATCTTCCATAGTCCGGGTGTAGGCCACTGATCGGCAACGCTCTTACGTCCCCAACTCTCCGGCTCTCCGGCCATCATCATCACCTTTGCCATCTCCCTCTCCCCTTAACTGTCACACCCCCTCGCTACTCGCAAATGTTGTTTAGTCGTATCCCAATGATCTCGAATTTTCTGCCACCGTCGTGATTCCTCGAGGCTATGCATCTCGCTTGATCCACACTGTGTCCCCGACCGCCTCAGCCGTCATCTTCACGTCCGAACGAATCCCTTTCGACGGCACCAGTGCCACGCTGTGTTGGACTGGTCTCGTCTGACTGAACCGCTACCGACCGAGCCATTTCCTGGTGACTGCTGGCTGTGAACCAATTTGATTTCTCTACCCTCGATCGTTCGTGCGACGGACGGGACTCCTCCGTGCACGATGTCCACACCATCCACGGCGACCGCGACCCATCCCTCTCATCACCAGCACTACAGATATCCCCACCATCCACCATATCAGCCTTCTACCTCCTATCCATCCCCAACCACGGCCGCTGGGACTCGTCTCGCGAACCCCTACCCTTACTCCGTCCCCTCCCCAACAACCACCACGCTTCCCTACACCCAAGCCTCGGGAGTTGCTCCGGCGCCCTCGACTCCATCGGCGATGCCCTCCAACCAAAACGGCTCGAGGGCGGTCTCCTCGCACGGGAGTCGGTCGAAAAGGCCCAACTGGGGCGAATTTTACAAGAACGGCATCCCCAAAGAGGTCATCGTGATCGATGACAGCCCTGCCCCAGAGTCAGGAAAAGCCGCTCCGCCTCCTCCTGCTCACGGCGTCTCCACAGGAGTCCCTCCTCCCGTTCCCCAGCCCGCTGGCAAGAGGAGACGCACGGGAATCGAGACAGCCTACGATTTGGGGCACTACGACCGCCCATCTTTCTCGATCAACCCCCAGCAGTACGGGGATAATTCCTCGCACTCGCTGTCGACCGACCGAACCACCTCCTTGCACACCACCGCTCCAACTTCACTCGGGTCCCAGGGTAGCTCCGGCGCTAGTAATGGCATGTACTACGAAGATACTACCATCGGCCAAAAGCGAAAGCGGGTGAACACGCGAAAGTCGGCTCGCGACGAGCAAAAGAAACGGGAGCTCGAGAAGATAGACGATGCTTTTCTGAGCTACGTTCCACCGCCAAAACCGCCCGTCAAAGCCAAAGATGTCCCAGTGCCAATCATTCGTGACGTGAGTGTTTTCTTTCTTTGCTCTGCTTTTTGTTTCCTGCCTACCTCTCATTCAACTTACTAACCTAACTCGTCTGGTAGTTCGGCGGTTCACGGAATGATAAATTCGACGACGACGATGGTCATTACATTGTCAACCCCGATACACCGTTGACAGATCGATGTGAGTAGACTACCATGACACGGCAGGAACTGGGCTTACGCGACGCCAGACTCGATTATCAAACTCCTGGGTCAAGGGACTTTTGGCAAGGTTGTGGAAGCATATGACAAGCAGCGCAAGGCTCGCTGTGCCATCAAGATCATTCGCTCCATCCAGAAATACCGAGATGCCTCGAGAATCGAGCTGCGAGTGCTGTCGACCCTGGCCTCGAACGACAAAAGCAACCGCAACAAATGCATCCATCTTCGAGATTGCTTTGACTACCGAAATCACATTTGCATAGTCACCGACTTATTAGGGCAGAGCGTGTTTGATTTCTTGAAGGGTAATGGTTTTGTCCCGTTTCCAAGCAGTCAGATTCAGCACTTTGCCCGCCAGCTGTTTACGAGTGTGGCCTGTAAGTCTTCCTCGATCTATCGGTTCGACACTTTGAACTAACATGCACTAGTCCTTCACGACCTGAACCTCATCCATACCGACCTCAAGCCCGAAAACATCCTCCTCGTCAGCAATGCCTACCAAACCTTTACCTACAACCGCACCATCCCATCCTCTTCCCATGCCACATCCCGCAATGCGCGCCAGCGCCGGGTACTGCTCGACAGCGAGATCCGGCTCATCGACTTCGGATCTGCTACCTTCGATGATGAGTACCACTCGTCAGTCGTGTCCACGCGGCACTACCGGGCCCCCGAAATCATACTGAATCTGGGCTGGAGCTTCCCATGTGACATCTGGAGCATCGGGTGTATTCTGGTAGAGTTTTTCACTGGAGATGCACTCTTCCAGACGCACGACAACCTCGAGCACCTCGCGATGATGGAAGCAGTCATTGGTCATCGAATCGACTCGCGGCTGATCCGACAAGTCATGCAAGGCGGGCGGGGTGGTAGCTCAAACTCGGCTTCCAAGTAAGTTTTCTCAATCTGTGTCTACCACAACGGATACTGACTCGATCATCCAGGTACTTCAATCGAAGCAAGCTCGACTATCCCAACACCGACACCACCCGGGCCTCGCGTAAATACGTACGCGCCATGAAAGCACTCACCGTAAGTTTTCCCTGTCGGTGCTTGCTGTCCCTCTTGGACCATTGACTTATTTTATCCTGTAGGAATTCATCCCAACCAATACTTGCTTTCACCGTCAGTTCCTGGATCTGTTGCAACGGATCTTCGTCTACGATCCCAAGAGCCGCATCACGGCCAAGCAAGCTTTGAAACATCCGTGGTTCAAGGAGAATTTCGTCGACGATGGAACGGAAGCGTGTCGGATCGGCTTGGGACTGCACCTCCATGGACGCCCTTGATGTGTTCAATTCCTGGAGTGGTTGTACGAGTTTCTTGCAGCCATCCATGCGGTCACTCCCGCTAGCATCAGGGAATGCGATGGCGTCTGCGAGGTCTGGGTATGGATAGACGGATTCTATCCTTTGGGGTAATTTCTTATCACGGATGGGACGATCGGTGTTTGCAGTTTGGGAAAATGATGATCACGACGCTGTCTTGTTTTCTTTCTTTCTCGCCTTGTGCTCTTTCTTCGAGAGGATGGGTTGTGTGGTCCTCTGTCAGTGGCTTCGGTCCAGCGGCCGATTCACCTCTGGGACTTATTTTATATGCTCCCTCTCCCGATGGCTCACGCGGGCTGATTGATGATGGGCTGCATTGTTGCGGGATACCCGCGGTGCGACTCGGGACTGATTTGTTTTTTATCTATTATTTCTGCCATTCCTATAGGCGCTGGTTATATGAGGCTTCTCTGTCTGATGCATTGTGTTTGTGATTCTCCGCGCGAGCTTAAGGTGGGTTTGGCTTTTAGGCGGAGGCGATGCTGGAGTATTTGGGCGTCGTATGTGGGAATGTTGTATATAGGCATCGTCGAATTGGATGTGGGCCGAGTCCGCAATTACCGTGGTACTTGCAGGTATCTTTGAGAGTGTTCAATTCTTGGTTATTATATCGAGACATACAGACAGCCGGTTTATTTGAATCCCAGTTACTATATAATTTGGGTATTGGTATGAGATGTTCAAGAAGATCTTGAGATCCGTACTCGACTCATGCATATATCTTACACATTTTCGTGAGATTTTTTAGTAGTATTTCCACTCTACTGATAATCTCTTGCTATCTACTTCATTCTCTCTAAACCCCTTAAGGGAAAGAGTGAGGATAACGCGAAACACGGTCTTATGTTGACATCGTCTCGGATCAGCATCCCGAACCAACCCCTCCTCTTACCACCCACACACCCACACACCCACACAAAACAACCATGCAGCAATGCCACCCCAAGAAGCCCCAGATATCAGCGAGCTAAGTATCGCCCGCTTTCACACGGCACTACGCGAAGGCACAACGACCTGCGAAGCAGTCGTGGACCGATACCTAACCCGAATCGCGCAGTACGACAGCACACTCAAGACCCTAATCCGCGTGAACGAAAATGCCAAAAGCGAAGCAGCAACAAAAGACAAGGAAACACGCCAATACCAAGAAACCAACCAACGCTTCCCAGCCGGACGTCTCCATGGAGTCCCCCTCATCGTCAAAGACAACTTCAGCACACGGGACCTCCCCACAAGCGCAGGCGTGCGCGCTCTACAGACGCTACAGACCTACGACGATAGTAAAGCTGTAGCGCTCCTCCGCGACTCCGGAGCCATCATCCTCGCCAAGGCGAATCTGCACGAGCTCGCGTTGCAGGGGACGACGACGTCTTCGCTTGGCGGGCAGACGCTCAACCCGTACGATCTGGGACGCACGCCTGGCGGGTCCTCTGGCGGGACGGGGGCGGCGCTGGCAGCCGATCTGGGGCTTGTGGGGTGCGGCACCGATACGGTGAACTCGTTGCGGTCGCCGGCGTCGGCGTGTGCGGTTGTTGGGTTCCGGCCGGCGCGTGGGAGCGTGTCGGGCCGGGGTGTCGTGCCGGTCTCAGAGACGCAGGATGCGGCGGGGCCTATGGCACGCAGTGTGGCGGATGTGCGGATATTGTATGAAGTGATGGCGGGTCGCGACAACCCTCAGACGATGCCTCTGCGTATACGTGAGGCTAAGGCTAGACAGGAGCATCCATGGCGCGTCGGGGTCGTGGAGGCATATTTCGAGCTGGAGAGCAGCAGCGGCAGCAGCGACGATAACCCCGATCTCGTCACCGAAAGCACCACTGTTCAATCAACAATCCGTACGGCGCTGGCTGCCGTCCAGGAACGAGGTGATATTACTCTCATCCCAATCGACACAGCAAGCCACGGAGACTGGAGCGTCGCCACACTCCTCGTAAACGCAGACACGCAATCCTTCGAGTTCCAGGAGTGTCTAGACAGCTTCCTGCAATCAGCACAAATCTCAACGATGCCGCATTGCTCACTAGCATCTATTGCCGCCAGCGGCGAGTACGAGCCGCGCGCTGTGACAGATGCGTTTACCGCGCCGCTGGACGACCCCGGGACATTCTGTCTTTCTTCAGCGGCGTACAAGGACAGACTTGCGAATATCGCGTCGCTAAAAGAGTCTGTAAGCCGCTGCTTTGAGGAGTACGGTCTCGATGCGCTGGTGTATCCGCATCAGAGGCATCTCGTGGTGCCTACCGGGACGATGGCACAGCCTGGGCGGAATGGGGCATTGGCGGCGTTGACAGGGAGACCTGCTATTTGTATTCCGGGTAAGTGAGCTCTCTCTGTTGTGATGATGGTTGCCAGTAGCCTTGATGCTGCTTTTATGTACTGGATTTGTGTCAATAATATGCTAACAACGTACAGCCGGGTTCAGCCCTGCAACTTCAACGGCACCTCGCGGCGTCCCGATTGGGCTGGAATTGATGGGACGGGACGTGGTAGATGACGAGCTACTTGGTCTTGCGGAGCATTTTGAGAGAATTCTTCAGGCGAGGAGAGCACCAGACCTGAGTGGTGTTGACAAAAAACCGAATATAGAAGCGAAATGTAGATGGTTGTATATCGGATTGATGTCTATGTGCGAGCAACCCAAGATCTTCAGAAAATGCAAACCCAAATATTCAGCCAGAAAGATGAAAAAGGCAGAGCAACGGATCAATATATCAATCCGAGGTGTGCACACACCAAGACACACGATGTATCCGCTGCAAGATAAAACAAACGCTTTCTATTCACATGGAAACTAAGTGGTACATGCATTACATGCCACGGTTGAACTCGACCATGTCTTCATGGCCACCACAGTCCCGGAACTCTTCCTCCAGACTGCTGGCGCTGATGGCCTGGCGCTGCGGGAACGCGGCCAGAGCCAGCGGCAGCGCAAACAGTGAGGTAGTCAGAACCAAGCCCAAGTTAACAGGAAGAACCATGCGCGGACGGGCACGCAACCACTGGGTCTTCTCCAGACGAACCAGAATGAGCGGGGGCAGGACCATGATCGGAGTAGCGTTCAGGATACGACTGATAGCAGTCTCACCGACAGCGATGGTAGCGGCCTTCTTGCTCTTGCCAAGGCTCTGCAACGGCTGTGCATCGTCGCCAGATTGCTCGCGCTTGGCGCGCTCAGCCTCGGACAGGACTGGGTAGACGTCAATGCCGCGGCGGATCTCCTCACCGCGCATCAAGAAGACATTCAGAGCGCTGGCGCTGGCGACAGCGGCGAAGGGGACCAGTCGCGAGAGAATGAGACGGGTGTTGGGGGAGATGCGCTTCAGGCGCGGGACAAGCGCGTTCAGGCCCACGGCCACGGAGCACGAGGCGGACACGGCCATCAAGTAGGATTTGCCAATTTGCGACATCGAAAGAGGGGTGGATTTGTTAGCGTTGGCATTGTTGATCGCGACGTTGAGGGACTGGTTGCCTATTTGCCAGAGGATTGTTCCGGTGGTCTACACAAAGTCATTAGTGTCTTTCTCAGGCCAGTATAGACCAAGGCAAGAAGTCGCTCACCTGCAAGCCCGGGGTGAGCATCCCCGCAGTAACCACCAGGTTGGAAAGCACATAGCACGACATGCGGAACGGAAGCAGAACTGGTTCACCGGTATCTAAGAACATAAATACAGTGAGACCCCAAGCCTTAAGCCCATATTTCACTCTGGGTACATACCAGGATGCAAGGTCGAGTCGACGACCTTTTTGGCGCGCCAGAGCTCGGGCGTCATGGCAGGGAGCTGGTTCTGCTTGTAGGAAGCGATGAGCCGTTTGGCATGGTCCAGGCCCGCAGACGAGACGAGCAGGGTTCTATTCCGCCACGAAAACCAATTAGCCACAGCCGGAGCATTTGAGTCATCTCGAGGAGACGCACCGAGGATCGGAGATGTCGGCGGCATGGCGCACGCGACCCCAGTAGGTTGTCAAGTCATATTGTGACGGGGGAAGGTCCCGGTTGCCAGGCAAAGAGGTCGACATTGAAACGAAAGAGAGTGACTGGAGAAAAAGAGAGAAACGAAGGTGCAGGACGGGGAAGTTGCGGGGACAAAAAGCGTTCCTTTTTTCTCCGATAAAAAGGCGGTGAGGTGATAAGTATGGATCGACCAATCAAATGGCCCAATTCTAACCCTATCGAGACGGGTACATCTACGGCATCCGTGGTATCGTGAAGTATACTCAGGTACATTCAACAATACTCAAAGCACAGCAAGTATGGAAAGACATCAAAGACATAATGATTCTATTCCCCAGTTCGGGTATTCAATCGTACAGAGGTATCATCAGGGAAGGAAATTAGGAATGAGCGCAGGGCAGTCCCGGCTAATGCAGAATATAATCGAGCCCCAAGGCTCGGAGAAGAAGACAAAGGAAGTCATATCAGACATGCGGTCGTTGGTCTATCGAAACCGAAACGACTTGTGTGCCAAGGGCGACGGAGGCCCTTGGCCCGTGGGCCCGTAAGAGGAGCGCACGCGATTCCGCCTGGTCGGGGTTTGGGCACAAAACATGCACACATAGACCGACGGCAAGTTCGCGCGCTCCAGCCCGACGCATTTGGTGTGTAGCCAATGGGTACAGGAATCGCTGTCGAACGTCAGTATGTGGACGAGAAGAATATCAAGAAAAGAGAAAACATACCATTGAATCATGAGGTGGCCGCCATTATCCATCGAGTTGCAGATGCAGCGCGTACCATTGCTGGGGTTGCTATAACGGTCGGTGCAAGGAGTGGCAAGATCCGGATCGGTCAGGGTGGTTGGAGAGGTGTTGGGGTGTCGTGGATGAATGTCGAAATCGCTGGTGAGGGGCGGTGGCGAGGAGCGAAGATGGGAAAACGGTTGTGACGATCGAGGAAGCCGATTTCCATAACCGCCGACAGAGGCTCTGGCGCCTCGACGTTCTTTAAGCACCTGTCGCAGTGCGTGTTGGGCGTCTCCACTGTCGTCTTCTTGCTCTGGCAGTGACTCGGATGTGACACTGCCCCGAGTATAGGTCGCGTCGGAGTGGAGCAGGGACGAATGTCGCTTGGGCGTCCGCTTGGGATTTTCAGGAGACCCTCGATGCGTAGACCGTCCAGTCCCACCGCGTGAAGAGCCGGCCCAGGGAGACATGCGCCCCGAATGAGACGAGCCAACTGTCGAAGCGTAGGATCCCTTGGAAGGAGGTCGAGAGTCCGAGTTGCTACGGGACAAGGGAGGCCGACCACTGTCAAAGAGTGCGAAGGAAGATTGATGGCGAAGAAGCACGGGATATTCCGAATACTCGGCAGGGTCCGCCTCGCTCTCGGTTGCCGAGCCATCGAGATCCATTCCAGTGAGAGGATCCGTTAAGCCTGTGGGAGCTTCGGGAACAGTCTGCATTTCAGCCTTCGCTCGACCATCTCGGCCAATGCGAAGCACGACGGACTGCGAGCGGGTCGGAGCTCCCGAGGCAATCGAGTTAGCTCTCGTCAAGGGGGTGGGACGGATCGATTTGGTCGGAGAAGAACGACCTTTGGATGGGCTCTTGCGGATCCCACTCGTGGACGCCATCACCCCCCCAGACTGACTTAGAGGCCGGTGGGATGAACTTGTGATGGCAGTATGGGTCAAGCTTCGGGTCAGCCCTGGTCGTCCTCCCCTCGGCGTAGAGTCCTCATCCTCATCATCTGGGAAATGGGAGAAAGAGCCTGGAGCCTGGCCGTTCGGTGCTTGTCCACGGCGGAGCTCCTCCCGTTTGAATTCCTCCGTTTGGTGGTGATACGGTTGTCGAATTCCACGAGGGAAACGCCTGTTGTCCGGCGTGAGTTGAGTGCCGCCGAATCGCCTAGCTGGGGAACTCAGAAACATGGCCGGGTCCTCTGCCTTGGTAACGGGAACCCGTGGGGAGGTGGAAAATGGGGCAGGAAATAGAGCAGCATCGGTAGGGGGAGCAGAGGAGATACCGAAAGCGTGGCTGTTGAACTCGGGTAAATCAATTGGGCCATCGATCGTCGGCAATTGGGGTATCTGGGGATTGGAAGAAGCGGACGAGTTCTCTGCCCCAAAGCCATTCCCAGTATTGCTGGGCAAGGGGCCATCATTTGTGGGCTCTGAATCGTGATCCCAAAACAATCGCTGTTGGGGAAAGAAGGGCGAGCCCGCCGGGTCCAAAGAAGCCAGCTGGAACAGGTCGGGTGAAGACTGCAGGTTGCCAAACATTCGAGGAGACGCCCCGAGCAAACGACTCGGTGTTTCTAGATGAGCTCCTGGGCGGGGCGTGGTTCCTTTGCCAACCATCCCATCAATCTGATCAAACTCGGAAGCCTTCCGTCTGGAAGCACTGGTCGGCGGTGGTGTCTGCATGGAGGCGGCTGATTTGGCCGAGTCCACCGTCCGGGGGCCATCCTCGCTCACGCTGGGGAGGGGCTTCACGGAGCGAATGCGTCTGGCGGAATCTGCCTGCTCCGATAACCACCTATCCTTGATATTTGCTGTGTCCGCATGTTGATCTAGAGTTGTCTCTGCTCTCAACGAATTTGAGTTGCCGAGGCCGAACTTGTTGGGAGTGCGAAGGAACTCGGGGCTCGAAGCATATGGATCGGCGGTATCCCAGTTGACCCGGGGGTCAAAGAAACTGGACTCGAGCTTCGGGGTATGAAACGAATCGCCCAAGGCAGTAGGAGTCCTCGTGGGGGTTTGAGGTTCACCGTTGGGCTGGTTGAAGCTGAACATAAGAGGTTCCATGAGCATCATATTTTCCACAGAGCATCAGGATCCATTGAACAGAGGCAGAGGCAGATAGTAAATTATCCCCAGAAACAAGCCAGTTCCAACGACACCCCGCACGAGAAAGGGAGAAGGGGGGAGACATACCTGTGGACAGGGTGATCCCAACTCATGTCAGCAACTCGGACCCAGCAACCATCGAGCTGCCAGGCAACCTTAATGGCTGGATATTTGAAGAGGAATGCTAGGGAACACTGTAAATCATAGAGGGGCAAGATGGTTCATGGTCCAAGGGATCCCCAGGGGCCTAGGGGGAAGAAGGTACCCTGATTTGGAGCAGGGGAATGTATGAACCTGTGAACCTTGAGACTATCAAGTCGAGGAAATCCCAAGACATGAAAAGACACAAAAAATGGGAAGAAAGGAAGGGGAAGTGAAGGGGAAGAAAACGGGTGTTTTTCTTTTGCTCTGTTTGTCAATGGCTTTCTTTTTCCGTGGGGACTTTTTTTTTCTTTTCTTTTTCTTTTTCTCTCTGCTCCACAGATCCACTGGCAGCTTCCAAGAACTATTTCTGGGTATCAGGATCATCATATTATGTTCTATGTCATTTTGATCTGATATTGTACATTTACTAGCCATATCCTGGACTCACCATGCGAGTCCTTGATCCGAGTCACCTGAAATGCCACTCAACCAAACCCCCCCCCCCCCCCCGCCGATCCAGTCCTCATCGGGGGAAGAGACGAAATCAAGCCTGGTTCGGGGAAGCCGTTCCACGCAGTTGATGGGCCAGTGGGAACTGCCTGGCGTCTACGCTTTGTTCGTTAGCTCGGACAATCTGGCCCGATGACGACATGGGCCGTCCCTGGTGAGAAAGTGCTCATCGGGGCATTGAAGAGCTGAACCAGTGTAGAGAGTGACAGACATCGCAGGCTCAGAGGGTTTGAATACTCTCGAGATCACTTTCCCCAGTTGTTCCCTCTGGGTTGTCCTGGCGCTGTATATGCAGCCCCCGATTGCAGTGCAGTCCTCGGTGGGCCAAGGGGTGAGATCGGCACTGGGCGAGAAGATCTCAAGGGGAAACTCCTCCGCATCCAATTCCATGGTCCAGCTCGGTTGAGACTGTACAGATCGCACACTTTCGGGGATCATCTGCGACTAATGGACGGCCCCTGGCAGTCTGGCAAACATCTTGGCGTCTCTTTGTTGGTCAAATGCCCCAAGGGGGAAGGGTATAGGCCACCCACCCTTACTCCTCGCGTCGGTCTTTCTTTGCTCGAGATGGGATATCTCCAACCATGGAACGAGATGTCTCCGTCTACTTGGCCAACATGGATGATATTCATAGCCCAATTCTTGTCTCCAAACAAGTTTCCTGATCCCAAGTGATCGCGGGCCAAAACACTGAGAGATCCGAGAACCCACTGGAGCTCCCCACGCTAATCTCACGCAATCTGGAAGAAGGGGCGATCCCAATTTCAAAATTCAATCGCTCGTGAAGCTCATGCATGGGATCTCCGACCTTTTATCGTATTCCCTATACTCATTCAGATCTCATTTATCATGAACACAAGGCGTGAGCAGTGCAGCATCGGATCGGCGAGTCTATCAGATACCAAAAATAGCCCAATCATTACAGGCCAGGTAATCATGTCGAGTAATGGAGCAGACTGATGACAGACACCAGCATTAACCCCCCTTATGCCCATGGTGTAGTTGGAGGCGATGGGACTTGCATGGTTGTAATTTCTGATCTACATATCTGATGGGAAATATAGCATTCACCTCGAGGAAGGGGACTAGTGGTTTGAGAGCTCCTCATACTAGCCATCACTGCCCTTGCGACCAATGGGCATCTTGGTGATTGTCACCGTTAGGTGAACCTTCTAGTCGAAGAGAATCGTAGAAGTTGAGCTTTGCAAACCCTAGAGATTCTTGCTGGTGCTACCCCGACTACAGAGCAGTCTCCTTTGCTAAAGCAACGGCGAAAGCCCTCATCAAACCTCCAGGGAAAGTCGTCCCAGAAAAAGGAGCAGATAAAAGCAATCAATACAGGAAAGATGCATGGACACGGAAAAGCCGACGAGCCAGCGGCCAGCGCTCCGAAAAATCAACCAAATGCAAACGCCCGCATGGCATATTAATAAGAACGCTTTTGGGTATACCTAGTACAATCATGATTCACGCTCTCTATAGCGAAGACACCCAAGCTACGAGAAGGACAGGAGGACTGAAAAAAAAAAGAAAGAAAGAAAGAAAGAAAGAAAGAGAAAGAAAGAGAAATCATGGTTGGTCCTCCCGCCAGTATATATCATGCTTGACCCGAATAGATATGGGATCGGAGTCATCACCAATACTCGTGGCATCCTTGCGCGTAGTATCAGGGCCAACCCGCGCAGAACTAGTGAGCGCGGCCTCATCGTCATCGGGACGCAGGTTCAGCGAACTTTTAGGCTTGCGGCCGTTGTCGTCCAGCTGATGGAACGCGTGGCTGTTGTGGGTGTTGTCGCTGAAGCCGTACCCCTGTCGCCGACGGAAGCCCGAGGCCCATTTGCGCGACGAGCTGCCGAACTGGCGGCCGGCCGATGAGCCCATGATGGTTTTCAGGGTCAGGCGGAGGAGCGGTTGGAGGGTGGGGAGGCAAGCACAGAGAATGCCGATGCACGGTTCGACAGTGGACCACACGTAGACGTCGCCCATGACCCAGGTGATGTCGAGGTCGCTGTTGAGGAAACTCATGTAGTAGATGCGGACGACACTTGCAATGCAAACACTATCGAAAAGAAAAAAAAAGCATAGAGGGTTAGCAATTCCGAACCCTACAGAAGATAGAAGGGGCTGGCTCGATCACGTACAATCCACCGAGAAGGAAAATACTAGACACGGCGATTTTCTGGCCCTTGCGCATCTGGAGCTTCCAGACCAGCGGGATGGGCACAAAAAGGATCAGGAAATCGGTCAAGACGTTGACGGCGGCATTTCCGATATAAAATCCGTACAGGTCAATCACACATTTTCCTCCTTTGGGGTCCTCAAATTGGGACCAGAAGTAGGACAGCGGCCGGCACGAGCACGAGAAGGCAACCGCACAACCGATAGCCCAGGCAATGCTGAGAGCGAGACAGACCCAGATCATCCAGTTCATGCCGAAGATGCGCCAATAGAACATGAGAATCGACAATTTTATCATGGGCATAAGCAATAAGTAAATGTAGACGTAGGCGACCAGGATCTTCCTCATTCCCACAACGTCGCCAAGCGTGCAGGCCCAAACATGTTTCCCCAAGCCATAATCACCGCCTGGTGCCGTCAATACTAGAATTGCGTGTAATGGAAGACAAGAGAGCATTTACCTACGATAGTCGAGGCAAGTAGCGCAGCCAGCGGAACCTGTGCTCATCATCAGTACTCCGCCTCCATATCCCCCAATGCAGAAGACACTCAACGAACCAGTGAGCCTGCCATCAACCAGTCATCGGCCTCAATTCTCGCCTTCTGGAGTCGTAGCCTCGCAAAGAAGCGAAGGACGATCGAAACTACCGCAAGAGCAAAAATTGCAATAACAACGCCATTATTTTTGGGCGTTTTGTTGTCACTGAGATTGATGCCCGGCGGTGGCGGACCAAAAATGTTTGTGACGGTGGCCATTGCGTGTGGAGGGAATTAGCATCCCACGGGGCGACCGGGCGAGGGCAAACCAGACCAGCAGGCTGTCACTGCAGGTGAGGAACGAGGTGTCAAGAGAAAGAGAGGAACACATTCTTCAGGCGCGTGCGGGGGGGTTCTCTCGATCATATATGAGATGAGCAGGGGCATTGGGGCCACTACAGCCGAGAATACTGCAGTGGATCGCCCCGGCGTGCTGGGTGATATTTGGGACTTTCTCCGGCATCCCAGCCAAGCCCAACTCGCAAGGCAAGATTGCAGGATTTGGCAGTGCTACATTGTAGGAGTGGCAGGGTCAAGCCGTTAGTCCACTCCTCCCACCAAGTGGAGACGCTGTTGCATTAGTTTGGGGGCTGTCAGAGCCGTCGTAAATAAACCCGCCGTTCGCGATGAATTGTTTTGGATCCTGATGGATGGCATAGATCAGAAAACACGGGTGATCAACAAGAGGCTTGATGATAGAATCTCACTTGGAATTGTTTTGTGGGAAAGGAGGCAATGCCGGGGAGGATGCCACGGCGAAATCGATTTGACCCATGACACCTGCCAGAAACGATTAGGTCTAATGACAAGGCAAGTAAAATGCCTGTAAAGACCCACTATTATCTCCCAATGACAAGAATGAGAAGGATTCGATTGCTTGAGTCACTGTATTTCAGATGTACCCGTGGACATGGCCCGTGGGGGTTGCGTAAACATGCAATCGCATATGGCTCGGTGTTTCAGCTCTATGTGGTCTCAAAATATCTTCGAATAGGCGGTGCAGAGCTTAGTCATGAAGAATTGATCAGTGAGGCCATCTTTATTCGCAGGACATAGCACCAACGCTGGAAAAAGGGTGTCGGCCGGCTAATTTTTCGAGCCGTGGACAGCATAACACCATAGGAGTGAGGCTAGAGGGAAATATGGTGTTGTGTGTCGCTATCAAAAATAGGGCCGAAGTCCATGGCTGTCCATATTGATGAAAATTGGCAGGATATCCAACGTGAGATGATAGTAAGACTCTGATAATTGCCAGGTATCGAGGATAACCAAGAGTGAGGAGGCAGTTCTCTCTACTGCGAGGGGAGAGACATATGGGCCTGGAATTATAGGCATCAGAATATGAGCCACAATGCACCCGCCACGCACCAGCCACCAGGCACGAGGGACACCAAAACAACGAGGAATCATCAAGATTCCCCACATCGTGGGGTTAAGTGCAAACTATTTGATGTGTGTGCTCGATGACATATGGTCAGTGCACTAGGTGACCGGAACCTTCTATACTATTGATGTTCTTTGTTGATCCTTCACAACCCTTTCTTCTCTCCAAATTCCCAACAAGGTCTTACCTCTATGGCACCTGCAACCAAACGCAGAACCCATCGACGCAAGTACTTTGCTGGCCGCCGTCATGGTCGAGTACTAAAACGATCCTCCCAGGGTCCATTACTCTTCACGGGCTCTCCAGGTTCTCAATCCCCACAATTTGATATCACGGGTGACAAGCCGTCTCGCAAAAAGACCAAGAGGCCATTTAAGAAGACCATGGTGCCTGTCTCGGATGATCCGCTGGAGATAGTAAGTATGGACATGCTGAGCGGGACATGGGCTTATGTTCCTCGGTTGTGGCTTCGCATCTAACACTCGATAGAACATTTACGAGCACACGCCCCTCTTAGACGGCTATGTCTTCGTTGTCAAAGGCGACGTCTACATTACCCGGCACTGCCGCAGCATGACCAAAGAGTCTGGGCAGGTGGTTTATGTCGTCTACGTAGGTGCAAACAAACCATGCAAAGTCAAGGGACAGCTCCCACCCTAACAATGAACCAGAACAAAGCGGGCAAAAACACCTTGGGAATCCGCGTTCCTGCCACTATCCACGCTGAGGTTGTCGAGTCGGCTGCCGCAACAGCTGACTCGCGCGCCAGTGCTGTCCAAGACCGCGATACCAGGGACCGCACTCGTGCCCGAGAGCTGTTGCGCCGGCAGTTCCCTCTGATGCCCACGGACACTCTCGATACAATCTTGAATCATGCGTTCCTCAAGGGTTCTGGCCGAGTGGGTCGCACTGCAATGATGACAGAGGAGCGCAAGGCCGTCTTGGCTGTTGAGGCGCACATCAGACACACCCATACGGATTATGACAAGCTGCTCGATGCGGGGATGAACCGCGAAGACGCTCGACAGACTGTGTGGCCGGTTGTTCAGGCGATCTCTCGAGCCTGGGAAGGGGGCGAGGGGCAGGTACTTGGGTCGTTGACACTGCCTCTGGAGTTGTAGTTGGCATTTTCACGAGTATGTACGAAGCGATGAGCATGATGCATTACAGGGCCGGAGTTTATTGAACGGCACGGAATCACCGAGATTTGCATAATGGTAATACGGAGTCCGAGGATCCTTGACACTACAGCAGATGGAGCATACAATGCCACCGATTTTGACTTGAAACCGTCCATTCAACCGCGGAGTAACAAACATTAGACACTGAAGAAGAAGAAGAAGAAGAACATCGACCACACCCATTCCTCAGTACTGAGGACGCAGCAACTCCACCACGAAATGCTCATGTCTCCACGGCAGCCCGGTAAACCATCCCAGCCCATCGTTAATCATATCCTGCATCAAGAACAGACGCAAGTTGGCATTGACCAAAGCGTCTTCTCGGCTACTTGACCGGGTGTCAATAGCCACATGCACCCGCAACCGACGCAGATTAACAGGGACGGGATTTTCCAGCGAGCCTGATTTCTGAAGTCGGTCCAGTTGCACGCGTGCAGCCCCGAGGATATCGTAGTCCGTGTTGCATCCACCACGGTGGCCGATGTCGAGGCAGAAGACATGTCGATAAATCCCACTGCGAGGATTGGGAGGCGTCACTGGAGGTGGCATCTCACTGGGTCTCGTCACGGTATTCACGGCAGGCACGGGGTCGTCGTTGGAGTCGATATCCATCCTGTCTTCTGCACTTGGATACTCGGTGTTCGCTAGCCAGGACGTTCGGTTGGGGATGGGGCTGCCCCTGTCGTTAATAGTTGGCAGACTGCGCTGTGGCACACTGGGATGCAACTGGAGGACATTGGCTTGGCTATAGGCATTGGAGGTGTTGGTGTTCCATGTGGACTGGTTCGTCTGGGCGTAGTTTCTTTGGTGCCAGTACCGACCCCGGTAATTCGATGGATTCGATCGACCACCTCTCAGCCGGTTGGATCTGTTGTGCATTGTGGCGATGAGCTTGTGTTGTTGTGGTATGGCGTAGGATATGCTTCGAGTTTGGGATTGTCGGCCGCAGCGAAAGAAGAGCAAATTAAGTAGGGACTTGCAACCGACGAAAAGTGACTGAGATGCAAGAGAAGAAGAGAAGTGCGAAAGTATGTATCAATAAAGGACAGCGTGAGGACCGTCAATATAGATATAAGAGCAGCACACAGCGCGCGCCTTCAGTCCAGTGTTTATATGAGCACTGGTGCTTTCATCGGAACGGTAGAGAAGTAAATAGGCTCCGAGTTTGCGAAGATATCATACAGTAGATTTTTGAAAGCACTGCTCCTAGGTGAATGAAGTATTTAATAGGCCTGATTTAAGAATACTAGAATCTACAGGCCCTTTATACTTCCATTCACTATATCTTAGCAATCGATGCCTAGAGCTATATTAATAGAGTACTTTTAGTTAAACAGGAGTCTACGTTGTGGTAGATAGAAGAAGACAAATAAAGTGAATTTACTGCCTCTATCGAAAGGTAAAGGATATTTGATAGCATTTAGATCAAAAGCTATACGATCCTAAGAAAGCCATAAGAGGAGGGGAGTTGCCTTTACTTATTTACATCCATAGATCGTCGTTCTAGGTGTACTGGTATATTAAGACTATTCTTATATTATTGTAATGTTTAGTATAGCATCGTGCTAGTATGATATGCTAGAAATAAAACTGATTTCTCTTTGTTCCTAAAACATAAATTTACTTACCTATATTGATACTTGCTATTGCAGTAGATATATATTGGTCGTTCGTGAACTACTTATTATATATAGTATTACGTGAGATAGGGTTTCCAACAACTTTAGAAACTGACTCAAGACAATCCCTATCAATACCTCTGATCAGAAACTTAAGGATGAAATAGGTCACAACACAGCTCTATAGTCACTGCGTGGCGGCGATTATCTGCGTGTGCCAAGCAACCAACCATAAGTGGGATCACATGATTTTTAAGTCTTCTAATTCAGGCACTCCATAGGTGATCCCACGGTTGATCATTTGTCAATCTCACAATTTGCAATTCTTTAGACAACATCCTCGGTTTGACTGATTTTCGCACCGGGAAAAAACAACACTCGACTCGGCACCGGAACTTATTACTTCCGTCCCCCATCACAAACCCCTCCAAAACCATACGCCAACTGTCGACCGAATCTTGCGATTTCTGGGGGTGCCGACGATTGAGCGATTGCTCAAGGATTTCCTGGAGTGATTCTTCTGCTACGGAAACCACTTGATTGTGTGCGACTTTTCTCTCTCTTGTCTCAGCCTCCCAATCACGGGTGTTGACCCGCTCGGGCTCCTTATCAACACACAATTGGAAACTTGGGGTTGAGGGGGGCACGCCACTGCACGACCAGAAGGCTGTGGCACAACCACACAGTATGGTGCGGTTACTAACACAACGACAAGCTGAAGAGCTGTGAGTTTATTCCCCGACAAACTCCATGAACCCATGGACCATTTCTCCAGCTGACACAGACCCTGCCCACAGACACAAGTCCATTATAGCATATCTGTCCGCGAATGACCTTCCCGACACTGCAGCCGCCTTGCGCACGGAATTGGGCCTTACAGAAAACGACTTTGACGCATCTGCAGTCAAAAAATATGAAACCCTGCTAGAGAAAAAATGGACCAGCACTGTCCGTTTACAGAAAAAGGCAAGACAGCATTGTGGTTGCGATTTCTATTTTGCAGCATTGTTGATTGTTTCTAGATCATGGACCTCGAGTCCCGAAACGCAGCTATGCAATCCGACCTTGATAACCTGACCCCTGCCTCTCTCATCAAACGCAACCAAAACCCCGAGTCTTGGCTACCTGCGCATCCCCGATATTCCCTGGAATCCCACCGTGATACCATCAATTGCATTGCTTTCCATCCGAAATATTCCTCCATTGCCTCGGGTTCAGACGACTTCACAATCAAGATCTGGGACTGGGAACTGGGGGAGTTGGAGATGACCCTCAAGGGACATACAAGAGCAGTGCGCGATGTGGACTATGGTGCAACTCGAGGGGGGATCCTTCTGGCCTCGTGCAGTTCCGATCTGACCATCAAGATATGGGATCCGGCCGACGGCTACAAGAATATTCGGAACTTACAAGGGCACGACCATATCGTCAGTTCCGTTCGCTTCATACCTGGGGGGAATCTGCTGGCCAGCGCAAGTAAAGATGCCGATGTGAGGTTATGGGATGTTACCAACGGGTATTGTGTCAAGACCATTCAAGGCCACACGGGCTGGGTACGAAATGTCTACCCGTCCTCGGACGGGAAATTTCTCCTCTCCACTGGAGACGACATGACGGTTCGACTATGGGACATCTCTTCAAAACCAGAGAACAAGCTGACCATGATCGGCCATGAAAATTTCAACGAGTGCTGCGCGATCGCGCCTCCAACTGCTCATCAGTATCTAGCACCATTGGCTGGATCCAAGGTATCTGGGGGGAGTACGGCCGAGTTCATGGCGACTGGATCGCGCGACAAGACCATCAAGCTCTGGGATGCTCGGGGAACTTGTCTCAAAACGCTGGTCGGCCACGACAACTGGGTGCGGGCAGTTGTTTTCCATCCCGGAGGCAAATATCTTCTGTCTGCGTCGGATGATAAAACATTACGCTGCTGGGACTTGAGTCAAGAAGGAAAGTGCGTGAAGACCCTCAGGGATGCGCATGAAAGCTTCATCACTTGTTTGAAGTGGGCTCCTGGGGTAGCCAAAAACTCGGACCCTGCCGCCCAAGGGCAGAATTCAGAAAACACCGAGGCGTCCAAGGGCCGGGCAGGAGACAGTTCGCCTGATGTACAGATCCGGTGTGTGGTTGCCACTGGCAGTGTGGACCAAAAGTTACAGATATTCGCGGGCTGAGGACAATAGATGGTACTCGGTCATTAGTCTAATTCATATCCAATTGTTTAGCGTTGTTGGTATATGTATGCATGTTAGTGTGCAAGTGCAAGTGTATCAACGAGAGCAGTGGGGCCTCAATTTGCCGGCTCCACCAGGCTCCACAGTTGGGGGCAAAGCACCAAACAACGAACAATCATGATTCCCGCTAAGTCCCCCCGAGGGTTCTCGACTTCAGCGGTCTTTTCTTTTATTTCTTCGTGATGCCCTTGGGCCCGGCTGTCCACGATGCCGAGGAGATACCGGCCCTTTCTGGGCTCTCGAAGTCGAGACCGATTCGTGGCTCTCGTCGTATTGGTGATTCTGTTCTTGCTGCTCAGGAGCTCCCCGTCACTCACAGACGGGATCGACAGCCAGACACACGTGGAGGATCGACCCCGTTACCTCTATCACTCCCCTTTTCGCACGAACCCCGACCTCGAGTATGAACGGCAACTATCCGATGCGCTGATTGCCATCGAGCGTGAAGTGTCTGCCTCGCATGGCAACGAGGATACGGCAGACACCCTATGGCAGATCATGCTGAAGGACCGGGATGCTCGAACCCAGGACTCGCTTCAATTCGAGGAGAAAAACTCGGAATGGAGATACTCGGTAAGAACAAAGAACACTGGGCCCCACGAGATGTATGGCCGCTGATGTTTTCTTGTATACAGCTGGTGACCAGCGATTTCGCGGATGAATTCGTGAAGAAAACCCTCGCATCCGTGCCCGAGCTCGCGCGTCTATACTACGCATACCCACACTTTGTCCTCCGCGGCGACTTGCTCCGCTACCTCATTCTGTGGTATTTCGGCGGCTACTATGCCGACATCGACGTTTACCCAGCGCGGTCCATCAAATCCTGCCCGTCATTGCGCAACTCAGTCTTCAAGGAGACTGGCGTGGACCCGGAGATCTCACTGGTGGTGGGCATTGAAATCGACGAGCCGTTTGCCTCGCCCCAAAAGATGCGCGACTGGCACTGGGTCCGACGATACGGGTTCTTGCAATACACGATGTATGCTCCGCGGCGGTTCAGCCCACTACTGCGGGAAGTGATCATTCGGGTGTTGTCGCATACAAAACGGCACCTCGACCAGAGCAGCTTCATCTGGGGCGCCAAGTACAACGAGCTGACCACGCTGGAGATCACCGGGCCAGGGGTCTTCACCGATGCCATTCTGGATGCCCTGTCCGACACGCTCCCGGCCAGTCACCCGCTGATTTCCGGGTCTGTCAAGGCCGATGCGGGCCTGGGAGACCTGGTCCCACCGTCGTCGGGCGCCTCTGAACAGCGCGTGACGTGGGCGCCTTTCCACGGGATCAAGGAACCGCTCTGTGTGGATGCATCGGACGCAAAAAAAGGGAAGCGGATGGGCGGCCTCTGCGCGCTGCCTGTCAATGCTTGGGGCAATGGACAGCGACATAGTGGGTCGGAACCGTTCAATAGCATCCATGCTTGTATCAACCATCGGTTCAAGGGGACTTGGAAACCGTGGAAACAGGGCTGGAAGAAGAGGTATTTTGGATGAGTCTGTCCCAGGATTCTGGCAGCTCTATCCATGTTCTGTATCTATTAGGACACTGTAAATACATATTGAGTTCTACATACATTCAATGCCTGAGGGCCAATTGTGTTAATCAAACATCCCTTCTCAAGTGGTATTTTTCAAGTTGACCAAGCACCGTTGGCATGTAGAAATCGATCATCATGCATATAAATAACCCGAGTCAACTCCAAGATGTCTTTAGGAGAGTCACCTTTGACTCAATAGATCCATGGATGTAGTAACATTTCCTAATGTAGTAGCTAGGGTCAGCCCTCACGCTAGTCCCAATTAGTAAACAAAAGTCCCCGGAGCTCAGCAACCATCCTACACCCATCCATTCACCATCTCTATTGCGCAATGGACCGACCGGAACCGCTAGAGTCTCCGCGAAAGCGGCAAAAGACAGAAGATGCGCCAGCAGGAGTTGCTGCCACCGATGGCGCAGCAGACCAGCCGGCGACCACCGCTACGGCCTCCGACGATGCTCAAGCTCTGAAAGAAATCGAAGTGGGGATCACGGAGTTTGTGAGCGCTGACAGCGAGGGATTCTCTGGCCTTTTGAAGAAGAGGTGAGTATGTGATCGCTGCAGGGTCTGGAATGTCGCTAAGCGCGATCTCTTAGGTATACGGATTTCCTGGTCAATGAGATCATGACCTCGGGTGAAGTCGTCCATCTCCGAAGCCAGACGGCGCCCAACTCTTTGCGCGAGACCAAAGCCACCACTGCGGAGTCGTCGGATCCGGCGCAAAAGAACGAAGATACCCCCAAGGAGGAGGCTAAGGAAGAGGCTAAAGAGACCAAGGCAAAGGATGAACCTGCGGCGGAATTTCAGGTATCGGAGGAGGACAATGCTCTCCTGGCTGAATATTTTGGCGCCGAAAACGCTTCGGCGATCGTGGCTTTGCATAAGCGCGCCATGTCCTCGCCCAGAGCTCGACCTGCTGAACTGGGCAAAGTCACTACTGCAGTATCCGACCGGGACCTGCGCACCAAGCTCCACCAAGCCATCCGTCGCATTTTCAATTCGCAGTTGGAGTCTAGTACCGATGGCGAAGGTGTGCTCGCTATCACCGCTGCAGGAAACCGGTTCAAGCGCAATCCCCAAGGAGGGCGTGGCGGCGGTGGTGGCCGTTCTGGGGGTAACCGACCCAGCTGGGATGAGCTCGGGGGACCGTACCTGCATTTCACCATCTATAAAGAGAACAAGGACACGATGGAAGTCATGTCGTATCTGGCGCGCCAGATGAAGATGAACCCGAAAAGCTTCCAGTTCGCGGGTACTAAAGACCGGCGAGGTGTGACCACGCAGCGCGCTTGCGTCCTTCGCGTCCATGCCGATCGACTTGCCAAGCTGAGTCCTACTCTTCGGAACGCCACTCTTGGTGACTTCGAGTACCGGCGACAGGGCCTCGAGCTGGGCGATCTGCACGGGAATGAGTTTGTGATTACGCTCCGTGAATGTGAAATCCCCGGCGTGGATCCAACCGACCCGCAGACTGCTCTTACCAAGGTGTCCGAGCTTGTCAGATCCTCGTTGAAGAACCTCCGTGAGCGAGGGTATTTTAACTATTATGGCCTGCAGCGGTTCGGGACCTTTTCCACTCGCACCGACATGGTTGGCGTCAAAATCGTGCAGGGTGACTTCAAGGGCGCCTGCGATGGCATCTTGCATTTCAGTCCACACATTCTCGCGGCGGCTAAAGAAGGCGATGCCTCTACCGCGCTCATCAGCACGGACGACAAGGCCCGCGCCGAGGCGATCCATATCTTCCAAGGTACTGGCCAGATCAATGAGGCTTTGAACAAGCTTCCTCGGAAGTTCTCCGCCGAGGCTAACCTGATCCGCCACCTTGGCCGAACCGAGAATGACTACTTGGGAGCGCTGCAGACGATCCCACGGAATCTGCGGCTGATGTATGTGCACGCATACCAGTCGTTGGTGTGGAACTTTGCCGTTGGCGAGCGCTGGCGCCTCTATGGCGACCGAGTCGTAGAGGGTGATTTGGTCATTGTCCAGGAACACCGGGACAAGGAAACTACCAAGGTTGAGCCCGAGGATAAGGTCGATGCAGATGGGGAGATCATTGTGGTCCCGCAGGGCGAGGACAGCGCATGTGCAGCCGAAGACATGTTCACACGGGCGCGGGCCTTGACTGCCGACGAAGTGGCCAGTGGCCAGTACAATATCTTCGATGTGGTGCTCCCGCTTCCCGGATTTGACATCTTGTATCCCGCCAACCAAATGACGGACTTCTACCGCCGTTTCATGGGCAGCGAGCAAGGCGGTGGCTTGGATCCGTTCAATATGCGCCGCAAATGGAAGGACGCCAGTCTTGCCGGCGGCTACCGCAAGGTCTTAAGCCGCATGGGCGCAGACTACTCCTTCGATGTGAAGCTGTATTCCCAGGACGACGAGCAGTTCGTCCAGACAGATCTGGAGAAGCTTCGACAGAGAGGCGATGCCCCGCAGCCCTCTGCTGGTGCCGGCTCTGGTAATAAGGTTGCCGTTGTGCTGAAATTCCAGCTGGGGTCCGGCCAGTATGCGACCATGGCTCTGCGGGAATTGACCAAGGGCAAGGTCAAGGCGTACAAGCCGGACATGGGTGGTGGAAGATAGAACCGGCATATGAAAAGTACTTTTTGTTTTCTTGGTTTGTACATAGTCTTTTAGATGCTACGCTGTACGCTGCTACGCTGCTACTGCTAGTCAGGGTTTTCTGTCACATTATGGATTGGAAATACAGCATTCGGACATGACATATTCATTCCTTGTAAGCCTCGTAACCGATCATCAACGCCAGTGCTTGTCAAGCAACACAGAAGAGAAGAAGAGAAGAGAAGAAAAGAAAAAGGGGGAAATAGGAGAAAAAAAGACAAACAGGGAAAAAAAAAACCAAGTAGAGATTCTGACCAGACAGCATCAAATCAAAATCCCCAAACGGGCTTTCCTCTAATCCTCATCCCACCTCTACCCACAGACACACGCAAAACCCATGTATCATCCTCTCACCTCGCCCTCGGGTCCTGCCGATCCTCATGCACCGACGAAACAGCCGACATGGCATCAAAATCCCGCTCCCGGTCTCTGCGATCATGAATCGTCGAGATAGCCGAGACAGCATCGTCATCGCGGGGTTTGAACGGCGAGCGGGGGAAGTCTAGCGGACTAATCCCCGAGACAGGCCGACTCGAGCGCAGATTCTGTTCTGTGGCGCTACGCCGCTGGTCCATGGGTACGGCGACGGCGGTCCCGAGCTCGGTCGGCGACTCTGCGGGGCCGGAGACTGCGGAAGCACGACCGGTTGAGCCGGCGGCGCTGGGGGCGCGGGGGCGGGAACTGGCGGGGTCGAGGGTTGGGAGGCTGGGGAGGGGTGCTGCTCCTGCTGATATAGTTGTTGTCGTTGTTGCAGGTGCAGGTGCTCGTGTAGGTGCAGCAGCAGCAGGGGGAGGCTCTGGGGTTCCGCCCTTGGGGGCGAACATTAGGTCAGAGGTTGAGACGGCGGTGGCAGGGCTGGCGGCCATATCGGAGTCCAGGGTCGTGTGGGCATTGCGTTGGCGGCGGCGACGGCGGCGCAGGAAGAAGAAGGCGGCGAGGACGGTGGCGAGGCCGACGATGGCGATGGGGAGCGCGATGGCGAGCTTGGTTTTAGTCGAGCCTGCGCCACCGCCGGAGTACGACTCTGCGCCGAGCGCGGCCGAGTCGGTAGTTGCCGATGCTGCTGGAGCCGTGGTGGTGGTCGAGGACTGATCAGCAGAGTTAGAAGACGAGGTCGATGTCGACGACGATGTCGCGGCCGTCGATGTATCGGATGATGTATCTGACGAGGACGATGAGGCGGACGACTCGAGAGATGTGGGGAGAATCAACGTGGTGCTCAGGGTGGTCAGTGGCTCAGTTGGTGAGGCCGACTCGGGCGAAGTAATGGCCTGAGGTAAGGACGTTGTAGTCGATGGCTCCCATGCACCGTTCTGGGTATCCGATGAAGTTGTCTCCGTGCTGGCTGCAGCATTGCGCTCATTTGTATTGGAGTTGTAGGAGTTCCCGTAGTGACCGGAATTGCTAGTTGGGTAACTAGGTTTCGACTCCCAGTAATAGTACTGCCTCTTGAGCATTCCCCATACGTCGGCCATGTTGACTTCGACTCTCTCTCGAGTCTCGAGTGAACCCGACGACGATCCCCCGGAAACCGCGAGTCTTAAGGGGAAAAGACCCGTGAGAGGGAGAGGACAAAGAAAAAAAGGCCACCAATTCGTGTAAAAAAAAAAAAAAAACTAAAATAATAATAAGAAAATAGGGCGGCTTGCGGGGGCCGAAATGGATGATTAGTTTAGTTGGGGCTGGCTTTGTTTTTGAAGCCCTAAGCGAGGTCGGTTCTTGCTGTGAATAGGAGTCAACCAGACAAGATAAAGATAAAATAGTTGCAATCTCCCGTACCAGAGAACTCGAGCATCAGACGGAATTCACCAGCTCGTGCCGGTGATATTCATAGCATCGCAGGATGCGGGTGGCCCCAAAGTGGGGAAAACACTGCCTTGCGTTCGCCAAACAAAGAACTATGGATTTGCGTATGTCCCATGCTGTCCCATGCTGGGACAAAGAATGCCACGATTTCTCTCGATTGATTTGCCTTGGGTTTGATCTCGAGAAATATGCCACAATCACTCCAACTGCCATCGCAATCATTCACATTTTTGAGGTGTTTTCTTGGGGGCCGAACTGGCAGGATCCCCCTAAACTGCATTGCGCTTAGTTTGTACCTCTGATAGTCGTGGACCATAAGATTCTCCCTAGAGAGTAGTCAGATACGAAGATCAACATGAAATGAAATCTCATGGGGTTCTCTTTAACCCAAAGAGAATCCCCTGGTCAGCAATGGTAATACCTGAATACCTGAATTATGCCTGTGCATACATACCCTGCCAAAACTGAATGCCCGCTTACGACTCCCGAGGTCACCTCGAGAGATGCTTACTCGCGTCTTTCCTTACCGCAGCTTTGTGTCTCAATACTGACAGGTTCGATTATTGGCCCAATACCCAGTGCATTCTGTCGGATGATATCAAGAGCAGAAGACCTCTTGTCGATCCGGTTCCTCAGCCCCAGGTTTGGGGTCAAGGAACACACGGTGGGTGATGATCATCAGCCCCCGCATCTCAGGTTTGTAGGTTCTTGTGTTGTAGTCTCACGCTCGAAGCGAATAGCTTGCAACGTTGTTTTCGGGGCCAATTCATGGGGTATGTCGTATTGAGTCAGTCCAGAGTACCGTGTGCCGCAACGATGACCGTTTCCTCGAGTCATGCGCCGGCCATTTTTCATCTCCATCAATGTCCTGTGGTGCTTGCAGGTGTATGGCCATCAATTGCACAATTGCATGGAACAGGAAGAGAGCTCCAAATCTCGGCATAAACAATAAACGATGGAACCTTGGAACCTTCCGTGGAGGGCCCCTGGTTGAGGCAGACCTGATTAAGCACGTGATTTTCCGAGGTGGAGTCGACGTCATCTTTGGTCCCCGCTCCTGTTCCTGACACCCTCCGCGCTCATTTGGAATCGAATCATCATGAGTGGCCTCGGAAAAATGGTAAGGGAGGGCTGGCACCCGAAGGGAAAGGAGGGTGGAAAGGAAAGTTGGCGCGGGGATTTCAAGGGCATCAACCAAGTGGTAGGCTCCCCCTGTTCAACCCGTGGTTGAGGCTCATCCACTGACAATGGCTTTCAGGCAGGATGGATGGGCAAGGGCAAGGACCCCAGTGCAGACCGTTCTGAGCACGTCTCCCAACCGCTGTCGTCGCTCAAGGATCCGTCGTCGTTTGGACCACCGCCGAAGCACGTCAATTATCATGGCCCTGGCGCGGTGGCGAATCAGACTCCCGATCGCTGTGGCATTGGCGCCCCGCTATCCCAGGACCAAGTCGATAGTCAAAATGCCCATCGACAGCGAGAAGCAGAGGCGGAGGAAGAACAGGCCCGGAAGCCTGCCCCGCCTCCGGTGCCTTACCGCGTGAACACCACCGGACTGTCGACCGACAACCTCCCACCCCCGCCTGTGCGCCGCCTCGACTCCCCCTCTTCTGCTAGTCCGGCCACCAACACGAAACCAAAGCCCCAATTGCCGCCCCGAATTCCTCCTCGCAATGGGCCATCCCAGAGCCCATCCCCGCCCGCATATTCTTCCGTGCCACCATCGCTGTCCAATGGATACGTCAACCAGGATGCTACCTCCCGCCTCTCGAACGCTGGCGTCTCGGTCCCGGCCCTCGGGATCGGGGAGGAAGGGGGTCGCCCATCCCCTCCGGCATCGGCGAACAATACACCCGTCAACGAAATCCAGTCGCGATTCTCCCGGATGACTACCGATTCTGGATCACCGTCGGCGCCTAGCCCACCAGCGCGAGCGGGGTCCAATCAAGGCACAGATCCCGCGGGCGGCACTTCCTCTGTGCAGAATTTCCGTGAGCGCCACGCGGACAAGATCGACATGGGTAAGCAGAAGCTTGGTGGGGTGACCTCGCGCATTAGCACGTTGGCCGGCTCGGGATCCTCGGCTCCCAGCCCACCGGCACGACCCAACCAGGATGCAGAGCCTGGGAGCAGCGGTTCCTCCGTGCAGAACTTCCGCGATCGCCATGCGGACACGATCGACGCGGGCAAGCAGAAGCTTGGCGGGGTGACTTCGCGCATCAACACGTTCGTGGAGGATCGCAAGTTCTCGGCCAACGCCAACCAGCGTATTCCCCGGCCTCCCCCACGCCCGAGTGCAGCGTCACCCCAGGAACCGGAGGAGCAGGCTCCACGCAAGAAACCACCTCCACCCCCGCCCAAGCGACGGGAGATGCGCGCGAGTCCTGTGGACACCCCATCTCCATCGTCGCCGCCACCCGTTCCTCTCAACACTAAACCCCGCTGAGCGGGAATCTGTATTTTTAGATGTGTCATGTTGACCGGGGTCCAGTGGACTCTTAGACAGAATTCATGACTCGTGTACTGCAATCCTATTGCAGACATATCTTATCTTGATCTTGCAGGATGTGAGGTACTTCGACCGAGGCTGCATGTGATGGTTCCGCTTGGCCAACCTCAAGTGATTGTCCGAGCTGTTGGGATGCCCAGGAAATGGTTCCCAACAGCTGCATCTCGGGGGTCGACTGGGATGATCCCCAGTGAATATCCCCAGAACTGACCACGAGTGTAGAGTGGGCTACGTAATTACCGGAGGTAGGTGGGGGATGTGGTTCTGCAGATGTCTGTATAACCACCGATTGCTAGTCAATTGCTAATTCAAGATGCTCTCAAGGTTGTGGAATACTCCTGTTCATCGGGTTGTAGTTATAAAGTTATAAGTAAACGGGGTGTCGCGTGTGTCCTCACGTGTGCCATAGAATGCAACTATGGAGATATGAGATGAAGATATAAAATAACCATAAAGATAACCATGAAATAACCACGAAATAACCACGAAGAATCAAGAATCAAGAATCCACCATATAAACAGGGAATCTCACAAAATCAGCCGAGGCCCCAAAATCCCAACAAACTGCGGGCTCCACACGATCGGCGGTTGAGCGATAAAAAAAAAGCCGCTTTATCGGTGGATCTCTTCTTTTCCCGTGAACCCTCTTGAATTTCTTTTTATTTTTTTAAGCGCCTATTTTCTATTCTATCCTCAGGCTCATTTCTATATTTCCTGAACTCCTTCTCTCTCCCGGCTGAGTTTCCAATTCCTCTGCGTGGCCACCGGGACCATGTACGACATCAACGTGCCCACCGACTTTGGCCCGGCCACCGTCCGCATCGGCCTGCCGCCGGCCTCCCTGCTCACTTTCCCTCCCTCCGAGCTCCCGGAAACCATTCCTGCTCCACACTCGGCCCATCGCACATGGAAGCAGCCGTTCAACATCCCCGACGGCCTCTACACCAAGGTCCTGGACGTGCGCGTGCCCATCACCATCGCCACCGTCTACGCGCTGACCGTGGTGCTCATCAACCGTCTGAACAAGAGCCGCGGCTATAAACCCTATGCGTTCAGCAACACCCGGCTCTTCAAGCTGTTTGTCGTGCTACACAATGTCTTTTTGGCCGTGTACTCGGCTTGGACCTTTGTCGGCATGTTCCAGGCCTTTGGCAACTCGTGGCCGGACCGCGACGACCCGCACGGTCTGGCGGGGGTGGTCGATGCGCTGTGCAAGATCAATGGACCCCGTGGCTACGGTAATGCTGCTACCTACCACCCGGCCACCGAGCAATGGGCAATCCCCAACCCCGCCTTCAAGCTGACGGGCGGCCTACCGGACTCGACGGATGTCGGCCGGCTCTGGAACCAAGGCCTGGCGTACTTTGGCTGGATTTTCTACTTGTCCAAGTTCTATGAGGTCGTCGACACGGCTATCATCCTGGCCAAGGGCAAGAAGAGCTCCACGCTGCAGACCTACCACCATGCCGGCGCGATGATGTGCATGTGGGCTGGGATTCGGTATATGGCGGCTCCCATTTGGATCTTTGCGCTGGTCAACTCGGGCATTCACGCTCTCATGGTAAGTTGGCAGTTACAAGTTCCAATAGAATATCTACTGGTCAATTGCTAACTTGATGTGTTTTTTTTTTTTAAGTATACTTACTACACCCTGACGGCGCTTCGCATCCGGGTCCTCAATCCAGTCAAGCGCAGCTTGACCACAATGCAGATCACCCAGTTTGTCTTCGGGACCAACATGGCCGCCGCCTACCTGTTCGTCCACTACACGATCCCGTACCCGGCAGGAAGTCCCGCCCTGCGCCACCTGTCCAAAGCCGCTCCGTCGGAAGTCGCCGAAATCGGACTGGGGTCGTGGCTCAAGAAGCTGGCCTTCCGCGCCGCGGGAGCCGAAGGCATCGCTGAGAATATTGGCAGCTTTGGGAGCTCCGCGCCCAAGGCAGGCTACACCCAGCAGATGGGCACATGCATGGACACGACGGGCCAGGCATTCGCGATCTGGCTGAACGTATCGTACCTGCTGCCGCTGACCTACCTCTTCGCGCGGTTCTTCGTGCGGTCGTACCTGAACCGCAAGGACCCGGGCGTGAAGCAGCCGACGCACATGGAAGCCGCCGAGAAGGCGAGCATGGATGCGCTGAAGGGGCTGACGCGCGAGATTCAAAAGGCCGCCATAGAGGGCGAAAACAGCGAGGCTACTGAGGACGAGGCCGTCAAGGCGCATGTTATCAACGCCACCAAGAAGCTGGCCGAGCAGGCTGAGCAGGCCGAGCAAGCTGCTCTGGCTCAGGACTCGCCGATCCGCACGCGCGCGGGCGCTGCCTCCAAGGCGAAGGCTGCTGCGTCGGCGGAGTCGCAGGATGGGTTCTTGGCCGTGCCTGCGAAGAAGGGCGCCAAGAAGCAAACCAAGGCCGAGAAAGAGTCGAGCTCAAGTACGCCGGAGACGAAGGGGCAGAACCCGTTTGGTGTTCTGGAGAACAAGGCGTGATCGGATGACTCACCGGTGGATTTCGCTCGCTTTAACTCGCATACCATTGGAGTTCTTTCTCGGAGTTTGGAAAAAAAAAGCCATTGTTTATCGACGTATTGTTGCGGCATGCAATGATGCAATTGACCTATCACTGTGTGGGCTACTGCAGCTCATACGACACAAGATCAGCGCAAGCACACGCTGATCAATGACAAGGAAAAGTCCGACCACGCGCCGGGCGAGCCCGTCTCTGTAGAGTCGGACATGCGCAGGCATCGCTGCTGTGTCTGTTGTACATCGGTGTCTGATGCTCTGCTAAACCGGAAGATGTATTTATAGTTAAAAGTCAGTCTCGGGTTTACTCCGTTTCTTCATTCATTACTGGTGGTTTTAGCAATAGCAGCGAACAAAAGACATTCGCATTCATTGCAGCATATCCAACTGGTCTCTACCCCTGCTTGATATTAGAGTATCAACCAGGACGTATCTCTAGTATCAGTCTGTCAACACCTACTACAGAAGTAGATGCTTCTCACAGTCGACAACTACACCATTTCCCAAAGATAGAGAGATCAATTCTTGATTCTTCAGCTCGTGGTATATTTCTAAGTTATAAACAAAAAGCACACATGACGATCGTTACTCGAGTAGACTGGACCCAGCCATATAACAAGCAGGACATCTGAAGAGCCCTGTTATGGATGAACAGCTACATGCAATACCAAAGCATGGCAATTCTTTTCTTTTGTGTTGAATCAGACTAAGAAGCGGAAACCGCGCTGGCTCGCTTCTCCAGGGACAGCGCCCTCGACCTCGTCGCCGCGGTCGAGCTTCTTGTTGAGGCGGACGAGGATGAAGCGGAGGATAGTGGCAGACACAATGGCGACGAAGGCGGTAGCGCAGTTGACAGACATAGCGGGAACTGCAGCAGATAGCATGTTAGAATCGCATTCACCAGAGTACATAAAACATGCATATATCGAGTATGTATGCAGTGGTGGTGGGGGAGGAATGTACCAAACCGCGGCTGATCACTATCGGGATACATATAACTCGCATAAATACTGCTGGCATTGCTCACACAATTAATAGCCGCCAGCGCAGCAGCACGCTTCGACGCCGGACGAGGCAGGGTATTCGAGATCCAGCCGAGAGCCACGACATAGCCCGTGTACAGGGACGGCACCATGAGCATCATGGCGACGTAGCGGGGCGCGGTGCCCGTGGTGGCGGCGGCCAGGATGAACGAGGCGACGGAGACGTACAGCGGCAGGGTGACGTGGAAGTAGCGCTCGCCCGTGCGGTCGGAGTGCCAGGCGTTGGCGAAGGCGCAGATCACGGCGAGGCAGTAGGGCGGGGCGGTTAGGCAGAGGGTTTGGATCTTGGGGTAGTTGAGGGTTTCGACAACGGTGGGGAAGAAGTTTGTGACGGAGGCGGAGGAGACGATGCAGAGGATCATGAGCATCTATATCAATCATTAGTATATCCGTTCATTCATGCTAATGCTTGAATCCAGGTTAACACTTTGGAGGCTCTTGCTTACCAGAATCCATGTCTTCACGTCGCTAAAGGCAAGCTTGGCCCCATACATAAACGACTGCTGCTCGCTGTCAACCCAGTCGTCTTCACCGATATCTTCTTCAAGACGCCACGCCGCCAGCTCCTTTTCCTCGTCAGAGAGCCAGCTGGTGGTCCGTGGGAAGTTAGGCAGGATGAAGATCGACATGAAGGCGATGGCGATGGTGATGGCACCTTCAATGATAAACAGCCAGCGCCTAGTGATCCAAAGTCAGCAACGGCTTGTTCGACACAATTGCAATCACCATAATCGATGATCTTACCATGCGCGGAGTCCCTTGACACCTTCCATGCCGCCGGTGATTCCCGCGGCGATTAGACCAGAGAAAGCGCCCGAGATCAGGGAGCCAGAGTAGAGGGCGGCGGTACGGAAACCCAGTTCCTTGCGGGTGTACCAGGCAGACAGGAAGTACAAGCAGCCGGGCTAGAACAGTTAGCATTGACATTCTCCTTAGAGCTTCTTCATAGTAAAACAGAGGTATCCTCTGGTAATCACGTACAAAGTAGGCGGCTTCGACGAAACCCAGGAAGAACCGGATTACCACGAGACCGGCAAAGTTCTGGGCGCCGGCTGTACAGGTCGAGATGACACCCCAGAGCATCATGGACGTGGGAAGGTAGATGGCAGGCTTGCCGAACTTGTTGAGGATCAAGTTGGAGGGAACTATTGCAAGGGTTAGGTTAGGGTTGGAACCAGGATAATCTCACAGAGAGCATCTACTCACTCTGCATCAAGAGATAACCAACGAACAAGATACTAACGCAGGTCTAAAAGAAAGAAAAAGTCAATTCAGACATGCACCTCCCCAATACAAATGGAATTGACACTGGACTCACCTGGTACTGGTTCTTCACCAGACCCAGATCATCTTCCAGACCAGCAAGACGAGCCGCAGCCTAGAATATAGATTGTCAGTAACCATTCCAACCATCCACTGGGCACAAACCAAGGGCACACGGAGAGCACAGGTACTGACAATGTTGTTGCGGTCCAGGTAGTTGAGAATATACATGATAATCAGCATGGGCAGCAGACGGAGATCGATCTTGCGGACGAGGGCCTTTTCGGCCTTCTCGCGCTCTTCCGGGGTCAGGCTGGCGACATAGGCCGGAGCCTCTTTCCGGGGATTGGGCTTGTCGGAATTGGCGACGACCTCGATGTTGTCGGCGTAGGACTTGTCCAGGTCGGTGGCTTCGACGTCGCCCGAGTTCCTGGGAGACATTGTGGGTGTATGTAGAGGGGGAAAAGTATGAAAGAAAAATAGAGAAAAGAAGAGAAGAAGAAGAAGGACAGGCTATAAAACAAGCTAGAAATGAATAGCCAGAAACACCCGACTCAATCTATGAGCCCTAACAACATGCACCAGAAATGATAAGAAGATACCAGAGGAAGCAAGGGGAGAGAAGATGAGAGAAGAAGGGAGGCAGAAACAGAGATGCAGCTCGGAGAAAAAATGAAACAAAAAGGAAAAAAGAAAAAAAGTACAAGACACCAACCCGGAATCACGGTCCCTTTTTGTGGGAGAGAAAACGAGGAATCCGGTGGCGTCGATCAACCCGCGTCCCCGAGAGCGTGCAATCCCGGGGTTGCGATGAAATTAGCAGGGGGAGCGGCCCATCACCGATTGTATCCCCCAAAACTGACAAATGGATCCCCACAAGCCGGAATAAAAGAGACGAGAGGGGGAGGGAGAGAAGGGAAAGCATCTCCACCCCCACCAGAAAGAAAAAAGACAGTAAAGAAAAAAGAAAAAACTCGGTCAGCCCCAGTCAACACGGGGATAACTCTGGAGACAGCAACCAGAGATGGCCAATAGGGACAGCGGACCGAAGCGGGGAGCAACAAGACGAGAACTGGGGAAGCGAGAAAGCCGGACGAGATCCCGAGGATTGGCTCTTTTGCTGTCGGTTCTTGCGGGGAGGCCCCGAGCCAGACGCCGGTGGGACCCCGGTCGGCTGCGCTGGACAGGAAAAGATCAGCTGCCCGCGTGGGGGTTTTAGGGACCCGCTTTTAGTCGAGTCGGTAGGCTTAAGGGGGGGGTTAGTTTAAGCGGAGTTTAAGCGGGGAGCGAAATTCCTAACGGAGCAGCTCGGCCGTGGGGGTCGTCCCTGAGTGCCGAGTGTCCACCCCCCGTGGGATGTGAAAATTGTGTTTGAGAGGGAATGTGATCTGAATAATCATTCTCTCACTTTTCGAAGTTTCAATTCTTTGGAACAAGGACATAACTTGAGACACGAGAACTTTGACCCGAATTCCCCGGGCCGAGAAGTGCATCTGCTATGGAATTCCGTGGAAGCGGGTTCCCGACATACAACTGTGTGAGCATATAATAATAATAATAATTATTATTATTATTTCAACTATCAATATCAATATCTCAAGATATGGTCGGTATCTCTAGAATCAAAACTCAATCACTCGCAACAATGATCCTGAATCCTTCTCACCTTTCCCCCCAAAACGGTTTGCCGTAATTCTCCCGGTGACGTCGGACTCGGGATCAAACCACACCGCACGGAACCCTAATTTCCGCCCGAAACCAAAAACCCACACACATATCACAGATACAAGCCGGGGGTGGCTGTAAGATGAGATCAGTTGATTGCGGGGAAAAGACTTGGTGATGCCATTGTGGATGATATGCTTGCCACACGGGGAAGCCGATAGGGGTAGAGGGTGGGTGGAGGAGGAAGAACCGGCATTTTAGAGACGGCCTCAGCTTTGAATTTTTAGCATCCTGCATCCTGTGAGTGGATTGAGTTTATGGCAGCCTCGGCATAATACATACTTACATTAACTACCATGTAGGTCTGGGTTCTATGACCAACTGAGTTAGGGTTAGGTCAAGCTAGTAAGAGCAAACTACTCTTGTTGTATATTTTCTGATAAACAAAACAACCTACACCGAGAATTGAATACCTAGTCAGTGGAAAAGAAAGAGAAATCCAAGGATCTACTCAATCCACCAAGAACAGAACCCCCAAACCCCCATACCACGCTGAGACCCGCAGAATTGTGGACCCCCCACCGGACGAGTGATGAGTTGGGGGGGGGAACCCCCACGCCCTCTGACAGTCACAAGAGAAAGGGAAGTGTCCTCTCCCGACATGAGACATTTTCTGGTTATTCTCGGTCACGGTCACGGCATACAGAGAGATCCCGATCCCGAGGGAACTCGGGAGACTCAGGACTCCCCTTCATTCCTGACCCTTACTTCATGCCACCCATATCCAGTCGACGTCGACATTCTAGCACATGGGAGCTACATTTTCTACTATTTATTAACTAGATACCTGCCACTACTGTACCTAGTCCGTACCGAGGATTACTCAGGGCTACGCGAAACTATGCGAGGGGCAATCCACCATGAACTCCATTAACGACTGGAAACACAACGAAAGCCGGTCCGGAGCTGAGCCGGCACATGCCATCCCTCTGGCACAAATACTGAAACACATGCAGCGAACAACTAGGGATCCCGAACAATAATCCCGAGGGAGATGCAAGAGGCTCAGGTGTCGCATTGAGACAAGCTCCATGAATGGTAATGAAAGGGCCCAGGAATGACCACGACGAATGTGCCAGAAACCACAAAAACAGAACGGAAAGAAAGAATTGACCAGTGCCCACGCTCCCAGTACTCGATGACAATGATTCAGATGCACAATGCAGGAAAAGAGAGAGAGAACGGAGAATAGCGGAGAAGCAGGAAAGAAAAAGACATCAAAAGAATGCTGCAATAGGAAAGAGGACCGCCGCACCGATTGATTAGATGGCAGGTGGGAACATTCATTAGATCAACGCCTACGAGAAACCTCGAGGACAACAGGCCAGACATCTGGCACAAAAACAACTGCAGACAAATCACCAAGCTTCGAGAGACAAACCGCTCCATTTTTTGTTGGTCATCGCACTGACATCCGAGAATGGAAGAGACCAGAACGAAAGCCGCGATGTCGTGGGGTTGCAGTAGAAAAGAACCACGTTGATCAATCCGCCAGAACACACGAAATCGTCAAACACCCCAATCGCCGAAGCCCATGCAGATCTATGGACAAGGATGCATGCTGGATCACCCGGGTTTCTGCCTATCAACGGCAGAGCTCGGGATCGAGCCATGCGCGGGATCCCGGCCCAAATTAAATGAAGTGTGTGTAGATCTTGGAATTTTCGTGAACTTCCATTTCCTGCATGATCGTTAGTATAGACCTGACACACGCAATGAACAATCCGACACTCACCATTTTGAAGTTGTTGATCTCCTCCCGAATCTGCTGGGCAAGCAGAGGCGTCAAGCGGTTGCAGGTCGCAATCTCCCCACGCCGGTCATACTCGCCACTGGGCCAAGTATCGTGGAACTGGATGCGAGGACTGAAGACGATGTTCCGCCCACCGACAGCCTGCGGAGTAATCGGCGCACTCTTTGCATCGGAGCCGGTGAACCGTCCAGCGTTCGAGAGGAAGTAATCCTCACCCGCAATCTTGACCGAGTCGTTGTGGGGAGCCCCTGATCGGGTCGATTCCTCCGGTGTAGCAGGCGCACTGGAATGCGGCGATTCGCCGCCGAGTGCATGGGCGGGTGACGACACTCCCAGATCGGAATGCGTTTTCTTCAGGATGCCCTTTCGGACAGCTGCCAGAACTTCTGCGCGCTCCTGCTCTCCCCCCACGATGCTTTTACGCACCTGAGCGTTCTCTGAGGCAGCGCGTTCCCGAATGGAAGTAGACCGTCTAATATCCGCGCCGTGGCCCTCGACTTTAGGAAAGACTGTGCCTCCGCGGGGGAGATCTTGGGGATCAGGGTTGACAGTGACGCTCTCGCGCTCCGCCTCCACGTTGACCACGGTGATCTGCGGGGCCGTGGGTTCCACGGCAGGACCCTCGTTGGAATTGATACTGGCGACCGACTTGGGGCGGAACAGGCCAACAAGAGATCGAGTAGACCGCTTCATGCCTTTGCCCATTTTGCGAAGCATCATCGACGCCGATGAAGCGGTGGATGATACCGACAGGTTATCGGTGGATCCGGTGAAGAAGTTACCCTGATGCGAGTAGATACTGGCACCCAGTCCACTGGCCTCTTGCTGCTCAGCAATGGCAGCCTGCTCCGGTCCCAGCTCCTCCTGGAGGGCCTCCCGACGAGCTTGCTCGGCAGCAATGGCTTCCCGCTTGCTGGCATTGGACTGTGCCGATGTCTTCAACAGCTCTGAGGCGCTGCCGAAAGAGAATGCCCGTCTCAAGCGCGACTTTCCTGGACGCTTGGATTCATTCTTCAGATCGGCCAGGCGTTTCGCCGCCGGGGATTCGGTCGCCGGGGTCGTGGAATTCTTGGGGCGCGACTCGGGTTGAGCGGCTGGCGAAGGCTCGACTTCGGTAGACACCGGTTGAGATAAAGGAGAAGGCTTGTTTGATCGTTTGTCTTCGTTCTTGCCGCCTTTGCCAGCTGAGTCTGGCCTGGCGCCCTCGCGTACCTAGAATACACGAAGCGTTAGTTCAATCTGATCTCTCCCGCTAGACGGCGTACGTATACGTACCGAGGACGTTGATGAGTGAGCCGAGTGAATGCTTCCCGGGCTACCTCGCTGAGAGTGAGCGGAATGGGGTCGCTGGTTAGGTTCGAATGACAGGGAATCATGAGAGCCAGACTGGAGGGACGACAATGGAGGAAGTTGGAGTTGCAGGCTGGGAGGCGCAGACGAGTCCATATTCCCCAAGCTCCGGCGGCGGTACCGTTTGGCGAGCTCAGGTTGCGGCCTCTCCACATGGGACAAATCATCCACACTGGAAACCCGGTTGTGACCATTCGATCGAGGTATCGTTCGGGTGTTGGAGCCTGCACTGCTGGCCTGATCATCGGCCGGCGTCGACACAGTTGACAACTGTGAGCCGGCAGCACCCTCTGCGCGTTGATTGCCGCGGCGGTACCGGTTGGGGGAGGGCTTCGCCGAGCCACTGGGGGAAGAGATGTTCATGAAAGAAGGAGGGAGATTGGCGGTTGAAAGGGGACGGAGTGGCTGCTCGCTCCTCAGCTGTCTCGAGGGGATGGCACTGTCGTCCTTGGAGACGTAGGAACGGAAGGAAGAGTTGGAGGAAGAAGTCGATACAGAACCAGCTGCAGGATATTGTGCGACCCGGGGGTTGACGCCGACATACGCCATGTTCAAAGACCCTTGGGGAATTGTAGGAGCGGAGGAGGTACGGTGTTCTGGCCGTAGATGAGGAGACCACGATTGACGATGTTGGGCATGGGCATTGGGGGACGGGGCCAGGTTTGGGGGGAACGCGTAGGGAGTCACAACCGGGTGGCCTGCTCGATAGCTTCCCGAATCGGCATTGAACGTAGTCCACGACATTTTCTGGATGCGAGAACCCTGGGCGTGTGATGGGGAGAAGGTGCCTGAGGAGGAGGAAGGACGTGTCTGGAGCACCGGTACCGTGCCACTCTGTTGCGGAATCGTTTGGACCAACGCAGCCATATTGTTTCTCTCCACCAGGATAAAAGGTTTGAAAATCACGACTGTCCGGACCGGTTGGAAGGACAATGCAACTCGCGGATGGCAGCCCGAGGTTAGGTGTCAGAGGTGCCAAAGGAAAAGAGAAGCTGTCATTCAGGGGCAGTCAGTAACCATCAAGTAAAGAAAAAGAAAAAGAAAATCAGGAATGATTTTCCTATCATCACGGGCTGAAAAGCGGAAGTGGATGGAAAAGGGGGAGAGTTCGTGTCGGTTTCCTTTTTTTTTTCACGTTGGGGGTCGATAAGACCGCGTCAGCCAGGGGGAGGTACCATACCTGTTCTAAGTAACGTGGACATAAACTATAGTGGTACAACGATTAAAAAACAAAAGAAAGAGGGGGAAAAAAAGAGACGCTCGATGCCAACAGAATGCAGAAGGAAAACTCGAAACCAGGCGAGTTCAGAAACGAAAGGTAAGGCGACAAGGGAGAGACTCCCAGGACGAGACGTCTAAAACAGGAGAGCCATGTACAAGAAAAAGATGAGAAGAAACAGGGAAAAAGAAGCGGCACCAGGTCCTTGGAATGGCACCTTGTCCTAGACAAGGGGAGATGTGCCGTTCACTGTGGACTGGGGGAAGAGAAAGAGTGGAAGAGAGAGAGAGAGGTGGAAAGGGAAAGGAAGGGGAAGGGGGGGCGGAGATGGGAAAATAGGAGGGGTTTTTTTAGGCAGATCACGGATGTTGTTTAGGGAGTCAAAGAATCTTTATTATTTATGATGATGATGATAATAATACCAATAATATAATTCAGTCAAAGAGACTACTTCTAGTCTCTAGCTATGAATATATGAATCCTCTTGGGATTCTCCATCAGAATATAATTCTTCAAATCCCCTGACTCCCCGGATGCCAATTCCTTTCTAAGGGGGATCCAAGCGGGTCCATTCCAGTATAGGGGCATGCTAGAGCTGCCAAAGTAATAAGCAAAGGAAGAATTAGAATGTTATCTTGTATAATATTTACATTCAATGAAATATGAAATATGAAATAGTATCATAGCACTGGCTGGTGTATACTTGACATTCAAACATTCAAAGATTCCGCGATTTGCGACCGGTCAGACTACGTGCAACGCTCGGCTTTTTTTTTTTTTTTCTTTTCTTTTCTCTCCACACGTGCGATCAAAAGAACGTATGACTTGATCCTAGTCTATGCTATCTGTGCTATATGCTACCTATGCTAGTCTACTATTTGATTTGGTTTCTCTTATTGTCAACTGCTTATGAGGATAATATAGAAACCCTAACTCTCGATCCCGAACAGCTGCTATCAGTGGAAAATTCCCGCGAGCTCGTTCCATGGATGTCATCTATCGATGTTCCACTTAACCCTAATCACGTCACAGACTGCTACAGGTATACAGGTACCCTTCCATGATGTCAAGGTTGAAGTCCCGACTATTGATTCATGGGCTGCAAGTGCAAGACCTCGATCTGCGAAACGTGCCATTGCATACGATGCTCGATTGCATTGCATAGCGTGATATTCCATCATCCGAATGCCGGTTCCGACATGGAAGTCTCCACTAGTCCCCGCTCTATTCTCTTGGGTCGCGTAGAATGGCTCATTTTCTTTGTTCTCTCGATACTCCCCAAGACTGTATTGTTGAATCTCGTCTCTTGTGGATCGACTCTGTGTTTGCCTATGTATATTCTATGGATACTGTAACATGAGGCCAAGGCTTATCGTGAGCAAGAAACTAAGATTCCAAGATTCTAAGACCAAATACCCAGCAGTGTCATCGTCTCTTATCACTTTTTTTGTCGATCCATATCCCAAAGTTCCCGCGTGATCGACACGCCCCAAACCCACGAGAATGCGGCCTCGACAACATCCCGGGCACAATCACCCAATAACTTCCCTCCTCGGGCTTTAGTACATCAATTGCCGGGATATGATGTTGATGATTCTGCCCCAATGGTTATAACTCCTCATTAGGTGAGGGGAAAGAATCCTTCGCTTATGTCTTAAATGATCATATCGCCCCAACCGAATGCGGTTTGGTGTCTGGTTTTTGTTTCTCTTTTTTCAAGCTAATGTCGAGGGGCATTTGAACCGGCAAATCATCGCGCTGCATTGCATATTGCGCTGGATTGCTTTTTACCCCGGTGCTCCGTGCTCCGTGCGCCCGAATCCACCCATGCCCGCATCCTCACTTTTTCCCTTTTTCTTCTTTTGAATGATTCCAGTGTGAGAATGTCAAGAATGCGCCAACCGCGTGATTACAATCCCCGGGGAATGTGACACTCGATTCACGTGGGGATTTGAAATCCCTCCATTCCTCGATCCTGCTATGGACAAGCCTTTCCCAGGACGTGTGAACTGCTTCATGCACTCTCGGAGAGTGGAGTCCCGAGACATTTCCGCGTAGGTTGCAGCGAACTACCAGCTATCTTACAGATGGATGCAATTCTGCCCTGTGTCTGTCCGGACGGGGTGCCTGGCCGCGCGTAGTATTATTTAGGGTTGACTTGGCCAATGGGTTTAGTCTCCGGTGGCCTGATCGATGGGCTAAATATAATAAATATATATTTGTAGCCTCTTGTGGTGGGCCTTGTAAGATTGATTGATCTGAGCCACATCTCTTAAAAAGTAACTACAATCACCATCACTATATAAAAGAAAATAACATAGCAACAGACCTGATGTATTTTGGGGTCTCTGAACCAACCTATCTTCAACCAGTAAGAATAAATACCTTCCCTCAGCTATGGTCCGAGCGACAATCCACACTTCTTCAACACTTTCCGTCGTGACCCCAACATCAGCCCTGCCAGTCAAATGGAAATCCGAAACCACCACCGTCATACCCGAGCTGGTAACCTTACTGAGGCCCGGAGACAGCATGAACCTCAAGGCAGACATGGCCTAAACGATCGATTAACAAAGCAGTGGCACGACAGATCTTGATATACCGCCCATGTATTTGATCAGCTGACATGGCGGTCCTGACGGTAATCTCACCGTCGAAAACAAGCCACGAAGCATCAAGCCACCTGCATCATCTCCCATGAAAGGAAAAAAAATCAGTCAGAGCCAAGAGGTCTATGTACAACTGCAGCCTGTACCTGGTCACATGCCTGAAGACACGCTGATGGTTGCCATGCGCATGTCCATGCTGGAGGTCCCACAGCGGCTGATGTCAAGAACCTGCATGGTACATGCACACCTCGTACTGGCACTGGTATTGGTACTCCTGAATGAGGTCGGACTGGCCTTATTGTGAATCTCTCTGCTGAGTGCCATGATGTTGGGAAGTAACTCACGAGGTGATTGCAATGTGGGCCATGGAGCGACAGGGCTGAAGTCACTTTTTTCCATCGAGGGCCATTGGCCCTAAGGTTGATCGAGAGAACAAATCAATCGATCAAAAATTCTAAAGTGGGCGCTAAAAGCACAGCAAAGAACCGAGTTGAATATCGCCAATGCCTGTATTACAAGAAAGAAAGAAAGAAAGCGTATTTAAAAAAAAGTTACAGAAATGTATAGAAAAAGTATAGCAAAAAGAGAAGAAAGAAAGGAGTAATCATAGTGAGATATCAAATAGATAATAGAATATTTTAAATAAGCGTAAAATCAAGAATAATCTTACTCGAGTGTCTCCGCCGCTTCGAGCTGGTCATCACGTGCCTATACTGATGAGTCAGCGACCCGCCTCCGGATTAGTTAATCAAGACAAACAATGCAAACGTAAACACCGCGGTCTCCCGGCTCACCAGCCACATGTTTCTGTGCTCCGAGGTCGAGAGTGCCCCATCTATCCTCCTTCACCTCTCCCCACCTCCTCCTTTTCCCTCTTCACAGAGGACTGAAATGTGACTTGCCAGTCATTGCGACCGTCATTGGACTCTAAATGCCCTACCTTTAATTGACAATCCGCGATCGCAATGTCTTTCCCCCAGGATTCTCGCCGCCGTCGCGGTGGAGCCGGCACTGGTTTCAGCGCGACTGGCAGGCGCACGGCCATGGGGTATTGGGTGCCCTTGGCCCTGACTGTGGGAATCGCAACTCTTGGCGTTGCAGCATGGATATGGAGTGAACGAAGTGACGACGACGAGGACGACCGCCCCCATGACGACGGAGATGGCCACTACCCGCCTCCCGAGGGCGCAAATGATTTCCCTCCACCTGCCTATGGCGCTGGAGAGTATGCGAGAAGCACTGGGCCCGACGTGATGCCCGGTGATGCCCCCTACGACCACAGCGTGATGGCACGCATGCAGGGTGCTTTGCGCCGGACACCCAGTCCCCAGCAGATCATCGACGGTGCGAGCAAAAGGGTTGTGGCTGGAGTGACTGCAGCAGGCGCCTTTGTTGGCGGTGCTCTCACATCGATCAGAGAGGAAAACCGGGGTGATTTCGAGGACCACTCTCGCTGGTCCGAGGAGGCGCAATCCCGGGCCCACGAGAGGAGTCAACAGCCTATTGTCCCGACGATGAGTGGCGCACTCCCAAGCCATGGAAATGGTGCTCAACCTTCCAGTAAGAAGAAGACGGTGGTCATTGTTATTTCCTCACTCTCACCGGGTGATTCTGATGAATTCGGCTCGGAGCATGCTGTAAGAACCCTGTCTACTACCTGCACAATGGTCTACTGACACATCTAGTCTATTCTTTCCCACCTTCCTGAACACGTGGATCTCGATACCTCTAGAATCTTCGTGTTGATCTATGCCCCGAACTTAAAACACGCCATTGGCCAGGGAGGCTCCTCTCGCCCGACGCAGTCCATCACGTCGTCATACTCGAACATCGCTACCGAGGAGGCAGAGTCCTCGGGTGAGGCTGGTAATGACCTGACGCCTGTGGAGCCTCGACAGGACGATGATTTTGAAGGCACAACTTCTTTCTTCCGGACCCTGTACAAGCAGGCCCAGGCATTGGTCGAGAAAGAGAGTATGATTATGCCATTCAATACCCCTACTGGATATGTTCATCTCGTCCGTCATCTGGCACCCGAGCTTGTTTATGTTCAGGAATCCTTGACTGGAAACGAGGGTGACGCTGTTCAACACATCTCAGGCTGGGTGCGACAGGTCATTGTTGTGGTTGGAGACGAAGGTGGTCGCGGGGGCCTCATTGACAGCGATGATGAGTCTGCGCTCGCCGACAAGGGTGAGAGGTGGTGGCAGAAAGAAGGCGTCACTGGTATCGGGAAGCGCATTGATGTAGTCGATGTGCTTCGGGTGGGAGACGATTGGCGACGACGCGTTCGCGACCATGACTAGATCGCAGTATTCACTTTGTGGTTCCACGATGTTGATGTTGATATTGATTGTTTGCATGTCTATACCTGTTTTTGCTTCGATTATGTACCTTCGATTCCCCTGTTCTTTTTTGCCGTGATTTGATATACACCAGTCTTCCATCTGGAGCCACGGCGGTCTCCTTTTGCGGGTGGGGTGTGGCCTTGACACTTCCCTTCTATTACCACAATACATTCATAATCACGTTACATTGGTTGAGTCTCTTAAACAATACATTGCATTCACTCATAGACCTAGCTCTCCCGAATAGGAAATACCCCAGTATCAAATGGCGCTAGCCCTAATTAGGATATCACGTGAGCACAGTCTCGCCCGCGGCTTGGCCTCATCAACTCCCTCCGACCTTCGCCCTTCAGTGTGTCTGCCACCCCCCTTCCCAGCGGCCTCATCCGATGGGTGCTCTCGTTTACTGTGCCTAGCCGCCTTGGACAGCCACCTTGCGCACTTTCGCATTCGATCTCCGCCGTGCCGGGTACTGGTGACCGACCGACCGATCCCCACATGTCTCGCGCATCGGCCATCCCATTCATTCCCGGAGCACGGCTTTCATCCTATATCGTCGAATCGGCAACCCGATAAGTCGCATTTTCGATTACTGGTAACACCTGCGTCGCGCAGCTCGCGCCGAAATGATGGCTACCGCGGTCTCGAAGCCGACCTCGCATACCCCGAAGATGAAGCGACCGCCCCCACCTTTCTCCCAGGCCGGGGTCAACGGCGTCAAAGCTCAGCAGCCCTCATCTTCACCGCCAACCGCCTCAAAACGCCCGCCGGCCAGTGTACCTGCTGGTATGAGTCCCAATCTGGCCAATGGCGTGCCCAATGTGGCGAATCCCGCCAAGGGCCCGCTGAGCCGCACCAGGAATCAGTCGCAAAGACCCGGTGATCCAGCCTCGCGGATGGGTCGGCCGGTAACGAGGACAGCGTTAATGGATAGTGAACGTCGTGCTGGGAAAAGGTTCCCGGAGCCATATGGTGAGGATCTCTCGGGTTGTCTACGCGCGGCCTGTATTTTGCTGACCATCCCGTGTTTTTGTTGCTGGTGCTACAGTCAAAACTACCCCTTATATCCTCAAGAAATACGCAACAAGCCCCCCATCTCTCATTGTGCATTTACATCCAACGCATTTTCGTTTCGAGCAGCAAGACGGCAGCTTTCCCTACAATTCCGAGATGAAGGTTATCATCGAACACATTCGCACGGGGACTGTTCCACATGATCTCATCGAAGAGCTTCTGCGGTCTGGTGTGCGGTTCTATGAAGGCTGCCTCATCGTTCGCGTGGTTGACCACAAATCCGTGTCGGCTCAAGCCAGGAAAGCCTCCGCGTCCTCATCCACCGAGAACAGCACGCCGTTCTCACTCCACAACTACAATGAACATGTTACACCATCAGCATTCGTTCCATATCCCAAACAAAACCAGCTTACATCCGATACACAAGGCGGGAAGCCTTCCACCCAAAATCAATCTGATGACCAGACCAATGACGAGGCTTCCGAACAAACGCAGCGCAAGAGTGCTCCTCCGATGCCTCGAGTTTTCACCACGGTGCTCCACCCCACGGCTCAAACCCTGCAAGCAGAATTGACCCTACTTATTACCACACCGGATCCGAAGGCCGCAAGAGCATCGGCCCCTAATCAACTATCACACACCCAGTCTTCATCAATTGTCCCGCAGTCTCCGGCCAACGGGAACCAGTCTGATCGCGAACCCCCTGCAAAAAGACAGAAGACCTTGGTCGAGCCCCAGGATCTTCCGGAATGCGAATCCAAGTTGATACGTGCATTAGCGCCACCTCTTTTCTTGGAGCCTCTGCGAAACCTCGAAGGCACACAAGATTTGCTGAAGTTTCTGGAAAGCCCGCTTCATCGCGACCCGCCACCGTCGCCCAAGCGTCGCAAGCGAACCGTTGCCGAGCTTGCCGCCGATGAGGCATTGGCAGCTGAGGAGGAGAGATTTATGCTCATCATGGACGAGCGTCTGGAGCCTACGGCATCTGGTACTGCTGGGGCCTCGAAGGCTGCGGCCGTGGATGATACGGGTGGTGTGGCACCTTTCGAGCCACGATTCTCTCGGTTCAAGACCCTTGAGACGATTCGCATGCAACACGAGGAGAATGCTAAACGAGAACACGAGATGAAACTTAAGCAGGAGCTGGCCAAGAGGCAGCAGCAGGAGCAGGAGAAGGAGCGGCGTCAGGTAATCGAGCAGCGGCAGGCCGAGGAGCACGCCAAAGAAGAAGCACGGAGACAGAAAATGGCCGCGCAGCATGCGCAGGCTCAGCTTGCCGCTCAGCAGCACAACAGGCATGTCATTGCTCAACCAAACGGTGTCAGCCAAGGACAGCAGTCATCGCCTATTGTACGCCACCAAACCCCACACAGCACTTCGTCACCGTTGGTTGGGAATTCCATGGCAACACAGGCGGTTCCCATGAGTATCACCGCATCTCAAGGATCGGGAAGCCCACCCCGACCTCCATCTGCGCTGCAGCATGCACACCCCAATGTCATGAGCCATCCGATGGCGCCTTCGAGGAGCCAGCAAGGGCCCAGTCGGCATGGAACCCCACAGATGGCACATGGCACGCCAGCTGTGTCGCACGCCACCCCGATCATGCGAAACGTCACTCCAACCCAGCGGATGGGTCATGGCAGCCCCAACCACTCGATGGCTCAGACGCCAGTCATGAATCAGCCCATGGGGGCCACTCCCCAGATGAACGGTGGCATGGGTCTCACGCCACAGCAGCAGATGTTGCTGCAGCAGAGACAACAGCAACTTCTCGCGCAGCAGGGGCACCTCGGACACTCGCAATTTACGCCTCAACAGCTTGCCCAGATGCAGGCCAATGCCCACGCTCAGCAGAATATCCAGTCACATCAGCAGCAGATGTTGCAGGCGCAGCAGCACCAGCAGCACCCGCAACATCAGCAAAACCAACCCGTGCAAAAAGTGCCACAGCACACCCAGCAAGCCTACCAGGCTCAGCTTATGCGCGCTCAGTATGCGCAGATGCAAATGGTCAAGCAGCAGCAAGGCCAGCAACAAATCCAGCCGCAGGGCCAACAGAACCAGGCCCACCATGGCAGCCCGCAGATGACGCCTCAGCAACAGCAACAGCAGATGCTGATGGCAGCGGCGCAGGCCAACGGTGGGCAGGTCCCGCCCAACATGCAGGGGGTCAATATTGGACAGCGATACCACCATCTCTACCAGCAAAGACTGCTCCGTCTACGACAGGAGATGTCCCAGCGCTATCTCTCGCAATACGGGCCGCCGACACAGTATCCACCCCAGCTGGCGCAGCAGTACGGCCCAGGACTGGAGAAGAATGCCAAGGCATGGATTCAGGATCTCATGCGGCGCGATCGAGAAGCTGCCCAGCAACATCGCGTCAACCAGGCGGCTATGCAGGCCCAACATATGCAACAGCAGAATATGATGCACAACGGGATGGGAAATTGATCACCTCGAATACTTGGGAGGGGCGAACCTTTTTTGAGCATGCAGAGCTTCCAGCTCGGTTTGCCACATTTGAAAGCCATCATCTTTCGGTCATCTGGAGCAGAACTGATTTATTAGGGCTATTTGCCGAGACAGCTCATTCTTGGGTTGAGAAAACCTACTCAGCGGTCTTTCTGCAATACCTTCTTGAACTTTTCTTTTGACCATTTCGATCACTGATTTTTTGTTTGATTTTTGAGGAAATGTACAGCAACCAGGCACGGTGGGAGATCAAGAGGCCGGCGTTTTTGCGATTTTACCCATAGGTTATGTTGTTTTTTTTTTCCCTTTTCTTTTTCCGCTTCTTTTTCTTTCCGTTTCTTTTCATCCATTTCTGGGATGTGTACTATTTGGGAACGGTTTATCGGCGGGCACTAGGGGCTTCACAGATTCGATACCATTTTGTACAGGAGTTTTCCGTATTCTTTTCCTTTTCTTCTTTTTTCTCTTGTTTTTCTTTGCGAGGGTTTGAGGGTTTGGTTTTGGGATGGGTGTTGGGAAATAGCTGGAATATGATTCAAAATGAAGATCTGATTTGATGTTCAGTTAAGCATGATACTTGATTGTTGGATAAGTTTATTCGTATAAGACCGATCCTTTGATAGGTGTAGGAAGTATCTATCTATTGTGTAGCTATGGACGAGATGCCGAAGCAATGCATGCAACAAGCATACATACTCTTAAGAGAAAAATCACCCAGGAAATATGTAATATACGAGCTGGTCTCCGATACTCAGACTGTTGAGCTTGAAATTATAATTGGAACATTCATGGGACATGATCATGCCAAAAGAAGGAGAGTCATCATAGTAGGGAGAACCAGGGGGTTTTTTTTCTGTTGTCTTTCTACGAATGCCGAATGCCGAATGCCGCACCAATACAATACCATTGTTCGAGAGACACCATTTATCTCCTGAAAGCGGCCTTGCAAGGCACTTGAAACAAGGCAGCGTCGCCAACAAGACTGTTGGATGTCAAGGCGCAGATGTGCGAAGGTGCAAAAATGAAAACTCAGCGGGAGTGGGGAATTTTATAGCTTTGCTGACTCACCCTGGGTCCTGATGCTGACTAACTGGATTTAGTTAGTTACCTGATTTGGACAAATATCAACATCTTCGATTTCTACAATAATCTTGACTTTGTGTAATGTTTAGATTGGATAAGAAATATATTATTTAGTTCCTTGGAGTCGTTAGAGCGAGGTGCTTTCTTTGGTATTTTGTGGTGAGTTCTTAGGTTCATTCCGACCTGGGTCAGCCTACTAGAAAATATTGAGTCTAGATGACAATGGATTAGAATGTACCTAAGCATGATAAGAGCCCCCAAAAAAAAGAGGCAGACAGAATATACAAGGTTAGCTGAGCGGATCCAGCTTCGGTTTGACCAAAACACTCACCCCAGCTACTCCTTAGTATCAGAGACCAGTGGGAAAGCCAGAGGGATACTGTCCAAGAGTCCGTAAACAGGCAACCAAATTCACAGCAAGAATGAAACCACGACCTTGTGACTACCAGAGTTTTTCCATCTCCTCATCGGCATATGCGACACCATGACGAGGACATGCAACCGCCTCGGTCTCTGCACGCGAGGGGTGGCCGATCACAGGGCCCTCAACACGAGGACGGACTTCACATTACCAGAGATGCAACGCAACCAAGATACAATCAGACAAAATCCTCAATGATACGCTATACTCCAGGGAAATGCAATGGCAATCACCCTCAGGATGATAGACACGGCCAGACCGGTCCGATAGACGAACCGACCTACCCGAACGGCGAATATCACATTCCAGTCAATGCGAGTCAGTTGGGATTGCATGCGTGTAACTGGCTCAAGATAACTGGCTCAAGCCAGCAGGTATTGCAACCACAAGTACAACCCTGAGAACATAAACTAAGTGGGAGTCTTGCATATTCGTTTGACATATTCAGAGTTCATCAGAAGTGCCATGCTGGGTGCATGTCTCGAGACGCACAGACATGCCAGTAAGCGTGACTGTGGCAGTGATCCTAATGGCCGGAGAACCTTTTACGAGGAATGTCTTGGGGGTTCGTGTATTGCTCTGTGGTCTGGGATGGGATTTGCAATTCATACTGCTAGACGGGAAATGCGTAGTAGGCAGACATTTGTAAAGTGAGTAATATGGTAGTGAGAAAGAAAGAAAAGAGGAATAGACGATAGACGATGTTGTGGTTACTATTAGGGGTATCCAGTACCAATTCTAGAAAATAAAGCTCTCACTTAACGCCATCCTTGATCGTAGTGATTAGGCATAGCAGAAAGAATACACGGACTTAACTCGGGCATCATTCATCCTATAGTCCAGCAGATCTACCACTAATCTAGTCCCACCCAACAGCAAGACAAGCAAATGCTACTAATCGTAGCTAGATTGCATATAAAGAATGATATGTAAGCACAACCACCGGCGTAGAGTCGATCAAAACCAACCTCACGAACAAAATAGGCAGACAGATATTCACCATATCCACAGATGTAACAGCAACGTCTCTCTCTCCCCCGGAAAGGAAGCATATCCCGAAGCAAAGCCAGAACAAAAACACATACAACACTCTCCACTATAGGAGTCTGCAGCTCGCAGCTCAACAATTAACCAGTTAGGGATTGGAAAGTGGCAACAGGACAAAAAAAAAAAAAAAAAAAACCAGGAGTACAGCAAAGCAAAGTAGGACCGAGTAAATGAGACAGACTACATAGGCGGCTCACAGCTGTGGATCGCGCGTTCTCGAAGGCTTGGCCATGCGATGCAGGGATTAGGGAGACTCTCGACCAGCTGGCCAAGGTCGATCGCGGCAGATGGGACAGCCACAGAAAGAAGGATAATGAGCAATGCAGGTCAGGATTGAGCTGATCGCCACAGTAGATACATACATAGTATGCACTGGTGGTTCCAAGGTTATGGATCGATGCTTCATTCTGTTTATAGCCACAATAAGAAAGCCAAGAATAGGGGGGGGAATGCAAGTCAAAATTAGTACCAAGTAAAAGAAGAAGAAATAGGCGATGGAAGTGGCGTCGAGCAACTACTAGGAAGACCTAGTGCATGATGCGCATTAGTCTACTGTGCGTGCTCCGGAAGAAGTCCGATTACAAAGAAACGGGAAGGAAAGAAAATGCCCATAATTAAGACAAATAACCATGAAAATAAGGAGAAAAGAAAAGAAAAGAAAAGAAAAGAAAAGAAAAAATCTGAAACACCTCAAAGACAAATAGGAAGCGAGCCCGTTGAGACTGGAATGTGGAGAGAAGGAAAAAAAAAGAGGATGTGCGTTGTAGAGTCGATGCAACAGTTGAGTTGCTCCCTACCAAGGAAGTAAGTTGCATTAACTTCAATTATTATTAAACCTCTATAGTATCTATAGTACGACAATGAAAAAAGCCAAACTAAACCTGATTCAAAGATACGTGCAGAGGGATCGGCCAGATAGATCGCATGGAGAGAGATCCGAGAGAGAAAGAAAGATGCTGTGTGATGTGTAACATGCACGCCACGTACCAGGAACCAGGGGAAATGGGTGTTGGTGGCAATAGTACTTATCTATCAAGTAGTTTACTAGACAGATAATTAAGGAATAATTTGGGTGTTCAACATCGGGAAAGGAGTAAGAAACAGACTAAGGGGCGAAGGGCTTAGATATACGAAGTCGAGTCGCAAAAGTCGAGATAGCAATAACGTGGTTTTATATTATGCAGTCATGGTGGTGGTACAAAGACAAAGAAAACATAGAGGATTGTACAGGATCGCCGCCCGAGGGCATATTCCTCCCAAGTGATTATCCCACGCGATCATTGGAACCAAAGATATGCAAAAACGCCAGAACCAGGGACTTTCAGAATACCGCACCAGCCTTTCACACCGGACAAATTATGCAAGAGAAACAAATTATCAAACAGGGCTGTCTCCCGAGGGCTTCGAGGAGACTATACAACGCCGCGACGGCCAGCGTTATGAGGGCGTGGCTTGTCGGTGCCTCGGCCACTACCCCAAAGTGACAGCCAATCCTCCGAGACGGGGTATCGATATCCGGACCAAGGTCGTATTTTTTTTTCCTTTATTTTTCCCGGTGTCGCTTTTTGATTGAATTTCGCATGTCGTTGTTTAGTTTTTTCTCTTTCGATTCTTGGGATGTAGTTGAGAAAAGTGTCGAATCATCTAATCATCCCAGACATCGACACTCAACTCTCGGCAGTCGGGAATGGGGTCCTCGAGCTTGGTTCCATAGAGTGGACGACCATCTGCTGTCAGCTGGCCACGGAAGTCGGGGTCGTAGTCCTGGCTGGCTTCATCCAGAGTAGCAACATAGCGATTGCGGCCACCCCGCTTGCTGTGAGTCTTGGTGTAGTGGGCATTGAGGTTGTCGCTGCGCGAGAAGGCTCGGTGGCATCCAGGAACCCAGCAGATGTGAGGCTTCTCTTTCGAGTGACTCTTCATGTGGCGCTTGAGGTGCTCCTGACGCTTGAAGCGGCCCTTGCATCCGGGCTCCTTGCACTTGAATTGCACCTGCTTAATGATGGGCGGCAGGTTCTCCAGACTCAGGTTGGAGCGGGTGAGCTGCTTCTTGGATGGCTTACGCGAAGCCTGGCGATGGGTCCGTTGAAGGAAGCCGTCACGGTAGACCGGAGAGAGAGGAAATTCCTCACTGTATTCTTGACCACCGCCGGACAGGCGGCTCACAGGAGTGTCAGTGCCCGATGGGGTTCCCAGAGACACCGAGCGGACAGGTGTTGAAGGCGTTTGAGCCTTGAAAGATTGCAGATTGGGGGGAAAGTCCGAGTAGGAAGAAGAAGGGGGGGTGACTGGGTTGGCGGGAAAAGCCTGGGCGGGAGTGATGGTCTGCGGAGCCATAGACTCGCTGGAAGGCATCCACTGGAGCATGTTGGCCATGGAGACGGAGTTGGGCATGCGCTCAGGCTGGTTGAAGATTGGTCGGGACAGGCAGGGGTTGGAGGCAGATTCAGGCAGGTAGCCCGTCTGCTGTGGGCGGTAGTAGTTGCGAGCCATCTGGTTGTATTGAGGCATGGGAGCCTGATAGGGGAAGTGGGTTGGGTTCTCGTAGGTTTTGGGCATGTCCTGCGGGATCCAGAACTGTTCCACGTTTTCATCATATCCCGGCAAGTAATCGGCCATTGGCATCTGGTCCTGACGGTCCATGGCGCCGCAGGGCATACCCATGCCGTCACTGGAGGTCAGGTCTGCCATCCGGAAGGCGCTGCGCAGCGGCGTGGCAGAAGTGCGACGTTCCATGGGCAGGCTCTGGCTATGATACTGGCCCGGCTCGTGCCACCCCGGGGAGGCCAGGGAGTTCTGGCTGTAGAGACTCGTAGGAGTCGGCGTAGGAGAATCCAAAGGAGAGAAACTCGAGGTCATCGAGGGGCATTCACTAGGGCCCAAAGAACGGCAGTCAACCTCAACGGTCAGGCGGTCCGAGATTTGCTGGCCCTGAGGTCTCATCTCGTCGACGTCTTCGGTTTTGAGATGTTGAGGTGCGACTGGGTCGATGGCTTCACCTGCCCAGAGCACTTGTTAAAATCGAACGGGAAACCTTTGAATGGCTTGAAGCAAAACGAGAGACGAAAGGAAGCCGGCGTTGGAATGACAAAAACGAGGGTTGACAAGCGAAGGGATGGACAGAAAGAAAGGCAAGACGAGGGAAGGTCAAAGAAAGAGAAAGAGAGAGAGACCGAAGCCCCGAAGAGAATGTCGACAGAGAGAGAGGGAAAGAATGTCGAGGGTTGGGGGGAAAGGAAGGGAATGGAGGACAAACGAGCAGAAATAAACAAATTGGTCCAGCATCGAATCCCGATGATCAGACTTACAGCTATACATGATCAGAGCCGCGTCGCGCGCACGCAAGGCCAGGAATGCAGACTATGGAATTGCTTGGGTTACCGCAGGGACCCAGGGCTGGAGCTCCGCGTTCGCGACGTGGAACAATGGGATTGCCGTATGAAGCACACCGTGGCTGGGAGAGGTAATGTGAACCCTAGAACGCGGTGGATGGGTTACCTGGGAATCGGGAAGGGGAGGTTGGGTCTCAGATTGGTAGGGTTGAGGAGGGGATTATAAGAGGGAAAGACAGTAAGGAGCATGTCTGAGAAGAAGAAGTACACCTTTTATCACAAAGCTTGTTCCTGATCGGGGGGGAGACGAAGATCGGCCTATCCCTCACTTTCTTTTTTTTTTTTATGACATTTTAATTATGCTAGATGATAATACTAAAATATTAGAATATTAGAATATTATTATTATAGCAATAATAATAATTTCAGGTATTATTTCAGACCCGCCTCGATGGCATGCGCGGCTGTACCTGGGCACATCCGCGCAATGTGAGTAGAGTCTAATGGGTCCCCGGATCGTCAACACAGACCTTAGGTCGAGTCGTGTTAATTATTGAATTGCTGAATTATCCATAATTTTCTGATTCTTGACATCGAACAGGTCAGACTGGTCTGTGCGACCCCGGCCGGCGCTGCATCTTCGATTGCCAACTGGTGTTTGCGTTGTTTATTATCTGTATATTAGAAATCTATAAGTTTCTATTGTCAATATTCTTGGTCTTTCTTTGTGCTTTACTACTCTGTTCATGTCGCCTCGAGTGTGGGTAGAAGTCATCTATGGATATCATTGCACTGACCCTAAGTGGAGTCATACCGTAGGGCTCCGTGACAAATCCCATCGTCGGAATGTGAAGCTGAAATAAAATAAAATATTATTAGAAAATAGAAAATAGAAAAAATACGAGGAATAAAATAAAATAAATCCAACATCACCAGTCAAAGCACCCCACCGATGAACCAAAGTCCTTAACGGCTTGTCCGGCTCATCACGCGTCAATGTTTCGTTCATGCATTCTTCCACTTCCTGGAAGGACGCCACCGAGGGCCCGAGGACATTCGTAATGTCCCCCATGCCAGTCCAGATCATGACTTCTACCCGTAGCGTGCAGAACCCGACTGAGTGTGTCACATTCCAAAGGAAGGGGGGGGGAGTAGTTCGAGTGGATTCAAACATGAAACAGTGTGGGTTCTTTCTCTATCTTTCTGTACCTCTCTCTGTTTCTCTCTAGTGGAAGAATCCCCCGATAAACCCAATATTAACCCTAATTTAGGCCACCCCTCAAGCCCTACGACCGGGTCTGACAGCTCTCACAACATCGCGCACGGTGATTCGCCTTAACCGCTTGGACGTATATCCAGCAGATTAGCTTTGCGCAGGGCCCATTGAGGTGGGAATCCGACTGAATGGGTGGTGCCCGGTCCCGCCGATCATGTCTCTCCACGTCGATCACTTGTCGACCGTCAGATCCCACCGGCTCCACAGCATCACTCCCTAATAGGTCTTTTTGTTTTCTTTGCTGGTTTTCAATAGCACGAGCCATAGCTTCATGTTTCATGCGTGTCTATGGATGCGACTGCGGTATTTGCTGGGCTTTGTTCTACACTACTCCCCGCTAGCTCGACGCAGTCCGGTCGCAGATGTATCATGTCGGCAATGAAGACGCAATATTCATCGCGACTATTGTGGTCTGTTCCCCGGGACCATGGCTAGGTCATGTTCCATGATTAGCTCCGCTCGGACCAGTTCCTGTTGGTCGCGTTGCTCGCCATTGAGTTTGCACCGTTGACCTCTCCTTTTCTCTCCCCGTCTCTCTCTATTTCTCTATTCCCCTAATTCTCTGTTCCTATTTCTCCCTATTTCTAGTATTATCGACAAGTGTGCTAGATACTGTCTCAGATCACGTCTGATCATATCTCAACAGCACGGACCGGGCTGCAAGGGTGGATCAGAGCGTCCCCAGATATCTTGGGAGCCCCTGCGTCCCCAGGGATACGACCTGCTTAGGGGAGGCGTCTACGGCTGCAATGATTCACGGTGCTAGGCGCCAAGAAAATGGAACAGCCAGAACCATCGGGTCCCCGACATCCCAGATAGCCTCGACAATACAACCAACAGCACGACGCAGCACGCTGGCTAGTTCGAGGGTCCCCGCTTCTCCAGATACCATGATCATCGCCGCGGGAAGGTTTCGATAGTGGCGGGCGGTCCAAGCTCTCGTCGCATCGAGTCATACCATGACGACAGAGCCTCTGCGCGGCCAGTTCCGGACTTGGGTCTGGTGCTTTGCGGCCAAGACCGGTGGCAGAGAGAGAGAGAGAGAGAGAGAGAGAGAGCCGGGTGTGGCTGACCGGTGGAGTCTGAGCAGATCATGATCATCCAGGTATTTCTTTCTGTATGGATATATGTATGTGCAATCTCTATTTACATACCAGACGCTGTCTATCTCTCGATAAGCAGGCGCATCCTCTCGAGGCTCTCGCCACTGTCGATCGGGCTGCGGTATTTTTGCCTGCCTCCAATCTTGGGGCTTTGGCAGTTCTCGTGCCATGAGCAGAGAGTCTAGGCCGCCTTGTACATTCTCATATCTATCTCTCTGGCAATATACAACCTGTTTTGAAATGATACATCCAGCATCGCATCAGGTCTCTCCCTGTAACCTAATCGCGAATACAGAGGTTGCTGCATGGACATAGAGCCCCTAAACGTCTCAAACCAGGTATATGGAAAGGTATATGGGAACCGACAACGGAGCTATCGAATTTAGACCTTCTCAGATCCATGTCTCGTACGGACGAGCTCCGTGCCCGCAGAATACTGAGATCGACAATATGCAAGCCACTTGACGCCATGGCTCTGACACCAGCAACTTAGCCAAGAACCAAGCTTACACACACAGACAAGCTAGTCGATCATTTTGCGGGGAAGACAAAAAAGCATCCAGAATGGCCGGGCCATGCAACTCGGCCAATACATTGGAGACCAGGCGTCAGCATACCAATATACCAAATGTACCAATGTACCCTCTTTCTGTGTGTGACAGTACTATTGCGATTTGACTCGCTAGTCGAACATTCCGCGGGATGCAGCCCCGCAAGTTCCGGCGTTCAACCGCGGCTGGACGCCTCTCTGATGCAGGTACGATTTACTGGAGGCGCGGGTTGGGAGTGGATCCACTGATGCAATTTTTTTTGAATGAATGAATGCTATTGTTCGGGGGAGAACCTTTCGTATTTCGTCGGGGAGATGTCATCTGCCAACACTGTCTTGTGATATAGTACGGTTTGGGGATCCCCCTGAGGCCTGTGATGTGGGTTAGATCAGGGCTCAGGACATCAGTCCCTTCGTAAATATCCAGGTACCAAAGCTAATTGCCAACGCTGTCAGGTTGAGGTATAATTTTTACCGGAAAATCCGAGAGTGGAAGACGAGTAAGAACCCTGAATCAGGTACCGATCGACCACAATTTGGAAGCATCCATAGACTTGTCTCATTTGCCATTGATCGCATCGCTGCAGGGACTCGATAACTCACCCTATAGAAAGCAGGTGATCGAGGCGATCGACACAGAGAGGTAATGTGAGCTCCAAGGGTTTCCTAGCATTTCCTAGTAAGTTGGTACCTGCGTCTTTAGCTCGGCATTAGGGCTTGGTTTCTCTCCATCCCTTGCTTCTACTCTTTCGTCCCAACCAACACTGCCCACTCCCTCCCCCAAGTAATTCCTCTCCAAAGCATCTGGAAAACAAAGCCCTGATTTGCTTTTTATTGAGTATTTCCGGGCCCCATCCACCTCCCTGACCCCTGACCCAGACCGTTGACGTGCATGTGCAGTATCCTGCAGGTCGAGGAGTCCCGAGTTCCTGGATACGGTCGAAATATTCTGGGCTGTTTGAAAGGCGTTAAGGATCGTCGATGTGGGTCGCGTCGCAACTGTTCTTTCTTTGTGTTGGCGTTCCCATCTCGTGCACCCCGCAAGACGCGAGTATACACCTAGTGAGTAGACTCGAAATCGCGTCGTGGCTGCCCTTGGTATCCCACACAATAAAAAGAAGTGAGCAATATGGGTCACTAGGTATTTCAATACCTCAATAAACTTAACAGCAATTTCCAAAAGGTTCTTCGAGTGAAACAGCAGCCTACCGGAAGAGACCCGCGACTCGCCCAAGAACCTGATCGACCCTGCACATCAGAGCCACTGGGAATGTTTCGCATTCGTGATGCGCAGGGGATGCACATCACCCCCGTGCAGGGTCCAAGCAAGATGTCTTACATGGGAGGCGGGGGTGGAGGGGAGGGGCTGGGAGGCTGGGCTTGGGCTGTTGAGAGTGTCTCTCCTAGATGAGATCATACAATTGCAACCGTACCATTTATGTAGATAAGCCCTTGCGCTTTGCTCGCAATACTCCCAATCCTATTTTCCTCGTTTGGCCACCTACAGATGAATCTATTGAGAGATTGTTTCAGTTACATTGAAGAACTGCATTCGAACACAAAAACCTCCGTTGTGATGCGCGTGTGGGTCTGAAGTACGGGTCGCGTTCAATATATTGCTCCTAATAGAGTCGTGTAGAGATGGGAGGGGAGCGTTGCAATGCATATAGGAAATAGAGATGGTGCTGCCCTGTGACGCGGATCATACACGCACACACGCACTTTTTCTCTCTCAGCCGATAATCGCGCATGTTGGATCGGCGGTGATGCTTGAACCCCCGTGATGATCTACTGATGGAATTCCAAACAGCCACGCGCCTTCCTAGAAATCTTTCGAATCAACACGTCCTTCGTGAGTATAACATCGTCTTCCACGCGGCCTGCCGCTTGGTGGCCAATGAACATATCAGAATCGAGATGACTTATAGGAGACTCTGCTCACTCCAGATATCCTCAGCAAAACTTCTTAGCTCTTGCTCGGGTATCACTAAGTCTCTCTCTAGGGGCTGGTGAGGAGGACGGCCAACAACCTTGCCGAAGGGTAGATCCAACTGCGTAGAAGTCGTATTTGTGCCATTCATGTTGGACTCTCCGGTAACAGAGGTCGTGTTATTCGTTCGAGATAATTTGACGAATGCAGTACGACGCGCTGAAAGAGGGGATGACCTTGTAAGGACACCATATCCTCGGGGAGCAAGTTCCCATCGGTGCAACACGATCTCGGGATTTTCGCGTTTGATGCTGATCGTAACCACAAGTTTCACAGATGAGGAGTAAGCCTCTAGCCAACCGCGCGCATCAAGAGCAAGTTGTCGCGCAGACTCTGACAATCCTACTTCCACCACAAAACTCAGCCTTGCATTTGTCGAAGCCGGAGCCCAGCAGCAGTCAGCCTCCTTTTTCCAATTTCCAACCGTAACTGTTGTCGAACCGAAAGGCCTCACGTCGCGATGGACGTTCATCGCACGCAGCTCGAGCGAAATCAGTGAATCAAATGATCTTATTGCAAGTTCGTGTGCAGGATTCGGCATGACTTTCGCGATCAAAATTCCCGTTTCTGCGTTGAAAAAGAATCGACTGTACTTGCTTGTTCGCGACCCATCATCACTCAGTCTGGAAGATTGCTCTGGGGGAACAGACGTGAAGACGAGGTACTGATCCCGAGTTTGGTCTTGCCGAAGCTCTCGTTGACGGCGTTCCAAGGACTTTTGTAAGCTCTCGTTGGTGGTGAAAAGCTGCTGCTTCACATCCTTGGCCAGTAGCGCAAGAGGATCCTCAGATTCGGATTCAACTGACGAGAACTCAGATGATGAGAGCTCAGACGGTGAGGACTGAGACACGTTCGAGGTGGATCGAGGGAGGTCCATGGTGCGTGAGAAGTGGGGAAGTGAGAAGACAGGCAGCTAGAATAGGCACTCGCGACTGATAAGAAGAGAAAGGCGGTAAAATCCATTTTATGCCTGTGGTTATTTTGATCGTGACGTGACGGCGTATTGGGGGCGCTAACCCAGAATCGGCAAAACTAACCGGATATAGTAATTCACAGGTCCCAATATTCCTGGAGCTATACTCTACACCATTTTTTACAGACTGGAATTCTGATCTCAACTTGGATATATATCCACCAGGAATACCCTTCTATCCAAGCACTACTCCCACAACGCAGGTAGCGACTGAGAGAATAGATCACACCCCATCCTTACAATTGCAAGTACCATAAAGTACGGCCTAATCCGTCCAGCCATCACGAAAAGAAGACAGTCCGAACCCTGCAAGCCGAGACCCAAAACAGAGCCTACCCAGACAAACAGCCTCACGAGTCAACCACGCCAACCAAATGCACGAACCCGTAGCGTGGGGAGGCCCAAGCAAGCCGAAACAACACAATCTTCCCAGGCAACGGGCGCGGCACGAAGCTGAGAGCGTCCCGAGATTCCGCCGTCAACCGGGCGGGTCTTGAATCAGGCTGGGGTTTGCGAGGCTGCGAATCCCAACGGAAACAACACATACATATTCTCCATACACACGCTATGCTATCTATGCAAGTAGCCGGGGCTGGTAGGGCCCAGGATAGAGGCGGAGACGTCGATCTCGGGGGGTATATCCTTAGGGCATAGGAGAGGGTACCGAGGTATCTAGATTGTTTGTGTGGGTAAGCAATCACGCAAATATTTGCCTTTGTCTTCCGACTTTCAAGGGATTTGGGGGCCAGCGACCGTTGAAATGCTAAAGAGATAGGGCTGTTTGCCTCACGCGAATTCCGGACTCCGACTTGACTAGTCCGAGTCCGATTTAACCGAATTAGACCACTCTTAGTGATATTATAAGTGATGTTATTAATGGTCTATTATCTATAATCCACGGATATATTCTTACAAAGAAATAAACCTGTAAATGCCAAGGCAACCATCAATGGACGGAGATATATTGTTCTCCGATTGTTCTCCAACAAAGACCCGGCGACTTTCAGCGGAATTCGGCCCAACCAGACCAACCAGCACGCAAAAAAAAAATAGTAGCTGAAGCTGATAAGCCCAAGGCTACGCTGTTCTTGTCCTAGTTCAATCGCAATAAAAGACGCGAAGAGCCCCCCCAGACCCGATTATTCAGTTCATGTCTACTATTTCTATGTAGAATTTACCCCCTACACTGCTTTCTACTCTGCTTCCCGCGCAAAATGGTTGTCAACCACGAGGAAGACCATCTTGTTGGCACGGAGAACCGACAAATATCTAAAAAGCTCCTTATCTTGACAGCATGCGCGATGTTTGTGTTGGCCGCGGACTTCGGATTCTACTGTGCGGTGGCGCCTCAGACAGCCGTTTTCGAAGATATCATCTGCCGCAACTTCCAGGTCGGTGCCTTCAATAACAATACTAATCATACGAATAATAATGATAATGCCACGGACTCCATCCCTGATGGCAATCCCTGCAAATCTGAGGCTGTGCAGGGTGAACTGGCCTTGGTGCTGGGATACAAGGATATGTTCGATATGCTGCCTGGTGTGGATGAGAACCTACCCTGAAGCTTGAAGTCTTTGACCGAAACTAATTGCCTGGCTTTTGCATAGGTCTCGTGTTTTCGCTCCCTTATGGAGTACTATCTGACCACTGGGGACGGAGACCCGTCCTGTATCTGGGTGTAGTGGGTATCCTGCTGGCAGACATCTGGATCCGGATTGTTTGTGAGTGATTGCGATCTCTCTCTCTCTCTCCATATGCCGGTACTCATCCGACAAACTGCAGGCTTCTGGTCCAATGTCATCCCTCTTCGCATGGTCTGGCTATCAGGTCTCTGGCGGGTCATCGGTGGCGGCGACCAAGTTGTCACGTCAATGGCCCTGGTCATGGTTGCGGACATCTTTTCAGAAGAAGAAAGGTAACCACCACCCTTTCTGTATGCGTTCACCATGGCTGACCGCTCTCAGATCAACGGCCCTGTTCCGTCTCCAATCCTGCGCGACCCTCGCAGAGATCCTGGCCACCCCCGTCAGCGCCTACCTGATGACCTTCGACCCGTGGGCGCCTTATTTGATTGGGATATGCATGGTGGCCCTGGGCGGCATTGCGTCGCTGTTTCTGCCGGAAACCCTCGAAGATGCCAAAGCCAAGCAAGCACAGCCAGACGCACCAGAAAGCAACGAGAGCGAGCATGGCGAGCCTCGACCCCGAAAACCGCGCTGCAAGATCTGCTGCACCAGGCCCACGAGTTCAAGCAATCCACCCAGTTTATCTGGAGAGACTGGAATATGTGCTTGATGGTTGTGGTGCTGTTTGTCACGGTGTTGAGCAAGCAGTCGACAAATGTGCTGCTGCAGTATGTCTCGAAGCGGTTTGACTGGAGCCTTGCCCGGGTATGCTACCCTCACCCCCCTAGTGCTGGTTTAGGACCAAGCTAATATCATATCAACAGGCCAGTCTTCTGATCTCACTGCGCGGGTCCTTCACACTCGCCAACTACCTCATCCTGATGCCAGCACTATCATTCCTCGCCGCGCGATACCTCGGGCTCCACGGCAAATGGCGAGACTACCGCCTAACACAAGGCAGCGGCGCACTCTCAGCAATGGGATTCGCAGCCATGTCCCTCGCACCCGCGCCAGCCGTACTGATCGGCGGACTAGTGATATTGTCGCTAGGCGCAGCCTTCCTAGTCACAGCACGCAGTCTCGCCACAAGTCTCGTCCGGCCCGACCAAGTCGGCACCTTATACTCGGCGATTGCCATCGCGCAGGCTGCGGGGATGCTGGTAGCGGGCCCGTTGTTCGCCAACCTGTTCCGGCTGGGAATGCACATGGGCAGCGTGTGGATGGGGCTGCCGTTTCTACAGGCGGCTGCGTTCTATGCGGCTGCGACTGTGGCCATTTGGTGGATTCGATTGGGGTCAGTGAGGAGCGGCGAAGAGGAGTGGGAGATACAGCCTCTGCTTGCGGGGTGATATGGATAACTCCCGTGGATGTTAAACACTGCGATGAATGGTCAGATTGACGTTACTCTTCGTATCATCCGATTCTGCACGGTGCCGATCCCGCCCCGTCAACACTCAGTCTATCTTCAACACTCTGCTATACCATTCAAGGCAAGACGTGAAGGATTGCAAGACTAAAGACGCAGTCCTCTCAGCTGAAGGTTGCAGTTGTTCATTTCGTCTCAAAACGCGATCACCCCTTGTTCAAGCGGGGGAAAGTGAACGGAGATCCGCGCGATGCAACGTCAATTGGAGCCCCTCAGGACGTCCGACGGACTCAAAATTAGCGCTGTGCTAGACATCCCCTATTCTTTGTCTCTATTGGCCTGTCTACTATCAGCCCTCTCCATCACGGCGATCTCCGATCTGCAAATCAGCACTCGCTGGACGGGACATGTGCTATCGTGCACTGGGGTTATACAGACCTACCAAGGGACTTAATATTTGTATGCATCCTCGCTCAAAGATACTCCGATTCTTGTGCCAGTCTCCTATGCGTTGAATTTCTACTTCTCTCTCTCCCTCTCTCTCATTTACAATGACCTCCTACACTTCCATGGGCATGCTAGCCCTAGCAGCAATGCAGCTGGTCACCGGCGCCGTCGCCGACCTCAAAACCTGCCCCTCCAGCAGCCCGCTCAGCTGCCAGGCCTCCTCACAGGCATCGTGCTGCTTCAACTCGCCGGGCGGTGCTCTGCTGCAGACGCAGTTCTGGGACACGGACCCGGCAACAGGGCCATCGGACTCGTGGACGATCCACGGGCTGTGGTGAGTATGACTCTGCCATCAATACATTTGATTCTTGTTATTCTGTTATTCCTGGGTCTGATATTATCTTTTTTTTTCAGGCCAGATAACTGCGACGGCACCTACGAATCCAGCTGCGACTCGTCCCGCGCCTACACCAACATCACCGACATCCTCAAGGCGCAGGGCCGCGACGACCTGCTGTCGTACATGCAACAGTACTGGGTCGACATCAACGGCGACGACGAGTCCTTCTGGGCGCACGAGTGGGGCAAGCACGGCACCTGCATCAACACCATCGATCCGGACTGCTACTCGGATTATTCGCCGCAGCAGGAAGTCGGCGATTTCTTCCAGAAGGTCGTGGATTTGTTCAAAGGGCTTGATACTTACAAGGTATGCCCCCAGCCTTCAATGTCCCGCTTTATATTTGTCCCCGTATGTTTATCTAATCGTGTAATGCTGTAGGCCCTCTCCGACGCTGGCATCAAACCCTCCTCGTCCAAAACCTACAGCCGCAGCGACATCGAAGCCGCGCTGTCTAAGCTGCATGGTGCTGAGGCGTACATTGGCTGCAAGAGTGGCAAGCTGAACCAGGTCTGGTATTTCTTTAATGTGCGCGGGAATGCCATTGATGGCAAATACCAGGCCACCAGGCCGCGTACGTGATAGCACTCCCCCTTCGATTTGGATGTTGTGGTTTGGTGGTTGAACTAACAAACATGTTCCTAGTCTCTGACTCGAGCTGTCCCAAGAGTGGGATTAAGTACGTGGCCAAGAGTGGTAACTAGAAATGGCGGATCAAGTGGACATCTCTATGTAGCAGGGATCCTAGCAGGGGCACCCGAGCCAGTTGGTGTGTGCTGCTTATTTCATGAATGCTGAGTTGACACATTCAGTGTCAGCTGAATTGGTATCGAGATCTATAATACATGGTCATGGAGGACTGGTTCCATGAATCTGGTGCTATCAACCAAAAGAAGAGTCTTCTCAAGTGGCTGCTCAAGGATTGACTTGCCGAATCAATCAATCATATTCAGACAATTTTGTTTCCTGTGACCGTTGATTGGCTGGATTTTCGCACCATCGGTGTCATAGACGTAGTGTGCCCTGAGCACACCGTATGGTCCCAGACGGCCGAGCAAGGAGTTAGACTTGAGCCGCTTGTTGTAATAGTATCTGGTGGTTTCGGAGAGTGACAGCCACTCTGATAGTAACCCAAGCCGAGATGTAGCAATGCTTGGAGGTATCTCGCAATACATCCAGCATGTCTCTTGGCCGTATAGTTCGCAGTGAGCTATGTCCGATAGCAGAGATTTTTTAACAGAGCTAAGACACGACGAAACATCACATGCCCTTGAGCCGGGCAGCTCGTCGCTCGTCTTCCCTCTTGGCCTCCATGCGACCCAGGAAGTCCATGCGGCCAATATAGCCCTCCTTGGCTTTACTGTGCACACGGAGCTCGTCTTTGATCCCAGCATTGTCCACATACGCCGCCCAGTCGAGTCTCGACTTCTCAACGGTATTGATTTTCGGCCCGCGAGCATCCTTGTCAACTTCAGCGACGGGCTGTTTCTCCCAGCTCTTCTTGATCGTCCCGGTCGGATTAGGATCGAACCGCGAGATCTTGCGAAGAGGTCGGCGCAGCGGGTGGGCATCCACCGTCTCGACAGCATTGGCATCGGTGTATTCGGCGTTGTCGCCACCGGACAAAAACGCCTTGGCCTCGGCCGAATCCTTGGGCACGACTTTTTCTTCGGTGATCATTTCGCCCGCGAACTTATATGTGCGCTTGATCTTGATCATCTGTTCAGCGTGTTCCGAAGGGCGCGTGCTCTCCTCTGCAGCTGGGACTGGGCGATCCTGCATCTCGGTGTCTGCGTGGTCGACCTCGGGAGCTTGCTGGGCGTCCTGCTGAATTTGGGATGGCGGTATCCCGCTGTCGGTATCGGGGGCGTTCATCTTCGCCCACAGGGCATCCACGTCCACAGTCGCGCCGTCGATTTTAGCCAGCGGTTTGCGCTCTTCATGTCTGTTCGATCAACACGCATTAGAGGACCACCCCCGCAACCTCATGAGTCCAAAATTTTCAAAACTTACATTCGCATCTTCATCGCTCGCGTTCGCACAAAGCCCCCCGCCCCCCCTTCCTCATCATCCATATCGAGGTCGCCATCGTCTTCAATGTGTGTGCCCTTCTCCTTCTTGCCTCTGCGCCTCTTTGCTTTCTTCTCCCTCGCCTTCCGAATAGTAGCCTCGTCACCAGAGTCTAGGTCTTCATCTGCTGGAGTCTCTGCTTGCGAGTCTGTTTTCCGTTTCTTCTTGGCTGGTTCGGCGGTCTCGTTGTCGGAGGACAGCTCGGAGTCGTCCTGCGCGTCCAGCTGGAAGTCTTCATCTTCAGCGGAGTCATAGGACTCATCGTCGACGTCGGGAGCGGATGATACGGGATGGGTCGACATATTGGTGTGTGGGAGTGAAAGAGTGAAGAGGCCGAGAGGAGTGAGAAACGCGATGCCGGCCCCGATAAGATAAGACCATCGTCCTTGTAGCTCGCTCGGGTGACTACAGCTGGGACCACCATTACTCGAAACCTCAGACCACCATTAAGGTCACGTGTAGGCCCGTAACCGTTTTGGGACTAGTTCTAATAAGGGTCCCACCTCTCAGATTCTCCACTTAGCTTACCTTACCTTACTACCTCCCCCTATATTTCCACGTCCACGAATACAGTGTTTTTACCTGTTTTTTTTACCTCTCTAAACCTCCTCCCTAACTAGGAAGTATCTAGTTCCCTTTCCCCCGAATCCTCGATTAACAAGCGGTAGTAAGATAGCGAAAGTCAAGAAAAATATAAGTTAACTAGTTCTGAACTTATTCTTCTATTTCTTCCCTATTATCCCAGTCCCGATAAAGAAGGGAGTAGATAGTATTATACTTATACGCGAGCTATTAGTCGGGATTAATCTAGGCGTCTATTGTTGAAAACTAGTTAGTAACGAGCTAGTAACTAGTTTTGGTAGGGTGTAAACAGATTTCAGTTTGTGTGACAAGATAACGATAGAGCTCGGTTAACCATTAGAATCTAATGGTGGTCTGACCTCCCAACACGTGACCAAAACGTGACTACACGTGACCTTTATGGTGGTCGGAGGTTTCGAGTAATGGTGGTCCGAGCTACCGTCTGCGGGTTACTAATAATCTCTTATAGCTTCTTCTGACTTGTTCAACCCGCAGTATTAATTCATATCTTGAACCACTCATGTGCTAAGACTTCCTCGATGCTAGGCCGCTTCTTCGCTTCATAGCGGAAGAGTCTATATAGAAGATCCGCCATGAGCCGTTGCTCCGGCTTGGACGTGATCAAGGCCGTCGGTGCTGCGCCGTTACAATCTGCACCCGGCCGGACAATCTCCATGGGCTTGCTCAATGCCACCTCGAGAGACCATTCTTCCTCATTCTCTCCATCCCGAAGCCATACCCCCTGATCGTCAAAGAAGTCCTCCCGGGCCTCCCACCGATCCCACCACACCTGAGGTAGTTTTCCAAAGAAACGCACCATCTCCGCCAGTAGTTCGTCTTTGTCGAAGATCATATAGAAGAGTGGAAGCTGTTCGCGGATCTCGAAGAGTGTGCACCCCAGTGCCCACAGATCGCAGGCCGGGCCGATGGCGTTCTCCTGGTCGAGCAGCACCTCGGGCGGGAGGTAGTTCTCGGGTATGCCTAGGTCGGCTGGAGGGGACGAGACCGAGAAAGATTCACCGAAGTCGATGACGCAGATTTGGTCGGTGAGGTATTCGTCGCCCAGTGGCGTAGTATCGGCGGGGATTGTTAGATATCGCGGCGAGGATGCTGGAAGGTCCTCGCCTGACTCGCTACGTACATGGGTCTTTTCGGGCTGACCCAGAAGAGAGAGCAATTCATCCTCGGGCAATTGATTGAGATTGTCCAGCTTGACAAGGATGTTGGAGGGTCGGAAATCTGCCAATATTTTTTATTTCCTAGTCAGGTTTGTCGGTAGGAGCGACAGGGGTGGTAAATGGTACATACCTCCGTGACAGAGCCCGTGTTTATGCAAGAAGTTCATGGCTAGGGCAGCTTGATAAGCCATCCCTCGGAGGACAGGCGCAGGATCTTTTTTCAGCCGTAACCACAGACGAAGCGAAACGCAGGGGCCAAGAACCGGCAGCACGATGCACTGGTGTGTTCCATTTGGCCCGGCGATAAAGAAGGAATCGAGCGGGATAGCAATATATTCAGCGCCAGGAACAGATCGATCCAATCGCGTCAAGGTAAGGTCTTGAAGAGACTCTCGAGTCACATCTCCAGTCATAACTTTGACAGCAACATACCCAGGATCCTGAGTGTCCCGACAAAGCCATACGGTGCCGAAGCCGCCATGTCCGAGTTTGTGAATGACACGATACCGGCCAGATGGGCCGAGTATGTCACCGAGGTGTATGGGATGGTATCCGCCATCTTGATATTCCTCTAAGGATTCGAGGCTTTCATTTATCCCATCTAGATAAGTCCCGTGAGAAGTTGCAGGCGCGTGGTCAATATCTCCGTCGTATTCGAATGATGCATCATTGACGATCTCATCAATGACAATATCCCTACCTGTGTTGGCGTGGCTGAACTCGGGGGGTAGAGGTTGACTCCTGCTGGACATGATTCTCAGCGAGGAATGTCTCTTGCTCCCGGAGGCTATAGACAAACGGCCGTGAGAGGTACAGACGCAAATTGGAAAAAGACCCTTAATAGAGGGTTTTTGGTGTCAAAGTAGGACAGGGGAGAGTATGCGATAGTGTCGAGTGTGAAGGGAACAATACAGGTGTTAGTGCGAAGAAGCGCAGATCTGCGGGGCGCTAAATGACAGGCGTAGCCTGGTTTGAGAGCCAGTGCATCTGTGTGGGTCTCTGGCCGAGCAACTAAGGAGTTTGTTTACAGCGAAAGGGCTCATGAATAGCTCGATTCATACATCGCATAATACCAGAAGAAAACCAACTCCAATCCATAATTTCAGAAGCACCAGCTCCTTGATAAGTGATTCATATACAATAACGTCCAATTCCATAAACACACCCTCATATCTCATACAAACTATCCGATCAACGCCAGATCCACCTCCCCATACCAAGCCAGGATCAATTCCGGAACACCTGTTTCGTAGCAATATCCAACTTCTCCAACTGAACAAGATCCTCACGATGACGAGCGACATTCCGCTGAAGCCACGCGCCGACCGCAGCGACCAGCCCCAGGAGAACCTCGAGGGCGAGCAGCACACACAGCAAGACAAAGCCGGCGCGGGTACTGGCACAGTCGCGGGAAAAATAGATAGGGGCCTGTGCGCCGTCCGGGGCAATCTTCCATTTACAGGTCCAGCTATGCAGGGTTTCGTTGTGGGTGAAACCTGCTGGGTAGGATGAGGAAGGTCGATGGATGATGAAGAGGACGCCGACTAGGGCGGTGATGAAGCCTGCGAAGGCTGAGAGGGAGGCGTAGGTGTTGAGTGGCTTGATGCGGGAATGAGGCTGGGAGGTGTCAGTGTCGTCGAAAGCGAGAAAGATTTATCATTCTGATTGGGGAAAGAAAAGAGGAAGGATAAGATTAGGGGACTCACAGATGGGAGAAGAGCCGCTACGATATACATCAAACTCAAGAATGTAATCACGCAGCCGCAGGACAAGGCTGCAACAGTGGGACGAAGATCGAAGTTGAGCGGCCACAGCGCCAAACCGACAGATGCCCACTCAGACGTGCTCTTATAGTGGCGCAAGGGCACCGCCTCACAGGGGATGATCGCAATGGCCGCGATGAATATCAACGAGGACAGTCCGAGACGCGCCCAGTGCAACGAACGGCTGCGTCTCAAAAAGGCCGACTCCTCCAATTCCGCAGTATAGGTTTGATGGGAGCCGGCAGTCGACGAGTCGCAATTCATGGTGAACAATTGAAAAAGAAACGAAAGCTCAAGAAGTAACAAAAAAGCAGTTTGACCACCTTGCCAGCAAGGGTCCCTTTTGGAAGAGTAGTCTAAATGTAAAAGTGAAAAAAAGAAAGAGACCTCTCTTCTAGAGAGACGGAATGAAAGACAGGTGATCGTAGAAAAGAACGGCACCGAGGTAAAAGATATAGGCCCTGTCTCAGAAGGCGCGCAACAGCGGCGAAGAAGAAGATCAAATATGTATTGGCAAAAGACAATCTGACACTCTGACACTCTTCGGCGAGCGCTATGCCGTCACAAATTCCACCATCGAACCAGCGCCAATCCAGCAGGAAACTTTAGCCCTAACTGCAGCGCGGAGGAACAAGGCGGGCGCATCGACAGGAGAGCAAGAGACCTGATTCGCTGAGCACGAGTTTAACTTGCAGAAAGACAAAAATAGCTTCACCAGGGCTGGTCTGGTATTGGACCAGTGGAGTATCGGGGGAAATCAACGCCGGGGATGGGCGCGAACCTGCAGACTTGGCCGGCGAATGAATGACCAGCAATCATCCAAGTGCTGATCTACAGCAAGATTTTAGAGGAGCTCTGTGCACAGAAGAAAGACAAGAGAGTGGGGCCCATTATGCAAATCCTCGAGAGGGGAGATGTGATAGGCACTGGCGAAGCGCTGGGATCACGCCACGGCGGGTATTGTGTTTCGCGAGAACCAATCCATCCCCGAGTGATGGGCGTTGTTCCTGCATGCGAGGCCTCGTAAATCACCCCGGAAAATGCATTGGTTCAGGTATGATTCTTGATCGCGTTCCTGATCAAGCTTGTGCATAAGAGTGGACCGAGGAGGTTGGATTCAGGGCCTTGTTCTATTTTCAGAACAGGCAAGATCCACGGTCGAGATCATCTTGTCAAATTCTATCAGACATCCATAGATGCATCGCGACATTCTGTATTTCTTGGTATATCTACAACTCTCAAATTGCTTGGTGTGATGGTTGGTCACCAAGTCCCCACCGCCCGCGGCAGAATCCGATCACAAAAATTGGCGGGGAATCGCAGGGAGCGCAAGTCAACGTTGGCTTTGATCGGAGCTTCACTGTGATTAGGAACAATTGCGCCCTGCACAATGCCACTGTCTAAGCTACAGGGAGTCAAGCTCCCCGCCTCGGCCGACTTCCATGGTTTGTTCGCGCGGGGGCGTGGAGATGGGGGAGATGGAGGATTGCGCTGACCAGCGAGTAGTCCACCTGCGCGACGGCCCGATGATGGAGCTGGTGACGCCCACCATTCGGCAAGGAGGCGTGAACACGGTCTACGTCATGGTAAGAGAAAAGAAACCCGGGAACATGTGGATTGAGCTCGGATATATAACAACATGAACTGGCAGCCCAACCTAGTCCCGCCGATCACAACGGTCGACCATGCCCTGGACTACCAGAAGCGGCTGCAGGCCGTTGAGCCGAACGTGCACTATCTCATGTCACTGTACCTCCACGAGACCATCAACCCGGAGACAATCATCGAAGCGAAGAAGCGTGGCATCACGGGTGTCAAGAGCTATCCGGCCGGAGTCACCACCAACTCGACCTCGGGTGTGGTCGATTACTCGCAGTTCTACCCGGTCTTCGCCGAGATGGAGCGTCAAGAAATGATTCTGAACCTGCACGGAGAATGCCCCTCTAAGGGCGATGTGACGGTGCTGTCGGCAGAGGAGCAGTTCCTGCCCATCCTGGCGGAGCTCCATGCCCAGTTCCCCAAGCTCCGCATCATCCTGGAGCACTGCACCACTGCGGCGGCGATCGAGGCTGTGAAGAAGTGCGGGCCCACGGTGGCCGGCACCATCACAGCCCACCACTTGTCCATCATCATTGATTCGTGGGCGGGAGATCCTTTCTGCTTCTGCAAGCCCGTGGCCAAGACGCCGGCTGATCGGGACGCCCTCCTTCGTGCCGCTGTCTCGGGTAACCCCAAGTTCTTCTTTGGTTCTGACAGTGCTCCGCACCCGGCTGCCTCCAAGCGCGGCGGAGAGAAGATCGCCGCAGGTGTCTTCACCCAGCCATACACCACCCAGGTTGTGATCGATGCCTTTGACCAGGCCTGCCAGAACGGAGTCCTCAAAGAGGAGCAGATCACACCAGAAATCGTCGAGGGCTTCATGAGCAAGTTTGGCCGCGCCTTCTATGGCATCGGCGAGGAGCAGAAGGAATTCATCACCATCGACAACAAGGGCGAGAAGATCGTGGATATCCTGCAGTCAGACAAGATCGACGTGGTTCCTTTCAGGAAGACCCAGGAGACATGGAGCGTGTCATGGTCTTGAAAGGCCCGCCAAGATCCAAACCAAAATGATACCAGTCCTCGTAGGACCGTACGCATAAGCCTGTCACTTTACACGGACTTGTCTTGCCCTTGCGTAAACATATTGGCCACGTTCTCCAAGGCATGCGCCTCGGAGATGTCAATGCGACGGCCCGCGACAACCGGGTTGCCATCATTGCCCATTGCCAGTTGGCCTGCTCGCTCGAGGTGAAGTCTGATCCGGCTCTCAATGTATTCTTTCCGTTCATCTCTCTTAGTTTTGGACTCCATTTCAACCGTAGCGCTAGGCAAGGTCGCCAATCTCGGCCGGAGCTGCTCAAGAGTGGCTTGCAATGCGGGCAGTTGCGAGAGGATGAAGGTCGTATTTGTAGTAAGAGGCGTATGCTTGGTATTGGATCCGGCATCAACACCGACACGCAACTGGCGCGCAGCTGGGCTGGAGGTCAAGAAGGCCAAACTGAGTTGTCCGCGTGCAGTCGCCTTCGCATCCTCGGCCGCACCCTCCGATTTCGCCGTGTCTACAGTCGACAGGATAGACTGTAGTTGAGAAATGACGGCCTCGTTCCGAGCGCATTCGGTTTTCAAGGACTGGTTAAGTTTTCGGGTCTCAAGTAATTTTTTGCGCTGCGCATGGATGGTCTCGGGAGTGGGCGTGTCTGGTGTGGAAGTGAAAGAGAGACCCTAAAAGCACGCGCGTTAATCGCATACACAAATAATATAAAACAAGCACGGCCAATTCGTCAAAGCCGACACATAAGCAGTCTGCATACCTCGTAATGCTTCAGTCTCACCCAAGAGAGCAGGTCTTCGGGTACCGTAAGGATGTTGCGCAGCAAATAGATTTCGAATTTGTCAAATGCCTTGTCAACATTTGCTTCCAGCAATGTCTCTAGTTGGTGCAGCCCATTCTCAATTTCTAGCTTTGCTTCGGGGTACACCACATTGCCATCTTCGTCGGTGTCGGGGATCGTGGAACCATTGCTGGCATGCGCGAAACCCAGGCGCTCGGGCGGTGTGGCAAGTAGACCAGATTCCAAGCTCGAGATGGCCTGGTAGATCAGATTGTTGATCGAGTTGATAATATCATCTATGAGCGACTGGAGGGGTGGTTAGCGACAAGTTTGTTTTCCAAGGGGTGGGTCCTCGCGTGCAGCTCGAAAGCGCAACGAGGGGCTCAACATGGATCGGCGAAAAACCAGAAAACTCACCAAAGGGGTGTAGCTGAGGTGCTCAGTGAGCAAGGAAGTGGTCGCATCGTTCATCGCGACGGATGTGAGTTTCCGGCGGTTGAGGCAGGTTCGACGCGATGCGCGTTGAAGAAGAGAAGACGCGAGGGGGAGGAAATGCAGACGCCACCGCCTTCGCCCTCAACCCGCATTCTTCGCATTCTTCGCGCTCTCGGAGCCACGCTGATAGAGCTTGGACACCTCGAATTTCTGTTTCTATCCTTTGATGTCCTTCAAAGAATTGGAGTCACACTCGGGTAGACATGAATGTATTCCTGTTGGACAGATTTGGTGGCAGACTAACCCCCATGGAGCATCCATGGATATCACGCACCACGGCGCCTTGACCTTCAGCTACGCCGAGTCTGAGAGGCCCAATTCATGCAGTGGCATGTGTGCCAGCATCATGATCAAGTTTTCTCTGGCCTGATATCAGGGCAGGGCTCGAAACATCTTCGGTTTCCAACTGACCGGCTGGAGCGACAGGCCATTGGAAGGTTGCCATTATGCCCAAAGAAAAGAAGGCCTGCAGGTACCAGGCGGCCCCGTGGACATATCCTTCTTTGTTCTCTTTCGAGGCTTTATTTCACCTCGATATCACTGATTCTTTGGATGTCCTTAAGCCACCTCATCTTGCTTGTTGATACTTGCAGCTGGTAAGGTACCTGGCAAGCCAACGGGGAAGAGCCGCTACTCACATACATCCTCAGATAACCCCGTCATGGCTCCATCAGGTCCACTTCGAGTCCTGGTCATCGTCTCCCAGAGAAGCCCTCTGCTGGCCAAGGCCCGCGATTCGCCAGGAGATTTACTTCCAGTGGCTGTCCAACTTCTGAAATCAAACAATGTCTACAGCACACGGGAAGAGAGTCTGCCACAAACAAAACTGCTGGCGATGCAAATATTCAGAACTCGCATTTTCTTCGTCTTCGATATCGCTAATGCATCCTACAACGCCAGACTAGGCCATCTCCCCGAGCATAACCAGATCCCGGTGGCCGTGGTGCATTTCAGCAAGAAGCGGTCCGCCTATGCCGCCAATCCGTGGGTTTCCCGACGAGTCAACCGCGACATTGCTCTTCTTCACAATGCCAATGGCTTCGGAGCGGTGCCACCATTCGTGGAAGATCATACTCTGGGGAAGCCGCCTCAGTACTTGAATCCGCGCGACCTCTCACTATTTTGACTGCTATGTATCTAGAAGATCTCGTGCTGGGGATGTGGTATCTCAAATAATGACTCGAATAAACGAAGTGCCCGAACGCCATCTCACCCACAAACAACCATTGCCTTTCAAGAAAAAAAAAGATAGATATACAGACGTTAGAAATCCATCGTAAGCTGCGGTGCCATTTTCTCGAGGTCTTCCACCTGCGCCGACATATTAGCTCACTTGCGCGCATGTAGTTAGGAGAGTAGTAAAGCCATACCTCCAAAAAACCGTCCCCAGCGCCCCTCCCACCAGCCTGGTCATCCGTCTCGGCCCTCTCAAAGGCAGCGCGTGCAATAGCCTCCCTCACAAAAACATCGACATACTTAGCAACGACCCCATTGGCATCTTTAGCGACCTTGGTCTTTTCGCTCTGGAAATGGTGGTGGAGCAGCTTCGTCAACAGTTTCGGGGGTATAGCCGGGTCACCCGACGTCACGTCGTCCCCTTGCTGGGCAGAGGTGATCTCGGCAAGAATATAATCTGGTTCCTGGGAGAGCGAGCGGTCGCGACTGCGATTGGACTCATCCTCATCTTCGGACTGAGACGCGGCGTCGGAGGCTGATTCCGCTGTTGGAGGGGACTCGGCACGCGCGCGTTTCTTGGAGGTTGTGGGCTTTGATTCGAGCTTGGCTGTCTTGGATGCCGATGCTGATGAGACTTTGTTGCTTGGTTTTGCTTTGCTTTTGGCTTTCGGCGCGGATGTTGATGGCCCCGCGTTGGAGGCGCGGCTGGGAGGATTGAAGGGGAGGACGCGCCGCTTTTTCGCGGCTTGAGGTTCACCGGGCATTTTGTGCTGGATATTCCCGCTAAGAGGAATTGGTGACGTTGGAGGGGGCTGCTGGATGCTAGAAAGCGCGGGTCGCGATCTGCGGACGCGGTGTCAGGTGATGCTCTCTATTTCGACACCCTCACACCCACGAGACACCTTGGCTTTTGACAGTACAAGTGGCATTGACAATATTGCTGGAGATCTGATGCTTTTTTTGAACACCAAAGGCTTTGCACTTCAGTTTATCATCGAATGTTTCACTTGCAAGTACTAATCGTTCCATGGATGAAGTGGGTCTACAGCTCTATAGAATGACTCGACCTTGGCGATGCGTCTTTCGCATTTCACATTTCAAGACCAGTCCCCGCATATATTCTTCCATATGCAGTACTTTGACGAAAAATTACCTCCGCCCGAATACTCAGCGATGTTCAATGAGTACCAATTACAGAGGCATGTCATCCTCCCATGCGCCAACTCTTCCGCGCTCATTCCCCAATTCTGGGTTCGAATTACTCGATTCCGCAGAGGAAATTGAAGAAGAGATTCGCTTTCTTACTGTGCTAAGAAATAATACCCTATCAGCATAGGAGAAGTGCTCGGTGAACGGTATCAGGTTGTTGGGAAAGTGGGATATGGCGTATCATCTACTATTTGGCTTGGACGTGACCTCCAGTCCGTTGACACCAGATATCTTTGCTCAGTGATGTTTAATGACTAACACATGTTATAGTGAGCCCAAGTATGTCTTCTTGAAGGTCTACGTTCACAGCGCCGAGCGAGATCTCGAAGTTAAGATCTATGAACAGATCAATGCCACACAATCAGACCATCTCGGCAAAACCTACATACGCAAGCTCTTCGACCATTTCCACATTGATGGTCCCCATGGCTGCCACACTTATCTAGTCCACCAGCCCCTCGGAATGAGCTTAGACCAGTATCTGTGTTTTTCCCCCGGTAAAGTGATGACTCTTAATGACCTGAAACCCTGTATCCGGCAAATCCTAGGTGCCTTAGACTTCCTTCACGATGAAGCCCGAATCATTCATACCGGTAAGTGTCTAGAACCCAGAGAAACCCACCTAATCTGATAGCCAACATTTTGAAGATCTACAGGTGAAGAACCTTTTCATGCCTTCCGAGTGTACCTCTCTTCCAAACATCGAGGAAACAGAGACGGAGGCACCCTCTCCCCGGAAGGTCTTAGATGATGGCCGCACGATTTACCAAAGCTGTCTGCTTCTCCCGGGAAATGGGTTACCCTTTTTGACCGACTTTGGCGAATGACGCTTCATGGATGAAGTCCACAACGACGACATCATGCCCAATCAGTACAGGGCTCCTGAGGTTGTGCTTAAGATGAACTGGGACTGCAAGGTGGATATTTGGAGCGTTGCCATGCTGGCAAGACACTTGCGACTCATGCTACTTTCTCTCAACTTTCTTAAAATCCACCTATAAACTAACGATATGTTAGGCCTGGGATATCGTCTGCAGTAAATTCCTGTTCCAGGGTCGAAATACAGATGGGATCTTCGATGACCGGGTCCACGTCGCAGAGATGATTGCGTTGCTGGGATCTCCACCAGCTGAATTTGTGAAACGGATCTAGGTCGGCCATGTATTCTGGAATGAAAACGGTAAGCCTTCAGTCAAAGCACTTCAGTATGACAAAAGAATTGCTGATAAATCCACTCTTCAGGATACTGGAAGGACCTTGTTCCCGTTCCCGATATTACGCTCGAGAGTCTAGGAGCCAACACCAAAGGAGACAACAAGAAAGGGGTTTTCCGGTTCTTGCGGAAGGCACTCTCGATGGATTCCCAAGGAGAGACCGACGGCCTCGGAGCTGCTGCGCGATGAATGGCTGATGAAGGGATTGAATTTCTCAAAACGTGGATAGTCTTCATAATGACGACAGTTTGTATGAATCCAGTACATAGCTGGAGAAAGCCTCTTCACAATAAAATATCCCGTTCTTGTCTTGAGAGGTTCGGCAATGAGTAGATCCATTGGCATGTTCACATAACACCCATAAAGAAATAAAGAAACCGGACTCCTGAATACAAACGAACCGAGGGCAACTTCAACTCCCAGGCTTTCAAACAAAACCACAACAGACCCAGATCTGAAGACCAACTCTCCTAAGTAATAGCCCGAGCAGCTCGGGCACCTCCACACCCAGAGCTAGCCTGATCATCAACCTCCTCTCCGAACGGATAGACAACCATTACATCCAACCCAACGGCATCAAGCAAGCTCCGAGTCCTGTCCCAAGAAACACCAAACATCCCGGAATTAAAACGGCAAGAGTAAAGCGCAGTGGGCGCATCACCGTCACCTGCAAGGCCTTGAGTTTGGTCAGAGTCAAGCAGCTGCAGTTGTCTCTTCAGATCGCAGAGCGCAGAATAGGTGCTGTTGACGATAAGGTTGGGCGGGTCCACCTGACGACCATATCCACCGGAGGTAAAGAGGCACACGATCCAGTGGCGCTTCTTTCCGGCCGCCAGATCAGCCTGCTGGGGCGGGATAATTAGCGCCGTGCCCAGCGGGTGCCACACCCGAATGGTGGTTTCGTTGCCAGACTGCAGGTTGATCAGGGTATTGGGTTCACGGCGGGCGAGGAGTTGTCTGCAGTGGGTGCGGTAGACCTGGTAGGCGGCGGGATACTGTTGTTAGTTAGTTATTGGGGGTCTGTTTCACAGGATTGTATGTCTTCGGCATGTGAATTTAATGTAGATTATGATGTATGCTGGAGATATAATGGGAACGGCCAGAGGCCGCCATTGAGAATGAGGGGAAGTGGGTATGCGGATGAGATTGATACAGACTCGTTCCCGAAACGCCCTCGCGATGCCTGCTCCCCAGACGCCTTGGGCGTTGCATGCGTCTATAACAGCGTCAGTGACGATTTGTAGTCAAAACAAGCAGAGATCACTGACGGATCAACGCCGCGCCCTCTGAGGCGTCGAACAGATTTCCCGGAGACTCCCTCACCCGGGTGTGTTGAATTGGCGGCATAGACGGCACAGCATCGTTGCTGTCATCGCTGGGGATAGCGACGAGCCCCTGTGGCTCACTGGAGGAGCTCATGGCGAAAAGACGCAAGAAGACGTGCGGGCAGTTTGTGTGGAATCTGAGGCGAAGAGTGTGGCGAAGCGAGGATTACGTGAAGCGAAACAAATTCACTGCGTGGACACGGTAGGGCAGGTAGACGAGTTCGCCTGCTGACTCGGCGAGCCGACCGTTCGAAGCATTGTCTGAAGGCAGCTATCGCTAGTTTGACACTAAAACCAAATTGAAAGAACAGATGAAAGCGATGTGGAGACTCTGACCCTGGGGACTCAACGATTCTACAGGATTGGTTTACCTGAAAACTATCAACAACTTTCCCCTGCGCAGAGTTGAGATGCTTCATTTAAGATCCGAAAAAAGAGAATTGTGATTGTAATTAGAGACCTCGAAGGTCTCGGAGTAAAACACTGGTAAAGAGGAAGTATCCTCGCGATCTTCACAAACACCCTACTTGGCGCTGCCCTTGGAGAGCTCACTCAAGCGCCGCTGGACAAACGTCTTCAAGCTCTTGCGCTTCTTGAGACCCTGGGACTTGTCCTCTTCCTGGGGTCCCTGCGCCTCCGTGTCGGCCGCGGCGAAAGGGAACTGCAGACCACCAGCCTGGACGGGGCTGGTGATGGGGGGCAGGGAGGGGGTGATCGAGAGAGGAGTGCTGTGGCTGCTGCTCGACTTGAGGCGGCGGCTCATCGAGCGAGAGATGCTCTTGAAGATGCCAGGGTTCTCCTCCTGTTCGGTGCGCTCAAGGCGCGAGATCTCACCGCGGGCCGTGACTCCGTTGGTCGCCAGGTTTTCCTCGACGACCGAGTTGAAAATGACAACTCCTTGACCGGGCGCAACCCCCAACGTTTCGTAGAGGAATGTTTGGAGGAGACTGGTGGCGCGGAGGTTGGTCATGGGGCCGATCAGACAGGGCAGGGCATGGATCTTGAGCAGATACGCCGGGAGAGTGTTGTTGCCGAAGCGAAGGCAGGCATCATGCTCAACAACCACCAGCACAGAGGTCTCGGGTCGAAGATAGACCTGGGCCAGACGAAGGGCCAGGTCGGTGATAAGCTTGGACTCTTCATCCTTAAGCTAGTATAGAAGTCAGCAACAAAGATCAGACTAAACTGCAAACATAACAACGAACATTGATGTTGGTCTTGAGTTCCGCAACAACAAGAGAGTCTTGATCAACACGCTCCTTGGGCGAGTTGTGAGCACCGCGGGCCGAGAAAATGTCCTCGTAGTACATAGTCTTCTTCCGGGTCAAGGTGGGTGATTCCTCGATACATGTTGGGGCAATGTAGATAGGCTTGATGTCAGGCGCATAGCGAAGAGTCGGCGCAATATTCTCATCATCCGGCTTGTCCTCTACAAAGACAGAAGGCCGGAAAGCCGGATGCTCAGAAAGCGGCGGCATGTGTGTGTCGGAATAAATCTTGGTTAGCGCAGGGTGCATGACCTGGGTCAAATGGCCAGGAGAAACATTTGTTGCCAGGCGCGGCAGGGACGACCTCTTCTGGTTGGAAAGATCCATGTTGTAGATGCAGTAGAACGAGAAGATGCAGTGAAAGCGAAACAACAAGATGCAGGGGAGCAAGGAGAAGAGGAGAGAAGGCGGGTGAGTGGGGAGAGAGGGAGAGAGAGTCGCCGAGGAAGAAAAGAAAATAAGAATAAGAATAATATTTCAGATTCGTGGGTATCAATGGAAAGCGCGACGGGGACGGTATTAATGATACGGCTCGGCGTCAACATAGAAACGCCAGCTCACTGAACGCCGAGTTCCCACTGTAGAAGATCTTGTCGATACGGCGCCTTCGGTCCCATACAATCTCACCATCCACATGCCGGATGTATAGCACCCGGTGCTGGGGGATGAACTCTTCATGGGTAGACTCTTTCTTCCAACTGCCCATGCCGACTTCCAATTGACCCTCGAATCGATCTAGAAACCCAATGATAAAATCAGCAGGCTCAAAATTGGAATCCCAATTAATGCGGTTGATGATATCTAGCATTGGTTAATAAGGTATTCATGATTTCATGGATAAATAGGAAATACCTCCTGCGGGCCGCAACTTGTTCTCTCCCGACTTGGACCCATGTCCTGGGGAAGGACTGCGGCGGGGTTTTTCTGCCACTTGCAAGCTGGTAGGTTCTGGTGATCCTGATAGCTCTGTCGTTGCTTCATGATAGTCACGTGGCGGAATAGGGTCGTTGGCAGGCATAGTGGACGCCATGATTATCTGCTGTTCAAAATATTTCAAAAAAACAGGTAGAGGTGCCAGACAAATTCCCTAGGGTGCATAGCTTATTTTATAGCCATTCATAGTCGTATCAGGTGTGCGACATGGCTGCTGGCTCTAGTGCCTGCTTGTTCCCAGAGGGGCTAGCAATATCATGCTCGCTTCCGAATGATCGGACAATAGGGCTTATTCGATTGCAGACCAGGCAATGTGACTCAAAAAATGTGGCGAAGCATGGGGCATGGCCCTTGAGTCATGGATAGGCCATAGGGCAATGCAATTTTTTTGCGGAACTCATCTCTGGATCAGCACCCAAGAGTCATCGGATTGATGGGTTGCTTGCTCAAGTGAAACCCCGATTGCCTACATTTAAATTGGTTTGATTGTCCTTCCCGTCTGCTTAGGGCCTCCGGATATTCTGGTTTTCCGAGTTCCGTATTGATATTGCACGTGACCATTACACACCCCACTTCGTATTCGTATTAAAATGACGTAACATCGTGGCCTAGCCGTATTGCAAACAGTGCAAACGCAATTACAGCCTGCTACGATCTGACTTGGCAGCCTTAGAACCCTAGAGCCTTGGAAGTATTTGTGCTTGGTCTATTTCGGACAAATAGCCCTGGAGGCCTCGGTGCCACGTCATGTAGAAATTACTTTTGATCTCATGCTCATTTCGAAACTCCAGTATCAACACGCTATGCAAGTACATTGATCCATCAACAATTGTCACGAGCTATGCACACCTTGACCGAGTCTACCCAGCAGTAGTACATGTCCATATCATCCACTCACCAGAGGATCCGGCGTGAGAGTGGCTGAGGTGTCGGTCTTGCCATCGGCAGGAGTGCCGGTCCTCTCAGAGGCAGGGGTATTGGTATCTTGCGTGTCTTTCTGGGCTTCGGGCTTCTCATCCTTCGGCGCAGCCTTGCCCTTTGCTTGGAGTGCACCGTTCTCCACGGCCTCCTCAGGCAAAGGGCGGACATGCGGTTGGCAGATCCAAAACGGCCTTCCATACTCGGCAATTATTGCTTTGGACCCTGTCAAATTTTCATCGGAATGCTTCTCGAACTTCTCGGGGGTCGTTTCGTATTCTTTCAGCCCGGACTTGACGGCCTGCTCGACCAAGGTCAGAACGTGCTCAAACGCGGCCATATCCCCCGGGCGAGACCTCGCAAGCGCGTCGCGGACGTTGGTGTGGCTAGCAACCATGGGCCGAAGGACCTGGAAGAGGTGCCCCTGCATGACACCGAGGCTGGGGGAATTCGGTCTCTTGGTCTTGTCGCGTTTTTGCTTTTTCTTGGGCGGGCCTTCTTCCTTGCCATTGCCCTCGGTTTCCTCGGGGCTCGATTCTTCTGTCGCGTCGACCGGATCCGATGGCAGGAAGAGAGGCTTTCTTTCTGGGATAGGCTGCTCAAGGACGTATTTATAGATGATGTCGAGGTATCTTCGAAGGATCGCGTCGATTCGGTATCCACCTTTGCCATCCCGTCCCCTCCAGTATTCCCTCTCGTTTGTACCGACTGCCGGCGGTTTGCTGAAGATAGTTGGGTCCGAGAGGTTCCCCTCGGCACTCATAACCCCGTCGGCTCCCGTGGCTTCGAGACAGCGTTCGAGGTCGTCATGGTTCAGAATGTTACCATTGGCAAAAATCACAGTCTCTGGTGGTAGATTGTCTCGCAGATAGCGAACATAATCCCAATCTGCTAGCCCGGTATTATGACCTTTTTGCTCTCGTCGGCGCCCATGCACGGTAATGATGCTCGCCCCAGCGGAGAGAATCATCTGGGCATACTCAAGGTCTTTTCTTTGCTCTCCTGGATGCGGAACTTGGCCGTGATCGGCACCGACAGCTCATTATAAAGGCGGTTGATGAGTTTGTAGATCAGATCCCAGTCTTCTTGGAGAAAGGCACCGTAGTGTCCCTTCTTCGCGATTCCTTGTGGACACCCGAGGTTCAGATCCACTGCGTCGCAGTACGGGGCCACATGACGCGCAGCCTCCAGAAACTCGGATGGATCATTTGCGCAGAACTGTACAAAAAGTGGTCGGTCAAAGGTCGGGTTTCCATCGAGAAACAGGCTGTTGTTCTTGTCGCCAATGACCTCGCGGGTGGGTTGGAACTGCTTAGCCCGAACACGCTCTTGTTCGCCAAAAAGGCGCGCATGGTACATTGGAGAATATGCAAGTATAGGTTTTGGTTCATTCGGCGGCATGAATGTTCGAGTGAGCATGCGCCATGCCTAGGAAAAAAAATAAAAATACAGGTTAGTTATGCGGACACGGAAATCGACAACGACAGACTTACGAACTCTGACCGGTCCACCATGGGCGCAAGAATATATTTCGGACTCCCGAGGCTCTCATAGAATTGTCTGCCCAGGAGTTTCCCCCGCGGCGATTGCGGAGTGGGCGCGGAGGTCGGCTCAACGCCTTGCGGCGGAGTGGCTTCGGTAGACATTTTGGCGCGGCTCAATCGTTGAGTCAGTGGGATAGATCGCCCCAGCCACGGGGAAAGAAGCTTTGTAAGACCAATTTTGACCGCTGGAAGCAAGTATGCCTCTGCTCGCGAAGTTGCAGATGGAAAGTAACATTTTGCGAAAACCACATTCGGAGCGGGGAAACAATATTCCAGTTTATCTTATCGCAGTGGGATGTTTGGACGCGGTGGATTTCGCATGACAATTGCAGAGCAAGTGCCTTTGTACAGAACGGATTGATCATGCCGGATGAAACATGAGCCTTGAAACATTGGTGATACTCGCCCTTACATGACCCCCGAGCCACGCGGCCAGCCGAGTTGAAATACGCATCAACAATGGACGCGTCGACAGGAGCCGGTGAATCTACGATCTTTCTCCATGTACATGGCGACCGCTAATAATGGTTCAGTTCCTTTGTCTCTTTCCTTGTCCGAGGATGGGTTTTATGGTGCCCGCGTGAGTGGCAAGGACTTGGTCGTTCACTCGAACCCTTTCTCTCCAGAGAACAGGGAAGTGCAAATCGCAAGGCTTAAAGAGACCACGCCCAGATTTCTTCGATTCAGTCCGGCAAGAACAACATCCGGGACATACAATGATGAAGGTATCTCTGGGAGGCGTCTTCTCAGCGCCAATGACTCTCGCATCTCGGTCTGGCAGCTCGACCCGCTGCAATTGTTCGCTGAGATCGAAAGCATCGAACCAGGTGCATTAAATGTGGACTTTGGTGGCGACGAGAATGAAATCCTTGTCTTCCATGCCTGGAATACAAAGTTGAGCATCCACTCGCTGGAGACCGGTCGCAGCTCAGTGATCAAGACGCCAAAGTCCGCTCACCACCTCGGATTCGGATACCGTCCCCAGACTCGACAGCTGGCCATTCTTTTGAAACCGGACGCATCAGACTTGCTGACTGTGCATGAATTCCGGTCGTATGAGCTTTTCGGTCGTGCCGTGCTTCCTACTATCGATGCGCAGGGCTTGAAATGGAGCCCAGACGGGAAGTGGATTGCTATCTGGGATGTTGCCAGCGCCGGGACCAAGGTGCTGATTTATACGGCGGATGGACAGCTTTTCAGAACCTACACGGGTCCACCTGGGGTGGATGATGCATTTGATCTAGGGGTGAAACAGGTAGAATGGAGCCCTGCGACTGCCTCTAGCAATACCTCCGCAGTGCTCGCCGTGGGTAAAGTCAACGGGAACATTGACCTTTTGGGGACTCGCACGGTGAGTTCAAGTTTTATTATGGGATACGATGAACGTTGAAGCTGATTTGCACAGTTCTCTTCTGCCACCACACTCTCCCATGTCTTTCAAATCGACCAGCACTCGCCCAGTACTTGGCGCGAGCGATACACCAGTGCGGCCGGTGATGCCGAGTACGCCGAGGCATCAAGCTCTTCTGCCTTCAGCATGAGCCCTGAGTCTTCTGGCCCCCAACGCGGTGTCTGGACCATGACATTCAGTCCAGAAGGTAGTCTCCTGGCGACGGTGGACTCCATGCGCTCGAACGTGGTTTGGATATGGTCGCTGGAGCCGACCCCGAGGCTAGCCTCTGCGCTGGTCCACGAACAGCCCGTCCGCCAGGTGATTTGGCATCCCTCGACGCCGCAGCTACTGATCAACACTGTCTCTAATGCGTGGCCGTCTGTGCGCTGGTGGTCGCCAACTGGCCGCCCGGTGATCGCCCGGGTTCCTACTCAGAGAAGCGAGAGTGGGAAATATGATTTGAAGTGGCTTCATGAAGCTGGCGAGGACTCGGTTTTTTGGTTTGGGTCAAGCGAAGAATACGTGGTTGGATATCTGTCTGTCGAAGACGGTGCTGTTCAATTTGAGGTCTTGAGTTCTGTGACCAGCAAAGGCTATGGAAGTTCTTCTGGAAGTATGAGTCGATAGCCCATTGTAACATTGGAATAATTTGGCATGATACAGACAATTCTGTTACTTAATATCTAATTAATACTGAAGTAGAAGAGAAATGCCAATTCCATCGACGATGTACTGTGCATCGCACCTTCTCTGGCCGGGATAGTAGTTTCCTATTTAGGAAGGCCTATGGTCATGTATGACGTAATCACACTACAGGCCATCGGCCAATCAGGGTGCCCCACACTAACCGACACCCAGGGCTTAGGGCTCAGCTGAGTCACGCCCCACGGCACTTTCGCACTTGATCACCTTCGGCGGTCGCTCTTCTTTCTTTGATCATCCACCCCAACAGTCAACATGGTGAGTGCCCACCCCAGGGTACAAACAAAAAACTGTTATCAAAGGCCAACCGACTAATCGCAATGCATTTATGACAGGCGCCCGCAGCATCGACCGGTGGCAAGAAGCAAAAGAAGAAGTGGTCCAAGGGCAAGGGTACGCTATCACCATCCCATCCGCGCGACGAATCCGAAAACAGAAAAACGATGAAGCGAAAAATGAATGAGAGAAACAAAAGCTGACTCGTTCCGCCTACAGTCAAGGACAAGGCCCAGCACGCCGTCGTCCTCGAGAAGAGCACCTCCGAGAAGCTCTACAAGGATGTTCAGTCCTACCGTCTGATCACCGTCGCCACCCTCGTTGACCGTCTCAAGATCAACGGCAGCCTTGCTCGCCAGGCTCTCGCCGACCTCGAGGAGAAGGGACAGATCAAGAAGGTTGTTGGCCACTCCAAGATGAACATCTACAGTATGTCCCAGCCCTCTGATAAATGGTGGAATCGCCAGAAATGCTAATGTTCGTTTTAGCCCGTGCCGTCACCGCCGAGTAAACGTATCGACTTCGTTTTCTCTTTCCTCGCGGTTCCTTTTATTTCCTTGCTACGAATGATATCATTTCACCATGGGAAGCTCGGCTGGGCGTGATGCATAGTGGTTCGACGCCCGGCCCCCGCGTGGCATCCGCGCTGCCGGGGGTTCGAGGTAGATTGAACAAGATCAAAAAAACTCCTCCAAAACTTCCAACTGGGTCCTTGTCTACTTCGTAGTCTACGTAGAGTCTTCGAAGCCATCCATGGATTGTGGACAATTTCGTCTTACATTCGCATGCAACGAACTATACACACCCAGGAATGTCACGACTTATCCATCTCACTCCTCTTAGGCCTCTGCGTTGCAGCCCCCTCACAAAGCGGCCTGGTCTGCGTACCCTCCAGCGACTGAATATCCACGACCCTACCCACCTGAAAATACCTCTTATGATTCCGAAAGAACCCCTCCCACCGCCGAACCGTCTTCTCAACCTGCGCCCTGGCCAGCCTGATCTCCCTCTCGCGCCGAATCTTCTTCTGCGCAGACGTCAGCCCGCCACTACCTGCGGACCCAACTTCATCAGCATCAGCATCCTCCACCGGCAGAAACATTTCCTCGACGCCCCGCAAGTCCGGGGTGAGGTCCTCCTGGAAACAACCAGTCACAAACGCGCGCGTGGCGTCGCGTCCGGCAAAGAAATTGTAACTGCCGCCGGGCCCGTAGACCATGGGGTTGGCGGAGACGTCGAAGATGGAGGCGTTGACGGCGAGGTAAATGGGGAGGGAGGGGTCGGTGCCGTTGTAGAGGGAGAGTTGGGAGGGGGTGAGGTTAATGGGGCCGTTCTATTTTAGTCATAAGAACAACAATTAGAATTAGAATTGGGAATTCACTTCGTATTTTTGGGTTGGATATGTTGGTCGGGATGTAGGCGAACACACTCACCATGTACAGCTTCACCATCGGCCATCGTGTAAACCATGGCCGATACCCCCATAGTAGCGACTCCGACTCCGTCATGTAATAGGAGAGCCCGCACGAGGCTAGGACGAGGGTGGCGAGGACGCGGATGATGTCCACGACGCTGATGCCGCGGTCTTCTGCGTCGGCGTCGCCATTGTCGGCGGGCTGCTGTGTGCGCCGGGTCGCTGTTGAATCTGGGGCACGGTTGGACCCAGATTCTGTAGTTGATTGTCGCTGACGGAGCTCCGACATATGGTCGGGTGAGTGGTTTAATAGGTTGTTAGGTGTGTGACGTGGAGAAAGAGTAAGAGAAAGTCGGAAAAGAAAAATAACCAATTCAGCTGTCGTCACTGGGCTGGGCAGGACAAACAAAAAAAAAAACAAAAAACCAGGGAAAAAAATGCTAAATCATCCGTGTTTCAATTTGACACTATGGGGAACCGATCTACTACGACATAAACAACTACTATCTGATAAAGATACAGCTCGAATAATATGAGTGTCAGCCAGATCACGTCGACTGCTCGTCCTGCTCCCAGCTGCGCGAAAACACGTCGTTCAGCGCGTCCTGGAACGTGCGGCAATTCATATCGATCAGGCCTCGTTTCTCTTTAGATTCGGAGTTTCGAATGACAGAGACGAGGCAGAGATATCTAATGATAGAAGTTAGGTATTGTTAAAGGCGGGGGCAGGCAAAATCATACTTGTTCATCTCCATCAAATGAATCATCGTCTCGTCGTGCAGCACTACATGGCTCTCGGCTTCCTGAATCTGATCGCCCTTGGGCTTCCGATCGGGGTGATCCCACGAATACAGCTCGGAGATGTCGACAATGACGTCAATATAGTCGGAGCACATCTCGTAGCAGGCCATATCGACGGGGCGGGTATCAGAGGCAATGTAGATTTTGCTCAGCACGTCAAAGAGATAGGTCTTTTCGAAGCCACAGTTGTTGCCAAGCGTGTTGATCAGGTTTTCGAGGGTAGAGAGGTTGGGAATGAGTTTCTGGATGACCTTGCTGAAGGCCTCAAACACCGAGTAGTCGTAGATCGACGTCAGGTAGTAGTGCACGGGCGCGTTCTCGTACCCGGCGTCGCTGAGCTCGTCTGAGATGCGCTGCACGATATCCTGGAATGTGTCGGTGCGGTACTCATCTGATAGTCCGTCCACCTTGTGGATGAACACCTCGATGTTGATCCCTGGGTAGTACTGCTGGACTGTCAGGATTGTGCGGTTGAGGCGCGCGACAGAGTCCAGATAATCGTCCTGTGCGTCGATCACCCACACCAGCGCACCCAGACTGCCGAAGATGTCTTCGAGGTCGAAGGAGGGTTCGAGGTATTCGAGTTGGCCTGGGAAATCCCAGACCTGGAAGTCCATGAAAGAGCTGGAGTCGAGATGAGTACCTGGATCATTGAAGCGACATTATTTCAACCACTTACTGAATCGAGTCTTTCTGGATGCGTGTGGTAGATTCCAAGAAAAGCGTTTCATTCGGCGGCATTTTGTGGAAGACAACACTGGCAATGGATGACTTGCCACTTCTGAGACACGAGTCAGTCTCTCATTCATCCAAACCAAGCCAGATCAAAACTTACCGGCGAAGTCCCATCAGAAGAAGGCGCGGTTTGGCATCACGGGCTTTGGTGCTGGACACCGAGCCCGACTTGGCCTGCGCTGGCACACCCGGAGTCGTTCCCTGTAACAAATGCTCGAGGCTTAGCTGGGCGCTCGTTTTATGAGTGACCGGGCTGGAGAGCGACACGGAAGCATCAGAGCCATGCTCGAACCGGGTGTTTATCGGCCGGGGTCTGGAAATTGTAGGAAATGGCATGGTGAAATATCAGGTGGAACGGGCATTGCTCAGGAAAGATGAGAGCGGAGGTGAGGTTACAAGAAAAGATGGTCGAGGATCAGAGACATTCACAGCACCACAGCATCACAGCTCGGGGGATAAGAAATCTCATCACCACAAGTTCCTCTATGAAAAGAAGAGCCTCCGACTGATCGAATATACTCTCCGAGGTGATGCCGAGGCGCCATATAGCATGGCTTGTGTCGCCATGGCGGATAAAACATCCCCTTTTCTTTTCTAGAAGACCAGTAGGCTGCATGGAAAGAAGTTGCATGCTTCCTTTATTTTTTTCTTTTTCGGCCAGCAAAAAGAAAAGAAAAAGAAAAAGGACCCGGGACCAGACAGCCCGTCTCACGGCCCGTGCAGGGGACACAGTAACCAGCCGCAATCCACGGGGATAGGCCAGCCGCGAGACCAAGACATATCAAGCATTGGTGATGGGTCGGGGAGAAATAGAAATATCTTGAAATCAAAGTCTCTTACCTCCATCAAATCAAGAAATCCAGTGTCTGGGCAGGGATAAATCTAGGGCAAGGCAAACACCTGGATCCGAGGTCATTATATGTCACAATGGGGCAAGAAAGGACCTTGAGGATGTGTCAAAACAGAACACTCACTGCACAGTACTGACTAGAACAGGTTCCGATGATCTCGTAAGGGACCCGAATGAAATGAGAATGCGAACATCCGCGGACCGATTTCCAGCGCCTCGTTGGTCGCAGTGGTGGTACAATATCGGGGAGCTGCAGCACCTCACGCCTGATGCGTCATTTCCAGCAGGTTGTTTCGAGAATTCACAGCGCAGAGGGAGTGGGGGAACTCATGAGCGCCGGTGCAGTTCAGGGATAGGGGAGTGCGGGGTTCAACAGTGCTGGTGCTGGTCGCGAGGGACGTGAAGGAAAGAAGTAATGATAGCTCTAACAAAAGGGGGCCAGGATCAGACCACAGATTGAAGCACCTTGAGTCTAGCAAAGAGACCCGTCGAATTGCGCGAAGATGCGAAGTGAAAGGCGGAGAAAGCAGGGACTTGGTGGTTTATCGCTTATCGCTGATCGGTGGGTTGACTACGTAAGATATGGGAAATATAAAAGAAAAAATATATAGAAAACTATATAAAAATATGAAGAACAAATAAAATAAAATAATAGAAATCAATCGCTTTTGGTTAATTCGTGACTTAAGCTATTTTATACTGCAATAGCTCGGTGGTTGTGTGCATGGTTGTGGCCTTGCCGATGCCCCAGGTGCTCGCTGATACGGTGCTTGGGCTTCTCTTCTTCTTCTTCCTCTTCATCTTCAATGCCAAAGGCAGGCCATTCCTCCCAGCCATCTTCCCACATATCAGTCAGCTTCTTGGCCTTTTCTTCTAGATCAAGCTTCGTATTTTTCATCACCTTCTCCCATTTCTTCATGTCCTGGTCATCCAGCAGACACTCATCGAGAATGGCCGAGATGCGGGCCTTGTCAACCCCTTCTCCAATGAACACCAACTCCTGACGGCGATCACCCCAGGGACCCTGGAAGTCATTCTGGATGGATTTGCGCACCTCCTGATCTTCGGGCCAGGCGGAGTCGGGCACTTCGGCAAACCAAGGTCCACCACAGCCGACCGTCAACATCCCGCCGGCTTGGCTCCACTCTCCAAACTGGAAGGGCCGAGTGGAGAGCCAGAAGAAGCCCTTGGATCGCAGGATGGGCCCAAAAGCCGGGTGGGAGCGTTTGTTGTTTAGGATGTCAGCCGGGTCGGGCTGGTCGAAGTCTTCTACGGACTCGGAGTCTGTGTCCATCTCATCTGCGTCATCACCTTCGTCGTCGTCGTCTTCTTCGTCGTCCACTTCATTGTTTTGAAGAAGGATGAATTTGTCATGGAGAAGACTGAACAGACGGCGAGGGTGGAAAGGCCGTCGGGCTGTGTAAACGAAGTTGTTGATCCCGTACCTACGGCATTGTGAGCAGCACATCCCGAATTTCGATCAAGGTGCAAACTTACTCCAGAGTCTCTGGCTTGGGCGCCATCCGGTCTCCATTGCCCGTGGTCTGGACCGTCATCTCGTGCAAGCTGCGTAGCCAACCGGCACCCGAGGCAGCGCGGACGAAATCGAATTTGCCTGTCGCGATGATCTCGCGAACGTCCACCTGGGAGTAACTGGACTCTAGGACTTTGGCGTCGGGATTCAGCAGCTTGAGCAGTTGCAGAATCTTCTCGCGAGTGGCTTGGTCGACGGTCTCGATCTTGTTCACGATCAAGACATCGGCAAATTCAATCTGGTCCACCATGAGATCGGAGATGGTTCGCTCGTCTTCAGGCACGATCTCCTCTCTCCCGTATCGGTCAGAGAGGAACTCGGTTGTGTCGAAGTTGGATAGTAGGTTGAAGGCGTCGATGACGGTGGCTGTTGTGTCCAGACGAGCGAGAGTGTGGAGCCCGCCCAAGTCCACACTGATAACACCAAAGGTCAGCTTGTCGGCGATTAAAACAGGGGATGAAGAACAAACATTTCATTCAGAATCTTCTTGGCATCCTCATCATCCTCCGCAATTTGATCCTCCGCTTCCAGCATTGCAGTACTGAATTCAGCCGTGAATGTCTCGGCGACTTGCATCGGCTCACTAATCCCCGTGCTCTCGATGACCACATATTGAATGTCGTTCTGCTTGGTGAGCTGTGCAAGCTCGGCCAACAGATCCCCACGCAGTGTACAGCAGATGCATCCATTCTGCAGCTGGATGAGCTTCTCGGTGGTTTGAGAGACTTTGTGGTTCTTGATGAGGGCGGCGTCGATGTTCAACCTTGGACCGAGAGTCAGTGATGGAGACTAGGAAGTGTGTGATTACTATACTGACTGGCTCATATCATTGACAATGACGGCAATGCGAAGCCCATGGTCCGGGGACTTGAGGATATGCTTGAGGAGAGTGGTCTTGCCGCTGCCCTACATCAGTGAGTTAGTGATTTGTTCTGAGGTGAGACAATCCCCAATGGATATATATTCATACCAGGAAACCCGAGAGCAGCGTGACCGGCAATTGCCTAGCCTTGGGCACATCCTGCGAGGTAGTCTGGATCTGGTACGAGACCGACTCTTTTCCGGAATCAATAACCATTCTTCTGAATTGAGTCTGTGGGGGATTATGCTAGATTTCTGCTAGCTGTATACAGAAAAGAAGAAAAGAGAGGGATTCAGTTCCGACACCTTGCGGGCAACACTCTTTATTTCTTCATACCGCCCCCGTCTCCAAGTTCCTCACTCTCTCCCGGGCTCAGTGGCCATTCCGCCGTCCATACCCATGGCAATACCAGTCCCCCAAGGTGTCGATGGGAATGCAGTGGAGCCATGGCCAGTCCAATGAAGCATAGCCTGGCGAGCGGTGATGATAAATCGGGCACTGTGTATGGCTGGCGACGCTGGTCCCCAAGGTACTTGCTGACTTTCACGGTCCTCATTTGAGGGCTGTGGGGAGGGGACAAGCAGAATTACGATGAGAGTGATTGGCTTGTTGGTATTTTATGATATATGCAACCTGAGTAATTGTTGTTTTGTTATTTATCGGCTGGGCCGGCTATAAAACCGCGGTTCTGCTCCTATCTATGGGTGGATATGCGTAGTTGATGGCTTTTTCCCTTTCCACTTACCCACTTTTCTTTATTATGGATTCGATTTGCAATCGACTTTGGATAGCCTTAGCTTGATTTAAATTAGAATTAGAATTCTATTTTCTGCAATCTCGCAGCTAATTGACTAGCATGATCTTCAAAGCCGTCCACGAGTGCAATGCCGAGTATGTCACCACCAGTAATTCCCCCAAGGATTATTCAAGCATATGATGACCGATGGGTGGGAACAAAATAAACAAGAAAAATACAAGTTAATCCTACAAGACCGCATGTATGGAAAGGCAGACCGCGAGTTCCTCCATGGGCTTAGCTCCGACATTCAGGTTGTTGACGACCCGGACGCTTTTCAAATGACCAATCAAACAACCTTTGGAGTTCCCCTTGGGTCCAACAGTGTATGTATCTACCAGCCCGAGCAATACCATGCGGTGATTCTTAGTGATGAGTTGAATGTGTTGGAGGCCTGGGGCAGGAAAGGAGATGGCAGCACAATCGATATAAAAGATCTGGAGAAAATGGTACCTCTTACACTGATGATTCCATTGCCAAGAAGGGCCAAGCAGGCTTCAACTTCAATGATGTGTATTTTCACACGAGAAGAGACCTGGTCAATTGCTAGGTCAAGCAAAATTAGTGATGGCGGGGATCACGGGAATGTATAGTAGCCAGGGTGAGGTTTCAGGGGAAAAAGCAGAAGCAGAAGAAGAAGAAAAGGAAGAAGAAGCCATGAAGTTTTATATACATGGGACGGCCGGCAGAATCCCTAGATATCTCTCTCAACAACCAGAAAGTCAGAATTGATTCCAAATCTTCATCCAAGTATATCCAGTCCTTTTTCACTCTCTTTCTAGTTATTGATTCTGTTCATCATGGCCTTGGGAGGGTCTTGATGATTCTCATGCATTTTTAATCTACTTCCTCTAATCCTACGCATAATTATTAGCATGAGCTTAACCCAGGTGAGCTATACAATGCTATATCACTATATCACTATATCAACACCTTGAGTCACTCCACATATATTCTCATAAACATTGAGAAGAAAAAGATTAGATTATCCTGAAATTAAACTAGTTATATTTTCAATCTTGAACTAGTGCCGCAAGAGCAGGCGCACAGAGCTCGATCTGTCGCAGCTTTGCAACTGTCTGAATGATAAGGCCGTGCGAGGTATGAAATCCCGCTGGAGAATACCTCTATCAAAGACTGTTTTAGGGTCTGAGCCCTGGAGCCCGTCCCTTGGCCGTGTGTCCTTGGGGCAATTTTCAATGCCACCCATGGGTTGTTTCGTGGTTACTTGCGGGATAGGCATATCCTAACCGAAATCCTGCCAAAATCAAACAGGAGTACCACAGCGCGCGCAGGTTGGACCCGTCCCAGTCATGCCACAGCGCCCACAGTATCTCGCGACTGTCACTGCGGCGTTGCCGTCCTCTTTTAGAAGAGGGTCGCTAGCCACAGGCGGGTTCTGGTGGTGCAGGTCTGCATGGACAGCGCCAGGTGCAGCTGACTGCGGCGCAGCATATGGAGCATATGGAGCATAGGGAGCGTAAGTAGGCTGCGGAGCAGCGAACGGCTCAGCGACTGGTTTATAGGGCTGCGGGGTGTGGTTGTCCATGCCGGTCATGTTGTAGTTGTAGTAGGTGGCGGCTTGGTTAGCGCGACGGCGCTTGAGACAGAACACAATCAGCAGGACCCAGCCCGTCAGTTTCAGCAGGCCTGCAATCACGAAGAAAATAACGCCGGCGTAGAAGAGGCCGATATGGTCTCGGGCGCATTTGTAGTTTTGGTCGTCGTTGGTGCTGTATCTGGTGCTGTAGCTGTTGAACTCGTTCTGGCTGTTTTGCGCTTCGTTGTAGCACTTTTTGTAGGCTGTTGATACGTATGAGCCGACCAGAGCGCCGCCGATTATGAAGCAAATGATGGATCCGATGAAGAAGCCGAGGGGCCACCACTTGGAGATCTGGCCACGACCGGTTGATGGCATGATGAGTTTTATGAAAACAAAAATTAATGGAGAGTGGGTGAAGTTGGGAGAAAAGAGTCAGCTCCAAGGTGCATGACAGCCCTTTTTAAAGAGAAAAAAAACATCAAACACGAGGGAGGCTCTAACGCGAATTAAAGTGTGGGCTTATGGCCCGCTTGACCTATCAACGTGGGAGATGCATTTGAAGGGGGCGAGGTGCATTTCAAGTCTTTTTTTAGTCTCGTATCACTTGCCGATCTCCAGAGATTGTTAGACTCAAAAGTCTTTTTGCTTGCACGCTAAGCAATTATATGTGGCTGTGGAGGAGCTATGGCCGGGTATATCTCCCGTTTGTTGCTTCAACCACAGCCTTGAATTGGGAATCTTTTTCCCCTCTTGTTCTGATACAGATAAATTATAGACTATGGGCGTGGACTCTAGAGAGAGAGCCAAAAACCCAGAGCTTGACTAACTTCTTGGCTACATATAGTGACATGTATCCTGACTACAGCCTCGTATTTAGGGGTCCTAGCACCTACTAAATGCGCCCCTTTTCACTTGAGCCTCATCGGGTTGAGTCCGCACGCCAACGCATACATATTTCCTGCTCCATGTCATGATCGATCATTTCCTTTTACAATTGGCGTTGAAAATTTTGACTACGGAATTCTACCAAAAGAACTCAATTGTAGAAGGAGCTGTCAGAAACCAGTTATCTTCTCGAAGCAACCCGCTTATATTTGTGGAGTACCTCGACAACCCCGATGAACCCTTAGAAGCACGCAAATGTCCAGTAAGACTCCATATCAAGCTTTACACGTAGCAATAAATCGTGCTAATAGAGTCTAGCCACTTAAGCCCCTGAAATTTCAACCAATCTAGAAAAACCAGTTGACAGGCGTCTAAGACCGTGAAAGCACCTTGACCCGCTCCACCATATAGATATATAGTTTTTGCTATATTTTCCTTCTTTACACATCTCATCCACTCTCTTCCTTTAACATTGGTTTTCATCAGATCCCTCGACTGTTTCCTTCTCATACCAACTACACAGATTGTAGAAGTTCCCGCCATAGTTGACAGAGTCATCGTTAGCAACACGCCATGACTTGGTCGAATCTACTTATCTACTTCTTGGAGACAATTAACAAATGGGTTAGAGAATCGTGTAAAATTTCCCAGTCTCTGCTTTCGTCCCGATATTCTATGAGCCCAACCCTTCTGCATTCTTGCCACATATACCGTGCTGTTCTTCTACAACAGCATTTCATTCCTCACTTGGCTGCTAACAGATTCACGCGGACACGCGGATGTCATTCCTAATATGGCGAACTATCACACTATGCATCCAATGAGCTTCCCAAAAATTTCAAATTGTGCGTGCTCATCCTTTGAGTTTTAATGAATTTAGTGTTCTCGGGCTGTATACTGAGAAAGTGCCCAGCGGCAGAGATCCCCTCTCTGTGGTTTGGGGGCTAGGATATATTTACTAGTTCGCTTGAAGGCGAGTCATTGCTCGTCTATTTGACCAATGTGCTTTTGCAAATCCATTTCCCTACTGGCCCATCGGTAGTAAAAATGCTAGCACTTACCCACATTATCACAAGGCCGGAGTACAAGTGGAAGTTTTCTCAATCATCGAGAAAATCCAACTAAGCGACTGACTATTACTCACGTGCTACTTTTGATCAAGAGGGAAGCTTCTGATCTATTCCGTGGCATAGATCTCCGACAAAATACCAACAAAAGATTCAAGCAAAGGCATTATAATAGCCGTGAGCTACCCCAAGGTCCAAAAATATCAAGACAACTATATTTCACTCTTCTCGTGCATGCATGGATAGTCTGCCCAAGGTGAGTCCAGCGGGTGCAACGTGCTATAGAATTCTCCTTGCGAGATAGGAGCTCGTAAAGAGGAAGATTAGGAGAAGATTTTCACGATGTAACTGCAACTGATTCCTGAACTTATACACTCTTAGTCTCACCCTGAAACCTTCCTATCCAATTTCTTCTCGGAATTCACCGATCACACCTAAATACACAAATATAGAACTGCTCATCATTTAATTACAACCGAGGCCCTTGGTCATGTTCTCATAGACCGACTTCTTTTCATTGTCTAGACCTATTGATTAATCAATAAGCATGTAAGTCCGAGGATTGACTTGTACTCTCACCTTTCGCTATATGTATGAATCATGCCGTAATCGAGTCATACCCCCTGAAGTATCAGCAATCAATAGACTCGGAATAGTATAGGGCGTGCAATGGTTCAGGCAGCATGAAATGTCAGGCCATCCAGGCACTCCTGTTCCACCGGTGTCTAGGGTAAGCTGACACACCTACTTTGACCAGCCTTGTCCATATAGAGTAATACGATCTCACCTGTTTCTGTCCCCCCCCCACTAACACCAGAGAAAATAGTAGACCTCTTCCTTATCCTATGTAACAGTAATATTACGTAGAGTGCTTCGAGCATGACCACCCCACAAGACCTAGATCTCACTTCTCTCGCAATATTCACCTAATATATGCTACACATCTTGGCCCCATAAACGGGCCCATGTGCGTTAAAAGAGAGTATGACAACCGCCATTGTGCGTGTAGCCCAGGGATAATGCGGCCCCAAGAAGGAAATACTCGGCCCTTGTGCCCCATACTCCTGGCCCCCGTTGGAGTATATCTCCGACCAAGTTCTCGATTCAACACGGGCTACTCTCTCTTCCTCGTGGAAGTTGAATTGGGATTTTCTGTGCCACATAGGTAAAGGAAAGCCCCTATTTCCCCTGAGATCAGATCCAAGGCAGTAAATGCTGTCACACCTGTTGAATCCTGTACTCCGAGATCAGGGTTCTATGTAGATCAATTGTGGGGATGTTGTACAGTTGGGTCGAACACAAACAATTCTACTTGAGAGACGAGTCAGAAATGCAGCGACTTCCCGGATATCCGATCTAATGGGCATTTATTCATATGAGCTGTAGATGTTTGCTCGCAAGTATACCCACACAAAAGACACCGAGGATGTATATGCACAGACACGCAGCCCGGAACTAAACAAACGCAGTTGTCGCGGCTATTTACGAAGGAATGGCTTCTTACCGCGAATGGAATACCCTCAAACAAAGAAAAGGGTCGCATCAGCAGCCGACCAGGGTTCGACAGAAATCCTGCAGTACCTAGCGACGAATCCCACAAGGCTAATATCCCACGGTATACTGCATATGGATGATTTATGGCAGGCAGGAATCCTGTCGAGAATCGCAATCTTCCGAGGAAAAATCCACGACGTAATGATCTTAGACATCAGGAAGAGCCCAAGTGGCCCAAGTGGGGGCACATCGTCAGCGTTGGAGTGATTCTCGGGGGGCGGAAATCCTGAAACGCCGCCAGATGCAAGGGCCATGCACTAGACTGACGCCCCGAGCCAATGAGTGGTTGTATGTCCGGGCACCGAGGGGTATCCATTCCAGGGGCCAGCTGTTCCTGACTCTGCTGTGCATAGTGGGCTTTGTCTCTTTATGGAGATTAGGGGGCCAGGCGGAGTTTGGCTAGCGGATGGGCTGTGACCGATCAGCCCCCATCAACAGCGTTCGGTACGGGCACGTCCGCTAGAGGACAAGGGCATGACTTGTGAGAGGGTTGTATTGGAGCTGTGCTGCTTTTTTAATTACCATTATATCATTTTATTCTTATTCTTATTTGTGTTATTTTTGATCCTGTGCCGCTTTGGCCCCCCAGGATCCACTGAAGCCTGATCGTATACCCATACAAATTTCCATAGATCGAGAGACATGGAGAGTAGCGATTTCACGCCTAACAAGATATATATATACATATATATATATAAAAGGAAAAGCGTATATAGGGCCAGCTATAGGACAAATATTGGATGTGACAGATGTGTCTTTGTGGTGTAGATCTCACAGCTGAAACATGTTCAGGGGCAAACTGTACAAGTTAGGGTTACGCACTCACCAATAATCGGCCGAAATCGAGGGTCCACTATCTACCACATGGAGCATGGAGGTAATTGTACTCCATATACAGGATCGAGGCTTGACTCAAGACAAAGCCATGGATGTAAAAGTCTCCACTGATCAGCTTCGGCCCACGAGGCGAAGGGGGCCTACATATATACCACTTTTCTCCCGTCAGCTTGGACGGTCTGTTTTCTTCTTGTTCTCCATTGGCAAGCAAGACTTCCCTTTCCGTGCTGGGCGCTTTTTCTCCTTCTCCCTCAAATCATCATGTTCTTGACTCCATTGGTATGCTTCTTGGCAAGCGAGAGAGAAATTACAGACTGTCTGACCATCTCCCCCAGTTCCTGGCTGCTGGCAGCCTCCCCGCCTTGATCTCGGGAGCTCCAGTGTCTAATTCCCAGGGGAACAACTTGCTCGCCCGGGCCTATCAGGTCTTCGCAGGCACAGGATCAGCGGCAGACGGATGGGCAACCCTCAAGCAATGGAAGAGCTTTGATTTGCTGTTAGTTTGTCATCTGAAGATCGCGACGCAAACATGCAAGCTAATAGAGCATTCATCTTAGGTGGATTGCCAACTCGCAAAACATTGGCAAGTGTGATGCCAGCTGGGGCGTCGAAGACAACACCCCGGAGGAGACAAGCGACATGAAGGAGGCCATCGAAGAAGTCACCAAAGACAGCCCCTTTAAAGGCTATCCCGAATTCATTTTCGCCATTATGATGCAGGAGACCAAAGGCTGCGTGAGAGTCAAGACAACGGTCGCCCCTGATGGAAGCGTGTCCAACCCAGGCTTGATGCAGAGCCATAATGGCAAGTTCAACTGCTATGAGAACGGAAAGGGCGTCAAGCCCTGTAAGAAGGAGAGGATCGTGGGTATGATCAGGGATGGCGTGACCGGGTCAGGCGGCCTCAGTGATGCCCTGCAGGAGAATGGTGGCAAGATTGATGCCGAGACTCTCTACAAGGTTGCCCGTACATACAACTCTGGCAGCGTGGCTCCATCGAAGAATTTGGGTGATGGCCAGGGGGCCACAGCCTGCTATGCCACGGATATCGCCAACCGCCTCACCGACAAATGGAGCAACGGTCCTAGCGGCTGTGACCCCAACACGATCGGTACGATGAACAAGTCTGAGGGTGGTGGCGCGAGTGGTGGTGACGCGGGTGACGCGGGTGACGATGCCAGCTCATCCAGCAGCGACACCGGTGCAGCACCGACCGGTGCGCCGACTGCGTCCAACTCCGCCCCGGCCTGGGGCGCGAACACCCAAAGCACGCTTGCGGCAGCTGCCACCACAGCTCCCGCTGTCAACACTCCTCCGGCCGGCAACACCAACGTGGGCGCGCCCTCGCCAACAGTCAACGCGGGTTCCTTCCAGCAGACCTCAGCCGCTGTCAACAACGCCGCGGCTACTAACACTCCTGCCCCAAGCAACCCTGTGGTCAGCTCGGTGGCCCCGGCCAACACGGTCAGCTCGGCCCCTCCGACGCAGGCCAGCGGAACTACAGAAGGATCCCAGATCTACCCATCGTCGCTGCCGGGCTGCCAGCAGCGTTACCCTGTGGTGGACAATGACTACTGTTACAAGGTGCAGCAGCAATTCGGCATGACCCTGGACGATCTGCGTCGCTTGAACCCGGGCCTGGACGAGAGGTGCTCGAACCTGTGGAAGGGATACCAGTATTGTGTGCGGGGATAGTGATGAGGCTGTATGTGTTGCATGTATATATGGGAGATGATCTGGTGGCAGCTGGTCTCTACCGATCTAATGACATTGTATTGCCTTTTGTATTTTCTTATATATCGTAAAACTGTAGGAGTATAAACCAGTATGTACGAGGTACAAGAACGCTGGTATACATCACATCTTCATGGTCTTGCGGTCAACAGAGATTTTTACCATGTCGAGGCTATCGATGTTGAGCGGGTCCATTGCGTATGCAAGCCCTGGTGGCGTTCGCTAAGAAGGGGCCAAAAAGGGGTGGATATCGCTCCAATTTTGCGCCATCTTATGCAAGATCTGCCCTTAACGGTGCTCTATTTATAGAAATCGGTGAGTTTAATGTAGGATTCGACTGTGCCCCCTACGTACACACTCTACAGTCATAAATAATTGTTTGAAAAGAAAGAACGAGAAATAGATAAAATAGATCATTATAAACATATATTGAAATAATTTTAGAAAATAGGTTAGAAAAAGGATTAGAAAATTAATTAATTTAGGAGAAAAAGTATTAATAAAATAATCGTAATAGTAGCACAAGAGCTATCTACATATTCAATAAAGAATAAAACCTCTTAAACAGGATAGAATTCAGTCAATAAGCCCTTTCAATCTAATTTTTATTCTCTACTATACCTTTCAAAGCCGCCTGAGCAAAGCGAAGGTCAGCAGCTTGTAAATCAATATCGTAATGTCTCATCTACGATGCTGTCTACTTACATACTGTGCTCTGACTTGGAAGGAAACTCATGCAACGATCTACCAAAGAGTCGCGGTTTGAATCAAACAGAGCTGGCAACCTGCATAGTCTTTGATCCATATTCATTGTATCCAATTGTGGGTAGAGACAGGCTGTCTTAGTCTTTATAACCTATAACATTCACCAAACATGTAAAATATTGATATACTAGAGGTATACAGTGTTGGTCGAATATGTCAAGAGATATTTACGCGCGGAGTATTTACTTGCTAGATTTCATAGAGAAAGAAAAGGAAATTCAAGATGACGTGGGATACCACCTTCGACCCTCGCTTCCACGAGCCATATACTATCCAAGAGAAAGATACAGCCCCATCGCCATTACGCATGCAAGACCCAGTATCCAGACCCCGAACTCTGGCCGAGGAGCTGTTAGCCTGTGGGGAGCTAGATGTCTTTGAGAACGTGGTCGCTGCGCGGGTCAAAGCAAAGGTTGGGAAAAGGCGTGTCCTTCGTCTCCATTTTTACTACCATCTTCATTAGTCTTTGAATAATGACAGTTTCTACAGCAGGTTAGCGCGCCAGAAAGCCCAATTATGCGAAACTGGCACAGCAGATGAAAGAACACAGCCAGAAGCCGAGCCGGATAACCGGGCAATCTCTGCGACCATTCCTCCGACCATTCCGATCATCTCCTCGGCTGATATTTCTGCTAACTTTACCAGTGGCCTCTGGGACTCCGTGCTGTCACTGTCGGAGATGTTGACGGCGCTGGCTTCGGTTGGCAGTCGGTGATGAACGGGCCGACATTAATCAGAACACCGAGGGCAGCAGATACAAAACAGCAAAGAGCATCACCACTTTTGTATGAAGAGCACGTTCCTACAAGAACTGAGCTGATCATAAGAAACTCAACTGGATTGCCTTTACACTGTGACTCGGGTCTATTGCAATAGTCAATTATCGCACCGATCTGCAGACGATCGGATGACATCATCGCTTCTGCAACACCACTGTCAACAGCAACAACGGCAACCCCTTATTCTCTCCAGTATCTACTTCACTTCTACATATACACATTCGAAAATGACCCTCGGAACCTGGACCCAATCACTCAGCTACATAGGCCTCGCAACCCTCGCCTACATAACCCTCAAATTCACTCGCCAAGCCACAACCTTCCTGCTCCCAACAACCCTGACCAAACGCTACAACAACAATGCAGACCAACCGAACTGGGCGCTAGTCACGGGTGCGACAGATGGGATCGGGCTAGGATTCAGCCAGGAGCTATGCGCACGCGGATTCAACGTCATTCTCCACGGCCGCAACCGCGCCAAACTGGAGCAGCGACAGCGCGAGCTGCGCGCGGAATTCCCGGAGCGGGCGACGGCGATTATTGTCTGTGATGTGCAGGAAATTTCTGCTACAAAGATTGATAATATCGCCAACGAAGTACAGACGCACCTCCGCACGCACGATGGCAGCCCCAGCGGCAGTCTGACAGTACTGGTGAACAACGTCGGAGGTGAAACAAGGCCGTCGACGCTGTTAACCGAGTACAGTTTCTTCGATGTCGAAGCAACAATCCATCGCAACCTCGTCTTCACGACACACATCACGCGCGTGCTGCTACCACTCCTGCATTCCGGCGGGAGACCTGGTCTCGTGCTCAACGTCTCGTCCATTGCTGCCGTCGGTATGCCGTATATCACAGTGTACAGCGGGTCCAAGGGGTTCGTGGACTCGTTTACGCGGTCGCTGCGCGCGGAGGTTAGTGCCGAGGGATTACCTGTTGAGGTGATGGCGCTGCGGGTCGGCGAGGTCCGGACGGCTGGGTATGATATCGCGCCGAGCTTGTTTGTGCCGACTGGGCGGACGCTGGCGGCGGCGGGGTTGAATCGCGTTGGGTCGGGACAGGACCTGGTCTGGGGGTATTTCTGGCATTGGGTGCAGGGGGTGTCGTTTGATGTGCTGCCGCGGTGGATGTTGATGACGATTGCGGAGTACAAGTTGAAGGCGCTGCGGAAGGGAATGCAGGAGAAGGCGAAGAAGACATAATAGTTTACTGCTTTCCCCTCTTAATGGAGGATCGAGCTCTCTCTAGTAATACCTGTACACCTAGGTCAAGTTGAAGGATCTGCATTAAAAAAAATTACTTAAAACAGTTATTGGTATAAATCATCTAGAACCCCACTGGAACCCGCTCACGGTCGCCCGGACCGTACAGACCCTCGCCCAGATTCTCCGTGCACTCGATCTGCCAGTTCTTTGGCGTGAACTTGTCGACGATGGCCTTAAAGGCATCCAGCGTGCAGAAGCTATCATCGCCGGGCAGGTGGTTCTCAAGTCGGTCAGCACAGCCGGGGATCCGGACGGGCTGGTCATTATAGCGGATACGAACGTAATGTTTTCGCAACGATTCGCGGGTGTCTTCAGGGAAAGACTCCAGAGGCGAGCGTGCCGTCTCAGATGGGGCCTGTTGAGACGGTGACTTGCCTCCGCCGAACCATGAAAGAACGCCGGACTTCTTGGCTGCCACGGGTGGGTTGGAAAACTCCTCGAGTATCGTGCCAGCGTCGGAATCACCGCGTGGGGTCTGTGAGAACAGTTCAATGGCAACCGAGGATGTGAAGGGCGGCCACGACCCGTCCTGGAAACTGCCGACGCTGGACAGGATCGCGGCGAGGGTCGTGTCGTGGCATCCGCTCAGCGCAAACTTGATGGCTTGGCCGGCTTCAGGGTCGCCAGACCCCGATGCGGAGGTTTCACTGCGCCAGCCACCCTCAACAGCAGTGCTGACCATGCGGTCGACCACGTCGCCCATGAGCCCACCGATACCCAGCCGACGGTACTCATTGCTCTCGGCATATCCCGCAAACCACTCCTCGACGGCAATGCGGTCCATGACGGCGCGACCCTTCTTGTCGTAGAAGGCGGCGGGCAGTTTGGTGGCAGGTCCGTGGGCATCGCTTGCGTTGATGGTGTCCATGATCCCCGAGAGACGGGGATGTGCGTCAACCGCGACCTTGGGCGAGGTCTCGGGCATGTATTTAGACCAAAGGCTGTTGAGGTAGGCCATTTGCTCCGACTCGTTCCCTGAAGGCACCATATATTAGCTTAATAGCTCAGGGTTGATCTCAATTCAACCAGACACATACATCTTGCAGCCGCGCGGTCGGCAAAGAGCCGTGCTAACTGTCGGAACCGGCGACAATTGCCCTCATTGGGGAACAGCGTCTCCTCGGACACTGAGCGGCCAACAATCACGGGTGGCGGGAAGTCTAGCGTGCGTGCATTGGCCGGATACATGCCCCAGAAGGCCTGTTGGAGCGACTCGAGCGCGCGGGGGATTGGCGTCGCGCGCAGATACATGTCCTCGGTGTTGGACTTGATTTTGGGCAGGAACCCCAGCTGGTTGACATACAAATGACGCAAGCGTTGGCCCAGCGCATAGGTCGTTTCACGACCTTTATCGGTGAGCTCGCCGTGAAGACTAGATTGAGGTTAGTTTCTGGTTCCTTGCCAACACATCCTGCTCGTAGGCATATTTCACTTGCCACATCGCCTCGATCTCTCCACCCGGACCGACCGCAATCACCGACTCGTCATTGTTCCCCAAAGCCTCCATTTTTCGCCGCCATTGGAAGCCGTTCCAGGCCGAGAGGTCCCTATTGCTGGCGGCCATCTGGACCATTTGCCGGGCGACACCGCAGTACGGCCAGTCTGACACTCGGTGTTAGCTCGCTGTTCGGGAGCGATGTAATATGGATCACGGAGTCAAGGGCGGGATTTACATGGAGTCAAGCCTGTCTATCCGGAGCGTTAGCTGAGACCCGGAATGAGGGGGATGAGGGGAAGTGACTCAATGTACATTTTGGAATCGCGAAGACACGGGCGTGCGTTCGCCTGGCCATTGGATTAGATTTGCGGGAAATAGTATGTATGACGATCTCGGAATTTCTCCTCACCATGGCGAAGGAACTGCGCGCGTTAGCGGAGGCGACGGAGGGGAGGGTTGGAGATCTTCTTGACTCACCACCTGCACCAATTGCAGCTTCAGCCCTTTCGGATAGAGACGGGCTAGCTCTTCGGCGGAGTAAGGCTCACGGGGAATGAGAGTGGTCATGGTGCAGACCAACAAGTAGAGGAAGGTGAGCTATCTCAGAGCTTCGCAGGTGCAAGTGCAAGAACAGCCTCGGGACCCCGTGGGGGCGGTGAGTCACCAAGAACTATACTCTCCCGTTCGCCCTTTGCTTCATCGTGTGATTTCTTTCTCAAAGATGCTCGATCTATACTGACTTCACGAAGATATTCCACTCCAGTGGCAGAGGCAACGCGTGATACGGCTTCGGATCCGAGATGAGGCTATCCAGCACGACAATCTTACTGTCTGCTCTCACGCTTCGAACGAGGAACAGAAATCAATACCAAAAAAACATTCTATAAATAATTGATGACGCCCCACTATCCTTGCAGCTCAGCTTGGTCTCATCCAAGTGTTTAGGCCTGGCTATCCCCCTCCTTACACCTCAAGAGAGACCATGAGAAATTCTACCATGGCATCTACATTACCCACCATCGTTCTCGTCCATGGCGCCTGGCAGGTTCCTGCCAGCTATCAACCTTTTATCGACACGCTAATAGCGCTCGGATTCACCGTGCACTGCCCACGGCTCCCCAGCTGCAACGGAGCGCAGCCACCCACAGCCTCATTGCCAGACGATGTCAGCTGCGTGCGAGAAGTGATTGTAGGGCTAGTCGAGTCCGGAGAACGAGTGCTATTGGTGATGCACTCGTACGGAGGCATCGTTGGAACGGACGCCAGCACGGGACTCAGCATCCGCGAGCGACAAGCCACTGGCGCGACAGGCGGGATCATCCACCTGGTCTATCTATGCGCGTACCTCCTCCAGCCGGGGACCTCGGTCCTCGACATCATCAACGAATCCGGTTCCGCGTCGCTTCTGCCGCAGTTTGTGCACGCGGCCGATGACGGGACCACGTTCCCAGTGGACCCCGTGCGGTCGCTGTTGGGCGGCATGGACCAGCGCGATATTGATGCTGCGCTGCCGCATCTCGTGCGCTTCCCAGCCTCGGCTATGGCGACCCCTGCGGCTGGAGATGCGTGGCGTCGCATCCCCATTACCTATGTCCACACCACCGATGATTATGCCGTCTTCAAATCTTTTCAAGATATCATGCTGCGCAAGGTCCGGGAGAACGGCGTCGAGGTTAAGACGGCGGAGTACGAGTCCAACCACAGTGTCTTTCTGACCAAGCGTGAGGAAATGGGGCGGGTGGTTGTTGCGGCGGCGCAAGACACGAGGAATTCGGCGTAATATCATAGCATCCATGGACATATCAATACGTACAATTTTCAGATGTGTCATCCCAAGCCTTTTAATGGTAAATGACTCTTTCCCTTCGTTCTTTGTTGGCCATGCCGATCCCTTGATGACCCTGTAGCGCTCCACTTCCATTGTCGACTGAGTCTCAACTTCCTCACCAGAACAACCATATTGAAATTGTGATTGAGTACAAAGACGTACTGTCACTGGGAAAGGGAGACGAGAAACTGATTCTGACAACAAACCACGGCAACATCGTCGACGGGTCTGTCATTCCATACCTCCTGAACCACACTGTTGTTCCGAAGGGAACGAAAAAAGCGAGGTTTGTCGTAACTCCATCTCAACGGCTCAATAATTCTCATCTTTTGGTAGGTCGATGAATGGCTGCATCGCTCTGTGGATCTTACCATTCCCGACTTCAAATCACTCGACCAGCCCACGAAGGAGTTGGAATCACACCTCACATTACGTTCTTACATGGTTGGCTCTTCACTGACACTCGCCGACATCGTAGTCTGGGGTGTCCTTCGCGGAAACAAAGTGACAGCCGGTCTGCGACGAAATTGCCTGAACATAAGCCAATGGTTCGATTTTATCGAGCTCTCCAATCGTCGGATTGCAGCTATTGTGGCGGACTTTGGCAATGTGCCGCGCGCCAAAGAAACGCCGCTGCAAGTGCATCTGGGGCAAGCTATAACATTGGCCTGAAAAACACCGAGAACGGGATTGTGACAAGGTTTCCTCCTGAGCCTTCTGGCTACCTTCATATTGGGCATGCAAAGGCCGCCCTGTTGAACGATTATTTCGCCCATGAGTACCTCGGTCCTGAGTCGAGGGGCGCGTTTATCTGTCATTTTGACGATACCAATCTTTCGAAAGAGACCAAGGAGTTCCAGGATTCCATTTTGGAGGATTTGAACTTGCTGGGAATTCAGCCTGATCGCATCTCTTACTCCAGCGACTACTTTCAGAAGATGTATGAGGGGTATGTCAAACTCATTCAGCTCGGGAAGGCCTATACAGATAACACGCCAAAAGACGTTATGAGAGATCAAAGGGGAAAGGGAATTCCCAGTGCGTGTCGAGATATGAGCGCGGAGGACAGTCTTTCCCAGCTTGCCAAGATGAAAGCAGGCTCGGGCCTGGAGTGGTGCAGTCGCGCAAAGATCTCCGTTGACTACCCTGAGAAATGCCTGCGGGATCCAGTCATGTACCGCTGCAACCTCCAGCCTCACGACCGGACGGGAAAAACATGGAAGATCTATCCAACCTATGGTTTCTGTGCCCCGTTCCTCGATTCCCTTGAGGACGTCAAACACGCTCTCCGAACTAACGAGTATCGAGATCGGAATCCGCAGTACTCCTGGATCCAGGAGGCTCTGAGGGTCCGCCACGTTGATATTTGGGATTTCTCGCGTCTCAATTTCGTTCGAACTGTACTTTCAAAGCGAAAATTAACTGCCTTGGCTGAGAAGAGTGTTGTCTGTGACTGGGACGATCCTCATATGCCCACAGTGCGTGGGATCAGGCGTCGAGGAATGACAGTCCCTGCGCTTGAAGTTCATTTTGAGGCAAGGGCCAAGGCAAAACGTGATCAATCTTGATTGGACATCTTTCTGGGCTACTAACAAGAAATATATTGCTCCGGTTGCTCCTCGATACACGTCCATCCCTTAAGACAATGCCGTGGTAGCAACTGTCGATGGGATTAATGGGCTTAGCTCGGTGAATAAACTAAGACACAACAAAAACGTGTCTTTAGGAACGAAAAGGGGTCCTATATTCTAAGGAGATCCTCCTTAGCCAAAGAGATGCCGCATTCTTCAAACCGAACGAGGAAATAGCCCTCATGAACTGGGGAAATGCGGTTATCACATCTCAAGAGATAAGTTCGGAGTCATTATAGGATTGGATCTACGCCTCCATCTCAAGGGCGATTTCAAGAAGACAGACAAGAAAGTGACTTGGCTAGCCAAGGGCACAACCAATATGATTCTCGTCGATCTGGTCGACTTCGACTACTTGATCGTCAAAGACAAGCTCGAGAAAGACGATGACCTCTTTTCATTCATGACACCAAAGGCCGAGTTCCGCACCAAAGCATGGGCTGATTGCAATGTGGCAAGCCTTGCTAGGGACGATATGATCCAGTTCGACCGCATTGGTTTCTTCCGGGTTGGTCGAGCATATGAGGATGGAAAGCCTGCTGTGCTGTTCAGCATTCCGACTGGGAAGGGAGTTTGAGAATTGAATGGAAAGGCAATGGCAATGAATTTATGTTTTTATGTTCATTTACCTTGTTTTGTCTTGTTTTTGATAGTAAACACCATATTGGATCTTCAATCATGCAGGAAAAGTAGACAGATATACGTGAACTTCTATGATTAGAGATAGCTTCAAATTCACCCAAACTTTTTTCTACCGCGGTAGATACCAATTACATATCAAGATTCTGAGCCTCACACATTTTCCGATAAAGCCAGCCATGGGCAAGCAGCTGCTCATGCGTCCCAGTTTCCACAATCCTACCACCATCAAACACACAAATCACATCAGCATGCTTAATAGTCGACAACCGATGGGCCACTGCAATCGTAATCCGATCACCTTGCGCCGCAGCCTCATTCAGCGCATCCTGCACAATCCGCTCCGACTGCGTGTCCAACGCGCTCGTCGCCTCATCCAACAGAAGCAAGCGCGGGTTGCGGAGCAGAGCTCGCGAGATGGCAATGCGTTGCCGCTGTCCGCCCGAGAGCTGGAATCCGTTGCTACCACACAGCGTGTTCAGACCGTCCGGTAGTGACGAGATGAAATCCCACGCATTGGCGGCTCGACAGGCGGCTTCGATTTCCGAGTCGGAGATTGATAAGGGATTGGTTGTTGTGGGTAGCCCCATTGACACGTTTTCGCGGATCGTGCTGGGATATAAAGTTGGTTCTTGCTGGACGAGCGCGACTTGATTGCGGTAGAGCCATGGATTCATGGTATCTAGGGCTGTGGAGTCAATTGTGATGTGCCCTGTTACTGGATCGTAGAAGCGTTCGAGCATGGCGATCATGGTACTTTTTCCACAGCCAGATGCGCCAACGAAGGCGACGAATTGTCCTTTGGTTATCTGGACAGTTGGGTTAGTTGGATATGTTATTTCATGAAGGAATCCGCGTACTGACCTCGAGATTGATGCCGCGTAGTATATGAGCATGCGGTCTCATTGGGTAGGAGAATTGCAGATTGTTCAATTGAAGAGACTTAAACCCATTGGGACCAGTGTCATGGTTCTCGGCTGTTTCTTGAATGGTGGGTTCAAGTCCTTCCAGCCAGAAGATGTAGTTGGCGGAGTTAGTTGCTTTGGTCATGCCTGCATCGTGGTTAACAGTTTAAACGCACTGGGTTCTTAGATCGATCTTACTGCTTGAGAACCCAAATAGTATAGACGCTTGCTGGCCGGAGAAAAACACTCCCAAGAAAGCGACGAAGAAGTCAACTAGACCCAAATCTCCAAATGAGACCAATCGACATCCATACCTGCGCAAAACGGGGTTAGAAAGAAAGAGAGAGAATGGAAAGAAACAACAAAAGAAGCAAAATAAGGGGGTACTGCACTAACCAAAATCCCAAAGCCAAGAAGCAGTATTCGACACTCTGCGTAAATGCAAAAGGAAGCATCATGACTAGCAAAGGTCTCGTCGATGCCGCGAGCGCATGATCCAATTCACGGGTGTATTTGTCCAAGACAGACCTCTCGATCGCCAGTGAAGAGACCGTTCGGATGGCATTGACAGCCTCGGAAGCAATTGACGCACTGGTACCAAAGCTCTTCGAAATTTTGCGGTCCATGGCTGCTTCAGTTCTGATCCGCGCATAGCCCGATACCAGCAGAGGCGGGAGACCTGCAAGAACAATCACCAGCCCGAGTCGCCACCCGTAGGCTAGAGCTAGTATGCTGCAGGATATGACAGCTATAGAGCCAACAATAATGAGAGCGATGTTGAAGCCCATGAGCTCGAACACACCTTGTGGGTACGAGTCTGCACGGCTGGATAGCGCTCCGGTGGAGTTCTCTGGACGATCGAAGAATTGCATGTCTTGCTTGAGTATATTGGCGACGATTTGCTTCCGATATTTGTGACTGACGGTCTTCCATATATTCAGCTATTGCCCAACTCACAATCAGACTTGTCCGGCGTCTTACCTGCGCTACTGTGTTCGAGCACCATCCGATTATAAAATACGTGATGAGACAACCGATGCCGAGAACGAGAAACATGAGCGCAATGAAGCTTCCTTTTTCTTCCATCTTTGAGCCGGTGTGTCGGAAAACCTCAATGAACCGGGACATCAAAACTGCCTGGCCTGGGAAAGCCGCCGCTGTGAGTAATCTTGTTAGCCCAAAAATCCCGTATTCATGCAATAAACGCTGGCTTTACCTCCCATAAGACATCCCAGGGTCAGAAACAGATACGTCCATTTGAGTTCTGGAGTCGAATTGACCACCCGCCAGACTGTATGATGGAGTCCCAGCGAGTTCCAGTTGTTGAAATCATCCCTAGCCAACTGCTTTTCCAGCCCCCCTCGCGTCGAAGTCGAGTATCGAGTCAGTGTCTTGGTGAGCTCGACTGGCTTCTGCTCATCCGCTTCATCTGAGGTATCCAAATTATCGTCGTCAGGGTCTTGTCGAGCAGTCACTGACAGGTCCTGGGCGCGCACCAAGCGGGCATAGGCACCGTTCGATTCCAACAGTGATCCATGCGTGCCCTGCTCGACGATACGTCCCTTCTCCATGACCACAATATTATCGGCGTTGCGGATGGTCGCCAGCTTGTGCGCAATGGTCACGGTTGTGCGACCCTTCGAGACACGGTCAAGGGCCTGCTGAACAACTTCCTCTGCATGGGGATCAAGCGCACTCGTGGCCTCGTCGAGCAGTAGGAGTCGTGGCTGCGAGACAATGCTCCGGGCGATTGCAACACGCTGCTTCTGGCCGCCAGATAACAAGCCCCCTCGCTCTCCAATGACAGTGTCGTAGCCATTTGAGAGGTCAGAGATAAAATCATGCGCAAAGGCGATCTGGGCGGCCTCTTTCACTCGGACTAGCTTCTCGGGCTCTGACTCGTTCTCCCATGGTGTACCAACGAGGCCGCTGGCGATGTTGTCAAATACCGTACCGGCGAACAATACAGGCTCTTGCTGGACGAGCTGGACCTGTTTCCGCAGCCATTGAAGATTGAGCTGGTCGATGGCGAGGCCGTCTAGCTTAACTGTTCCCGACAATGGATTGTACCATCGTTCGATTAGACCGATAATGGTACTCTTGCCTGACCCACTCGCTCCGACAAGAGCTGTTGTCTTGTCGGCGGGAATGTGTAGCGAGAAATCACTCAACACTGTCACACCAGGGCGCATGGGATAGCTGAAAGAAACGCGGTCGAAGTTAATGTCCCCCGTCACCTCCATAGGTTTCTCTCCAGAGGGATCAAACGGATCAATTATCGAAATGCGGTCCATGAGCCGGAATAGCTCTGCAGCTGCGGAGGCAGCGCGTGTGAAGTCAATCAGGAATGGGGCCATCGAGGTGAGACTCGCCGATGCGATGATCACCGACATGAGCACGCTGCATCTTATTAGCATTTGTTCTAATGTCAACAGGCCTGGGCAAACAAACATAAATATATCACCCGGTTCTGCGACTTCTCCCCGGGCTAACATGCGAATGCCCTGCCAGAAACACAAGCCGTGTCCCGCAAAAATCACGCTATACTCCGCCGAGAACAAGAACCCATACAGAGGACTCTTCTTATTACCGAGTCTCTGTGCAGCCTGCAAGAACTTGTCGAAATCTTCCACGAGTCGTTGTTGAAGCCCAAAAGCATGAATCGTGCGAGCGCTCGAGAAAATGCTCTCTGCAAAGGATCCCGCCTGCGCCAGAATCTGGAGTATTTGGGTTTCAATTGAAGCGTCAATGGCAGAGGTTATTCCAATCACGATGAGAATGGTTGGAGCAATGCAGCAAGAAATTAGAGTCAGCTTCCATTGCGTGACGAATGCCAAAACAAAGGCCGATATCAACGTCGAAATCGCCTGGAACACAAGCCCCAGCTTTTCCGATATCCCTGCTTGTATAAGCTTTCCATTTGAAGTAGCTTGCATGGCAATGGCACCGCCTGTTCCAGCATCGAAGAAGGCGACTTCTTGGCTCAGGCCGGCCTTGAGGTACTGATGGCGGATGCTTCGCGTGATACGGTACGCGGCGAGCGTGAAAAGGGTGCTGTATCCATAGGTGAGGACAAAGCGCGCAATTCCAATAATGAAAAAATAGAGACTGTTTTGGATTCAGTACGAGAACAAGATACCCTTTCGCAGTCTGCTCAGAAGAAGAAACATACGATAATCGGCCGGCTTCGCTGCGAAAGACCGCCGGCGATAAAGCACCCGAGATATAATCCACCATGAGAGTGATAAACCGGCCAAACACCAGGTTGACCATGGTCATGGCGACCCCAGATCCCAGGGCGCAGGCAGTCGCTGCAATTTGCAATGTATACTCGGTGGGCGATCCATAGCGAAAGATTCGCTGCGATAGTTTTAGCACAAACTCCCATGGGGAAAAAAACAATGATAACTTACAAGATAAGCGCTGAAAGCAGTCTCTTCTTGTGCCACTTCTTTGTCGGATGTGTCGTCGATATTGAGCTCCTTTTCTTTCGCGTCCATGGCAAGTGTCTAAACGAGCAGTAACCAGAGACGGACAAATATTTTCCTGAGCAAAACTGCATTATTTGATGACAGCAGATCTTATACATGTTCGACCCCTTTAACTTCTGCCTGAAGACGAGCGTGGGCATCTCGGAAATCCGGGGGTTGCGGAACGCGAGAGTGTTGGGTTGGGGCTGCGGCGGGATCCGCGGACACCGGGATGCTTGGCCAGCGTCACCCAAGACAGCACTTACTTCTTCGGACCGTTTGCACTTCCAAAGGCCCGAGTACCCGTGGATTGAATCGATGACATGTCTCCGAATCATACGAGCACGGAGGGTCCAGCCCCATCGGCTGCCGCGCGCGCGGTACGATCTCTATCCGAGCCGTGCTGTCTGCAGTGTGCTAACTAGATTGCTAGTGCGAGCCATGTCGAACCCGAAAGGTTGGGCTAGACCATGATTTTTATGTCTGGATGTCCTAACTACTATAGATCCGTTGCGACCGGACCTCGCCCTGTTCAAATTGCCAGCTCGCCGGGGTTCAGTGCTTCACATCGAGACGTGCCCCGAGAGAGAAGCGAGCTCGGGTCTTGATCACCTCGACATAGTAGGTCCGAGTCAGTCTCACTGTGCATATTAGACCGAATTGCTTATTTCAATGCATTGATTAGCGAAGAGAAAATCGACCGCATCGAGGAAAGACTCAATTGGTTGGCCCATCTGATAGAGACGCAAAACGCAAACAATGGAGTCTCTTCAAATGGAAAAGAGCAGATGCTGCCCCCAGCAGCAGGCTCTACTCATTCAGCATCCCCACTCCATCCCCCAGACAGATTATCGGAGGGCAAAAGGAAGGATGGTCGATCGCCGAATGACCGGGCAGGGACCGGGTCAAGGGAAGTGATGGCAAACGAGATGGTGGTTGAGGGACAGTCGTCGCTATCCGCACACTCTACATTTGCTATCCAATTCTTGAAAGATATAGCAGGCTCCGACCAAGCCGAAGGGGCCAGCTCAGAAATCGGAGAACTCTTGAACACTCTCGGACACATTGTTGACGTATTCAATGACCAGCGCACATCGCCCAGTCCCCTGTTTCCACGAGCACAAATGACAGGAGCAGTTGGTCCACAGAGCTGTCAAATGCCTCCGATTCAGACTGCCGTCGCTGTCTTGCGAGATGCACAGGGTGGGTTTCGACAGCATGTTCTTGATCGAAGAGCTAACGCTGATTCCGGCAGCAGAACGAGAATTCTCTTTTCTTCATGCTTTTGACCCTCCATATATCTTGAAAAACTTGTCTGATCTATGCCTCAAGGTATATTTCTCGCAGGACTACTCGGATGCGGAGTTCATCATCCTCAATCTCGCGCTGTATTGTAAGGTCCCTCCTGTCTGCAATTCCTACGCTGTGGGTATAAAAAAAATAACAGAAACAGCTGCCCGCACCGAGTTGCAGTGGAGCGAGCTTAGATCAACAGAGGACTCGCCCAATGAATACGACACACTGGCCTCCATGTGTGAAACTAATATCGAGACAGCGCTTTCAGGGCTATCGCTCTACGTGAAAGCCACCTACGATATGATTCTTGCCCTCGTTCTAGGGGTATGCCCTGCAGCCATTCAAGAGATATGTGCATGGAGGCTAACAAAGGGTATCTAAGACTGTACATGCCGTCGATACCTCGAAACCGTCTCTAGCATGGACTCTGATCAGCGCGGCCTCCCAAGGCTCATATTCACTCGGTTATCACACTCGATCCGTCGGCGCAGACAGGACATCAAATGAGCCGAATGAAAAGGGCCTACTATTCTGGGCCGTGTACTCGCTTGAAAGATTCTTGTCTTTACGACTAGGCCGTTCATCGACTATCCCAGACTGCGATATTACAGTTCCACTACCAGGTTCTTCTCAAGGATCGTATTCGCTGGCCCTAGACTATTGTGGCCACCAAGTGAAGCTCGCCCGTCTGGCCGGACAGGTCTACAAAAAGATATACAGCGCAAAAGCACTTTTGCTTCCTGTGGATGTCCGAAGACGCCGGGTGATAGAGCTGTCGCAGGAACTGAATGAGAGCTGTGAGATATCTCGTCAAATCAATGTAAGCTCTCACCTTGTCTTCAAATCATGATCAAAACCACTAAATATATACTTCCTTATCCAGGAACGCTGGGTTCAGTGTACTACAAGTATCGTCGGACGACAGATAGCCAGTCTGTTGTTTACATCGGACGAAGTGGCGCATCTCTCAATGCTGACGCTCGTCCAACGAGCCATGCCCGCGCAGAGCGATTCAGGAACCCTACTAAGCACAGAGTGTGCTAATTCCGCACGCGAAGCTTTGGAGCAGCACCAAAAGTGCATGGCCGAGCTCAGAGCACAAGACACATTTGTAGTGGCCCATCTGAACTGGTACATACCCTACCTCTCCCGTTATATCCCACCCTACCCTACCCTACTCTCCATTTTAATTTTATTCCAAGCAAAGGAAAGACTCACAATGACACTCACAGGACAATCTTCTTCGTCCCCTTCGCCCCATTCATCGTCCTATTCTGCCACGTCATCGAAACAGGCGCGATCCAAGACCTGGCCCGTATGCAAAGCTTCGTCACCTCCATCGAATCTGCCTGCCGCCACTCCAAAGCCATCGCCAAGCACCACCGCCTCTTCCAGGTGTTTTATAGCGTGGCGCTGCGGCATACCGAGCTGCGGTGGGCGCCGACGCCCACGCAGGAGGAGTCGTTGCGGTTGCGGATGGAGATGGATGCGCATCTTAGTGCGCTGGGGCTTCCTCAGACGGCTCTGGCTGCTGCCAATCATTCTTCTCATACTGGCACTGAAACCCAAGAAACCGAAACCCATCAGGGTCAGGCTATGGCGTGGTTGGGAGATAATGCTCCTGGGTTGGGAACGCTGGATCCCGTCCAGGGAGGTGGTATGACCAGCACTTGGGAGGATCAGGGGGCTCGGTTGGGGAATTGGTTTTCTTTTAATCAGCATGTCATGGAATTGCTGGATCATAATGATTTGCCTTTTTGATTGTTTTGTTGGGTTTGGGATGATGTATGCATGGACACGGTGTGTACTGGGCAGCTTTATCTAATGGTGCTTGTGTTAAGACGAATCATCTACATGAGCGGCAATGGCAGAGTGAAGAAAGACTGTTCAGAAGATCCACTAATGCAACCCCCCAAAAAGAGGAGATGGGTATAAATACACAAAGCGAAGCAGGAATCTATATGCCGTCTAGGAGACATCCATGGATTACTCGGTATCACTGGTCTCCCACCCGCTCTCACTCTCGCTGGCGCTCCACACAGACTTAGGGTTCTGAGCCCGAGTAGTCTCAGGCACCACTACAGCCGCAGCCGCAGTAGCAGCCGGGTCAGTCTCAGTACCAGCAGCCTCGGCAGCAGCATGCTTGGGCCATTTCTTGTTCTTCTTCGCCTTTCGGGACCCTTCCTCTTCCTGGCGCTCCTTCTTAGCACGGTCCGACTCCTGGGCAGAGGCACGCTCGAGGATATCGATCAGTTTCTCTAACGCAGGCGCATAGGCCTGCGCGAGAGCCAGATCGCCAACCTTGATGCGCATGTAGTCCATGGCGGCAGCGACGGGCGCGGTCACACCGGGGACCTGGTTGTCACAACGCGGCAGGGCTCGGCGGTTTGGCCTGGGGAAGCGGAGGTCATCCAGCAACAGATGCGCCGAGGAGTTGAGAGTGGGCTCTGGGCCTTCGGGTTCGTCGAGGGGGACATCGGCATCACCCCGTTTGCGGGCGGCGGCGGCGGCTTCGGCTTGGGGAGACGACGCCACGTTGTCGTGGTGGTCGGTACCTGCGCGCTGGTCGATGAACGCCATTTTCTGGTAGCGCTGGCTGAAATGCGTGAGCAGGATGGAGCGCGCGTTCATCCGGCGGCCAACCTCCAGAGCCTCGGAGGCGGTTGAGTGGCGCTTGGCGATGGCGTTGCCAACCATGTCATCCTGGAAGGTGGCTTCGTGGATGAGCACGGTCGAGCCCTGTCCGATCGCGGCGAATTTCTCCGATGGCCTGCAGTCGCCCGAGTACGAAACCTTGAATCCGTCGGGGAAGACGAGGGACACGGCGAGGGCCCCGCGGCAGTGCTTCACCCGGGTGGTCAGAAAATCGTCCAGGCCGGTGGCGGACTTGAGAAGGGGTGTGAGAGGAGAGGATTTGTCTGTGAAACTGAGAGGTGTTTTTCTTGGTTTGTCCTGGCCCGGGTGGCTTCCATTGCTGTGACAATGACGGTACGCGAATCGGGTGACTATGCTGGGCCCAATAGTCTCGGGGGTTGCGCTGATAGGCACCAGCTTGTCGAATCCATAATTCTCCACGGCAGCGTACTCTTCCAACCAAGCAATCATCATTTCGTTGGAAACCACAAACAGTCTTCTTTCCTGCAATATCTTGGCCATATCGGTTTCGGGCTCGGCGGCGGGGGTAGCCTCAGACCCATAGTTTTCGTGATACCAGGCCTTGATGATTGAGGCCGTACCCAAGTGGTGATCCGCATGCAGGTGGCTAATCCAGATCATTCGCAGATTCCGGAGTACCTCGCGCAGCTGTTCCGGCTCAAATACTCGCTTCAGCTGGCCCAGGGTATTCTCACCACAATCAAGAAGATAGTAGCCGTATCCAGGCGCATGAAGCAAAGTGGCAGAGACGTTACGGTACTTAGAGGGAGCGGAGGAGCCAGTACCCAACGCGATGATTTCAGCACTGGCCCCAGGCAAATCTTTTCGAAGCTCTTGCAAGCGATTCTGGAATGCCGGTTTGGCGACGCGGCGGCGGATAACTGACATGCGCTGCTCGACAGCTTGCGGGATCCGGTGCAATGTCGCCGCTGTATTCAAACGGGTCATGACTTCGTCATTGTTGAGTTTGAATTGTGGCTCCATGTCGATGATGAATCCAGGTGCGACAGGCTTGAACGGAGAGTCGCTGAGGGCGGCAGTGGCAGACGCTGAGCCGGCTGTGGGTGTGCCAGGCTGTGGAAGAGTGACGTTGTCATGAACAGGAATAGAGTAGCTATCCCCTTTCAGACGAGCCAGCCGAACGGAAGATGACGCAGCACTGGTCAGTGCCAAGTAGTTGGGACAGTAGTCCGAGCTCGACACGGTGTGTTCGCAGTGGGACATGCTCGCGACAAACTCGCGAAGCTTGGGATTCTCGCCAACGCCCGGTCCCAGGATCCAAATGAAAGATTGCAGTTCAGTCGTCACGGCAGGCGACTTCCATTCAGGGCGATTAATCATATCCTCAACATACTCCGACGAAGGCAGGTCCATTATGGCGGTGCCTTTGCCCAGGCGCGCAGGCCCTAAGACCATATCAGAGGTAATGGTTTGGCCGTCCATGGATTGGACGCTCTTTCCCCGAGACAAAGCTGCACAGTCCGGGCCCATCTTCACCTTCAGCGCTTTGGCTTTGGCAGGGTCAAATTTCCCCCGAACGTCATGGTTCCGCACAATATAACACAGCGCCTCGGGGGAAGGAGTAGTAGGTGGGAGACTCTCGACGGTTGCACCGGGCCAGGGCTGTCGAACAAACACCTTGACGTCAGGCAGTGGCTCATTTTCACCTCGTTCAGGTAGGTGGTACGGCTCGAGGTCTTTGGTCTCCGGGTTGCGAACGAACATAGCAGCAGGCAAATTCACCTCGGCCAAGGGAGTTTCGATAAGGGCATCCATCTTCCAGGTTGAATTGAACATGTCCGTCACAATCGATTGTCTCATCAGGTTGTCTTTGCTTCGCTGGTCGAGCTGACCGGCAGGCTCATTGCTCTGCTCACTACTTTCTTGGAATTCCTCCAAGCTCCGCTTCCGCGGGCTGTGTGACCGCGTCTGCGACGTAGCCTTGGGGCTAGCCACCGGACGAGGCTTAAGAGGCATGGCCCAGACCTTAATATTCGCGTCGGACCAAGTCGGCTCTTCGAACGGATCCTCTGCACCGACAGATGCCTGCTTAGCAACGCTTTCGGAGTCATACTCCTTCATAAACACCGGCATCCCCTTACGAAAGACAAATCGCCGAGCGGTAGCCACCGTGTGCGTGAGATTCGTCGTTCCATGGAGGGTCAAATTGCCCTTCTCAGCAACGATCTGTCCGTCCTGGGTAGAAACAGAGGTGCCCAACGCCGGCTTTTGCTTCGAGATAGCCTGGGGCTTGGCTTTCCCGCGCAGCTGGTTGGCTGCTCGAATAGCCTTTTTCTTGTTGTCTTCCTCGATAGCAGCGTTGGAGGTGGCCACCGTATCCGCCAGAGTCAGGATGATCCCGATCAAACCGCCCGTGTTGGCCCATTCCGTGCGCCCGGTGATGAAGACATCTGTAAGGTGGGAAAGCCTGATGCCTCGTTCGGTGCACGCGCGCTGGGTCCCCTCGGACAGCTGGCCGAAGAAGTATCGCTTGTCTGGGAAATTGAGGGCGATGGTCGTGCCGGGGGTGTCGGCCGTGGGGGTCGTAATGACCTGGTAGAAGAACTTCATGGGTTTGAGTCCGGTCACCGCGGGCAGCGAGGATTCGGTCTCGGCCTTTTTGAATAGAGATGTATCGCAGATCACGTAGTTCTGGAGGTCTTTTCGCGAGCTCCAGATGAGCGGAGGGCCTGGCAGGAGGAAGGTATTTGGGCCAAACAGCGGTTGTCTGGCTGGCACACGCGAAGGTTCCTTGTCTGCGTGTTTCTTGCGAGTCGACGTGCGTGCAACAGGCAGATTTTTCGACGCTGGTCTCTTCTCTGTTGACTTCCACGACTGCCGATTGAGGGTACTGTGGTGGGCTTGAAAGGCGATTCGCGTGGAGGTTGAAGACCTAGGACATGCGCGCCCGGCTGCACAAGAGGCTGCGGTAAACAGAGTACCGCGAACACGAAGGGAAGCCAATTTGGCTGGGGGACTGATGAAGAGCAAGTAAATCTAGAGACGCATTGGAGGCGAATGGGGGAGGGCGGAAGTAACAAGTCGAAGAGTCAACATTTTTTCTTGGGTGCGTCAGAGCCGCGCCTCGGACTTACCCACCAAGTCCTCCATAATACCCAGTCTGTCCTGTCTAAGGAGAAAGACACTACCTGCTACGATTTACGAGCGAAAAAGACAGGGGGGAATGTAAAGTAAAGTGATATGGCCGTAGGAATCAATTTTGAGACTCTTACTCCGCCGATCCATCATTTGCGCCTGTAGAGACATCGCTCCAAATTTCCACCCATAAATCCCAACCCGGGAGACGCACAATGCAGCGCCTCGAAACTCCCTCGGGCGATATTGATCACTCGCAAAATATATCAAGAACCTTCAGCGCAAATTTATAATGACAAGACCACGGCAAGAAAAATCAAAGACAGCGATAGGGCCAACAAAAGAGAGAGATATACAAGGAAAACAGCCAGAAAGGCAGGACGCTAATGGGGGAATCACTGGAGATGGGAGGTAGCAGACGAGACCCGCTCAAAGGCGGCCTCCATGCTGTGGCAAAAGTAGTCGAAGCGACGCTTGGAGGCCGCGCTGACTTCACCGGATGGACTGTCGACAACCAGCGCAATCTGGGTTGGCTTTTCGGTGGGGACACCATCAAAGGCGACATCCTCAGAGGACGGGGCAGACATGGGAGCATCGACAAAGAGCGCGAACGCAGGGTCCGACTCATCGATTTCCACATCGGGGTTGGCGACACCGATATCGGAGTCATGGTTCGATGCATCGCCAACAGGCTGTTCGAGAACGGGGGCATCCTCCTTGGAGCTCTCCGGAAGAGTCGGGGGCGAGGACTTGCCCGACAAGGCCTCAGCATCAAGGACGGGGCCCTGGGGAACATCCAGGACAGCGAAGACCGGGGTGTTGGCGTAGTTCATATCGATTCCAGAGTTCCAGCCACCGTTAAGACCCATGCCAGCGGTGTCCATGCCCTGGTTGGGGACCATGACCATGCTAACCTGGGGGTTCTGCTGCATCGGGAGCTCTTGGCCGTGGTTGGTGTTGGTCTCCTTGGGCAGGGCCTGCTGCGGCTGCGGCTGTTGCTGCGGCTGAGATTGCTGAGGCTGGTGCTGGGCCGGCAGTGCGTTGTCAGGCATGTCGTTCAAAAACGAGGCGAAGTGGGGAGAGCCCAGGAGCATGCGGGCCAAGTCGTTCAAGCGAGCATTTTCCTCGGCGAGGGCCCGGTTCTGCAGGCGCACCTCATGGGCCTCGTTCGTTCTGGCGGCAATTTCACTCTCCAACTGGCCAATGTATTCTGGAAAGATGTTAGCGTGATGAAAATAATAAAGAAACAAGATTCAGATGTTCGTACCCTTGCGACGAGATCGGAATGCGCGAGCAGAGACCTTGTTGCGCAGCTGACGACGCTCTTTGCTGCTCAGCTTCTTGCCCTCCTCGCTGGCAAGGAGGCGCTCGTCCTCGTCCATGTCGGCTTCGTCCTTCCTGGACTTGGCCATGTTAGGCATGGACGAGGATGGAGTCGGGGAGCCCTCGTTAGAGAGCATGGCATTCTGTCTCATCTGCTGCAGGAGGCGAGAGATGCGCTCCTCAACAACGGGGTCCGGCTGGCGAGGCCCACGGTTCTGCTGGGGGGCACTCGGCACCTGTTCCTCCACCCGACGCGGCTGCATCTGTTGCTGACGGAGCATCTCATTCTGCTTCTGCTGCTGGGCCGCCTTGGCCATCGCAGCCTGCTGCTGATGCATACCAGGGTACATGCGACCGACCTGGGTCGATGGGCCCGCCTGAGCCAGCTCATGGCCGCCGAGAGCGTTCGGGTCGACAAACTGGCTCTTGTTGCCGGGGTTTGCCGGGAAGAAATAGGGGGAAGCGTCTGATTCGAGGTCCATCTCTGACGGGTTGCGAACGGGGGCCGTGTTGAAGTCCAGGGGAGGGTCCTCCCGTTTGATGTGGCTTGCGAACATGTCGCTGTTTATGGGGAATCCCTGGTTTCCGTTGCCGAAGCCCATGGGGTTGACTTGGTTGTAGGTCATGGACAAGGCTCCAGGGGGCAGACCGGTCTGCTGTCGGTGATCTTCATATTGGTGGCTAGGGGCCTGGTAGGCAATTGGGGACTGTCCACTGGAAGCAAAACTGGCACTGCGAGCGTCACTGGCGCTGAAGTCGGCACTCGCGACCGAGGGCTGACTGGCCAAAGCAACCTTGGGGCGAGAGGGGTCGGTGGAGGTGTAGGCAATCTGATCGAAATTGATGAAGGAGTCGAGTTCGTGGTCGTAATTGGCGGTCATGTTAGGCATAGGGGAGGCCGATGTGGATTGCATCGGGTGTTCTGCGAGAGTGGCCATGATGGAGTGATGCCTAGCCCCTGACTCTGAAAGGGGAATAAGAGATGGGGAAGGCTGATAGATATAAACGGCCGAAAGAGAAGAAGGAAAGGGAAAAGAGAAAAAGAGGGAACGGGAAATCGAAAAGAGAACCAAGTCACAAACGAAGGTGAAATAAAGAGGGAATTCTAGAATAGCGATAAACCCGCTTGGAAGGGGAGGAACAGGGGAAGAGGAAGAGTCGGAAGAGAAGGGCTTGCGCGTCCTCTGGGCTGACTCAGCGGCAGTGGCTCTGATTGGCTGGTGGTAATTATAGAACAGAGTACCTTCGTTGGTGCTGGCCATGCCCTATCCAGGGATGTATCGAGGAAGACAGGAGATAAATGACTGATAATCCATGGATGTGCTCGCTTTACTCTCACCGGCCCAATTTGCCTCCCATTACCCAGTATATCTACGTCTCCCGAGGGTATAACGCTACACATCCAACAGTTCTGTTCTAAGTAACAAAGAAACAGTGGACCCCGGTGCAGGAACCATTCCCACTGATTGGCCGGGCTTGAAGCTAAACATATTTTGATCGGAGAGAGGACATGACGCAGGTGGCAGTGTTCTGTTTACACATTTCTCGGATGCTCACATTCCTCGGGTTGGCAGTGGTTTAGGTGTTGCCTGGACAAATATGCACCATCAGGATAGACCTGGGCAGTGTTGAAACTATTCTGATCGACCCAAATCAGAGCATGTATTCATTTAGTTGTCCGGCGCTAACCTACCAAGATTCGTGCCTTTGCAGTGGATCCGGGCATCCAGTCCACTTTGGGAGCCCTATGCGACCGGGGCGAATCGCCGGGGGTCCTAGACCACAGGCGCCCAAGGGGTGAGATTCTGGCTGCATCCTCTCCTCTGTCCTTTGTTCCTCTGAGGCGAGAATGTCCAGTGTGATCCAGACGCGCTCTACCACGGGGTTTGACGGTTTTCAGCAGGGTACACGTATGCTCGTGACTCGAATAGAATCTGCAGACTCCAAACCAAGTTCGGAAAAACCACGGAGGTTCGTTGGTTTGGGGATTTAGGCCCGTCGCTAGTGACTTTTGTAAAGGCCATAAGCTTTGTGAAGGGCAAAGTCCGAAGTGGCCCCGGGGGCTTACGTGCCACGTGATTACGTCTTCCACACTTGGTTAGACTGGATCCCTCAGGATTCAATTGCCCCCCAAGGCCCCCTTCCAAATCAACGAACTTCTCAGTAGATCCTTGGCCCCTAACCATCCATGGCATTATTCGCCTCAAACATCCTCCATCCTTCTGTACTGAGGTTCCTTAGTCCTAACGTGAGACTCGGCAGTCAGCGCGGTTGAAATTATATCCGCTGGACGCCTCCCCACCCAAGGGTGGATCTACTCCGAACCGAGAAATCTCAGCCAAGTTCAAGGCTCAAATGGTTTGGTTGGGTTGTGAAGAAGAGACCCTCTTCCAGCAACGATCATCCAGGGCTGAGATTGACGGCCACGTCAAGCGACCGCGTGCAAGCGGGAGGCGGAGCCACAGAAAAGTCTGCGCCTCAATGCCACTGGGTGTCTTTCCCATAAAAATAGACCGGCAGTTGAGTGTGGCCTGTGGCGCCGGAGTCGATCATTGTCCTTCTTTTCTCTACCGGTGAACAGATTGTGGAAGTGTGGTTCTCGACCTCTTCCCGTCCCGAGGCTTGGGCATGCGATTCTTAGCAGTGGATCTAGGGCTTCGGCTTGATCTCCGTTCACGCAGTGGATTGGCTTTACATACGGATGCCTTCCAGTACGGGCCATGATGGAGACTAGGACATCTTCATCCCATGGCATTGCCCTCTGCCTTACGCATTCCATCTTGATACTCGGGAAGACTTATTGTTCCCAGGACACGAGGCCTAGACCCCCATTTATTGGCGGGATCTACCTGTGGTTGTCTGACAACGACTTTCCAGACCCGCTATACCCCGATCGCCCGGCTTTCGAGGCTTTGAAACCCTTTGGCTAGAACTTGCAAGATTGTATCTTTGGATCTGTGACGAACCCTTTGGACCCTCTCTTGCCTAAATCCACGTGTCGTGTTCGAAGCTCTAGATCCATCTGGGGCCCGAAATCTAGATATGAGACCCGTGAGATGGACTTTATCGTGTCCCTCGAGTAAGGTCGTCGCAGCCTAATGCAAGTCCCATGGGATGCGCGAGTCTGGATTCATAAAGAGTTTTTGTTGACTGACGAATGTCTGAAACAGTGAAATTCTCACTTTTCGAGATATGTTTGAACTGGATCCTTGTGGAATATTGCCATTTCCCGTGGCATACGAAGCTGAACCAAGCCTTAGGGCATTGCCAACTATCAGCTGCACATTATAAAAGCTCGTCATTGAGAACAAAACTACAGTCGTTCTCGAAATCGCCTTGACCAATATACACTGAGAAACTCTTTCTTGGCCCCACAGCCAAGACGTTAGCGTGGATCATTTATTGTGTTGGCCGTGTTAAATTGAGGACGCAATGAAATGCGCTGTGTACTGTATGTTATAGTACTCTGACGGGAAATTACACTATGCGTGGATCTGCAAATCATGGGCGGAGGGCTGCCTCGCGCCGGGTAACCTAATAATCTTCTAGGCGGCTTTATAGTTCTCCTTAAGCTGTGCGGCGTGTGCTGATCATTACCTATGAGGCTGTCTCTTTGGCCTAGAGAACCTCAACAAAGTGATACTCGCGGCCAAATACCCGACCGAGTAAGGAAAAATGCTGACAGCGGAAATCAACATACTCCAAATATAAGGGACCCTTTGAAGATCAAAAAAATGAGCACGATCAGCTTGATAACATTGTACCCCACGACAACAAACAAAGGTAGCGATGGTGATGCGCACCCGGATGCTGTTCCCGGTATAGATACCGGTGATCCATTCACTGAGACTGGCCTCGCTGCTCGAAGACATCTCGGGGCCCGAGGGTTGCTTGTTGGGAGCACAAATAACCGAACACGAGGTTTTCTTGGCTGACGATCACTTGAGGGTATTGCCATGTGCTATAGCCAGAGACGATTGATTCCGCCTCGTTAGGCTACTTTACAATGCCGGGGTGTCGGCAAAAGATAATAATCGCTTCAGTCTGTGATGTGTTAGCTTCAGCTCCCTTGCATTGGGCAACAAAACATACGCTTCCGGGTAACGATCGCCGATGATCTCGGTGCGCTCAACAAGCTCGCGAACCTGCTGCACCTCCTTATCGCTCAATTTGAGCAAACTAGAAGCGGCATTCTCATCCATCCGCGAGGTCGACTTGGTTCCAGGAATGGGAATGATGTCTGGGCCCTGGGCCTGCAACCATGCGAGAGCAACCTGGGCCGTGGTGCTGTCATGAGCCTTGGCAATACCCTGCAATCCCTCTACTAGAGCCAGGATCCGAGGGAAGTTTTCCTGGGAATACTTCGGTAGGACTCGGCGGAAATCGCCCTCTGGAAAGTCGCCAGGTGACTTGAACCGACCAGACAAGATACCGCGCCCAATTGGACTGTACGCAATAACGGCAATACCCAACTCGCGGCAGGTGTTAAGCACGCCGGTGGTCTTACCCTCGATATCCAGAGCAAATGGACTGTATTCTACCTGGTATGCACTGATCGGGTGAACAGCATGGGCGCGACGCAGAGTTGCAGCTGAGCACTCGGACAATCCAAGATACCGGATCTTCCCCTCTCTGCAATGTATTGTTGGTAAAGATGCGATTTGGGGGGGGTAGGCGAGCCTACTTCTTCAGTTCAACCATAGTCTCAATAGTCTTTTCAATGGGAGTCTTCCCGTCCACGCGGTGACAATAGTACAGATCAATGGTGTCAATGCCGAGTCTCTTCAAGCTCTTTTCGCAAGAGGCCTTGATATACTCGGGGTCAGATCGAATCTCTAACCCTGCAGCACCGTGCACAAGGCCGAATTTGGTAGCAAGGAAGATGTCGCTCCGCTTGCCAGATCTCTTGAACCATTCGCCGATAATGTCTTCACTGTTGCCATAGCGGTCGGCGGTATCCCAGAATCGTTGGCCAGTGGAATGGGCGTGATCTAGAAAGGCCACCGTCTCTTCGAGGGGGCCTGCTTGCCCGTAGGTCACGCCGCCGATACTGAGGAGACCAAGGCCTACAGCATTAACTTGAGGGCCATCACGGCCAAGAGTGCGAAGAGAGACAGACATGTTGAGAAGGATAGTCAAGAGATTGGAATTGAACTGGCTGATGAGATGGATTTCCGGGAAGGCCTTGGTCTTTATATATCATGAAACCGGGCAATCTCCAGAACTGGAGAGGGCGTCATTATGGCCGACGGCAGAACGGATCCACCTATCTATCCCTTTCCTCGTCTTCGATAGGGCAGTTAATTGGCAGAGACCCGCGGCCATAGACGAGTTACGGAGTTAAGCCCGGTCTTAGCAGTTGCGCGGTGAGGGCCTGACTACTAGGAGACCGGTAATGCGCATCCAATCAGACGTGTATGACCCGATGCCCACTTAATTCCGGCTTTCATCTAATAGAACCTCACCAAATGCGAGCCGACCAATGAATGGTTGAAGGGAATAGATTTCTCAACTGCATCTTCATAGCACTCGAGTTCCGAAAAAGCAAACCCATCAGTTTGCCATGGCAACAAAGGCATGGTTTCAAGAACAGCACACTGTCCAGAGTTGTACGAGGATATGCAAATGCATTTGTATCACGTTGATATTCGAATCAGTCCAAAGCTAGATATAGGTGCAGCCAAACCCCTCAAGAGCCTCGGTTAACCATAACATAGACATCTTCCGAATTCAAGGTAGTCCCGGCTCGATATATAGGCTTGGGCCCCTCGAAATTCTGATGATTTCTGAGATTTCTGGAGGTCAAGCCATTGAAACAGCCCTCCACCACGACCAACCCGCAAAAACAACCCAGGCCATCCAATGTCCAAACGCCTTCCTTTTCAGCGTGCTGCCGCCGTAGTTCCAAACCATGAACCCATCACCCAGTCCAGCTAATGAGAGAATGGCGGCGACAATCGTGATGGCGGTCTCCTGCCCGTAATACTGCAGCGCGATCAAGGCCAGTCCGTACGTGATTTCTCGAATGCCCTTGAGATAGATTAGGGCAGATGGAGCGCCGATCTTGGAGGGCTCGATTTGCGGGCTTGTCGTTGACGGGGTGGGTTCGAGCGACAAGCCGAAGCGTTCACATTCGCCGCATGGCCTGACAAAGCTGTTGAGGCCTATGGCAAGGGATAATGAGCCTAGGAGATATGCGGAGACTGGGCTGAATGTCATTTTTATATTGTAACGAAGATAACCACAAATAAAGGAAATAACCCAAGGGGCAAGAGGCTCTGTTGATTAAGAACTATTTCAATGTTCTCGGTCCCCCGTATTTTCCTGGGCAGCTCCTTGGCTTTGGAGAAGTGGTGTTACTCTGTAGATTCAATGCTTTCTGCAGGGTGCAGTTAGGGTTCTGTGGAACAGCCAAGTCCCGAGGTCCGATCGGGCAGAACTGAGCGCGTAAATAAGAGGTCAAGTTAAGAGGTCATCAGCCGAGGTCTCTGTGTGAGTGCAGTGGTGGCTGAGATAGTCTTTAGACTAGAGGTGGATCTATTGGTGGTCTACGGGTTGATACTACAGGAGAGTACTTTAGGGCTTGGGCTCCAATATAGTGTTGAATATTCTCGAGATTTATGTATAAACACTAGCTCTTTAGCTAAGTGAATGTTAAAAATGATGTACCTCGAATTTTATGCTAGAGTTTATGTCGTGGTAGCTACAGCTCTGACATCGCAGATGTGAGCAAATAACTACATATACTAGCTTGAAGATTTGCACTTTTGTAGTCGAAGCATGGTCAGACATGTATGTACGCGCAATGACTATTGCTATATTTTCAAAGCCAACTCAGCTACTTCGTCATAGCAAATGAAGATCTCCCCTGGACGCCCCAGGCGTCCAGGGCATAATAACTCTAAATGGCGCCCGCTTGGCCTCAAGCAGTGCTAACAGTGATCTGCATTGGCAGAAACTCTTAGCTGGAGTCGACCTACCACGATAAATCACGATACCATGTGCATCAAAGTGTGGGGTAGTGACACTGATTGGCTATATTTAGTGTTCGTACTATTTTTGTGAGTAGAGATGACGCGGAAGGTGATCCTGACAATGGTCTTCATCTCAAGCAATACATACCCTGATAGGATGTTGAGTCATAGTCAGATTTCATCCTTCAACTCCAGTTATCAGGCCACCCGTCGGCAGAGAGTATGGTAGTGCGAGGCCAACAATTGCTTGACTGGTCTTGATATAAAAGAGGTCAAGGATTCGTATGATAAAAGGTTCTTCAGAATTGCTCACTACCTCCACGATGAGAGTTACCGCCACAATTTTCGCACCTCTGCTCATGGGGCTCACAGCTCTTGCGGCAGAGTCCAAGCCGAACTTTGTGGTCATCCTCACCGACGACCAAGACCTCCGCATGAATTCCATGGACTACATGCCCAAACTCAAGAAGTACGTGACAGATGATGGCATGTTCTTCAACCACCACTATGCGACAGTGGCGCTATGCTGTCCGTCTCGGGCCAGCATGTGGACTGGCAGAGCAGCACACAATACAAATGTCACGGACCTGGGCCCTCCTCACGGTAAGAGCCCTGATCCCAAAACTGCAAACAAAGCTCTATTACTGATAAAGTCACAGGTGGATTCCCCAAATTCATCGAGGAAGGACTCAACAAGAAGTGGCTGCCGGTGTGGCTCCAGGATGCCGGTTACAAGACCTACTTCACGGGCAAGTTGATGAACTTTCACAATGTGGGCAACTACAAGAAAGGACAGGATGATATGGGCCTTGATGGGCACGACTTTATGATCGAGCCAGGTATGTGTTGTATATCCTTTTGATCGGGAAACGGGGTTGGAGTAACTGACTCTCCAGGCGCCTACCAATACACAAACACCACGATCCAACATAACATGGAGAAGCCCAAGTCCTACCCCGGAGTATATGCCACCGATCTCCTGGCGAACAAGTCGCTTGCCTGGATTGACAAAGCCGCCAAGGACAAGTCGCCTTTCTTCCTTGCCATCAACCCGATCAACCCGCACAACAACTTCAACTGGAACAATGGAAAGACGAACTGGTCGGCTCCAATCCCTGCAGCTAGACACAAGGACAAATTCCAGGATGCCGTCGTTCCACGGAGCACTTCTTCGTTCAATCCCGACAAGGTACGAGCTTGCTTGCTATTGGCTTGAAGCCAATATAACAACACAAATTCTGACAGAGAACCAGCCAAGTGGTGCCAGCTGGGTCAAGCAACTTAAAAAGCTCGACAGCAAAACACTTAAGGAAAACGACGACGTCTACCGCCGCCGCCTGCAGGCCCTGCAAGCGGTCGATGACATGGTGGAGAACACAGTCGCCAAGCTGAAGGAGCACAATATGTTGGACAACACATACATCATCTACACCAGCGATAACGGTTTCCACATCAGCCAACACCGCCTGACTCCCGGCAAGCGGTGCCCGTATGAGGAAGACGTCAATGTGCCGCTGGTCATCCGCGGGCCCGGGGTGCCCAAGAGCAAGACGGTGGACTTTGTGACTTCCCACCTCGACATTGCTCCGACTATCGTCAACTGGGCTGGCGCTAAGGGCCCCGGAGACTTTGATGGCAAGAAAATCCCCGCTAATGGATCGCCGGGCTCGGAGGAGCCGTGGGAGCATGTCCAGGTCGAGCATTGGGGCGAGGTCTCGAGCCATGTAAACAGCCCGCTGTCTGGGGTGATCAACTCGTACAAGGCGATTCGGGTGATCGGGCCTAAGTATAATTTGTACTATGCCGTGTGGTGTCAGGGAGACCATGAAGTATACGATATGATAGTATGTAATTTCTTTCATTTCATTTCATTTTTTTTTCTTTTCTTTTCTTCATATCACTCAAGTGATGGCTAGCTGACTTTCTCAGAACGACCCCTACCAAATGAAGAACCTCTACAACTCAACCAGCAAGATCCTCGGCGTCTCCATGCAGAAAGTCGAGGACCGTCTGGACGCGCTCACACTGGTAACGAAGTCCTGCAAGGGCGATACTTGCCGGCGTCCCTGGGAAACCCTCCACCCCGACGGCAAGGTCAAGAGCCTGGTTGAGGCGCTCAGTCCCAAGTTCGATAGTTTCTATAAGAAACAGAACAAGGTGGCGTACAAGAAGTGCCTGAAGGAACCCAATTTGAAGAACGAGTCCCCGATTAAATTCCATACCCTGGGCGAACAGACTATCGATGCTCGGGACTTGGATGGGTGGATGAATATCGGTTAGATCGGGTTATATTCAGGGGATGATAGTATCAGTGCTGCTTGTGGGATATTCTGTTCTACTGCTCCCTTTCTCATTGTGGTTCGGGTTAGTGCAAGGAATTCAACAAGCATTGGATCTATGAATCAGATCCAGTCTACCTTGACACCCATAAGGGGTCAACCATGGACCACTTTCAATGACTCATTTGCTACATTCCTACATGCATGTACGCAGAAACATGATCATATTCTAAATATTAGTTCATGACAGAGAAAATAAGGACCCGCAGATCTCCAAAGCCAAGAATGCATGCTATTCCGCATTCGGACCCCGACCCTAGCACATCGTCAACCGGGGCGCGGTTTTTTTATTTTGTTTCGCCGCAGTTTTTTATATGAGTGGCGTGATGACTCTAAATACGAGATGCTGGCTGGTACCGAGCTGCACTGGAGTCTGTGCCGAGGTTATATGAAAGCCGACTTCGATGTTCAAGGTGCCTCTCACTCTCTAACGATCTAACCAAACCAAGTCTGTTGTTGCCACCCACGAACTTCATCTTCAACCCAGAATAGCAGCCAGCAGTGATCATCATGAAATTGTCTGCACCCTCTATTCTGGCGACGTGCAAGCAGACGCGATTTCACCTGCTGGATGATAATCCTTCTCAGGAGGTACCTGGAGTCTTTCCAATTACTACAAGCTCCCGCGCGCCATACTAACGCCTCGACCTACTTCTTTCAGATCGATGTGGAGGGCCTCAATATCGTAGTATCTGCATCTGCCGTCGACTCCACTGATGATACATCCAAATCAAAGACCAAAGGAAAATCCAAGGCCAAGGCAGCGGGGCGAGAACTCATCTCTGATGGCCATCTGCGCCTGAAGGCGGGTATTCACTATGGGCTTCTCGGGCGCAATGGGACTGGAAAGTCAAGTGAGAATTTCACTTCACCAGTCATGCCAATATAATGCTAATGAACCCTGGAATGATCAGCACTTCTGCGCGCAATGGCAGACAAACTCATCCCCGGCATCCCTCATGCGACTCGCATTGCAATTCTACAACAGACGGACACCCAAGATCATCCAGGAGACGGCTCACAGCCACCCCAGGAAAAGTCAGTTCTGGAAAGTGTGCTGAGCAGCGACGAAGCCCGGAATGAGACGGTGCGCACGGCAGATTGTAAGGACATCGTGCGAACTATATCCAATATTGTTTATTGACCAGCCCGCCAGTTCTATCCAAGAGCTTTGAAACAGAGGATCCGCTGGAGCCGGTGCGAGCAATCCGTAGAGTCCGTCATGAGAAAACCTCCAGACAGCTGTTTTTGGCTCAGAAGAATGCCAGCTTGAAGAGCGGAGCGAGAGGTCTTCAGGCCAGGAAAGATCTGAAGACTGCTGAATCGAAAATGGAAGCCTCACAAGAATTGTATGTCCCCGAATTGTCTCTATGTGTGGATTGGTCTAATTCCAACCAGACTGGCTCAAGATGAAGATACCATCGATGCCGAGACGGTGCAGACTGACACACAGGCTGCTGTGGAAACACTGCAAAACCTACAGTCCCAGCTTGAAGAGGTATAGAATGATACTTGGGTTGCCGATGAATTCCACTGACATTCATGCAGATGAAACTTGCCAAAATGGAACAGCAAGCTCGGCGGATCTTGATCGGCCTCGGCTTCAAAGAAGACGCTCTCAACAAACGAGTCTCGACTCTCTCGGGCGGCTGGCGCATGCGGTGCATGCTAGCTAGCGTTCTAATCCAAGACCCTGATATCATGATCCTCGACGAGCCGACCAACTTCTTAGATCTTCTTGGGGTGGTGTGGCTCGAGAACTACCTGCAGCAACTGCGCGAGACATCCCAAACAACAATTGTGTTGGTCTCGCATGATCGAGATTTCGTCAATGCCGTCTGCGAAGAGATCGTGATCCTTCGCGACCAGAAACTGTCTTATTTTCGCGGAAACCTGTCCGCATACGAACAAGACTTCGAGGAGCAGAAGATCTACTGGGGACGCATGAAAGAGGCACAGGAGCGGCAGATCGCACACATGGAAGCCAGTATCCGGGATAACATGAAGATCGGGAAGAAGACTAACGACGACAACAAACTCCGGCAAGCCAAGTCGCGCCAGAAGAAGGTCGATGACCGGATGGGACTGCAGGTCAGCGCGAACGGAGGCCGGTTCAAACTGAACCGCGACTTGGTTGGTTACCACTTGTCCAGCCGTGCTGAGATCGAAGTCCCGACGGACGAAAAGGGCGCGACCATGAGCCTGCCCGATGCGACGGAGCTGCGGTTCCCAGGGCCCCTGGTGTCCCTCGAGGGAGTTGTCTTCAAGTATAAGAGCAGTCCGCGGGTGATTCTGGATGACGTGAACCTGGTCGTCCATATGGGTGACCGCGTCGGGGTGATGGGTCTAAATGGATCGGGCAAAACGACCCTCGTCCATGTTTTGACGGGACAGATCTCGCCATCCAATGGCAAGATGGCGACGCATTCGCGGTTGAAGGTGGGCTACTATGGCCAACACTCGGTGGAAGAGCTCCAAGAGCGTGGTCAAGGGGAGCCCGGTCTGACGGCATTGGGGTTGTTGATGGCTGAGGCCGAGGGCTCACTGAACGAAGGTGCTATACGAGGTCTGCTGTCGTCAATGGGCCTCCCTGGCCGCATCGCATCTGATGTGCCCGTGGGCAAACTGTCCGGTGGCCAATTGGTAAGTTATGGAAGCCATTCTACGGCGCATCATCTTTCAAAGTGACTTATGTCTCGTCTCTATAGGTCCGCCTGGCACTGGCCCGAATCGTCTGGAGTGCACCGCAGCTCCTCATCCTCGACGAAATTACCACCCACCTGGATTTCCACACGGTCACGGCGCTGGCGTCGGCCCTGTCTTCGTTCAATGGTGCAATCTTGTTGGTCTCCCACGACCGATTCTTGGTGCGGTCTGTGATCGAGGGCAAGCGAGACACCGACCACAAACTCGATGAAGACTTTGAAGGACTGGAAGAAGAAACCGAAGAGACGCAGAGCCGCCGCCGGTCAGTGTATGTGCTTAAGGCGGGCAAGTTGAGTGAGCAGCAGAATGGGGTGGAGCAGTTTGAGAAGAGCCTGGTAAAGCGGGTACAAAAAATGCTGCCACCAGTGTAGATTGCTCTTTTATAATGAACTTAAGAGCATCATTAAGATATAAAGAATAATGCAGCCATACCTCAGCAAACCTTGGAAATGTATGATGCCATCGCGATGACTCAGCGCGGAGTCCACCGAAGGGCATGTCCATGCGATAAGACTCTTTGCCCACTTTGCCCCTCAATCTTTCTCTTTTCGAAGTTCTGGTGGGAGCCCTCATTGTGGATTTATATATCGCACAATGACACCGTATCTTACCTGAAGACTTGCTGAATGGCCATGCTGTGCAAGCGGGTTTGGTCGTGTCCTCGGATCCCCCGATCCTGGGGAACCGCGTCTCTATCGACTCGACTGCAGAGCACCCAGGCAGACGCCAGACTCAACCCCCAAGCCGTCGCATCGCCGACCGAGCTCCCACCTGCACAGCGCCCAACCGCATCCCGGCTTTCCGCGCTGCAGTCCGCGAAGCCGTTCTCCGCATTCCTGACCGACACCTTCAACCGGCAACATGATTACCTCCGGATTAGCGTGACGGAGCGGTGCAACCTCCGCTGCCTCTACTGCATGCCGGAGGAAGGGATCGAGCTGTCACCGTCGGCGCGGCTCCTTACATCCCCGGAGATTGTGTATCTCTCGTCTCTGTTCGTGTCACAAGGCGTGACCAAGATCCGGTTGACGGGCGGCGAGCCGACAGTGCGCAAGGACATTGTGCCGCTGATGCAGCAGATCGGCGATTTGCGACGGCACGGGCTGCGTGAGCTCTGTCTGACCACCAACGGCATCTCATTGCACCGCAAACTCGACTCGATGGTCGAGGCCGGGTTGACAGGGGTCAACCTCAGTCTCGACACGCTGGATCCGTTCCAGTTCCAGATCATGACGAGGCGCAAGGGATTCGAGGCCGTTATGAAGAGTATCGATCGGATACTCGAGATGAACAAAGCCGGGGCCGGGATCAAGCTGAAGGTCAACTGCGTGATGATGCGCGGTGTGAATGATCGCGAGATCCTGCCTTTCGTGGAACTGGGCCGTGAGAAGCCCATCGAGGTGCGGTTCATCGAGTACATGCCCTTTGACGGGAACAAGTGGAACCGCGGCAAGATGTTCCCGTACCAGGAGATGCTGGCTGTGATCCGGGAGAAGTACCCCACGCTCGAGAAAGTCACCGATCACAAGAATGACACCAGCAAGACTTACCGGGTCCCGGGGTTCCAAGGCCGTGTGGGATTCATTACTAGCATGACACACAACTTTTGTGGCACTTGCAACCGACTGCGGATCACCAGCGACGGGAACCTCAAAGTGTGTCTTTTTGGAAATTCCGAGGTGTCGCTTCGGGACATTGTTCGCAAGGAGAATGACGGGCAGCCTATTGACGCGAGTGCGATGGAACACCTGCAGCTGATGGAGACGGTGCATACTGCGGCCCGCATCCATGACGAGGGTGGATTGGTGAACGAGCGGGAACAGGAGATTCTCGACCTCATTGGCATGGCCGTGAAGCGCAAGAAGGCCAAACATGCCGGCATGGGGCAGTTGGAGAACATGAAGAACAGGCCCATGATTCTGATCGGTGGGTAGGCTCGTTCTTGATTTGATTATTGGAAACGATTTATGATCTATATACCTTGTTCATGACCCCTAATGGGTATTTACGATGTTGGAGCCAAGGCTTGATATCTTGTACTTATGAAATTGATGTATTCTGGCTTTGGATTTCGCTAATAGTGAACTAGATAATCCACCAGTTTCCAGTCGTTTCACAGCCAGACAAGGCCGTGGTCTGCTCTTAGGAATGCCCCTACATTTTCTACCACCTTCTTCTGCTCCACACGCTCGACTATGCCATAGCAGACATTCTAAGCCAGACTCTGAACCCGCACCCGAGACCCGTCCCCAGCAACCCACCTCTCTCCCTACAAATTCAGACCCAGACCTGCCACATCTAACCCCATCCAAAACCGTACACATGACTCAAATCACCTCGAAGCCAGAAACACAACGACAAGCCACAGCAGCATGCCACGTCTCTTTCTCCAACCCCCGGCCCTGGGGGCTTCTCCGACACGGGCAGCACACACACAAAGGGGACGTATTCAGCGTCGCGCGCATTGCCGGCATCATGGCGGCCAAGCGAACCCCGGACCTTATCCCGCTCTGCCATCCGGGGATTGGCATCACGGGCGTCGAGATCAGTGTGGAGCTCGCTAGTCCGGACGAGCAGCGGTCTTCAAAACACGGTGCTATGCAGATTGTGGCGACTGTCAGCTGTTCTGGGCGCACTGGGGTCGAGATGGAGGCTATGACGGCGGTGACGGGGGCCGCATTGACGGTGTATGATATGCTCAAGGCTGTGGATAAGGGGATGGAGATTGGGGGAGTGCGGTTGTTGGAGAAGAAGGGGGGGAAGAGTGGGCACTGGGTGCGAGGGTCATAAATTTGGAATACCTGGCATTGGTCTATCTAATTCTTGATTCCTTTCAAGCGAGGATTTCTTGTCCCAAGTATATAAACCAAATAGCCTTCGCCAAGCTCTCGGGCCGTTGCTAAATTCTCCGTTCAATGTTCATTTTTTTTTCTTCTCTGAACGATTTGACAACTACAATAACTCTGAAATTTCCTCTTTGCTAGTCTTTGTCTTGCTGGTTCTTCTTTTCCTTGGAGTTCTCAGTACTCGGGGCTGGGGAGGCCACACCGATCCTGACGAGAAAATCTCTGCGAAGCCCACATTCTCGAACCCGGATTCGTCTTGCCTTTGAGCCATCCCTTCTTTTCTTGTTTTCTATTGTTTCTTTCTGTTTTCTATTCTATTTGGTATCCGAACATTACACCAAAAACAATGGCTACCTGGATTCGCACTGTTGTAGTCCGAGACTCCTGGGGCTGGTAGCGGTGTGCACATCCTCTATCTTAAAGGGGGATCCATCAACGCATATCTCTCCAATCTCGAATTTAGTCCGGGTGGACGTGCCATCAAAATGAAGCTCTATGCCATGCTAATCCGTGCGTTTGATCCCTAATTCCTCTACTGTTCTTCTTCGACTGACCACCTTGTTTCTTTCTATAGCTCGCAAATGGCGTGGGTCTATTGCCCATGCTATTCTGGCGGTGTTGCCGCCATTCAACTTTTTGACTGTGCATTATGTCTATTTTATTGGGACATGTTTGGTTACAAGTGTGATCTTCTACTTGACGTCCACTCCATGGCGCAGCGTTTCTTATGTTGACTCGCTGTTCATGTGTGTCAGTGCCATGACGGGAGCCGGGCTGAACGTGGTATGTGATTTTCTACCTTCTTTTCTTCTTGTTTTTGTGTATACTTTGATTAGTACTAACCATTGTTCAGGTGGACCTTTCAACTCTAAACACTTTCCAGCAAGCAATCCTATTTGCGCTGCTCATTCTGGGCTCGGCCATTCTTGTCTCTAGCACTGTTCTCATGGTGCGCAAGCGAGCATTTGAAGCCAAACTCAATGGCGTCTCGCAGTCTTCTCGACGTGCATCGTCGTATGAATTGCAGATCGAGACTTCGAAACACCCTCTCGAGGGTCAGGATGAGATCCCTCCCAGAGGCCATGCCAAGGCCCAGAGCAGCAAAGCTGTCCCCCAAACCACAGTGACCGTCAATGAAGACACCACAGAACCAGTCCTTCATGACGATGATATCCTGTGGATCGACGATGACCAGGTCACCGTCAGCGACTCACGCTCCCGGCATCACCATCACCACCATCACCACCGAGTCTTCCCAATGGCCGGCGTTGGAGCACGACCAGATCTAAGCAACCACCCACGCGACGCCACGCCTACTCAGCCCGTCTACAACAAAGACAAAGACAACAAAGATTCCGGATCCGGACTCAAGGGCATTATCCGCGGCACACAGAAATACTTCACCCCAAAGGGAACGGTCTCGCGCAACTCGCAGTTCCACGGCCTAACCTCAACCGAGCGCGAGGAACTAGGCGGAGTCGAGTACAAGGCCGTGTCATTCCTGTCGGCGATCGTGCCACTGTACTTCGTGCTATTTCTTGTTCTGGGTATTGTCGGCGTCGGCGGCTGGCTGCAGGCTAATCACCCGGACGTCACGCGCGGCAATGGCCTGTCGCCGTTCTGGACTGGGGCCTTTTTTGCGGTTTCTGCGTTTGTGAATAGTGGCATGTCTCTTCTCGATGCTAATATGACTGCCCTGCAGCTGAAGTGCGTAGCCCACCCTCTCCCCCTCCCACATTCCCATCTCTTTACTTACCGTGTGCAATTAAACATGCTGACTCCTCTGTATAGCGCGTACCCGCTTGTGACGATGGGTATGCTCATTCTTGCTGGGAACACGCTCTTCCCGTGTTTTCTGCGGTTCATCATCTGGAGCATGCGGATAATGCTGCCGGACAAGCCGGCGTGGCAGTCGTGGCGGGTGACTCTTGATTTTATTCTGGAGCATCCTCGACGTGTAAGTTTCCCTATAAATCGCCTGTCCATTCTTATTTCAAAACAGTGTTGTTAATCACCGGCACCAGGTGTACACGAACCTATTTCCTGCCCGCCATACATGGTATCTCCTCGGGACGATCATCATTCTGAACGGGATTGACTGGGCTGCCTTTGAGCTGTTGTCAATTGGGAACAAGGAAATTGAGGTCTTGCCTACGGAGTACCGTGTGTTGGACGGGCTGTTTCAAGCGTTAGGTTTGTACCTTCTATCACTACATAGTTGACTCTGGTCTTGCTGATAACTTTTGCATGAAGCTGTGCGCGCTGGCGGGTTTTATGTGGTGACTATCGCCGATCTCCGGCAAGGATTGCTTGTTCTATATGGTAAGAGTGATCTATATACTCCCGAGGAAATATGCCCAGCTAACGAATGGACCAGTTTTGATGATGGTAAGACAGACCAGTATTGCACTGGCATCTCAACAACTAACCGTGCTATGAACAGTATGTGTCTGCATTTCCAGTGCTGGTCACAATCCGGTAAGTCTCTACCCACTTTTTTCCCCCTTCAGTATTCAGCTGCCCTGCAAGAAAAAGAATTCAAGCCCTAACACCATATTAGCAACACAAACGTCTACGAAGAACGCTCCCTGGGCATCTACGCGCACGACGAAACTGAGGAACGCCCCTCAAACACAAGCCGCAGCAACGTACTCATGGACGTAATCCGGCCCCACCTCGGCCGACCCCGACTCTCCGAGTCCTCACGCGGCTACTTCGTGCACCAGCAGCTACGCTCACAGCTCAGTCACGACATCTGGTGGATAGCGCTAGCAGTGCTGTTCATAGCGATCGCCGAATCGGACCGGTTCGCGTCGCAGCCCGTGGCGTTTGCGACATTCAATGTGATTTTTGAGGTTGTGTCGGCGTATGGCTGTGTGGGCGTCAGTGTTGGGTTCCCCGGGAAGAACTACTCGTTCTGTGGGGCGTGGCATCCCATTAGTAAATTGATCTTGGCTGCTGTTGCGCTACGGGGCCGCCATCGGGGTCTGCCTGTTGCTATTGATCGGGCGGTTATGTTGCCCACTGAGGCGTTGGCTTGGGCTGAGGAGGAAGATGCGGCGGTGCGGAGGGAGAGGTCTAGGGCTTGGGGGGATCGGATGCCGCTTGGGTCGGTGTAGAAACACCCTCCCAAACTTGCTATTGTCTGCTTTTTTTCATGCATGGCGGGTTGCGGGATTGCTTTGCATCGCTTTGCAGGAATTGATGAATTCAGGATTCTTTTGATGTGCACCGAATACCCCGGGTGTAGTAGATATGCCACAGTTGCAAAACAGAGAAACAAAACATGTACAGATATCCTAGGGAATAGAAGAAGGAAAAATCTACTCCTCCATCTCGAGCTCGTCTTCGTCTTCGTCCTCCTCTTCCTCCTCGTTCTCGCTCTCCCACTCTTCCTCCTCGCCGTTGTCGTTGTCATCATCACTGCCACCCAAACCGCCCATCAGCTGGTCATTATCGCCACGCTTTTTCTGCTCAGCTCTGCGCTTTTCTTCCTCGCGACGGCCCTCCTCAACAATGGCAGCACGCTCCTCCCGCAACTTGCGCTGCGTCTTGACAAACGCACCCAGCGGGGTAGTCTCCCAGTCAACATCCTTTAGGAAGGAGTCAACCTCGGTGCGGTTGCGCGGCGCATACGAGACGTTCAGACGACGCTCCTCGATCCAACGGGCATTAGTCTCAACCTTCTGTACGAGCAGCAAGATCATCTGGTTGATCTTGGCATTCTTGTTGCCGCCCGCACGGGCAGAGACTTGCTTCAGCCAGCGCTTGAGGGCAACGATAACAGGGACAGACAGCTCCGGGAAGGCGATGTGCTTGGACCACAAGACAAAGAACTCAGACAGAAGCTCCGAGACTTGCTCCCCGACGCCATCCTGGTAGACGCGCGACCGCAGATAGGATTTCGGGGCACGGATGGCGATGTGGAAGTCGAGTTGCTTGAGCGTGCTGGACTTGGGGGGCTTGCGCATCTCGGCTGAGGTCAGGACCTCCAGCAGCGACGAGGCCAGTGGGATGTAGGTGCCCGTGGCGCGAGAGACGCGCAGCAGAGCACGCGTCAGCTGGAAGCGCAGCGGGAAGTACTGCGCTGTCGGAATTAGGCGCATCGCGCCCAGCGTGATCTGAACCACCGGGTAAATCAGCGGGCGCAGCGCCGACTGCTTGCCGGTCTGGGCCTCGACGAGTCCGTCGCAGTGCTGCGAAAGCACGCGAGACCAGAAGTCCAGTGAGTGGACGTACTGCCAGTTGTAGATGGTCTTGTACGACTCCTTAGACGTGTTCGTGATACTGCTGCGCAGGTGCATCGCCAACTGCCGGATGAAGCTAAAGCCCGTCGTGTACGAGACGTTCTGGTCAATGCCCCAAATCTCCGCCGCCGAGTTCTTCAACAGGTTGACACCAGCCAGAGTGTGGATTGTCGTGTTGCGGCTGCCCTTGACCACGCCCTCGTACGTCGCCTTGAGCACCGTCTCCCTAATACCCGGGTCACCCAGAACCATGAGTCGGCGCAGGAGTAGGAAAGCAGTGATCCGGGTTGCATCGGCGCTGGAAACGTCCGCCCAGATCCCGACAATGGTCTTGACGAGTGTTTTCAGCACTTTCCGGAACTGCAGCAGGTACGGCAGCATGGGCTCGATCGCCGAGAGAGTGAGTTTGAGGGTTGATGAGTCAGACAGGTTCAACAAAAGCTGGTGGACAGATGAGGTGTAGGATTTGATCAGAGGTGTCAGGGTGTGGAACTTCTTCGAGTCCAGCGATACCCTGATCTTGCCGCCGGCGGTTTCTTTAACGGGGAGGTGGTGTGCGAGAACCCTAGGAACGACATTGAGAGCCGTCACAAGAACCTGGTGGTAGACATTCGGATCAGAAATGGAGTATTTCTGCTCCTGGGCTTCGACATCGTTGACATGGGCTGCGGCGCGGAAAGCGAGCACAACTTGGCGCATGGCGCGGATCGAGTGTTGCTCTTCCATCAATTTCTGCCACTTCTTCACCATTGGGATCGTAAGCGTGTTATCTTCGGGCTCTTCCTCCTCGTCGTCCTTCTTGGCCTTCTTCTTTTTCTTCTTAGCGGGACCTTCCTCTTCTTCTTCGCCCGCCTCGCCTTCACTCAGATCGTCGACCTCCGCCAAGTCGCCCTGGTCGCCGAAATCGAGCAATTCCGCATCGTTCTCCTTGAGATATTTGTAGAACTCCGGGTCCTTCTCCTTCAATGCCTCCAGCTGATCCTTGTGCTCGTCGAAATCATTGGCACTGCTTGCGTCGTCGTCATTCTCGCTCGGCGGAGCATCGTCTTCACCATCCTCCGAGGCCGAAGCTGAATCGTCTTCCTCCGCTTGTTGTTGAGCTTCAGAGCGCTTGCGCTTGCCGATCTTGGGGGTGACATCCTTTTTCTGTGCCTTCTTCCCGTTTGTCGCAGCATTGGGCAGGTCAAAACCGCCGGCAAAAAAGTCGTCGACGTTCATTTCCGCGAAAGCATTCTGCTTTTTCGTCTGCTCAGGACTCAGCTCGGTCGCATCCTCGGCTTCGGCACGCCGGCTGGCATTTTGGGCCTTTCGCTTGTCATTCTGCTGGTGTCGTTGCTTAACCTTGGCTGAGGCCTTGCGCCGTTCAAGGGTATCCTTGAGATGCCTCTTCTCAAATTTCTTCGTAGATTTCTTTGCTGATCCGGCCATTGTGGCAGATACCGTCAATGGACTCTGTACGTAAACCGGGTTCTGGGTAGTTTTTTTGGCCGAGAAAGAAAAAAAAATTTGGCGGCGGGAAAACAGAGGGTCCGCCTTCGCGACCGCCTTTAGGACTCCGCATTGGATGACATGCTTGTTGATCGCATCCATCCGAGGGTTCCAACGATTTCTTGTCTGTGAACATTCTGAACATTTTGATGGGCACGATGTATGCCCAGCACCTGCTGTCGTATGCACCAACCCCATACAGCTACACACCGAACCCTGCGCGGTCGGCCTCAATCAATCTTGATGAAGTATGCAGCTCCCGAGCTTTATACACTTTATACTGGTGCCCAGCGACTGACTGGGTGACATTTGACAGGAAGTGAAACTGGCTGGCAGCTCAACAGAGCGCGATCTGTACGAGTCACTCGCTGAGATCTACAGTATCATCATCACACTGGATGGCCTTGAGAAGGCATACATCAAAGATGTGGTCAGCGAAGCAGAATACACCGAGACATGCACAAGGCTATTGAAGCAATATAAGTCCAGTCTAGGGGATGACTCGGTTGCTCGCGAATTCGTGGATCTTGAAACTTTCAAGCGGACGTGGGGTGTGCGTGGGCCTTGAGTTTACCCCCAACAAAGCAACACCTCGGGCATGACATAACTGACACAACTGTGAACCATATAGTTGGAATGTCCACGAGCCACCGAGCGACTGCGTATCGGTCTTCCAGCCACTGTCGAGCAGGCATCCCACGGAGCCCCCGCTCCCAGCATGGGTGCGGCAGCAGCAGGGCCCGCTGGCGGTGCCTCGGGCAGTCTCATTCTAGCGGCGACCGAGAACTTCATTACATTCCTTGACGCGCTCAAACTCAACATGGTGTCCAAGGACGCGTTGCATCCGCTATTGTCAGAGGTGATCCAGTCGGTGAATAAAGTGACGGACGGCGAGTTTGAGAACCGCGGCAAGATCATCCAGTGGTTGATATCCCTAAACCAAATGCGCGCTACCGAGGAATTGAGCGAGGAACAGGCGCGGGAACTGGCCTTTGATATCGAGCAAGCATACCAAGGGTTCAAGGCGACGCTGAATTGATGTGCTCGGCCGAAACAAATATACGATTGAACGTGCATTGGGAACGGCGTTTGAATTGGACCATATTACGAAGCGTTTGCGCATTATATCCAGCTACCTTGGCCACTACCTTGGCCGAGCATCAAGTAGCATCAATTTCATACACTTGCAATTTATTGTTGGTGCCTGAACCCTCGGGCGCAAACAGACCCGCGGGACCGCCGCACCAGCCTTTCCTCTTTGGGATTTTTCTTTTCCTCCTGCCGACGTTGCTTCCAGCTTGTTCACTCCCAATTGTCTCGCATATGCCTTGCTTCGATTCCCAAGTCTGCACACGATGATCAGTGCCACGGCTGACGAGCCACTTAACGGTCAGTCCCGCTTTACCAGTTCCACTAAGATAATGGCACTGATAAGAGACCAGTGCTCGACCTCCCGCAGATTTACCAGAAGCCCTCGGGGACCGACCTCGTCAAGGCTCTAACGTTATTGACCCTGCAACCACGCACATTTGGCACCAGCGAGGATGCCGTCAAGGGCCCGGCGGTGCAGCCGACCGGCGTGACTCGCTATCTCACCTCGATCGTCGCGAGTCCACTGTCCTGGCTGGAGACCGATGAACTCCGCGAGGCCGTGTGGGATGCCGCCGCCTCTCGGCTGAGCGAGCGGTCCGGTCGCACGGGTAAGCATACTTTTTTTTTCTCTGTGTATTGTCGGATCTTTTTGCAGTCTGTTAACTCTTTTCCCGTTTGCCCCGCAGCTATGCCAGCCATGTCGCGCATCTTCCCAGTGCCCAGCTCCTCGGGCGAAGACTATACACTCACCCTACACGAACCATCCATAACAGCCGACAATCTCGGCATGAAAACCTGGGTATCTTCCTACCTTCTCTCGCGCCGCCTACACAACCTCTTCGGGTCTCCGCCGGAACTAGTCCCGTCAGAATCCATCAACCACACGCCCGCGACTGAAGAAAACCAAAGACCTCTCCGGGCACTGGAACTGGGTTCCGGCACAGGACTCGTCGGACTTGCCTTCGCGGCTCTCCGAGGCAAATCCGCCAGCATCCATCTCACCGATCTCCCCGAAATCGTGCCGAACCTCGCCCACAACGCTGCACTGAACGTCGAGCTACTCACTCGAACCGAGGCGACTGTGACAACAGGTGTGCTGGACTGGTCCGTGACGCCGAACCCATTGCCCGCACCCGAGGAGCGCTTCGATGTGATCCTCGCAGCCGACCCGCTGTACTCGCCCAACCACCCCCGCTGGCTCGTGGATACAATCGGGCCCTGGTTGAGTCGCGGACTGGACGCACGGGTTGTAGCTGAAATGCCGCTGCGCGATGCGTATCTGCCGCAAGTGCAGGAGTTCCGTCAGCGGATGGTGGACCTTGGGCTGGCGGTCGTTGCGGAGGGCCAGGAAGTCGGCTACGACGACTGGGAGAGTGCGGATGGAGATGCGCTGGCTGTCAAGTGTTGGTGGTCGGTCTGGGGGTGGTGTGAGAAGGTGTGATTTACAGTACTCTCGGGATGGGTGCGACATCATGACATTATGAATAGACGATATACGATAGACAAGAATCGAGTCCTAGAACTAGATGATTGGCAATCCATTCAGCTTGGACTGCAGAACGAATGAATCCTGCTCGTCTAATAGAGGGACACATGAAATCAATGAAGTGAGTTCATGAGACACGAATATTGATGCAGTAACACGTATATACCTCTCGCCAAGTCTAGTATACATCTTTCATTGCACCTTTCCCCTCGAATCCACCGGCCAAATTTCCTCAATCACCCCATTGCGATACGCAAAATAGAAATCATGCAGATTAACCGTGGGATCAATATGGCTCGGGATCATCTCAACGCGATCCCCAACCGCAAGATCCGGCGTGCCCTCCTCCCAAGTCAAGGAGCCCTGCTCATCACCCAGAACTCCATAAGTATACCTCGAGTCCTTGCACTCAGCCAACCCACTATCAGTAGTCAACGACTTCAACCCGCTGTCAATAGTCACGGCGCGGGGACCCTGTTTGCTCACGACCGTCGACAGAATCGTTAGGCTACTGGAATAGAACGTGCCCACGGCATTGCGATAATCGGTATCCATGAAGATAAATGAGCCAGGCTGCAGCTCCGTCACGCCGGGGACAGTGGCACAGAACTCGGCCGTGCCCGTTCCGCCGGTTGTAACGACGTCGATATTGTAGCCGGCGCTGCGCAGCGCGTCCGCAGTGCCGGTCAGGATACTCATTGAATGCAGGCACTGCGCCTTGCGATCTTCACGGTCATGCAGATGCTGCAAATGGCCCTCGTACCCCTGCACACCAATGAGATTCAGATGCGGCTGTTTGGCAATATGGCGCGCCAGAGCGAGCGCCGGCTCCCCGGGCTTAACGCCCGTGCGATGAAGTCCGACATCGAGATCGATCAGCACCGAAATCGGCTCGTCGATCCCGGAACTAGCCAACGCATCATTAATCGCCGAGGCACCGACGTTGCTATCGACGACGATGCGGATCTGACGGTGCGAGCGGAACAATTCCACAAGGCGCTGGACCTTGGGGGCGCCAATAATCTCACATGTAATGAGTAGGTCGTCGAAGCCCGTGGCGGCGATGGCTTCGGCCTCGCTGACTTTGGCGACGCAGCCGCCCTTTGCGCCGGCGGCGACGAGCCTGTTGGCGAGGATGGCGCTCTTGGTTGTTTTGAGGTGCGGGCGGATGTTCAGGCCCGTGGGGAGGAGTTTGGACATGAGTTTTTGGATGTTGGCTTGGACGAGGTCGAGGTCGGCGATCATTGAGGGCGTGTCGAGGCTGGATAGCCTGTCGCCGACTTTGGGGGAGTACATGTTCAAGGTGTTATAGGAATGAGAGGTCGGTGTTTTTGTATGCAAATTGAATGTTCATGCAAAACTTGACCGTGCGGAGTCGCTATTTATATGTTGGACGCAAGGGATAGAGGGGATACTACTACACCCCCACACTAAATGACACCCCGAAAGTGTCTGCTTCGGGTATGCGATGGACATAGTGGAGATGGTGGGGGCAATTGATAACGCCTGGTCATTAACTCGGCTATTTGAGACTGCAAGTGTGTGTGTCTGAAGGAATCGGATTGGACTTCCTATATGGGAGTCGATAAAATACAAGGGTGGTTCTTGTATAGTTCCTGTTCCTTTTCTTCTCAATCCCCACCTACGTCACTTTCGACCCGCTAATTCAGGCAGTCTAACGTCAACCCCAACTTGATATCGCCATGGACGAAAGCATGAGACCAAATATCGTCGATGCCCAATGATCAGTCTCTATTATAATCTCGTTCGATTGCCACGGCAATCCATCCTCTGGCTTTCGATCCAGACGCTAGCACCCCGCATATCGCAGCGCATCCCCACCAAGCAGTCATGGTGATCGGACTCCTAGCGCTCACGTCGATTCCGACGGTGACAGGCGTGGCAATGGGAGTGAGCGAACAGCGCAAAGCGAACCAACGGAAAGAAGACGCGCGACGCATGGTGAAGTTCTACCTAGATGCCGAGTGCGAGGGCGACACAGATGATGACCGGGAGGTGCAGGGGAAGAGGGTAGTAGTGAGGAATGACAAAGTAAGCAAAAGGGCATGAATCCCATATCCCCAGGTATACTCAACATCGTATATATTGAGAAAGAAACTAAAATTCAACAGGTCTACCTCGACGACCCCCTCCCCTCAAACCGCACCATCCCCTCCTTCACAGCCCTCTCCTTCTACGTCGAGTACCCCGAGCCCGAAGAAACCAAACACCTCACCCGCGGCCTCGGCTTACCAACACACGTCTCAGCGGACCCGCCACTCCTGAACTGGGTGTACGCCGACACGGCCACGCACGAGCTGCGGTACGGGAACCGGTCGCAGAGCGTGACGCATGTGGTTGGGCCGTGGGACTGGAGCGACGACGAGCGGGTGGTGCTGCTGGAGGAGAAGAGCGGGTTTGTTGCTGTGGAAGAGGAGGAGGGCGTGTGGGCGCTGTACTTCGATCGTAATGGCGATGAGTTGGCGCGGGTGTTGGAGGAGCGGGGGATGTTGGGGTGTGCTTTTGTGCCTGTTTCGCTTGTGAGGGTTGTTGAGGAGAAACCGCCCCAGAATCAGGCTCAGGCTCAGGCTCAAGAGTAGTGGAAGTGGTGGAGGACAGACATGAGATGTATGACTATGCTAATAATGACTAGAAGGTATTAGAATGTATACTATGGGTTCGTGACTTGATGCATTGGTTTTATGGTGATAGGATAAGATATCTGCGATACTGTACATAGATAGATATAACCTTCCAGGTAGTTAATCTTCCAGGCCATCCCAGCTACCACCATCACTGTCGGCCTCAGCAGCGACATTCTTCCGGTTCCGACTGGCCGCAATAGCGCCCTTCTTGCGATTTTCCATGCGACGCTCAAACCCACTCTTAGTACTAATCCTCGTACCGCGAGAACCCTTGCCATCACCCTGGTCCTTATCCAGGTTTTTCGTGGTCTGGCGCGCCTTGACACCATGCTTCTTCAGCTCTTGCTTATCCTTCTTGCTCAGATCCGGCAGGGCATCCAGCAGCCATTTCTGAATGGATTTATCGCCGTCTCCGCCACGGAGCTTTTCACTGACATCGATGATGTTGGCGATACTTTTGACGTAGGGGATATCCTCCTTGGTGTAGTAAGTAACGGCGATGCCGCCCTCACGACCAGCACGGCCAGTCCGTCCGACGCGGTGGACATAGACCGCAGCAGAGGTGGGGATGTCGTAGTTGACGACACCGTTGATCCCACGGAAATCGACGCCGCGCGCCAGCAGGTCTGTGGTGACCAGGATCCAGATCTCGCCTTTGCGGAAGTCGCGCATAATCTCGGACCGCTGCGTATCGGAGAGGTCGGAGTGAAGGACGGCAATGCGGGAGGAACCGCCTGCTTCGGCGGGGATGTCGTATCTGAGTTCAGAGTGGAGGGCGACTGCGCGAGGGATGGTTTGTGTGAAGATGAGGAATGGGGGACGGAGGCGGACATCTGAGGCGGATGCCGCGGTGGGACGTAAGAGCTGGCGCAGCCCAAGCAATTTTCCTTGCTCGGTGGCTGCGTAGACGAGTCGGTGGTCGATGTTGGGGATGGCCGAGTCCTTCAGTCCCACAACAAGGCGAATCAGCTGGTTTGGCTTGGATTGTTTAAGTCTGAGATTCTCCTGGCGCTCCTTGATGGTCGAGCGGGTGAGGTCTTCAATGTTGGAGCCCATGGTGGCCGACCAGAGACTGACGCGGAGGTCGGGGTGCACGCAAGATCGCCAAATATCAAGGGTTTGTTCGCGGAATAGCGGGTCCAAAAGCACATCCGCTTCGTCCATGACCAGGCTCCGCACCAGGGGCAAGGTCGCCATGGTCGCCGTGCGATGCGCAGATAAGGCATTCACCAGCATGAGGGGCGTGGTGACGAGAATGTCACTCTTGGTGACTGGCGCATTATCTCGGCCTTTTTGTGTCTTGCCCGCCTCATCCTCCTCATCTGAGCCGGAAGATGCACCGCTATCTTCATTGAGTACATTGGCGTCGTCGCCATCCCGGTCCACCACGCGCATGCCTTTCCGCATCAGCGTGATCTTCACACCGGTCCCAGCCACCAGTTTGCGTCCCTCGTTGACTATCTGGCTCGCAAGCTCCTTGGTCGGCGCCACAACCAGCGACAAGATTCCATTCTCGCCGGGGCTGGAGTGGTGATGGCGCACGATCTTGTTGATTACCGGGATCAGGAACGACAGCGTCTTCCCGCTGCCCGTAGGCGCCACCACCAGAAGATCCGGGTCAGTTCCATTCTCCTCGCTTGTATCGGAAGCGAGCGACAGATCCCCCAATAGAAGCGGTAAACTTCCCAGCTGCACTTCCGTGGGCACGGTAAATCCTTGCTCGGCAACATTCTCTGCCAACCGACGGGAGATGTTGTATCGGGAGCGCAGCTCCTTGAAAGAAACCAGCGGCTGCGGGTATAGACGGCGAGCGCGCTTCTGCTCCTTTTTACTGAGCGCCGGAGCCTCTTCCTTCTTTTGCTTCTTCTTTTTCTTCTTAGACTCCTTCGTGGGTGCCGGCTGGGGCTGGATATCGTCCATATCACGCAAGTCCGTCACCTTGATCTTGTGCGCGTTGAGAATCGTCCGGCGCTCCACCTCGTCCATCGCATCCTCGTCATCCGATCCATCGTTTTGGGCAGGTGGTTGGTCGTGGTGGCGGCCGGTCTCCTCGGCTGCGCTTGAAGCAGCGCGTTTACTCGACTGAAAGAAATCCAGCTCGGGCGCATCGACTCCATCCTCATTATCATCGGCCGCAGCACCTCTCTTTCTCTTCTGTCCGTGCTTCGCGGACTCGAGCTTCTCGGTCTCGGCGGTGCGGAAGAGCTGCGGGTTGGCGGCTTTGCCCTTGGATGGGAGACTGGCCGCAGACGCCGAAGTGAGCGGGGCCGACTTCAGCTTGGTTGACCGAGTCAACAGTCGAAAAGCGTCCATCGTGGTGGTGGGTGGTTTTCCTTTGCGGAGGACTCGATCGCAAAAAAAAAGTTGACCCGCAAAATTTCCGCCCGGGCCAATCAGCGCCTGAGGCAGCCCACCACAGTGAAAAGAAGCGGATGGCCCAGAAACATGCGATGTACCTGCAGAAATGGTATAAAAAAAGCATCACAAGCAGAAGAGCCAGTCCTATCTCCATCGTACCCATTGTAGCTGTGAAGCAATGGAGATATAAGACGGTGGTCGCTGGAAACTACGACCTGAAAAGGGCAAACAACACACCCACTTCTATCTTATAACCTTGGGAAGACTTGGTCACCTCGAAAAATGAAATTGCCAGAAACGTTCTATCTCAGACAACAGTTTATATTCCATCGTCTATCATACAGAGTACAACACGCAGAGGAAAGGGAAACATAGGAGAGGGAGAGAGAGAAAGAGGAAAGGACGTTGGGATTCCAATTCCACTCAGTGGTGTGCAGCCTTGCCACGGTAGCCGACAATGTTCAGACGACCGATCATTTCACCGACGGTGAAGAACCCAATAACCTCGGCGGCGGTGACACCGGCCAAAGCGATCTCCTTGGTGCTGGCGTTGCGGACGCGGGACAGGACACCCTGGGGCGAGGGGAAGTTCAGGCTCTTGAGGGCGGCGGGGTTGCGGGAGGCGTTGATCAGGGGCTGGAAGTAGGACTGGAAGGTGGCCAGGGTCCTGGAGAGGGAGGATTAGATCGAGAACCGTGAAGGGGTCAGGCTCGAGGGGCTAGCAAAGGTCGACTTACGGGGGGCTCATGTTCTGGCCACGGAAAACTAGCTTGCCGAGCTCGATTCCGACCTTTGAGTAGTAGAGTGTCGGGGGAATCAGGGCTAGTGGACAGATTCATGGTCAGCGATGCACAATTGTGGAAAAGGATTCCGAGGTGAAATCAATCAGGGGAGGCTCGCCATCGGCAAGCACGACTGCAATGAAAGAATTGCGAGGCCTCTTCTTTGCAAGGCCATCCCAATATCCTCATATTTGCAGTGTAGTGGTCCAGAGAATGGGGTGAAGTCTTACCGTCGACAAAAGCAACGACCTTGCCGGCGGGTCCGCCGACCTTGCGCAAGGCACCAGCAGCGTTGGAGATGGCCGGCCCAGCGGACGCAGAGACCTTGGACAAACCCTCCGAGGCCTTAGTGGCAGCGGAGGAAGCATTCTGACTGGCCTTGGAAGCGGCCTCGGAGGTGGACGAGGCGTGTCTGAGGGCGGACCGCCGGGTCAGGAACTGCGACTGCCGCAGCACGGCACGGGATGCCGTCACGGGCATCTTGACTGCAAGAAGGGGAGAATGACTGAGAAAGTCGAAACAAGCGAAGGGCACCCGGGGCAGTCGCTGGTGGGAGGACGGAGATAATCCAATGGCGGTTGGGTCTTGCGCCAGAATCTGTTGGCTCGGGAACTTCAGGGAAGTAATCACGTGATCTTGTAAACAGCCCTGTGCTGACCCAATTTGGAATTGTATGTCGGCAATGGAGGACAATTAAAAAAAATTAAATGAAAATACTTTTGAGCAGATTAAACAGCGTTGTTTTTTTTTTTTTTTTTTGAAAAGATACTACTCTAGTGTTTGGTGGTGTACCTGTGCCTGCATTTGGTCTCAACCCTTGGTGTATGCGAGATATATACTTCCACCACTGCCAGTAGCGTTCTTGTTCTCTTATTTTGATATTTGCAGGGATATTCGGGAAAAGCAATGGTACTGTACAATCCAACAGTTTGTTCTTCTTCTTCTTCTTCTTCTTCTTCTCTTTTGGACATATTCATCGACTTGCTGAAAAATTTGTCCAAGAGCAGCGAGGCAAATATATAACATAACGTAAGTCCAAATCGAGGGTCGCAAGAGTTCCAGACGTCTTCTTTTCTCACGTACCCCAAAGTCCCGTCTCATATTGAATTTGTAGTAAACTACGCTGTGTCCCGGTGTAGCCCCAGAGAGCAGTTATTCCCGGGTCCTCCGGGTCGAATACTCTCCGACCAGCTAACCCAGTCGCTCTGCAGGCAATTTCACCCGCAGGGAAAATAAGGGATATGTGTTCCCTAAACCAAATATCACCAGAAAGGGTAAGGAAAATAGAAAGAAAAAGGTGTGGAGTAAAATTGATTTGATTGAACATGTAGAGTTGACTTGTTAGCCTTGTGGCCTTATGGCCTGAGGGTATGGTTCCTGGAAAATACCCGTGGAAGAACCAAAGAGGCAATGTGTTTGCATGGTTTGCAGGGGAAAAGAACAAAAATACCCCACAAATTGCAGGTCGGAAAATTGCCGCTTTGGGCAGTGACAGAGTCGGAGGAGCCGTGAGAGTCGTCGGATTAGAAAATCCCATTTGTACACATAAAGAGGACAAGACCTATTCATATCCACAATCGAAACAGACATGATTTTTAACGAACGATTTTAACCGAGAGCGGACTGCATTCGGGCCGGCGTAGACCCGGGGAAACAGGAGCGGGCAGGGCCTTCCCCGTTGGGCGACGTCGGGGTAGCTTGACCCCGCGCGGTTAAATCGCTGCCCCTCCACTCCACTTTTTTACTCCAGTTGCGACGCGCAGGACAAGTGGATGCGACGAGGCCGTCCTGATCAGCCGGACTACAGACGGTATTAAAGCGCGCCCCTTGTCCTCTTCATCTTCAGACCTGTATCTTCAACTCTTCGTGCTTTTTGAACCTGTACAATGGCCTCCGCAACCGCTGTCAAGACCAACATCGGTGTCTACACCAACCCTAACCATGACTTGTGGCTTGCCGAGTCAACTCCCAAGGCAGAGGATGTTCTGGCGGGGCGGGGTTTGAAGCCTGGCGAGGTGACAGTGGAGGTGCGCAGCACTGGTATTTGCGGGTGAGGAAGAACCATCCTTTGGTGTGTTTCTTGTACGACGAAGCACAATGCTAATCAAATTTCAGCTCCGACGTGCACTTCTGGCATGCGGGGTGTATCGGACCCATGATCGTGAACGGCGACCACGTCCTGGGGCACGAATCCGCAGGGCAGGTCCTTGCGGTTGCGCCTGATGTCACAACGCTTAAGCCTGGCGACCGCGTGGCGATCGAGCCTAACATCATCTGCAACGCCTGCGAGCCGTGCCTGTCGGGACGGTACAATGGGTGCGAGAATGTGTCGTTCCTGTCGACGCCGCCGGTTGACGGCCTACTGCGGCGGTACGTCAATCACCCGGCGATCTGGTGCCACAAGATCGGTGACATGAGCTTCGAGGATGGCGCGCTGTTGGAACCGCTGAGCGTGACATTGGCGGCCGTCGAGCGTAGCGGACTGCGTCTGGGCGACCCTCTGCTGATCACGGGTGCGGGCCCCATCGGCCTGATCAGCCTGTTGAGTGCGCGGGCGGCAGGTGCCACACCCATCGTCATCACAGACATCGACGAAGGGCGTCTGCAGTTCGCCAAGTCGCTGGCGCCTGAGGTGCGCACATACAAAGTGCAGATCGGGCACTCGGCCGAGGAGTCGGCGGCGGGGATTATCAATGCGCTGAACGACGGCCGGGGCTCGGGCCCAGATGCGCTGCGTCCCAAGCTGGCGCTGGAGTGCACAGGTGTCGAGAGCAGTGTCAACTCGGCCATCTGGAGCGTCAAGTTCGGCGGCAAGGTGTTCGTAATTGGTGTCGGCAAGAACGAGATGACCATCCCCTTCATGCGGCTCAGCACCCAGGAGATCGATCTGCAGTACCAGTACCGCTACTCCAACACCTGGCCGCGCGCCATCCGCCTGGTGCAGAACGGTGTCATCGACCTCCGCAAGCTGGTGACTCACCGTTTCGCCCTCGAGGACGCCCTCAAGGCCTTTGAGACGGCTGCCAACCCGCGCACTGGCGCCATCAAGGTGCAGATTATGAGCTCCGAGGAGGATGTGAAGAAGGCCTCGGCGGGTGGGAAGATCTGAGCCGTTCGTCCCTGAGTGCTGGCGTTGATGTTTTGTTTCGATGTTTGCTTGATATCCGCATGATGAGCGAGATCTAGACATGCCCTCCTGGGGCACGACAGAGAGACCATGGCATGACTTTTCCTTGCGTGTTGAAGATGAGTGCGGGGTGTAGGTTGCCAGAGTACCTTGGTAGATGTGAAAAGCTGATTAAGTAAAAGTCCGTGGACCCATTAGCACATCTGGGCAATCTTGAATGACTATCATCGGCGTCTATTCCGTTGGTTTGCTTTTCAATTCAGAAGAGTTTCCACGAAACCGCCAAGGATCCGCTTGTCGGTGTGCTATTCAGCTAAGAATCTCCAACGTTTTTCTGATGATCGCCAAGATCTGCCTAGGCTTGCCAGGGTGAATATCAATCAGGTGAATCCCTAGACTATAATGTACTAGGGACGAACGGCTCTTGCCAGTATACACCCATAAGACTGGAGATCTGACAGCAAGATTTACTCTACACAAGGACCAAGGATAGAACTAAGCATGAACATGCAGCAAAAACCGTAACTCTTGATAGACTTTTCACATATGCACGGAGAAAGGGACAAGAAAACCAAAAAAAAAAAAAAAAGTCTACTCGTCGGCGTCGGCCTTGTTCTCCTCCTCGATGGCCTCGGCCTCCTCGTCCTCCTCGAAGGTGGAGGCGGGGACGCTGTAGAGGCGCAGAACAGACTTGTTGGGGTCCTTAATGAGGACGTACTTCTTGATCTTGTCGGCGGGCTCGTCGGAGTCGAGAGTGCGGATGCGGTCGACGATGGTGCGCACAATACCCCAGCCGTTGCCGAGGTTGAGGTTCATCTGGGTAGCGAACTCGCGGGGCTTGTAGCCGGCAACGCCGAGGATGACATGACCGGCGGCAGAGCGGGGGTTGTTGCGCGAGACGAAGCCGAGCTTCATGCCGTCGGCCTTGGCCAGGATGGCCTGGGTGGTCCAGCGGGCGAGCTTGGTGCTGTTGTTCTTCATCTCGGTGGCAATGACGGCACCGCGCTGCGAGACCAGCTTGCTGCGCCAGTCCAGGGCACCGCCCGAGCCCTGGGCCTTGCTGTCGAACTCGTTCAGCGCCTTGACGATCAGCTGCTGGTCGGCACCGCCCGTCGGGTTCTTCATAACCGCGTCCACCTCGGTCCGCACGATCATCCGCACCGGCTCCTCGTCGCGCTCCAGCGACAAGTCGAATCGTCGGTACTTGTAGCCCTTGGACGCGAGCGGCTCCGTCTCCTCGGCCTCGTTGTGGAAGGGGTTGGGGTGCGTGAAGTTAACCTTGGCCTGCGACGACTCGGTGAGGGTCTGCAGGGCGAAGTTGTGGTTGATGAACGTCGCTTCCATGGCGAGCGCACTGGGAGTGTTGATGGCGTCGTGCTTGCCCGAGGCCTCAGCGACCTCAAGCGGCGCGTCCACTGCGTTCTCGTTAACTGTCACCAAATCCATCGAGGAGCCGTCCCGCTTGTCGAGGAAGATTTTGTCGCCCTGGTGAACGATAACAATGTCCCACGAGTACACACTGCGCGTGGCACACATGAGCGTGGACAGGATGTCCGAGCTAGCGAAGACAGTGGCCTCGTTCTTCTCAGCCAGCTCGTTAATGACGGGGTCCTGCGACGTGGTGACATTGTATGCGGCGCGGTCGAGCGCTTGCAGCCTACGCTCGGCATTCTTGACGGGCGGCTTGTCGTAAGATCGGTCGTAGTAGTACAAGAAACCATACGAGTCGAGGTCCTCGCCCTCGGGCGCCTCGAGGTTCAGCTTGGACAGACGAGAGAAGTCCACTTCCTCCAGCATAGCCCACTCGGGCCGGATGTTGACCGACGGCTCGCGCGTGCGCTGCGGCTTGTCCCAGTCCTTCCACCCGAATCGACGACCACGGTTGCCGCGACCGCCTCGGTTGTCGTAGTAGCGGTCCTGACCACGACCGGCTCCAACGCGCTGGAAGCCGCCACGACCGCCGCCGCGCTGGCCCAGGGCGCCACGTTGACCACGGCCCCGGAACACAGTACCACCGCCGCGGCCGAATGTGCGCTTTGTCGAGGACCGCGTGTTGTCGACCACGGAGAACGAGGACTCGTCTTCTGCCGCCTGGACCGTGAAAAGGCTCGAGGAACCGGCACCGTAAACCTGTTGGTCTGTTTGAAAGTCAGTGGTGTGGTCCAAATTAAAAACCCCAAGAAAGAAAAGAGGGGCACAATTGAGACGGAAAAAAAAAGTACAAAAGAAAAATAAATACTAAATACCTCTGAAGTTCCGGTTGTACGGTTGACGACCCTGGCGCTCACGGTCCTTGGACTCGGCCGTCCAGTCAGCCATGCGGCCTAGTTTGTCGCCCTTAGAGAAGGGAGCATACGGCACGCCCGAGAGCATGTTGTCGCCGTTGGTGGCGGGGCCCCAGGTGTCCTCCGCTGGGAGGGCGGCCACCAGGTCCGCGATTGAGGAGGGTGCCATTATGAAATTAGGAAGACAAGCGATGTGCGCTGGTCAACTCGAAATTCAAAAAGTGATCAAACGGGGATGGTTGATCAAAGGCCCCAGTGTGGGTGTCGATATAATTGGCGTGGGAAGTTTTTGTGTCGCGAGCTGTGGCTGAAGCGCCACTCTTCTTTGTTGCACCGCCACATGACGTATCACGTGAGCGACGTGCGCCTTACTCTCCTGCTCCCTTGAAACCTCGGGGAAATGTCCTGGCCATCGTTTGTCACACTACGATTTTCTCCAAGGGCCGCAAGACCAATAGTTTGTGGGTGAACAATGGTTCTAATTGCTCCCTCTGCGCTCTGCATGGAGATGCTTCTTATCAGTAGATCCGATTTCCGGATGATGGGTCCAGTTGAGTCTTGGCCAAGGTGATCCACCGCGAGCACCAGGAACGCCTGTGAGAACTTCCCGACCTATCAGGTCGTCATGTAATGGAGTTGATAATAATGAAAAGGCAAATCTGGGCTGTCATCTTGGCTCTGGAGAGATCTGCAGTCGCCTTGCGATTTGTCACGTTGTGCTCTCGCATAGTGCGCGTTGCGGTACTCAAGCCGAGGTCGGCGCAGAAACCATCGAGATAAGCCTCGCACCGTTAATTGCACGATGCTGAACTTCCCCCTGGGGAGTCCAAGTTTTGGGATCCAAGTTAAACGCTCCAGCCGAGTTTCACCCCGTCCCCTGAAATTTCGGCACTCGGGCTGGCGTCATGGTTCCTGATAGCCACCGTGATACGTGCTAAAAAACTTTACGTGACCGGATTTGAGCCTCGAGAACACCTCTCTCTCTTTGCATGCCATTGCATAAATCTTACTGCGACTGAAATCTGGGCTGTCTTGGAATCGATGGGTTCCATGAGTTCAAGAATTGCCGGACATCCCGATGAATCGCCGGTGAGATATTTGCGTGCCCAAAAATCGAAAGAAGCATAGAATTGAAGATCTCGAATGACGACGAATCCAATGGGCATGACTCGGACCTGAACGGATCAGCGGCCAAGACAGGTCGCTTAGGGCTCGCCGGACTATACCCGTCATCGGTTGGTGATCAACCACGTCGGCGAACTTGGATTCCGTACATCCGGTCCACGGAATTTGAGATCATGAACTGCAATGGCTCCAATGAGAAATGAATTCTGCAGAGATCGGCGGCCAAGGTGTGTCGCCTAGGGCTTGTCGGGCCATATCCGTCCTCGTCTGGTGATCAACCTCGGCGAACTTGATTGATACACCCGCTTTCCGGAAAATTTTGTTCCTGCATCACTGTTCTCCGTTCCCCGGGGAGACCTCTCTCATGGGCTCTCCGTACGAGCTATCTTTTTATCTCTACTTTTGCCGATCCCCTGGTTCGCGAATATGGAGACTTGCTACACAGTACCCTCTATAGCTCACCTTCGGATGTGTTCAAGACCCGAAGTGACTGATAAGCATTTTATGCAGTTCCAATCAGGGAGGCATGATGGCACAAGAGATGACCAGGTACAGCGACTCAAAAGATATATAAAGGTCGGGATAGTCCGCGAATATCACACCATCAAATTCCAATCCAACTCTCTCTCTTCCAATTTATAGAACCTCAAGCCTCTCATTTCTATCTCTTTTATCCAGACTACATCAAGTCACCACACTTCCATCACAATGAGACTCTCCATCTTCTCCGTCCTTGCCATCGGCGCCGGCATGGTGTCCGCCATCCCCCAGCCCGCCAACTCCCTGGCTTCTCCCGTGAAGCGTGCCAACTCTACCCTTGAGAGCCACGCGCAAACGGTCAGCTCACAGGTCAAGGGTCAGAAGGCGCAGACCCTGTCCCAGGGCTCGGAGTGCATTGGCGGACCGATCTGCTGCAGCTCGCTCACCACTCCGCTTGACCACATTGTCGACCCTATCCTGAAGGACCTCGGCATTGACGCCGCCGAGATTGTCGGCTCCGTTGGTCTTCTGTGTATGAACCACCCAGAGAGCCCTCGTGAAAAGGTTTATAGCTAACATTCTTTTTTTTATAGGTGACCCCTACGTGGCCGACACATGCGACTCCGAGCCTCAGTGCTGCACTGAGCTCAACCTCCTGGTGAGTTTCTGTCGTGCTTTCGAGAATTTCTTCAAGTACTCGCTGACTTCTGTAACTAGGGCGGTACTCTCGCTCTCGGCTGCTCGGCTAGCAAGTAGGAAATTTAATTTCTAGGATTTAGGAATATGTGAATATTGGACTGCTTGGACTCTCCACGGGTGAAGACAGCAAATGGAAATAGTGATCTACGCAAAAGAACGAGCCTTTGGGGAAGTGTGACTCGGGGAAAGTCAAAGTATCTAACTACATGTGCGAGATTTCTCATATTCAGGCAAAGCCCATTTCACCATCCACTCAGACGCAAGAACCTCTCTCATTGTAAGCCGGTCCTCTGGCCGAAATGCAAGCATCGACCGCAACAATGCAAAAAGCGCATCTCGCTCCGCCGGGTCGACGTACCGGAAGTGTTTTCACGTCCATGTATTCATTGCGTTATTGGCTAGGAAGCCAGTGGTTCAACGCATACAAAACGTTTATAACATGTCGATCAATATAGTTCAAGTACTATTTCTACTTATATTTCCCGAGCCAGGCCCATTGTGATTTGAAATTGATAGGCCTTGCAATTTTCATAACTAGACACTTGCGACCAGGCTATGTTATCCACAAGCATGTCTTGTATAGGCAGCAGCTTTGCAATCATCCTGGCTTGGCAGCCCCACCTCGACCTTTATATGCTGCAACTTCACCCTACCCAAGACATCCATCTAAAAGACAGATCCAATCCATCGAGATGTCTATAACAACTGCTTGGAGGATCAACCCCGCCCCACTGCCCGGGCAGGGGAACTCTCATCACCCGAACATAACACGCTCATCAGTGACAGACAGTGATGTCCAATACATGCCAGCATCGACCCGGATCCACCGCTCGAAAATCGACAGAGTAACCATGCACAGCAACACAGCAACACACCAAAGCAGCGAGAATAGCGGACCCAGCGGAAATGGAAACGCCCTCATTCGCAGCGATCTACGCAACTGCAGTGTCAGAAACGCCCGATTACAGCGCTGCACGCTGGAAAACTGCGTCCTCACTAATGTGCGTAGTGCGCAGCGGATACAAGCCTGCCACTCGGCATTCCACGATGTGGCCTCGCTTACGCGCAGCGAGTTCGTGGACAGCGTGGTGCGGGACCGCAGTGCCGTGGTCCGTGGGACGGTGAAGAATTCTGTTGTGCGCGATGCCAGTACCCTGACGCGGAGTGATGTTCTCGGAACAACGCTTTCGCATAGCCAGCTGTCGCGCGCGTGTCTGGAGAATTGTGATGCCTCGAATTGTGTGATCTCACGCTCCAACTTCAAGGGGATGGTTCTTAAGTATGGTGTTTGGGAGAGAGGTCGACTGGTTGGTCGCGTGGGGGGAATGAACCTATTGCGATCAGCTCAGATGGATCTCGAGTGGATGTAAGTGGCTTTGCATTTGAGTGTTCATTATATGCGGTATGCTGACCTCACAGCTCGATGCCACGGTGCCTGCCGTTGCGGAATTGGATTCCAAAGCCATTCCAGTTGCCCGAGACACGCGCACGGTTGATATTGATTCGGATGCTCTCCCTGATAGCGAGGACTCGGATCTTTCAGATGATCTTGATTTGCCGCCCCCTTATAAGCCTTGATCCTATTTTTCCGGAGGTGGTCGGACAAGATGGTATACCTGAATTGTCTGATGCCCGAGCAGCTATTCATGCACTGCATATACTCAGTTGATGCATTATTCTGATCAAGCCCGAGTCCAAAGCATTTCATCTGGTCTTTTTTCGACTGCAATGCAGATTATTGACACGCTCTATAAGTAAACCGTGGCCCACTGTGGACATGAAGCACCTCCGTAGAAGGTTCAATCATAAAAGAAATGTAATTGAAGATTGACAATAATAAATTCACATGAAAGGAAATGGCAAGCCAATGAATAATAAAACCGGGACCATCAAGTCTCCTAGTGAGACTCCTTGTTGCGAGTGCCCGCAACGACGTACTGCTTGTCCGTCTTCAGCTTTTCGAGAGTACTATCACCGAGTTTCAGAGTATCTTTAATGATCTGCTTCGGCGTGGACGCAATCCACTGACCAAGCGCCATGTCTAGAGATGCGTTAGCCAGACACAGAAAATGCAAGACAAAAAAAAAAGAAAAAAGAGAAAGAGAAACCAACCTGTAAATTGAGGAGCCTGAAGAACCTCCAAGAAAACCAAATCCTCATCACCGGTATTCTCAACATAGTGGCTATTCGACTTGGGGAAATACCCAACATCGCCAGCACGGTAGTCAAACGTGGTGGCCGTCGACGGTGCCGAAAACAACGTCGCCCGGCCCTGGCCGCGGATAAAGAACGTCCACTCGTCGCTTGTTGGGTGCCAGTGGATCTCGCGCATTCCACCGGGGCTCACGGTGACGATCGCCGCGGAGAAGTTGTTGGCGATTGGGAAGGTCTGCGGGTCGACGATCTTGACGGTGCCGCCCTCGACGTGGTGGGCGGGCTGCTCGGAGAAGTGGTACGAGTAGCTCTGAGTGCGCGGGATCACGCCCGACGCGGTGGTGACGTTCTGCTTCTCGATGTCTTTGGGAGCCGGGGTGCCCTTGAAGATGTAGAGTTCGTCGTCGGGGATTTTGTCGAAGGCTGAAATGGGCACGCCTAGGTCTTTGGCGAGAACCTCTTTCTGGGAGGGGATTAGTATTCCCCTTCAGTTAACAAATATACAGAGTGGAATTGTGCTCTTACCGGGCTGTGAAGGAACACTTCTGACGCGAGGAACGTGTTGTCTTCGCTGAAATCGCCGTCGTCGAAGACGAGAAGGAATTCGACACCGTCATCCAGGGCCTGGATGGAGTGAGGGATGCCCCTGGCAGAGATGTCAGCAACACGTACATTTCATCTTAAATCGAATTGGTGAACTTACGGTGGGAAGAACCACACATCGCCAGCCTTCACATCGTCGATAAATGTTTGGCCGTCCTCGTTGACAGCCTGGAAATATTAATATTAGTGAGATTGCAATTCCACCAGCTTGGCGTCAGAGGATACCTACCTGAATGCGGCATGATCCATTCAGTACCAGAGACCACTCCCCAGCAACATGCCAGTGAAGCTCCCGGTACCCAGCTGGCTCGAGTCGCATGTCCACACCAGCCATCTCCGTTGCATCGGGCATCACAACGGTGTTCTCCTGGCGAGCCCAGCCGGATCTCTCTAGCCCGAGCCTGGAAGTCAGTTAGCAGAGGTTGCTGAATTTGTTTCAAGTATTTGTACCTAGTTCGGCTGAGCCCTGTGTCGATTGTTAGCTGTTTCTATGCTCAAATATCTCGTGAATCGCCCAATCAACCTACCAAGGGGCCATTGCGCGTTGATTGTCTGACCGCTATCTGTGCCCGGAGGTGCAAGTTTATCGCTGTTGATCTTGTCGTAATTGTAGTTTCCTGGAATGAAAGTCAGCGCATATACCTCGACCAACTCAAGTAAATAGATCGAAACATACGGGGTCCGGGATCATCGCCGCCGGTGGTTCCACGGATGGGCTGGGGATTGTCGGCCTTTTCAAAGTCGAGGTAAGAGCCAACATCGGGATCTTCCTTTTGCCCGGGAACAAACTTGTATTTAAGATCGGGGGGTGGACCGCTGTTCGTCTTTTCCGAAGACGAATACCCGACCAGGGCCTCATTTGATGCGCGAAGGGGAGGATTGCTCCCTGAGTCTGCGTTACCAGTGGGAGCAGCGAGACCCAGGGGTACCACAGCGGAAAGGAGGACAAGGGATTGAGAGAGAGCTTGTAGTTTCATGGTGATGGGATTGCAAACGGGTATGCAGGAAAGAAGGGAAAAGAGGAGGAATGCGATGGGTATTCAAACAGCTTGCTCCAAATTCGATACTTTCGGGACCCTTTTATGTGCACGTCATGCAAGGCCAAGTTATCTGGTGCCACCAAGCTTCTTTTTCCAAATTTACATCATCCCTTGCCCACATCCGGCATTGTACCAGAGATTAGCCAGAGATCAGAGAGTGGAGACAATAGTTTCCCCTCATGAAGTCGCAAGGATGTAGGGCTGACGGACGTCGGCCGCCAGCGGCACACGATGCCGGGTGTATACACGGGAATTGGAGGCCCGTTGTTAACGCGAGGGGAAAGATGCAGCTAGAACGGGGCAATGGTGATGGATCAGGCATAGACATATTTGATCCTGCAATGATAGCAGGTTTTGACGCCTTTGGCGATAACCCTCCTGTCCTGGTTGTTGTGGAACATCCAGGCGAAAACGAGCACTGTCTACTCGGGACTGACGGCTCAGAAAAAGAAAACTGGGCTGCTTGTATATTTCTACTGCTATCGACCGTTTACACCTGACATGCATTATTGCATGCCACCTTGTTCCTTCTGTTACCTTGGAGGGGCGAGGGGGTTCATCACGTCACCACCGTTGAACTAATGACTTGTAGAACTAAACCCACTCTAGTCAATCAGACCAGCGAAATAATACCACCAATGGATAAAGCCACAATTTCAGGCTCCGCTTCCATCTCGCTGTGAACCAGGATAATCGGGTGGAGAGTGAGGGGAGCCAATATTGAGACCAATGAAGGTCCACCTCGTCACGGAAGACACGGCAAGACGTTGATGAGCCTGGCCCTCAACTCCAACTTGTTTGTCTTTTGCCGAGCACTAGAGCAACACACAGCTATCCAGCGGTTTTGCTTGCTGCCTGTTCCACCGACAAGGCGAGAAAATCGAAGACCATAGCCCACCACGCCGATCAGAGATATTATTCAGGTGGAGCGTGCGAGGCGATGAACAAGTATTCTTTTTCCATAAATAGCCTCAGAAATAATATGGCAATGGCAATTCCAGGCCAAGCTTCCCAGGCCAAGACTACCAAGCCGCTCTAAAGAATCAAGAAATTCATCCGGGCCGGGGAGGCCCTGTGGGACCATCGCGGTAGCAAGTTGGGTGGGGGGAGGGGGTTTCCCGACTCCACTTGTGGTCTTCAGCATCCTTCTCCGCAGCAACTCAAGGCAGCCCTATTACTATTCAGGGATGTTGGAGAGAACGTTGTCAATGGTCTGTTTGTGTCAAAGACAGGATCCACACGTTCTGGGGGATGGCAAGGTCGACGGGGAGGAGGGAGGGGTAGCGTGAGGGGATATGAATTGCAGGATGAGGACATACCCTGCTACCTACTACAATGCACTGAAAAAGGGTGCTATAGGCCGAGCAATAATTTCCAAGGGCCAAAGAAGAATAATGGGATAAGTCCCTGGATTTCTACATATATAGTGTCAAATAATCGTGATGACACTGCTTTGGGGGCTATAAACATGACCTGCTTCTCGCCAATACCAAAAGTCGGAGCTGTGATGTTCGTAACCTCTTTAACCAGGGATAGCATCCTACGAATAGAGCAATGTCTGTTGCTTGATGTTTTTACTAGGAGATAACAATTGATTAATCAAGTTGAATTAGACAAGCGCTCTTCATATTTATATACAAGATGAACTTGAACCAACTTATGCGCTTGCCAAATCCTACCTTGATGGCTATTGAGATGCAGAGAATAACATGATTTGACCTCAAAACATCCACAATTGCTATATTAATGTGGAGGCTACCAATATATATATCCCACGGACCACAACAACGGCCAAATGACACAGACCAGCTCTCATCCAAGCTTGGTTAAAGTTCAGTCGGCGAGACTAGTGCTGAGCCCACAAAGCAACCAGAACGACGAACGTGCCGACAATAATGACTCCTTTCGAGGTAGCTAGCTGTTTATGAATAAAGCTGTTGGCCTAGGGCAAGCCACCAAATCGGTTTGATGAGGATCCAAGCTTCTTGAAGATCAACCACATTTAAAGCCTGTGTTAAGCTGTGGGCAGTTGTAAAACCCTTATCATCAGCCTAGCAGACCTTAGAGACCGAGTTAGGCTAGACGTTCTCCATGCTCGGCAAGTTCTTTCTTGCTGGCCAAAAGGACTGGTTATTCAAGTGCTCTGAGTTGAGATTAAGCTAGCGCTTTTGTCCTGGCACCACTTCATATATGACTGCGCCGGGCTGGTCAATATTCACGCGAATTGTATACCCACGGGATATGCACGAAGGTATCCGTTTGTTATATGCGTGAGTTGTACAGTGTCATTCGAGAAACCAAGATGGTCAACAATGTGAAGGCATTGATTGACCCTGGGTACCCAAAAAAGACCAAGACATTCCAGAAGAGAGTTGTGTTGAGGGAGAAATGCAGAAGGATAATCGATGCCCAATCCGGGTTGCATGGCTTACACATGTTCGTTACCTATCCCAAGACATTCTGCGCTCTAAAAGGATGTGAAAGTGAGGGTTACAGCTTCCTCGATCCCACAACCAAGTTGTAATGATGTTTGGTGGTGCTCATGATGTTGTTTTGATACATCTCGAAATCAACACTCCCATAGGGCCAGTGATACTATTGTCTAATGATACTACCAAGAAAGAAAATCGAAATCGAAATCGAAATTAAAACATCTCAATTCCTCTTAACCATCACACGATGCCTTTTTGACACATCGATGGTTCAAATTGGATGCCTTATGGCCTGGATGACCCACCGGAAGATGTATTCCGTTCTCGAAAAAGAACCTACACTTCTCTTTCCATCAAACCGCCTCCCTCTCTTATTATCATCAACTTTCCAACTCCTCCATCACTTCATTTTCATTATCACAACAATCAAAATGTCCCACCTAACTTACTACAACTACGACGGCGTCGGCAAAAGAAACCAAGTCAACTTCAAGTACAGCCAGGCAGTCCGGATCGGCGATCGCATCGAATGCGCCGGACAAGGTAAATTGCCATCTATATTATTTCTTTTAAAATATACAGAACTAAACTTATTGCAGGCGGATGGGACCCCATGAGTGGCGAGTTCCATAGAGAAATCAACGCGCAGATCGACCAGGCATTTGCCAACGTCGAGCTCAACCTGAAGAATGCCGGCGGCAAGGGCTGGGAGCAGGTGTTCCGCGTGAACTCGTATCATGTGCCAATTAACAACGAGGCACTTGAGGCGATGGTTCGCAATTTTAAGAAGTATATGCCCCGGCATGAGCCTATCTGGACGTGTGTTGGGGTGAGTCGGTTGGGCGAGGATGATATGCGAGTTGAGATTGAGGTGGTTGCGCATGACCCTTGATTTGAAATTTTACAAAAAGCAAGTCGGATGCATAGATGTGTTGACAAATTGAATTTTAGTTTTTTTTTTTGGATTAGGTGCAATGCATTCCGGTGTTGATCTTGATACAGGCTGAATTTTGAATCACTGCCTGAGCCGGCATTTTGGTTGCAAATCTTATATTAATTTTACGAACCAAGAAGAGTATAATTGAAAAGTTATGATATAAATCGGAGGTTAAGAGATTAATATCAGATCATTGTCCACGGATTTATGACTGATGACGTTGTTAATTTTCCCAGAGAACTCCAGTCTCATTATTAGAATTACAAGAGGCTACTAGAGAGTTTATTTGATAGCGATAGCACATCAAAATACCTTACACTGTCGTTGAGCTAAATAAATAGAGAAACATGGAGGGCATTAGATAGTTACAATTAGATACAGTGAGGCGGTAAAGGGAAGCCATGACGTCGGCCAAAGATCAGGTAAACGAGAAACCACGTATTGATTAAAATCTGTTGAGAGGAACGCTGGGGTTCTGCTAGGAGCTTCTTCATTGCCTTATAGACCGACATGGAGGCAATTGCACGGAAAGCTAGCTTCTTCTTTCTCTCTACAACCTCTCTGTCCCCCTGTTGCTCCCAGTAGCTCATAAAGGCTTCGACTTGCCCTATAAGCGTCGTAATTTCTACCGTTTGAGTGAGCCAGAATAATCTTATGGATGGCTTCGAAACCGATTCTTAACAGGAAGTCTTTACATGATGAAAGGAGGGATAGGCAAGTTTATAACAAAGCCGCGATATCAGCACTATGGTAAATAAATCTAATGTTATTCTCACGTCTGCATCCTCACCAAGCCAGCATTAGCTAATAAGGACTATCATTTTGGAAGTATCCTTTTTGGCAGCATCATATGGACTGGTTCTCTGGACCAACCTATGAGTGTGGCTGTCCAGCACCGCGAACTTACGACTCGATCCTTTACCCGTGAGAGCGATTGAATGTACCTATGAAATATGCCATTTCTTTCTCTAATTAGGTAGAGGGTGGCTAGCCATCTTTCAAATTGCTTTACCTGGTTGCCTACCACAGAAGCCGCAAGAGCTAACAATATGAGGAAAGACATCTGGAGAAATCACAACAGTCTACAACTAAACTGCTTCAACGATCTGCGAAGCCAGAAATACTCCTTGGTTTTGGACCCCTCTAATTACTCGCCAAGGCTATACAAGATATAACTGAAGGTGAATTATTTCTCCTTCCATTGGCTTTATCAAGAGAACACTTTTGAATATTCCATCAGAGGTCACATAAATGTGATTTTCGTCCTCTGGCGGGGCGACCTCGCGTTTCCGCTTGGGGCTCGAGAGAGAAGCTTGCTTATCATTAGATGCCATAGGACTTTCTCCAGCTATACGGACTCTCTAAATCTCCGTTGAGAGTGCCGTGCAGCGTTGTAGAAAATGTTCCCTGAGAACCTAGAACCTGTCTACAAAATTGTCAATTTTTGCCTAGTTTAGTTCAGTACTCTTCTCATACATAAAATGTCATATAGGAAGCAGCCCTGCTGCCAGAATGAGCATTCAATCTATTCTTCCTTTTAAGCGAATCAGCTCTTCGCAACTTGCCCCAGGAACCTCACCGAGCCCAAAGACGAGGGAAATTACAGCTGAGGGACCTACACAGTGGAGATTATAGGTGGCATAGTTTGACCAATTAGAACTATCATCATTGACAAGACTAAACCGCCATAATATTCCCAGTTCCACCTGCTTGGCGCAGTACTTCATCTATAATCGTTCAAGTTCAGCCTTGAGGGTTAAAAATGACAACAATCTCCGAGAACCAATGCTACACCATCGTCCACCATAGAGCGGGATGAGGAAATGTGGGCAAGACATCAGACTCCCTATTATGATCTTTGTTTTCAGTCTATCTTACCTCCTGCTACGTAGTTTGGGGGCTAGGTCCATTCACAAACATCAGCTTCGATGAAAAAGCTGGTCTATATATATCTACGGACTCACCGGAATGCGGCTATACATAAGTGTCTAAGCTCTTTAAAATGTAAATCCTTACGATACACAAACAGTATAGATCTAGCGTATTGTAATACCTTGTGTAGGGTGCTTACAGTGGGTGATCAAAAGTATTTGCCCACCCCTAAAGTAGACCCACATAGTATTATATAATATTCTGCCAGTCAAAAAACTCTTTATTAACCCCTATACTAGTATAATACTAATATTTAGTATACCAACCCTCTGCTTCGATAACTGCTTTCACCCGATTTAGCATCGAATTCGATAGATTTTGCAGAACCCCCTATTCAATCCTATCCCATACTTCTTGCGCTGCATCAACCAAACGTTCTAGTGTAGTACTATTATTAGGCATATCTAGTAGCTCAGGGTGTAGCTCATAGATTTTTGCCTTTAATAAAGCCCACACGTTCTCAATTAGATTAAGATCTAGCGAATAAGGTGGCTATACCATAGTATTAACCCTCTTTCGCTCTAAAAGCTCACGCACGATATACGCGCGATGAACTAGCGTATTATTATACATAAAAATAGCACCTAGTCGAAGCAAAGTAGACAAAATAGTATTACATAACTTATAGATAACCTCTGTATTAACGCCGCTGCGAGGTATATTAGGGTTGCCTTGTAATACCTATAAACTAGTACGTCGAATTTCGCCAGAGAAAGCAGCCCAAAACATCTATTTTACTTACTTTCCACATAGTCTACTATAAATATCTCGCTCGATTCGCTACTGCGAGGGTCAATTAAAGATATAAGGCTTTCGATAGCCAGCACCTCGCTCGATAGTATATTTATCAGACCAATAGACATAAGCCCAATCTTCAGGGGTAAAATATTGATATATTCTTGCCTAATGAAGTCGTTTTGCTACAGTTATATTATCTAAAGCAGATCGATCAAGCTACCGCTATTTTCGAAGCCCTATCTTATTCAAAAGCCGTCGAATTGATATCGTTTTGACTTTATAATCGATATCAGCGAGTAGGTCTTGGTAACGTACGTAACGGTCGGTAGTAGCTCTCTTATATATTCGATCGCGATCATCTTTATCAAGTTTGCGAGGTGCTCCGGAGCGATATTTTGAATAATTATTGACCCTTTCGCTCTCTTTATTGATCGTATATCTGATAGTCGATAATAGGATTGAAGGGTAGGCCTTATAAATCTACCTATAGCTCTATTTAGCAGTTAAATAAAACTCGCAAATACGAGCGCGAAGGATTAGATCGAGTTCTTTACCGCAAGGTATTAGGAAAACGAGTATACAGCGAATTGGCGAAGCGAGTATATCTTATATTAATATTATATTTATTCTATATCAGTATGATATTCAGGGGTTAAACGCGTCGATATAGCGCGTATATACTAGCGTGTCGACTCGCGTGAGGGAGGCAGCTATATTAATAGGCAAGCGGTCAAGAAAATGCGGTGTAGAATATTAGGTGGGTCTACTGTAGGGGTGGGCAAATACTTTTGATCACCCACTGTACAGTATTCCACATCGATACACTAGCGTACTAAAGGATGAATTAACAAGTTTAAGATCTGGAGTGAGGCTACGTGGAAAGGGGGCCAAAAAATAAGCCAAGGAAAGAAAACAACACAGAACACAGTCAAACCCGAAATCCACCCCTTAGTTATGAGTAAATTTTTAAAATGAATTGCCATATGGAAAGAAGCGAGAAAAAAAAAGCCTCAAGAAAATAAATTAAAAAAGGGATAAATATTTAATTTCTTAATTATGTATAAGAAAGGAAAACAATTCCAATCCTCCGGTTTGATCAGTCAGGCTTAACGCTTGGGCACAAGTGGTTACTTCGTAAGGCGAATAAAGTCGGCCCCCGGGGCCGATCTATTGTAGCCGCCCCCTCGAGTCGGACCCACAGCATTTTCAACTGTTGAAAATGCTGTGGGTCCGACTCGAGGGGGCGGCTACTTCGGCGCTTTTGCGAAGCCCACCGGCTTTGTTATACTGACCTGTCTCAAGTCGAAACGCAGCTTCTGAGGAAGAGATAATTACAAGCACTTGTATATAGACCAGAGTGACTAGAGAGAAGTTCCATAGGAGACCAGGACAAGGTCAGTAAGGCGATAAGGTGGCTTGCCTACCTTAAAAAAGCTAAGTGGGACAACTCACTTTTTAGTTACATGTACAACACACAGTGGAGAAAAGGGGGCCGTCAAGTGGACCAGTAGCCTGGTAACAAGAAGATTATTTAACCTTTCGCTAACTTCAGCTCAGCCAATTAACTCATCTCTAGGCCCAACAAAAAGGGAGTAGGGGGCCTCAAAATGGACCGCTAGTCGCGTATGGCAACAAGAAAAGCCACTCAAGTTTCACTACCTTAGGAACCGGGAGGAGAAGGGGGCTGTGAAATTAAAATTGTTTCCTTCGTATACATATCGTACCCAGGATGCACAATATTACAGAATAATAGTTATGAACAATTAAATACATAAGGCATTTTATAGGCATGACTACGGGTAACATGCCGACTAGGTGTGTCAAGACTAGTAAATAGAGGCGATATTAGCATTTGAACCCATTCATTAATACATTTCCTCAGAATATACTAGTTTTCTATAATGATCCCTCTTTGTCACTACTTAACCACATAGCATCGTCGCATAGACAGTTTAACCTAACGCCGATTCACCTCTCCCCATCCCTAGGCTGGCTACACAGGAGTGAAGCCTCGTGCTTATGAGCCAATTTTCCAGATACTCTGCACATGTTCAATAGGTACTCCGGAGAAGTGCCTTCGGGCAACTCCAGTCGACCAATCGTACCTATCCAGGTACATCGCTATATCTTCATTAGCATAGGAGCAAGGAGAATTGTAGTAATATCAGGAGCTTACCAGCGACCAGTAAAGCGAAGGTGTCTATAGTTGGTTGAGGTCAGAAACCTTGAGAGGTATATCGTTAAATCACTGTTGGGACTACACTTACCAGCATTCTTTTTAGCCTTTTCAGACGATTCCCTCGCCAAAGCCGTAGCTCTCTCCCAGCCATAAGCCGAAGCGGTCTGGCCATTCACTTCTACTGGAACATCGACTGAGTAATGGAGGGTTAGCAATGTTCTGTCAAGGGCGCAGGGAGGGGGAAACCTACTCATCTGGCGATCCTGAAAAATGACTTTAACATGAGCGCCTTCATGTGCCAGGGACATGGCATAACATGTCGAGGTCACTGAATCCAAGACAGTGTTGGCCTGCTCCTCGGGCACGAAGTCTTTCTTTCGCATATTTCGCATGGTATCACCGGCCAAGAACCTCTTTGTGTAGAGGGCGACCTCGTTTTGGCAGATTGTCAAGACATCGCGGTCGTGGGACATATCGGTTGGAGTTTGTGGTTGCACCCAGGCGGCATAGAATACGTCGTCTTTTCTGCAAAGCCCACCCCCACCTGCCATGTTGACCTCAGTGTCGTACTTGGTTGAAGGGCGGTGGTCAAAGAACCATAGGTCGCCGCCTGTACACAGTGTGAATAGGGTAAACAGAATAAATAGCAATGGGTGATTTCTCATCTTACTTCGTTTAATCCACTGGAAGAATTTAGGCTTCTCTTGAAGCCACCAGTCCCCACAATATATTTCAAAATCGTCCCTAGCATTGATGGTATCCAACGAGGCACGGAATGTTTCAGCAAATCCTAGTAGTAGAGATGAGAACTTGACTTGGTTTGCGGAATGAGAATAAGAGACGCCTACTCGCAACCCATTCGACCCTGTCAAGCGTCTCCTGGTGTCCACTCTTATCCAGATTGAACGACAGTCGTCCGTAGAGTGACTCGAAGGTTCGAAAAGTAGACTGCAGCTTGAAGTCCTGCCTCCAAAGTAAGGGAACGTGGTCTTGGTTCAGATACTTCCACAAGTCTTCGAGTCGGGACATAGTGGCTTCGAGCTATATATATATATCATGGTTAGCCGTATATATCACTCGTCCTATTCGGTGAAGTAGTACCATTTCCTTTAGCTCTGAAATTCCATCGTCGAGACCATTGAGATCATCCTGGTTGCAGTAGTCAACTAATGTTCGTGCGGAGCCTGGTGCGGTTCTCGGCTGCAAGGCTTTGGTGTGGTGATGGGCTGGCGCAGCAGCTACTAGTTGGAGACCAGCCAGTGCCACCGCCCCGAATATATTCAAAACAGAACCCAGACGCATGGCTTCAACGGAGGATTGGTCAGTTGTGGCCTAGGGACGAAAGAGTGATGAAACAATTCATCCAAGGGTTGGGGGCATGAACACAATAAGAGAGAGAATGGGAGAGAGACTTCTTCTAGCTACTAAAATCTTACCCCTTCGAATACTAGACAGGTCCTGTAATTATAGTGTACCGGTCCTTTCTATCGTACAATTGTGGCCATGCCTTTAAGTCGCCCCACACCCTACGTACAGTCGAACATGTGTGGGGCGACTCGAGGGCACCGCTGGTATATTATTATCCAGGTGAGATTAGGAACTCGTTGGCTGTTGGGCTTTGTGTAAATCCTCAGACCCCTTCCCATCAAACACAACATTCATAAATATAGCGATTCTTTGGGGCCAAGCCCGTCCGAAGACCCAGGTCAGAGGGAAGGTTCATTTTTCTTACAGGGCATTCAGAAAAGCTGATTGATTTCTTGGAATTTTGTCCCCCACGACGTATTCTTTTTTTGGCCCCTTGTCCACGCGCCGTTAGTGTAACCTGAAGACTTGCTTATTCTTCTCGATTGATATCCAATTAGGGCTTCGGGTGTGGAGGATACCAAGGTAAACAAATGAAAATATGTAAATGCTATTGTGTATCGTGATTATTATTATTATTACAGCTAAAATATATTACATGTTTGATCTCTGGCGCCGTGAGATCCAGGTCAACTAGGACATCAGCATATATTCATTGCTTCTCTATTCCTGCTCCCCTGAGGTATCTCTTTTTTTTTTATATATCTCTTTTTGTTCCCCGGCTTCAACCTAGTGTGAGCCATCAGGAAACTCGCCATGCGTGTTTTCTCTCGGATGGCAGTGGCTACCCAGCTACTTCTGTTCTCATCAAATTCACTTGTCCAAGCAGGTGAGTCTCTACTGTGGATGCTATCCTAAGACACCGACTAACATCATCCTAACTTGAAGAGAATTGCAACTGGGATGTGCAAAAGGAGGATGAGTGCACGTCTCTAGCTACCGCAACAGCTTGTACGATCTTCACCTCTGGAGGAAAGACCGCAGTGAGCCCCCCCCTTTTCTTCTCTAGAACCAGTCCACCAGAACCCTTCTTAACTCATCCCATCACCAGACAAACTGCGCCCCGTATGTGGCATGCGGCGCCACGGATATGACCACTACAACGAAAGCCCCTGCCAAGCACTCAGCTACATCTATTTCGGCTACAGACGTGGATACCACCATCACTATGGCCTCCGCGGATGTCTACAATTCTATTGCGAGTCAAATCATTAAGGAGCGCAATGATTGGGATAAGTCGCGATTTGGTACCACAGCTCCTGCCTCCAGCGCACCTACTTCTAGCAGCTAGGTGGTTTCTTTGGAGAGGAAGATTGATACAAGAATTTTGGGATTATGGCGCAACGCGTAAGCGGTTCCTCTGTTTACGTTAGACACAAATACATATCAAGTAATTTAAATTTGAAGTCAATTACAACAAGAATTAATGACAATAATGACAAGACCTAGAGAAATTCGTGGATGCTCCCTATTTGGGTGCTTATATACAGTAGTGGTAATTTATAGTGTGTTATGAACGGTAATATGGGCTCGACGTTACGCTGTAGTACAGCACGAGATCGAGAGCCGCATTCATAACAGAAGGACTGACTCAACTAGCTTCTTGACAGACAGAACCTAAAAACAACCAGTTCTTCGATCTTTGCTCTCTTCTTTTTATATGTTCTTCTTCTGTCTCTGCATCTTCTTTTATCTTATATATCTTATATATCTTATATATCTGGGCAAGCCATATAATCGCCCCTAAAAAGGAGCGAGCGGTGGCCCAAGCGCGGCCCCAAGACAACCTTGGAATGGATTGTCTCCTTCCCTGTCAGCATCATATTATATAAGGTTCTGGGCGGCGTGAGCACGGCCCATGAACCATGGAACCTAGAAAGCTCGCCTACATATTTCGATCTATTTTTATGATCTTTTCGAACATCAGACGAAAAGAACATTAAAATAGAACAAGTTGATGAAACAATGAAATGAAGGCCCCCACCAGCTAGCCGGTGCTATTGTATTGTCTTACTACATAATCCCTCCCCACCCTTTTTTTTGGGACTTTTTGTACATTTTGTATTTCTGGTATTTATTATCATTTTATTCTTACATATCTTCCCCCTCCTCCCTTTTTTTGGGTAGCCCCCCATGTGCCTTATGACGAGTGTTGGAAAAAGTAGAAGGATACATAAGATCTAGCGGACACTTATCTACCTGGGCCTATTTCTCCCTCAAAGGAGGAATTTAGCCCAACCTAAAACAAGAAGAATGATAATGATAATGTATTGTGTTTACAGTTTCTTTCTTTTCTTTTTTTTAGGTAAACTGCTATTACTCTTTAACCAAAGGCAAGTGGTAATAATCAAAGCGGTGAAAACCTTCCAAGTTCGTGGACCTACATAACTAGGTATAACTAAGTTATGTATGGGCTGACTAATTTTGTCCGAAGTGCGGCTATTTCCGTATCCATGGGGATGGATGTTGCCTAGGCTCTCATATTCTCCCAGTCCAACCAGTCCAATCTTGGATATACCTTCTTGTCGCATTGACCTCAAAAATGCTGAATCCCCGAGGAGGTCCGAAACCATCTTTGTCGGGCATCCCCTACACAGAGGTAGACATTGCTCTGTTCCCCACAACACCGGTCCTCGACATTATACTGCTCAATTTCCAAGCGGATGTGAACGTGCTAGATGCATCACGACCCGAGGCAACTCTATGGCACAGGTCCCTCCAGTTTACCTCGAGTCTGCCAGGGTGTCAAAGCATTCGCTGGGCCTTGCTAGAGCAAAAAGAACCCCAGGCAATCCTAGTCTTGATCCAGTGGGAGAGTGGACAAGCATGGAAGCAGTTTCAGAACTCGCTAGGATTCACCCTATTGCTGGGCTACATCAAGAGTTCTATCAACCGTTCCCTTCAACTGGAACTCCCTTCAGAAGCGCTTGGTGCGGAGGGTCCGGTTGAATTGGTTTCGTACTACATCCCGGCCACGGCATCTATAAAAGAGCACGACTTCCAGCGCGAAGTCTACGCAAAGTCTGCCTCTGACTCGGAGATAGTCTCTGCTTGCGGCGGCTGGCTTGACCAGGAATTCGAGACCGAGAACCGGTACTTTGCTGGCTTGCTCTTCTGGAAGCCCGGTATAGATGCAGAAAGGACTCAGCAGGACACCCCGAGTAAAACTACAGCTTTTGGGCACGAGGCAGAGGATGTCGTTTCAGTCCTGACGAAACCTGTCAATATCGCATCAAAAGATTCCCTTCACGCTGTGACGCCTATCCCCAACAGCTTGAGCAGCACGCAATGCAACCATCCACTCCTCAACGGTTCTGTGACTCCGTGTTACCGAGCAGAAGATAGCTTCGAGCCGGGTGATTTAGATCGGCTTCACGCAGAAAATTATAACAAACAGCAAGCCGGGAAACTGCTCTCTGCTGGCCCGACGGGTCAATGGTATTCGACTGGTGCGATTAACCAGCACGAGATGCCAGCACTTACTTTGCCGAATTCTCGAGGAGCCATCGAAGCTATCTCCACTTGTCTTCCTCTTGGCGATGGCGCAGTGGTAAAGAAATTCAAGGATCTTCTCGTCGATCTATGGAAGCCTGCCGACTGCTCTGACCTCCGTTGGGGCAAGAGTCAAGATGATACTGGAGACAATAGGATCTGTGTCTTTTTAGGTAAGGCGCCACTCAACTTTTCAAAGATTCCATCTATACATTTACGGTGTCAAGATTGAACAATCAATATGGTCACTAAAACCAAGATAAATACAGAATACAAAGACGGCGGCGGCCTCAGCGAAGATGTCCGGTTGAAATTCCAGAGTCAACTAGAGGCGCTAGCTTCTGAAAGCCATGTCAACCCGGATCTCTCTTACTTGCAGATTCCCAAATCCCGGCCACTTGGAGCTCCCCCAACCCTAGAGATTATGACATTCCACGTGCCCAGCGGGGAATCTAATCGGCGTGCCTTCGAATACGCTTTCCAGAATTTCCTCGTGTAAGTGCAAACTTTCCCTCAAGCTATCGGGTCACGCCGTATGTCAGAGGCCTGCAGCTACCCCGAATTACACTAACTAGCATCTTGAATCATTTAGCACTACCATGCCCCAACTTCTCAAAGGCTTCGGCTCTACCGATTCGCCCCCGTGCAGCCGGCTCGCATGTGGCTGGGGCAGTAGTCCGGAGATAGCGGGTGATCCACCCGTCTCAACCGATACATTTGTCGCGGCATTCGGATGGAGCAGCAGTGCTGTTCGATCCGAATGGTATGGGATCTACGCCGAGCAGGCCAAGTCCCATTATCAGCGCCAGGGACATGTCGTGGACTGGCTGCGGTCTCTGGCTGTCAGGGCCCAGGCCCAGTTCTTTTCTTTGGAGAAGAAAGACGATGCTCTTGTGGATCTGGAGCGCCAGAAGCAAGGGCTCGGGCCACTGCGCTCTGGGTCTGGGCTCAATTTGTTTCAGGGTTAGATATTAAGCGGCCCGAGAAATTTGATGTACATATTTGGTCTTGTGATTATTGAAACCCATCAAAATCTTGTTTGAAAGATGGTGTGTGCCTTTCTCTATTTTCTGCATGAACAATAAACCAAGAAAACGGATGTCGTATGTACCTGCGGTGCTGTTGACCCCGAATCGAGGAGTAATTAGTAAAGAAGCATTTCTACTAAGAGCCCTCTACGCGTGTTATCACATCACGTTACTACCGTAGCGCTCAATGATCCAGCGCAGCGATTATGGGAGGGGGAGGGGGGCGTTGGCTAAAAACGTCAAAAATTGGATTTTATTAAGGAGCGCGGTGAGTTTACGTCAGGTAGCCAAGATGCAGATATAAAAGTAGAGATTTCGAATACTCCGACTAATAAAAGGACGTCTTAGAGCGTATTTGGCACAGCGATCAAATATATAAATTATATTACTAGCTGAGGTTTCAAGCGCAGTTGATGAACTTGAAGAAATCACTTATTTCTCAACAGGGCACCACGAGCGCTTGTTCGGCCCACATTCCCCACGATCAACGTGATCCCCTTCTATGATTCGTTTCTAATAGCCCTCAAGACTTCGGCTTTCGTTCTTTGGGATGTGTCAAAATCTCTGTGAGTAGCATCTTCAAAGCTTTTCAGACCCTGTAAGCATGGAAGAATCCAAACGGCAAGATACTTGAGTCCCTCTAAGAGTCCTAGACAATAAAACCAATCGATTAATACTTTAAACTATCTAACAATTCCCTGAGTATCCTCTCTAGTGAACCATTCAACACCGGATCCCGGATCATAAAAAGAAACAGCAAATGCGGGGATGCCAAGACGCCAGAGCACTAGCGCACCCGGGGCGTCCATCATGAGATCATGCAGCGTCGCGGTGACGACGACTGTGAGTAAGCGAGGGAATATGATAGGTCTGCTGCGGGAGGGTGCCCCCCTTTGTCGGCTGGGCTGAAATATGTTTTATCTGTTGCAATCGAATATGTCAACGAGGTGTACATGTATAGAACCCGTCTACCTCACTATATGAATATAGAGAAATACATTAGATTAGAGACTTCTCATACTATACATCTGTATGTGTTACGGCTAGGCCAAGTCCTATCGATGATCAGATCCTGTTTCGAGTGTGTAGGTATCGGCAGGAAGGGACTTGGAGGTGGGCGATTTGCATGGCTGTGTTGTTCTACTGTGTGTTATTTGGTCATGATGACCGCCGATTCACCCCTCTCAGGGGCGTATTACCTCTTTTCGAGTAGATGTCATTCTGACCAACATAATCTCAGAATACTTAGTATATCCAAGGCCTCGTTAGGATGATTACAATAGGAATATCAATGTAAGTCATTGTGGTTTGATTTGATGTAATTGTTCAAGAGGGTACAGTAGCCCTAACCAACTCCGCGTCCGTCTTGCCAATCTATGGCGACGATATGCCCGACCGAACAAAAGAAAGACTAAAGAAACAAAACGGAAAGGGGCTGCCTAGCCATCCATCCTGATGTTCATCCAGCAACATCGTCGAAGTCGAGGATGAAAGAGAAGCAGTGAATCAAAAAAGGGAAAGATGGTATGTTGTGTAGATGAAGAGTAGAAGACAAACAAGGAGCCAGTCTATTACACCCAGACCCTTATCGGAGATGCTTGAGGTAGCGGAGGGTGAGATAGACGGCTGCCATGCTGGTGTAGACACCGCCGCCGGCAGTCATCCAGACGGGACGGTGGGCGTTCAGCGAGGTGCGGATGAGCTGGCCCTCTTTCTTGGGTTTCTCGCCTAGATGAGAGTAAGCTGGGGTATTTTACAGAGGAGAAACTCGAGACGATGATCAAAGACATACCTTGCTGGAACAGACGTTGACGGAGGTTGTTCAGGCCCTGACGAGACCGGGCTGGGAGGGTCATTAGTTGCTGGAGGATAGGACCGACCGGTGCAGACATGATGATAGGGTCTTAGATGGGAGATCTGAGGAAGATTTGATGAAGATATTGATAAAAGTGATGGAGTGGAGAGTGTCAAGAGTAGACGAGGAGAAGAAGAAGAGAAGAGAAGCGAAGGCGCTGGGTCCTATATACGGCAGCATCATCTGACATTTGCGGGGTTAGGTACTGACGGTACTCATCCCTGCCACCAATCCCGTGCGATCGTGGCCACACCCGGGACATCCTTGCACGGTGGCAAGCACCAATCGACGAGATGGATGGTTGGGCTATCGGGGGCAGAGAGTTTCATGATCCATGTCTGGGGTACCAAAAGGCGGAAGAGAGCGATAGTGTGTATAAATCATAGATTCTATACTGGAATATACTGGGCTATATATTGCTATACATATATTTCTAACACATATCAATATCATGAATATTAACATCACTCTCGATGTCTATATCAACACCAACAAAAAATGTCCTCGATGTCCCAGTCCAAGATGGGGCCATTCCCCACACCCAACCAGCCCGTCTTGATTGGCGCATAGCACAGACGCCCGCCCGCGACTGGGGAGATGCATCATGCCCCACCGCCAGAAAGACGAGGGTGCTGAGTGGTCGCTGTCAGGGGGATCTCCCCAGACCCTGCCGGGATGACTTTCGTTCGCAGTGCCCCTGACGTAGCATGTGTTGGTCTGTAGTTGAGGGGACTGGCTGTTTGATCGACATTCAGATATTGTATATTATGACTATAAGTATGTTTATTTCCCCACGTTATTCTCTACTTCTATCCCCACCGTGACATCTCAGCAACATAGTGGAGTCCGGGGTTTTAGCCCGTCCCACTGTGGCCCCTTTTGCGGGGTCGGCTCCACTGAGCTTAGATCAAGCGCAGAATGAGAGCAAAGTGACTGATTCAATATTGGGATAATAAAAAGAGATCAGAGAAAATAGAGTGAATAGGTCGGGGAGAGTATATAAATGTCTTTCTGCTGCTTGATGTGTGCTGACTACTCGAGACTAGTTGCTTCTACCCGGGGGACACAGTTATTCAGGGAGCCCTTCAGCTGAGACTGGTACGTGATCCAGTCCCCGGAAGAACAGAAGGTGACCATGGCAAATTTTGATGTGCTCGTGAAGACCACCGAGGGCTATGCTTGGAAGACTCTCTCCGGTATCAGGCTCCCCGCCGCTGTATTGGTCCCAAACCCCCAGAGCCTATCCTCCTACGTCTTCTGCGACAGAGTCCAAGCCAGAGAGGTCCCTATACTCAGAATCTGTCTTTTTGAGCTGCTTATTTCATCTAGGACCGAGTCAAGCTTTCATCTGTCGACCCGTTGTACTTCGCCCGGCCGCGTTCCCTCATTAATCGCCGACCTCACCTCTGCCCCCGCCGCACCCTGTCCCTACATCACCTCCATCACTGTCCTTGCCTGCCGCTTCCACTGCCAGCAGGGACCTAGGGCTATTCACAGAGAATAGCCTTGGCAATCTGACATTTCCCGACCCCGGCTTCTTCAGGGCCATCATCACTGCAAGGTTCGTCTGGATGAATCGATGATGGGATGACAGACTGTATCAGGGACCAGAATCCCCACGAAAGCGAGCTCCGGAATCAGAGGAAAAGAATGTAATGGTGGTACAGGATTTGGATTTAAGAACGCCATGCTCGGAAAAAAGAGAACGAATAAGAAGGATCCCGAGTGAGCCTCAGTTCCTGGGGATCATTAAGGCATACCAATAGGAGAAGGGGGCGATTGCCCCGCAGATGATCTTACAGCAAAAACCGCTGGAGTCAGACCTTGGTCTTTGGTCTCCAGGTCTCATCTCAGGAATGACCTCGAGGGCGGCCTCCCCTCTATAGCTTTGAAGAAAAGACCATTGTCGCATGGTACTTGATGAAAGGCTGGATAAAACAGCTAAGCCAAGACTAGGGTATGAAGGGGATTAATGATATTTCGAGGATAGTGAAGATAGCAAGTATCGAGAAGAGGAAAGAATGAGGGCTAAGCAGGGCACGTGAGGCAAGGACAACAATAGAATAGTACTATGCGGTCGAGCTTCTGGAGATGCTTGGAGATCAAAAGCAAGGTACGCCTTTACAAAGCGCCTTTCTCTAGCGAACTTACTAGACCTGGCTCTCAGGCTAGCTCTCAGTCACCCAGAGCCAGACAGGTCACGGGTATAATATGACTTGGAATACTCAAGGACCTCCATCCATTGCGGCTTCGCGGCGTCGGTTGTAGTATACAAAAAAAAAAAAAAAAAAAAAAAAAAAACCATATAGATGGTATAGACAGCATACTGACTCTATACAGTGTTGTAGAACATGACAACAAGTAGGAAAACAACTTTCTGTGCATAGACACTTCTCTCCCAGAGGTACATTTCAAGTCACCCATCAACCATCATGCAATATAGCCTAAAAGACCCAGTAAGAGAACCAAAACGCCGATGCCGAAGTTGCATTTTCATTGTTACTGACTTCGATATCAAGATAGGAAACATGTGATGTGCTAAACCCCAACTCAGAAGTTGGCAGTAGTCGGTTTGGACGAGGACTTGGTCGTAGAATTGTAATCCATGGAAATCAGTGACACTCCTATCTGGTTATCATGCGAGTAGGACTCAGGTCTCCACATCCGGCGGTGTTTGTCGCGGCGGGCTTCACGGTGGCCTTTGGTAGAGAGGGCGAAGAGGACAATATGCATAATTCTAATACAATATAATCAAATAAGAAGAATAATTAGCAAGCCAGGTTGCAGGACTAGTAGTAACCGTCGTAAAAGTGGACATAGCCAGAGGATGACCGAGGGGCTAAGGGGAGGGAGGGGGCAGACATACGTAGTAAACGCAGCAAGACAGGCCGGGAGTAATAGATTTGCGGCGCCCTCAATAACAACCTTGGGGGCGAATTGCATATAGAATAGCAACGCGGACATAACGAGCGCAGCGAGTGCGGCAATAAGATCAATTGAGAGATTCACGGCATAGTGCGGGATGCAGCGGAGACAGAGCAGGATAGCATCGATAAAAGACCAGAGGAAGAGAATGGCGAACTAAACAGAAAAACATTGCTGTTAATGGATGGTCTCTTTACAACCAACCCCCCCTTTTCGCCAAAAGAACCCGAATAGAGAAGAATGCAAATAGCGTAACTCACCACAATGATCACCGGGTATATGTCCGTACCCGAGGACGCAACAATTGTAGCCATTGTGGCGGCGGCACCCAGGGCCGCAACTACTCGGATCACCAGTCTACAGATCCAGGACCGAGTGCTCCTGTATGCGGCAGAGGAAGCCATGGCAAGCGAATGATGGCGCGTGGATCTGCGGAGCCTGCTCCGGGATCCTTTTAACGAGTGCGAGAAGCGAGTGTTGGCCGCTCAGCGGGGGGAAAGAGAATGTGTCGGAGGCTTTAATGCCGGGAAGAGATAGGAAAATAGAATAAGGAAAAGAAAGCAGTTGACAGCCCCGCGTGACAATATTGGCGTGGAAAGCCAAGAGGGAAAAATATAAATAAGAATAAAAACGACTGCATGAATATCAAAACTGAAAAAGAATACTGGGTCCCGAGCTCGGGAAATACGAAACGACCAAACACGGTGGGCTGTTCGTCTTGGCGTCGTCCCCTGATCGACAACATAAACACCGTGGCTGGTGGAGACAGATCGGCGGATTGGGGCCGTGTTGCGAGATAAACATGGATCAGCTTTTTGCTCGCTGGGAAAAGTAGAGCAGGGTGGATGGAAAATGACAAGAAATCCAGGCAGAGACAGTCTGGAGTCCATGGGCTAGGGCTAGAAACAAAGTTCTGGCAGTAGGGATATGAAGAAAACACTGTTGTTATGCCGCTGAGAAGATGGGCGTTGAGAGTGGGCCGGTCAGCCTTGTTGCGCTAACGCGGTATGAACTCAGCCACACGCGGTTCCTGACTCGGAGGGCCGAGGGCTCGCATTGGATTGTGGAGCTGTGTGTACGCGCAGGTACAACCATGTAGGGCCTGGTGTTGAGCGCCTTGGATCTGCGGTGACATGCCCACTTAATGAAGACCATTTGACATGGCAAGATTCAAGAGAATACTAAACGCTAATTGATGGGTATACATTTGCACCAGAAGGATTATTCCATGTTACCCGCCCTCAATAACCCCCCGCGGAACACGACACACTTTGCGCGCATCCTCGGGTATAGTAGTCCAGATGACTTGGCGAACTTCCTTGCCAACTTGGTCCATGGCATCCATCGCCCACAGAACATCGAGATGTTCATATTCCTCAATGACCTTCGAGTGCACCACACGCACATGCGGCTCTCGGCCACTCTGAAAGCGTGAGAGCAGTCGACGACCATCGACCAAAGCATCGGAGCCGGCAACCCACAACGCAAAGGGGGGTGTCTGCGAGCCAAACCAAGGGTGCCGCGGGCACCCAGACAGGCATCGCTAGGATCATCACCATGCTCGGGAAGACCGTCGCCGCAGAGTTGGCGGTCTTCGTGTACCTCGCGCTGGGTTTCGTCGAGGGTGGATAGAATGCACTTGTGGCGGGCGAAGCTTTCACTCCCTAGCCACCAACGCATCGACTCGGCACTAACGTATACCGGCGAGAACTGGAACATGCGGTGCCGGAGATCGCGCTCCCAGCGGGCGTCGGACCAGCCGAACAAGAAGGAAAAAACCCAGTAGGCGAAGGTGCCATAGATTTTGGGGTTGAGGAGTCCCCGCACGGTGATCATGAACGGGATAAAGGACTGAATCCCAAAAACGAGTCGGAAGACATCAGGGGACAGTATCCGCATGAAGCGGAAATACGGTTTGCTGACAAGGGGACCAGCGTACGCAGCAGGGGCTAGTGCGCAAAACACTGAAATGTGATCCCCTAGCTCAGGTCGCTGTTCTTTGGACAATCCCACGAATGTCTCGGTAGTTCCTTGAGAGTGGCACACAAGACCGAGCTTCTCAAACCCTGTTTCATACAGCACGCGCGAGGTGAGAGCAGCGAGGTCGAGGGTCCCCAGCTGTCGGATATCCCATGACCACATGCGTGGATCCGACGTCGACATTGTGGTATGCTCCGGATGAGGCCCGCAACGGTTATTCCCCAACCACACATCATACCCTGACTTGCAGAGGTAGAAAGCAAAGCTATCATCGTCGTTGGTACAGTAGGCACCGGAACTTTGAAGGAGGCCGTGAATCAAGAGAATGGGATACCGACGATTGGATTCAGGGTTCCGCGCCTTCCTAGGTGCCGTAAAGACCGCTGGCCCTCGCTCACGTCTTTCCTCGGGTGATAACGGCGTGTACTCCTGAGGGTTATAGACATGCCACAAAGTGATGATGAAGCCATCTTCCGTCTGTACACGGAATGTCTCCACATCGAGCCCGACGCGCCTGGCGTAGTAGGCGACGTCACAAACGACTGGATCTTTCCCTCCTTCCAGCGGAGGGCATTCGTCGGGGCCCTGTTCTTCATCGACATCCTTCTTTCGTTGCAGAATATGCCACCTGCGATCGGCCTCGGCTCGCGCCACTCTCCGTGCCTGTTCTTCTGCGAAGAATATCCTCTGCGAGTCTGGGTTATGGCCACTGATGCGCAGTCGGGCATTGGAGAATGCGGTTCGAGCGGTTGAGATCAATGCACCGATGAAGATGACTGTTAGAAAGCCAAGCGACAGAAAGAACGAAATGACCATAAACCCGTAGTATCGCAGCTTGGCGAGGAATGATGGGGGTCCATATGACGGGAGAGGAGGGAACAGAGGGTGTTCGACCAAGGCGGGTGTGAACGCTATATCGGACGCCTGCGGTAGCTTTTCAACGAGTGGGGTTTGGTTGTCGTAGGCGATAGTTGGAGAGGCATTCTCTTCCTGTATTTCAGAGAAACCATCTCCCTTTTGTCCATGCTGTAGTGGAGCGCGCTCATCGAGGTCTTTTTCGTTTGACGCGGAGCCACTGCGGAGAATGGGAGGGGTGGGTGTGTCCACCGTTGTGACTGATGTTTGCACCGACATAGTCGTGGAACTAGACGGATACTGTCGAAGCGAGTGTGAGCATCTTGTCACCGCGACAAATTGCAATCTGTGGGCTGTATTCGGTTGCAGCGCGCTGTAGATTTGGACAGAGCGATGCCGCAGTGCAGGCCGAGGATATCCAGTTTCGGCTAGCGTCAGGGTGGTATCACGTGACCATTCATGTCCGTGACATGTGATCCATGGAAACCCTGATCATTTTGGACTTGTTGATTTAAGGGAAGAAAGACCTGGAGTATGATTGGGAGTATTTTAGACAGAATAAACTGTATACGGTCGAAAACTCAATACAAGAAATCCCAAGTCATTTTCATACATAATTAGACCCAAAATAAAGTCCACCATAAATCATAGAGCATCATCTAAACCGAAGTCTTCGCATCCACGCTCTCAAAGTGAGCCACCTGCTCGCCACTGCGCTTCTCCTCGGCCTCGACCTCCAACTGAGCCAGATTGCCGGGCTTGAAGTCAGCGACATCACGGACATCAGTGTAGTGAACGGAGGGAACAAAGCCCGGCGACTTCCAGGCAACAGACACCTTCGAGTAGAGCTCGTCGACTTGCTCCAGGGTAAGACCCTTGGTTTCGTAGATGCACGTGTAGACGAAAATGGCACAGATAAAACAGAAACCACCCCAGATGAAGAACACCTTGGACTGGAGATTGGCATTGCCGGGCCCGCCGTTGACCATGTAGGGCGTGGCATAGGCGATGGCCCAGTTCAGCAGCCAGTTTGTGGCGGTGGTGATGGAGAGACATTTGGCGCGGGCCTTGAGTGGGAACAGCTCGCCGGTCACGACCCAGGCCACGGGGCCCCACGAGCTGGCGAAGAAGAAAATGTAAACGCACACGAATGCGATCAGCACCTTATTGGCGACGGTGGAGGTAGTGGCTGTTCCCACAATGGCGACAATCAGCTGCGACACGCACATTCCAACCGCGCCGAACATCAGCAATGGGCGACGGCCCCATTTCTCGACCATGTACAATCCCGGGAAAGTCGAGACGACGTTGATGATATTGGTGATCAGCGTGATGATGAACGAGTTCTGGATACCCGAGTTCTGGAAGAACGTGGTGCCATAGTAGACTGCCAAGCGTTAGTATTTAAATTCCTTGCAAAAGGTAGCCATGAAGATGAGTCGACGTACAAATAAAGTTGACACCAGCCAACTGCTGTAGAGCCTGGACTGCACATCCAGTAGCCAGGCGCCTTCCAATCGATCCTCGAACAATCTCAAGGTAGCTGGCCTTGCCCATGCGCATCTCGAATTCATGGTTGGCTTGGATTTCGGCCAGCTCCGCGACGATGGCGGGGTCATTCATGTCGACGCGACGCAGACGTGCCAGTGACTTGGTGGCTTCCTCGTGCTTGTCCTGCTTGATCAGGAAGCGAGGGGTCTCGGGCAACAAGATCATACCAATCACGAGAATGATAGCCCAGGCAAACTGCACGGCGACGGGGATGCGATAGCAGCCGGTGTCCATGCGGTCCTTGGTGGCGTTGTTGACGATGGCCGCCAAGAGGAGACCAATTGTGATTGCGAGCTGATAGGCGCCGACGATAGTTCCTCGAATCCATTTGGGGGCAGTCTCAGACTGGTAGAGGGGGACTGGGTAGTGCCATTAATATATGGTCGGACATTCAACGAGAAGTAGAAAAGAAAGAACATACTGGTTGCAGAGAGCAGACCAACACCCAGACCAGCGAAGAACCGCCCTGCCACGAACAAGGGAATGGCTGTAGCGGCAGTCTGCAGGATAACACCGAAGCAGAAAACAAAGGTGTTGAGAATCATGGCCAGTCGACGACCAAAGTAATCGGCCATCGGAGCGGCAAACAGGGCACCGAAGAAGGTACCAGCCGACAGTAGGGAGACAATCATGGATGATTGCGAGGAGGTCACGTCGGGCATATGATCTTTGGGGTTGACGTAGCCAGTCGAGAACATCTTTCGCCAGTATTCCATGGCGAGAATACCACTGATGGTACCGGTATCATATCTACATCCCAGCGACTGTTAGTTGAATCAGGATCATCTTAGACAAGACTCAATGGCAGTCACATACCCAAAAAGAACACCTCCAAATGCCACAAACAGGCCGATAATAATGGCCGGAGCGGCCGAGCCGACGGCATCATCCGGCTTCTTCAGTTTGAAGCCCATGATGGAGGGTTAAGGGGAAGGTTTAAAAGGAGGTAGTTGTCGAGACAAGAATATTGCTGACGATCCTCGAAAAGGGGATCGATAGGTGTCAGAAACCACAATCTCAAGCAGAGCCGCAAATCCAGCGAGAAACAAATAAACAGAGGGATCACCGGTTGCTTTTGTAGTGGCCCTCGAGAGGGACGATGGCCGAAAGCAGCAAAGAACCCCAGGGATTCCTACCCCGGTCTGACAATTGCGACCTAAGCCTCTCATGCTTTGGGGCTGAACTAGTCCATTATTTTTTTTTCTCTATTTCTATTTCTTTTTCCAGGGACACGGGGGAGTTAAGGTTTGGACGGCGCGACAGGTGGAGAACCTGAGCAGGCCAATGCGGCCACGATGGATGGATGGAACCTTACATTTAGAGCGGCAATTGGCGGCCAGCACAAATTGACTCTACGCTGAACCGTGGGCTGAAATATTCTTCTCAAGCCATAAGTTCAGCAGTGCGTGCAGCATCCTCGGCAACAGAAAGAAAGAGAAAATAGACGAAACTCTTTTTTTTCCGGAGAAGGCCGATCTAAGACAAGTGAGAGGCAACTGAAAACGGGGCCACAAACGTTGCGGCCAGGTTCCGACCAAAATGCCGATCGGCGAGCCGCATCGGGGACATCCCTTGTTCGCCTTACGAATTGTTCCCATTACTACTACTATTACTATTACTATTACTATATCATATTATTTTCTGGGTTTGTTTATTTACTCAGAACATTTACAGGGTATAGTTTGAATTACTGCCGAGGAAAATAATAGTTGGAGTCGTGTTCCAAAAAAAACACGTCGATGGTGTGGCCACTAGGATACAAAACTAGGGAAATCGGCTCGTGGCATCTCCGGATTTACCACTCCACACCCCAGATGATGTTCCATTTCGTTCTCCCCCAGACTCCGAGTCGAGAGCCCGATGGGCCGAGATTTAGTTTTGCCCCATGCATCCCACGGCTAAAGAAATGATATCCAGATATCCAAATGCATGCCGCGTTCACCGGAGCCGGATTGAGAAAGGCCCGTGGCAGCTGCCACGCGCTTGGAAACCTTGTCCTATTAATCCAATAGTATCCACAGTCGTAGAAAGGAGTGGACTGTTGGAGTTGGTGTTGGAAATTAGATACAATAGCCTTAATGAACTGTTTGTGTTACCCCAGAATGCCTAAGGGATATAACAGAGACTGAAATATAAACAGGGGCACTACTACCAGAGGCCAGAATATTCAACATCCTAGGCTTATTACTCAGTGGATGACCATTTAGTCCATTGAAGTTTACACATAGTTTATAATAGACATAATTAGCTAGTTGGTACGACAACTTAGGATTCAGAATCTAGTCTAAGAAAAGGATAGAAAACAGACTCATACAGTTAGACATCTCGAGTGTCTACCTACCTTGAAATAAATTTGAATTTCAAAAGCATAAGCCAAGCAAACACTGTTCCTCCCTGATCCTGAAATGTCACGTTGCATCCATCCCACGGGCCGCCCCCCAAGGCTTGGCTGAAGCCTAAACACCACCTGCGGGATTTTTCCCGGGTGTCGGATTGGACGCGTCTCCCGAAGCCATCCCGATAATTGTCCGTGGTCGGCGAATCACCGATGCTCCCCCCGGGATCGAGAAGGGAACGAATGATCACGATGCGTCCGGAGAAATATAGAGTAAGTGGCTGAGTTGAGAAGAAGAGGGGGGAAAGGGACATAACCCCAGAAAAAACACCCCAGAAAAGACTGTGGAGAATGTGTACCGGAATACACCGAGCCGTAAGAAGCGGGGATGGAATTATGCCGGACCGGAGCAGAGGTTGCAGTGGAGGATCTGGGGCCCCGTGCTCATGCATCTCCGGTAGCAGAGACTACGAATAATACGAGCGAAAAAGGGATGACGACAAAAGTCCGGAATAACGTTGAAATGAAAATTGCAAGTCTATGTATAGCTCGCTCTATGCTTCGCTCAACCAAACACAACCCAGCTACCAGCGCCAGATCAAAAAGAAATACACCGTCAGCACCACATAAACTACGCCCTTGACAGACCGATAGAACTCCCCGCCGATGAGGATAGCCGTGGGCCGCAGACCAACAACCGGAAGCTGGCGGTAAGGGATCTTGCCTTTCCAGTTGACACCGTCATAGTCTAGACCCCGATACCCATCGTGGTGAAGGCCGGGGCTGGGATAGCGGGCCGAGGCAGTGATGCCGCCACGGCTGGCTAGGCTACCGGCCAAAGACAGCGAGGAGCTGGACGTACTAGAGGACTGGTACTTGTGGCGGGAGAGGTAGGGGCGTCGTTCGGACAGAGGCAGAACAGAGCCGTTCGTTGGTAAGGAGTCGGCCGCGTACAGAACGCGGTACACGGTTCGGGCCAGGAGCACCACAAGGCTGACGCCCAGGATGCAGCCGTAGTGAATGAAAACGGCTAGCTGGTCGGGAAGAAGACACAGGTGGTTTTGAATTGTCGGGCCTGATCCGTCCTGCGCCGGTTTGCTGGTTTGGGGATCAATTGGGTTCCATAGACTCGTCAGTAGAAACCCTGGACGCCGCACTCCCATTGCCCAGGAAAAACTTTTGACCGTGATCTCCCTTGGGGCGCCACTGAACTCGCGGTGCGAAACCTCGCAGTAGTCATGGTCATCTCCGGAGTAGATCTGGACAATATTGGGTCCCGCCTTGGAGACCAGCTCATTCGAGATAGTCGAAGTCAAAACATTCTGGTATTGATAACCCCCTGCGATCTTCAAAGCGTTCGGTTCATCTTCCTCTACTTCCTGTCCCGGAGAGGAAGGCGGGTAGTGTTCGCGGAGGGGACCGCAAGGAGTCCCTGGTTTGCGATAAAGAGGGACATGGGTGAGAAGAATAGTAGGAAACCCTACGGGCTCCGATTGAGGGTTGGAATGTATCGACTTGTCAACAGCGTCCACCACGCGATAGTCGAAAATAGGGCCCTCGGACTGGTTTTGCAGCATCCGAAGTTCCTGCGTCTCCGCATATGCCCGGTGGACCGGCATGGTGTCGAGGAACTCATCTGCATCCTTCCAGATCGGCCGCTTATGCCAATCTGTGGCCCCAGCAGCCGTGCTCGACCCGCCCGTTACAGGGTCAGGTTGGTCCATGGCACTTAGCGAGACAGTGTCCACCGACACAAAGGTATGGTTGCCGATGACATCGACTCGATTGCTGTGTCCAAAATAGGTCTGGAAGCGTGCCCGCACCGATTCTTGAATCCCATTGCCAAACCCCAGGTCATGGTTACCTGGCAAGCTGGCAATCATCTTGCGGCCGCGGCCATCAGCGGGAGGCGAAGTCATTTTCGCCAATGGCTTCATGAAGATCTTGACGAATCTAGCATATTCCTTCCTCCAGAATGGATCCTTGATCTTTTTGTACTGAGCTTCTGGGCTCGAGCTCGTGCGCGTAGCCCATTCTCTGCCTCCGTCAAACAGGTCACCGAGGAATAACACCGAGTCTGGGACGAAGTATTCCTGGATGCCGGAAAAAGAACGTCGCATGTATTGGTCGGTGTATTTCACCGTTAGTGTCGAGAGAGGCCACGGACGGCCGGGGTATGTATGGGGATCGACAAGCTGAGGGTCGGCGATGAAAGCAACATGATGTGGTGTAGCACCAGGAGGCTAATCAAGAGATTAGTACTAGCACGAAAATCGAGAACACAGCAATTGACCCCAGCTAGGGCGTTCGGAATACACTCACCCATGTCTCCCAGTTTTCCCAAGCACACGCTCTGAGATGCTCATCGAAGACCGTCCGCTCACCCCACCACAAAGTGTAGACCCAGAGCAAAATCACCGCATTCGTAACCGTAAATAGCCATTTCGCAGCTCGGAAGGCCAATGTCTTCAAGTCACTGGTCCTTAGCGACCTTCCCGGCCTGTAGGCAGTACTTGCTTGGGAAATCCATTGCTTGGTGCCGGCGGGCAGAGAGTCCCAAGCATCATTGACGAAATTTGACACTTTCGAAGTTTTTCTCGGAGTAAACGAAGGGAGGGAGGAGGCGCCTGTGGTGCGTGGATAAGCGTAACTCATGGTAAGGCTTGGCTCAATAGCAAGCCTAAGGAACGGCGCAGCTCGTCCACAGACACGTTGGGGCGGGAGATAGCTATCAAAAGGAGGGACGTGGCATGCTCAAGAGATGAAAAAGCAAAGCCGGAAACAGTTAGACAAAGGAGAATGAATCAACGGAAAACTTTTCTCATGGCATGGTGACGAGTCACTCTGCTACAAGGGGGATCGACGTGCGGCGCATGTGTCGATCGCGGGAGAGGGGTCACGTGGGGCCGCCACGTACTCGATCAGTGATCTACAGGGTGTATATACACTACCATCGCCATTCAGGTTTAACTCAGAGACTCGGACGAGTTGATTAAAAAAGGTAAAAAATACACGCAGCACCAAGAGATTGAACTATGCAGAGGAATGCCCCACCTCGAAAAGGCCGATTTCTGCCAGAAAGCCTGTCTAAGAAAGCACGCCATTCAACCCTAAGCCGGTGCGAGGTGGTATCAAAATAGGGAAACGGGAAAGGGGAAACACGTATGAGGATAGACGAGGTGAGAATAAAGATAGGGCGAGGTTGTTGCGAATGGATAGAACCGAGAGGGGGGAAAAGAAAAAGGAAACCAAAGCCGAAAACGAGATGGCACGCATTAGTAGATTAAGTGGGCTTTTTGGGGCAGCATTGGCCTCCTCGAGCACAGTTCTCATCACACTCCAGAAGGCAGGCCTGGGGGTCACCATCCCGAACACTGGCAGCACGACTGGGCTGCTTGTTGGACGAGCTGGGCTCGTCCGTGCCCCCTCGGGAAGACGATGGCCGGACGTGGCTCTGGGTGTCCTCGGCATCGCTCTCCGGGGCAAATTCAGGTTGGATGGTGGACGAATGGATCCCGTAGGCATGCAGGCACCGTCGCACTTGTCGGGCAAGAAGCATGTACCGCTCCGACCCTTCGCCCTTAATTTCCGTGTCCACCTGGATGTGGATCGAGGCGACAATCTTGGTGTCACTCAACTGCCACACATGCAGGTGGTGCGAGCCAATCACACCGGGCAGGCGCTCAATATCTTCCTTGATGTGGTCAATGCTCATACCCGGGGGCACGGCCTGCAAGAGGATACGGGACGCGGCCTTGCACAGCGGAATGGCAGAGGCAAGGATGATCAAGGTTATGATAAGAGAAATTCCAGGGTCCACATAGAAGCGCCAGTCGTAATCGGTCAGCCAGATGACCAGGGCCGAGATTATCACACCGATGTTGCCAAGTGCATCGCCCACAACATGAAGGAAAACACCCCGCATGTTGAGATCATGACCGCCTTTCTTTTGGCCCTTGGGTTTTGGTTGAGCATGGTTGTGAGACTTGTGGACATCGTCCTCGCCTGGGTGATCCGGGACTTTGAAAGGGGTGCCGTTCTCATCGGTATAGTTGGAAGTGCGGTCCCGGTGACGCAGAAGACCGGACCGCTCAGAAGGGTACTCATCCTCGTCGCGACCCGTTTCAGAATCCGACGACTGCTCATTCCGGAACTGGCCGCGGCTGGCCGCAATGATATCCTGTCGTAGCGTTGCTGGATGCACATGAATATCTTCCACATTGACGAATCCACGTCCTGTCGAAGTGCTGTATCGTCTCGAGCCACGCGACTGGGAATCGGTCACCCGGCGCTTTCGGGAGAGGGGAGACGCGGGTTCCGTGGCGGGGTGGGGCAGACTGTTCTGTACGTTCTCTGGGCGACCGGCTCCATTTTCAGGCATGATGCCCGCCGCATTTCCACGCTGATCAGCACCAACGGTATCGCTTTGCTGGTGGTCGCTGTACCCGCGCTCGGCCGCATCGACATCCTCGTGGTCTTCCTCTCCGTGGTCATGACTATGGCCATGGCCATGAGAATGTTCATGGAAAAGCACCAGGCCCAGGATGTTGGACAGCAGTCCAAAGCAACCAACAATGCACACCAGCTTCGGGTTTTGCACTTCTTGGGGTTCCACTAGTCGCTGAATGGCCTCCAAAAAGATCGACAGACACAAGGCCACCAGGAAGACACCGTTGACTAGCGCACCGAGAGTCTCGGCTCGTTGCCACTGTAGTGAGAAAACCATCTGTCAGACCGTATACTGCCACCGAGGTTGAATTGGCAACTTACACCATAGGTGTACATTTTCGAGCTCGTTTCATTATTGGCGACCTTGACGGCCCATAACCCAACACACAATGAAAGCACATCGTTCAACTAGAGTAGTGGTCAGGATTTTATCGATGACACGGGCGCGCATTCAGAGATGCACGTACCATATGAAACGAATCGGCGACGAGGGCAAGCGAGTGGACGGCATAGCCTAGCGAGGGCAATTATCAGCACGATTTCAAGCATTTGAGACCAAGTCAAAATACTAACCGGAAATCAATTCAAGCAGGAAGAACGCTGTATCGATGACCAGCAGGATCAAGATCCTGTTGGTCTTGGAGAGTCCCATGATGACAGCAGGTCCACTTGCGGCGCGCTCAGCGCAGAAGAGCAAGGGATAGCAAGCAGTCTCAGCCAGGTTGAACCCAGTCAGATGAGCAGAGAAAAAGAGAGGACCTGGACAGATGGGAGGGAGGATTAGGGAAAAAAATTGAGTCGAAATCGATAGCGTCTCGGGAAGAAGAGAACGGTGGAGCACAACAGCGAGGGCGGAATCAGCTCCGGTCGCGGCCGGAGTGGCGTTATCATGAACGCGGTGAACGATATACTGCCTGTGTAGATCAACGGGTGTCTTTTCCCAATAATTATTTTTGTTCATACAAAGATTAAAATCTGGCAAAATCGAAGAGGGAAGAGAGTCGTATAGAGGCATGGCTTGAGCTGATCCCATACCCCACCTACTGCTGTGATGCGATCGACCCGCTGGAAAGCTCCGACTCCGGATCGACTTAACGCTCTCATGCATGTCTATACGAATCTACAAATCTACATCTCTACATCTCTTCAAATCTATCACATCTACCACATCTATCTTTACGAGAGGTCAGGAATAACTAGGATCTATGAAGCAACGTCCTCTTCTAGCCACTCACTCAACACCTACCCTAACTGTCGACAAGGTATCAACCAGACACATTTGAAAGCCAGCCACGTCGGTGCAACAATATTCATTATTAATGTCTATTTTCTAGAGCGATTTCTCGAGGTCCACAATCTCTCGAAATTGATCCGACAGCCGCCCAATCTGCTCTTGACTAGGCCGAGGCAATGGTTTTCGAGCATACCCGCCATACCCCAAAAACGACTCCAACGTACATTTGAGTCCCGCAATCCCACCACTCGTCACCACCGCGTCCGCACGAGCCACCACGCCCTGCAAGTCCCAACTCTCCTGCGTCGACAGCCGGTGCAATTCCACCAGTCGCACACAGGTCTTGGGCGCCAGATTCGCCAGGCCGGTAATCACGCCCGAGCCGGCGCCCGTCAGGGTTTGCAGAGCCGACTCGGCCTGGCCCCCAAAACACATGAATCCCGACCCACGTCCGGTCTCGGTGGCCGGCCGGGTTGCCGCCGCCACGCGGTTGAATTTGCCCATGTTGTTGCAGCTCAGCTTGCAGCCCACGATGTTGGGATGTTTGGCGAGCTCGATGATCAGGTCGGAGTCAAGATCTACTCCGTTTGTTACCGTGGGGTAGTTGTAGATCAAGATCGGGAGAGGAGACATGCTGGCGATATCTGTGAAGAAATCCCGGAGTATGTCTTTGCTATAGTGTGCTTTGTAGATGGATGGCGGGAGGACAAGCGCATAATCGGCCCCGGACGATTGGGCAGCGTGGCAAAGCTCGATGGCTTCGCTTGTTGACTGGGCGCCGCAGCCCACGATGATCGGGATCTGTACGTAGCCGGCAGCGCCGATCGCATGTCGCGTAGTCCGGGTGATTTTGCATCGCTCGATGTGTGAGAGATGAACGGCCTCGCCAAAGGTGCCCTGCGTCACGAGTCCGACCACCCCAGCCTTGACCATCCGCACTGCATGTTGGGCGATGGTTGCTTCATCCAACTCTTCGTTTTCTTTTTTAAAGAATGCAAGTGTCGGCACGTATACCCCGGGTCGGAGAATCCGTTGTGGAGTTTCTTCAGAAATTCCGATGACCGTGCTAGAGTAGGACTTATTGAGTTGAGATCTGGAGTAGATGTTCTGTGGAAGTGATGTGCCTGTCATCCCAGTAGTATTCATTGTCATGAGCGGCACTTGTAATGTGACACACGGGGGTTGTTTCGAGGCTCGGTAGACATGTTTTAACATTAAACTCATGACTTTCAGTTACAAACTCTACCCTCTATGGTGGAGATTTGCTATGCCGGCTAGATGACACAGACATGAGCTCATGCTGTATAGACGTCATGATCTTATCTATAGCAAGGACCTCCAGTCAAGGTGATTCATCCATGAATGAGTGTATTGAGGTGTCTTAAGAGAGATTCTATCTATAGGTATATGCTTCATCTTTTGCAATCACACGCTGCTGAACCTCTGACATCCAAGGGGATAGTTAAGCCACAATTGCAGAAAGGCCGACTTGAAATAATCCGAACTCAGGATAGGTTCTCAACTCCTATTTTCCATGTCGAGTAGAAATATTTAATCCCCTCATTGTGGTAAAGGAAACAAAAATCAAAAGTCGTAGCACTCGACACACTTCTCGATTTCTAGATGAACCTTTGCACACATGACCCAAAGCTCATGAAAAACCGTAAAGAGAAAAAAAAAACGAAAAAAAACCAAGCCCGCCTTAGCAACCTTATTCAGCTGGGCTGCCATAGCACTGGCTCTCGCAATCCTTGTGAGAGTCAGTGCTACAGTCTGGCGTCCTATTGCAACCACCTCCCACAAGCCAGCACCACGGATCACTCTTGTTCCAGGTGTCCCTAGAGAAGTCAGGCACTCCTTTATTGCATTTCGCGTAACAGCGGTTGCCATTTTGGAGTGCCTGCGTGCCGCCGCCATATTGTGAGCACTGGGGGTTGTCACCTACCATGAAGTTAGCATGATCAGGCATTGAGGAAGGATGAAAGGTCCCGGAGGAAAAGGTGACCTCATATAGAGGTTGCACTCACTATCATCGCCCTTAAAAGCTATACAATCGATCAGTCCACCCAGAATCTCATGAAAAAGCATAACAAAGGTGCAACTTAGAGCGACGGAATGGAACTGCTGCCAGGGCGCTCGAGGCGAAAAGTCCAATGCAACAAACCGAGACTGAAGTTCATCTTCATTTTTGCGAGTATGCTGGTAGATGGAGAATGGCACTTAGGGAATAATTGTCTTTAATGATAGAGAAGAGAGGATAGTTGAGACAAGACAAATGCAAGAGGGAGGAGGGTTCTTATATGTTGCGCTGGATACCCCAGATTGGACCCCATCCCCCACTCATTGGGTCTGATCCTCCGCTTGATGGATTTGATGCATGGTATGAGTCAAACCTACATCTGAGAGCTGGTGGAAATTCAGGAAGCAAATAGGATCCCTGGCCATTACCTGTATTTTAATAACCCATGTAACATGGCTTTTTTCCATACCTTAAACGTGGAGCAATAATGCTTGATATCCGTACAAGAGTTTATGCATAAGCATTGACCAAAGACATCATTCGTTCTTCATGATCATACACAGATCAAATTCCATGAGAGCTCGAGAAAATATAGACTATCCATTCTGAGACTGCCGCAGGGATATGTTCATGGTAATAGCTATCAAACAGATATGTCTCCCTAGTAACTCGGTTAATCGAAAACACATGAGACCGCATATAGAGTCCAGCAGTTTACTGCCCCCCAGATCTAGGTAGAGATGACATCAGGAGGTCTTAGTATGCGATGTATTAATCAGCCGCCCCCCCACACTCCGGACCCCACGCCACGGACCAAATCAACCATGCGGAGCTTGAATTGATTTCATCGACACTCTTTCACAGTACATGGCAAGTTAACAGGGTCGCTCGCCCCCCTCTTGGTGGATCGTTGCATATGATTATATCTTTGGCGGATATCTGGCGAAGTGGATCTGTTCCCATCGGGCTGAACCTTGCCCTGGTTAATCAATAGAGCCTTCAGAGCTCTTGCACAATTGCTGTAGAAAATATTAAGATGGAAATAAATTGGGGAATCGCAACCTAGTGATCAAGAAGACAGAACCCCGCATTACTTCCATTTATATATAGTGCTTCCTGAGAGAAACACCCACACACTGTCCTGCTGGGAAGCGTAATGGGGGCAGGGGTAGACTGCGGCATATCCGCAATTGCGGATACCACTTTGCTATTCAAATCCGTATCCGCAAATTTGCGGATGGATATCCAAGGATGTCCGCAAAATATCCGCTGACAATCAAGTCAAGTCAAGACAAAGATGTTTGTTGGGAGTGTCAAGTCCTCAGAGGTAACTCAAATCCCAAGACAAACAAAGACTAGCAATTCCTTCCTGACATCACATTTCCCAACTAATTACGCCCTCAGAACCTGAGCCACCGCCAAATTCCTGCATCAAAGCAGAATCCTACTCTTTCAGCTTCAGTTCCCGATCCTTGAGTGGCTCGAACAGCGTCTCAATCAGCTGAAGAAGGCAGGTTAACAGGTAGAACCCGGGCTAGGGGGAAGTGAAGTGATACTGACCCATCGGTCGAGCTTCGCATCGTTCTCACGCTCCTTCTTGAACCTTTCATCCAGTTGCTCTGCAATAGGTCAGCAGAGGAGCTGGCCAGACATGAGTGGTTCGCATACCTGAAGTACAATACACCATATCGGCGATCTCTGTGCTGTTTCTGATGCTTGCCAGGAACTGTGTCGCAGGCTTGGATGTCCCCACTTGCCCAATCACAAACTTCACACCTGTGGGTTGGTAGGGAGTTACGCAATCAATAGCTGGCTACGGGCCCAATATTGCACTGGGAATACTCACTGTCCTGAGGATATTTGGCCGCATCTAGCTTTTGGCGGCATTCCATAATGGTATCCCTGAGGGTATTGTATGGTTCTGGTTCAGGGCCACCGTCGGTTATGATAGAGATGAGAAGCGGTCGCGCGAGCCCCTTCGGCCCCAAGTCGAGCTTGTCATAGACCAGCGGCTTGAGGATCTTGGATTTCAGGTACGTGCCAATCTCGGTGTCGCCTCCCCACGTGATGCCCTCAAGGATGTTCCCGATACCACTGAGGCGCAAGCTCGTGGAGTTGGAGACCTCCTGGTTGATGAAGCGAAGCGCAACGCCTTCGTTTTTGGGGGAGGACCCGCGTGGTGATCCTGGCAATGCGCTCGACGAGGTTTTTCTGCGAGTCCCAGCGACCTTCACGTTTCATTGAGGAGCTATCATCTATGCCATCTTGGTCAGAGTCGCTAGAAGCGGGGGACGGAGCATTATCGAGACTCTTACCGCAATAGATAACCTGTTGGTGCAAAGACACCTTGATGGTCTTGGGCAGCAGGTCGGGTCGGCCGAGAGACGTGCTTGTATCGTTTTCCAGCTCTACCACATTCTTGGCAACCTCTTGAATAAAGTCTTCCTTGCCCTCGAAGAAGCGCTCCAAGGGGGAGTCCTTGACCACATTGTCAACCTTTGCCACGAACTCGCCTGTGGTCGTAACCTCGCCCCCGTTCACACGCTGTGATTCCCGGTTAGTAATCCAGGTTCTCCGCCTATGCTGCGGATGGAAGGAGCTGGGAGCTCACCTGGTTCCAGGCATCGTCCATGTCATTATCGAGGCCGTACATCCGGCGGACGACTTTGTCGGTGACTTTGTTCACCCAGGCAACAATGAAGAGGAGTAAGCCAACGACCATGTCAACTAACATCTTAAAGTCAACCTTCTCCTTTTCTGGGTTGAGCGCACGTTTAACAACCCTATCGTCCGTCTTCGCGGCCAAGTCATCCGCATTGTAGCCATCATCATTCGTCAGTGTCAGTGATGCCCCGGCCTTCCGTAGCAGCCTGATTGATTCGACATCCCTCTTCTGAACAACGTACATCAATGGTGTATGGTTAGCAGCTGAGGGACTGGTCGCGTCAATGGCGCTGGCCGGTGTTTTCGCGAGAAGCAACTGGATGATCCGAGCACGATTCCGGTTAGTCTTCGAGGCAGCAAGGAGGAGAGGTGTTTCGCCATCCTTCGAGAGAGAGTCTGCTTTGGCTCCGCTGTTGAGGAGCAACAGGACTCCATCGGCGTACCCTGCCACCGTGGCAGCCCCCAGTGGGGTGAGGCCGCCTGGGCCTTGCTTCTCGAGAGCCGTCCGATCCTTCTCGAGATATTGGCGGAGCCTCGCCTCAGTCAAGGTTCCATCTAGGATATCTTGGTAAAGATCCATCATGGCTTGGGTCCAGAGAGACTTTGCCACTGGTGCTGGTGCGGTTTCAAAGAATTTTGACCTGAGATAGAGCACATTCCCAGGGAGTGAGATTGTCCGTTTTTATAAGGCCAGCACTCTTTCCAAACCCTCTGTGCTGAAGCGGAATCCCAATATGACAAATGCAGTCTTACGGATCGGCCAGGATGCCTTAGCAACATCTCGCGGCACTTCTGCCATGGTGCCCAACATATGCAAATAGATCCAGCCGCAAAAGCAGCAAACCGTGCTGAAGGGCATGTATGGTGCTCGAGAACTGCAGGGTAACCAGGAGGATTGTGACTGATGCAGGTTGAACGCAGCCGGCCCGGAATCTCACACGTGGAAGGCTCAGAGAGTAGGAGGTGGTGAGGCGAAATGTGGGGGAGACTACCATTATTCACCTGGCTGTTCTCCCCGGGGCTGACAGGACCCCATACCTCAAAGATCTACATATGCCTCGCTTATATTGGTCAGCATGAGCGGGACGGCTCAGATCTGCCCGATGCCTGCAACTCTCGAAACGGGATCTCATTGGGCAAAACAGAACCACCTGATTGCTTTTGTACATCGTACCGCGCGAGCCGGCAAGGGGTTGAGTGTGATAAACATCTGGTTTCCGCCAATAGCCGTGCTTCGAGACTTCATTGATAATGCAATTGCGTCGACCTCTCGCCGTCCCCTCCGACCGAAGTGGAGCTTGCCCGGCCGGCCTTCAGCTCGCCCAGCAATGCATGGGACGTGGCCATTATATTAATATTCAACGCCAGAAGAACCAATCGCGGGCATCCCAAGGTCATGATTCTCCCACAGGGCATTGTGACGGTCTGACTTGGTCATTGCTCAGTCTTGCGAATCCACACAGCGGCTGGCCTTTCGAGTCTTCCTTCACACCATGGAGAAAGCGATCGGGGCCCTCAAGTCCAGAGGCGTCCAGGTACTCAAGCCCGGGAGCATAGGGACGGACCAGGAAGAGTATGAGCGCTGTGTTGCAACTCCAAACCTCCTCTACCGCTTCTCAAGACCCGACTGCGTGGTTCTGCCCAAGGATGCGTCTCAGGTCCAGGCCATCATCCAAGAGGCAAAATCAAAGCGACTGAAAGTGACCATCAAGTGTGGTGGCCATTCCTATGCGGGCCACTCCACCGCCTTCCAGGGCGTCTCGCTCGACCTCAGGAGGATGAAAAATGTCAAGCTCGACTTAACAGAGATGACGGTCACGATGGAGTCCGGCTGCCAATGGGGCGACGTGTACAAGACGCTGATTGATAACCGGCGCCGCGCGAACGGCTTGATCATCCTCGGCGGAAGATGCCCTCCTGTTGGCGTGAGTGGTTTCATCTTGGGCGGTGGTCTGAGCCCGTTTACGAGAAGCTTCGGAATGGGCAGTGACACCCTAATGGAGGCAACGGTTGTCACTGCAGACGGCGAGCAGGTCACCGTCACGGAAAAGCATGCTCGGACCTCCAAGGAAGGGATGCTCTTCTGGGCCCTCTCTGGAGCGGGCGGAGGCAATTTTGGCGTTCTGGTGAGCATGAAGCTGAAGGTCCAGCGGTTGCGAAACAGAGATGGGACTGTGGTAGCGGGCAGATATCAATGGTTCCCCGACTCTGAGGCCATGGAAACGTTCCTCGCCACGATGAACAGCTTCTACACAGCCGACTGGCCCAAGCAGATGACCATTGATAGCACCTGGCTCTGTGACCTCCGGCAGAACACGGGCGATGGAGTACGGTTCACCATCTACTTCGATGGCAATAAGCAGGCATTTGACAATCTTATCGACAAACACGTCAAGCAGCCCGATCTGGCGAGGCAGCTCAAAAGACGTTCTCTACCAGAAGACTCTACGCGTTTCTTGCACGAAACACTCGTGGCACAGTGGTCCGAGGAAACTGAGAGATCCTTCCCGACCAACCGGACCTACACCATTTATAGCTCGTTTGTTTTCACCAACGACAGGAGCACGATTGAGAAGCTTACGACGATCATCAAGAAACAGATGGAAACTTTCCGGCGCCTCTACTCCGGAGAGAAGGTTGAGTTCCTGGTTACCTGGATCCATTCAGGGGGGAGGCCATGAAGAAAAGCCCCTCGGATACAGCATTCTTCTGGCGCAACGCCGTCTTTCACACCTACGTTACAGTCGAGTGGGAGGACAAATGGATGGAGAGGGACATGAGAGGGTTCTTGGGAAAGGTCAAGAAGGAACTGCGGCCTTATTCTCTGAACAACTCGGCCGCATTCATCAATTTCCCCGACGGGATACTCGCGAAAAAGGGATACGAGAGGGCCTATTTCGGGGATAATCGGCAAGAGCTGCGACGCGTCAAGGATATCTGGGACAAGGATAACTTCTTCGACTGGGACCAAGGCATTCAGCTGCCGCAGGGTGCGGTGGAGGACCCCGACGGCAATGTGGACATGGAGGACGATGAAAAGTTTACGGACTCGATTGCAAGAGAGCAGTGGAAAGTTTTCGAGAGCAAGGATATTGAGGCAGACCTTGATTACCTGACCAAATCGGGCTTCTGATGGGGATTGTGTCTTTCCTGGTGGGCCATTGGAGTATCTGAGCCGGTTTTCTACTCTGAACACAGCCAAATTTCTAGCTCAATGGGGTTCTTATGGTAGATTGCATTGGCTGGTGGAAAATCAGCGCAAGAATAGTTATCTGAATGCAGAGATCCTGAAGAGATTGCCAGCGCCAGAGCTTGTCTCTCTGCTCGTTGCCAGCATCCAATATACATAGACCAGGATCTTTAAGCGCCATAGCGAGCCCTGGTTTCTCGTGTTCAGGTGTGGAGTGGACAGCTAACCCAGATGAAATATTCATACTCTCAAGGCGGCTACAGCAAGTCTGTCCGCCTGGTGATGCTACTTACGAAACGGACTTGGCAGAGCCGTACGATACCTCACGAAAACGTCTCCGATCGGACGAGAGCCTTGCCCTGGAGTCTGATATCCGATGGCGCTGGAGAGTTCTACGAGGACCCACTGCATGAAGGCGGAGTTGATCTCTCCGAGATCCCCGAGGATTTCGACAACGCACCACAAACCATTGAACGACGAGAGCGAATTGAGATTCGGTGGAAAAGGTGAGTGGATCATTGAGATCCATTTCGTTTCAGTCACCCCCACTTAACGGCAGTTAAGCTGGGGAAGGGGGGCTTATTCTCCGGATATAGGTGGGGACTGTTATGTTGCTTTTCAACTATTACTAGCTAGGCCTTCAAAGGGTATATGCGTCATGCATTTCTTTGCTAATAGGGGGTTGATAGCTTCTATCTTTGATTACTCGCTCTTGGCACTTCTGTTTATAATGTTTTGAAGGTCCATTCCGCTATGTTTGACTGCAAATGCAAAAATATTCATTGAGAGACTCCCATAGGACTAGAGACCTATGTCCACAATCCAGCTGGTCCTCATACTCCGGTCTTCTCGGCTTTCCTTTAACGGTTAAAGTCATCTGTGGCCAGCGGGACTGGAAAGGTCAGTCGGGCCACCCTTCTCCATTTAGGTCGCAAAACCCGAGGGCCAGCCAGACTGGGAGGGCCAGAGGGATTATATTACATACTCGACTTGTTTCAGTCTTGCCCAAAAGGTGTCGTAGATTTGCTACCACTTGAGTCATGCCTGAAATGGATTATCGATTGCACTAACTGAACCTTTTACAATGATGTTATATGATATTCTGTTAGCGTTGACCGCAGTAGCTAAGGCGTCAGTAGAAAATAGAAATAGGCCCTAGAGCTAGGTATGGGCTGTTTGTTCCCGAAATCAAGACATCCAGGTTTATCCAAGAATGACCTAGGAAGTGGGGTTCTTCGGCGAGTTGCTAACTCCCTTTTTGGTATTACTATTCTATATATAGAGCGCTGCTTAGAGATCTTAGTTCAAGAACTAGGGTGTATGCCTACTATTGCCTTGCAGCTTTTGTCATATCGTGCTCGCCCTGCGCACCGTGATGTAGAACATCAACCATGAAACCACTCTATGATCTGACAACCACACTGACTCGGACTTAGGCTTCAGTGACTGAGGCACCCATACGACAAACTATGAATGGCCACAGAACCCCACTAAAGCGGGGCGTAGAAAGAACAGCCTCAACTACGTGGGTATGAAGTTCTGTGCACGCAGCGCAGCCTCGTTGCAGAGCCGTGTAGATCCTCTCCCGAAAGGGCTATGATGAACAAGATGCCGTTTTGCGGGAGCAATCCTTTCCTTGAAGGGAAAGCAATGTCTCAGGGTGCTAATGTTATTCATGATGTCTTCGATGCTTCTCTTTTTTCCTTCCTTTGCCATCTGGCACCCTGCATCGTACATCTTGTTTTCCAGCCCACGGTTCTAATCTAAGTGTGTCCCCGAGTGCTGCCGTAAGGTCTTGGCATAGGGGCGATCAGCGGCCCCAGCACTTCTAAATGTCATCATCGTGTATCAGGATATACTCAAGCGGAAGATGATCGTCAGCGAGCACCACCAGGAATATGGGGGCGGCGGCTATTGCGACGCCCATCCTTAAATATATGCTGGATGCGCCTAGTCAGATAAAAACTGACGAATCTTTTTTTCTGACGATATTCGGTCCCCAGTAGTTCTTATCACCATGGTTTCCAATCCCTTTGCCGACAAAAACTCTCTGCGACTCGCTGCGAGAATAACCACTCACTTCACTGCCATCATAGCCATCGCTTGTGCTGCAAGGTCAATTGTTTATTGCGTAGTGGTATGTGATTCTTCCTCACTAATTTAGAGAACGGCTGAAGTTGAAGTCACTAACCAATTTCACAGCTTGCGGCTTCAGCCCTTTGGTCTCTGATCAGCACGATCTGTCTCATAATCAAAAGGCCTCCCCACCCAGGCTTCAATATTGCTTTAGACCTGATATTCACAGCCATCGTCTTTGTGCTCGGATTCGGGCTAGTGGTTGCTCTGGCCGTGGATGCGGGGGACTATCCTCGAGTACTCCAAGCCTGCGCAGCTTTCATGATAATTACGGGGTAAGTATTTATCATGAGTACTGCTCATGAGGGTAAAAGGGAAGGAAGGTAGAAAGAGAAATAAATAGAAAATATGCTAACTGCGTAATCCAACCAGTTTCCTCCATCTCGGCCACTTTGTGCTTGCCTGTCACGATCTTCACGTTAAACGCCGTCAAGGAACTTCAGCTACCAGACCAAGCGAATGGAATAGAGTCTGATCAAGGCTCAAGTGAGAATTTTGAATATATTCATTGGAGGAAAAACAGAACGGCCTGGAAGCAATATCATATAGAGAATATACGCACTAGATGGTTGCAAGGTCTACATGGGAATGTTATGACTATTTGTATTCGAGAGCCCAAAGACGTATACAAAATAACTCAATCTCATTTGTTATCATTCTTCGCCTGGCTCTTCTCCTAGGTGAAGTCCATTCCTGCCTTACTGCTACTGGATAGCTCTGCACGATACTTTAAACTGTCAACTAGCAAATCGGGGAACGTGGGTCAGTTGTGTGGATTTGTGGCAATCCCGATCAGTCGCTGCTAAGAGATCTTAGTTCAAGGACTAGGGTGTAGGCCTACTATTGCCTTGCAGCTTTTGTCAACTTGAGTCTGCGTTTCTCTTATTTGCTGTCTTGATAAACTCGAAGCTTTGCTTTACTGGATTAGCTTAAGAATTTCTACAGTTCTTTCGTAAGACCCTGATATATATATTTGCCACCTTGTACTTAGAAGTCACTGTGGTCAACCAAATCATTGACAATAGCTATTTAATAGCAAATTATCTTGTCGTACTGTAGTTTTATCAAGAAGAGTACACTACCAGGCCAGAATATGACCAAATATGGCGGGTTATTGAACAAGCGGTCTGACTTGGCCACTCTTATAGATCCACGATAAGCTGCGGGGCAGGGGTAAATCTCCGATAACAGCAAAGATCTCTATTTCCCCCGTTTTCAGGCCCACGAGGCGTCGTCCCTCGTGCATTCAGCGAAAATCGAAGGGAAATTTCCGCGACCCACTCCTGTCAACTGCCGAATATGGAAGGTGAGGGGAGATTTCTTGGCGTCGCCGCTGGGATATCTGAGGGCCCCCGATGGATCGAAAATCTTGACGAGCCAGTATTATAGCTTTGAATATTGTTCTCTAGTGGTTTACCTTTTCCGTGAGTGGTGTCTATGGTCATCATTGCTTAGAAATATATTGCCTCTTTTTTGCTAGTAAATATATTAAGCCCTGATAGACTATCCCACCGTAAACTCTTTTATGAAGTTTCTTTCTTTCTTTCTTTATATATTGCGTCACAGCCATGCATTCGGATATTCGTCAACAATCCCCAGATCGTGGGGTGGAGGTTATAGAAAAACATGGCGACTTGGAAATGGGTTCTCCCTGCACACTTCAGAGTCCCGAGCCCATGGAGAATCCCACAGACACTCTGGATCTTGAAAAACTTGGGCGAGAGCGACCAGCATGTTTCTCAAATCTATGGACAGAACTAGCATTTTGCTTTTCCATCGTGATGTCCCAAATCCTGGCTGTAAGCAAGATTTACTTTGCCCGCGTGAACCAAGGAATTCACCACTAAACTCCCCAACAGGAATACTTCATCTCAGGGTCGAATGTGCTGTTACCCACACTGGTCAAGGAACTCCATATCCCTGAAGCATCCACAATATGGCCATCAACCGCATTATCGCTCGTCGTCACCTCAACTCTCCTCATCTTCGGCCGTCTGACAGACATGCTCGGCGGATTCGCCCTCTACAATGCGGGAGCAATCTGGCTGACCATCTCCTCGATCCTGACCGGTGTTTCGCAGTCATGGCTAATGTTGCTCATTTGCCGCGCGCTGCAGGGACTCGCGCTGGCAGCCTTTCTGCCGTCCGGGATCATGATTCTCGGCAGCACATACCGACCCGGCCCTCGCAAGAACCTGGTGTTTAGTGTGTATGGCGCATGCGCAGCGCTAGGATTCTTTGCGGGTATTTTCTTTTCGGGACTGTGCAGTCAGTTCCTCAGCTGGAGATGGTATTTCTTCATCGGGGCGATCCTGTCTGCTATTACTGCGGTCTCGTCGTTCTTTTCGATTCCTCGCGACTACGCCGAAAAGCGAAAACTGGGAATCCGCATGGACTGGGCTGGGTGTTGCCTCTCCGTACCGGGAGTCGTCTTGTTGGTGTTCGCCATTGCGGATAGTTCGTTTGCGCCGCAGCAGTGGAGAACGCCTTATATCCCGCTCTTCCTCATCCTGGGAGTCATTCTACTGGCGATATTTACTTATGTTGAGGGGTGGGTCGTGGAGAATCCTCTTCTCCCTGGTGACATCTTCCGGGTGAAGTATATGACGCCCTTGGCAATCGCCTTGCTGTTTTTGTATGGCACCTTGGGGATATTCCTTCTCTATGCTGTTCTCTAGTAAGCGGAAATCCCTGGTGCGACTCTCACTTTCTCTGACTTGTTTCTCTCCAGCATGTCCGACATCATGGGCGCCGGCCCCCTCCAAATCGTGGCATGGACCACCCCAATGGCAGTTGGGGGTTTGATTCTCTCTGTCGCCGGTGGGATGATATTCCACAAGATCTCAGGAACCATCCTGATGCTGATTTCCTGCCTTGGATATGTGGGCTGCGGGCTATTATTCGTAGTGATCCCCCTCGGTGGCATGTACTGGAAGTATGTATTCCCTGCGATGGTCTGCGGCACGATCGGCATCGACATCAGCTTCAACCTTGCCAATATCTTCATCACAACAAATATGCCCAAATCAAGACAGGGGCTGGCGGGCGCCTTGATTAACTGTACGCTTCATCTGGGCATTGCCCTGATGCTTGGATTCGCCGATATTGTTCAGACATCGTTTCGCCACCTCGGTGTTCGGCAAGGATACAAAGCAGTATTTTGGTTCCAGTCGGGCTTGGCGATATTGGGACTGTTAACTGTTTTGTTCTTTGTGAGGATCCATCATGCCAAGAGTGAGCTGACTATGGACGAGCGACAGGCCTTGGAATCGGAGGCCGACAATAGAACGGGGGAGGTCTGATGGTTTATTACAAACATTAAGCGTGTTTAGCGAGCGGACGCATATTTGACTGTTTTGGCCATTTTTCTGCTATGCTACTGTATACTGAATGCATTATCTACATATGAGCACAATCAAACATCGGGATCGACCGGGATCGGCCTCAAGGCTGATGGGCCCATGGATCCGGCAAGCCGGCCTGACATCATCGACTACAAAAAGGATTCTCGGTCTAATTTTCTCTTTTTTTGTCAAGCTCTCGCGTGACTATACGTCATGTTGAAAAATTCAAGATAGCTGAGAAATAGGGACCATTTCCTCTGGCTTGTTACGCATCTTCAAGCCCCCTTGCCCTGCCAAGTTCCCGAGAAGAATGTCGTCGGCAGCACCGGCTGTCCCAGGATCGACACCCGGTCGCGATGAGAACATCCGGTCGGAAGATTGGCCCGAAGAGGTCAACGCGCAGTACAATACGGACAACGAGCGCGTTCAATTCAGCGGGGATGGATTGGATACCGGGGTCCGAGTATTAGGTAGGCGACTTTGCAACACTGCGCTAAGGTTCAATTGAGAATAGCAAGCATTAACAAAGCAATGCTGTCTTGCAGGCGATGGGCGCATAGACATCCAAATCAACGAACACAGGCCCAGCATCGCCGGGCTCCTGAGCCATCTCCAGCAGACCCCGCAACCCTCCGAGCTAGAAGATCTATCCGAGAAAGACGGCGCAAAGGCACCCCCAAAAGAAGAGGGGAAGTATTTCCCCCTACACCTAAACATCGTCATCCAAGTGATCGGCTCCCGCGGCGACATCCAGCCCTTCGTCGCATTGGGCAAAGAGTTGAAAGCGCACGGGCATCGCGTGCGACTAGCCACCCACCTGGCGTTCCGCGATTTCGTCCTCGATGGCGGGCTGGAGTTTTTCAACATTGGCGGCGATCCCGCAGAATTGATGGCCTTCATGGTCAAGAATCCAGGACTATTACCAGACCTTCGCACCATCCGAAGTGGAGCTATCCAGAAGCGGCGGCGCGAGATGAAGCAGATTATCAATGGGTGCTGGAAATCGTGTTTTGAGACGGGTGATGGGACGCATCTTCACCAAATCAAGGAGGATCCTTGGAGTGATACTGTCGACTATCGTCGGCGGCCCTTTGTTGCGGATGCGATTATCGCCAATCCGCCCAGCTTGGCTCATGTCCACTGTGCGCAACGCCTGGGGATTCCTCTGCACGTTATGTTTACGTGAGTATTCTTCACCTCGGGGTGCACAGAATCTCCACCTCATGGCAAGAAAAAAAATAAAGAAAAAGAAAAAGCCACTAATCGTCGATAGAATGCCATGGTCCCCTACTCAATCATTCCCGCACCCGTTGGCTATCATCCACCAGCAGAATTGCAAACCCACCGTCGCCAACTTCGTCTCTTATGCCGTCGTTGATATGATGGTCTGGGAGGGTCTCGGCGACATCGTGAACAAGTTCCGCAAGTCGTGCTTGGCATTGGATCCATTGGATAGCATCACGGCGCCGAGCTTGATCCACCGGTTGCAAGTCCCGTGTGCATATCTCTGGTATGGCACCACCTCATCTGTGACTGGTGAGGACTGTACTGAGAGATTCCTTTCTTATCCAGGTCTCCCGCGCTACTAGGCAAGCCCCGCGACTGGTCCGACAACATCGACATCTGCGGGTTCAGTTTTCTTCCATCCAAGTCGGACTACACGCCCCCAAAAGAGATCGATAACTTTCTCAAGGCTGGCCCAGCACCGATATACGTCGGATTTGGCTCAATCGTTGTCGATGACCCAATCAGACTGACCAAGATCGTATTCGAGGCCGTCAAGAATACAGGCCAGCGAGCAATTGTCTCCAAAGGCTGGGGCAATCTCGGCGTCGACGACATGGAGATCCCAGACAACATCCTAATCATCGGCAGCTGTCCGCACGACTGGCTCTTCCGCCAGGTATCATGTGTCATCCACCACGGAGGCGCGGGCACGACGGCAGCCGGACTTGCACTGGGCCGCCCAACCATCATCGTCCCTTTTTTCGGAGACCAGCAGTTCTGGGGAGGAATAGTAGCCAGAGCCGGAGCCGGCCCGACCCCGACCCCGCATAAGCAGTTGACTGCAGAGAAGTTGACCAGTGCAATTGAAGTGGCACTGCAATCTACGACGCGGGAGAAGGCACAGGCAATTGGAGAGAAGATGCGAAAGGAAGCCGGCGTCCAGGACGGCGTGCGCAGCTTCCATCGACATCTTGACCTGCAGGCGCTTCGCTGCGCCATATGTCCTACTCGACCTGCTGTGTGGCATCTCAAGCACACGGAAATTGGCCTCAGTGCCTTTGCAGCGGCAGTCCTTGTGGAGATGGGGAGGATCAAGCCGGATGACTTTGTTCTGTAAGTTCTTTTTTTGATTCTTGTCAAAGCCAGCTGCTGATGCTTAGCAGACATCGTCCAATGGAATATGATACATACCGCGATCCCGCGGGACCACTCAGTGCAAGCGCTCAGGTGCTATTTGGCGCCATTGCTAATTTCATGATTGGAATAGCAGATGTGCCTGCGGAGATCGTCAGTGATCTGGTTACCGCCGGTCGTGCCCTAGGCCATCCGCATGAACACATTGATCCCTATGCTGCGTGTCGCACCAGTAGGGAAAGGCCAGTCGGAAGTGGAGAAAATGACGGAGAACAGCCCGATGAAGATCGAGAAGAGGAAGAGAAAGAGGAACGACATGACAGATCAGAGCAAGTGGCAGACGAAAGCGACACCTCGGATGAAGACTCGACCAGTGACTCGGACGACCAACCCATAGCCAACAACCTGACACCAGAAGGAACGGAAAAAAGACGAAGCCTGGAGCTGGAGAAGCAACAGACCATGAGCAGCAAGATCCCGCAATCCAGATCCCCACACCCTCCTGTCGGAGGCGGGAATACACGGAGGCAAGATGTTGAAGAAGTTTTTGAATCTTGTCATTTGGTTACCGACAGATCTGTCGCTCAGCTTGGCCAAAGGGTTCCATAATGCGCCCAAGCTATATCATGACCCAATGGTGAAGTCAACTCCGAAGGTGATTGGTATCCAGAGTGGTTTTAAAGCTGCTGGCAAGGTATGTTTGAGATTTGCACCTTGCTGACTGTTTTTCTCTCCAAAATATCGGAATATTGACCTTGCGTGCAGGAGCTGACAGACGGTTTCTACTATGGTATTACCGGTCTCGTCACCCAGCCCCGGTATGGCCTGAAGCACAAAGGGGCCAAAGGCATGATCAAGGGGGTTGGGAAAGGCGTCGGTGGAGTCATCCTGAAGCCTCCAGCAGGTATGTACTAAACTGTCTCCACTCTTATCTTCCTTGAATTATTCTGGCATGTCTGGTGTTCTAACTCGTATTCATTAGGTCTCTGGGGTCTAGCAGGCTACCCTTTGAGTGGACTACGCAGGTCACTCTTGGATTCACTGGGCAAATCCCAGGAAGGGCACATTGTCGTCTCTCGCATCAAACAAGGCCACGAAGAGATGAAAGCGTCCTTGGCCGAAGAGCGGGCGGAAGTGGCTCGGAAATGGATTGCCATTGAAGAGACATTGCAGAAAACAAAACGACATAGTTGTTTGCATACTAATGGACATACCGCATGATATATAATATTTAGAATACTCTCACTATATCCGAACGTGTGATACATTGAACAATAAAGCGCGAGTGAGGGGATGCGACAAAAGCCATATCCACCAGGTAGTTTGAGCCAGCCAATTCACATGGATTCTTTTCATCCGAGACTATTTCGGAGTCAATACAGCGACAATCGTAACTTAGTGGAGCAACAAGGGATCGGAGGCCCACCGAGCTGGGGGATACCCGAAACCCCAGAACAAAAGCAAGCATGAATAATGGAAAACCTAACTTCCCGACTTCAATTCCAATGAATCAATTCCCGATGCAAAGAACACTACTAGCATGAACACAACCATGTCGCCGACCTTCATCGGCCTCAAGGGCCAGAACCTCGTCTACGCCGTGACATTCTGCTGCTCAATTGGCTTCCTGCTCTTCGGTTATGACCTTGGCTTCATGGGCGGGCTGACCACATCGCCCGAGTTCCTCGCGGTCTTCGGGAACCCGAACGCGTCATTGCTAGCCTTCCTGGTAGCCTCGTACGAGGTCGGGGCACTGCTGGGCGCGCTTTTCCAGTTCCTGCAGGGTGATCACTTCGGCCGCAAGCCGAACAACCTGGCCGGCGCAGTGATCGTTTCGATCGGAGCGATCCTGCAAGCATCGACCTTCGGACTGGCGCAGTTCCTCGTCGGCCGGATCGTCGCGGGCTTCGGGCTCGGCATGATGACGACGGTGATTCCGATCTGGTTGTCCGAGTGCAGTATCCCGCAATCCCGGGGCCGCATGATGGCCATGCAGCTGTCTAATCTGATTGTCGGGCTGATTCTAGCCAACTGGCTTGACTATGGCCTCGCCGCGTACTCCGGCTCGGTGCAGTGGCGGTTTCCGTGCGCGTTTCAGATCGTTTTCTGTGTGCTTGTTCTGGCGTTTATGCCCTTTCTGCCGGAGTCGCCGCGGTATCTATGCGCCAAGGGTGAGACCAGCAGTGCCCGAGTTGTGCTGGCTGCTTTGAGAGGCGGATTCCCGGACGATGCGGTGGTGGTTGAGGAACTGAAGGAGATTCAGTATGCGATTACGGTCGAGGCCGACGAGGCCGGGTCTTGGAAGGACGTGTTCAAGGACAACGGCATGAGTGGTTCGACAAGGGTTGCGATCGGGTGTGCCGCCAACCTCTGCCAGCAGATGTCTGGTGTGAATGTCATGGGCTCGCTCGGGCCTTACGTGTTTCAGGATTCCATCGGGATGAACAGAAAAAATGCGATGCTAGTCTCGGGTGGTCTGCAGGTATTCTACTTTTTAAGCAGCCTGATCCCCTGGTGGGCGATTGACAGGGCTGGACGTCGACGACTATTCATGATCGGATCTACTGGGATGGGGGTGTGCATGCTGCTCTCTGCGATCTTCGTGGGAATCGGGACTAAAAATCTGGGCTATGCTGCAGCCGTCGCACTATATATTTTTCAGTCATTCTTCACGGTGGGATGGCAGTCCAACATGTGGATCTATCCGAGTGAACTACTACCCTTGAAGCTGCGACTGCGCGGCGGAGCCCTAGCGGTTGTGTCGCAGTGGCTGTTTACGTTCCTGGTGGTTGAAATCACGCCTGTCATGATCACCAACATTGGGTACAAGAGTTATATTGTTTTTGCGGTGATCAACTTTGCTACCGTGCCGCTGGTTTATTTTTGGTTCCCGGAGACCAGCAGGATGCCTCTCGAAGCGGTTGATTTATTGTTTGCGGATCGCAATGGGCAGAGGCCTTCGCTGTTTCAAGTCGTTCGGGACTCCACCAACAAAGAATTTGTGATGGAGATGGAGAGACAACTTCAAGAGAGAGCACGGATGAGGACTAGGGACACACAAGCCGAGGATAAGACTGAGCACTTGGAAGTGGAAATAGCTTAATGTGTGACATGAGAGTCAATACTGCATAGATCTCTAGAATACAACCTGATATATACCGCAGTAGCTGTCTTTAGCAAAGCCCAAATTTACCCATGAATCTACTATTTTGTATCCATTAAAATATCTATCCACGGGCTAAATTAAACAACTTGAAGGGCTTGCCATATTCTAAGAGAAGCCGGTCCAAGTCCGATGATGGTCGGCTTGTAGACAGCCGAGGAAGATATTGTCTTCTGTCCTTTCGCTTGGCAATGCTTGTTCAATTAGTGTCGAACCTTCTTTTCCACAACAGGGGCATCTCATCGTGAGTCGCAAGGGAATCTTGCAAGACTCTCGATTTCCCCTAGTGTGGATGGTTGACTATTATGAAATATGGTCTTACCTGTACACGGGCTCTTCAGCTTTCTCCAGTTTGATGTAGTTGACATCGATGATGTTCAATAAATAGGATAGAAATAACCAACAGAGTACTACTTCAACCTTAGGTTATGTATCTGCGCATCAAGTAAATTATCGATCAAGACCAAGGCTAAGATCCTAAGACGAGGCCCCGGCAATATTAGCCCCCTCGCCCATCGAACCAAACAGCATGAAAATAAGCCAGACAGTTAATCGCTTCTGCCACTCGCCAAGAATCATGCACATCGCCGTGGCCATGATCACCTCATAGACCCTGCTCATACGGATATCGGCTGTCTCATGGAACTCAAAGCCTTCTTCTGAATCGAATCGTCGGACCCCAAGAACCGAGTTGCCCGTCTGCTCCAGTAGCTTGGTGATTGCAGAGTCGAATATCCACAACTGACCGCATTTCTTCGAGGCGATGCTAGAAGTATATTGAGCCAGGAAAGTCCCATCGTTGGTCCCTTGGCCCGGTACCTTGGCGATGAGTTTCAGGTGGTGAAATGGTAATAGTCTCTTGGACCATTTCGCGCCTCCTGGGAGGTCTCTCGTGCCCTCCCAGAAGAAATAGATCCCAGCATATTCAAAATGATACCGTCGGTTGTTCACCGAAAAGGGGGAGTCCCAGCTAAGGCTGACTGCTTCTTCAGCGACAGCTGGCTGAAATGGGGGTTCAGTGAGAAAAGAGCATGGACAGTCTTCAACCGTGGGATAGTCAATGTCAGTCTTTTCACCCTTATCATCACCAGCGCTCCCTTCCTCCACAGCCCTCAGCTCCTCCTCGGCTTTGATCCCCTCTCCCTGCCGTCGAGCGTTCACCATGTAGTGGTACCCCTTCCCAGACTCACCCCACAACCGCCACGAGCGAACCTTGTACCCCTCAAGAGCACACTCATCGCCAGCAGTGCTGTTATTCGGGCTACTGCGATGCTCCCACTTAACGACCCCCCGACGATCAACAACATCCCCCAAGTTCCTCCCAAACTGCAACTTCCATCTCCGCCAGAACGCCGAGTTGTGGATCAGACAGATGGGCTCGCCGAGCTTCTTGCTGCCGCGGTGCAGCGTGCGCGGCGGACTGTGGAAGGCGAGCGTGGGGTTATGCACGAAGTAGCTGTTGGACTCGTCGGAGCCGCGATGGTTGCGCTCGTACCCTTCGGCAGCGGACTGGTGTTTGTCGGTGTATCCGAACTCCTTTTTGAGGTCAAGGAATGGCGTGATGCATAGATGCTCTTCGCCTTCGTGGTAGACATGGTAGACTGAGAGGCGGTGTCGGGTTGCCAGTGCTTCTTCTAGAGTTGACATGCTTGTCTTTGTATTCCTCAAGTTCCTGGGATCATTGTGGTCGCCTTGATTGCTTGGGCGATCGGAATTATGTCGAGTTGAAGGAATAGAAGAACAGGTTTGGTTGAAGTCTCAACGTTGATACTACTCCGTGTTGACGATGCCAAGCTGCACGGCAGGCGATGACGATGGTGGAGATGGGCCCTGGAGTGGGGCAATGAGGCCCTGGTCTTTTTAGTCCCGTCGGGGGCGTTGTAGGGCGCTGGTGGGCAACCCTGATGGGCCGAGTTCCGTGATTGGTCTTGGGGTTGGCTGCGGTGTACCTTGTGTTCATGAAGAAGTAAGAAGTAATAAATAATGCCTCTGGTATAGTGTAAATATCTAGCGAAGGGATCCTGAACTCATAAAAGCCGTTGTATCTGCTTGACTACACGTACTAGAGAAGAGGCCTTCTGAACAGTTGGATGGACTGTGTATTCCAGGTCCACGATAGCGCAGCCCACTTAGCATCTTTAGTTCGTGGCTGTACCCTGAGTAGGATAAGGCCTATTGGTCACTCTACACATGACTGCATACATGCTAAGAGCACCAGGGATACACCGAACGTTTCTGAAATCGAGAGCCAAGGACTTGAGCACGCTGTTCAAATGAACCAGTAAATGCTTTCAAAATGAAACTATGATTTTTTTCATTCCAAAGTGGACGTGTTACTGTGAAGAAGAGGTCACCGACGCAATATTCGCCTGAGCACTTTTGACGGGTTGAGGTCAATCTCGACCATAATGGCAATGGAAAGAATCAACGTCGTGAGAATAACCTGTTGGTCATGTCAGCGATATTCTTTGTGGATGAATACGTCGAACCATACTGCAAACAATAGTATTCCCACGGAGTTGATATCCCATCCTCCCGCATAGACTTTCCCTACCGAGATAGCGCCCTGCTGCTTCCAGAATCGATAGGACCCAATGAAAGCAATCAGCACAGCAACACAGTGGCAAGCCACGGAGAGCGGGATGCCGACATCGTGGAATCTCAGCCGGTCTGCCTCCGACTCTGATCGCTGGAGTCGGAATAGTTGCGCGATCAGGACCCCCTGCATGGCAATGACGACGGAGGTTCGGATATAGGCGAGGAAAGTTCGTTCCAAGGCTGAGAGACAGTCAATTAGCACAGACGATCAACTGCTTTCTGCAAACCCGAACCCAGAATAACTGCCAAAAGCGACCGGGGCAGGAAGGGCACAATGAGGCCAGGCATAACAGCAGTAGAAATATTCTCACCAAGATGATCCCGATTGTTTTTATGGGGCACAATCAACGAGACCTGGTGCGTCCAAAACCGACAGATCCGATTCCAGGGACCCTTGCGATCTTCGCGCGCGCGCCGGTGACCGGCGCGCGACGTAGTCCGACGGGTCGTGATGCGATACTCCTCCCCCGACGAGGCCGACGGTGTCGAGAGGTCCAGCTCGTTATCCTCGCGAGTTTGTATCTCATGCAGCTCGAGGGCCTCGCGCTCGTCTGGGTTGTTGTCGCGGGCGGGGGTCGGGCGGGATTCCCTCACGACGGCTGTGGAGGGCCGTCCAGGTTCGGAGGGTTGACCAGGCGGGTCGGTCATGGTCGGAGACGGTGCGACAGGGCGTCTGGCATCGCTGTCGCTGGGGGAAGTGGTATGTTGTGGGCTGCAGTGTGTTGCGGTCAAAGGGCAAAAGCAGGGAACTGGGGTTGTGTCTGTCGGGGAAAACCCCGGATCCGCTGGAGCCGAAGGTTCAACGGGGATCGGTCGCCCCGCGCTCTCCCGCCTCAAGGACAGCTCGACAGACCATTTTGTGGGCTGGGAGAGGAGGTTGAAATTGGAGAATTGAATGCGTATACTTGCGATCTTCTAGCGGGTTTTGTTTACTGCACCGTTGCAAATGGGTCCATTCTCACCAATCACAATTGCCCATGGCTGGTTGCATCATTCTGTGGCTTCATGTTGGAATACGTTGCCAATGAAAATGGCCCAATGTCACTTGATTTCTCGAAATTCAAAGATAGTATGTATTGGGATAGGCTGGCTATGTTGCACATGGATCAATTGGCCAATTGCCATTAATTTGGAGTCAGGGATTGCAGTTGACAATTTTTGTTTATTTTCTACTCGCTCCATTCCATTTCGTTTGGGTAAGCCGGGATGCTTAAGCTTAAACCCCTAAGTGAGCTTCTCCAGCAGTTTCCGTGTCAATGTATCACTGGCTCTGCTGCTCAATGTTCACCCATGGCAGCCTTTTCTCGCCAAACACCTCGCTACCCGATGGAGAAATGCTGTCGAACAGGGTTGCCTTCAAGAAGACCTTTCCGGGAGTCATCGGGGTGGCCGTCCACACAGCACTATCATAGGTATTAGCTGAGAATACATGGTCTCGCGTATGGGAATACGATACCTTCCACAGGCAGAGCAAAAATGGCGCTGACAAAGACAGGAAATCAGCATTTCATCGGACCAGAATAGGACACTCTATGCAAAACTGCCCTCCTTGAGTTTACCTTGACGAAGTTTCCACTCAAAGGGTTCTTATAGTCATAGCTTTTCAGTGACGCCGAAGGGTCTTCCAAGGATATCTCATCAAGGGGGACAAGATAATTCACCGAGAAAGCTATAATAATTAGTGGATTGTGAGTATAGCTGATGTTAAGCCTTGAGAATATCTTTCCACTTACGACCGCCGGCTCGCTTGCAGTTATCGCTGTGCAGGATATATCAGCAAATGGAGCGAACGTCAAGGCGTTTCCCGATCGGACCAGTGGCAAACAACTGAGCTGGGCGGTTGCTGCGGAAGAGTGATGCGAATACTTTCGCAGTTGCAGTGACCGGTGTAAGGCATTTTGAATCTTAAATATGGGATATGAGGCCAGGTTTTGCGGATATGATAAATAAAGAGGGGGAGAGAGATGAAGGGACTGAAGTGTGTCAGGATTGCAGCATAGCCGGTGGAACTTACCAGTTCTGAATGTCACGTTAAACAAATGTGGACCCCGGCCCAGGAAAGCGGTCTTGTGGGGGATATCGTGTCGGAGCATAACCCTAATATGATCATAAAAATTGGATTATCTCTTTCAAAATTGAATTGGGTCATTTTGAATCACCTAGTGATCAATTTAGTAGGTCTTACAGAATAGGAACGAGCAGAATGACCTTTCGTAATATCATTGGGCCCTACATGAACAGCTGAGAGAGCCTGGCTTGTCCGTAAACAAGTTATTCATGAAAATGAAAGTATAGCTGACAAAATATAGCTCTTAGAAGAAGTGACTATCTAGTTGATAGCCAGGACTGGCACGGCATTAGATTTATTATTAGTGTTTTCCACTTCCAAGTCTTTTGTGTGGAATGCAATTCAGGCCAGAGGATATTGTAAATATTGGAACTATCCAGCCTCAGACCGAGACCTTAGGAAGCATCCCATTCTTAGTCTCTGACTGTGGCTTCCGAGCCCTCAAGGCAGACCCTTCATATGTTCCACAGATCGAACCCATTCTCAAAGGCCCTGGTCCTCCAAGTTCAACACTGCCAATTTTCCTGCTTTGGGAACCACCGGCAGCGCAGCCCACCCAACCAGGCAGTTCATCCAAGACTTTGACTTGATCGTCACTCCTAGAGATCTTAAGCGGAACATGCTCGCCAATCGAGCCTCCCAGTCTCAACAAGCTGAACGCATCGAGCGCGGTCGTCCAACGAGGGAACCAGCTCGCATAGAGTGCTGTCAGGAAGAGTCCAATCAAATGAAAAAGGATCAGAACCGACACGACGACAATGCCCGCAAGCGAGATAGAAGGCTTCCGAGAGTTTGCGCCTTTATCATAAAGAACGCTCAAGGTAGGACTGCCATTCATCTGCTGTGTATCGGTGATCCACGCAATATTAGCCAAATACGATGCGATGTTGAATGCATTTGCCATGACCTCTTCCGAGGAAAGATCTTTCTCGTCGGTGGATATCTTCCTGGGTCGGAAGTTGACAAGCCACGTGAGGATGTTCGAGAACATGTCGGATTCGTGGTAGACATTTTTGTCGCCGAGAAAGTCGCTCTCCTGTGACAAAACACCGTCGTTGATCCCGGTGTGACTGCTATCTCTGTTTGGCTCTTCGTTGTGCGACGCAGGCGCTTGGAGTCCTCGAATAATCCTTCCCATTGGGACGAGGTCCGCTACAATCTTCAGATCATCATGCGATGCATTGCGGAAGCCGTAGAGTGTGTCGAATCGGTTTGCCGTCTCGAGCCATGAGTATCGTCCGAAGAGGGCAAGGGTCGTTGTTAGTAGAGGGCCTTTGTTGAGAACTTCCTCGATTTTGTCCGTTTGTGCAGGTATGAGGTCCTCTTGCTCGCGTTTTTTCTTTTTTGCTCTAGACTCTCGTCAATTTGGATTCGGTTGTAATGTCGAAGACGTCTTTTGGGGAGGGGGCTTACTTGTATGGTCCGGTAACTTCTTGTACATCACAATATGCATCACATTTATCGTATGGAAACTTCTCCAGAAGTGAACCAGCAGTTTGGCCGTTCATGTAGTTCGGCAGCTCGAAATATCCCGCGGTGGTATTGACAATCACTCGAGCGTAGATTGACGTTGGCGTCGATTTGTCCTCGGCCAATAATCCATCCTTGCTATGCGTGGACATGGTGATATTTAGATAAAGAGCCTCCCCAAAATCTTGTCGATCGCGGGTATTCTTCCATGGCGTTGAGAGCTGATTCCCTGGCATGCATGCGTGTAGTGCCCAAAATTCCAGGGCTTGATTCTTTGTGCCAGCTGAATTGGATAACGTATGGTTATGTTTCAGGGATAATGTACCATGTTCAGAATCACAGCCGCGAGGGAACTCCCTCTCTGAAACGTAATCATATCGAGCCGAAGAGTTGAATCGAGGAAGATATTGCCTAATGAGACCCGTGCTGTAGTTACTGGGGAGCTGTGCCCAAAAGATCTCAGGGGATATTGATAAATCTGCCCAGTTTGGTCCAATTTGAGAGCACAGATCTGAATGTGTGAGATCACAAGCTATCTCTCTCGCCCAAAGCTGTGATGGGACGTCTTTGGCAGAAGTGCTTGCGAGCAACTTCTGGGTCATGGGGATGATTGACAGTTTAGGAAGGAAACCATTCTCGAATTTGTTCGGTATGTCGAGCAGCTGGCCAATGGCGGTGATGTTTGTTGGGGTCTTCACAACTTCAGTTGACAAGAAGACCTGCTGAAGTGGAGAAATGATCGCGCCAACAAAATGCAGAGCCAATGCCCATGCGAGAAATGGGGTTCCATAACGCGTCCATTGCGTTGAGATTCGCAAGTATGTTGAGATATCCGTCCATCCTTTGTCTGCTAGAACCATCAACTGACGCAGGGTGATCTTGGGCTTCGATCCATCTGTGCGGCATTGGAGGTAGACCACTACAGCACTTGAACACACAGCGGATGTCACTGGAATGGTCAAAACTCCCACAATAGACTGGAGGACCTGAATGGCTTTATACCACCGCTCATTCTGATCGTACTTGGCTCGCATGGGCTGACTGCTGCTCCATAAATTCCATGTACTTCTCGATATACCCTTTGTGCTTGGGTATTTTTGATAGCTTGTAGTGGTGACGGGGCGTTGATCGAGTAAGCAGATCATGGCCCAGGAGAAGAGAACCAGGATGGCGTAGAAACCCACAAGCCAGAGAATCCATCCCGAGCGAGTGATTTCGGTGCCCGTTTGATTTGGAGCATGCTTTTGGGTGGATTCGCGGGTAGATCGACTATCCGGGGTTGAGGGCATGGCAAAATGGCAATCCAAATTAAAGATGCAGAGTTGTTTTGGGGTATTCCCCGCATAAATACGCGGATGATGCCGAGGAAAGGAGGCTCTCGGGGCTGGGTTCGTGTACAGCCATGATCGGCGAGCTGAGTTAAAGCACTTGAGCACTTGGACACATCGCGATGCCGATGACTTCCTAACATGGACAGATGTGCATGTCCAATTTACGCGCTATAATTAGTGCTGCCAGGGTCTCTTGTGTTCATCTGTCAGGAGAACTATCCGGCTAACTCGTTCCTAGGGACCACAAGAATACAACGGGATCCTTTTCTCCACTCGTTGCTGCCGCTACACCCCACTTTTGGAATTTTGAGTCAAATTCGACGTTTTTGATCGCGTTAAGAGTATTGCGCCTTCTAAAATCTACGGGCCAAAACCAACCCACTAATGATTCAGCCCTAGAGAAAGCAACGCCCTCTCTCACCACGAGTGACTGTGAATGTGGACTTGCTTATGTATTTTAGTTCTTCTCTCGAACTCCTATTTGCCACAGAAGTATTCAAATGATGGAATATCGGCTCCGATGTAGGAGTCATTTGAAGTGTAGTTGAGGCGATGTAGCCTTGCGGTATTGGTGCCGATATCGGCCGCCTGTACATCGCAACAACACTCACTCTACATGCTGGACTCATAGGTATAAAGAGGCAGTTCCCAGACACAGTGGATTGAATCAAGAGCAAGAGAATTGTGCCTCTGAAATTTTAAACATCACTTTTTAAACCCGATCCAGCACTCGCCGCAGCACACTGAAATAATCCCGACGAGGCGACTCCGATTTCTCCGCATTCAAGCCCAATTGCTGTACAAAACGATGTCGTCCGACCAGCAAACGACCAAGGACCACTGGTCCACCGAGGTATGTGACTTGGAACCATCCGTCTTTCTACCACGCTAATCTCCAATTCAGGCTTATGCCACCTCTGCATCGTTCGTGCCTAAACTAGCCCAGAAGCTTGTTACATACCTAGATCCCAAACCGACAGACAAAGTCCTCGATGTCGGCTGCGGTGATGGCAAGTTCACGGAGAACTTTCTGCCTGCCGTGGGCTCGGTGCTGGGTATTGACTCGTCGCCCGCCATGATCGAGTCCGCCAACAAAGACTACGCTAGCTCCAAAGCAAGCTTTCGCGTAGTCGATTGTCGATATCTGGAAAAGGACACATCCATTGTAGATGGATCCTGGGATAAAGTGTAAGGAATGACCTCTATGCCGATCTAAGTATATACATGTTGACTTTGAGCAGCATCTCCAATGCTGCGCTTCATTGGATCCTCCGTGATGACTCCACGCGTATGTCCACTCTCTGCGCCATTCACGGTAGCCTGAAACCGGGTGGGGTGTATGTCTTTGAAATGGGTGGTCATGGGAATATCGCCGAGATCAAGACCGCTTTCATCTACGCCTTGGTCCAGCAAGGAATCCCCATTGAAACGGCACGAGAAACAAGTCCCTGGTTTTTCCCCTCGGAAACCTGGATGAAGGGCGCGTTAGAGCAAGTGGGATTCCAAGTTGAACACCTCGAGCTGGAGTACCGCCCGACCAAGCTGACGACTTCTACAAATGGGGGCTTGGAAGGCTGGGTGCGGCTGATGGGCGCGCAATTCCTGGAGACTCTGGCTGAGGACAAGCGCGATGTCGTGGTTCGGCAGGTTTGCGATGTGCTCCAAACAGTGGTTACCCACGATGAAGACGGTAGCCAGTGGCTGGGCTATGTGCGACTGAGAGGAATTGCGAAGAAGATCTGAGAGAGAGGTAGGGGTCCATCATACTCGACTACAACTCCATGCTAGGGCTCTTTTCGGGTCATCGATGGGCATAAGGCCGTTTTGAGAGAATTTAGATCAATATATTTTTTTCGTCACTCTATCCTAAACTCCATCGATCCTGCTACAATATATATCAGGGCTGTTGGTGTCATGGCGGTGCAGCGCTCAAAAGCGTTGCCCAGCAATACGATGGCCCCGTGCTTGGTACTCAGCCAGCATATATAGCTGGTCTAACCATTTGAGCCTGCATTAGTTGAAAGTTTTGTCAAGGCAGCAGTTGATGATCACGACGAAAAGTCTCGGATTTCAGCTTGGGGATAGTCACTGAGAGCCTGGATATCTATGATGGCAGGGTACGTTGAGGCCAACAATGATATTCTTGATAACTGCGCCGATGAGCGGGCGGTGGCATGGTACCGTGTCAACTTTGGTCGGATACGCGAGGAAAAATTCGACCCCTTTGACAGGCGTGTCTCGAAGCGCCTTGGCTCCGGAAAAGAAATGTCGGTAGATACAAGGGGAAACCTTTGATCTCAGCTCCCCAGGAATTGCTAGGTCCAATTCATGAAAGAACGTCTGAATGATTAATATACATAGCTGCCCCGGTTGTATAATACATTGCCCTTGCAAGCTCCATATCTGAGATTCGGCTATGACTGCTGCTACTGCCTGCGCTGTTGGACCAGGACTGCCAGCGGCACCTCTTCTTCATCATAGAACTCCACATCCTCATCGACACCGAAATCGCGTAGCCGTTCTCCCTCAGCATTGCGCCAGGATTCTTCGCCTTCGTCAGCGCCGTCGCCATACGTAGGCCCAGATGGTTGCTCGTCGCTGTTCTCGTCATCCTCGCCCTGTTCATAGCGATCATGAAAGCGTTTTCGGCGCTGGACGTTTGAGTAGAATTTTGGACGGTCCAAGTCTTGCATCTTGCGGCGGTTGAAAGCTTCGATCTCCTCTCGCGCCGACCCGTACGTTTGAGGCGTGTGGGATTCATCAGGCAATGATGGCCTAGCCGGGAGAGGAATCCGATCGGGATCTGGTGGAGGCCAAGAAACACTTGGGTCTTTGGTGCGCATCATCAATAACTGGACGGACACCACGAGAAGTCAAGAAAGAAGAGGGATAACAGGAGCTCACCTTCAAATCCATTGACTTCGAAATTCCATCCAGTCTGACGATTGGGGGTGGCGGCAAGTGGCCAGAGCCAGCTAATAACCTTTGAAAAAGTCAGTCAATCAGCTCAAAAACGGAACATCGCATGGTAGGCTGACATTCGAGCTCCCGCCCATTCCTTGCTTGATATTATCCCAAATGCCGATATCGTACGGAAACTCCTGCTTCTTAATCCGGATTTGAATTCCTCCAGGGCCCTCGAGAAAGCCACCAAGGACACGAGCTCGTCGGACCAGGGTGGCATGTCTCTCAATCTCCCACGACTCGATGGTAGTGGTGTTGGAGCCGAGAGACCAGATAGTCCGCACCAGCAGAATAAAAAGCGCAAATACCGTTAAGCTATTTGCAACAAGTAGAATAAATAGATGAATCATTTGCCACAGAGACGGCCCGAGATACTGGTTTGAGGTCATCAGCAAGTGCGAACAGAATAAGTGTCGATCTACTTACGCTGGGGAGGTCTCTGCTTTTCCAGACAATTGCCGCTCGCTCAAACAGCAGGGTCTCGAGGTAGGACATTCCAACAACCGCATATACCAAAAAGCGCATGAAATGCGGCAATGTGAAATGTGAGACACAATTGGAGGTCCAAGGACAGTGGTGGTCCATCTTGGGGATGCATCTGGAAAATGTAAGCACAGATATCAGATCACTTAGTCCTTTCACATTCAAACCTCTTGCAAGTTTTGCAATGATGAGCTCGCGGCGGTTTCCAAGCCTCGCATCTACGACACCATCGTTGTCGCCCAGTAGCCTGGTCTTCCGGATAGAGCGTCGGGCCAGGACCACCCAAGTCTTGGGCGGGAAGACGGCCCGGGTCTACAAAACACGTCCGATAGTAGCAGATCCAGATGCACGCGGCGAAAATATTTATCGCCCAGACCTCGTTCTTTTGGAGTGGTGCAGACTTGAAGTGCAGGAAGAAGTACTGCGACGTGTACGCGAGGAACCCGATCAGGATACTGACGGCAGGGATTGCCAGCTTTGACACTGAGAATTCACTCCACATTTCAGCGTCCTCGTCCTCGCCGGTTGGAGAAGCCGTCGAGTCGCGGCGTCGGCTCGGACGTGTTGTTTACTGGACGGATGACTAAGGCGGTGTGCGTGGAATTACGGCTTCACCTTGCACCTCCATGATGCTTCATCCAACACCCTATATTCAAGGACATTTACCCGAAGCAAGAGTTGCATAGCCAAGAGTGAGGCTGCAGAGAGCTCGAGCAATGAAAAGTTGATTCTCACCACCAGGATGCCGATCGCGGCCCTCCCCCCAACGACCATCCGAGCGATTGGTTCCGCATCGGTCATCTCAGATCCATGCTCCGTTGTCAAGGAACTTGTCGATAATGCCCTAGATGCTTCTGCATCGTCGGTGATGGTTGAAATGTCACAGAATACCGTCGATGTAATTCAGCTCAAAGACAATGGTCACGGCATTTCGTCCGAGGATTATCCAAATGTTTGCAAGCGGACTTTCACCAGCAAAATCCAGACTGTGGATGACCTTAGGACGATTGGGGGAGCTTCGCTGGGATTCCGGGGTGAAGCCTTGGCCAGTGTTGCGGAATTGTCCGGAGGTGTCACCATCACCACGCGTGTGGATTCCGAAGTCGCTGGGTCATGTCTCAAGTATGGAAGAGATGGAGAACTGACTGCGTAAGTAAATTTTTCTGTCGAGATTGTGGGAGTTTTGGTTAATCATTTTTAGGACGCAACGCGTTTCTCATCCTGTTGGTACGACTGTTCGTATCACGGACTTACTCAAACACATCCCCGTGCGCAGGCAGACCGTGCTCAAGAGCGCCGCCAAAACTCTCGCGAGGATCAAAAAGCTTCTGCAAGCATATGCCATGGCTCAACCTTCAAAGCGATTTTCGCTGAAGGTTATGAAGGCGAAGAACGAAAATGGTAATTGGATGTACGCGCCAGGCGCAACTGCATCCCTCTCGGACGCAGCCATGAAGATTGTCGGCACGGAAATATCATCCAGCTGTATGATCAAAGAGGCCTCGATTGCGAATGAAATTGGGGATGGTGAGCCCTCAGATAAGAAATTCTACCAGCTGGTTGCATTTCTCCCAAAATCAGACACTGGTATGTCATGTTCCACGCACTGACAGTCATAAAGTCATTGACGGTTATAGACCCCGTCAAAGTGCACAACGTCGGCCAATTTTTCAGCGTCGATGGCCGACCTCTATCCACTAGCAGAGGGATCGGACATGATGTTGTTAAGATGTTCAAGTCCTACTTGCGTGCTGCTGGGTCAAGAGCCGGTGTGTCCAAATCGGCCACCGATCCCTTTCTTTGCGTCCAGCTTCAGTGCCCCCGAGGAACGTACGATGTCAATATTGAGCCAGCTAAAGATGATATCTTGTTTGCGGATCGAGATTTAGTCGTGTCGTTGGCAGAACGTCTTTTCCGCGACCATTATGGGGAGATAGAGGGCCATGACAAGCCCGCCCTAGATGCGAGGAAAGGAATATCCTCACAAGCTGCCACTATCAAACCTGGCTTTGAAATATTAATGGCTCAGCGTCGCCCTGAACCTGCTGCCCTGGCCCAAGAATCAGCGAATGATGCGGTCGATCAAACTCTGACCAGTCCTGTTTCGCACAGGTGCTCGCACTCTCCAGATACTTCTTCTGTGAATTCTCTCAGCAGTAACACCCCCCGAAGTATTAATCCTCACCAAAACGCCGGGTCGAAACGAAATACTGAATTCGTCAATCCATGGTCCATCACCAGAATCAATGCATCATTCTCCACGCCACGTAGGGAACAAGTCCCTCCATCGAGTACCACTCCTCAGAACTTCTTGACTGGCAGCCCACAAGAACCCGTACCAAGAAGGCCCGGGCCAACTACTTCCAATAACATAAACCCTCACAGCCCTGAGCTGCCCAGTCCCCCGACCTCGAGGGTTGCATCCACATCACCGGTGCGACGTCGTCAGCGACCCCCAGAGCCTGCCGAGTCATCTATCCGGGTCGATTCACCAGACAGCTCCAGAAGTGCCGCAAGGAAGCGTGATAGGGAAAGATATGGAAACGGGGCTCTCGATACCTGGTTTCTGAAAACCACACAAGCATCCCTCGGTCATGATACCGCGGAAGATACTCCCATGGGAGAAGAAAACGAAGTCCCTTTATCTCAGCTTTCCCAGGGGAGGTTTGACACACAGACGCAAGATCCTTCGCCAGGCGATCGGTCAGCAGTTTCTAATCCGAATATTCATCTTTCACAATCCATAAATAGTGGCCGAGGTTTCCCAGTGCTTGAAAAATGGGCGGCCAGTCTACGCGAAGAACCCAACACCGAAGCCTATCCAGGATTGGAGAGGGCGCTTGACTTCGAAAAGCGCAAGAAGGAGGCAATGCAACGACGCCGCACGCACACAGGCAACCGGGACAAACAGCCGGTTTCTGAGATTGGACATCCCAGCCAACGCTCGCTTCATAGCAGTCGTTATCTTGCCGCCAAAGCAGCATTAACGTCCGAGCGCAATTTCACGACCGAGTCCATCTCCAGGATGTCACTTTCTCCACACGATCCACGAGCGTACCTGATTCACCACCACGCCCAACAAAACTCACAAGATGGCTCCAAGGCTCGGCGAATTCAGACTAGCCGCTTGCCGTTCGAGAAGATACCCGAGGGCCACGATTTGCATAAAATCTGCTTGCCCCAGTCAGCGGATTTCTCTCATATATCGGGTGCTTTTCAACATACCATGCAACATGATCTATACGCTGAATGTGGAATTGAGGACGGGGCATTATCCGCGTCTCATGTCGATGCTCTCTTGCCGTTATGGAGTCGACGCTTGGCAGCCATCATCAACGAGCAGTACAAAACCAGAGACACATGGCAATCACCCGAATGGCAGATCGATCTTTCTTCCGTGGTATTCCAGCACCTACGGAACTCTGACGAGTGTGGAGATTGAAGTGCATCGATTGAGCTCGGCTGCTATATGATTTTATGTTTTGTGTCTTTGTTTTGTTCAAAGTTATATATCGAATATTGGCGCACATCATACCCCTATTGTGTCTTTATTAATATTATGGCATCATATCCCTTCAACGAAGCTTGCAATTTCAGGTAGAAGACTGGCTAATAATTAGAGGGCCCATACCACCATCCCTCTTTCTGCTGACCAAGATGGAGAACACGATATACCCCTTATTTAATGACCTAGCAAGGGATTCTAAACACCCGTAGACAGAGATGATGTTTGAACACAGTGGGCACATTTCTCGATCGACGGTAAGCATAGGCCACGCCGGAGAATCCATTGCCTAAAAGGGAAGTAGTTTTCCGAATTCTCCGTCCTGGTGAGCAAACCATTTTTTCGAGGATTGACTATTTTATATTTCTTTGAAACAAGTCTGAAGTTTCTCTTTCTTTCCTTCTGTTACTGCTCATGATCAAAAAGAGAGGGCCCGGTCAATAAGGGGCAACAGGTAATTTCCATCGCTTCTTCGGATATATACATCTCGTTGAACCTCTAGTGTACAGCAAACTCGACACTCCAGAATGAGCAGAGGAACTACAAGCACAAACGAGAAGACACATGATGTCGAACCAGGTCCGTCACTATCCACCTCGGGCAGTGAAATCCCACCCGATTCGAATGAAGTAGACTGGGATGGCCCCGACGATCCTCACAACCCACGCAATTGGCCTGCCTGGAGACGAGGCATGCTTGTCGGCATAATTACATGTGTTGTCTTTTCGACGTGAGTTCAATTCGCCAGCATTCGCAATAAGATACATTCTGCTAACTCGGTCTTAGATCGATCGCCTCTTCAGCCGTTGCCCCTGCGGTACCCCAAATCCTAAAGGAGTTTCACTCTAGCAACGAGGAGATCGGCACCTTGGTTGTTACCATCGAGGTTGTATCGCGCAGTCACAAATTGAATCGAATACATGGCTGATAATACTTAGCTTCTTGGAACCGGCGTAGGCCCCGTTCTTATGGGCCCCATGTCCGAAGTCGTCGGTCGTCGCGTCATCTACAATTGTGCAAATATTGGATTCTGCGCATTCTCTATTGGGTGTGCTTTAACACCGTCTTTGGGTGGATTGGTAGTATTGCGCTTCTTGCAGGGATGTGCCGCGTCTTGTTCTCTCAACAATGCAGGAGGGACAATTTCCGACCTTGTATCAACCAACCACAGGGGGTTTGCAATGTCTATGTATTCCATGGGCTTTCTGCTTGGTCCAGCCGTGGGTCCTGTCGCCGGGAGCTTCTTAGCTGCGGCGGCGGGTTGGCGATGGGTCTTCTGGTTGTTGCTTATTGTGGTAAGTGAAAACTGGTCTTGGATGTGTGGAAGGCGAGCGACTGTTTGTTGACACTACTTGCCAGAATGGTAGCATGGGACTCATCTGTGCGCTCACATATTCGGAAACATACGCCCCAGTCATTCTCGAGCGGAAAGCTAAGAAGCTGCGCAAAACGACGGGCAACCCTGCATTGTACGCAAAAGGTCAACGTCAGCTGCCAGTCAGCACTGTTTTAAAGCGAGCAATCAGTCGTCCCGCGAAAATGTTTTTATTCTGTCCTGTTGTGACAGGGCTAGCAGTGTACAATGCTGTTGTCTATGGCTTCACCTATCTTCTTTTCTCCACCTTCTCTGTTGTTTTCGAGGGCCAGTATAATTTTGGAGAGGGAAGACTCGGCTTGGTGTACCTAGGCCTCGCCATTGGGTTTTTGATCTCGCTCAGCATCGCCAGCGTTGCAAATGACAGAACACACAAGCGACTAACCAAGAAGCATGGAGCAGCAAAGCCTGAGTAAGTTTGATGGAACTGGTGCTATCCCTTCTTTCTAACATGTCTGAAGCTTTACTAATGACACTGGCACGAATTTAGATACCGTCTAGAGTCTCTGATATACGGCGCCATTGCAATCCCCATTGGTTTCTTTATCTATGGCTGGACGGCAGAGAAGCATGTCGACAGCGCCGTACCCATTGTTGCAACCGGCTTGGTTGGGTTTGGGGTTATGTTCACCTTCGTGAGTATTCCAATCATCGCCAGCTCTTCCTCATCTGCTGATTTTGGTTCTTTATTTTGTCAAGATACCATTCAATGTTTACATGATCGACGCATACACCAAGTACGCTGCCAGTGCAATTGCTGCCGGCAACATATTGCGAAGTCTGTCGGCGGCTCTCCTACCTCTCGTTGGTCTTCCCTTGTATAATAAATTGGGCTATGGCTGGGGTAATTCCCTTCTTGCATTTATATCACTGGGCTTGGGAGTTATGTCGCTCCTCTTCCGCAAGTATGGCGAGGAGTGGCGGGAGAGATTCTCGGTTCAGTTTGACTGAGGTTGCAAAGAGATGGGGGAACGTCGAAGTCATACATCTTGTCTTCCACATCCAAGATATTCATATCAGACGGAGAAGTGTGTGATCCATCAATGTATTCCGAGATAGCGATGCACGACCCTGGAGTCAAGATAAATACAACGACTCGACTTTTGGACGCTGGCCTAAAGAAAGCCTCGATAAAAGAAACATCATACTTTATAATTCAACTGTTGGCCACACTCGAACGATAGTCACCCGCCTGTATTCGAGTATCGGAATGCTCCCCTTCAAAAAACTCGGTCATCAGGCGAAAAAGTCTCTTAAAGCTCGCAGTTGCCTCCCGCAGGTAATTGAAATTGAGTTGGGTCAAACAAGCAGGCGATCGGCCCATGCATTTGACACCAGGCTCATTCTGCAACGCAATCATCTTCTGTGCAAGCGCGCTTAAGGAGTCCAAGAAGACATTGGCCTGAGAGACGAGATCCAAGACCAGAGTGCGTTTTAAAGAGGCGTCGTCTTTGAGCGAGACACAGTAATTGCCAATCCCCACTTTGACGGTTCCGTCGAACCCGGATTTCGCAATGTAGTCGAAGCAGACGGCTGTTTGCTCGAAAACCGTCATGATGCAGACTAGGTCGACGGGACCCAGGCGGCACCCGCAACGGGTTGACTCGAGACAGCTCCTGATCACGTCGCCTGTGACCTTAAACATATCGTCTAGTCGTGGTTTGGGCTTTTCTTGGATTGCGCTTTCGATTTTGGGGACGTGGAGCATTATGTTTGCTCGGCATGGACAATTGGGTGCAGAATGCGAAGTTGGGTGTTGTGTGTTCCCTGAATTAGATAGGGGTGCTGAGTTCGCACTGTCGTTGCTGCTTCCAGACGGGGTCGGCACCCCTGTGGGATGTGATAGAAAGTCGAGATCATTATGGTTTGGATCGACAAGCCTCTTGAAATCTGTGTTACAAAAATGTGCCAGGTATATATATGCAATGGGCAGCTTACATCAAGGCCCATAGCTGGTTCTGGGAACACCCAGTCAAACTCCTCAAGTGCCTGGTGAAAGGTCTTCTCGCACCAGGGATCCATTTGATCATTAGTAGGCGCGGAGTCAGCGGTGGTTCCACCACTACCAGTCGCGGAAAAGATATCGCCGGTCAGATCAACTGGCATCGGGCCTGGGGCTATGTGGCTTGAAGATGGTGATGCAGTGGTAATGCTGGGTGTTGGTTGGTTGTTTGAAGATGTCATCGCTGTTACTTTGGCTCCGGCATAAGCAAGTTGATCACCATTGCCATTTCTGTGATGCGTGTATATGCAATGAAGACCGCGATCGGTACATCGTTCGCAGCTTGGCTGCCCATTGCACTTGGCTTTTGCAGAGCGACACGCCTCGCATGCTGTCATAGGACGGCGAATTCGCGGCTTCTTTGCCTGAGTCTCAGGTATTTGCCAACTCAAGACATCGGTGCCGGGGATCTGCTTCCTTCGAGAAGGTGGCATCGTCTCGGCAGTTTGCTGAGATCGCGACATGGCAGCCAGCGCTGACACAAGGGAATGCCACAAAACTCGATAGCGACATTCGTGGGGTTTGATGCGATGTATGAAGCAGCGAAGCTGCTGGGGATGGCGTCCGTCCACGGGTGGTGAAAGGGATTACTAATTGCGCTTGCGCGATGAGCGGCCACGCGCAGTTGACCTTCAACCACATCGGATACCCTTGATTGCCTCGCTGATTGTCAAGGGCGTTAATACAGTCCTGGAGAATGGAATGGGGACTTGTACTCGGAGCATACTCACGAACCTGGCAAAGCAGTGCAACACAATATCAAGCTATCCTCACATGGACCTCGCCCACTTCACTTCACGCTCCCAATCACAATGAACTTCTCGAAATACACTCTCAGTCAAGAGTTGAATTAAACTTGGAATTCTATCAGTTCTGTGGCATGGCGATTTCACGTAACGTTGACATCGACCGTACTCTCAAAGGGAAAGAGCAGTGGGAGCAACTCCAAACCCACGCACTTCGTCAATGCTTCTCATTTCTCACTTCTCACTACTCACCTTCAACATCGTCCCATCCATTTCACAGCCATGATTGAGGGCTTGGTATTGAGATCAGTTTGCACTGCATTCTTAGGGTCCCCGGAGTTTGACATCCATGTCAGACCTGAAGAGGTTGATATTGTTCAGTCAACGCTGGCTCCGTCGTTAGTACTCTATGTGGGCCTCGAGACAGTGGCCTATGGCATCGCTGCGGCAACAAACAGAGTCGAGGTCAAGGACTGGCTCTGGCCCGTGGCTCTAGTCTTCACCACATACCAGCGCTTGTTTTCACCTTCAACAGGACTGCCTTGTCGTACCGACCTACAGAAATTGCTGCTCAGCCAAGTAACAACGTGGGGTGTGCTTCCTTTTGGCAGCATCGCGCGTCAATCTCTTCTCCGAGGTGGTGAGAATCCCCGCTATCATGCCTCGAAATGAAATTCTGGGTTTTGGACCTTTGCATTCTTCAAACTCTTTCTTCTAGAGGCCGTTGCTTTAACCGTCACATCCATGTCTTTTACAATACCGTGGGACTGAGCGCCAATGTTGTGCATGCGCTTCATGTCGCCGGGATCGGTACTTTCTTTACCGGATGGGGCTGCGAGTTTGTGATCGAACTTCAATTCGAGGAGGAGACCTGTCAGTGCGACAATGATCCTTCTCGGGGTTTGCTGAGACACCTTTTCGGGTGTCGGACTTGGATCTCGCGTCCCTGAGACAGGATGTAAGCTCAGTTCTTCCTTTTCCCATTGTTTTCATGAGATCACCATTGACAGTGATATGCTGACTGCTCTCCAGATACTGGGGTGAAACCCTTGCTCACATCTCATTTGGACTATTTGGGTTCGCGGATTCAAGAAATCCTGTGACCCTGCTTGGGCCCCTGGTCAATTACCTGTTCCTACGCTTCATGGCGACTCCGAGCCTGAATGAAGAAACCCAAGAATTGCGCTTCGAACTTGAGAAGAGTCCCAACCTTGCGCAGCTGAATGAGTGGCTCGAAAGCAAGAATAGCCTCTAGCTCTCTCTGTATGACCTGGCGACGCCGTGACCTCAGAACTGGTTCATCGTAGGGTTTTTGTTGGGGTATACCCAGTTCTGACAGCAATTGATCCGGCACTGGCTTCGCTCAATTCGCGTGGCGTGGAGATGATCCTTGCTTTGCCTTTTCTCTTTTCAAAAAACGATGAATGAACCGTTGGGCTGCCCGGATATTTTTACCCAAGGTGGATTAGTTGAGAAAACTCCAAAACCTGTCTATTCTACTACTTCTGCGATAGTTACAAACGCTGTCAACTAGTAACCCTTACCCCGTCTATATGAATTGATCAACGGTTTCCCCTCTGTCATACGATCTAGGTTCAACCTCACAATATCCAGTGAGCGCGGGAAATACTCCTTACCAACTCCACTAACATGCGGACTAATCTGCACATTCGGCACTTCCCAGAGAGGATGATCCTTAGGAAGCGGTTCGGGGTCTGTCACATCGAGAGCAGCCCCACCAAGCAGCCCCGACTGGAGGGCAGCAACCAAAGCATCCTGATCGACAACCTTGCCTCGGGAGATGTTGGTCAGGTATGGCTTGCTGGTGTGGTGGGTGCAGCTGTGCGAGAGGATGGCGAATTCTTCGGCTCCGAGCAAATGCGTCGTCTGAGGCGTCAGCGGGAGGGAAACCACGAGATGGTCGAGGCCAAGTGCCAGGAACGAGCGGATGGATTCACGGTCTGTTCCATGGTGCCAGGACACCGGGATCGAGCCGTCGGGGTCACCTGTTCCGGGGACGATGAATCCGGTGTCGTGGCGAGACTCTGGGGTTGGTCGGGGGGATGCTGTGTGGGCGTAGACGCTCATGCCCAGGGCATGCGACACGCGGGCAACTGTGCAGTCAGCTATCTGATTCTCACTATCGGCGACTATATGGCTGTAAGTTGAACGGGACTCAACCTACTCTGTCGCCCAATACTGCCGTACCCCAGGATCCCCACTTTCTTGCCGACCTGGTCATGCATGCCTTGCATATACTCGGTCTTGTCGTCCCAGCGATGCGCCTTTTGCGACTCGTACATCTTGGCATATTTTCGGGATGACACTAGCCAGTTCATGACGGTCCACTCCGCAATCGGCGGTCCGTGGATGCCGGAGCTCGTGGTGATTGGGATATTGCTCTCCTTTAAGACTGGGTGCTGCAGGAGATGATCCACACCAGCGGATACCGTATGGATTAATTTGAGGCTACAAGAAGTTAGTTGGAAAGTCCAAAAAAGAAGTAAGTGGAGTGGGACTTTTCCGAAGTACTGACTTGATCGCATCTTCAAGGTCGGGGAGATCGGTGAAAGTAACAAGAATGGTGGCATCGTGATACAACTCTGCATCGACATTAGCATTCACCAACCGAGAAAATCGTAAAAATAATCAACAGCAGATACACACCCTTTGGAACCGGCACACCCGGCGTGGATCGATGAATAGCCACATCGGCGAAACGGAACTTGCGCCGAATATCCTCGATCAGCCATTCGGGCATGGCCTGGTAAAAGACCACGAGCACAGTCTCAGTGGGCAGCGGAGCTTCGCCCATGCTGCAGAATCGTTCAATGCAACTTCAACCGGAGTTATGCGAGGTGAAGAAGGTAAAAAAAGAGTGGGCGGGTATTGGCGATGGGTCTGTCACCGACAGGGCGGGGGAGCTTTTCCCCACATCGGCCCACGCATGCCGGTCGGCGACATCGCTTCTGCGCAGGTTTTTGCCAGAGCCGTTGCTGGTTTGCAATGGGGGATTCCGAGGCTCCAGTGGTTTTGTGCGTCCATGCGCGTTGGATGGTGACAGATCTCTTGCGAGATGATCTCACACAGCGTTCGGGTCATGGTACTCAAGAGATAGACATCGCGCCAAGAGGCGCACACTGTCCGGACTTATGGGAAATAAGCCTGGCTTTCTCCGATTCGATCGGAAAAGCACCTCGAGGTTTTGATGATGCAGGGAGCCACTGGCTGATATCAAGGAACTTCGCTGTCTGAGATATCAGGCGCTGATTTTCAAGTTGAATCTTTGCAGAAAACAGGTCAGGGGGACCCCCTTTAGCTCTCAGTAGTATGTGCTGTAATTGGCTTATATAATATCGGTCACAGTATGAAATATATGGTATCTAGGGCTATTATATTCTTGAAATATTATATTTTTTTATAGAAGCTAATAAATAATACTCGTATTTCTTGCTGATTTACTAGTTTTCTATTTTTTACTACGCTATAGCAAAGTATACTTCTGTTTAGTAGTGATATTATTATACTAGAATCGAAGATCTAATCGATACTTATAAAAGGCCTTCGATCGACAGTTCTGATAATTAAGAAGATAAGGAGCTTATATAATAAGCTCCTATATAAGCGTTATACCCTTAAGTAGACATGGATAAACCCGTCCTATGGGTCAAAGATCTTGACCCATGACCTAAACCCACGACCTATAGATCGGGTCAATAAAATCCTGATCCGCCTATAGGTTAACCTATTTTTGACCTATTTTAGTATAAATTTCTTAATTAGGATAGATAATTTATTTACCTTTTTTAATAATATACTATTATTAAATATTATATAATATATTAATTTATTAATTTAATATTTTAAGGTAAGAATTATATTTTATAATAGATAGATATAGGAGAAAAAAGATATTAGCTAACCCTTTCTTATACTAAACCTAAAAATATATATTTAAAGTCTATAGTAGTATTACTACTTTTTATACAAATAAACTATATATATTAGAAATAATAAAATAGATATAAATCTAATATCTAATATTTCTTTATTAATATATAAGCATATTAGTCTTAATTATATAAAAGAATTATTTTAAATATTTTTCTGGATTTATATAAAATGAAAATATTAGCTAGTTAGATTAAAATTTTTTAGGGATAAAAAGAAAAATCTAGGGGTATTACTCTTATCTAATTATTTAGGTTAACGGGTTAATCTATAGGCTAACCTATTAATCTATTTCTTATTATCTAATAAGCTTTATATATATTAGTAGAGCATCTTCTAATTAGTTATAAAATTTAATACTAGAATAGTACTAAATCCTACTTATTAATAAGAAATAAGTATTAGATCTATATATTCCCTTAAATCTACGATAATCTATTTTAGATTATTTTTTTTTATATCTTAGGTCTTTTATTTTAATATACTATTATTATATCTCTTCTATATTTTAGTTATCTATTTTATATCTTTCCTTTTTTATTAAGAATAAGGGGTTTAAGTTATTTATTTTCTATTCTAATTAATTTCTTAATATTTTTTTAGAATTACTAGAAAGCTAGTAAACTAAATAAAGCCTCTTTTTTATTATATTATTAATACTAAAATAATCCGATAATTAGAAAAAGATTTAGGTAATTTTTAATAGTATAAATAAAGTAGAGTTTTTAAATTAATAGCTTAATACCTAAATTAATAGTTTTTATAATACTATAAAAAAGATAAACTAAGAGAGTCTATAATAGATTAATGTATAATTATAGTTTAATTAAATTATATATTTAGTAATAGGAGAGCTAAAGCTCCTATATAAATAATATAATAAGATTATAAATTATCTAGTCTATATTAAGAATAGGATAATAGATTTTTAATATTATTAGAATCGGAGTATATACTAGAAAGGCTAAAATACTATTAAATATTTAATAATCTGATATTTTATAAAATATATAATATATTATATAGCTATTATTTAATTTATAGGCTAATCTTTCTTTAACTAAGAATTCCTCTTGAATAGTTAAATTAATTATCTAAAAGCTATAAAAATAATAGTTAATTACTATAATATATATTTTATAGCTTTTTTTAAACTATTAAATATCCTAAATTCTAAGTCTTTCTTTAAATAATCTAATTATTATTATTTATATTTAGTTTCTTTTCTTATTAAATTATATAGTATTAAATCTAAAGAATAATCTAAGATTAATAAAAAGATTTATTTTAGAAGCTTTTATTTAAGACTAAACTCTTTATTAGTCTTAATTATTAGATATTACTATTTTAATAAATATTTATAGCTATCTCTAGCTATTTTATTAATATAGACTAAAATTATTAAAAGGTTTTATTTAGCTTTAAATCTATTTCTAGTATATATTCTAGATAGAATCTTAGTATAATCCTTCTTAATATTCTTTAGAAATATTAGATTAAAGACTAAGTATTTATAGTAATAATTAATAATATATTAAATAACTCTATTTTTATTTTAAGTATCTAAGATTCTATTTAATTATTAGATATTAACTCTAAAGTAATAATTATTTAGGTTTTATATATTATATATATAATTTAGTTAAATTTAAAGTAACTACTTAACTAGGTAAAAATAAACCCTTAGAATAAGGTAACTAAGACTATTTAGTCTAAGGAATATATCTAATATATTTATCGAAAAATATAAAAATAAGATATTACGATAACTCTTATAAAGATATATATCTATACTCTTTATATATTAGCTAAAATACTAACCTATTTTATATTTTAGATTAGAAACCTTATAATCTTTATTAATATAAGCCCTTAATATTAGGAGTCTTTTTTTAGTCTCTAATCTAATTATCCTTAATTAGTTCTAATTTAAGATATCCGAATTAGATAGAATTTAACCTTTTTAATACTCTAGTATATAAAATAGTTATAATTAGTCTTTAATTATTTTAAGAGATTAATTAAATAGCTTAGTAAAAAGAAGATTAACGTAATCCACAAGCGAGTGCCGCACATAAGCGAGTACCGTAGCATATTAAGTATATAGAATTTAAATCGATTTATATTCGCTACAACGCCTTTATATACAAAAAAATCTAATTATATCGTTTTAAATACTATAATCTTCGATACCCTAACTCGCGGTAGTCGCTATACTGCGGTAGCGCTCGCTGAATTAGCTACGAAGCTTATTAATAAAGATCTACCGGGGTAGTTGATTAAGCTTTAGAGGCTTAGTACGCTATCGATATTAGTTTACGAGCCTTTTAGACTAATAGGCCTTGATCTTAAGGTATCTATTTATTAGATCTAGCTCGTTTTTGCTTCTATTTCTTATTAGCTATATATAAATCCTTATTTTTATACGTAAGGATTATAGTGTTATATATCGCTAATTAGTAGCCTTTAATAAGTTAATCTAACGCTACGTTAGTTAGATTTAGTAGGCTATAAAAGTAATACTTTAGTAAAGCTTTAATTAATAAAGCCTATTAATATAGCTATTTTAAATTTTAGGGGGTTTTTAGCGAGAATTAACTATTTTAGCTACTCTTAGGGAGTATAGGTGTATAAAACTAAATATTAAGTTTTTCGATAACCCGATCTAGATTATAAGGAACTAATCTAGTTACTATAAAGCTATTTTAAATAGTTTTAGCTTTATTAAAGATTTATAAATGAGTAATTAAATTTATAGCGAGAAAATCGAATTTATTAATATAATTAATACTATATTATATTTATCTCTTAATTAAGCTACTATATATCTTTTTTAAAGATATAAAGCAGCTAATATTAAGAGACTATAGAATATATAATAAATATATTAGTATATAAATTAATATAATATTTATATTACTATATATTTTATTAAATTAAGATATTAAATAGCTACTATAGCTATTAAGGATAAGAAGTTAATATTTACTTTTTATATAATTAGTAATAGCTAATATAAAGATCTTTTTTAGCTAATAAAAGCTAATTTTATCTATAATCTAACTATTTTTGTTAATTTTAAAATACTAATTAGATAGTAGATTATTAAACCAGCCTTTAATATAGACTTTATCTTTAAAGATAATATATAGTAGTAGTATCTATCTAGATATATTTATCGATTTAATTACTATAATCTATTTATGATTCCTAGATTATAATAATAATCGCTAATTATAGTATTTAGATCGAGTAATTACTTTAATTATTAAGATAAGGCCTATTACGAAGTTAGTATTATCGAAGTTATATATATTATTATATAGAATACTATTCTTATTAACTATCTTTCGAATATAGTTAAACTATTTATTAATAATTTTTAGGTCTTTATTTTTAGTATATTAATAATCGTATCGATAAGAGAAATAAGTCTTAATTTTATTATAGCGTTTAATAAAATTATAGACCTAATTTTAGCCGATAAACTAAATAGGGATAGATCTACGTTTAGCTAATAGAATATTAGCTATTTCTTGTATAGCTACTAACTAAAAAGCTACTCTATATCGATCTATAGAGAGAATCTATTAAAAAATTAATTCTTCTTTAAATTAGATTAATTTTTAGTAGTTAACGCGTATATTAGCTCGAAAGGATTAGCTAAAGAGATAGCGGCGAATAGTATATTTAGGGACTTTGAATTAACGCGTTGCTTCACAAATCGAAGGAATTTCTTGTTTCTGAATAGCCTTGATAGCTAGGAAGGTCCTACCCTCTTTCTTGATAGATTTTCTGGTATTTTAAGAGCGAATTAGTGGTATAGTAGGTAGTTAAATTAGGTAGGTTCGCGAAGATGGCGCGATTTTCGTGTGGTGCGGCACTCGCTTGTGGATTACGTTAGATAAAAGTAATAGATATATTATATCCTTAAATTAGCTAAAAATAAACTCTATAAATATTACTCTATAATAGATAATAAAAAGCTCAATAATATCTATATAATTAGTACTATCTTAGTCTTTTAATATAAAGTTAAATTTTTTTAAATTAAAAACTAGGACTATCTTTAGATAGATTATAATATCTAATACTAATGAAGTTTTAAAGATTAGTTTCTAAGCTATTAAGCTAATAATATTTTACGCTTTTAATTAGTATCTAAAATAAAATAATCTTATTAAATTAGCGAGCTTAATATATTTTTTATAGCTAATTCTTCTATTTTAAACTCCTAGTCTAAGATAACATAATATATTAAAAAAGGTAAATTTCTATATATATCTCTATTAAAACTAAGGTTCTAAATAATTATTTAAAACCTTAGTTCTAATCTATTAAGTTTCTATCTTTTTATCTTTATTAGAACTAGGGTTTTAAGGCCTATCTTAGAACCCTAGTTTTAATAAAAGTATTAGTTCTAATCTATCTAAATATTATATTAATTATTATAATCTACTCTCTATCTAGGTATTATCCTAATTCTATTTTATTAGTTCTAGAAGGATTATTAATATAAATTTCCTATATTTATAAATCTTATTTATAATCTTTTTTTAATCTTAGCTATTAATATTAATATTAAATAATTATTTAATTCTATATATAATATTTATTATTATTAATAAGAGGCGTTAAATATATCTACTATATAGGATCTAATAATATTTATATATATTATTAAATTTAAAGTTAAAAAAAGTAGCTTATATTTATTTAAGAGCTTTAGAAATAGGATAAATTAGAAATTATATAAAAAAAAAAAAAACCTAAAAGATTTATAAAGAGATTATATTAATTAGTAATAATAAAAAGGAGGATATTATAAATCTAATAATTATAATTAATATATTTTATTAATTATAGTAAGAAAAATTAAAGAGTAATTATAAAGATAATTATAGCCTCCTATAGATTTCTAGTAAGGTTTATAAACGCCTATAAATATTTAATAATTATAAGCTTTAAAATTAAAATTAATTAATATTTAAAATAATATTCTTTAGAATTATTTTTTAAGAATTATTCTTTTAATTACTATAAAAAATTATTTAACTAAAATAAATATAATATCTAAAAATATAGCTAAAAATAATATAATTTATAAAAGTTATATAGTTAACAAAGTATCTATCTAAATAGATTAAATAGGTTAACCTATTAACCCGCGGGACGGGTCAAAAAAATCTTAACCCGCCCACGGGTCAAGAGGTCTGACCCACGACCTGCCCATAGGCTGACCCACGGGTCGACCTATATGGGTTGTCCGCGGGTCTGTCTAGGTCTACTCGAGATATCTAGCTCCCTGGAAATTAATTATTTGCGAGCTTTCTATCAATGCTTGTGTCGCCCTACTCGTCAGTAAGGGGCTAAGTCATGTGACACTGGATACATAAGGCGACCAGTTTCCGACTGTCCTCGACCGCTTTTCCCTCTTGCTCGCGAATAAGCCAGACAATTCGCAAAGATACCATGAATGGTTACCCTGTGATGCTGCGACCCGAGGGCGCCTCCCGTATAATTTCATTCGGTACTACGGGAATCGTTTGCCAGGATTGTCGCCACCCAGAGCAAGTTGTTAAGGCCCCTCTCAGACACAAGCTTCAAGGTTGCAGTGCGGATGTCATTGAAACAATGCTGCATGAAAAGGAGTTTGCGAGATCATGTGTTGAGCGTGAAAAGCTTATCTACGGAATTCTCCCGAAGGACCCGAACATCCTCGATTGCATTGCAGTCACGGACCATGGCATCCACTTTCCTTTAATGCGACTCGGCAACCTACGCGAATATCTTCAACACCACAATCAAGAGGTTCAAAGCTAAACTCGAGAAAAGTGGATTACAATGGCCGCCAGCGCTATCTCCCTAGTCCATAGCTTTAATGTTATCCACGCCGATATCAGTGCACGAAACTTCCTCGTCGCTGACGACTTATCGATCAAGCTTTGCGATTTCTCTGGCTCGGCAATTAGTGAAAAAGCTCCTCTTGTAGAGGAGGAAGATCGATATCGGATGGCCCCTGATTCCCCACGGTCCACCGTGACAGATATTTTTGCACTGGGATGTCTGATATTCGAGATCACGACCGGTCTGCGCCTATACGATGAAATTAATGACGACGATTATCAAGAGATTGAAAGCCGCTATGCTATTGGTCAATTTCCGTGTCTTGACGGTCTTCCTTACCGAGAAATCATACACAAGTGCTGGACTTGTCAGTACACCAACGTCGACCAGCTTAAGCGTGATCTGCAAAAGAGAAAGGGAGTTGGCCGATTGATCTTGCCTGTTTCTCTTTCAGGGTCTGGAACAGGGGTTACGATGGCAACGCGTCTGTTGTCGTTTGTCACATCGACACTTTTTGCCATCACAATCAGCGGTATTCTGCTTTGGTGGTATCCAAAACGCGGATATTGGAGATCGCAAATGACTTGGAATTAATCTTGGGATAATTCTCCATGCGCAATAATCGGGGTCTACTAGGCGTGAATAGGGGGTTTGATAGGATCTATGTTTGTATAATGGTTTATACATTACTTTTGAGGTATCGTCGTAGGTATGCTGAGACTCGGAACCTTAAAAAGTACTAGGGTATCAGACGCACGACTTCATATGTGATTGGTTTGATGGACGTCTTCAGCACGTCAGTGACTAACTTCAGACACTTGGATATTATTGATGATCAAAAGTGAAAGAGGTAGTGGGCATGGAAAAAGAAAATCCAATCAGTTTTCTTTCGGATGCGTGGATTAAATATAGCCACATCAGGCACCCATCGCAAAATCATTGCACCTATTTATAGTTTGCGAGTTGACCTAGACACTTCTCAAGGACCCTATATCAAACCCCGTTCGAGACCGAGCCCAGAATTGGACACAACAAGAAATCGTGGGAGGCTTTAAAGTCACGCAATGAGACACTGTGTGGCGTGGGATCGTATCGCCTATGGAGTGTTTCCCAAACTTTATCATTGGTGGGCTGCTCGAGAAAACGAGTGAGGCCCCAAGATGGCGAGTATGAAGATGCATCAAAATGCAAAATTGCGTCAAAATACCAAGCTATCAGAGACAACTTATGAAGTGTGGTATTACTGAGAGATTCCACAAGTGTCTTTGCGGAGGCAGACAGAATCGCGTTGTCGATAGCGGTGTCGTCCTGGTCCCGACTCTTTTGCAGAGCCTCGCAGGCGTCTAGAACCAATCTACTGTCTCTGCTGAGACTTACGCGCGGAAGCCTTCTCCAATAATACTCAAGGTCAATTCTCGAAACCAGCAATGATCTCAAGGCCCATTCAGCCGGAACTTTAAGAAATGCAGTTGGTAGAGGATCCTTCTCAAGTTAGAATCAAAAACAATAAGCAAGAATACTACTAACTAACCATGTCTGCACGCCAATGACTTGTGAGTAACAGATCAAGTAGAAATTATAGTCTCTGCCTACTGTTCCATGGCAGGACGTAAAATTCCTTTTATAATAAGGCAAGTTATCCTCCCATTGTTAGCCCATCTTTATCTTGAGTCGAAATAATCCTGTATATTGGCTTATTAAGGCTTATCATGGCCTGCATTCCGTATATCCGGCTCTTATCACTATTTCCAAACTGGATTTCGTCTCACTTCTACTCCCAAGATAACTCCTCATCAGTCTGGGGTACTGAAGAGGAATAGGGCGAAGGGGAAGCATTTCCTAATACTACTCCCTCATATATTCGAGGTGATGGAACAGTATGCAGACCGACGTACACGATGGATCCTCCGCGCTCGAAACATTTACATACGACTAAGGACAGGAAGGAAACAGCATCTGTGTCGACAGATATAAAGGTTCTCTCAGCCTCAAGAGAATCATTGTTCGAAACCTATCAAGCCAAGAGAAAAACTAATCCGGGCTTTCATTCATTTCACTATAGTACAAGTGAGTTGTGTCCCGCAGAAATTAAATAACCTCTTGCCCTAATATGATTTAGGAGACAGACCTCGGAGGCAGTCTACCTACTCGACGGGATCGTGCAAAAGCTCGGATAGCATTATCGAACTTCCAATCCCTCCTCCCGATAAGGCAGTATATTGTCCCTGGAAAGCTCGAGATATTGGATCTTAGGATGTCCAATCAGCCTCGGTCAACTGGAGATGCTTCCCTACTTCCTGGCCTGTCTGTAAGTAGATTTATCTTGTTCTATTTTGATATTGCGGTCATCATCTCCTAGCTAACAATTCACGTATTAGCCGATCCTTCTGGATGTCCATATTCTCGCTGATGTTAAGGAGTTTCTAAAATACCAAGGCGTTATGTACAATCATGATTTAGTCGACAGACTACCCATCCTCTTCAGCGTTGAGTACCATGATGGAACTATTGGCGTGGTCAAATATGGGCCATGGATCCATGGGAGACCAGAATGCGTGCGGGACCTAGTTTGTTTTTATATCAAAGTATGCCGGGCCAAGGAGCTTGTGAATTGGGAGTATATAGGGGCGAAATTCGGGATTAAAAGGAACAAGATAATGTGTATATCGTGGACAGACAATTCCCCACAGGTGGAGAGCTCCTAAGGCTAATAGGATACCTAAGCTAAGATCATCTTCTGCTAATTAATAATTAGCAACACTGACTATCGTAACTTCGAACACGATCGCCCTTGATAGGCGTTATCACTCGCAGATGCGGTCCAATTTGCGGCATTTTTCCTATAGTTCAGAATAACCTTCTAATCCCCGCTACACGCCTCGCGAAATTTGCGGCATTACCGATTATGAGAGCTTCGAAATAGTTCCTAGCCCGAGCCTTCTGGAAGCTAGGGGCAGATGCGGGTAGGGGACACGAATTCCTTGCACACCACGGCTAACATACGAACACAGGTACTAGAATAAAGTATATTAGGAAGCCCATCTATGTATATAAAGAGAGATATCGTACCCCTTCTTGCTAGTGACTCGTTTTTCTTTATTATGTCTGCTATATATTTGTCGCTGCCCATTGCCTTCTCCCTCAATCAACCTGGTTGTATCCGTTCATGTTATCAGAAAGGATTCGAACAACTCGAGGACAATGCCCGGCAGAAAATTCTCGAAATACTCATTAAAGAAGTGCCAAAAAATCCAAAGTCTAGCTGGTGGACCCCGGGTGTCAGCTATGAGTTGAGTGCGGTATCAAAGTCAAGTACGGTATCAATGATATTCCTATTATGCTCTATAGAATCCATGCTAATATGAGTTATAGAGCAATATGATGTTTTGGTAGAGATTCTGTACCATATCGATACAGACACGGTTGAAAATTCCATTAATAAATCGCAAGAGCCAATGCTGTTCGACGGTGTCCGATTGATGCTTCAGGAGTTTTGTCGAATTCGAAGGCTCCAAATCGAATACGAGAAAGGCCATATTGGTAAGGATCTCGAATTCAAGTCCAATTTATATTCTAATTATGAACATGCAAGTCAATCACCAAGTCGAATTTGCCTACATAGACCCACCTCGCATCCCATACAGTCCATAACGGCAGCAGCATTATGTATTCATCCCGCCGACAGGACAAGCGCCTTGGAAAGCCTTTTCAGCGTCGAGTACCATGATGGGACTATTGGCATGGTCAAACGTGGACCATGGCTTCATAGGAGACCAGAATGCGTTCGGGACCATTTTTATTGTCGTATCAAAATATATCAGGCCAAGAAGCTTGTGGGTTCGTGGGATTGGTGGTATTTAGTGAAGAAATTTGGGATCAGAAAGAACGAGATGTTGCGCATGGCATGGGCAGCTAATTCTATACAGATGGAGAGCTCCTAAGGCTGATAGAGTTCATAAACTGAGATCGTTCTTTCTGCCGGTGACAGGAATATGATGAAGCCAGCTAATAATTAGTAGTGCCATAAACACAGGAGTTAGCAGTCGGTATTGGGCAAGGCCAGAAAATTAGAAAATCACGTATGCTTCGGAGTCCTAGGGATAAAATACTGCGATATTCGCTGCTCTGGTTGCTCTGATTGGGTAGATATCTGCCGGATGTGTGGTTTCATTTGGCAGACTACGCATTCTAGACCTAGATTTTTGCATGAATAGAGCAGGCAACGAACTAGCGGTGAAACAAGACCCATCTCCTTTTTACGGCTGATAGATAGTCAAGTCTGATGGTCAGTAAGTCTAAAGTCTTAAGTACCTGCTGTCTGCTACTGAAAGTCCCCAGCAAACCTACAACAGCTCGTTTTTTCCAGTAGGCTCCAAAATGGCACCTACTTACACGTATGACCCGAGTCTTGAATACCTGCGCGTCCCCATCAACAAATTCGACGATGGCCGACCCGAGTTCGGCAGATACACCGTCAGCGCTATTATCATTATCGAAGAAACTGCCTTACTCGTGAAAAGAGCCGAGTCAGACACTATGGCCGGACACTGGGAGGTCGCTGGTGGCGGTGTTGATGATCACGACAAAACCTTCCTCGACGCTGTCTGTCGTGAAGTCCTGGAAGAAACAGGCCTTCACGTGTCCCACATTTCTACGCTTGTGGCTGTGGATACCTGGAACCACAGAAGCCGTACGCGTATTGCGAGATACTCGTTTCTTGTTGAAGTTCGCGAAGTCTCTCGATCATTACCCGACGGACGACTCCAGTCGGTTCCCCGGAATGAAATTCCCATCTAGCTCGCACCCAAAGAGCATCAAGCATACGACTGGGCAACGGAAGAAATAGCCCAGAAGTCCCTTTCGACCGACGAGAGAAAATACAAATGGACACCATTATCGGTAGGACAAGGGTACAACGTCCTCGAGGGCTTTAGGGTACTGAGCAGTTGAATGGTCCATTAATGATGGTTGCACCCAAAGTTCAAAACACTAAGTGCTATAACTGGAAGTACGGGATGGCTGTGGTAGGGTGGTTCGACGAGCGAGGATTGAGAATTAGAAGAGAATAAGAGCTGGCATCTCGGGCCAGAAGAATGAAAAGTCTTGTTTATTAGTGAAGTACGAGTTCTGAAAATAGCAGCAGTCATTCAAAGGATCAAAAATAGTCAAAAGTTATCGACCAACCCGTCTTGTTTAGGGACAGGATCGGAGTGAATTCACCTTCTCTCGATTCAGGAACGTTTCCGTAGGGCCTCGTCAGCATCTATAGCTCATCGCGCGACATCTTAGGTTCGGAGGTAGCTTCTTCATACCATATACCTGCGGCCTATGGTCAAGTCTAGAACTCCCACCGCCCAATGGTCTGGTGGAGGTGATGGCATATTGGTGAGCGTAAAGTGTCAGATCATGCAGGTCATGCAGTCAGTGGTTACGGTCATACTAATATAAAAGCACCGTTATGCCATCAATTTTCCTTTGACATTCCCTCTTTTCCGATCTGGCTGAACGAAAATGTCTTCCAATTCAAACGAGACCCTTCCCGATATGTTGCCGTCGGTACTACATGTTTTCGTTGTTTTATACAGCCACCGACTTCCTCGGCGACGGGCGCGGAGACGTGAAATCAAAAAAACCTTAGGATGATCAGCTCTCTGTTGCCGAGACAGGTGGAAAGGTCCGGGCCCTTTCTGTCATATTTGCGAACCTGGTTCCGGCCGAGCGATTTACACCAGCAGAAACCCAGAATATCTAATGGATTTCAAGGATGATCCCGACGTGGCCATACGGAAAGTTCCCGAATGGATCAAGAACAAACAGACTCCATCAGGTGCAACTCCGCAGAAGTCTTCCGCCTAAGCGCATCCTTGTGGAGAGCATAGACGGGTGCGACGGTGGGCGGCATTTCTTTCACATAAGTGGAAGGACCGGAGGGATCGATGGTCCTATGGAAGAAAAGCTACAGCTACACTGAGAAGGTAACAAACAACAACGGGAGGTCATAACGAGATCGAGTTTGCCTAGAGCATCGGCATTGTCATATTTTCTTTATTCCGATTGACTAGAGAGCTTCGCTGGCAAAGTGTATCACTCACAATCTCAAGTCCTGAACCCATCCCATTCCGCTGCGTACTCGCTCAGGCCCAGTAAACAGCTCCAAGTGACAGGGTTCCCCGCTTACATCACAAACGTGCTTGCCCATCAAATTATGGGACAGCTGAGACTAGTTGTCCATGCACACGACCGTGACGACACCTTCGATACCAACGTCAGCGAGACCAACAACGCGAACATGTACAACATCTTGATCTGGCTCTGCAGGTCGTGCACGAGCTCCAGCGACGGCAGACCCAGCTGCAGCAAGTTCGACGAGGCGAAGAAGAACGGGTACAACTGCGATGACGTATACGATAGGGATTGGGTAGTCGCGCACGTGGAGAACCTTAAGGCATTCAGGACTCAGATCACGCTCATGTTCTGCCCCAGACGTACCGGCAAGAAGGAGCAGGGGTTCTCGCCCGACATCAGGAAGATCACTAAGGTCACGGAGACGGCCACCGACGACCTGCTGGGCATGTTTATCCTCGTGGACCTAGACAATAAGCCCATCGCGCGCTGGAGCAAGACCGAGTTCGGAAAGTCGGATACAGAGAGGGGGGAAAGAAAAGAGAAGGTGATCAATTATATTAACTGATATGATAAGACCAAGAAAACCGTTCTTTCTTGAGTTTCGTGCTCCAGTACACCTGTATAGACCCCTTACTCCGCCCGGGAAATACTCGTGTAAAATGCTCTATTACCTCCGACCACGCGAGCTTTTGTTCGTCCCTAAGCTTCACTAAGAGGTGAATTTCCTCTACGGACTATAGTAAGCCTTTTCTAGTAGAGAGCACGTTTTACGTATCTATAACCTCGGCGCCTAAGTTTGGATAGTTACTATCGTTCGTCGTTTCTATCTTAATACTAGAACTATAGCCGAAGGCAGACGCGGAATTTATATTTAGGGAAATAGAAATATAGTATAATAAAGCCCCTTCAAATAGCTAAGATAGAAATTATAGTCGATCTTTAACTGATATAGCCATAAATTAAGAACGAACGATAGAAAAAGGTGGGTCCTTACGGCGATAGGTTACTGGGTTAGGAAGCCGATTAGAAACCTTTCTAGTATATTTCCTTCTAGGATTTGGGCGTTTCGCGACCTTGGAACCGGTCGCCCTACCTTATATATCTTAGCTTAGGGGAGAGAGCGAATCAACCTCTAAGGGGCGAGATCCCAATAAGCGACCTCCTTATATAAGAGCAAGATCTTGGCCCGATCCAACAGTAGCGACACACTCTGACTCCCGGATCTGCTCCGTACTAATATAACCTTTATCGTATAGGACTATAGAGTCGATATTTTTAACGCCGTAGACTTCTCGAGACTAGGTAGGATCGTCGGAATTAGATATTAAAGGGCTCCCGTTAATTAGCTCCGAGCTAGCTGGTTCAAGACTAGGAGCTTGAGAAGCCGACCGTAAGCTACTATCTATATAAGCCTCGACTAACGGACGGGCGGGAAGGGGATATTATCCAGCTTTAAGAGAATAATCTTTCGGGGCCCTCGAGACTATGTTGTTAACACTAGAGGGAGGCAGAGTAGTAATAATCGAGACAGGACTTAGGTAGCGATAAATATTAGATAGATCACGCAGAGGCAGAGCTTCGTCTTAGAAAGGATTCTATTGCCGAAAGGTTTCTAGGCGGAACCTAGTGTTTGCTATATCAAGAGTAAAATAGAGGGCTGGAATATTGTTTAGGATATAGGAATTAGAGACACTCATATAACACTGATAAAGAGAAAATGCCAGGGAATTGGGATATCGGACAGGTTTTGGGGGGGGGGCTAGGAACGCGAGAGGGGAAGTGGATAGGAAATATCCAGTCTTGCCATTGGAGTAGGATATAGCTCTCTCTTATAAGCGATGATTTCTCTGAGACGAATCGCCCCTTTCGCGGCGCTCAAGATTTCTGACTGGTTTACCCAATCCGGGCTATTTCACCTAAGACACTCCGCAGCTCTAGCGCACCTATAAGCATAGTGGATGTAGGTCACTAGGTAGACATTCCCGTCGCACTCGCTAGTAGTGCCTATGATACCGACTTATTGTACCCCTTAGCTCGGTCTCCACCCGCTGCGTGGCTGTATAACCACGGACGATTTTGCGTAGTCTATCTATTATTGCCTTATTATAACGCATCGTTCAATATTATACGCGAGTGCGGTATTTTCGCTATTAGCTCGTACCACCGCGTGGCGGTTTCGAAGATATATACCCTAAAAGAAGTAGGAACGGAGAGACCGACGATAACGACAATAGCTGGCCAAAGGCGCTCGGGAACGAGCTAGGGACAGATCAGCAACTTTAGGGGCTATACAATATAACCCCCTAATGGGGCGGGACGCAATGAGGCGTGCGAAGTCGAAGATGCCCGAGACGCGACCCTAAGTCTCGTGCAAAGAACGGAATTAAGAGCTAGGCTTAAAGGAGGGCAATAAAGATAGCTCCGTAGCATAGTTAGTAGAAACATCGTAGGAGCTAACAAGAACCTTCACGATCATAGCCGAGTGCTAGACCATCCCAGTATTCCTGCTCCTAGACACCGGGATCGCGGCGCCGCCAACGCTGGCCAGAATGGCCTAAGCGTCGGATCGAGCGGCATCTGCGGTGGATTGAGAGGGGGCAGTGCATCGGACCAGAGGTAAATGTGCAGGGGTCGGTAGGGCCCAGAAAAAACGGAGGAAGGGTGGGAGTAGGAAAAGGGAGGGAAAGTGCGTCGTCGAGGCGAGGGGAGGGTGGTCTTTTATAGATGTCAGACAGGTAGCTTGGGGGCGGTAAAAGCGGCCAGGGCCGCGCTAGGCCCGAAGGGGTCGCAGCGTGAGGGTACCATACCCAGAAAGGAAGGGGGATAGCAGCCACAGGCAAGCGGTGGTGGACGGCAGGAAAGCGGTGCAATGGGAGCCGTTTCCAGCGCCCCGCTTGCCGTCTTGTAGAATACTTAAATAAATACTCTTAATATTTAGTTTTTTACTATATCTAGGCGCCTAGTAAAAAACCTTATCATAATAAAGATAATAGATATTAGATATCTAACTAGTATATCTATAAGAGATTCGAGAGAAGAGGGTATAAAAGTATACCTTAGTATAGATAATAGGTAGCTCGAGATCGGTGCTATCTTTAAACGATTTATATTATTAAAGGCGGACTTTACCTAAATTTATTAGCTTTTGCTTTAAATCATCCTCTTCTATTATTCTCGCTAGATATAATCGAATTTCTAAGAGGTATAATACTTACACTCTAAGTATAGGACGGTATAATATCGGGTTATGATAAAAAACTAGTAAAAAAGTAGTATTAGGGGTGTAGGTAGAGAGGAGAAGGAAGGTAAGATAAGGTAAATGAAATAGGGGAGGGATAAAATCTATTTTGGCCTTAGGCAAATATACATCCCACATACTACTGAGAGCTAAAGGGGGTCCCCCTGACCTGTAATCACAAATCTTTGATCTGCGTGATGTGAGATCGAAATATGCTAAGGAACTGACAAAAGTGCTTCCAGTCGCTAGATGGAAAAGCATCGCCCGTGTCTATACTAAGGAGGTGGTATTCACTTGAATCAAGCTTTTTGATCGGTACAAGTCTTGTATTCGACATGCTTGTCAGCTTGTCCATCCTGAGAAGTACAACCGACGCCAGCTTCCGAAAAGCCACTTCAGGATCCAAGTCGATTCAGCCCGCCACGAGCACGCTCCACTCACTTTGCAAGGCCAATCAACGCGTCGGTTCTGGACTGTAATCAACGCAAGCTGGGGCCTCACCCGATCGAAAACTGAGAAATCATCACTTGTTCATGGGGTAACCCACTCGGTATATGGTAGGACTGTGAAGAGCCAGTGCCAACTTGGAGTGTGTGGTTCTCCATGGCTGTATGGTCGAAATGGTATACTAACATACCCCTGGATGATATTTTGCACAGTTACTGTCAGTTCAAACTCGGGCAATTGATGCATATTGCCAGGGATGCTTCCACTCTGCATGAATAAAAAACCCCCTGACGCGCAGTCTGATGAAGGCACGTCGCGTGGGAGAGAGTTGTTTGGGTGGAGTCTCATCCCGTGCCAGCGGATCCACCCAGCAGTTCGTCCACTCAATCTCGGGGCATCTGCACTGTGACAATCCCAATCATTCGACTGGATCCAAGGGTCTCCGCCTGTCATGCAGTGACAAATTGTCCGGCTATCTTTCCTCGTTCTTAATGTGCAAGTTGACTCCATCCACCACGCTACTGAGAGGATTGAGCATGCCGAATGGAGTGAGTCACAGACAGTAGTCCTCATGATCGTCGTGCCTCGCTGGAGTCCGATCGTGATCCTGTTTCATGACTCCTCCAGGGGTTCCTAGTGAACCCCACCGTTCTTAACTGCTTCTCGTGCAATTTCCGTGCAGCTCTCCACAAGACCCAAAGCCACAGCCGCGTCCAGAGGTGTCAACTTTCCCTGTTCAGAGTCGACCACTTGGGTTGTGTCTTCTTCACCCGAAACTTTGGGCCTGCGTGTATCCCGTCCCCTCCATATCCGCTTTTCCTTGCCTGCCGGCCTGTCATGATTCAGATCGAGGGCCCGTCAGCACCCGCCCGTCACCGGTCACTGCAGATTTCATCCACCGAGCTTGCCCGCTTGCAGAAAGAGATATTGCACATCCTGGCTGGAGGTGCGCTGAAACTCTCCGCTATCTCTGCACTAACTTCGGAGGACATCTGCAGCCAACAGGAGGGCATCTCCAGCTAGGTGGGTAATTACACAAGTGTAAAAACCGTCGACCAGCGTCACCGGTCCCTTTCCTTCGGTTACAAATAAACACGCCTCTCCCTGTCCTGCGCGTGTTCGCACTCTATCCCCTCTTTTCACACACAGTCACTCCATACTCTCTTTCACCATGACGCACCGGCAAAAAGACCGCAATCTTCTGCGCCGTGTCATTGAGGCGGCCTTGGACCGCGAGGAGAAGGGTTATCCTCCGATGGCAGCACACGCGGCCGCGGCACATGCAGCGCGTAATGGGATTCTGGGCAGTGCCGATGTGTCCGATGAAGAGCAAGCCAGACGGCTCACCATCCCGACAACACACAACGAATCCCTGATCCCACCAAACGACAAGCTCCTTGTCTTTCGCTCCCTGACAGGTATCGACAGCGTTCCCGCTCTGACACAAGCGGGGCACCTCGTCCGCACCGCGCCGAATGTCGGCATCTACACGCGAGTCGTGAGCAACGAGACCAAAGCGGCGCGCGCATTCCGCACCTTCAACTTCCTCATCAACACCTGTCTGGGCGTGCAAATCGTCGTAGCAGCAGCCGTGACAGCAGTGGGCGCCGCCAGCGGCCCGCACTCGGCCGTCACGACCTTCGGCGCCATTAACACCATCATGGCGGGTATCCTGACGTACCTGCGTGGCTCGGGCCTCCCAGACCGGCTGAAGCACTACCAGAACCAGTGGAAGAATGTCCGCGAGTATATTGAGCAGCGCGAGCGCGAGTTCTGTCTGGTGGGATGTGACCTCGATGTCCAGGAAGAAGTGTTTATTGTCGAGAGCATGTACCAAAACGTCAAGTCGGAGATGGAAGCTACCAAGAGCTCGGAACACAAGACCCAAACACCGGAGGACCCCCGGATCCGTCGCTCACTTCTGCCGCCGCGGCATGAGAAACTTCCTCGCAGCCCTGCGCCGCCGGCTAATCGCTCGGAGGCGTTGCATGCGCGGCAGGTCGAGGAACCGGTTAGTCCGATTACCGTTCCGGAACCGGTTGTTGAAAAGATCTGAGCTGCTGTATGGGTGAATTATCAATGCCGACAACGGAGCTTCAATTACTCAGCTTCATTGTCGGAGTCTATCTCTTGGTTATCAGAACGGCACCCCTGCATATATGCATGGGTGGGTCATGCAGAGTCGAACGCAGCTGCGGCTATAACGGCTTCTTTCATAATACGGTCGAGTTTCTCTTCTATTTTCATTTTTCTGTGGGCAGGTGGTGTTTGTATATGATCTGGGGCGTGCATATACGGAGTACCATATCCAAGACGGGTGTCTATGGACATATGTCGATCATGGATTTATCGTGTTTAATGTCTAAAAGTCAACTAAAGAATATCAGATGAACCAGAGTAATTTGAGACTATCTAGAGGTACCACAGGTATCATAGCTGCAGCTAGTTGCAACCAGACAAAGCCAGCCCCGAAATTAGGCGGGAAATCCTCCGCCCCGCCCCGACGGAACTTCAGGATTCGACATGCTCACATCCAACAGCGAATTGAGATTGAACCCATGCTTGCTTCGAGAAGAAAGAAGATAATAAAAAATAATAAATAAAATGGCCCTCGAGATCGAGCCAGCCAACCCATCCGACGCCTCCCAGTTCACGGAAGTCTTCCTGGCCGCCTTCTCCGATGACTTCAACAGAACAATGTTCCCGGCCACGCCCGATGTGCGCGAATGGTTGACCAAGGACTTTAGCGAGAGCATTGCGCGCTCGCTTGCAGAGTCCAGCCATGAGGTCTATTTGAAAGTGACGGACCCGTCGCACGGCAAGCTCGTGGCGTTCGCGAAGTGGAAGCGTCCCGTGCCGGCTGCCAATCTCGATCGGCACGATGACAGTCACACGGCTGGCGGGGAGGCGGCGTGGCCCAAGAGTAGTGACACGGCTCTTTGTGGGCGGTTTTTCTCGGAGATGGATGCGCAACATCAGAGCTGGATGGGTGGAAGACTTCATTTCTGTATGTTTCGCTGCTTCTTATATATTGCTCCTCTGGCCTTTTCTTTTCTTTTCTTTTCTTTCTTTCTTTTTTCCATTTCTCCTTATACTTCTTCCACACTGAGAAAACATATTCTGACATACCCAGATCTAGATATACTCGCCGTCCACCCCTCCCACCAAGGCCGTGGACTAGCATCTAAGCTCCTCAAATGGGGCTTGGTACAGGCAGACGACCAGGGAGTGGAAACTTATCTCACTGGGTCTCCGTCGGGCAAACCCATGTATATCAAGTATGCGTTTGAGGTTGTTGGTTCCTTTATGCCGGTGCCTGGCCATGAACATGTCTGTATGATACGGTCTGCGAGGGGGAAAGAGGGTCTGGAGCAGAGATAGATGATACATTGGTCGACAATATACTAAAAGTTCTGATTCTGGTATCTGGCTTCAAACTCTTGTGAAGTCCTTGTAGTTACATTCAAGTCCCGCGGGGCGTCGTAGTACGAAGAAAGGCATTTGTGACATTAGACTGGAACAATGACCAACTTGAATATATTAAGACCTTTCAGATAGAGGGTGGCGATGGGTGGTAAGAACATTCAACGCCGGCAGACAAGCACAGATCAACCCCAGACCCACTTCCGCATTCCTGCATACAAGGTCAGTCTAAATGCAGAACCAAAGTCGAGAGTAGAAACTCACGCCGTCAAAATCGACTCCATAAACAGCCTGGTCTCATTAGGCGCCCCTCTCTTCAGAACCCCATTCTCCCGAATCCCAACCACCAGCCGGTAGATACTAAACGCAACCGCCACACCCCCAAGCCCGAGCAACAATACAACCTTGACCTTCTTATGAATCGGCATTTGCAAAGACCAGGTGAATGCCACCGGAAACGCAAAGATGGCAACGTCCGTCACAAGGCTGATCACGGAGTCCGCGATAATCACGCCCGGCTGGCTGAGACATGTGCCGCCCGCTCTTGCGGTGCCTTTCCAGTAGGCGGAGACCGGGTTGCAATTGAAGATCTTGATGAAGGTTATAATGAAGTAGTAGGTGATTACTGCAGCCAAGAGGCAGTACAGGGATATCATTCCTCTGTGGAAGGGTTGGAATACCCGGATGAGGATGTGGAGGAGGCTGATCTTGACAAAGAGGACTGTGGGTGAGTAGAGGATGGTGGCGATGTATGATATCTGTGGATGTATTAGCTGACCTTATTTCCGACATCGAACTATTCAGGAAGGGCTCGATGCCGTGCCTTGACGCAGGTTGTAAATTGCTTTTCGTTTAGGAGCGCGGGGGACTTGGTGCCTCCGGCAAATCCATCTGTGAATCATAGGATAAGAATGCGAACGCAAGAACAGAAGACCCCGAAGATCGGTACACATACATAGTAGGGCATTGGTGCAAAAGCCCATAAACAAGACCTATGAATTGACTCCAGTCAGCATGGGGGATCTATGTAAGCACAGCATTTATGACTGACCCATGCAATGAAACACGATCCTATACTCATCAGTAAACGCATCATGAATTTTAGTTTCAATTGATTGAATACATACCATCATCGATACCAAGAAGCTGCTTGAATCTCGCTCGGATGCAAAGTCGAAGAAAAACAAAAGGCGTCACCAGCGCGAAGCAGAGAATCTGCGTCACATAGTTGATCAAATAAAGAGTATTGCCCTCATAGATCGTAACCGGCATAAAGGATCGCGCGACATGAGCTTTTGGCAGTCATCGCTGTTTTTTCATGTTCGACGGTAGGTGGCCACAATTCAGTCGGGATGCTCTGACGTAGAAAGCTTAGTCAAAGAAGACGGGTGGTTCCATGGTTAGTTCCGGTGCCATTGCATTAGGTTTCTCAATCTCACTGACGCTGAGATTTGTTCGATGATCGTGTGCTTTTCGGGAGGGCGGAGTCGGAAGTGGACGGAACTGGGGATGGATGTTCGCAGAATACACATTGCCAATCTCCAGATAAAGCCTCGTCTGAGAGGTGTCAATTTGGAAATTGAGAAATACGTAAAAGAATAACGGAGACAGGCTCACGTTAGTTCCATGCTCTATTCATATTTCATTCTCATACAATTCAATTCGAGAGGTGCTGTCTCCGAAAAGACATCATCCACTCATCATTATCTGCCATGGTCTGCTCCCACGCATCTTCGCTTCCATAAACCAGCCGCCTTGACTCATCCTGAAACATTTGATCTGTAGGGAAAATACCATTGGCAATAGTTTGTTGCGCAAAACGTCCAAGGCGAAAAGCCAGCCACTTGGGATAAGATGTCGGGGTGAGATCAAACGACGGGCCACTGGCCGAATCGATTCCCTCGACCTGCTGATCCGTAGAATATTGCTGCCCATTCCGCTGAAATATCTGAGAGAGATGATCGAGGGTTCTGGGATCGGTAGCAGAGAACGGCACCATACTTCTCGCCTCCGACACAAGCAGATACGGCGGAAGCGCATTCCTGATCTGGGCCGTGATAGAAGGATCGAAACAGTGATCGCCTTTCCAGTCTTTCATTGTCGCCCCGCGGCGGAAATGATCCGCTAGATGATCGGCGCGCGCCTGCCAGGATGGTAGTGTCTCATTGCAGATCCCGCACCGCGATCTAACTAGCGGAGGCTCAATCTTCCAGTCCTCGATTATGGGCAGGGTTTGCAATTGGTGAAATCCTCGCAGATGTTGTACTAGGTGGTCTTTGCGTCTGAAGAAATGCGGCTGTGGATCGCCATGACAAGCACTGTGGTTATGACCCTCCAGATGCTCCTCGGTGGGATCCAGCATACTGCAATAGGCACAATGGGCTCTTCCGGTCGTGGGCGATAGAACGGAGCCTCCATGCGGCGTACAAGCCCATTGATCGACGTTCAGATGAAGCGACTTCTCGTGGCGCGCCCAATCGTGCTTTCGTTTGAACGTATCGCAGCAAAAGGTGCAAGGAAACTTGCGAATCTCCCCGGGTTGGGCTGTATCATTACGCGTTTTCCTTCGTCGGGACGCGGGTAGTGGGCTTCGGCGGCTGACTGATCTCGATGACCTGGACGACGCAATCGAACTTGATGAACGACTGCCGAAGCTTTGACGGCTGGCAGTTGACGCGGGTCTCCCGTCGGAGCTTGGGCTGGGGATTGGGCGAATGGGTCGTTGGCGTAAAGCATCCGAGATGGCCGATAAAGATGCTGCCTCGGTTTCGGGGGGGCTTTGTCGCCATCTTTGCATTGGATCCATACCACTGCCCTGTGCCGTTGAGAGTGGAGTTGCGAATGGCTGTGCAGAGGATGGGCTGTCGTGGAGGTAACTGCCCGCGCCGGAGGAGACTCCTGCACTCGACGCATCCAGTTCTTGTAAAGCGCCTTCGGCCTCGTGAAATGTTATGCTTTGTGGGGACGTTATGCTCCATTCCTGATTATCTGCCAGAAAGGTCCGGGTTTGGAAATCAGGCATATTCAAATACCCGAGACTTTGGACATGGTCATGACCATTGTAGAAAGACCCAGCATTTATATAGTCCGGTTCTGTGAGGATTGCATCTTCATTAAGGAGGCAACTTTCCCAGGTCGCACTATGAGTGCTCCCAGGGACAGATAGCGCGTAGCCATCTAGCGACGAAAGATCCTGGTCAGATTGTGCCCGCCGTAGCAGAGTTGGCGCCCCGCCCTGAGACGCTTGACCTACGGAAGAGCAGTTAAAACTCCACCATTTCCCCTTCGGCGGGCATATGGGATAGTTGGGGGAGGAACACTCACGGTGTGGAGACATGTTGTTGATTTTTCGGACTAGTGAGGATCAAATCATCGCATTTGAGTTTAGTTGGGGATATCGCAGAAAGGCGATGTCGAAGTCACTAAAATTTCAATGAGATCACCCGGATCGTTTCCACCTTTTTTTGTGGGTACTCACCCGGCACCCCGCGTACTACAATAGACTTGGATTGATAATCAAATCCTTATTTAGGTGGTTTAATGTACTATTGACGGGGTTTATCTGGTTTCCACGATGGGGCACTCTTAGGGACAGAGAGCTCAATTTGCCTCGTTCCACCCTAGATGACTAGGTATTTTTGTTGCCATCGAAGAAGAAGCTGTTTGTGAACAAGAAAATGAAATGTTCATTGAAGGGCCTATACTTGGGCTTCTACTTTACAAACTTTCTCAGCTAATCCTGATCTTAATCTAAGAAATGTCGCCTTTTTTGTAAACATCAGTGATGAGATTGCGCCCCTGGCCAGAGCAGATCACGGATTCATTGCCTAAATGTCCTAGCAAAATAATTGCAGATTAGCGCATAGCTAGTAGGGCGCAATTGGCGTGCAAAGCCGCAAAGGATTGGCCAAAGTGGACCAGTAAGACCTAATCGATGGTAACATATTTGACGAACCCAGTTCGTTAGCTTTGGGGTAAAGAAACGGTCATTTTCCAATTCTTCAAATGCATGTTGTAATAAAGAGGCCATTATTCCTCAAACGGAGCTTTCAACACATCAACAGACTGCCCAATCTGGCTCTCACTATCCTTGACAGTCCAACAAACCGAATCTCGCGGTGGTGCCTCTTTCACCTCCCACGTTGACCGGTCCACATGTTCTTCCCAATACGGAGCATACCCTTCATAATACATTCCATGAGCCCAGTATTCCGGGAATTCATGATAGACAATCTCGTAGTATTCCTCGGCAGGGTCAGCGTCACCCCAGACATAGTTGATGCGCGCAATAGCCTCTGCCCACAAACAACCCAACTTTTGAAGTTCCTGGACGACTTCCTGCTGAAACTCGTACATTTCGCGGGTCGTGGGCGCGAGGAACTCCGTGGGAGCGAAAAGCTCGATAGGCTGTGTGTGGTGGTTTTCCTAGAGTAGGAATGGATCAGCGGGGCTTTGGTAGGAGCAATTTTCGGTTTGGTTACCATCGTCCTTTGTTCTCTGGAGCTTTCTATACTGGTTTTTCTCTTTATTTATTCCATGGGGGCAGGGCGTGCGTATTTGATGCGGATTGGTAGGTTGAGGTGTGTTCTGCGCAGAGATGAACAATGATGTAAGGCTGCGCTCTGGTGAGGTTCAAGATACGAGGTAGACCCATGAGTCATTACTTGAAGCCATAACATCACCCATAAACGATTTATCAATATTAGCATGAGAGAAAACTATCTCGGTTGAACTTTCTCTATTCACTCGATTCTATAAGACTCGCGAATCGCCTGGCTCAGTCGCTGAATAGCAATACCCATGGCCTTTGCGCTGGCACTTGCAAATGTCGCACGAAAGAACATACCGCTGGCGGGCGTGCTAGGTTCGGTACGGAACCAAGAGCCACGTGCACAGAGAACGCCATTTTGAACAGCCTGCTCGAAGATCTCTCCCTCGATATCCTCAATGGGGCGGCTGGGGTATTCGGGGTGCTGTGAGTAGTCCAATTTGAGCCAAAGCTGTGCCCTGCGTCAGCTGAAATGTAACCAATTTTAATACATAGTGAAAAGAAAAAAGATCCGGGACTTACAAACATCCCCGTCGTGGGCGGCGTCCAGCTAACCACAGTCTTGGGCAAGAATTCGTCGCAGGCGGCAAGCAGCGCATCTCTTCTTTTGGTATAGTTATTTTTCAGATCGATCAGCCACGTCAAGTATCCCTCATGGCCCCAGGTTTCGTCAAGTAGCTTCCAGAGCATGATCTGGGAGATTCCGCTCGGGCCTTGGTTTGCTACCTCGGCATGTCGAATGAATCGCTCCACTACCTGCGCGCTCGCGGTGATCCAGCCCACTCGGGATCCTGGGACGAGGACTTTGGAAAAGGAATCCATCCGCAGCACTCGACCGTCGACATCAAGAGTTAGATATGAGGGGATAAGCCCCGCCAAGAATGATTCGATGTCCTCGGGCGCTTGCTGGTCAGATCCCTGCTTGGCTTGGTACGGAGGCATTTGAAGAAAGTAGTAGGGCTCATCCTCGACAATGTACATGTCGTGTTTCTGGCACAGTGCATAGATGCAACGACGACGTTCCAAGCTTTGGGTCACGCCTGTCGGGTTCTGCCCCGACGGGACAGTGTACAGAAGATGGGGCTTTCGGGCTTCGCGAGCCTTTTCATCCCAGGAACTGAGCATCTCGTCCAAACTCTCAGGAATAGGACCTTGATCATCCATTTGGATACCGAAGGGCTTGATGCCCTGGGGCACGAGGGTCTCGAGAGCAGTAGAAAAGCTGTATTCCTCCGTGAGGATGGAGTCGCCCCTCTCGCGGTCGCAAAACATGCGAATAGTCTGCTCCAAAGCCCCGGTGCTTCCGACTGTTGGACAGACCTGCCAGTCCGCATAGGGCGGGTTGTAGACCAGTTCTGTATGCTCGGTGATGAACCGGATCAGCGGGGGAGAACCCGTTGCCTGGCCATAGTTGAGAGAGATAGAGAGGTCGCATTCAGAGATTCCCGCTTGGACATCGTATTTGCCAATGGTGATTGTCTGGCCCGTCGCGGAATCAGGCGAAATGGCGTCAGACTCGGAGAAATGCGGTGGTATAGGCACGCGGAATGTGCACTCGTAGAAGGGGAAGTATTCGCTGGACGGGAGTCCACCTCCGAGGGAGACAAGGCCCGGATTCTTTAGATGGCGGGTGGCCTGTTTGAGGATACACGGCGGTCGCGACTGACTTTCCTTGCTGAGATGAGCTGGATATAACGAGTCAATAATTCAAAATGTACATATCAAGACTTTCCGGAATAGGAAACTCACAGTCCCAACTCCTTGCCTTTGGCTTGTCAAGTCCCTGAATATCTTTTGTCAGAGTACGTGAGTGAAAAATCAAGTCAACAACCTCACTGGAGCTTTGAATGTGTCACTGGTGCATGCTGCAGCTACACCTGCCACGAGTTTGCCAGCTTTGGCTCTTCTCTCGCGAATGTTGCTCAATAGCTTTCGCTTTTCGGAGACCGTTGTGCCATTTGACAGAGCTGCAGGATGGTTCATCCTGATATGAATAGACAGCCTGGTCTGAAGCTCAACAGGGATCGATGTGTCGAATCGGCAGCTTAGAAAACGCCGTAGATGATGGGATGGATTTTGCCCGGAGTCAATATTTTGCGGGATGCGATATTGCACGATAACTCCCATCATGGAAAGTACTTTTTTTACTCATCCGCTGCCCAACGAGGACTAACTCCGAATTGAAAGGGCGTTAAGGCGCAAAGTTGTGGAGAATGCGCCCTAAGGTGGATCTGACCCACCCGGATCTCATACAGTGGCGCCGAAGGCCGACCGATATCGTAGTTGTTCGAAAGGATCAAGGTATCTGGTGTTGAGTGTGATCCGAAGTTACGGTCTGACCGTCGACAACAGTATCGTCGATCAACTTTATACCTCAGTGTGAAAGAACGGCGACAGTCAATCTGACCACCAAAGTCGGGTATCTTTACCCTTCATCGGTTCTCAGTGAAACAGAAATCAATCGCAACAGCTCAAGAAAATTCAATTATCCATTAAGTGTATCCTAACGCAAAACAACCCTTTGCACCCGGCATTCCCCAAGACACGAGTCCCGTTAATCCTGTCTTCCAACATGATCAAACACCAATGCATAGAACACAGCGAGCTCATAAATCGTGTCTTGTCGAAACATGAAATTTTATCGATGCATGAACTCGACATATTAGATCTAGCACGGCCACTGACTCTTCACAGCTCCCCTTCATACAGGTTCCACATCATTACTTCCTCGGTCAACGAACGCCGCCTCAATAGAGTCGCCGTCTAGAAGCCTTCGCAGTGCTAGAGCTTGCAGATGCAGACGAGGTTGTCGTATTGGCATCCAGGGGCCCGATCTTGAGCGATCCACACGGGCTTGAAGGCGCAGTAACGCAGCCGTGCAGATACCGACCAAGGCTACCAGTCTCGTTCTTGGACTTGAGCACTTGAGTAGGCAAGTATGCCGGGAAAAGCGAACTGCTATTGGTCGGGAACAAGGTAGAGTTGACGCGGTTTCCAATCCACGTAGCATGAGCGCTGTGCTCAGCCGCCAGACGGGCCAGGAGGAACGACACCTCGGGAGACTGGGTGTAGCCAGCGAGACCAATGTATGCGCCGCTCAGCGTGGTCTCGAACTGATACGCGTACCGGGCAAACGAGAGGACGCTGTTGGCCTTGGGGATTGTGTATTTGCACGACGGCTTCTTGAAGTTCGGCGCTTTCCAGCTGACTTGCTTGATGGCTTGAATGGTCAGGTTGCTCTTCTTTTCGATGCCTTTTAGATTTGCCAGAGCGACTTTGGCGCTCGTGCTGTTTTGCAGGCCACCGGCGAAGGTCTGGTTGATTGGAATCGAGGCGTAGAACTGGCCGACAAATTCCGAGATGGCCCAGGCGAATTGGAGAACTTGGGTGTCTCCGGAAGATGGAGAGCAGGAGGGGCTTGCAGCGGAGCTGAGAGCAGCTCCTGTCGCGATGAAAGAGCCAAGGTAAGAGAAAAACCGCATCTTGCCTTGAAATGATCAGAGGTATTTCCGGAAAAAGTGAAGGTGAATCAAGATCGCTAGCTCGAGGGGGGATGCAGGAGTAGCGCTCACTACTTATAATACCAAGAGTTCCTATGGCATTAATGCTAATTAAGCATGTCATTAACCCGCATGCAGTAGTTATCTAACAAATGTATGTGTCATAGGACAGGCTCTTAACCTGATTTTGGCTTCTTCGCATCGTCACTTCATATACCCCTTGACCGTGGTTTTGCCGAAAGGCAATCGACCAAGACTCGGGCTCTAGATTCGAATACTACTGAGAAGGTATTTCTATCAGAATGAAGTGACATCATACAGTTCGTTGCCTACACCAGAGGTGTTCGTGGTTTTTCAACGTCGGAACATTCGGGAAGTTTATTTCGGGAGCCACGCATCTTCGCGACTATATTCATTTGGCCCTTTTTTTCATATTTCTCCTCATATCACGAATTCAAAAAGGCACTGTGCATATATAACTCCCAAAAATCAAAATAGATCATACTCTTCAGTTTGTTAGTTGACTGTGACATCCTTCGGGTAGAACAACGGCTCTCAAGCAAGCAGGTACAAATGGTTGAACACATCATAGTCATGGCGGTGTTCATCTCGGTGCTTGACATGAAGAATTGATGCTAGAATATTCGATCAAAAAGCTAGAATAAACGTCCCCTCAAAATCTTCCTGGTCTATCGCTCGTGAGTACTCTTTATGACTTGAAGTGGACCGCTAACTCCGTGAGAAAAAGAAATCATTTTTGGCGGGCGACCGATAGGGGGGAGAGGGAAACCCTTTCTTCTGCAGGCCAGACAACATTCAAAGAAATCACTCATGAAATCGAAGCCGATCAGTCACTTGCGTCGTGGATAAAAAAAAGTATACAAAAGATGAACTACTCTCCCATAGAGATAATGAATAACGCCACGAATAGTATTCTCTATCTAAGAGAATTAAAATTAAACCTTCCTGGCAGCATTGATTCCCTCTAGATTCCACCGCTCTGGCGCCGTCTTTTCCATCCAGACCGACCAGTTCCCCCAAAAAGCCGGCCGCATAATATGCGCATACTCCCAATATTCTGGATACCACCCAGCCCATTCCCAGTCGAGAATGCCAGTGATGTGATTCTGCTCGTCCACCATGACATTACGTGGCGCAATGTCAGCATGTGTAAAAAGTGAGCGCTCGGATCGAGGGAGCATGTCAAACAGTTGATTCTTATCACGACCTCCACAGTGGATGTACCGTTCGTAGATTCTAGCACGCACTTCTGGGTCGTTTAGAAGCGGGCGAGCGGGCGTTTGTAGATCCTCAAGCATCGGGTCTCGTGATGGAGAACCATCCGCGAGGCACTGATATATTTCCTCGGTCTCTTTTGGGTGACTGATGTTTCGGAGTTTGGATATCAAGTCCCACAGCTCAAGACAAACTGAGTCTTTGGCTGCATCGTCTAGGACGTTCCATTTTTGCTCCAAGGAAACCCCAGGGATGATTGTCATGCCAATCATCCTTTCCGGTGGCTGGTAACCGGGTTTGTAAGATTCATTCCGTGAGACTTCTCGCTCTTGGCCCGTATTGAATTCGGTGAAAAGAATAATGATATGAAAGTCGATTGACAAGCTTGACGATATGAGGTTATCTCGGCCTATTATTCTTTGATGGTCACGTCGTGTGTTGTTAGACAACCACCGCATCTCGTTACTGATGGGCGTGTCTGATCTAATCGATCGAATTAACCTGAAATAGCACGAAACCGGGGGGAAGCGCGGATATAGGTGGTCCGAGGCTGAAGACCCTTGCAACATGCCATGGCTGACTTGATTGCGTTGCAACGGCGTTTTCAAATACGCACGGCAAACGGCTGATGCGACCGAGGAAGATCGAGGCTGGGCCATTGTACTACTTACTCCTTCGGGGATCTGATAATGCGAGTCAAGTGCCAAGTGCAGCCCCCGTCATGGCCCCCACAAAGCAACAACACTGCATGTCTCATAGCCTGACAGCATAGCCCACTTGAGATATCCTACTGCATTTAATGACTATGCTGAGCAATATTTCTGGGGTTTGGGCTGCATCACAACGCGTATCTTCATCTTATATTCTTGTTCACGCGCTACAGAAATAGAGATCTCCCAGTCATGTTATGGTTTCCGCAAATGTGGGTCTCCCGCTTATACTCCAGGCTCAGCTATTCAACTCGGCCCCACGACTCGAGAAATTTCGCATCTCAGGGACTACTCTAGCCTTGCAGTGTCTATCATAATAAAACACCTGGAACAATGTCAGAACAAGTCGCACTGCGCAATCAAAAAATAAATTTTTCCGCTGTGCTAGACCAAGTACGTGACCATGGGAGTATGCTTGTCTCTAAATGCTCTTTTCGTCTCGATGAGCAGTTAGTATTTTGCGACACGTATTTGCTTCATGATTCTGTAGCTACGGATGGATCGATCTCTTGGCTTATAGGCAGGAGCTGACCAATACAATAGAACGTCACATCAAAGAAGAGAGAGAGGGCAATGCTAACACGGGTGGATCAAGCTGCCAGGATTGTGCCTAGGTAGAGATAGCATACGTTAGGCCATCCTGGCCTCTTTCGAACATTCCCCCAGAGATCAGTTTACCTATAAGAACGCACATACTATCCCCACAACTATCAGGCTCCGAGGCACGGCTGATTCATACTGCGGCTCTCATAATTCCTATAAACATAATTCAGAGCTTTCTATATAAATGAAGGGGCCGCTCTTAGTTTTCATATATTGTTTTTATAACGAAAGAGTCCCTCCGCAATAGCTCACCACTATGGCGACTCGATCTCCTCTACGCTCTTTGGTTCTTTTGTTTTCCCTTCTCTTTGCGTTGGCCGTGCCAGGCTTGGGAGTTCCTACCAAAAGAGCCGACACCCACCCGCAGCAGGACGATAACCAAGACACAAACTGCGAAGCTCCCACACCTGAAACCCCCGTAAGCGATGTGAAACTTCACTACGTTTCTGATCACGGCTGCAGCGATGATCAAAAAAAAATCATTCAGGAGGAGATTCGATTTGCAATCGACTTGGCGAGTACAGCCAAAAACGATCTCCATAGGGACTACTACTACAAGAAGTTTTTCCCAGACTCTCTGACGGGAAAGGACGGATTTGACACTTCCGTCACCGACATTTACGGCCGTATTGCTACCTTTTGGACAGGAAATCACCCTCAACACTACGCAAATCTTACTTGCACCCCTTCCAAGAACTCCAAGTGCCAAAACCCTCGGATAGCAGCATTCATGACAGTGAAAGAGAAGCGAGTCACATTTTGCAAGCCGTTCTTTAGTCCCGATTCGATTGAGACGACGGATCTAGGATCATTTTCTACTACAGAGGAGCTTTTGTCAAGTTTCGCTTAAACAAGCACATTTCGCCCGCTCTTCTATCCTAGCCCACGAATCCACCCATAACTTATATGTTATGAACGTGAACGGAAAAGTGTTAGTTTATCCCACACTCACCGACTATTCTAGTCCCACGCGTCTTTTCGAGCGGGTTGCTTACCGTGATTATCTATTTGTATAGGGGTCAAGACATCGCATACGGCATAAGACAGAACCTGCAACTTCCACTCAACAAATTCGACAGAGGGAAGTGGAGGGCCGAAACTGGGGCCACAAAAGACTTGAAAGTCTATTGTCCAGATCCCAACAATAAAAAAGAAGATGGGCAGTGTCACCCCGACCAAGCTGAGTCGAACTCGGACTCGTATATCATCCCTGCTGCTGGCATCTACTTCAGCACTAAGTGCGGCCACGCGATGCCGTTGCCAGCGGGTCTCCCAGAGGATTTGTACGGGAATGCTCCTAGGCAACACTAGACAGTCTCTGAGGCATAATAGGTCTCGGGGCGTACCTTGTCAAATATTCTGTTATTGGACCATGAAGCGAGGGTGTTTTGCGGGGGTGTCTTATTCTCATCACTCCAGGAGGACCAAGAATAGGTTGACTGGATTGGTTGATGGAAAAGGAAAATTCTCGCGGGGCTATCTCTAATACCGGAGGTCGGGGCCATACCTTTAACATCTAGATAAATAGGAAGGAAATATAGCCATGCGGACTTGTGCCATATGTATTTAAAGGAATGCAGTGTTTCGATATACAGGTCCGTTTTCAAAAGTAGCATCTTCGATGAAGGCGTCCCACGTAGCCTGTGCTGGTCAATACACATTCATGCGGATGGAATAGGAGACACGAACCCAATCAATGCCCATGTTAGATAAATCATTCTTGACCTTGCAATCACTGGTGAGTTCTGGAAGCTGTGGACTAAAACCCGGGATCTCAAATGATAGTCCTGATGGTAATGTCTGGGGCAAATCGGTTGCTGTGCCTGGTCGAAAACCTGAAAGCATTCCAGACAAAATCTGGTGGACCTTCCAGGCCTCATCACAAGAGTCTTTCGCCTTTTCCCAATAAGTAGAATACATTTCCAATGTCTGCAAGAGAGCCTCGGTGTCAGAGGATGCGTCCACATCCGGGAATCTCTGTCCTAACTCGAGCTCGAGAAAAAGAATCATGGCAGCGAGAGTCAGCATTTGTCTTGTTTGTGAAGAGCCGTACCAATATGGATCCAAGATCTTTTGATAGTTCAGGAGTGTCAGAGTAGATGAAATGCACCGATCCCGAGAGAATTTGAATTGGGGAGTGATTCTGCCTTTGGCCATAAGCTTTCAGTGTAGGGTGCAGATCCCTTTGTGATACATAGACTACAGGCTCAGATTTGAGAAGTTGGATGTAGCTTTCCCGGAGTTTGTCCCGTCTCCGGCACCGTCCATTTTCATGGTGCGGAGGGAAGTTCTGATAGGCCTTGTGCACGGCGTTGTCAATTTCGAGGACAGTGTCATAAGAGTAGGGGCCCGGGGTGTTGTTAAAAACCGGAATACGGCCCAAAGCACGGAAGAGGCGGCCCTGGGCAATCATATAGGTGGCTGGCGTAGACTCAGTCAAGGGTCTTGGGTCTGGGAGGGTGGTAGTATCCTCGGACAGCTCCCAGTCGTAAAGATTGCGCGGGTCCATCGTATCCGAGTATGTGGCTGTCATTCGAGAGTGTCGACGCTCCAAGGGAAGTTTTCTGGCGGGGAGATGTGAACATGAAATCCGCATGATTGGTTGCATTCAAGCGCGCAAACCGGCCAGATGGCTCTGAAAATCCGACGCACTTTATCGCGCCAGAGGCTTCGCGAGTTGTACTTGAGGATTGAGGAGTCAAGCTCCAGTGGCCCTGAAGTCGGTAAGCAGCTATAAAAAGACCAAGGTAAGGAAAAAACCGACGCACACCTTTCAGGCCTGTTTGGGGCGATGGTCACATCACGATTGAAAGACCACTCAGTGTTGACATTTGGCCCATTGTAGCTCCCTTTGATATCAATGTGCACTTGAGGCGTAGGGTGACAGGCAGTATTGCAGTGATCTACGAGAAAGCGAGTAAAGGTTTGCAAATCTGCAGAGTGTTCGTTGATATTTCGTTTGAACGACAACAGGCACTCGAGCTCGAGGCCAATCCTGAACGCAGAATCCATTTTGGTTCAGAACAAGAGGAAGGCTGGAGGCAAAGAGGGGACCTGCATTCACAAAGACAGAGGAGAAAGGAAGGTCGATAGAATGGGGTAGGGGGTAGGAGGATATTGAAGAGTTGTGGGGAAGAAAAGTACTGTAGAAGTTAAAAGCAGGAAGAGGTTAAGAGCCGGTAGAGGTTGGGAGCAGGAGGTTAGAGTAGATCACCAATAACGTAAAGTGAAGGTTGCTATGAATACTGCCTCAGTTTGACTGATCACTATCCTATAACTCTTTATCAACAAGCAGCTAACCACACTCACTGTACGTGCATACTTTACGCCGATTCTGGCGCTCTGGTTAACTTAGACCTCCCCTACCGCTAAGTCTCTAGTTATATAACTATGAACTTTTTTTTTTTTTCTTTGCATTAATTCCATAATTCTCACAAGTCTCTTTTTAAGTATCTTTCAAACTTTCTTTCCAACTCTCTTTTTAATAATATTCAACTACGTCTAGATATTTAAAGCTAAGTAGCCTACCTTAGGTTGGATCCATGAGAAGGACAAAGATAAGCTCCTTCTGCTCGAGGTAAATCGCTTGATCTGTATCCGATTGATCTGACAAGCTCCGTCAAGCAATTTTTATTTAACAAAGAAACAGTGAGAGACGTTCTATTTTGTTATAATTTATTTGCCTAGCTTTAGAAAAGTGTCAAGGGCCACTATAAGACACTGTGCCAAATTGTCCCGGGGTTTCAATAGACTTGATTGGTCATCCTTGTTATTGACTCCAGGGCTAATTACTTCATGTCATGCAAAGATCAAACTGGTGACATTCAAACTGACTTTCCTTCGCCTTGAGAATCTAACCTGCGAATCGCCTTTCTCATCGTCCTATTACCCAAAACAGCAAATATGCGTATCAAGCATGCTTGGGCCACAGCCTTCTTAGAAGCGTTCTTTTTGGCGGCTGCTATACGCTGGACGAGCTCTTCTTCAGGCAAAAATCCCCACACGAGAGCCGCGGAGCAAAAGATTACGTCGTCAACTTTGGGTATGCCTCAAAACAGTCAAGCTCATGCCAATAGCCCAGAGGACCACCGGAATGAAGGTGGAGCTAACTCAGAGATGACAACGGGGTTACAAGTACCCACCTCATGGTCTGATACTGTCGCGGCTCTGTAGAAAGAGCCATTGGCTTCGCAAATCGAAAGATTCAAACAATGGCGACATGAGTTACATCTTAGATGGACACCTCTTAGAGCTGGTAATTCCACTGTTCCGATCTACATTTAGAGAATAGGTCATGGCACGAAGATTCTTGTCGGGTTTGGCACTAGCCAGGGACTCTTCCAGGTTGTACCATGCCATACCTACTAGCTAGCATTCTCTATCGCTTATCTCCCAGAAGATTGGACAATCGCGACTGATACACATCTCCTCCAGAGACTAAACCACCTGCCTCTCCAGAACTCACACCAACACGACACCCGCCAATGACTACTACAGAGACCGCTCTAAGTACCACGTCGGCTCCAACTCCAGTTTCCAACAACGCAGCCTCAGAAGTCCCACGATAGGGTCTTTCTACTCAGACTGCGCGAGAGGAACCTGCCAACCCTCGGTCTCACCAAAAGACGCGTCATTCCACCCGTCCACCGCAGATTGAAACACCGAGTCCAGCAGACCCGTCGACTGCAGTTGTTTCCACCGGAACAAATGACAATTCACAACTACTGGCCTCCTCTCAATCTACTGGAATCCGCGCAATTCTCGGTATACGACGCTCTCTGATGAAGTGGACGCGTCGCTTACTGTTTCATACCGTGAGGTGGAATCCGTGGCATTGCTCAATACCTGCAAAATATCAAAATTCTCGATAACACCGTGGCTACGCTGCGCATGAATCTTGATCGTCAACGGACATCTGATCGCAAATTGGAGAATCTACGAGCGAGTGCTGCTCAACATGAAAATGCAAAGAAGGAAGCTGAAGATCCTCGAGCGAAGAACACGAATCTCGAAGCAGATCTAGAGCTTCAATAGAGCAGACAATAGCTGCCCAAGACCTGGTGAATGGCAGGAAGGGGAAACTGGCACAGTTAGTCAACCCTTGAAAGCCACACCTTCTCGCTGATGATGCAACTATGTTGGCAGGTTAATATCACGAAGGCCAGGATTTGAACCTAGCAATGGCTTAAATTTGAGCACTTTCACTATGATGAATTTCAAGTCTACTCCTAACACCAACATTGCAAATTGAAACCTCCTTCCCGCAATTCATCGGCTTCCCCATCCCACATGAACGTAGCACTCTCAACCGTCTCCTCAACGCCATCGACACCATCAAGCAAATCAATCAGGCAAGGGCGATGTTGATACTTGTCTGTCTCGTAAGCGGTAAGGCGATCGTATTGCTCCTGTGACAGGTTTTCGCACACCAGGTCGTCAACCGGATGAAGCGACGGTCCATCAAGAAGGGCAGGGTATAGCCCCCCAAAGTTTGATGTGGTAACCTATCACCCTTGCAGGCAGCATCGTGGGTGGTTCAGACAATTTCAAGACGGCTGCAAGCGTATTCGGATCCATTAGAGTTCCGTAGAAGAAGCAATATCTTTCTGGTTTGGGGTTGCGAGGCCGCAGAGATTCGGCGAGTAAGAGGTATCGGTTTCGTGGTCTTTTGCAGCATTGTCTGAGGAGCTATCCATGAGGAACTTTCGATCCATGAGGGATGGCCCCTCCTCGGGCATCATTGTGGTCTGCTATGTTTTGTTGTTGGTAGGTGAAGATGACGGTATATATCCAAGTTCAGAAATGGTCAAGCAGATGGAGGTGGGGGGTGGATGAAAAAGAGAAAAAGCTGTCTGTGGATGGAAGCTGCAATCTAGGTGCATGATTAGGCGTCAATCAAGTAAATTGAAGATTGCTCCTCGACTTGCCAAGTCTCACTTCGCGAGGTAAAATATGGACCACAATGTGGGTATCTTCTGAAGCCTTGGTCTCTTACTGAGGCTCGAAATCAAACATCAAGTTGGATGAATAAACAGAGTCAAATGAAGTAACTCTGCTCTTATGTCGTCACATATTAAAAGAGAGTCACCTGACTCCATAACAACAAAGAGTTAAAGATATCGCAAGGCAGATAGAGGAAAGGTACTTTTCAAAAAATCCGGCATGTACGACGAGTTAGGAGACCAATGGCTTTCCATCCAAAAACACAAGTATGCATATTTGCTGAATTAAACCTAATGCTGACATTATAACGCTCTTACAGAAACACCGAGAACCCTACTAATATGAAACAAGAAAATACACTTAAGCAGGACTTCGGAAAGGATTTGGCCGCGAGAAATGTGGATCCTCTCCTCTCTCTGGCCGAGTCTCCTGAACCACATGAACATCCGTCGTCTTCTGGATCCTTGAGGCCCCCAAGATACTCTCCTGGCTGGAATGGCGGTCGTGTTCCGTACCACCCGGGGGCTCGGTGCGAGTAACCAACAGCGAGGCATCCATGGGGCGGCGCACGAGAGGGATAGGTTTCTGTCTGGCGTCGGACTGCGTTCGTGTATATGCTGAACTCTTATGGGAACGGTGTAACACCACGGAGTAGGACTGTCGGAGGGTGGGCAGGGACGCGCAGATTATGATGACATACATCTGAAGGGATTGGGTTAGCTTCAGGTTCATAGAGAGGTTAGGGAGAAAGAAAAGTAGTTACCTCGATCCTAAACTGAGTTAGCTAATTGTCACCTAGTTCATGTGAGGGAAACAAATCACTTACGTATACCAGAGGGTGATGTTGGCCCAGGACCCTGGTTATGGTTAGCGGTAACGTCGAGGGAGAGACAGTTGAGGAACCTACAGGTAATGTCGGCATGTGCAGGGAGATTCTTTAGCAAGATGCATTTGACCAGAGTGGCCGCCGCCGCACTGTCCAGTTAGCTAACCTCCAACGCAAGTAGGTGAAGGCGAGGACATACAAGATACCCGCTCCCATGACGGCGATGATAGCAACCTTCATCTTGAGGGGCAGCTGCACGCGCCAGAAGATATAAGCCGGAAAGACCGCGAGAGCAAAATCGTTGAAGGCGTTGAAGGCAGCTTGGGATGTTCCAGCGATCAACTGGAAGTTCAAACTGAAGCAAGACCCTGGGACTTTCGGATTCCAGATCTTCTCCGCGGGCCGACAAAAGCCGATGATGGCAATAATGGCGAGAGTGTTCCACGCCACACAGATGGTCATAAGAATATACAAGAACCATCGACGCGCCAGAGTCGCAGACTGGCCCATGAGCCGCAACAGAAAGAGAGTGACGCTCATTTTGCCGGTGGTGGTGCTGACCACGGAGAAGTTGGGTGCGATGACGGTGTATTTGAACGCTCGCAGTAGTTGATTCGGGTCTGTGATATCGGCAGCATGCATTCCCAGTCCGTTGGCGACGGCCACCTGGACCAAGGCCGAGCACACCAGGGCGCTAGCCAGCGACAAGGCGATGAAGAAGTCATCCCAGCCAGAACGCCGCAGAGCTACCACTCGAGTGTACAATCGTGCACCAACAGCACCCAGGGCAATGCCGCCAAAAATCCATGAGACGGCCGTGATACTCACGCCGTGTTTATGCATTGTTGCATTCGAGGTTGGGCTCGTTCGTCAAAGAAAGGATGCCGCCCCGCGCCCGCGCGAACTCAAGGGATGGAGATGGTTATAAGGCACGAGCGACCCCATCAATAATTTTCTCTGCAGCGAAACTTTTGATCCGCCTTTTGAACAGGGGGTTTTACCGAGTCAGCGGCTGTCACCGAGCCGTCGCGCAACTCAGAATTTCAAGAAATAAACGCCGAGTGGCTGGTGGAATGAAAAGTGGGTTCCATTGGAGCCGTTCCAGACAGGTTATGGGCCTTAGTTTAGAATCCTTCGCCCCCTGCTTGACATTGACTCGGCAAGTTCGGCGATCGTTGTTGGGTGGGGGGTTCTCACGGAGTCTGTTTCCGACCTTTGTCTCCCTCCCGAACCCTAATCGGGGTATAAAGTGATGTTTTGCAATTCGAATCCATCGTACGCTGCAATCAGGAAACGTTTAAAGATGATATAAACGCCCTGGAAAGGGAAACGTGGCATTTGGGGGCCTGAAGAAGTTGAAACCATCGCCCCAACGCCACTATGCCCTAACTTCAGGGGGCCGAATCGTCAGCCAACGCACGGCCCAGCGGCCTGGGTTTATCCACTTTTCTTTCAGGCAGTTTGAACGATGACTGCAACGATATCCCAACAGGGAACAGGGTAGGAAATCCAGCAATGAGGGGGTCCTGTATAATGATCGTCCGGCCCCCTCATTGTCCATTCCGCGGTTGTTCCCCTCAATTGTGGCTCACTGATAACGTTCGCTCCCTCTATCCGTCTTCTCCTTTCGTGTAGAAACAAAAATGTCAACGAACGTGCCCTCCGAGTCGATCGACAAGCTCCACGACCAAGTGTCGCAGTCACTGAATGCCTTCAAGGACCAGCACCAGGAGGCGGACCGCCTGGCGGCCTTGAAGGCCGCGCAGGGCTTGGTGAATGCCTTGCAGAAGCCACAGGACTCGGTCTACCACCTGGCCTACTCCGTAAACCCCCCCATGACAGTAACAGTAGTTATGTCGGTGCTGACCTGGTGCAGCCAACCCATGCCATGTGTGTGCGCATTGCCATCGACCTGGGCATCTTCACCACCCTGACCGAGCGCAATGAGCCAGTGCCGCTCGCCGAGCTCGCAGCTGTCAAGAATGCCAGTCTGATCCTCACCGGTATAATCCCCTGATCCGAATACCTTCTGTGTCAAACAATCCTTACTGATGAACGGCATTCGCCCGGGACAGAGCGGGTCATGCGTATCTTGGCCGGAATCGGCTATGTTGAGGAACATGACACGCGCGTGTACATGGCGACGACGATGACCCGCCAGATGACGGACCGACTGAGTATCGCCATGGTCAAGTTCATCTTCGATGTGGGCATGCCCACTCTGGCCAAGCTCCCCGAGTTCCTGCGCCGGCACAACTTCCACAACCCCGCTGGCGCCCTCAACGGCCCTCTGCAATATGCTGAGAAAATCGACGAGTCGGTCTGGACCTGGCTGCCTCGGAACCCCGAGTACCTAGACAACTGCAATACTTTCATGGAGGGCGATCGCGGTGCGCGGCCCAGCTGGCTGGAGTGGTTCCCGGTGAAGGAGCGTCTTCTCGATGGTGCTCGCCCAGATGGGGACGTCCTCATGGTTGATGTAGCCGGAGGACGAGGCCACGATCTCCTGGCGTTTGCGGAGAAGTTTCCCCATGCGCCGGGGCGCCTGGTTCTTGAAGATCTGCCGCATGTCGTTGACGAAAGCACCGTGGATACAACGCGCATTGAAAAGAAGCCGTTTGACCTGTTTAAGCCCCAGCCTGTTCAGGGTAAGTTACTTGATATTCTCGCGTAGTACGTACCATGGCTGACGCGGATGGTATAGGCGCTCGGGTCTATTATATGAAATTCATTCTGCACGACTGGTCCGACGAAGAGAACCACCGTATCCTCACCGAGTTAGCCAGTGCTTTTACCCGGGGATACTCAAAGCTCATCATCGAGGAGTTTGTACTGGCGGACCGTGACTGCGCCATGCTGCAAGCCATGTGGGATTGGGAGATGCTGATCTTCTGCAACAGCATGGAGCGTTCGCTGTCCCAGTGGACGAGCTTGCTCGACAAGGCCGGCTTCAAGGTCGTCAAGTTCTGGCCACCTCCTGGTGACGGTCAGGGTATCATCGAAGCCGAGCTGAAGGATTGATTATTCTGCGTCTCTGTAAATAATAATATGCCAGGAAATGCCTATACGACCTCTTGCGTTTGTTTGTTTGTCAGCTTGTCAGTCCAGACTGTTTTGAGTAGAGAGAAATAGTAGGAATACATTAGAGCTGAGTGCAGCTCGCATTTTGGCTCTTTGATTTGTTGGTAGCTGCAAGTCCGTGCTGAGCGAGGCTAGGTACAGGAACATCCCTTGCTATGTACCGCTTCGAGTTACTTTGAGGCAACCAGATTTATTCAACAGACCTGGGTTGCTGTGCTTAAGGTGCAAAAAAGCAATGCTATTAAAGGGGAGGGCAGGAAGAAAAGAAAAAAGAAGAAGAAGAAGAAGAGGAACCGAACCAGGGACCTCCAGCTTCGTGTTGGGTGATACACCACTTGCAGCTCATAATCACCAACACTGTCTCAGCTGCTGGGGACGTGGGCAAGGGCTCACCTTCCACTAGACTATCATCCCCTGATTGGTGACTGGGGGGGGGGGGGTTGAGGAAAAACAGAAGGGAGCAAACAACTTCCTAATTAAGAAGAAGGTATAAGGCCTCATAAAAAAGGTGGCTATTCCGAGTCACCTGATGAAGCATAGTCTTCCTGAGGCCATCGGCGATGGATAGGATTCTAAGAATACGAAGATGGGAGCTACTATCATCATAATGTGTACACGCCTGTTGACCATTTGAACCTAGCCAACATGCTTATCAAACAGAGATCCCACGCCATCCCTGGGTCCACATGGTGAAACGGATGAAAGGAAAAAGCCCATCCAAAAATCCCACTACTTATATTCTAGGTACGGCCCTGGTCTGCGATCGAAATTCGACCACAATTCACAAATCTTGAAGGTAAAGGAAGCATCGGTTCTGGACTGGAGCTGAATTTTCTATGCTATCTCAAGGTACATTCGTTCACTTTCATCTTCATGACCTATGGTTGCTTCTGTTCCTTCCATGCGGCATGCTTGCGATAAATGTCGTGACGGAAGGTCTGCTTCAACGAATTCACCACGTCATGGTCAAGTGGCAGCGAGGCCTGGACAGCGCCGACACCACACAAACCGTTCGTCCGATCAATGAACCATGCCAGACTAATGCCGCCGCCCCAAGCCAGCGTCCGCTCACCATACCAGCCATCGATATCCTGCAGCGTCAACAGACCACCCAGCCCGTAACCCAGCCTCGTCTCCAGCCCGAGACCAACACGGAAGAAGGCTCCCATCCGACTCGCCAGCGCAGCTTGATGACCCCCAGTTGCTTGGGGATCCAGGTGGTGCTGGAACATGTCATCGACGGTGGCGGAGCAGAGCAGTTTATTGTCGTTGGACAGCAACGAGTGAAGAACCTTGCCGAAGCTGGCGCCTGACATAAATAGGCCATGGCCACCAAAGTCCCCACGCGTGGTTTTGTTCATGTCACCTCCGCCGATTACAGCGCGGCCGACGGCATCAGGGTCGTCTGGGTTGAGGTCGACGAGACGAGCACGCAGGTCCTCGCGCGTAACCGGATAGAATTGGGCGTCATGTATTCCGAGCGGGTCGAAGATGCGCTGCTGCATACGCTCAAGCAGCGTCTTACCCGTGACTCGCTCCACTATGCGGCCAGCCCAGTCAAGCCCCGGCCCGTACATCCAGCCGGAGCCGGGCTGGAAACTGAGCGGGTAGTTGAAGAGCTCCTCGACGGTTTTGAGCTTTTCTTCTTGCCAGGAGCCGAACTTCTCGCGCCATCGGGCAACTTTCGGGTCAATAAAATGATAGTTGATGCCTGAGCTATGCGTGAGCAGCATCTCGAGCGTGATGGGGCGGGCTGGCGGTTCGAGCAGAGGGGTTTCGCCGTCGTCAGAGAACCCGGTGATAACTTGCTTGGCAGCGAGCTCGGGTGCGATGGACGAAAGGTCGCCGGTGAGGGTCAGCAGGCCATCCTCGACACATTGCAGGGCAGCAATGGTGGTGACTAGCTTTGTGGCTGAGGCCAGGTACAGCACATCGTCAAGTTGCTGCGGTCGTTTCTCGCCGGACAGCAAGGTCCGCTCGCCGAGAGCCTTGTTGTAAGTAAAGCGACCCTCGGTGTCCGTGGCACAAACCACAGCGCCGTTGATTTTCCCAGCGTCAATGGCGGCCTGGAAAGTTGTCTCTATATCGTCTGCCATGCTGAAGATAACTCATGAATGGCGAAAAAAGAAACAAGGTCTGAATGAGAATATCCAGAACTTGGGGTGGCCTTCGTGGCTATATATCTTATTCGGCTGCAAGCACAAGGTGCACGTCAGTCTCTACGACCAGTTTTTTTATCCCTGTCGCGGATTTCAGCCAAACACGGCCCCAAGCCTGGATGCTACCTAAAACCCGACCACAAAACCCGACCACCGGCCCCAGGTTGGCCCCCCCCGGGAGTCTGATATGCTTACAAATGCCCTCAGGTCTACGGGGTTGATGCGACGAGCACCTTCACTGGCGGTTCCATTGGTTCTTCTGAAATTGATATCGAATTGGCTGAAAAAAAAATCTCCTTTCTCTATTTACTGTGCTTTTTCCACTGTCCGCTGCGTCAATTCCAGCAACAATTGCAGTCCATCAGAGTATCCTCTGACGTCAGAGCTTATCTGCACGAGTGCTTAGCTTGCACCACAAAACCGCAATGACCAAGATTTTTCTGTGAGTCACACAAGTCTTGTGCTAAGAATTTTTATGACTCTAACGCCTCCACAGCACTGGTGCCACGGGCTACATTGGCGGCGACGCCTTGGCCGTCCTTACTGCTAAACACCCCGAATTCTCCTACTCAGCGCTTGTGCGTGGTGCCGAGAAGGCAGAGCAAGTCAAAGCTCAGTATCCAGCAATTGAGGTAGTCCTCGGTGATCTAGATGATTCGGCCTTGCTGGAGCGAGAAAGTGCTGCCGCAGACATTGTCGTGCGTAAGCTTTCCAAATTTTCTTATTTCACCCCACCTCTATCTCTCTATCTCTCTCTTTCTCTTTCTTGTTGGTGTTTGTTCTTTCTCCAGCACGAATTAACCACTCGACCAGACACGGCGGATGCTTCCGACCATGTGGGAGCTGCAAAGGCGATCGCCAAGGGCTTAGTGGCGGGACACACCAAAGAGAAACCCGGATACTGGCTCCACACTGGAGGAACAGGGATCTTGACATTCGAGGATAGCGACAAGAACGAGTTTGGGAACCACAGCGACAAAGTCTACGACGACTGGGATGGGGTCGACGAGTTGCTCACTCTGCCGGACCATGCCTTTCATCGGAATGTGGACCAGCTCGTGCTGGGCGCCGGTGCAAAGCATGCGGACGTGCTCAGAACAGCACTCGTGTGCCCGCCGACGATCTACGGTAAGCAATCCGCTCAGCACAAGCCACGCCCAATTCGCGGGTGGGGGTGATGGTTTTGGCTAACTTTGCAACAGGGAGAGGACGGGGCCCGGTCTCCCAGCGCGGCCGACAGGTCTATGAACTGGCTAATGTGACCCTCCGACTCCAGAAGGGCCCTATCATTGGCGCCGGCCAGTCTATCTGGAACAACGTCCACGTGCATGATTTGAGTGATGTCTATGCATTGCTTGTGGACGCTGCTCTCGCTGGTCGGGTTGATGATGGGCTGTGGGGGCCCAGGGCTTACTACTTGACTGAAAATGGGGAACATTGCTGGGGAGAGCTGGCGCAATCTACAGCAGATGCAGCCACGAATCTGGGGTACTTGCCTGAGGCGAAGGCTGAGCCCATTGACTTGGAAAGCGCCAAGCGCTATGCCGGTTTTGAATCGCTTAGTTGGGGTATGAACTCGCGAGGCCGGTCGCGTCGCGCCGGAGAGCTTCTGGGTTGGAAGCCCTCGCGGCCTAGTCTAGTGGACGAGTTGCCAGAGATTCTTCGAAGTGAATGGCAACGCTTGCAGAAATAAGAAGTGGGCCATAACAGGGCAAGTTCTTGAAAGGACTGGCCATGTTTTTGTGAAGCAATGAGACACTGTTTTGTTTCAAGGGCATACACTCTCAACAGCCTTCTCGGCGAGTGTCTGACGAAGTGCAGTGTGCACCTGGAGATTGATGCTGGGTCTTATACTCCGAGTTCAGCTCTGCGTGTAGGTCGATGCAACGTCCGCCGATCCAAGTGGTAATAGTCGAGATGTCAATCTGCCCAGGCTACTGCACACAATCGAAAACAATGTCTTACCCGGCAATCCTGCCCTGAAGTTGTACAATGCCCAAGCGAGCTAGTCATGACTCAGATGCCAATTTGACGATGCCCCAGAGTATACACCCATTTCTTATTTCCTAATTGTTTTCGAACACGAGGTGTTTACTCAACATGTTTATTCAACACGGGCGAACTATATGATATCAACATCACAAACACGAGGTCCCACGCTTCCTCCCGAGCTCGCAGGGTCCCTCCGTGGTAGCTCTAGTCCGCCTAATGGAAATCGAACTAGGCGATGCCCAACTCAACCAACCTCATCCCGATCCTGCAGAACCAGCATGAAGCAACGCGGGCGATTCACCCGACTCCCCCGGACGAAATTTGCAGCGGCATCGAGTTAGCCCGACTCTTGGCAGGCCGATTTACCAACGCAGCGGCGGTCATTTTTTCCAAATCTCCCAACCAGAAGTGCCGTGCAACCCATGCGATGATGCCTATCGTGGGTCTCGAAAGCGCACCCTGGCCGACAGTTTCCAGGTTTTTGGGTCGTCGGCGGAGGAACTTTTCGTCCTGTTCCAAACCTTGTGCTGGTCCTCTCTGGATTTGTCAAGCTGCGTGGGCTGGGCGTTTGCACAATTGCACTCACAATTGCACTATATATCTTTCCAGAACGCATGTTCTGTGGATTTCCGGGATTTTAACATTTTTCTTACTTCTGGCGTAGACCCTTTTTCTGTCCTTTTTGGAGTTTCTGCCTCTCCTCCTCGCTTATCGACACCATGGTCGTGACAGATCCCTCCTCATACGGCTCGGAGAAGCCAGCTACGTCTGGTGGCAGTAGCAGGGCGTCTTCTACATTGGACAAGAGCCGAGCAGACGATACATTTGCGCTAGGGAAGAAGGGCATCTTGGTTTTCTTTACTCTGTCTGTTCTCACCCTGATGGCCGCTCTCGACGGAACCTCCTTATCGGTTGCCCTGCCAGTGAGTATGCCCTTGAAAGTAGCATACCAAAGATCCAAGCTAACATATCCCAGATAATGGCCCAAGACCTGAAAGGAACAGCTATTGAAGCATTCTGGAGCGGCACTTCCTTCCTCCTATGCTCAACAGGTATGTGGTACATTATTAACTCGTGGATTCTATCCAGCACTCATCTAACTCCTCTATAGTATTCCAACCAAGCTTTGCCTCCTTCTCCAACATCTTTGGCCGCCGCCCAATGATCCTGATCGCCCTTCTCTTCTTCTGTGTCGGGGCCATCATTGCGGCCATCGCCAAGAACTTCACCTACATGCTCGTGGGGCGGTCCATCCAAGGTGTCGGCGGTGGAGGAATTATTGCTTTGAGCGAGGTGGTCATCACTGACCTAGTTCCTTTACGGTACCGGGGCCAGTACTTTGGCATTTTGAGCGCCATGTGGAGTATCGGATCGGTGACAGGGCCGATCCTGGGCGGAGGGTTCGCAGAGAATGTGTCCTGGGTGAGCCTACTACATTTTGAACATCCTCTCCTGTCTATCCCTTCTAGACATACATAGTTCTGACTGTGAGCTACTACCAGCGCTGGGTCTTCTATATCAACTTTCCTTTCATTGGGATCGGGGTTGTGTTCGTGGTCCTCTTCCTGAACCTCAATATCATCTCCAGCTCGTTGGCAGACAAGCTTCGTCGCATCGACTACGTGGGGACGGTAATTTTTGTCGGGAGTCTGTCGTCTTTCTTGATCCCGCTTACTTGGGGCGGCATCTCGTATGACTGGGACTCGTGGCATACATTGGCCCCGCTGATTATCGGCGCGGTTGGGCTGCTCGTGTTCGCATACTACGAAGTTCGCTTCGCCTCTGACCCGATCATCCCGCCTGTGATATTCCAGAACCGTACGGCGACAGTCTCCTTCATCGGGAGTGTGCTGCAGGGCCTGATTCTGTGGTGTGCTCTCTACTACCTGCCGCTGTACTACGAGGCCGTCAAGGGGTATAGCCCCATTCTCTCGGGCGTGGCTCTCTTTCCCGAGACCTTCACCGTCGCGCCGAGCGGCATGGTAATCGGCATTCTGATCACGGTCACAGGCCACTATCGCTGGGCCATCTGGCTTGGGTGGGCTCTCTCGACCGTGGGACTGGGCCTGATGTGTCTGATCAAGGCAAACACCAGCGTCGCCGGCTGGATTCTTTTGAATATCGTCCCGGGTCTGGGACTGGGCATTCTCTTCCCGTCGCTGGGCTACGCCGTCCAGGCATCGGCGACGCCAGAGAACCTCGCCATTGCCGTGGCGATGTTCAGCTTCTTTCGGGCGCTGGGCCAGGCGATTGGCGTGGCTGTTGGCGGCGTTGTCTTCCAGAACCGCATGTATAGCAACCTGCTCAAATACCCTGCCCTCGCGCCCATGGCCGATGCCTACAGTCAGGATGCTGCTGGGCTGGTGCAGGTGATTAAGGCTATGGCGGATGGCGCGACCAAGACTCATCTCAGGGAAGCGTACACGGACAGTCTACGGATTGTGTGGGTCGTCTGCTGTGCTGTGTCGGGTGTGGCCCTGCTGTTCAGTCTTTGGACCGAGACCTACGACCTCGACCAAGTGTTGGAGACTTCTCAGGGCCTTCGCGGTGAAGACGGTTCAACCGAGAAGGATCACGAGGCAAAGGCAGAAATGGCGATCCGGGAGCCAAAGCCATTGGCATGGTAAACTACATGCCCGTTTTTGTGTTGGATGATGATGAATGATGCCAGATGATCTAGAGTGTACAGAGCAATGATGGCTCGGCTTGGGATTCAATAATGACTTGTTTTTTTTTTAGCTTTTTGCCCTTCTCATACCCTCATACTCTCATCTCATAGCCCGCTCTCAAAGTTCTCTGCAAGATCTGCCCCCCGGATGAGTGTCTTAATGCCCTCTCCGCGTTTCGCAGTCTCCCAAGCATCAATAACATTTTCAAACGGCACGATCTTCGTAATTAGCGGCCTTAGCTCAATTTTCTGGCTCAGTGCCAGCTCCAGAGCCATCTTGAAATCCCCGGGTCCGTATCGAAAACAGCCCTTGACCGTAATCTCATTCTCTGACACCGTCGAAATGGGGAAATTGACAATCCTCTTCCCCAGCCCCGTCTGCACGAACCGGCCACCAACCCGCAGTGCATAAACTGCCATCTGGATACAAGACTCCGCGCCTGTCGCCTCGATGGCAACATCAAAACCAGGGATATCAGACTCGGCGAGATGCGCGCTGCGCTGCATCCCACGCAAGGACTGCGCATTTTCTTCCGGCGGGAGCGTCTGGTCCGGGATAGCAGTCGAGAAAACCAGACGACCGCGAGGCACAAACGACTGCGCGAAATCCAGCTTCTCACGACTCAGATCAACAGAGGTCACTACACTCGCCCCAAATTCGCGCGCCACGGCCGCAGACAAGAGTCCCACAGTGCCCGCCCCAAAAACCACGACCTTATCGCCGGGCCGCACGGCGACCTGGCGCACCGAGTGCACGGCGACGGCCAACGGCTCGATCAGCACGGCCTCGTCCAGCCCAAAGGCTGTGCCCACGCTGTCGGGAATCTTGTAGCAGCAGTCCGCAGGCATCTTGTAGTACCTCGAGAGCGTGCCGTGCGTGTACGGCGGGTTGGCGGCGAACTCCATCCGCGGGCACAGGTGGTAGGTGCCTGCCTTGCAGCGGCTGCAGACACGGCAGGCGGAGCCGGGCTCGATGGCGATGCGGTCGCCTGGTTGCAGGGAAATCACGGCGGGGCCGACTTCTTTTACGATTCCTGAGGCTTCGTGGCCCATTACCAAGGGCCGCTCTTTGGAGACGTGGGCTTTGACGCCGCCGTGGTTCCAAAAGTGAACCTGGCATGCTGTTAGCGTGTGGAATATAAACCGTGCGATGCAGTCTCTCGGCTGCTGAGCTGGTTGGTGATGGCAGGGCAGGTTGTAGGTTGATATGGGTCAGGGCTCATTACATACGTCACTGCCGCAGACGCCGACGTAGGCGATGCGGATGATCACATCCAAGGGATCCTCGATCACTGGCATAGGCCGGTCTTCGAACCGGGCATCGCCGGGGCCATAGAGCAGAAGCGAGGGGTTCGGCATGGTCGTTGGTGTGAAGAGTACTTGGCTGGCGTAGAACGAATGCCTGCGGGACCGCGTTGTCCGAGTAGAATACCCAGATGTATGAACAGTTGCCAAATCTCAACCTGCACCTGAATCTCCTTATATCTCTTTATGGTGCAAATCCTGCAAAGTTCAATAAAATAAGATAAAAGGACCAGGCTGAGTTATCAGTGCGTTCCAGTGTTCGACCTCGGCGGTTGCTGAGGAGAAAGTGGTTAGTGAGGGGCAAGAAACGGAGAGCAGAGCGCTGGATCATATTAGAACAAGACAGGCCGGACTGGGAGTAGCAGAGGAGCTTTGACAGCAAAATTCCAGCCGAGACAAGACCCTCGGGCGACAGTGGACCGCGAGAGCTGGAATCACCGCCGGTGGAGAGTGGGATGTCGGGGCAGAGTAGACCGAGGGGGGGGGAGGCGGCAGGGAAGACACTGAGAGGCGAAGAACCCTATCGTCCAGAGTCGCTGTGATACAAACTCGGCCGAAGTGAGTACAAGGGTTTCGAGGCTGTTTACTACGATTTCATCTAGTATGGAGCAATTGGAGACAGTAACACGGTCTTGTAGCAAGCAGTACTCGCTGTACACTGCTCCGACTGGCCAGCTTGGGAAGTATGAAAAACACGTTCTCACAACTCCAGGACAAAAGTAAAGTGAATCGATCCCACATAACACGGAAATCAAATCGTTACATCATGAGGTGAGCAATGTAAATAGCAGAGCTGCGCAAAAAAAGAATCACTCGCGGCCCAGAGCTCGCAGTCGCTCCTTCAACATGTCCATCTCCTTGTCATAATCCGCCGAAGCCCGCTTCTCCATTTTCTCCCGGTCTCCGTCTTTCAAAACAATAGCTCGGTACTGTCCATCGCCATTCGGGGCTCCAACGGTCACCCAAACAAATTTGGTTCCATGGCCTCCGGGCTGAGCACGCTCCTGGGTGCCCTGCCAGAACATTTCTGGCGTCGTGGACTGTTCCCCAGAAGGAGGCTCCGCAGCCGATGGACGACCACCGAGACGGCCATATTTGATCCAGACTTTCAAGACATCCTTGATGAAGTTGATCTTTTGGGCGAAAGAGTTGGCGTCGAGAATTTCCCGGATCCGGTCCTCAACCGAGCTCAACGACTCGCCGCTGACAATGCTAAGAAAAGTCGTTGCCTCGTCCGAGGCCACGGCACGGGTGTCGAATCCAGAGGGGTGCATCTTGCCCTTGGCTGCGAAGTATCGCGCTGCCGAGGGCGACAAGTGGTAAAAGTCAATCCATGGGGATGAGCTGCGAGTCCGGCCAGGCGAGATGACGAGTTTGGTGTGATCGGGGAAGTTGAACTATAACCGTGTTAGCATCATTCATCGGCTGGGTAGAATACAGGGTGTCTTACCTGAAATGCACCGTCGCCGAAACCCCAGATACCGACATTGCCGAGGCGCTGGTAGAACTTGATGAATTGGGCGCTCTTGTGACTGGGTAAGTCCACATCTGCAATACCCTCATCGCCGTGCCGGCCAAGTGACCCGATCATGTATTTGCCAAACTGGTCAACAAGCTTCACCCTCTTGACTTTCTCGGCGTCGGACTTTTCGCTGTCTGTACCCATGTTGGCACGGGTCCTCATCGCTTTCGAGGTTTTCACATCGAAGAGCGACGGAGAGATGCATGCGCGCCGAATGCCGCGACACCCAAGCAATTCATCGTCGTGATTTTCGTAGAACTCGACCGAGTCACCGTCGCGAGGTACAAGCTGGTCCGCCTCTGAGTAGGGAAACTCCTTTTCCTCGCTGCTGTCGACACTGCGCGCCTTACGGCGGATGTGTCTCTCGCCATCTCGTAGCACAACGCTAGTCGCAGGCTGTCCGTTCTCGCCTTTGAAAACGCACCCAACACTTCCGTCGTCCAGCACATACCCAATCCCGTACCGGTTCGTATAGTCAACCCATTTGATGACATAGGCGTGGGGTTGCTTTCTCGACCCAGTTCGACGCCGGCCTGGGGCATGGTTCACCAAATTGGAGAGCATAAGACGCAACCCAGTGTTCACTTCAGTCAACGAAGTTCCAGGAAGCGACTCGCATAGATCATTTGAATGGAAGAGAGGGCTAATTCCCAGGCTAGAGCGAGCCTTGCCACCCGAAGTCGTTTTGCTGTTTGATCGACTGATTCCTTGTGGTTCAGGCACTGATTTTAACTGTTGATTCGATGGAAACATCTCTTCCGTGGGGCTTGCTTTGGGCCGTTCGGCTCTTTCAACGATAGCCTTGATATCCGGTCGTGATAGGGACCGCAATGACGTTTGTCGACTAACAGCTCTGCGCTCCTCCAGTCTTGCAGCCTGCCGCTCTCTGGTGAGATCGGAGGGCTGGGACGGATCCTGGTGAGCGGCTTCCATTCGACGGGATTGAGAGCGAGTTTTGCCGACTGTCAGCCCGGACGGCATGCTGGTCGACTTGGTTAATTGTGGCACGACATTCTTCTGCGCGGTTCTCAGGGGCGGTGCATTGGATGCGGAAACCATTCTTCGCGTGCGAATGGGGCGTTGAGCCAATCCACCAGGAGCATCACTACCCAAAGGCACATCCGAGTCGGGCTCTTTCCGTTCGGCACTTGGTCGAGAGGACGGAACAGGTGGCTCATTGATGTCGTTGAGTTTTCGTGGTGAGGTTTTACCTGCAAGAGCTTGCTGGCGAAGCGTTGCAGCATGACTCTGAGGCTCCATCCTCCGCTGTTGAGCGGCCGCAAGCGCATTATTCGTCCGGGATGTTGCGGCATTGTTGGTGCGGACGGATACACTGCGGCGAGACAGTGTGCTACTCTCCAGTGAGGACTCGTCGTTGCGGACAACCTTTCGAGAAGTTTCCATCACACACCAATCTCCGTCAACCTCGTGCGGCCATCTGTACACAAAGCCTGGCGGCAAAGGAACAGTCGGGCGAAGTCCTCTCGAATCCTCGGTGTCGCATTCAGCATAAGCCGATTTCGAGCAGTTCCGGCCCACAGGCTTGCGCGCCGTCCCATCCGGCTTGCGCCCCACGCCACAGAGTGAGTAAAAAGCGGCCTTGCAAGAGTGATATCGCTGGCTGGGGTCATCGACCTGATACACATAGGCCCGCAACTTCTCCTCTGAGTCGAGTCCAAAACCACTCATCATGCAATCACCACGCGGTGACTGATCCTTGATCCAGGCCGGTTTATTGAACCGACATGCCGGGTCCAGCTGGCGGGGAATACAACCGTCGTACATATTGAAGAACGGGTGTTCTACGATGTCGTCTGGGTCTGGACGTTGATCATCGGCCAAGTTCAGGCAAGCTGCCACCAAATCCTTCGCTTCGTCTGGGATATAGTTGTTGACATTCGATTCCTTCGGCCACACATAACTCAGGTTCCTGACTTTCTTGTAAATCTCTTCCTGGGTCTTCGACTGGAAAGGCGGGTACCCCGTGAGCATGGCAAAGCTGGGATGAAAGTCAGCCGAATATTCTCCAAGTCCAAGGCAACGTAGCTCAGCACTTACCAAATAACACCCAAAGACCAAATGTCGACCTTCTGAGTATGGCCACCTTTGCTTTTGTCAAGTACTTCAGGCGCAATGTAGTTGGGCGTCCCGCACAGCGTGTTTCGCCGCTTGGCGTCCTTGTCGGATAGAATAATGGCAGCAAGCCCGAAATCTCCGACCTTGATGTTCATGCTGTGATCCAGAAACAAATTCCCCATCTTCAAGTCGCGGTGTGCCACAAATCGCTTGTGTAGATACTTCACGGCAGCGCATAGCTGGATCATAAAGCGTCTCACTTCCGGTAGGGTTAGACACCGTCTCTTCCGAACCATATCCATGACTGAACCATTGGGACATAGCTCGAGGACAACATAGGTACTGTGCTCAAAGGCGAATGCACGATAAAATTGGACAATGAAGGGGTGTCGCATCTTGGAATGAATTTGCAACTCGGTCCGAAACTGAGCGTGGGATTAGAGAACTGTTGCGACGAATTGGGTATCAAGGTCGAGTGGACATACCTTCTCCTCCATCTTCTTCTGAGGCATTTGCGACTTGACCACCTTCATGGCAAAAACTCGGCCGTTGCGCGCTAATGTCCCCTCGTAGCAGACGGCGAAGCCTCCTTTCCCCAGAAAGGCGCCAATCGAGTATTTCTCTCCGCCATCCTCTGGCTCCGGGACTATCGACGGCGGGGGCGCGGCGTGATTTTTTGAAGGCGCAGCCTTCTGGCCAGCACCGGCAGCAGCAGCATTCTTATCGAGAACTTTGCAATCCATCCCAGGCTTAGGCTTGATCATCTGATTTGTGGAGCGTGGTGAGAGTGCCTCCATTATTGCCGAATGGGTCGAGTTTGTATGTGTCGGGGGGAGATCGAATTATGGCAGTCACAAACTGTCGCAAGAGCGGGCAATGAAACAAATTGCAAGCATACGGGTCATTAAAAAAAGAAAACAGTGATTAGGTGCTGGCACAGAAAGGGTATCACAGTCAAGCAAGATAGGTATCCCTGCATCGATCAGACTGTCAGCACTCAGAGCGGTTCGCAACTCCCCCGTCGGCAAGCCGAAGCCACACAGCTGGAGGGGATGAAAAGCGAAGTGAGCAGGGGGCGCTTACCAGAATGCAAAACGCTAAAGAAGCAAGACTGTACAAGGCTTCTAAAAGAAACAATAAGAGAGCACACCTCCAACGAGGATTGTGAGTGGGGAAGAAAAGAAAGCAAGGCCAAAGTGAAGGACTCGGGCCATAATAATTTTCCCAATCCGGAAATCGATAAACAGCGCCGTTGCTGAGGTCATCTTCACGTGACATTGAACAATCGGCATTGTGGTGTTAATTCCTTTCATATTGTAGCTTTACTTTCATCTGAATAAGCAAATTCTTCTTATTCATTCTTTTTCTGCGCGTACTTTTTTAAAAAAAAATTCACAATAGTGCTTGTGTGTTGATTGGATCGGAGATCATTTCGTCCAAAATATATCTCATCACTGTTGATATATATAATGCCTATTTCCTTATTCTTTTACTTTTATTCCGAAAAACCACCAAGGAAATAATTTAATCAACCCTTTTGAGCCTTTCACTGCAAAAAACACTTCCATATTCTCGTTCATAGCTGCCTAGTACTCGCTTGATGAATTATGTAAAGAGCCTAAAGCGCCACTAGCTCAACCAATTCTCATCCATGGCAATTTCTGTAGCTCAATTCTGCTCGTCCTCCAAAATAAATTGGTTATAGTTTACTCCTGGCCTTTTCAGCACAGGAATAAAGAGATACTCAACAGCAATACATCTGAATGTCTTGGAAGTATAGTTAACTAGTTAACTAAAAAGCTGGCTGAGGTCAGCACCGACTTGCGCGATACCATTTTGGGCCAGTGGGGACCAACGTGCCTGGACAACGTCACGGCGATCGGTGAGTCAAGGCCGCCGCGACGCTTCGTGTGGACACTCTTCATACTCCCACGAGATGTCTCTCACCCTCAAACTCTCCTCACTGGCAATTCGGACTCTCTCGAAGCCCATTGCCGTAAGCGCACCCCCCGCCCGAGCCCAACTTCGGAATCTCGAGTTGACCCAAACTGCAGAATCAAATCAAGGCACAGGCTCGCGAGCATGAACGATTCCGCACTCTATGCGTCTCCATGGCGCAGGCCCTCCATCGATTTGATATGCGTCTCCGGCTAGGATCTCTGCGCGACACCGCCGCCTCACAACGTCAGGCAGCCGCCGAAGCGGAAGCCCGAAAGCACAAGCCCACCTCGCCGACGGTCAAAACAGAATCCGCGTCCAAGGCAGAAGAAGCGGCCAACGCAAAAGCAAAAGCTGCGGCGGAAGAGGCCTCGAAGCCTCACAAATACCGCATCCGACCACTATCCGAGTCCAAGGCCATCGAGTCTGGCGCCAATTTCATTAGCGAGTCGTTTCTGTTCTTGGTGGCTGGCGGCTTGATTGTATATGAGTCGTGGCGATCGAGGCGCAAGGAGAGCACCCGGAGAGAGGGTGTGGAAGGTCGCCTGGTTGAACTTGAGCAGTCCGAGAAGACTGCGCGGGAGTCCCTGGTGGCCTTGGAGAAAGAGCTGTTGCAGCTCAGAGCCAAACAGGGAGAACAGCCCAAGTCGACGAAGCGTATTTTGCCTCGTCAAATATGGGAGGACGAGCCGGAATTGCAGGTGCAGCAGGTCCAAGAAGAAGGATGGGTGTCGCGTATTGCATCCTATTTCTCCTTTGGACAGAGTGCTGAGAATACCTTCGAATCTGCACCTGTCTCTCAACCTGCGGCAGACAAGGGTACTCCCACCACTCAACCTCCAGAGGCATCTGCAGCACCCGATCAAGGCCAGTCCCCAGCACCCAAGACCTCATAAGTGCCGATTACAACCCCCTCATTATAGAGCGCTTTTTCTTTTTCTGTTTCTTTTCTTTTTCTGTTCCTGCCGGGATACCCGTTTGCTTTGAAAGACTAGCCCAGGCTAGAGCTGTACCATTGAGCTTATTGCTTGTGTGGCATTGTGTTATATACCCTCTCCTCTCTTGTCTGGCGACTCCAGACTCCTGCACATACACATATTTCCTTCAGACAGATTTTTTTTTTCATCCCCCATTCTCTACAACCATGCCATCTCAAGATGTCAAACCCAAGTTTTCATAGATTGTTCTCTCCTTCGTTCCAACTCCACCCGGCATGGACTGTGCTGGGCTTGATCTTGATGGCCGAGTCTATCCACGCGTCGTGTTTTTTGAACTATATCAGACAGCACATGGAGACCATCGCAGTTCGCAGGCCGCTGCACTTTCGCCGAGTCGATCCACTGGCTGTTCTTTTCTCGGTTAGCCGGCGTGGGTTTCCGCGCGCGGATCAATCTGGCACCGACGGGATCTTAAGCGTCCTGTTCTCATCCCTGCGTTGTCTGATCCAGGCGGTCAGGACGCAGGAAGGGATGGCCCTGTTGAAGGCGTACCTTGACCGAGAGGTGGCTGACAAAGTTGCCTTGTTTCTGCAGCAAGATGTGGCCATCACCTAATTGCCATCGCCAGAATTGGTGGTCCATGTGGAGTTCTGGCAGTCTTCACAATGTCTTGTCAATGCCGAGAATGTGGGGACTCATGAAGCCAGATCAGCACTTTTCTCATGATTCTACCAATATGACGACGTGGTATTTTTGCATGGAGCACAGAATACGTGCAAGCATTGCTCATCCTCAATATTCCTCGAGAGGATTTGAATTGTGGCTGCCTCTTTAGAGTCTCAGTAGATCCACGTTAATGCCCAATGACGTCGGTGATGCTATTCTTGACCCGCACTAGCCACCGTTGTTGACAGGCAGAGGAAGAGGGCATGGCCAATAGTAGAGTATATTCCCGAGAGAATAGTCATAGAAAATAACACCAAACACCAAAAGACCAAGCGAATCGTTCCAGCAAAAATCTGCAGATTTGCCCCTGAGGCAACAACCGAACCACAAAGACGCCGGTGTGGCGCAGCTGTTTGATTGGGTTTGGTACGTAAGTCGCCCGGTCCCTTTCCTTCTTCAATTCCTCTACTCTCGCTCTCTCTTTGAGACAATTCCCCTCGATCGCAATTCTTCATCCGGGCCTACAGACTACTCGAGTCATCCCGGTTGATAGATCAGATTGTTGCCTGGGCGCGAGAACCCGGGAGGTTGACATACGATGGTGGGTGCCTGCCATGATTCGGAACTGGGACACTTGCTAACACCGCGATCGCGGCACTAGGGTCAATCACGACGCCCCGTAGGCGGGGAGAAGAAAAGTCGCTTTGGGCGCTCCAAAGCGGTCGCCGACGTGGGCGATGGTCGACAAGCGGGCAAGCCGCAGGTCAAGAAAGCCACCTTCGAGAGCACCAAGAAGAAGGAGATTGGCGTGTCGGACCTCACCCTGCTCAGCAAGATCTCCAACGAAGCCATTAACGAAAATCTGAAGCTGCGGTTCGACCATGACGAGATTTATGTAAGGGATCGCTTTTGCCCGCAGACTGCGGGGTCGTGGTGCGCGAACTCCGACAGAGGCTAACAGTGTGATTTTAGACCTATATTGGCCATGTCTTGGTCTCGGTCAACCCGTTCCGCGACTGTAAGTCGGCTTGCTAATAGCGCAGACCATGTTCCGATTACTGACCTCTCCGCGATTCTTCCAGTGGGCATCTACTCCGATAAGGTCCTCGAGTCGTACCGGGGCAAGAACCGTCTCGAAGTCCCTCCCCATGTCTTCGGTGTCGCCGAATCCGCATACTACAACATGAAATCCTACAAGGACAACCAATGTGTCATCATTTCGGGCGAGTCGGGTGCCGGCAAGACGGAGGCGGCCAAGCGTATCATGCAGTACATCGCCAGTGTCTCAGGTGGCACCGACTCGTCGATTCAGCAGACAAAGGACATGGTGCTGGCCACAAACCCTCTGCTGGAGTCGTTCGGCAATGCGAAAACGCTGCGCAACAACAATTCATCACGGTTCGGAAAGTACCTGGAATTGGAGTTCAACGCCAACGGTGAGCCCGTGGGAGCCAACATTACGAATTATCTGCTGGAAAAATCAAGAGTCGTGGGGCAGATCACCAACGAGCGAAACTTTCATATTTTTTATCAGTTCGCCAAGGGCGCGCCGCAGAAGTATCGCGACAGTTTTGGTGTCCAGCAGCCGCAGTCGTATCTCTACACCAGCCGCTCCAAGTGTTACGATGTGCCCGGAGTCGACGATGTCTCCGAGTTCCAGGATACATTGGATGCGATGCGGGTGATTGGTATGAGCGAGGCAGAACAGGACAATGTGTTCCGCATGCTGGCGACCATTTTGTGGATTGGAAACATCCAGTTCTCCGAGGACGACTCTGGAAACGCCGCTATCACCGATCAGTCCGTGGTCGATTTCGTTGCCTATCTGCTGGAGGTCGATTCTGGCCAGGTGAACAAGGCGTTGACAATTCGATTGATGGAGACTGCTCGAGGAGGCCGCAGAGGCTCCATCTATGAGGTGCCCCTTAACACGGTCCAGGCTGTCGCGGTTCGGGATGCCTTGTCTAAAGCGATTTACTTCAACCTCTTCGATTGGATTGTGGGACGTGTCAATCAATCATTGACTGCTCGTGGATCTGTGACCAACTCGATTGGTATTCTGGATATCTACGGATTCGAGATTTTCGAAAAGAACTCCTTTGAGCAGCTCTGCATCAACTATGTCAACGAAAAACTTCAGCAGATTTTCATTCAGTTGACGCTGAAGGCGGAGCAGGATGAATATGCTCGCGAAGAAATCAAGTGGACACCGATCAAGTACTTCGACAACAAGGTGGTGTGCTCGTTGATTGAGGATAAGCGCCCGCCTGGTGTCTTCGCTGCTTTGAACGATGCCTGCGCAACGGCACACGCTGACTCTGGCGCTGCTGACCAGACCTTCGTCGGCAGACTGAACTTTCTTGGCCAGAACCCCAACTTCGAAGGCCGGCAAGGTCAATTTATCATCAAGCACTATGCGGGTGACGTTGGTTACGCGGTCGATGGAATGACGGACAAGAACAAGGACCAGTTGTTGAAGGACTTGCTTAACCTGGCAGGATCGAGCAGCAACCCCTTCGTGCACACCCTCTTCCCCAACCAGGTGAACCAAGATGACAAGCGCCGCCCGCCCACGGCAAGCGACAAGATCAAGGCGTCTGCCAACGATCTTGTGGCGACCCTGATGAAGGCGCAGCCGTCTTACATCCGTACGATTAAACCGAACGACAACAAGGCCCCCAAGGAGTACAACCAGGGCAATGTCCTGCATCAGATCAAGTACCTCGGTCTCCAGGAGAACGTACGCATTCGCCGAGCCGGTTTCGCCTACCGTCAGACTTTTGACAAGTTCGTGGAGCGTTTCTATCTTCTGTCGCCCAAGACTTCGTATGCCGGTGACTACACATGGACTGGCGATTCGGAATCGGGTGCGCGACAGATCTTGAAGGATACCAGCATCCCGTCGGAAGAGTACCAAATGGGTATCTCCAAGGTCTTTGTTAAAACCCCCGAGACCCTCTTTGCTCTGGAAGCCATGCGGGATCGTTACTGGCACAACATGGCGATCCGCATTCAACGCGCGTGGCGCAACTATCTCCGCTACCGAATCGAATGCGCGATCCGTATCCAGCGCTTCTGGCGCCGCATGACTGGCGGACTCGAATTTATCAAAATCCGGGATCAAGGACACCAGCTGCTCCAGGGACGCAAGGAGCGTCGGCGAATGAGTATCCTTGGCTCGCGGCGCTTCCTTGGTGACTACCTCGGCGTGGGGAATAAGGGTGGCCCTGGCGAGATGATCCGCAATGGTGCAGGCATCGGCGGTATGTTTTTGACGAGCCTTATTTTCTTTTGGCTTGCATTTCTAACTTCAACTCAATTAGGCTCAGATGAGGTTCTTTTCTCTTGTCGTGGCGAGGTCTTGATCTCCAAGTTCGGTCGGTCCAGCAAGCCGACTCCCCGGATCTTAGTCTTGGTATGTTTGAGTGAGTGGTATCTTGTAAGACTTGACTAACAATGTGGCAGACCAGTCGACACGTTTACATTATTGCCCAGAGCATCGTCAACAACCAGCTTGTCATCTCGTCTGAACGGACGATCCCAATCGGGGCTATCAAGACTGTTAGCACCTCCAACTTAAAGGATGACTGGTTCTCGCTAGTTGTCGGTGCTCAGGAGCCCGACCCGCTCCTCACCTGTGTTTTCAAAACGGAGTTCTTTACTCACCTGAACACTGCTCTGCGCGGCTCTTTGAATCTGAAGATCGGAGAGAGCATCGAGTACAACAAGAAGCCTGGCAAGCTGGCCACGGTTAAAGCCGTCAAAGACCCAGCTGCTGGGAACGTCGACAGCTACAAGAGTAGCACAATTCACACTAGTGCTGGCGAGCCTCCCAGCTCCGTGTCGAAGCCTACCCCTCGGCCAAAGCAGGTCGCCGCCCGCCCAGTCACCAAGGGCAAGTTGCTCCGTCCTGGTGGACCCGGAGGTGGACCTTCGAAGCTGTCTTCTACGGCTCGCAAACCCCCGCCGGCAGCTCAGCCCTTGCCCCAAGCAACTCCTCGACCTGCAGCAGTTCCGCAGCCAGTTACGCAGTCACGCGTGGTTCCCCAGCCTGTCGCTGCTGCGGCAGCCGCACACACCCGTACCGAGTCTGCTAGCTCTGTGAGGGCACCGCCGCCACCCCCCCTGCTGCGCCTCCTGCGTTGAAGAAGCCTACCGCGAAGGTGTTGTATGACTTCAACAGTGATCGTTCCAACGAGCTTTCCATTCGCACTGGCGAGATTGTGCAGATTGTGTCGAAAGAAGGAAATGGTGCGTTTCCCCCTCTCATTCAAAGACTTAAAATACTGACCTTTTCACAGGATGGTGGTTATGCATGAACATGACAACGTCCACGCAAGGCTGGACCCCCGAAGCCTACCTCGAGGAGCAAGTCGCTTCCGCCCCTAGACCCACGCCTCCTCCCCCGCCCCCAGCTGCACCCCGAGCAACCCCTAGCCCTGTCCCGAACGGCACCGGTGCAGCGACTGTGGCAGCCGCGAAGACCAAGCCGGCGCCACCAGCTCCTCCTGCGAAGCGTCCCAACATGGCTGGACGCAAGCCCGCTCCTCCGCCCGCGCCCCGGGATAGTGCCGTGAGCATGAACTCGGCCGACTCCTCTGGTGCGAGCGGCCGCGGCACCCCGACCGGAGCCCCTAACGCGAGCCTCGCAGGCGGCCTGGCCGAGGCGCTGCGGGCCCGCCAAAACGCCATGCAGGGGAAGAAACACGATGACGATGACGAGTGGTAGATTTCTATTGCGGTCTGTCGCGAGTGTTGCAATATTTTGCGCTTAGCGTTGGCCTCATTGTTTTGTGTACTTTTTTTTTCTTGTGTGCTTGAAGATCCCCCCGGCATATGCATTTAGGACCCAGCGTTTTCCTTGGCAGTGGCGTGGTGGGTTCTGTTTGTTCTACAGTGGAGACCGAGTTCAATATATACAGTTCCGAACGGTGACAAGCAGCCGAGAGAATAGTAGCTATCATGGTTAATGCCTAGAGATGTTCATGTACACATGCAACTTCGTTCATTCTCTTCCCTCTATGTTTTTGCAATCATTTCAGGAACTTGCTCGCCAGCCCCATCAGTCCACCGGGACCCCCGGTACCGGTCGAGCCGCTGCCCTGGCTCTTCATGTACATCTTGAGCGCAGTCTCAGCAGCCGAGTTGACGGCAGACTGCTTGTCACCGGACTAGACAAAGACAAGTCAGCAGAAGTCATAAACGCAATAAAAAGATTATAGAGGGTAAAGGGAGTCATACCACATGGCCACCAGAGCTCTGCTTCTCCTCCCACAACTTCCCAGCCTGCGACATAGCCAGCCCAATCAACTTATTCTTATCCATACCGCCGTCCTTCTTGTCCCCCGACGTAAACATCTTCAGCGCCTGCATGGCAGCACCTGCGCCCACGCTGTTGGAGTCGTGCTTGCGCTCCGAGTCTCCACCATCACCACCACCACTGCCGCCTCCATAGAGCGACTGGTGCGAGTCGATGGCGTGCTTCTCGTCGACCTCGTAGCGCGACGGGTCGGAGTACTGGCTCTTGCGGTCCTTCAGGAACGATAGCGCCGAGTTGAAGAGCGAGCCATCTTCGCCGCCGTGGTGTGACTGGGCATGCTGGGCGGCGCTGCTGAAGTCGTCGTCGTCGTCGTGCTTGTTGTAGTAGGAGGATGAGCTGCCGCCGCCACCGCCATGGCTCGAGCCGTAGCTATCTTGGCCGCCGTAGCCGCCCTGGCTACCGCTGCCATAACTGTCTCCGCCACCACTGTATCCTTCAGAGCGGCCGTGGCTACCGTGGCCACCGTGGCCACTGTGACTCTCTTGACGGCTGTAGCTGTCTCCACCAGAAGAACCACCACCGTAGCCCTCTGAACGACCAGAAGAGCCACCGCCATAGCCGCCCTGACTGCCACTACCATAGCTGTCTCCACCGCCGTATCCCTCAGAGCGGCCGTGGCTGCCATGGCTTTCCTGACGAACATAGCTATCTCCACCGCCGTAGCCACCAGACGAACCACCACCATAGCCGCCCTGGTTCTGACCGTAGCTATCACCACCACCGTATCCCTCCGAGCGACCAGAAGAGCCACCGCCATAACCACCCAGGCCTTGGCCACCGTAGCCGTCCGAGCGGCCGGAGCCACCGTATTCGGAGCTGCCGTAGTTGTTTTCGCGGTAAGACATGATGAGGGGTTTTATTGGTAGGTGGTTTAGGTTGCAAGAGGAAATGAGTGAAGAGGAATGTGAAGAGATAAAGAGAAGTAAGGAGGATGAAGGTAACAAAGGCAATAAGAGTCCGTACCCGGTAGCTGAGCTGAGTACCTGAGGAGGGGTTGCGGGGCAGACGCGTACCTAATTGTATCCTATAGCGCGGTGGATCCCGATGTAGATCTTGCATTGGCTGCACGTAATTTGGTGTGTCATGCTAATTAATAGGTTTGTGATATCAGAAATTACATTATCCTTAAGGAAGCGGTGATATTGTTCCTTTTGTGGACCGGCTTTGTGCTGTAGAGCTCATATGTTCAGATCTCTAGTACGCTATATAGGCACCTCCGCGTAGCGGATTTCTCCTGCTGGTGGGAGGCGTAATGACGCCGACAGGTTTTAATAATAATACGGTGACAGAAAGCATAGATCAATTACTATAATATAATAGCAATAAAAAAGGGTGAGTCAATGTCGATGATAAAGAGGAGAGTAAGAGAAGATAATAATAATTGGCCCTACCGCTAGATTAAAATAACCCTTTCGTTACCTAACTACTATATTATCCCTCCTATACTGATTCTTAATATAGGGTTAAGGAATTTAGTATAAAAAAGCATTCCGCATTGACTCATCGCATCGATAGGCGTGCACCCTAACAAAGAGTTCCTCTAAATGAAAAATTGTCGTGATTGCATGATCATCTAACCCTTCCAAATTAGCGTCTGTCTTCTGGCTCTAATATCCTGTTGACCTGTTTGAACCTGCCCAGGATATAAGGCAGATCCCAACGGTCATCCTGCATACATATTCCTCTTGCGATCAACCCCCTTTTAGACTCCGATAAAGCACTTCCGAATCGCTCCCCTAAATAGTTGAAGGTGGCCTCATAAGAGCGGCCCGGTTTGACCTTTTTGTCGCCAGGCACCGTAAGCCAATTATAGACCTCTGCACGAAATCCTGAATGCAGCATGTATCGTGGTTGGTCGGCCTCTAGGTATGTTAGAGCATACTCGAAAACATCATCCTTGAAGATATCATATGGCTCTCCGTTCTTGGCCTCTGAATGAAGATATTAGCACTTGTTCTTCGACGACGAGGGAAAAAAAGTGAATAGTATCCGTACCCGGGCCTTTATAATTCTTTTGTCCCGCGCGAGAAGTCTGGATTCTCTCAGTCACCTTTGTAGCCACACCCCAATCGGTCAAGAAGAATGTCCCTTGTTGTCCGAGAAGTATATTGGCAAGCTTAATATCCCGATGAACAATCCACTTCTTATGAGCGGCTAGTAATGCCTTGCCGACAGCCCACATTGACAGCGAGACATCGACGCTATGCCCAAGCCTCAGAGCTTTCTCCAAGTCCTCAATAGCTTTTGGCATTACCTGGACCGATTCCCTTGTGTTCCCGGACCAAAAAAGTTCCTTGGGCTGCAACACATAGGGACTGTCAATTTGCTTTTGAAGAAGGGTCTGATCTATGTCTTGCCCTCCTGACGAGACCTTGACCGCCACTGTCTCTTGTTGCTCAATTGGCAGGCCAAAGCGTATATTTTTACGCGTCCGGTAATACTTGAGTACTCCAACCCAGACTGAGCCTTGGACTCCACCCCTAAGTGTTCCCTGAGTCGTACCTCTCCATATGCCTTGCCGTGCTCTTTTAAGACATATAACGTTTCCCCTCGGACATCGGAGGCATGCTTGTCCCCTGATTGATAACCGCATGTGGCAATAGGGCGTTGAGGAGGGGCGCGAGGGTCGATTGAATGTTCGTGCAGCGAATCCTCAAGGAAGAAGTTTCGTCGGGCGAGCGTGTTTTCATCGTCTTTGTCGAACTGGATGACTTGGAGGTCTTCGGAGTGGGGTTCTTCGCGGATAGGAGAAGAGGAAATCCGAGAGATGAGTAACGAATAGAACCCCCATAAGATCAGTTGCGCTTTGAAGAGGCGCATTTTGGGGGAATGGGGGAAGGTGACAAGAGGCGGCAAAGCACAGCACGGGGATTCACCAGGTGTACACGAGGGGCATCTACTCGGTATTTATGTATACCAGTCAGTTTTTTCCAGAATCAGAGATGATTTACAAGGCATCGACGGGTCCAGCTTCAACCTTCCAATCCTCTGCACGGGTTGCTTCATGTTCTGGGCGATTGTTGGTTGCCCTGTTAGTCGTGCGCCCGCTACGGCCCCCAAGCTCCAATAAGGGGTGCATTTGCCCTACAATGGTCCTTCTTATCCTTCCCTTCGCTATTTGTAGTTAAGCTCTGTCATGCGGGGGGCTACAAATGCCATGAGATCCCCTGTCCACTGAATAATCTGTGGAGAAGTGGTGGGGTATGGCAGCCTGCTAGAAGACATACACTGGCGGCTGCCACGTCGCAGGCCAGAATTCAGATCAGATGAACAGTTTGGGTTGGTGTTGAGTCTATGGTTGGAAGTGTGGAATAAGTTTGTATAAGCGTATTATGATTGGCTGGCTATAATTAATTAAAAATTACTTCTTGGGGTTGCTACACCAAAACCAACTGACCTTTTTCTATCTACCCACCCGACCTACCTATCTATCTTTTATTAAAATTTTATCTATTTTTTATCTATTTTTTATTTCATTTTTATCTATTTTTCTATCGAATATCATTGAAATTGTGTTGACGAGAATCCAACATCCACTAGGGGTGTGGGGGCGAATCGCTTGGGGCTATCTTGTTTTTTATTACTCTAGCAATTACATCATAATCCTTCCCAATCCCTCAACTCTTTTGCTCTATAAAGAATGAATCAATGAATCAATCAACTTCGTCGTTTGTCTATAATTCATCCGGGCTGCTCTGCTCTGTGATACGATGCCACTATGATACGATGCCACTATGATTTAGCTCACCAGGCCTTGGTCTTGAAGGCAGCCCCCAGAAAAGAGCTGACCCAGCGCCCTGTGCCGATAGGCCAGGCACCAGATCCGCACTCAGTAAATCAGGGCGCTCGCCTGCTCAATTCTACTCGAGCAAAAGCGGCGAGGGGGTGAGTACCTGGGTGATATAGCGACAGCTCAGAATTCCTATCAGACACAAAATTTACTCAAGGGATCCTATAAAAAGCCAAAGAAGCACAGAATATATCAAGATCTCATGATATCGAAGATAGAAGATCAAAAATCCAACAACACCATTAGCCCAGGGTATCAGATGCAGCAGCTAGAAAGAAAGAAAGAAAGAAGAAGAAAGAAAAAAAAAAGTCAAGTAAATAAGCCACACCAGCTAAAGAATCAACGCCTCATGCTCTTCATCCGACAGATTACGCAGAAACCGCATCTCGCGCTCACCCGCCCCCAAGACACAGCGCTCATCACCATCCAACTCAGCCTCGGGCACCCACTCATTCGGGAATCCCGAGAGAGCAAAACGCTGTCCCCACTGGCGGCGCTCATATTGCATAAAGCCACCGAAGTGCGGATCGGTATTGGCAACCCAAATAACACTACCGTCGGGGTCATAGTCGGCACCCCCGACCTCGCCAAAGAAATCATGGACCTGGCGGGATTGGTAGAGCTGAGCATCGACAATGGCGATGCGGTCGGCGGGTTCGGTGCAGAGCAAGGTGCGCGGCCCGCCGCCGACGGGGGAGAAGCGCAGGGAGCGGTATCCGGCGACGTCGGAGTCGATGGTTTCGAGGGCGCGCCAGGTGCGCGCGTCCCAGATGATTACAGTCTTGTCTTGGTTGCTGGTGGCGATGTGGCGCATGTCCGGCGACCAGGCGCATGCGAACCCGAAGTCACGGTGTCCGCGCAGCGGGTGCACTGGTCGCCCGGTGTCGGCTTCGATCACCCATGCATCGGGCGAGTCGCCGATCACCACGCGGAGACGACTGTCCGGGGACGTGGCGGTGCAGTTGAGCGGGCGGGATAATTCCTGGTCGGACACGAAGATGTTCGTCTCGCAGTCCAGCATCCGCAGGTGTTTATCGTTAGATGCAAAAATGCCCATGGGCGACGCCCCCGTTCGGCTGCGCACGATGTCCACGTGGTTAGTGATGCCGTCGTTGAAGTCGGGAGTCACTAGCCCCTTCGAACCCGAGCCTTCGGATCTCATCGCTCGCAACGCGTATTCTCCACAGAAACCACCGGCAATAGTCAGTCCATGCGCGGTTTTCATAGTCGAGATTTTGACCGGCCCCAAGAACCCCGCTTCGGGATCGGGCTGCGTCATATCAATCAGGCAGTTGGCATTGTCGTCATACGTGGGCTCCCACGAGAAGATTTTGGACCGTGTGGCGAAATGAACCGTGTCGTATGCAGGAACCGACATGAGATTGCGGAGTTGAAAGTGCTCAACATTTGCCTTGTGCGAGGTATGCATGGATTTCTCTCGGAAACATGCATCCCGCTGCGGCAGCCGTTTCGCGTGGCTGATATGCGAGTAATCGAGATTGTGGTACGAGGTATACCAGGCGTCCCGCAGCGCTCGGGCATCACTCCGTCTCACGCGCAAGGTGTCTCTCCACGGAATTCTCTGGAGATCGTAGAATTCCCGTTGGTACGCATGAGGCCTAATGACCTCCTGCGGTGGTTGCCAGCCGATCATCTTCGCCAGCGGACGGAGCTGCGGATGGATGCGAGTTTCCGTTTCAAAGTTATATGAAGTGGCATTCAACTGCATCATCCAGCGTTCGATGAATTCATCGATCGTGAGGTTCCTCTCGTAGGCTAAATTACTTGTGAGATACTTGATAAGAAGGGAAGGCACGAACAGAAAAAAACATACTAGTGGTGTGGATACTCGAAGCAGGATGCGGGGGAGGAAATTCCGGCTGATCGAGCATCTCGTCACTCTCAAATGGATCCGGGACTGGCGCCGCCGGTGCTGGTGGCAGGTCGACATCCGAAACATCGTAATTGAAGCCCTGATAGAAGTCGTCCAGGTTCACGTCATCCGTTGCGGGGTCGTGCGGAGAGCGCTGAGCCTTGCGCTGGTAGTAGTAGTATTCTTCGTCAGGATAAAATCGGATCAAATCCTGCACTTCGTCGTCGCGGGAAGGCGACGGCGACGGACGGTCTTCCGCCATAGTGGAATCGTAGTCCATCAGCAGATCTCTGCGGTCATTTCCATGGTCGGTATCGTCCACAATCGTGGCGATGTTCTGCAGGGGAGCACGACGCCTAAACAGCTCCTGAGTAAAGGACTCCATCGAGACATCGCCATCTGTCGTCTCCGATTCCTGAGAAACATCCCGAGCCTCAAATGGATCAGGATATCTCCCCGCAAGTCCTGCGGGGTACGGCATGGCAGTAGCCGAAGAGGGACTGTAGGTCACAGACTCCCGAGGATGGGAGCGCGAATGGCGCGGAAGGGGGCTGCTGCCTGTCACGGCGTGAACAACCTCCGAGACCAGAAATGAATCGCGCTCGGGATCCACGGCGTGCGGGTACTGAGACACCGCCGCGAGAGCCGCAAGACCGACATCATGCAAGCGGTGATCGTCAGCCGCACTCACAGACATCGTCGCGGATGGCGAGCCGGAGCCAGAAAAAGCATGCGCGCTGCTGCTCACGGCTGGCGCATGTTGTTGCTGCTGAGAAGCAGACCTGCTTCGCGGGGCACCGGGCGAGGTATTATCCATCACTGGCGCTGACGGCCCGGGATCACATGACACATGGTGAGAGGGACGCATCAACGAGACTCGAGAAGAATCGCCACGTAGTCGCCATGGGATCTTGAGCATCAGATGACTCGAGACTGGCACTCGAGACAAAATGCGGCTGGTGGATGATCGAATGAGGATGACAGCGGGGGGCGGATGAATCAGCTCTTGGCGCCGCCACAGCTGACATACGTACTTTTGGCATCGATATTGACATGGCATTGACTCTGGTATTTCTTGATATGGGCAGAATAGTGCTCATATTGTGAAAGCCAAGGAGAGAGCCATGTCTTGACAAATAACTTGAGACCGTTGTGTTCATGACCTCCTTCGACTATACATACTTCGCCTCCATACTATTTTCTATGAACCAGAACTGATTGAAGTAGATGGGAATACTGACAGTGCCTTGTGTCTGCCTAATTATGAGCTAGAATACCACTGGTAATTCTCTTACTGCCTCGCCATGTACATAACTCACACCTGCCCTTACCGAATCGAAATATATTACCAGGGAAATCCTATCCAAGCACAGCCTCAGCAAACACAGCTACCAAAACACAACCCCAGAAAGCAAATCTTCGAGAAGGCCGATCAATTCTTCAGCTCATGCACGGGGGAAACAATGCAAACAAGCCCTGCAGGCAGCAATGCACCGCCGATCCCGTCTCCCAGTCAAACAAACCCCGACGATGACGGGGCGCGCATTGATACCTATTGGGCAGCACTTAGGCTGAAGTGGGCCACTTTTTTTTGGTCATCCTAAAGTTATTAGGCCTTGTTATTGGGCGAGGAATATGGAGAAGAGAGAGAGAATGTGTGTGTGGCTGTGTTGAACAAGGAGGCTGCAATACTCTATGCGGCTGGCGCAGTCAAATCTAGGCATCCAATCCACAATCTATCCCCACGAGATATGGGGTAATATCGTGACGTAGGTACTTTAATATCTGAGGTATCATATTTCACATTGACACGTAGATCAAGTTCACCGCCGTACAGATAAAGAAAAATAAGAAATCCCACAAAATCAAGATATTAGCACACGTTAGATGGTGAGATGGCTCGTCACTCGTGCAACCCCGTAAGCTCCAAGCGCAAAAATATAAACATATCAACCAGATCAGAAAAAGTAAAAAAAAAAAAAAAGGTAAACGCCTGGCCCCCACTCCCCGAGACGCGGTATGTAAAGGTACAGTAATAAATCACATCGAAACAAAGTAATCATGCTCCGTAGGATCGTGACCGTTAGTAGTCCGAATATGTCTCGTAGTGCGACGAGTATCCGTTCCCGGGGGCATGCGGCTGTGCCCAGGCACTATTGCGTAGACGGCGCTCTAAACAAGGTATGAGTCAGCAATTGTTCTCGCCGAAAGGTCAGGTTCGAGTTCGGTGTTTATTACTCACCCTTTTCAAAATCGCGCCAGCGCTTCATCGTGATCTTGGTACTGTCGAACTCGCCCTCGGTCGCACCGTGGCCCTTGTCCTTCTCGCCGGCGGTCTTCCGCGTCTCGCCCCAACTGAAGTCATCGAATTTCCAGAATGCATACGTGGGCAACACGAAGTTCCAAATCGGCAGGGAAATCAGATATATCAGCATCCACAGAACGTAGACCAGGCGATGGGCCGTCACGACGATCAAAACGCCCGGTAGACCCAGGATCAGGGCCAACAGGACCAGCGGGATGACCTGCACAGGTTTCTTGACAATGGAAGAGATGACGACGTAGAAAGTGAAGGCGATAGCGGCCGGAAGAACAAGGGTGCCGACAAGCTCGATGAAGATCACGAATTGCATACTGAAGCAGAAAGTGCCGCAAAGATCCCGGACGAGAACGAGCTCGAACAGGTTGTGCACGGTACTATTGATCCAGCGACGGCGCTGTGAGAGGAGAACCATGAACTTCTCCGGGACAACTGTCTTGCACACGGCCTGCGGGACGAAAATCTGCTTGCGCTTCGGGAAGGTCTTGAGCATCAACGTGGTGAGGTAGCGATCCTCACCAAGAAGCAGCAGGTTCTTCTTGTGCAGGGTGTCAACGACATTCTCAGAGTAGTGCTCAACGATGTCTGGATTAGCCAAGATCGGCACCCAGTAGTTCTGGCCGCCTTTGGGTGCTTTGATGCGGTACATGGAGAAACAGCCTGGGAGACAGGTCACACCGCCGAAGATGGACTCGAATGATTTGGCTTGGTGATGGGAAATAAAGTATCTGGGACTGTCAGCGAATTATCATGCATACAGAAAAAGATCAAACATACTCAAAAACTTGGATCATAGTCACCCAGCTCTCGGTCTTGTTGGCGATCTTGGTCTCTCCACACAACCCCATGATCTCCGGGTCTTTGACCATGGCCGAGATCATATGTGTCAAACTGTCCGGGAACACTTTAGTATCGGCGTCGACCATCAAGACGACCTCGTAGAAATCCGGCGGAATGCCGGTAACATTCCACATGCCATTGAACATCTCAAACTCCAGCTCGGTCATGCGCTCATCGAACATAACCTTTTGCAAGAACGACATGAGAATGATCTGGCTGTCTCGCTTGCCCCGGTTACCCGGTTTGGCCTGTGTGGATTCCTCGGGCGTGCCGCACTTGACAACTAGCATCATGGGAACACGCTGCTGCTTCTCTGTCGGGATGATCGAAGTGTCGCCATAATCATAGAAGCCTGTGTACACCTTGGCCATGTTGTGGCGCTTGGAGCCGGTGGCCACAGCCACGTAAGAGAATGGCTGGACGTCCTCCGGTGCGACGACATGGTCGCTCATCATACGCAATACAATCTCGGGGGTGGAAAACTCCTCGCCCTTGCCTTTGATGATGCCGTCGCAGATTACTACAATCGTCTTGTGGCTGTTGGGGTAGTCGGTCATGGCAATCGAGTCCAGCGTCGTCCGGATTCCTTCTTCACCCTCCGAGTAGCAAGTTACCAAGCACAGTGAATGGGCCAAGGGATACCCGAACGGCTGCCACTCGGGAGGCGGCTGCGGCACGACAGCTTCGTGAATGAACCCAGCCGGCCCAGGACCCTCGGATTCGGACAACATGGTTGGATAGCCAGACTCCTGAACTGGGCCAGCCAAGCTAGTTCGACTCGCTGCAGGGTTGTGGCGAGAGTTTTCGGCGCTCAGCGTGCCTCCGCTGCTGTTGTGGCTGGCTTTGTACATGGTTCCACTATTGGTTGAGCTGGGCATCAGACGGGAAGTCGAGTTCTGGCTGGCCATCGTGATGTATTGTGGGCGTTGCTTGCTACCCCCGCTGCCCACAACGTATGGACTAGAGAAGCGAGACGTGGTTGGCAAGAAGCTGGCGCGCTTACTCGTCCGCTCTGGCACGGGAACGTCGGTGATGCGAGGAGCGGGTCTGTAAATATCATTGGACCAATCTTCAATCTGCTGGTTACGAGTTCGGGCATCGGACGCCATACTCGTTTTCTGGGCAGCGAATTTAGGCGCCAGGAACCATTGGAAGAGCAGCGCAAAAGCGAACTTGACCACGACAATAGACAGAATGAAAATCAAAGACACGTAAAGCACGACTTTGGACGCAATGCATCCAACGGTGTCGGTGTCGATGCTGCCGACTTTGACAATCTGGGTCAGACATTTGCCTATCTTCTTGCCCTCGCCGCTTTGTAGGTAGTAAGTGAGATCAACACCACGCACGGCGGGATTCTGGCGCAGATGGTCGAATTTCGCAGGATATGATACCTGACTCGTATTGAACCAACGGAGAAGGTCGAGATCAAGCACATTTCCCGAGTACACGGCGAGATTCCGGCTCTTGTTCTTGGTGTCTTCCCACGTGTAATACACGTCCCCGGAGCCTCGGAGGTTGTAGAAGGCTTCACGGGCGTGGGAGCCGGTATGGCAGGCCCAGCCCAGGTAGTGCGACACAGTCAGGTTAGGCTCCGACGACCCGTCTTGATTGAAAGCCGTGCAAGGGAAATACCACCCCAACTCACCCTTGCTATTCGTCGGGACATCGCCGTCGGGTTTCGCAGTAATCAGCCCTTTGCAGGCCCCGTTCACTTGCTGGAAGAAAAAGCTGCCATCTTGGCCACCGTACTTGTGCGGCAAATCATACAGAACATTCGTTCCGGCGGGGATGCCAGCCGCGGGGCCGTGGTCGGAACTGGTCAAGTCGTAGGCCTTTCCATGGAATATCATGTAGCCACTCCCGACCTTGTTCACATTGAGACGCACAGGCGGCGTCCCGCAAACCGTAGCCGTAAAACCAAAGGTCAAGAAACCGACGAAGGCGGCGATCATGAGAATCACGCTGATCAGGCCGATCTTCTCTCGCCAAGCGGTCCGCTGTTCTTTTTGGGGCATGCCAAAGCAGCGGAGAGCGAAGTCCGGAATTAAACAGGTAAGGAGCGCACAATAGGCGGTCCAGAGATCTGGCGGACGACCTTGTTCGATGGCCTTTTGGCGTCTTCTTTCCTCGGCCACAGCTCCCTTGGTCACCCGACGAGGCTGCCTCTTCTTTTTCTTGGACCGATGTCGGCTCGGGACCCGATCCATGGGTTTGTTGACATTTCCTCGCGCACCGTACAACCCTTCCTTTGCTTTCATATCCATGCTCCGCGAGCTGTTCGTCTCCGCCTCCCCGTCCCGATCCAGGAGTGGGTCGTTTCCTGTAGTAGAGGGGTAGGTCGACATTTGATGCGATCGCTGCCGGTAATGGTAGTTGGGGTGGTCATGGTCGAGGCGACGACGCTCCGGTTTCACGAGACTCTTCTTGCGGCGAAGGTCCCCGCCCCGCTCCATGCGCTCTTCATCGATGTCTAGGGGCCGTCGCTGGCTGTGCGAGTGGCGGCGCCGGTGTCGGTGGGCGGAAGGCGAGGTGTTGGGGCTGCTGTCGGTGTAGGCACCCGTGTCGATGTCGCGGCGCCGTCGACGGGAAGGCTCGCGGAATGCACGGGCTTCCTCGCGGCGAGGAGAGGCCTTGCCAGGTCTCTGTGGCAGAGACATCACGCTCCTACGGGGGAGAGAGACTTGAGTCAGTCTATCGCTAGCGATGACGCTAGACCAGCGCACGGCGAGACGTACTGTCAAAAGATTCCGATCATCCGCGACAATCGCGAAAGAATGCTGGGGACAGTCTATTTGCGATTTGTCGACTGGAACATGTCAAATGCGACCCACAACCGATATCGCCAGATCCGAGACAGCAAAAGACAACAACAAAAACGGAGAAAAATGCGACGAAAGTGACTTGTCGCCAGGGAATCAAAACGAAAGTTGGGAAATCAGTCGAGCATTGAGAGATCGCAGAGACTCCGATAGAGTGCAGACAAAGAAGCGAAGGATGTGGTCGGCCGGTGCAACGGACCCTCGGTGGAGAATAAACAAGTCCCACTGTGGACGTCAGCGATCGACGGGTCAGTCAGATCTGGGTCAACCCAGTCAAGAGATGGACATATATTTTGAGGGCTAAAGAATCAAAGAATGAGAGAAGCAGAGACTCGGAAAATCAGAGAAGCAGAGCATCCCAGGCAGATGTCTCTCGGGAAGGTTTGTGATGGCCTCGCCTCCTTTCTGGCTTGGCAAGAGTCACCACACTGTGCCTTAGTATTCTTAGTATATAGTATATTAGGATATTAGTATTATTTGATTCTTATGATTCTTATTATTATAATAAAACCCTAATTACTCTCCCATTAATAGTCGATATCACATTACAGCCTAGATACCACCGAATCCACCAGAATCGATCTGTCGCTTATGTGCTGGATGTCTCAGAGTGATACGGGGATACCTGGGTAACCATTTTCATGTTATGATAGTATATAAATTATAATATATATTGATTTTGAATTCCCCTATTCTGTCCTTTCATTTCACCCCGCACTCAACATCCCGTTCCCTAGGTATACATCGATCCTTCCGTCGAGTCTGTTTTTGCCATTCAAGCGATGGTTTAGCAGTATTTAGCCCAAGAACCAATCACACTAGAGACCAAAAATGAAGAATAAACGTATCACAGTCTTCTTACCTCGGATTCCGTGGGAATAGCGCAGACCCGATGGACACAACAACACAACAGGGCCTAGGGTGTTCGTCTTGGTGCCTTGTGTGCATGGGAGCACGCCATCCTGGTCAAGCCACGTTCGACTGGAATGCTGAGGCATATTCTATATTCCCTAGTGGCAAAACATCCTACCATAGAATGTCGGTATGTGATAAGGCTCGCGAGGGATAAACTAGCTATTGGGTTGAAAAACCTGTGAATAACAACATCAATCATATACCAAATCTTCATATCATATCATGAAGTGTACTCGATCCATGAGGCCCATGCGGCATGTTGTGTATAGCGTGCTGCAACCCAGCAAGGAGCCTCCCGGAGGATCCATGGCCGTGCGAGATGTGCATCCTTGGACTATGAAAGTCAATTGTGGTACATCTTACTATAATCTCACTGAATACTGTTATTTCCTTGAAATAAATTCCATTGCTTTTACGTTTATTCTCATTTTTTCCGTCTCTGTATCGATAAAAGACAGCCATAATTATATCCACATACTTCAGTTGCCACGCACCGGATGAGTCGGGCCCTAAAGTATCTCCGGGCCCTAGTGCCATGCATCCACGTCCCCGTTGCTACTAGTACCATGTAAAGTTGTACCCCAGCGTCGGCTCCACCGATCCATGGGTGATCATATGCAATAAGATTATTGAATATTGACCAGCGGTGAATGAATAGCCTGGGAAGAAGAAAAGGAGGTTCGACAGCAGAGAGGAAAACGGAAAGAAAACGAAAAGAAAAGAAAATGCCTGGGTAAATACAGCCAATTTTAGCGACGCGCGGGGCTTGAGAATTATTTTTGGATGCGGAGAGAGCCTTCGGATCGGCGGGGATATGTGGATCGTGGCACAGAGGCATCAGCGGGAAGTAGAGACATGAGTCTAGCCGGTATACGAGAAGGAGTGTTTAGGCTGAGAGCAAGTCAGTGTATACTTCTACCTTACTTGAAGGTGTATTGACTCGATAGGTTTGTAGAATGTCTATAGAATGTCTATAGTCTATAGAATAGGCAATAAGATAATCCTTTATCCAAGGAGTAGACTAGCGACGAGAGAAGTGGAGAGAGCGAGTTCTTGTTGGCTGAAACACCTTGTTTTCTTCTTGCGCCCCTCCCTCGCTTCAAACGTCTTTTCTTTTTTCTTCAAAGCCATCATTTGCTCTTCTCTTCCTTTTCCACTCGACTTGGTGACTGCCCAAAGGTGTACATCTACATTCCCTCCTGACGTGGCCCACATTGTCCCGATAGCCCATCGATAAGGGGATAACAATTCAACGATTTCTCCAAATTTCATTCATGTCCCAATAACCTCGTCTTTCGCGCCTGCGATCTCAGGCGGTGACTTGGTCGTTTCTGTCGTTTCTGGTTCTATTTAGCTGTCGCATTCACATCTCATTTGGGTCTGGCGTTCTCGAGAAAATGGCGAACCCCATGACAAGTCAATATCCCCAGCCACTGTCTTCTCCGGCGCCCGCTTACCTGCGATCTTCACCTCCGATTCCCGCTCCTCCTAAACTCACACCGCGACCCATTCCTCAGCGACCCATCCCTCAGCGACCCCAGAGCTTGAACCTGTCTCGGAAACCAGTCCCAACGTCAGCATTGGACTCGGAGAATGCCTCGGTGATTCAGACTGCACCACGCTCACCCGTCAAGATTGACAACCCAATAAATGTGCCGCAAGCCTCGAGCGCACAGATCGAAACTCTTCGCAATCGCTCCGTGACACCGCAACTGGAGCTTCCCAAGTTTGGGGCCGTGTCCCTCGACAGCCCAGTGCAGCCGCCCCAGCAGAGTTGGAACCCGTCGCAACCACCCCAGAGGGACTCTGTCCAAGCCTCGCACTTTTCACAATCGCATCCGTATGGTCACACCCCCGCCAGCAGCGGATCATGGTCTGTGGTAGATCCGCAGATGAAAGAAGACGGGTATGGCAACCCCAAGAGTGGCTCGTCGCTCGATCGCGAGGGCCAGAACGGCAGCCACAACAGCTCGTCTCGCGGCAGCCTGGACAGCATGGCCCAGGTCTCGGATAACTACGAACCTCTCCACTACCACCACCAACAGCTCGAGAACCCAAACCCGGCGCAGAAGCCGGCGCCGAATCCAACCGAAAACACGGCTAACCTGGCTGCCAACTTTGCCAAACGACGGTCCAGACTCTCTCGGCCACTCTCAATGTACTCATCCTTGTCGGAGGCTGGAGGCCATCGGCGGAATCTGTCGGCGTCGCCCTATCTCCAAGGCCGGTCCTCGTCAAGGAACTCCACCGCTTCACCCGACAACCGATCTATCTCGGTTCTGGATCTCTTGAACACTTCGTACCCCCAGCCCGGTCCCACGGCGGCACAATTCGATAACTCCCATCTGCGGTTATCGGTGGGAAACAACGCCTCATTGCTCAGTCACAAGCAGACGTTCGAGATGTACTTGGCCAATGTCAAAAAGACGGACGAGCCGGCGGTGCAGTATGAGTTTGCAGTGTTCATGCTGAATTCAATGCGCGAGATGCCTTCGCTGGATCTCGACGATCCGAGCTCAATCACTCCCGCAAGACTTCTCCGCGAGGCTCGAACCATCCTGCAACGTCTCGCAGACCGCAGCTACCCATTCGCCCAGTACTACCTCGGAGACGGATATGCTTCTGGATTATTCAACAAGGGGAAAGAAGACTACGATCGGGCATTCCCTCTGTTTGTTGCTGCTAGCAAACACGGCCATGTCGAGGCATGTTACCGCGCAGCACTGTGCTACGAGTTTGGTTGGGGCTGTCGTGTCGATGGCGGCCGGGCCGTGGGGTTCTATCGACAGGCGGCATCAAAGAACCACCCGGGTGCCATGCTGCGCATGGCCAAGGCCTGCCTGGCTGGGGATATGGGCTTGGGCAAGCGGTACCGCGAGGGAATCAAGTGGATGAAGCGCGCTGCCGAGACATCAGATGCGCAGTACAACTCCGCTCCCTATGAACTCGGCGTGATGCACGAGGCTGGATATGGCGACGACGTCTTTGCGGATGCCTCGTATGCGGCGCAGCTATTTACCAAGGCTGCAGAGCTCGGCCATGCGCAAGCCTGCTATCGCATGGGAGATGCCTACGAGCACGGGAAGCTTAATTGTCCTCGTGATCCCGCCCTCAGCATCCACTTCTACACTACGGCTGCGCAGAGCGGGCACCCGATGGCCATGATGGCTCTGTGCGCATGGTATCTCGTTGGCGCCGAGCCCGTCCTTGAAAAGGACGAGAGCGAGGCCTACGAGTGGGCTGTGCGCGCTGCCGGTGCCGGTACGTTATCGAAAGGATATCTTCTCTTTGCTTTCTCCCAAATCTAATGCCTGCTGTCTTTTAGGTCTTGCCAAGGCGCAGTACGCCATTGGTTATTTCACCGAGATGGGGATCGGCTGTCGTCGTGACCCGCTCGAAGCCAACGTGTGGTACGTCAAGGCAGCTGATCAGGGCGACGAGCGGGCCAAGCACCGCATCGCAGCGATCAGAGCCGCTGCAGACGGAGCAAACCCGGTCATGGCTGCTCGCCATGGCCGGTTCAAGAAGTCTGACGGCAAAACCCAGGGTAAGTTTTGCCAACGTGGAAAATAGGAAATATCTCAAAGCATGCTGACTGCTAGATAACAGGAGGCAACAAGCCCGTTAAACAGAAGCGCTTTGTTATTTTCTGAAGCCTCCCTGATCCCTCTCCTTGCATTGGCTCCGGAGACACTATTAATGACCCCAGGCGATGCACCAGATCCCTGCATACCCATATCCAGTGCATCGACTTGCCACCTCTACCATGACCCTAATACATAATCCTGCATACCTCATGCGCACTGGTACTGCGCTGTTATCATCTTGAGCGACTTAATGTTGAATGTTTATAGCGCACCCCCCGGTTTTCACTTCCTATCCTTGGCGTGCCATTTTGTCTTGTTTGGTTATTATTCTCTGCCATGTTTTGTGCTGGGGTGCTATGCCAGTTGTCTCTTGAAGGGCAGAAATTTGAAGCATTTCTTCTGGACAGAATTTCTATATTCTCTTACTAGTCTGGTGGTCTAGGTGATAGTAATATTTCTATATAAAAGGCTTTCTCCTATGCAGCAATGAATGAACCATGCCTTGCAGTTAGGCCAGAAAGATATAATAACCATTCAAGAGAAGGAAATAAAAGAATAGAAGCGTTAATTACCAAGACTAAAAAGAAATTGAGTAGTTGAGAATACAGAAAGAAATGAGACTTTTCTTCATAAAAGAGATCGAAACAGATCTTTTAACCTATAAATGAATACAGAGACACTCAATCATCCAGAGTCATAACTAAGAGGCTAAAAATGGCGTCAGAAATAGCCATGTGAGGTGCCCGATTTATTATCACTAAGCGTTAGTGTACTTTATCCAAGAATCTTATCCATTGAATAGAGCTGACTACAACCTCAAGATCTGCGAGGCACAAAAATATTCAAGGTGAGCACCAGTCGAGAGATTCATAGCTCCATGTCCACGATCCAGAATTTAGTGAGTTAAGCAAAGAGTCTAGTTCTCCCCGCCCGCTGTCTGACGTGGTGACTAGACCAACAAACCAAGTAAGTGAGCAAGCATCCTTATGTTTTGGCCCCAGTGGGGTTTCTCCGTCGGTGAGTTTTTGTGCCCCGGTAGCTCGCGGTACATATAAGAGGGCAGGTCTAGAGCTCTTCTCTGTCGGGTCAAGAAGTCCTTGAACGCAAAGTTCCGCCATGACTGAAGTCCACGTGGTCTCGAAGCTGGATAACCAGCAGCATGCAAGCGTCACGCTGCCAGCAGAAGAGGGCGTGGGGCAATTGGCCGAGTCTTCTATTCGGGTACGCACGCTGCTGGTTAGTTTGACTTCTAACAACCTCAGCTATGCGCGGGCTGGTCATGTTTTACGCTGGTATGCTGTGTATCAATATAGATTTGAAGGAAATCTTCAACCATCAGAGGCTTCTTTCTAACTGATCCACAGGTGGGATACATACCCTGTCTCCGAACACTACCCAGCTCCATACAATGACCCATCCACTTGGGGCATTGTTCCAGCCTGGGGCTACGCAGCAGTCGAAGAGAGCACCATCCCCGAACTGAGCAAGGGAGCAGTACTCTGGGGATTCTGGCCGACATCATCCCTCCCAACCGACCTCAAACTCAATCTCGGCAAGCGGCCCGGCGACTGGACCGAGATCAGCGAGCACCGGCAGCAGCTGATGCCGCTCTACAACTACTACACGACCGCATCAGTCTCCGAGTCTATCTCAGTCATTTCCAACCCCGGTGCTGACTCCCCCTCCGTCCAAGACGAGCGCGAGCGTCTAGCTTGGACATCCATTTTCGGCATCCTATGGCGCGCGGGCTATCTCCTCAGCGAGCATGTCTTCCCCTCGCACCCAGAAAAACAGGCCATCCACCCGCTGGGCAGTGTCGCAGGCCTGGACTGGACAGCTGCCGACGGAGATCTGTCGTCAGCAGTGGTAGTCAGCCTGGCTGCATCGACCAAGACCGGACATGCGTTCGCGTATAATCTGCAGCGAAGACTCATTGAGTCGGCGCCGTTGGGCCTGCTGCAGGTGACGTCGTCGGTGGCGCGTATCTCCAAGGCTGAGGGTAACTCGCCCAAGTCATTTCCCTCGAAAATTATCGACTATGCGGATGTCGCGGCTGAGACATCGGCGAAGTGGATGGCAGACCTGAAGCCGTCCAAGATTGTTGTTCTTGACTTTGGTGCTCGCTCGAATGCTCTGGATCAATTTCTGGATCTGGTTAAGAAGGATCCTGTGTTGCAGTCTTCCAAGGTGATGATTGTCATGATTGGTGGCCAGCAAAAGGTATGATCTTCTCTCTCTCTCCTTCACGAAGTATTTCTGGCGTGTCAAAAGCCTTTTCAATGACTTGTTTTTCAATAGGTGTATACCAACGAGGAGCTGCAGGCGGCCATGAAGGCAATTGCGGATCTCGGCAAGATCCAATACAACACATCGGGCGTCCAGGAAACTCTGCTGGAGACTCTGGGCTCGGAAGAGTACTATGGGGTTATTTCAAAACTCTGGGATGAATGGCTTGTGAATCGCCATTTGAATGTACCCGGATTCAACATTATTTGGGGGAAGGGGATTTCTGGGGTTGATGGTATTGAGGGGGGCTGGGGTAGGTTGAGCCGGGGAGAGGTGGGCTCTGAAGAGGGGTTAGTGTATACAGTATCGAGGACGTGATGGACGTCACTGCTCAGACGAGAGACCATCGGTGAGACAAAAAAGCCTCAGGCTCTAGCTATCCCAAAGAGGAAGGTGGGCACTGCTGCCTGCAGGCAGCAGCTCCTTCATGCCTGCAATATCAGGCCAGATTTAGTGCTGCTCAACTACTTTAAGAGGCATCGTCCCTCATGTTTCCATGTTGTCCATCAATTGAGTTTTTCATGGAAGAATCACTCTCCTCATCCAAGTTATCAAATTCATCTCTTCGTTCTTGACTCCATTGATATCTCAACCCAATTCGAGCATTGGCCAACTTGCCCTCTTCCATCTACCAACTTCTTCTCCATTACCTATATGCTATTGCAAATGGCCCGTAAAGGATTCAAATCTCTTGTGGTCGCTGTCAGTGGAACATTTCCTGGGTACAAGCAAGGTATGACCCGCAGTTCTATTTTGGATGATACCCATTCATTTCACACATACCCATGTCTTGTCTTCCTTATGCATGAGTATATCACTAATCTTCGTGTCCGGTGCAGGCGATTTGAGAGTCCTAATCGAGGAACATGGGGCTCTATTCACCCCAACTGTCACAGCCGAGTGCACCCACTTGGTGACAACTCAGAAGGATGCAGACAAAAATAGTGTTAAGTGTGAGTTCCCCACATGTGTAGTTTGCCGTTTGTTGGGCCTGCTCCAGATTGAAGGCTTTTCTTGCCGATATTGACCAAAGAGCGTTTAGACCAACAAGCGTGCAATCTAGACAAATGTCACGTTGTCACTCTCGACTGGTTGCTCGACTCGACTCGAGCAAAGAAATTGCTTTCAGAGGTTTCTTATGTCATTGCTGCAGCCCAAAAGAACTCAGGTGCGAATAGCACCCAGGTTGATTCAGGAGTCACCGAAAAGCCTGAGGCAAAGAAACGTAGCCTGGAACAAACCAACGGGGATGTGGGCGATGCCAGCAAGAAGCAGAAAGATTCCCAAAAGGCTAGCTCAAAGTCTTTGAATGTTCCCATTGACGAAGAGTTCTCGCCGGAGTCCTCTAATTTTCATTGTGCGGCTCAAACTCTCCCTCCGTCTGGGAAAGACGCTGGTGTGCTGATGTTCGCTTCACAGTCCCCACGGTGCACATCGATGACGCCGGGTTGATTTGGGATGCCACACTCAACCAGACAGTGGCTGCCGCCAACAGCAACAAATTCTACCGTATCCAGCTGCTGGTCGGCCAAAGTAGAACGGAATATATAACCTGGACTCGCTGGGGACGGGTCGGCGAACGAGGTCAGACCGCGCGTCTAGGTGATGGCACACTGCAGCAAGCAATCAAGGAGTTCGAACACAAGTTCAGGGAAAAGACAGGACTGAAATGGGCTGACCGACTCAACACCCCCAAGAACAAGAAGTACATGTTTCTTGAGCGCAACTACGAGGACGATGAGGAAGAGGAGCCACCCACCAAGGACATGGTCAAGAGCGACAAGCCGAAGGTCGAAAGTGTGTTACCGGAAGCTCTGCAGAACTTGATGTCGTTTATATTCAACCCGGACCATTTCCTCTCGGTCATGGCGTCGATGTCTTATGATGCCCAGAAACTGCCTCTGGGAAAACTGAGTGATAGGACGCTCAAGACAGGTTTCTCGATTCTCAAGGAATTGGCAGACCTGATTGCCACCCCTGCACTTGCTGCTTCTAAATATGATGCGGGTTATGTTCCCAACATTGAGAGCCTGAGCAACCGTTACTTTACCACTATCCCTCATGTTTTTGGTCGAAATCGGCCCCCTGTTCTCAGCACCGATGCCCAGATCAAGACAGAGATTGAACTGTTGGAGGCGTTGACGGACATGGACGTGGCAAATGAAATCATGAAAGACTCCAAGGAAGCAGATGAGACTCACGAGCTGGACCGCCAGTTCCAGAGCCTCGGCATGGAAGAGATGACTCCGCGTAGGTTCTTCCTACTCATCGATGGACTGGGTAAGGTAGCTGACAATGGACAGTGGATTGCAACTCTACTGAGTTCCATGAGCTCGAGCGGTACTTGAACAATTCACGCGGCGCAACACACAGCCTTCGCTACAAGGTAGATGGTGCTCCGCCGAACCCCCAAATAGTCGGTATATTGACAAATTTGCAGGTCATCAACATCTTCCGCATCGAGCGCAAAGGCGAGAACGACCGCTTCGCATCCTCCCCCTACGCAAACCTCCAGAACAGCGACCGCCGACTCCTCTGGCACGGGTCCCGCAGCACGAACTTCGGCGGCATCCTAAGCCAAGGCCTGCGCATTGCGCCACCCGAAGCCCCCGTCAACGGGTACATGTTCGGCAAAGGTGTCTACCTCGCCGACACATCGAGCAAATCCGCAAACTACTGCTGTCCATACAACAGCGCCAACATGGGCCTGCTTCTTCTCTGCGACGCCGAGTTGGGAGATCCCATGCTGGAGCTCTATAATGGCGACTTCATGGCCGGTGAGAATGCACACGCCGCTGGTAAGGTTGCGACGTTAGGCCAAGGCCGCGCCATACCTGGTGGCTGGAAGGATGCGGCCTGTCTAAACCCAGCGCTTCAAGGAGTTAAAATGCCCGATGTGGCGGCTTCGCTGGGGAATGATGAGAAGGCGTGGCTGCAGTACAATGAGTACATCGTGTATGATGTGGCGCAGATTCGGCAGAGATATCTGTTTCATGTTCACATGCGTTGAGGCTAACTTGGTGCATTGTTTCTGGAGTGTTCAGGCTGGGTATACCGAAATGGAGTTCTGCGTGTTTTTGGGGGCATGGCTTTGTGATGATGGCATGTTAATAACGAGTATTTTTATGGCATAGCTGCGGAAAAACACCTGGCTCTTTTGCAAGCTACATTCGCCGACCAGTGTAGTCGGTGCAGGCGGGTGTGGATTCGGTGCTTCGCAAGCGTCGATCTGCAAAGGCGAGCGACTCTTCCATGAACCGATCGAGGTCGAACTACTCCGAGATACCATGCTCCTGAAGCTTGCGAATGGCAGATCTCGTCCAAGTGACGCAATTCTGTTCCGGCCGAGCACCCTTCCAAGGAAGTGGAATCGTTTCGAGAATGTCGCTGATTCTCGCATACTTCACATCATTTGGCACCTTGCCCAATCATGATTCTTCCGAGAAAATGGCCACTCTTTTCCGGTTTGACGTTCGCTTTTTCTCGACAGAGCCAGTTATTTTCTGAGTTGAGGTTCACTCTGTTCACTGGGTCGAGAAGGATTCCATCGCTCACGTCGAAAGCATAGCAATCCGACCCCTTTGAGTTCTTGAGAGAAATAAGAACCCCCCTTCCCCTCCCAGTGGTAGGCGGCGTGGCCAAATTGCTGCCTGCCTTCGCTGAGGGAGAGGGCATCCCGCTGATGCAGTGATGAAAGGAACACTTGACGTTTATTGGTCATCGTCAGGATATAACAGGGCCAATATGGTCGGAAAGACTAGAAAATAGACACAGGCAATTTCTTAGGAAGCACTAGGGGAAGCTAGGGAGAGCAAAACTACTAGGAAAAAGGCACAGAAGAGAGAGAGAATCAAATTGTCTATAGGAGAGAAAAAGAAGAAGCGAAGCTATCTGCTACCTACGTCCGCTGCGGGCGGTCTGAGAGGCGGTGGAGAAAGGCTGGCAGAAATCCAGTCCCAACAATAAGATATAGCCGTCCCCTCGAGTCGGACCCACAGCATTTTCAGCTGTTAGCGAATAATCGCAGGAACGGCCCACTCGTCCTCCGATATAGGTTTCTGGCGGAAACAAGTATACTTCGACAAAGTAGCTAAGGCGAGTGACGATCACTGACTCTAACGCCTTAGCCAGCGTTTCGAGTAGTGAAATTGGCCTATAGGCCTTCGGTATGGTGTAATCGGCTTTGCCTGGCGTACGAATAATGACGCTTAGCGATTCGCGGAACCGTTGCGGCGAATAGCCTCGCTGTAGGCAGACGTCGAGTAGCTGCGTGATGAACCGGAGGACTGTTAGAAGCTGAACCGCTCGCTTGAGCGCCACATTTGGTATGCCGGTTGGCCTAGGGGTAGAGAAAGAGGCTGTTTTCTTGATCGCTTCGACGACCTCTTGTGGCGAGATCGATTTTGGTATATCGCCCGCTTGTGGGTATAAATCGTTGATATCAGAGATCGGCGTTATCCTCGTTTGTGTCTGGCTGGATGCAGCGGGTGGCAACAGGACTTCGAGGCTCGAGCCCGATGAGGTATTTCCGGAAGTGTTGGCTCTTGGCAAAGAGCTCTCTGATATTATCAAACTCCCTCTCACCCGTCATACAAAATTTAACTTGGATAACCATATACACTCTTGTCTTGTCCGTATGGTATACGGGTCGAATCAGCGAGCGTGCTGGAAGCGAATTCGATATCACTATGAAACTGTATCGCGGTCTTTACATATTTTCACCTGTGTGCTCTAGTCCTTTTAATCTATCTCTCTTATACTAACAAAAAGAAACTAAACCTTTATATTTTATTAGTAATTTAATTGAGACTAATTATATTTATTTTATTTTAGTACATATTTTCTAAAATTTTATATAGTTTAAGAGAGAAGAAGTGTTCATTAATATACCAGAATAGGTATAAATTTCAGTCCTTTTTTCAATTATTTAGTAGGTTTAAAAATACCAGGACTGGTTATTTATGCAATCGTGAGTTTTCATAAGAGCCTATTAGGGGCGTAAAGTTGGGCTCTGCGGGAGTCTACGAGTTCGTTATATTAACATCCTAAGAATACATCCTCCAAATTTCGAGCATATCCTTTGCTCCAATCATTAGCCTTCATGAACCATGCTAGAAGTATTGCATCAACTGATTAGCCATGCCATGCTCGCTGGTCCAATGATTCTCTTAGGTGATGTTCTCAACTTACCCAAAATCAATAAAGCAAGGCTATTATCATTAGTGTCCACCTTATCTGGCGTTTGGGAAAGTAGTTTACGGCAATTCTTCCAACTATAGGCCGCTATATTTGAGTGCGGAAGTGTCCAGTCTTCATCTGTTAAAGGAAAAGGAAAAAGATAAAATTATTCAATTAGCTTTAGTGATAGATAGTAGTGATCATCTTACTATTAAGGCAAGACTTACAGTGAAGGAGCAAATGAATCAACTCGTGCAGAACTGTACTGCTAAGGAACCATCTCCAGTGATCATCTAGGTTCTGTAGTTCTGGCCTCTTAGAAAGGCTCCAATCGATCAATCGGTCATCGCCAATTGTAATCCCTCCTTTATCTGTAGAAGAAGCTGCTCGCTTGCAGACGATGATATACGTCCCGTCTAGAGTTATACCGCGCAGTACGTTATTCGCGCAAATATGTACACCTTCGGGTAACCATTCGGCTGCTCCCGCCTCCTTAAGGACGGGATCTATGATACAGTCAGCCATACAGAGACTTCCAAGGTGACTGCTTAAGCTCCATTTGAACACAAAAGGTGGTCAAGAAAGGAAAAGAAATTAAGCGCGGCTAAAAGATCCCAAAGCATACCTCGATATTGGAAAGTCTTGATTTCGTCTTCAAGCTCTTTAGGCACTGGAGTTTTAAGTCTTCTCCCATCTTTGAGGATGTCGTATCGCTCGAGATGCCCATCTCCACAATAAATAGCGGGTGATTTTACCAAACGCCTCTTGAGGGCGGAGTTGAGTTTTTTAACCCCCGCTGTAAAATATCGTCCAAGTTAAGCCAGGTCCGAAGGGAAAAAGAAGAAAGAGAAGAGGAAAACGTTTTTTTTCTTACACTGAATAGTCTGCCAGCGTGGCTGGTCTATAGCACTTCCCCTCCCAGTATTTCCCTGGAGGGCGTAAAAGGCCATATTGGCCCTAAACTCATCAAACGGTTTGGCTTTGCCTTTTGAAACCGCTTGCATCAGCTTACCGGCGTTGCTGGTCATTTTCCAGGCCTCGTTAAGGGCCATCGACATCTCCTTGCTCATAGAACCTCGGTCTCTCAACACTCCATCGCGATCCCATTCTTTGACATTGCGGCAGGATTTATGAATTAACTTAGCCTCTGTGCCACGTGTCCAGATACTAAGCAGAATTGTCAAAAGACAAGATATCCGTAGTATCCAGCTCAAGTCAGGCATAATAAAGAGTCATCGGAAGACGAGATTCCAGGGGTTGGGGGCGGTAGAAAGAGGAGGAAAAGGGAAGCATGTATATTAATACATCAGGGGCCTGCTAGTTATATGTAGGGAATAAAGCTCTCACGGACCTATCAGAGTCCTACAGTCAACCCCCGGTGGGTCTGAACCCCACTAACCCGTAGGGGCCCGCTTACGTAGCATTTTTTTGGGGCCCTAGCTAGGTATTGATAGGGGTACTGTATGTACCTCCGGGATGGTCATGGCTCTCCATCTGCATTGACGGCGCTTTGTGCGAGGGTCCGTAAAGATTTTGTAATTTTATAAGGGGCTATTTATGGATTACGTGTCGCTATAATATGCGGCATTTATTCAAGTAGCTAATAGTACCGAATATAGTATAGTGTATATATGATATCGAAATAGGACTAGCTCTTCAGTTAAAACCACAGGGCCAGCAGTGCGAGTATCTTTTATTATATCAAAATTATGAATATCGTGATAGGGTATATGTAGGAATAAATTTAACTAACTAGCTTATATGCCCCCCTTTTTTGAGAGAAACAGAGAAGTCTTCTAGGTAGGAATGCTGATACGAGTGGTTCTTTGGCCCCTATGCAAAACTGAAGGAATGGCCAGCAGGAACTAGCGCAGTTTTATGCTCTTTGTAATTAGTTAAGGGGAATAGGTAAAAAGGGTATAAAAGAGGAGTAGGGGAGTAAACTAAGATAAAACAAAACAAAATGCGAGTGACAAGTTTCTTTACCTGGCCGATTGTGGCCATCCTCGCGCTCAGCATTTTCCATTGTTGAAGCTATTCCCTATCATTAGTCCAAACAATCCTTGAACACTAAGAAAGGCCCTGGAGGCAGAACTCAAGGAACTATACTACTACCAATACGACGACTCCGCTGGCGAAGGCGTAACGACCTATATAATCGATAGTGGCCTAGACGAGTTTATCCCGGAAATTAAAAATCTACGAAAAATACCCCGTTAGTTGCTTCCTACAATATAGCCACCAGACTGTGATAATATAAAAAATAACCCGATAGATCATGAAAATTGTATTGTATCCCTTATCGCGGGTCCTATATTTCGTAGGTAGTAATTATAAAGATTGCTATATAGAGGAAAATATATTCTTTAGGGAAGGAACAATACCTATACTCAAAGACTAGTATAACACTTATAACCAAAATTTCCTAGAAGCCATAGATTTAATTATCAAAGATATTAAAAACCGTGATCTTTAAGGTAAGGCAATTGTTAACATAACTCCTCTTGCGAGATAATATTATATTACAGCAAATTTCAAGCCTAAGTTTAAGCGGTAAATAAAGGAGCTTGCTAAGCTAGCGCTAATCTTAGCTGTAATAGGCAATATCAACCTTCGTCTTAAAATAGACGAAGATATAGCTATTGACTCTTATCCGCCTTTGTGAAATAATGAGATCCCTTATATAAAAGTTGTGGGTATAGCTGATAAGTTTGGAAGAAGCGCTTAGCTATCAAAAGATACTCCTCTAGACGGTCTATAGGCAGTTAGTGATCAAATGAAATATGTAAGCAAAAAAGAGTTATTATAAAGAAATTCCCAACGGGAGGAATTATTACCGGGCACATCTTAGACGTAGGGAACCTCCTTTGCTACGCCCCTAGTATCTGGTTTTGTAGCTTATATCGCTGCCTTACCCAAAAATGGTCTCCCAGACCCTAGGCCAATTTTAATGACTAGGTTTCCGCGTTATAGGACAAGCTAGTTAAAAGCTCCTGAGTCCGGCCATGTGCTCCCTTGAGCATGATCGGGCGGGATGAAGTACCGCTTATTTCCAACCGGCTTCTGGTAGAGTGTGACGATGGCCTTTGAACCTAAGAGTGGATGCGTTATTACGTGATGCTTTTTTTTTTCTTTTCACTAGGGCAAACTACTATATAGTATAGCATATAGTGAAAGATGCAAATTTGGGATGACTTGGTAGGAATGAAAAATTAGCAAGTTCTTTGCCTTATCTTTATACATCAATCAACAACACCAGACCATATGCCCAGCTGGGCTGAATTGCCTGGCACACAGCTTCATAATCCTGAAACCGGGACGAGGTAGACCTAGAGTATTTACAAAAATGATCCAGTTGCTGTCAGCAAGCTTCTAATTCCCCGACAACCGTTCGAAGTACCACTTATTGACTAGCCGTCCGCTGGAGTCGGACCCACAGCATTTGCAGCTGTTGGTCCTCCACATAGGAACGCAAATTTCATTCTGTTTTTATCATCTCTACTATCAAAATGCTCCTTGTTCAGGCCTGTGAAGCAGAAAACCCCCCACCCCCCAAAAAAAGCCAAAAATCGCAACGCTAACGCGCGAATTTGATGTTCCCTATCATCGACTCTCGCGCTAGAATTCATGGCCAACCACCCAAAACAGCCAATATCGCAGCTAACAAAGTACTATTCTGCGATTGTATTTCTTTTCGCTGACTGTTTGCTAATACCAATACTGCGGGCCGCTATATTATCTCCCATAAACTCGGATTCGGTCGATCTGCTACAACCCGAATACAGGTTACACCTATATATATAGAGGGATTACAGAAAGTAATCCAAATATACCCCTTTTTATAACCACCAGAATCTCGCTTCACAGAGCCGGGAGGGCAAGATAAGGGACTTTCATTTCCAAGTGACATATGGACACTGGCATGTACTATATGGGATATCTTCGGATCTGGCCCTCCCTTTGAAGCATTCCCCATTCTCTGAGGTTACGACCGAGCACGTCGAGATGCTGGGGAAGCTGCCGGATCGGTGGTGGAGAAAATGGGAGGAAAGAAGTAACTGGGATTCTGTCTGTATATTTGCAGAGATCTAACGACATAGTTCGAGGGTCAAGCCCCCGAGCCAACATAAATCTTTCAGAGATCTCGATGTATACATCGCTTTTTTGGGCTGGGAATAGACGGTGCTAACCAAATTGGGCGATAATTGGCGTCGGTCTAAACCCATTCGGTCAGCCCCGTGGCTACGATTTCCCAATTGGGCGACAAGCCTCTACATGATCGAAATAGGGCATTTACACTCACATAGACGAATATTTGCCATCCAAAAAAGACCCGGTGTGTCTTTTCTTCTTTAATTCAATCTTTCTTAAAGTAAACTTTTCCTCTATTTACAATCTCTCCTACATTTGCACGCCCATAACAACCCTGTCAATCTCTCACTTAACTCATCCATACTTCACTATATTTATCGATATCAAAATGGGCATCAGAGACACACACCTAATACCAACCCCCTCCCAGCCCAGCCCCCCACGTCTGCATCATTGGCTCCCTAAACATCGACTTCGTGACCTCCACCCCCCGGTGCCCCGGCCGGGGCGAAACCCTGACAGCAACCTCGCTCTCTGTCAGCGGCGGCGGCAAAGGCGGCAACCAAGCCGTTGCAAGCGGGCGCGCCTCATTCACATCGCACACAACCCAGGACGTCACCGTCAGCATGATTGGCACCGTCGGTGCCGACGACGTCTACTACAGCAGCCTCCTCCAGCCCGCACTACAGACCTCGGGCGTGAGCACGGCGCAGATCGAAGAGTTGAGTGACACGCAAACTGGGTCTGCGAGTATCATCGTGGAGGATGGGGTTGGGGGAGAGAATCGCATTCTTGTTGTGCCGGGGGCTAATCATGCGGGTATGATGTGTGATGTTGCGAGGATTGTTGCTGCTGTGAAGGATCAGCAGAAGCCCGAGATTGTGGTGCTGCAGGGTGAGATTCAGCGGAATACAGTGCTGGGCCTGTTGGAGTATTTTAACGGTGGTGTTGTGGCTGATCACCGCGCTCATGTCATCTTCAATCCTGCTCCTGTCTTTCCGGAGGGAATCCCTCTTGCGGCGGTGCAGCGTACCGCCGTGCTGATCATGAATGAAACGGAGGCTGTTCAAATGGCGAGGTCTCTTTCCGGTCTGCCTGTTGCCGGCTATGACCAGTCAACCGAGGCTGACGATCTGCGGCCCGAGGAGCTGGCGCCACAGTTCCATGAGGTGGCCCAGGTGCGGATTGTGCTGATTACCCTCGGCGCCAAGGGCGTGTACTACTCGACACGTACGGGCCGGCGGGGAGCTGTGCATGGGGTGAAAGTCCCCAAGGTCGTCGACACCACGGCGGCGGGCGATACCTTTGTCGGATACTTTTCGACGGCGGTGGCGCGGTTCCTCGCGACGGGAGCGACGCTGGATGCATTCGATGATGAGATTCATAATGCCGTGGGGAAGGCCAATGCTGCTGCTGCGCGTTGCGTGCAACGACGGGGCGCCATGCAAAGTATTCCATTTGCATACGAGATGGAAAGTTAGGGAGACAAGGAATGGAAATAGACAAGTATATAGATAGACAGGTGGGCTTTTTTATTTCAAGAAAGAATAGAATCTTCATTCCCTTCTCCTTCTTCTTCATCATCACATCGAGCCACATTCCACGTATCGCGCAATTCTTGAGTCTCACCATCCAACTTCATCCCTGTCATCGCCGTGACCCTGCGCAGCAAATCCAATACCACAGCTTGCTGCGACTCATGCGTCATCTCGCGCGCAATAGCCAGCAGCCCAGCAACGAAGATCGGATCCCATTGCTCAGGCGTGTCGTTACTCGCCGCGATCCCCGCAATCGCCTGCGCATGCCAGATATGCGAGGTGAAGCATCGCGGCCCCGGCAACGACTTCAGCAGGCGCGGTTTATGAGTCAGCAACAAGAGCGAGGTAATGTGGTAAACGACGTTGGCGACCAGCGCCATGGGCGTCGTGAAAATCAGGATTGGAAATGACGAGTCGTGCTCTGGGTCGATGGTGTCGGCTTCGCCGCCGCGGATGTCGACGATCTGTTGTCCGTCTACAGGGCGGTCGTTGTACCATTTCTGGCATTCGGTCCAGAGAATTGTCCACTGGGATAGGAAGTGGGATTGGCGCAATGAGGGATATGCGGCCAGTTCGGGAGATGTAGTCGTTGTTTGTGGGGAGGGGGCTTCTGGGTCGCCGTGGATTAGGGCTAGACAGTGGCCGAGAAGACAGAGGGACTTTTTGTAGATGCAGTTCACGGACTGGGATTGGGTTGGGATCCGTGAGGATTGGGTGTATGAACCGTCACGTTGGAGAAATGATCCGAAGGGAATGAGTGGTGCTTGCGATGTGACAATGGAGGCTGCCAGATCTGTAAGGGCAGGTTGTCAGTACTTTCTTGTTGAAGTTTTGATATGCGATTTTAAGAATTTACCAATCCGAAAGTAGAGCCAGAACAGCGCTTCACTCAGCTCCTCGCTCATAGCCACTGATGGTACGCCACCAACCATATCCATCTGATGCGACAGAAGAGCCCGCCAGCTTTGTGGTCCGCAAGGCAAGAGTTCTTGCAGCATCAAAAGTGCCTGTCCAATCCCTCTAGCGAGTTCAGGCTCAGATGGCAGAGCTCGTTCCGCTTTGTCCCGAAATTTAGAGCTGTTATCTAGATCTTTGGTGTCCGGGCATAGAGAAAGAAGGGATCTGTGGCCCGCGGCCAAAGCGAGGACAGCAGCTTGTAGAGGCCGATTCGTGCGGCAGAGAAGAAGGGTCTTAATTCCCAGTGCGCAGTCTGGGTCCCCGACATCAATCCAGGGCGCGACGCAATAGCGGAAATGGCGCAACAGATCTGTTTCCTGGTTGGCGGTTGCAGTAGTAAGTCGCCGTGTAGATGTCTGGTCACTAGAAATTAATTTTGGAAATTCCCTGTAGGAAGGGCTGTTCAGGTAGTTGTTCTCTGGGGTTGCTCCGCTGCCGTTGAGAAGCAAGCTCGGTGCAGATTGTAAAATTGGTGGCTCAGGAGAGTACACGGATGGCGCATTCGAGATGAGCAGATCCTGCACTTCGACAGCACGCCGAGAGTCTCGGGTACTCGATGGAGGAGGTGTATCTGGTGCATTTAGGGTGTCCGGAGGCGCCGGTGTATTGCTCTGAGGATGAACTATGCTCTTTCTCCCTTCGGACACCAGGGGCGAGTCATCCACGAACTATACGACATCAGCTAAACCGATCTCTATATAAACGAATCTCACTGCAGCTATTCCTCTCACCGTGATAGCTCCATACGCCTGTCCCGACCCGCCCGTCTGCCCCGACTTGGGCGGCACAAAAGCCAAGTCCGATTTATATTTACAGACAAAGCCTTTGACCTCGCAGTTGGCACAGCGCGGCTTTTTCTCATCGCCTGCAAGAATTAGCACCTAAAAATAGAAGAACAGAACAGAACAAGATTCATCAACACAACGGGTAGGCACACATTTCCTGCGCCTTTTGCGACACGTTAAACAGCCCGTCCTCACTCGCTGCTTGCCCGCTGGCGTGGGCTTCCGGGGCATCGTAGAATCTGGAGATATAGCCACCCGCGCGATATGTGAAGAAATCCAAAAACAAAATGCGGAGGCTCCGGCATCCCCGAAATGTGTTGGGTTCGGCGCTTGTCCGGAGGTGGCCGATCCCAACCGTGCGATGCGGGTCTGTGGGGCATGAAATCACCGATGGGGACAGTCGAGCCGAGGGGATGGAGAATGGGGAGTTCAATATTAGGATGTTGTATTTAAGAGGGTTTTTGCTAGGTGAGAGTTTCGGACGCCACCCGAAATGAGAAGAATTATAACAGAGGGATTATCCAAGAGACTGCTACAATGATGTTGATCGCATGTAGCCCTAAAAGAATGTTCAAAATCTTCCAATTTGTAGAGCCATCTCATTGACTTGTTCGTACCAATCTAAATATGCTCGATATACTCCTTCTCCTCCTTCACATCCAACCGCGCCGTCGCCACCCCCATACGCTCAACAAACGAAGTCAATCCCACATCACGCTGCGCTTCCCGTAGAAGCTCCGCATCCTGCTCGCCAGCCTTACTCTTAAAGATGCGGTCCATCTCCTCAAGAGTAGCATTCTTGGTCTCAGGCAAGAAATACCAAACCCAGCAAATGCCAATGAGCAAGAAACCCGCAAAGAAGATATACGTGCCCCACTCCCAGGCCTGCAGCATCGGCGGCACGAAGAAGGCAATGGCAAAGTTGTTGATCCAGTTGCTGGACGCACCGATCGAGGCGCCTTTGGCGCGGATGGACAGGGGGAAGATCTCGGAGACGAGGGTCCAGGAGACGGGGCCCCAGGTGGCCCCGAAGCTGGCGATGTAGAGCCAGATGAGCGCTGCAATACAGAGATTAGCCATCTTCTCGGGTATTGTAAGAGACAGGCTTTTTGGGCATCGCCACTCACCAACGGCGGTCCAACCGGCCGCCACATGCGACGGCCAGTCGTGCTGGAATTTCGCCACGATCACGCCCACGATGACCATGCTGGCGAACATCACCAGCGATCCGCCCAGGAGCATGGGCTTGCGGCCGACTCTGTCGATGACCAACTACTCACTATTAGTACGATCACATTCATTGAAGTCAGAACGTGAGGCTTACCATCCCTGGCACAGTGCTTATGATAAATACCACGCCGGTAACGCCAGTTGCCAAGAGAGCGATGGTACCGCCAGTCAGCCCAAGACTAACAAAGACATTGGACGCATAGTAGATAACTGGAAAGGTGTCAGCAAGGAATTCACCACCAGATAGTAGAACAACATACTCGCATCAATACCACTCCACTGCTGAAAGAACATAACCAGCCACGCCGTGGACACGCGCTTGAAGTTGTCCATGGACCGAAAGCAATTGGCATACTGCGCGATCTGGTTCATCACGATACTGCTCTTCTCACGCTCCGCAAGCTTTGGCGACGCCTTCGCGAACGCGCGTTCCTCAAAGACAGCCTCAGCCTTGATCTCAAGGTACTCGACCTGAACCATCTCATGCTCAACCGGAACCTTCCGCATCCATGCCAACGTAGCCTGAGCTTCCTGTTCACGGCCCTTCTTGACAAGCCAGCGCGGCGAGAAAGGCATGAACCAGATCCCGCACGCCAGTGCTGCAGCCGGTAGACCCTGGATGATGGAGGGTAACCGCCACGCAAGATCAGACTGCGTGTCGCCAGTCCCGCCGATATAGTTGCTGCCGTACCCAACCCAAAACGACAGCATGATACCCAGGATCGTGGCAAACTGGTAGAACGAGACCAGCAGGCCGCGCATCTCGGGGGCAGCCAGTTCTGCGTTGTAGAGAGGGCCAACGCCGCTGAAAAGGCCCACACCCAGGCCCGTGAAAAGCCGTCCTGCGTACAGGAGGGAGGGGTTTCCAGCTGTGGCGCCAATGTACAAATAACTGCCGAGGATCACCCAGCAGCACGCGATGAACATGGTGTACTTGCGCGAGATGATCTCGCCCAGGATGCCTGCTACGAGGGATCCCACGATTCCTCCCAGCTGCAGCACGGAGGTGAGCCAGCCTGTTGCGGTGGACGAGGCGACGACCGATGGGAAGTTTGCAGTGAAGCGGGTCATCACGAGGGATTGGCCCAAGACGCCTTGCTGGTAGCCATATTCGAAGCCGCCAAACCTATCTAAGTATAAATATGGGAGGTTGCATCCAAGGGTGATGTCTATTACTACTTACGAGGCGAAGAAAGCGATGAAGAGGACTTTGGGATTCTCCAGAATCGACTTCCACATGGACTTCTTTGCCAATTGGATGCGCGGAGCAGCCTCTACATCCACGGATGTGCGGTCCGTCATGTTGACGGTGTTGAAGGCAAGGTTATATAGTTCAATGGGTGGAGAGGGAAAGAGAAGATTGAGTGTATTCAACGGAAAGGAAGAGAAGCTCGAAACCACAATCCCACGAGGACACAACTCCATATTTATCTTTTCCTCTGCTAACCCTTCCCCAGCTACGTACGCCACAAAATCTCTGCGTTCCCTAGTCTTCTCCCGAGTCGCGTGGAATATCCCTAGACGCGACAAAAATGCGGAGGCAAAAAGAGCCTATAGCACAAAACGTAAAACGTGGAGCACGCCAATACTAACCCAAATTAGACTATTGGAGCCTCTGTTGCCCGATTTCAGTCTGCAAATTTAGGCTGGGGGATATCCACTTTGACTTGACGAGTGGAGCCGTCCCCGCTATTCTTCTGCGGGAGGGTTAGGGTTACGAGCAAAACACATTTTTTTTCTTCTCAACTTCTCTTCATAATATGGCTCAGATCTAGGCCAGAAACCCCTCAAGATAACTTTTGTAATGTACATCCTCCCCAGAATATCCCTTCCCGCATCCGGGTACCAGAGCCACCGCACCACCGGCTTGGTTAGGTCGATGCAGGAAGATAAAGGGGGAGCCCGAGTGGAGCTCGATGGAGCCAGGACCAGGAACTTGACGTCAAAGAGTTGATTTCTTCTGCAGTCGGCTCAGGCCGGTTCGCGTGTTGTGGAGACGCGATGAGAGATTTCTTTTCTTATAAAGATGGGCGCCTGGTGGGGGGAGGGCAGTGTAATTCCTTCCTTGAGAGGATCAAATTACCTTCCTCTTCTTGTTCTGCACATACACTCACGGTCTTCAAGTCTGTTCTTATAACTACGAGGTTTGACACTTGCACGTTGAAGCAATGCATGTTTCGTTGCCGCTGCTCTGCGGCTCGCTGCTGCCTTTCCTCACTGGGTCGCTTGCGCTGCCCAAGGCGCGCGCGGAGAAGCACTATGCGATCATGGACAACGACTGGTACACCGCAGGGTTTGTGCCGTTCTTGATTGCGCTCGATGGGAATGTAGATGTCTTGGGTCTGGCTTCTGGTGAGTTCATTCTCGTCCTTATTTCTGCCATTCATCCATTCTTCCCTCTCCTAGGACAAGTCACAAGCAACTAACTTTGTTCAGACACGGCCAACACCTGGCAGCCGCAAGTCGCCCTGCACGCGGTTGCAACCCTGGAAGCCGGGAACCTCAGCTGCATTCCCGTGTACCCAGGCGCAACCTGGCCGCTGATCAACACGCCGCATCGCTTCCAGGCCTGGGAGTCGATCCACGGCAAGCTACCCTGGGAGGGCGCCTTCGCGCCGGAGAACAAGACCTTGGACGCGCAGGGCAATGACCCGACGTCGGGAAACCCCAATCGCATTGTCAAGTCGGCGTTCAAGGAGGGTTTCCCCAAGGGTAAGCCGAACAACTCGACCTCGGCTGCTAACTTCATGGTGCAAATGGTCCACAAGCACCCGGGCCAGGTGTCGATTTACTCTGCGGGAGCATTGACGAATGTGGCGCTGGCCGTGCGCATGGATCCGCAGTTTGCGTCGCTGGCTAAGAACCTGGTTATTATGGGCGGATATGTCGATTTGAATATGCTCGAGGCTACGGGCAGTATCATGTTGGCGGATCTCCAGTCGGATGTCAGTAGACCTGTAGCCCTGGCTGATTGCTGTTCTTTTTGAAATGCTTTTTTTGATTGCCATTTGCTGACTTTTGAAATGCAGATCAATCTCATGATCGACCCCGAAGCCTCCAAAATCGCACTGACAGCCGACTTCCCTGAAATCATCGTTGCCGGCAACGTCGCCAACCAGGTGATGCCCGACCAGAAGTTCCTCGATGAGGTGCACGAGGTGCGCAACCCGTACACGGACCTCTTCCACCGCTATTACGATCTCTTGTTCCCGTTTTGGGACGAGACGGCCGCGGCACTCATGGTTGATCCGTCTATCGTAGTCAACCAGACCTCGGGTAGGCAGAATTTCTCTTCCTTCTCTGCCAGTGGATGTAACTGACTTTTTTTCAGTATACCTGGACGTCGACACTTCGTACGGAAGCCCCAATTATGGAAACATCCACGTCTACCAGAAGGCGCTGGCGCCTCCGGGCATTGGGAAGGTCAAGTATGTGTTCGAGGTTGACGCGGACAAGTTGAAGCAACGGGTCAAGCACTCGCTGCAGCATCCCAAGTCGTGCGCGGACTTGAAGAAATAGACTTTGTCTCTGGACGTGTGTGATGCACATGTTTTCGCCTTGAGCTGGTGTTTCCATAGATATGGTAGACAGGCTTGGACATGACGCGCTTTAAATGTCAATATGTATATCATCTTTCAAAATGCATTATTTTAGATTGTATCTTGTCTGGGGCTCTCAGTGGAAGCTAGACTGGTATTTTGATCACTTGGTGCTGAATCCTGGTGACCGGGATTTTTCATAAATGTAAGATCGTGTTTTTCATGCATTTCATATTTTCGTCTGAGTATGTATCAGATGACTGATAATATCTCGCCCGGCTCATAGCCCCAGGCTCGTTCGAGGTCTTTGAGCCGCCACAGTGCACCCCATCCGGTAGTCTTTTCGATAGTCTTGAAAAGCTTGGCAACCTGGATGTGCTCACTGTGGTGACTGAGCAGTTTTCCCGCAATATAGAGAGGCTGGATAGCATTAATCAAGTTCCCACTGTGGGGGTTCGTCAACGAAATCCCACACACTCTCCGCGCATGCCATATAGCCGAGTGATGCGGCTTGGAAGAAGGCAAGGTGATACTGGCGGGCTTCATGTCCAACATCATCATGCATGCCGCATGATACAACTGATTCCCCGAGATCGCAGCCCAATGCGCGAACAAGATTTCCGGAAATATTTGCCCCCCTCCGACACCCGTGGTCTTGATGGGCAGCATGGTCGGCGAGCGCTGCTCGAGCCAGTACTGAAGCTCATCCCATAGCCGAGTCCACTGGACGAGGAACGGACGAGTATCATCGCCGACCTCACCCAGCTCCACGTGGCGCGTTCGACGGCAGGCAAGATCGCACGTCTTCGCGCACAGGTACACAGCCCAGTTGGCGTGCATGTCCGGGGCAGCCCAGCCCTTCTGACAGAACAAGTCGCGGATCAGATCCTCTTCGGTGTCCTTGGAGCCTGCCGTCTGCGGCATGGCCGGCACCCATTTCTCGAGCGGGAGCACGGTGCTCTCGGCGCCGTTGGAGATGATGGCGCCGCAGAGCTCCATGCGCGCGTAGCACCAGAACACTGCCTGCAAATGGCCGCCTGACAGTCCGTTGACATTGAACGAGTCGAACAGCGCCGCGCACCCTCGACGTGGCGCCGCCAGTCCCGCGGGCTGACGGACATCAGCTCCATCACGGCTAGGATGCACACTGTTACCAACACATTCGGGTCCCTGGCTTGTAGACATGACGCGAGGAGCCGGATCGATTCTTGGTAGAGCTCGAGGCTGTCATAGGCCTTGTCGAGGCAGGCCTTGCGTTCGGTCTGCCGCGCCGAAAACGCCAAAATCGCGTAGAACAGCGCGGGCGAGCGCTGTGCGAGGATCGGAATATGGACCCCGAAATGTCGTGCCTCGTCAAACTTGTCGAGATAGGGCGCGCATTCTGTGATCCAGTTCTTCAGGTAGTAGATCAGTCGCACTTTGGGGATTGAAACCCGCGTGAAATCCAGGCTCTGGCGGGCGGCTCGGGGCGCGGGGCCTTCGGTTGGCTCCAACGGTGCTGGAGAGGCATATGTACTGGGGTCGAGACTGGCGACGGCAGTGAAGAGCACGCAGCGCAGTTCTTCTTGGAGTTCGAGGAACCGCGGGTTGGCGGCATACTCGTCCGAACTTGAGAATGTGCCGGGAGACAAAAAGGCTTCTTCCTCGAAGAGAGAGCCATTGAAAGGCTCTGGGATTCCTTCGTCTGGCAACATGGCGCGTTGCAAGAAATCTGGGGAAGGGTGAGGCGGGGAACACACCTAGGCAGCCCTGCCCAGGTGGAGGCATCCGCCACTTAGTCACTGAGACTCCCTCCGCCATCCATGGGCCGGGTAAATGCCACCACACCATAACCGAAGTCAATACAAGTCAAGATGACCTTAACCAGCTTGATCAAGCTTCAAACTATTCACCGGGCGGGTCTGCGCCCCGGTCGAGATTGGCATCGGGCACATGCAGGACTGCAGTGACGCACATACATACACGGTGATTTTAGGGCAAATTTCCTCAAGCTGAGTGATTGTGGCCTATCTTCCTCATCTATATCGAACAGAATCGAATCCTGAATCAGCATCTAATCTTGTGTCGCAGCACAAGAAAAGCGGATCTCCCAATCCTCCAACATCAACCAGCACTGATAACACCAACCTCCTCGCTCGACCCACCAGCACATCCTTTCCTGCTTCAGGAAGTCCGCGAGGATGCGAGTCAACGCCAAGCCCAGCACATCCACCCCCTTTTTCTCTTGGAATCTCGCAGTGCCAAGAGATGGTCGCATCAACCGTGTCGTGTCGCAGTGCTCCGGCCCCATTGCAACTGGGTCTTCTGGGCCACACCTTACGAACCATGGAGACGCCTGCCTCGGACGAAGCAGTTTTCGACGGTGTCTAGCAAGTATGCTGAGAAGTGGCTCTACGCGCATGGTATTGCGTGCATGGCTGGGCAGTTGAAGTGGCGACTTGTGATGGAACTGATGGAACTTCATATTGTCATATTCTTTTAATTGCTTTTGATTTTTCTTATAAAACCGAATCTGGGACATGAGTCGCAGGGCTGCGGCACAACCCTTCACAAGATATTACTATTATTTATTCCGGAGCCCTGATTATCTTCCGTCCTCATCTCGAATCATGCAACCTCCGTCCCAGTTCTGTCAGATCGAAGCGAAATGCACGGTTCGAGTGGGCTCCACGCCGTGCCCCAGCCCTCGCCCAATCACTCCCGCCCCCCCTGTAGATCCTTTGCGGCGCCCTGTCTCAGGTACCCGCGATAGATCAGCGGTGCGGGTTTCGCGCTGGTCCCAGGCTTTTCTCTCAGAACTTGCGTGGCTCCACGGCGGAGAGAGAGGGGGCATGCTATAAAACTTTGGCTTGTTCTCCTTCCATTTCTTTTTTTGGTACTTCGTTGCTATCACTCTCTATCTTCTTCCTTCTACTTTTTACTTCTTACTCCCCATTTAAGGTATGTCTCTTTTTTGAGGTTGATGTTCACATTTATGGAATGCGCTTCCTTTTCTCTCTCTATTACGCCAATATAATAATCCCCTGGTCGCCAACATCTTCTGATTAGATATTCTATCTTAGGTCATTCGTTTTACTCCAATCTCTCCCTCTTCCACAATGCGCGCCTCCGTTATCTTCGCCGGCCTCTTCGCCACCTTTGCCCTGGCCATCCCCAAGAGCCAAATTGCCTGCGGTCCGGTCAGTGACAATCCCCACCTGCAAAGATTCCTCTTCCGCAAATGATAAAACAAAAAAAGAAAACAGAAGGACCTACTAATGCCAGTACAATCAATAGACACCTTGCGATCCCGCTCTTAACGGCCAATACGGCGTGGAAGGTTCTTGCTGTCAGAGCCAGTGGTGTTCCAACGGGGTAAGTTGAAACAAGGAAAAGTGGTGATGATCGAGGGCTGTCAATGAGGACTGCTATCTCCCTGCCTTGGATTTTTATTGTCGATGCGAATCTTGAATGCTAATCTCTTGTTTTAACTCGATACAGACTTGCGTGTCCCAGGGCACCTACAAATGATTTCTATCCAACATTGCGCTTGCTCGATATTCGCACGGTGACTCGATGATTTCTATTTGGTGGCGATGATGGACAGTTGGGCAATGGAGATATGCGCCCTCGCTCTTGTAATTATGTTTTTTGATAATGGATATACAATCATCAGTCCAATATCCCTTAATAGGCCGTTTTGGTGTCTATTCTGGTATGTAGATCGGTGGACCCTCCCAATTCATGTAGGAATCCCAAAATAGTCCCAGTCTCGTTTCTTCCTTCCGCCGAAAGCACAATCAACATCGAGCTGTCTCGAAGAGCTCAAGTTAAGAAATTCTGGAACTAGATAGTAACGGGTTTATTGGAGCAACACCCCGAGAGCAAGCCCCGAATCCATGAGAGTGAATCAGGATATGCCGAAAGCAAGCCTAGCTTGCCAGCTCCCAAACCAGCGAGCGCCAGCTGGGCCTCCCTTCCAAACGAGACGCAAGTTATCTTGCTATTACTGGCGAAATCCACGGAAATCGCCTATCGGTCTTCGACACGCGCATGCCTTTTTTCCCAACTAAAATGGTTTGATCCTTCATTACCCGACTCTATCGTCTCTACGCAAGCGGGCACAATACAAGGATTCTCGACTGCTATCCGGGTGTTGAATGCAATTATTGTGGGACTTCTAGCGGATAGAGCAAGCATCGGAAGGAAATGTGTGCTTCTCTTGGGCTTATGCGGCTATGCCATTTCGTTTGTTGGATTGGCCTTTTCGAGATCATCCTACGTAGCCGTGGTTTTTCAGTCTGCTGGGGGATACTGGATGGAAATGCTGGGTTAGTTCGTACTATTCTGGCGGAGACAGTGAAAGAGAAACAGCAAGTACCCTTTTTTCTGGTCAGATGAGCAGATATCAGTATCCATGTTTCTTTACTCTTTTTTTGCCTTTTTTTTTTCTTTTTCGTTCCTCGCTGATTCAAACAGATATCACTCCTTGGTGTACACTTCTTTCCCTCTTCGCCACCATGAGGGTGCAATCGGTTCCATTCTCGGAGGCATCCTAGCTGATCCTGGGCACAGCTATCTTGCACTCTTCGGTTTAGGTTCTAGTGGATGAATGTCTAAATGGCCTTACGCTCCGCCTAGTCTGGCGAGTGCCCTATTGTGTCTGCTTATCGTGGTATTGGTGTTCCTAGGTCTTGATGAGTATGTATTGTACAGAGTAGAGGCTCGGTACTTAGCAATCTATCTAATATACTCTACACATCAGACTAGTGGAGCAGCTCGCCACCAACCAGATTTGGGCCGCCGAGCAGGAAAATCCATCGCGTCGGGTCTATGCCTTTCCCGCAAACCCTACTCGTACCAGCCTTTGGACAGTGATCAAAAGATTGATGGGGCGGAAGACGATGTGAGAAAGACCGGGGCAGGTCTCGCTAAAAGCTCAACGAGCTCTCGTTCCTCTTCCTCCCGTTCCCACAAATCGCCGGGGTTTGGTATACTACTGGTCCCAGCCGTGTTGATGACACTGATCTCACGGTTCCTGTTCAACCTCCACGACACAGCACACAACGTTTCTCTCCATTGTGTTTCTCCCTGCTCCGCGCGCTTCACCCCTCATCCACCACGGAATCCACTTCGGAGGTGGGCTAGGGTTAACAAGCTCGCAGGTGGGACTAGCAACATCCTCGTCGTGTACCCAACTGTCTCCAACCGACTGGGGATTCTACGCTGCTATCTATCTCATCTTCTTGCCCGTTGCTCTCCTTCTGTACGCGCTGATGCCGTTCTTGGTGTTTGTCCCGGATTGGGCTCTGCCGATGTGGGTTTCACTCGGGGCACTACTGTGTCTGAAGGCAATCTCGCGTACATTTACGTGTCCGGCGTCATCCATCATATTGAATAACTGCGTTTCTGATCCCAGTGTACTAAGTACGGTGAATGGGGTCGGCTCGAGCATCACCAATGTTGCTACTAGCGTCGGTCCACCTGTTGGCGGTTGGGTCCGGGGGCCGGTGGGGGTGGGATTGGCGCAGTGGGTTATTCTATGGCATCGGAGACATCTAGCTTGAGCAGATGGTTTCTAGGCAGTATAAATGGGTAGATGCGCAAATTCCAAGTTCAATTTGGCGATTCAAGAATATGCGATAAAGTGGGGAAGAGGTGAATAACGATGCTTCAGAGACGAACCAGAAAGGGAAGATGGGCAGAAAGCAGCAGGGGGTGAGAGCTAAATAGAAATCGAATGCGAAGCAGCAGAGGAAATCAAGTATCTGGACAGACCGAGGAAGCAAAATCGCATCAACAGTCCAAGACTACACGCTACAATCGACAAACTACAGTCAGGCTATATCATAAAAGTGCATCAATGAATCAACATATACAAACAACTAGAAGAAAACGCATGAACAAAGAAATCAAGTGGATGCAACCAGGTCAGTAGACAACGTCGAATAAAAGGTATATCTACCACATCAACATTCAAGATAAAATGGACAATAGAAAGCAAGAAGCGAATAAAGACGGGAAACGGGCGGGATGACTGGCCTGACTCCCCTTTCTCCCTTCTCACGGAAAACACGGAAGATGAGGAAGCAGAGACGAAAGCCGAGTTGAGGAACCACCCGGGCAAGAAAGTTAAGAAAACTCCTAATCCTCCTGTACAAGTTTTGCAAGATCCATCAAAGTACGGCGGGACGTTTTACTGAGTGAAGGAATCGGCGCATCCCCAGTACCGCTCGACACCGAAGTTACCGGCGGGCTTCCACAGGTCATTGGCGAATGAGAAGAAGATGGACTTGGAGCCGACGTGCTTGGCGAGAGACTTGATGGCGGCGGCCTGCTGGCTCTTACCAGGGACGGCGGCACCGTTGGTCTGACCCTGGGTGGGCCAGCCGGTCTCCAGGTTGAGGATGTCCTTGTCCTGGCCGCAAATGCTCTCCAGGAGCTTGAACTCCTTGGCAACAAACTCACCGGCCTGCTCGGCGGTGGTCTGGGCGTTGAAGAAGGGGTGGATGTTGGCACCGACCACGTCGACAGCCGTGCACAGAGACTTGTTGCTCTGCCACACGTTGACGGGCTCGGTGGTGGTCACATGGCCCTTGTAGCCCTTGGCCTCCCAGGTCTGCTTAGACGATTTGATGAAGCCAGCCAGCTCACCGGCAGTGGCGTAGCCATTCTGGATCGCCTCGTTACCGACGACGATGAGCTTAACCATGTCCCACTGTCCCCAGTTGGTGATGGCCGAGACGTCCTTCTGAGCACCCTGGATGCCCTTCTCATCAATGAAGACACCGATGATCATGTCCAGGCCGAGCTGCTTGCAGGCCTCACCAATGAACTCCAGGCTGCTGCAGTCGGTCGAGTAGACGCGGACGAGGTTGAATCCCTTGCTCTTGACGTCTTTGATGTCCTTGAGAACCTCCTGCTTGGTCTTGCAGCCACCGTCGGAGCTGTAAGGCGAGTAGGTCATACCGTACTTGCCCTCCCCAAGGACGGTGGAGCCGCCGGAGGGCTGGCTGCTGGGCTCGCTGGAGGGGGTCTCAGCGGGAGCAGCGGAGGTGGTAGTCGCCGGAGCGGGAGCCGGGGCGCTGGTAGGAGCACCGGTCTCGTAGGGGCAGACATAGGTGGACTTGGTGTCAGTGACAGTCACAGTGGACTCGGTCTGGGTGTAGGTGCCCGGGGTCAGGGTGTGCGGGGTCGGGTAGATGACCACAGTGCTGCTGGGGATATCGGTGGTGGTGCCGGGCACGACGGTGTAGGTGCCAGACGAGGGGCAGACGTAGGTGGTGGTCTCGATGACGCTGGTCGAGGTCGAGCCGCTGGGCTTGACAGTGGCGTAGGGGCAGGTGACAGTGGTAGCGGTCGAGACCACGGTGGTCACCTGGCCGATGGTGTGCTTGCCGCTGGGGAGCGCGGTCGAGGTAGCACCGCAGACGGTGGTGCTCTTAGTGACGGTCACGGTGTTGGCCGGGATGGTGAAAACACCAGTCGAGGGGAAGTTGGTCACAGCGGGGGTGGGCAGGGACACGGCCGGCACGCTGGGGATGATGCTGCTCAGGGCCGGGGCTTCAGAAGAGGGAGCCGGAGCCTCAGAAGACTCAGTCGAGGGAGCCGGAGCCTGGGAAGACTCGGTCGAGGGAGCCGGGGCCTGGGAAGACTCGGTCGAGGGAGCCGGAGCCTGGGAAGACTCGGTCGAGGGAGCCGGGGCCTGGGAAGACTCAGTCGAGGGAGCCGGAGCCTGGGAAGACTCGGTCGAGGGAGCCGGGGCCTGGGAAGACTCAGTCGAGGGAGCCGGAGCCTGGGAAGACTCGGTCGAGGGAGCCGGGGCCTGGGAAGACTCAGTCGAGGGAGCCGGAGCCTCAGACGAAGACGGGGTCGGGGTGACCGTGACCGTCAGGGTTCTGGTGCTGGTCGAGTGGACCGTGGTGGTCGAGGTGGTAGTCGACTCCGGGGCGGGAGTGGCCGTCGAGATAGGGGCCAGAGTCGGCGAGCCGTAGTAGGTGATGACCTTGGTGGTGCAACCACAGACCTCATGGCCGCCACCCAGGGTCGGGGAGCTGGCCGGGGCGCTGGCGATCACGGACGAGGCGACGATCGAGGACGCGGGGATGCTAGTCTCAACGCTCGCGGCATCGTGACGCTGGTGCAGGGCCTCGTGGCGGCGGTGGATGCCGTCGCTGGCCAGGGCAGAGCCCACGAAAGCGGCGGCGGCGGAGGCGAAAATGGCGCCCTTCATGATTGGAACAAGATATTCAACTTGCCACGCAAAGAATGAATGCCCGCTGAACGAGTGAAGCGGTGGTCAATGAAGTCAAGGAACGTGGATGAAGAAGGGAAAAAGGAGAGGTGGGCACGCAAGGCCTTTTGTTAGAGTGGATGGGGCACCAAGTTTAGGGGGGGAGAAAAAGAAAGCAAGAGAAAAGGGGAGCTGCGCAAGAAAAAGGGTCGAGCCCAAGTAGTCTTTTTTTTTTCTTTACTTGTTTACCCCTGAACAGTTCATACGGTTCGTACAAGGCCCGAACTGGTGTTCAGGCACCGGGGTATGATTGGTGGATATTGGTGGGTATCGGTGGGTTAAGTGGTTCCTGATTACCGCTAGGCTCTATATGCCTTAGGGCAGTATTGTATGCTTGTGTGATTATTCCCCTCTTACTGTACTCTTAGTATGAATGATTCTGGCTTACTCGGTTCGCTGTTCTCTATGGGTAACTGCAGCCTTGCAAAAATATCCATGTCTCACCAAGAAACCCCTTGCCGCTGGGCGCGAGACCGTTGCTACGTAATACTACCCAAGCCCTCTGCCTGGAGACAGGTCAGCACAAGGCAGTGCCTAACTAGTGCCAGGTATTCTGGACTAATAATGTAAGGCACGGATGCAGCTGCTCCTACGGTATATGGGGGCTGTCTAGATCAGCTCTATAGAATCGGCAAATTGGATGAGAGCAAGAGCACCACCTTGATTCAGATGAATACGTATGTGTCTCCAGACATAAATATACAATAATATTATTTAGTAAAGACTGGATTTCCCTTAAATGCGACTCTTACAAGCCAAAAATGCCCATCGTGCCCCGTCCTGATCGAGTAAGGTGGCAGCCCCATCGGGGCCACCCAGCGAATACTGATTGGCTCAGGTGGCGTCTTTAATTTCCGCCTTGCCGATCGTCATGTGTGTATTTTATCTCCTGATTCACTGTATCTCCTATATATTACGGTATATTTTCTGTGTTTTTTCTATTTAATTATATGTACAGTACAATGCGTGTCTATCCGTGGATACTTTTTTATGTACTTCGCTGGCTCGTACTCTTATTCTCTTATTGTGAGCCTGTACGATAGTGATTATAGTACAACGTGTCTGACCTGAATTTATTCCTTCCACACCTCCATAGGAAACTAGTGTTTTTTCGGCTCTCCATGATATCTCTACTTTCATCCCCGCCCCTGACGATCCCCACCGCCTCGTCAGCACCATCGCCTCCTATCGCTGTGCCGATCGTCCGGGGGGGGTTGTTGGATACAGGGTACACCGCGTGTTCTGGCCCCGGGGACCTTCTTGGAGGAGTCTAGCTCGCCTGAGTCTCATGCGAACGGTGGATTGAACTGTTCTTGATACCAGTATCAAGTAACAGTAGGACACTCTCTCGAACTATGCATCTATACATGCCCCATCGCTTCACATTGTCTTCCCCTCCACGAGATATCAAGGTCGATGCACACACCAACGCTGATCGCAATGATCAGAGATGGTCTGGATCCTTGGTCTGGTCTCTGTCTTCATGGGGCAGATCCCAGTGGTCGTTACCGGTTGACCACAGCCGACGGGGGGCGATGCCCACTCATCGCCCTAGTAAAGAGTGTATGTATTGGAATTTCAGTCGCTAGTGGCGCTTCACTTGGACTGGAATTAGATTCAATAATTCTGCTCATGATCATGAGCAGAGTTACAATAATGATAATCATTGTTGAAATATCAGAATATTAACCATTATAATCATAATCATAATGATGACTGCCGTTGGTATCTCGTTAGGGCTAGCCCACTCAGACCGTACCATACACCATCTCAGGGGCACATTCTCACGCCTTCCGCCCATATTCTGTTTCGAAAGTGTCTGTGCACCAAGTCCTTTTGTATGTACGCGGAAAAGCCCGCCCATTCCGGCGCTCCACCACGCAGTCTCGACCTTCCTCCGCCTCTTGGCGACGGTTGACACGAAAGTCAATCCAGGAACCGCGTGGCGAGGATAATTCCTAGGGTTGGTGTTTGGGATTAAGGCTTGGCGACACCCTTTCTGAGGTTATCTACAGTAAACGAATGGCACTGGGTGTAGATTTCTCAGGCTGGTACAGACTACTGCAAAGACAAATCTGCGATGCGTATATATATATACACACAAAGCGAGTGGCCACCGTTGCATGTATTTTCTGCGTATACAAGGTATCCTAATTTCTATCTTGTACAGAATAATTCTTGACTTCATTTCGACCTTTTTTGGTCTGTCTGGATAGAATGGGATTCGTCTTCCTTCTGATGTTGATTTTTGTGTGGTCGCTTCTTGTCACAAACCCTAAGAAACACCACGTTGATGAACCACCCAGGCAAACCAGCAGCCAAAATAGGCCCGCAGCTATCAAATTGTTGAATTCAAGCGAATCTCCGGTCTTTTGAATTTTAGCTTTTGAACGTGCACGGCCCAGGCCTAAAGACATCTAGCTTGGTTGGTCTTTAAATTTGCAAGGGCCTCCGGGTTACAGCTAAGGGGGCCCCAAAAAATGCCAAGAGGGGTCCAACAGTCGGGAGAATATTACGCCGAAATTTTTGGGCCCCCCCCCCCCAGCTCACTGAGTCGACCGGGGCATAAAATATTATATGTATAATAAAATTTCTTACTAATAATACTTTCTTTATCTATAGATCAACTCTATATAATATATTCAAAGATTAACAAACTTATACCAGATAAACTATAAAAAAGATAATTTAATTAACGTATAAATAATACGTTGACTAGAAGATACTCAGACCCTAGCTCAATCGGGGTAGTTTCTCGTAGTGGTCAGAATCGGGGTCTAAATAAGGGATCATAGAAATACTATAAAGGTTCTATAATATAGTAGATGTAGAATAAAAAAGATAAATAAAAGATTTATATATAAAATTAGCTTATATAAGAAGGAATTATTTGGACCCCGGTCGATTGAGCGAGTCGACGGGGGCCCAAAAACTACGTCAAATTTTGGGCCCCCCTTAGCTGGGTGCCTAAGGGCCTCGGATGTCTCATCTTAAGTTTCAATTAATTAGTCAGTTATAATCTGTCTTTTCTTGTCCTAACCTCCACTGATTCTGTCAAAGGCTCTAAACTTTGAATCTCACAGTATCTGCACAAGATCATGAGGGTTAGAACAAAGATATATATAGTGACACAGCAAAAGTTTCGACACTCTCGCCCCACATCACTATTATTCTATGATATTCTGCCGGTAGATAAATAATCAATCAGTCAAAATAAAGTACGAATTTTGTTCACATAATGCATACTAACCCTAACTCTTGATTCACGAAACGTATCTATTAATTCTTATCGAGCTCCCATTACCTATAGAGAATATAATGAAAATTCGGGGTAAATATAAGATATTTGATAGATGTATAAGGTAAGCGGTGTGGCGGTGGGTCAATTTTGGAGTGTCGAAACTTTTGCTGTCACTGTATATATAGATCCCATGACGTGGGTCAATCCTGATTCTCAATAGATCATAGAAACAGGGATCATGCTCTTATCACCCTTTTTCTTCTATTAATTGGTTTACCCTTCTATAAATTCACCTAATAATAGAAGGAAGGGTCCAACCAGATTTGATTTAATAATATAAGATGTGAAGTGGGGGTTGAAAAGTGGGAGGATTCGACTTGGCCCCCTACATGGCCCCCCGTACAGTCGTAAATCCTTGTTGAAAAGAATAAAAGAAAGAAAAATAGATTAAAAAAAGGGATCGGCAAAAGAATTAGAAAGTAGAGGTAGAATAATAATGAAAATTAATTAATTGATCTAGGAGAAAAAATATTAACAAAATAATAATAAAAGCAGAAAATAGCTATCTATATATTTAATAAAGAATAAAACCTCCTTAATAGGATAGAATTCTGTTTATAAGCCTTTTGAATCCAATCTTTATTCTTTACTATATCTTTCAAAGCCACCTAAGCGAAGCGAAGGTCAGCGGGCTTACATGGTCTGATTGGTTCCACAGCCAATCTCACACTGGCACTTATTTTTAAATATTGGAGGTTAGGGGCCGGAGAATGGTCAGCACTTGTGTACCTCTGTACCCGAGTTGCGGTCATCTTTCTATTCTAAGTTCTTGAGCTGGTGGGTGCGCGGTGGCCATAGAAAATATTTCTTACATGTAGATTTTCCATTCTACAATCATTTTCTCATGTGCTCTTGGATTCCTAGCTGACCTTCACCATGCGCGTGTTTTGGATCTTCGCCTTACTCTCGCTAGTATACGCCCATTCCCCTCCCAGGTATATAACCACGAACCCAAAGAAAGAATAGAGAGAGAGAGAGAGAGAGCGAGAGGCTAAATTCCTAAAACTCTTGTATAGCCGGCTAAGCGACTCTTTCGGTCTTGCTCAGCGAGATAAGCCACCCGTCCCGGACAAGCCTTTCCAGAAGGGCACTTTCTTCTACTATGCAGGATTCAACAAAACGAAAACCGACCAAGACCGTATCAAGCTCTACGAATCCACCTACAAAGACCTCCTAGACCTCCTGAAAACAGTGCGCGCCCAATCGGTCCCTAACGACATCTTCAGAATTTGGTTCACGAGAAATGATGGCGACGTCGCGAAGGAGATATGGAAAACCATGGAGGACTTGATTACACCTGCCGCTGCCAGCAAGAGAGCGGACGACAAACCTACCACTCCTGTGGCCTGGATAATTAGGGACGACCTTTTTTTTGGTTGCGAAAAGGGGGGCGCGTATAGTATACCATACGAATGGGTCCAGGAAGAGGTGTCGCAGGGTTTGCAGGACGATAAAATGCCCGCCAATCGGTGGATGAAGAAGGAGGATGTGATTATTCATATCTGCGACGAAGCTCTGAACAATTTTTCGAAAAATAAACCAACGTGCGCAGACGTGGAGAAGCGAACTACAATGGGCTTTTCTTTGGTTGATTTGCCGTCCACCTTGTTCCACGAGTTGATGTGAGTGTATGCCTCTTACCTTTAGCATTATCTTGTTAGCTAATATTCTGCAAAGTCACTGGCCTCTGATCGGAAAGAAGGCACTTGCAGAGCATGGGTAAGCCAAAAAGGAAGAGAGAAAGATAAAACTAGCACGAAGTTCCGCTAGCTAACCTACGTTAACCCATCTATAGTCTTGACCAAGATCTCATTGACGACGAGGAGAAATATAGCGCTTATCCGGCTGCCAGACTAGCGAAAGATAGCTGTTCAGACTTGGCCGTCCGCAATCCGATGAACCACCAATACTATGCGCTGGTAAGACGACCTACGCATCTATTGGATTAACGTGATAATGTATGCTGACTAGATATTACTATGACCTAGCACCTTGATACAAAGAACAAGTGCCATAAGACCCTCGAGGCTCCGGTTAAGGGACCTATAGTTCCGTATAAGAAATTGGAACTCGTGAAGGAGGTCGTACATCAGCCCGTGTCGATGGGGAAGGCATAGATAGTGGATATTTGTGACTTTAGTTACATTATTCAGTGAATAGTAATCCATGGATGATAGTGATGAGTCGGTATCAATACTCATAGGAGATATAGGAAATCCGGTATGTAGCTAAACTGCAGCCCATTCGTCTACTCAAGGCCCAATTTAACTAATCTCACAAGAATTAAGTTAATTTATTAATCTATACCTACAGCGGAAATGAAAATCTCATCTACTTCGCTCACACCACCCATGGACCCAACGATCATGCCACACCCACCACATGACTATACCACTCACCACCACCACACAAAAAGCCGCACCAGCATAAAGAATGCCCAATAATAGCAACAAAATACACCAGCATACTTCAAAAAACACCTGACACATGCCTCGGCAAGATCCGGACCCGACCCATCCCCGGATCGCATGGTTCGGCCGCACCACCCGCAATACGTCATGACTTCCTTCTCTCCCTACCCTACCCTCAAACCGGATCCGGCCGATGCCCAATGGCATGGATCGGAGATCATGTTACGCAGAGTCTTTTCTTTGCTTCGAGGGGCTCCATCGAAACACCTAAGCCTGTCACGTTGCAGCATTCAATTCGGCTTCGTCGCCGAGCTTGCGCCCGAAAAGCCGATGATTCCTTTGGTTGTTGAATATGTAATGATGTGGGATTCGGCCGGCGGAGATGATGGTCAGGTCATGTTGTCTGTGGCTGAGCAGTACTTCGGTCTGTGTGTCTGTTTGGGTTTGCCGCGGTAGCGAGCTGGTATATCACAAGGGGATTAGAGAAAGAGTATATAAAGACATGGTGGGCATGGCTCAAGAAGATATTTTTATCTATACTTCAACAGCACATAGTGAATACTCCAGTCAACAAAGACTACACTCTACAACATACCTCACTTGATCTGTCGATTCACAACTCCGTTCAACAAACCATTCCAATGACCACCTCTTCCACCTCATCCTCGTCTTCATTCCCACAGGCAAGGCTCCAAAACGACTTCGGAGCTGATTACTGGGTCCGCAATTCCGCCCACGCTCACCGCGTAAGTCCTTCTAGTCTTTCTATCTCTCCAACCATATTTCCATCCTCGAAACTATATAAGATACCGAAGCATATACACTAACATGTACAAATAACAGCACTCCACTGCCGGAAGAGGCCTCTTCGCCGGTCTACAGGATGTCAAGCAATACAACGTGGAGCACGGCTGGGCTAGACGCAAGTCTGGGGATGTGCAGAGCGGACTGCTCGGAAATCTGTGGAGCCGGTATGTATACAATTCCACATTAATATGATTCCCCTTCCTTTCTTTAATGGTTTTGTGTTTGTTTTCTTGGCTAACTCCTTTGGAAAGATTTACAGGTGGATCGTATCATCCGCCGACGGCTTAGGAGGGATATAGAGTGATGGGAAGAAGAGAAAACAGGCTCTTCTAGAAGAATACTAGTGAAATAAATAATTTCTACTCTGGATTGAATATTGGTTGATGTTTTGGTATTTGTATATTCATACATCTCTGCTGGATTTGTTAATATACTTGGCTTTGGAGTTTGTGCTGGATTAGTGTTTTGTCTCTACTCAGCAGTTCAATAAAGCATACAATATACATACTTGACTACCTACCTGAAGAACCAAGAATAATAGTGACTGGACTGCATACTCCCACTACAAGACTAAAGCAGGAACACAAGTACTAGGAGAACATGTTCAAGTAGCCGTATAATCACAAAAAGAATACATCTTATAAACCTTCACTAAGGTCCGAGTATAGGCATATCTAAAGACCCAAATAAAACCGCTATGATATGTACAAAAAAGAGAAGACACCCACACCAAGCCAGATCCGAAATTCTATGACATGACACAGAAAAGAGAACCATCAGACCCCTTCCTCATCACACACTATGTGTTTGAAGAATGAAATCACTCCCATGAGTTGATCTTCATGGTCCCTTTCTCCTGCAGATTCTGATGCATCTTGAACGCCTGGAACAGCAGGTGCGGCTCGTGGCCCATGCCCTTGCGCAGACACTCGAACTCGGCACGGTCGAGGTAGTCCGTCAGGATGGGCTGGTATTCAGGGTGGGCGCACTTGTCGATGATGACGCGGGCGCGTTCGCGGGGGCAGAGGCCACGGACGTCGGCGAGACCCTATACTTATTAGAATGGAACAAAGAAGAATAACAAAGAAAAGGGATAAGGGACATACCTGCTCGGTCACAACCACATCCAGATCATGCTCAGTCTGGTCGATATGCGTCGCAAACGGAACAATGCAGCTAACACCCGTGGGATCGGTCTTGCTAGGCCGCGAGCTGGGCGTGTGCATGATACTGTACTTGGAGTTGCGCAGGAAATCCGCCGAGCCACCGAGCCCATTGAGCATGCGCGAGCCCAGCACGCAGGTACTGTTGGCGTGGGCGTAGATGTCGACCTCGACGGGGGTATTCATGCCGATGCAGCCAAGTCGCCGGATGATCTCAGGCGAGTTGGACACCTGCTGCGAGCGTAGCAATAACTTGCCGGCATACTTCTCCCAGTTGTCATAAAAGCGCTTAAAGCCCTCGGGCGAGAAGCGGATGGACGTCGCGGTCGCGAAATCGAGGTTTCCGCTGTCAAACAGATCCAAGAACGAGTCCTGCAGCACCTCGGTCCACACCTTAAGGTTGCTGAAGTCGGCGCCACCCTTGCTCAGCCCGCCGATCACAGCGTTGGCGATGTTCCCGATGCCCGACTGGATGGGCAACAGATTCTGTGGCAGGCGCCCGTGGTTCACCTCGTGCTTCAAGAACTCAATTAGGTTGCTGGCGATCGCCTGTGACCCGGCATCTTCGGGTGCGTTCGGCTGCGTCTGGTCTGGGTAGTCCGACTCGACGATCGCCACCACCTTCTCCGGGTCCACGGGGATGTACGGCGTGCCGATACGGTCCTCGGGCGCCATGATGAGGTAAGGCTTTCGCCCAGGCGGCAGATCCGATCCCACGATATCATGCAGGCCCTCAAACGACGGGCTGGCCGTGTTAACCTCGATAATCACCTTGTCGGCCATCTGGATCAGTTCGGGCGACGCTCCCACCGATGCACCGGGAATAATGCCGCCATTTTCTGTGATGGCCGATGCTTCAATAACAGCCACATCCAGCTTGTTCTGCGGCTTGTCCATGGTATAGTAGCCCTAAAAAGCGGGAAAAGATAGAACCACCGATTAGCCCTGCCGATCACTTGTCACCCGGGGAGAGCGGAGATTGCCAGCCCCAGACACCCGTCAAACACGCGTCAAGAAAAACCAAAACTTACATAGACCAAATCCGAGGGAAACATGCTCAAGTGCTTGTCAAAAAACTTGATCTGTCCGTTGTTGATCCCATTGGCAATCTCCTTGCCAACCTGGTGCGGACTGCGCCGCTCGATCATGTTCAATCGCGCCCAGCGGTTCTCCGTCTCTGCGCCGGATGACGCACCCACGAACAAGCTGTACTTGAGTTTGCCTTCGAGGTTGTTCTTCTCGACATGATCGGCCAATGCGGTGGGCACTTTCCTGTCAAGACAATGCAGTTAGCCAACAACCATTTCGACTTGTGACTACGGTCAAAATAGGGAATAGTAGAAAAACGAGGAGCGAAAATGAAAAAATAAAGACAGTCATACTTCGGATATCCAACACCTGTAAACCCAGACCATCCAATGTATGAGCCATGCGGGAAGAGGTCAACGAGATCCTCTGCTTTGGCGAGCTTGTTGAGATACGAGGGCCGGCGCACCCGGCTCCTCAGCAGAGCAGAAGCAGCCATTCTGGGGGGGAAAAGAAAGGAACAAGAAGAGAGGAAAGGAGAGGAGGGGGGTTTCTGTGTAATCTGTAGAGAGTCGTGATATAGGTGAAACGAGGCGAGGGAGGTTGAAGAAGTAAAGAAAAGAAAAGAAAAGAAAAAGGAACCCAGACGATAGAAATACGCCACACACAAGAACCCCACGGGCAAGTCAACCCTCGATGCCGGTCTCCACCAGAGCAGAATGCGATGCCGGCAGAAGGGATAGACACTGACACACACAGGAAGACAGACAGAGCTGGGTCCGCCACAGGGTATGTCGTCTCTTTCCCGCCCCAAACTAAAATCCTCGGTGTTGGGATCGGGCGAAAAGGGATGTCGAAAGCAACCTATATTTTCTTTCTGTGTGAATTTCTATTCCATCGCATCAGCAAATATATCTCTTCTCTTTGAATATGTTATAGATCTAGTGGAATCGATGATGACTCCAGTTCGGGACTAGCTCACGCTGACGTCAACCCGGCACTCGCTCGGTTCCGCTCGGGCTAATCTCGCACGAAGAATTCCCGAGGACGAAAGGAAGGATTGAGTAAGACATAACCGAGTTGCCGATATTAAAAAAAAAATATATCTTGACATACATAGTATAGAATAAAGCTGCTTGGTGAATGAATGTATTGCTCAATCTACAAAACCCACGCGTTCGGCCTCCACGCTGGAAATCCTTCGCGGCTCTCCTTAGTCGCTCGTTAGTGTGCTCTCCGGGCCGAATCTGGGCCAGTCAGTCCACCTCCCCGATCTCTCTCCGTATCGGAAGGTAGAGGTAGAGAATTTCGGCTATTTGGACACTCGGGCACACGGAGCTGCAGCCCTATGACCCTTTTTATTTTTATTTTTATTTTTAACCATGTTCCTACTCGGGACACCGATAGTAGACACTACCGCATCGAGTAATGAGTCCCGTGTTGCCAATGCCTTCCGGGGTGGGATGAGGGATCGATCACCAGGTCCCAATGCCCAAAGAGGAAAATTGAAAAAGGGGCGTGTTTTGACTCAGGGTCTCTTTGGTGGATTTGCCACGCAAGATATTGACTACATACATTGCATACTTCAGTCTTTGACTATAAAGTAGAGTATTCGAAGACATCAAAACCTTGCGGTAGAATACATGGAATACAATACAGCCCGGGCTATGGAACTGTAAAAGAGAAAAAGAAAAAGAAAAAGAAAAAAGAAAAAGAAAAAGAAAAAGAAAAAGAAAAAGAACCATTCATCCCGGCGCCGATCATCTTCGGACGCCCTGCCCCTGGCCTTGAGGCTCCGATCCCGGACCTGATCGGGGGCCATGGGGACATCCCGGGAGAACAAAGAAAGAAGAAGTAAAAAGTAAATTGGCAAAAACAGACCATTTGAAAAGTTTTGGGGAAAAAGAATAAGAAATAAAACAAGCCCGTGAGAACTCATCGTCGCAATTTCCTCGTATGTCAGACGCCATCCCTTCTCGCAATCAAACAAATGCATATCAATCTCCGGCCGATCACGCCCGGTCAAAGAACAGAAAAAATAGGAACATTAATACGTGGGAAGAGAAGAAAAGAAAAAGAACAAGTTATTCACTGTTCAGCTTCTGCCGCCGCAGGCTCTGCCTCTGCCATTTCAGTGTCGGCCTGTTCGCCTGTTTGGGGGGGCCTGATCCTCCTTGGCGCCAGACTCCGGTGCGGGTGCAGGGCTGCCAGTAGAAAGGGTGCCATTCAGCCAGGAGCGGAAAGTCTGGTTCGACTCGTCGACCTGGTCCTTGCTCAGACCGTGGGCCCAGCCGGGGTTGTTGACAAACTTCTCGACAAAGCGGTCACGGCGCTTCTCGCGGACAGCAGCCTTCTCGGCGGTGAGCTCCTCCTCCTGGCCCTTCAGGGTCTCGGCGTCAGTGTCCTTGTCGGGGATGGGAGCGTTGGAGCGCCAGAACCAGTCCTGGCTGGACGGCTGGTAGAGCATGGTGTAGTTTTTGGCGCAAATTCGAATGATCAGACCGTCGTGGTGCTGCAGGCGCCGGTAGAAGTGGTCGTACTCCTCGTCCTCTTCCAGCTTGCTCGGCAGGTTCCGCTTGAGGAACGGCATACGCATCTCCGAGAACTGCACACCTTCGGTCAGGTCGCGCATCGAGAACGCGCTGACATAGTACGACCAGCGCGCCTCGGGGCTCAACTCCTCAGTGTCAAAGGTGGCGTCCTCGGTCGTCAACACCTGCACGGTGACCCGGCGTTCAGAGGGGAACTGCACGACAGAATTAGCGATAGAACAGACATCCAACAAGAAACAAAAAATACTCACAAAGGTGACGCGGTAAATGTCGCCCTCCTTAATCAACTTCTCCACCTGCTTGCGGTATTGGATTTCCTGACGATGCGTGGTTTCGTCCCTTTCCCGTTCTCGGAAGAAAAGGTTCGCAATGTCGGAGCTACGGTCTCGCGAGTCGCCAGTGAAGATAGACGCCACAAACTTGGAAATGGCTGCAAAGATCCGGTCCAAGTTGTAAAGCAAGTACCCACCTTGCATGTAGAAGCGGCGCAGAGTCTCCTCCAGATGAATCTGGTCAATATCGCCCTTGATCACTTCCTCGCACATGCGCACGATCTGTTTGTACAGGTTGGCCTTAGGGTCGACATCATAGAAGAAGTCACCAGGCAACCGGTCAATCAAGCACAAGTCGTTGGCAGGCTTCTGCAACAGGCCACGGCGGACCTGCTCACGGGCATCCTCTTCCTGTTCCTTGATGCACAGAAGACGCTGGTACAGAATCTCAAAGGTCCGCAGGAAGCAGATGAGATTCAAATTGCAGTACATGTGGTGCTCGGTCTTCTTGTACTTCTCGTTCAGGGTGTATTCGCGTTCCAGGTTGAAGTTACCTTCGCCGGGATGCTCCATCCACTTCAGCTCAGCCACGTTGAAGGCGTCCTCAGAGTCGGAAACAGTGGCAGAGGTGACAACAGGAGTTTCATCGTGGTTGGTGGAAGCCCCATCCTGCTTATTCTCTTTGGACTTCTCGGTTTGCCGCTCAAGAGCCTCACGCAAGGCATCCAGCTTTTGTGTGTTGACCACCTTCTGGCTGGCCGTCGAAGCGTCATCAGCTGCGAAATTGTCTTCCAGCTCCTCGGCCGGGGTAGCCCCGCTCGACAGTTCCTCCATGTACTCATGGAAGATCTCACGGTCCAGACCAAAGAAGGCAGGGACAAAGTCCTGCAAGAAGTTGATAAGTCGCTGGGGCTCGGTGCCGAATCCATTGGTTGTCCGGTCGAAATACAAGCAAAGCAAGTGGGTAGTGTCCAGGAGAACGCCCAGATCCTTGAAGGAGAATTCGCTCTGGTACTTTTTAGGAGTCCATCCAGACTTGCGAAGATTCTGAGCTTCCTCAAACTTGGCCTGGAAGTCCTGTTGAATGTTCTTCGCGATGAAAAGCTTCTTGTCGGCTTGCTTGGTGGCAATCGCCTGGTGGTCAAGACTGCGCCAGTAGGCTCTCTGCATCTGCTCGCGCCACACCTTGTCCCACTCGCGTTGACACGCCTTCCACTCTTCGAGCTTCTGCTTGAGGCGGTAAAGCACAATAGGCAGGACCTGGCAAGGACGCTCGAACATGTCCCGAATTACTTTCTCGCCACGCTGACGATCGTAGATCTTCTTGATCACACGCTGGTAGATCGCTTCACTTTGACCACCAAGACCACGAGGCAAAGTGAAGGCCGCTCGCTCTTGCTCATTCATCTGGAGAAACTGCTGGCAGATGGGCTCGATCAACTGGATCGTACGAACACACGCCTCGATATGATGATCATAGTCATGGCGGTCCTCTTCGATGCGATGCAGGGCATCTTCGTACTGGTTCTTCCTGTGTGCAACGAAACCAGAATCCTCGGACGCCCAGGTGGGGTGCGATGCCCAGTCATCATTCAGAACCTCGTCGCAGAGCTGGTCACGGCCAGTGCACGGCTTTTGGCGTTCCCGCGCGGGAAGAAGACGATAGCTGGGACCGAGTGACCGACAGTGCGCCAGATTGACCACGCCCGCCTCATGCTTCGGCTTGGGATCGATGGTCTTGTCCTCAGGCTCGTCGATGCTCATGAACCGCCTGAACCAGCTCATAAGTTCAGCATTGGAACCAATGTATCCTTCCGCTCTCTTGACCAGAACATGGCGGTCCAGTAGGTCGGTAGTGTACAGGTTGCACAGCTTCAGGAAGTCACCGAAGACCTGCTTGTTCGCAATGAATTTCTTGACACGGTCAAAGAATGCAATTTCTTCTTGGCTGGGTGTCATCGACACGGATGGCGGGATTGGTTCAGGGAGCGCAGGGATAAGAGTCGGAGATACATTGGGCATATCAGCAGCCGAGGGCTTGCCATGGTGGTATTTAGCTTTCTGTGATGTTGTTAGACCAGTCCACTCGACATTTAATACAAAAAATACCGAGCACTTACCTTGTTGACATTGCCGAACTGCGCAGCCTGGCCGCCTCGGCCCTGAGACTCGGCCATCCGCGCAGCCTCCACGCCAACAGGGCCCGAAACAGACGAGGTGACGCCCGCGCCACCAGGGCCACCGCGACGCTTCTTGCTATCTTTCCCAGAGTCTTTCACATTGAACTGGCCGAGTGGAGGCATTTTGACATCCCGGCCAGAGGTCTGTGAAGGAAGACCCATAGGTTCTCCACGAAGGTTGCTCAGAGGAGCTGCTTCTTCAGCTTGACGAGCTGCCGCCTGCTGCTTGGCATGGGCAGCAGATTCTGGCAAAAACTGCTTGAAATCCTCCAAGAGATCCGGGGCAGTGTTGAACAGCTGAGTCACCTGCGCATACACATCTTGGATGGGTTTTGACTCTCGCTGGTACGTCTGCAGGATTTCAAGAAACTGCTTGTAAATCTCAGGAGCACTCGAGAAGCGGTTCTGAGAAGTGAAGAAATGAACAGTCAGCATGATTTTATTGTCACCTCGCCACAAAGACACAAACCTTGATCTTGTTCACGTAGCTGATGGCGTGGTTGAACTCCACTGGTCCACGCTTGTTCAAGTCCTGGGCACCCTGAAGCATTCCCGATCCAACACCGGCCAAACTGTTCATCGGCTGGGTCAAGCTCGGAGTCTGGCCAGCGGCAGAGGTAACCTGCAGGAGAGAGGGTCTACCCAGGCCGGCAGACGCTGCCGAGGCAGCACCTTGGAGTTGGGCTACTCCGCAGTGGTCCTGCTGGTGAGACATGACGGAGGCAGCTTGTTGTTCCTGCTGGCTCGGGTAGCCATAGTGGTGGTCCTGCCCGTGGCCTTGTCCCTCCTGTTGATACATGCCTGGCCCCATCATGCGAGAGCCGGGAGAGTAAGATCCAGGGACGCCACCCTGCTGCTGTGCCTGTTGTTGCTGGGTCTGTTGCCAGCCAGGCCGCGACTGGTCATAGAGGTCTGGGCGACCATGAGGGCCAAGACTACCGGAAGGTCCCAAGTCGTTTGTGGTTTCATATGGACGCCCGGCACGCGGCATGCTCAGAGTGTTCGTTCCCGATGGAGTGGTGACCCGGATGGCATCGGGGTTATCTTCGGTGCCGCATTCAATGCGGTATCCCGGAGGTAAGAAAGTGTTGAATCCCTGGATGAGGGCGGGGTGGCCATTGAAAAGAGTCGATACACGCTGAATCACGCCAGGGGTATCAATGCTATCATCGTGTTAGATCGGATTGATAATGTCAATAGACTCAACACTCACGCCTGGCTCTTGAAGTCTTTCATGATGTCAAGGAAACGGTTGTAGACATCTGGCTGGTCCACAAACCGGACCTTGACCTGATCCAGATAGCTGAGCGCATCCTGAGGTTGCAAAAGTATGTCAGCTGCAATCCAATCTTTCTCCCTTGGGGCAGGTACTGTTCAAGCCCACTTACATTGAGAATTGGCTGCTGGCCTTGGGCGAGAGCCGCAACATTCCCGGGTATTTGCTGGCCCGATCCGTTGTATCCCATCATAGGCTGACCAGGTGGGCCACCGGGGTGTTGCATGTAAGACCGCGGGGTACCTTCACCATGCTGCGGCATCTGCGGGCCAAAGAGGCTAGCCGGGCCCCCTGACGAATGTGCCGCGCCCTGAGAGCCACTGGGAGGGTTTCCGCCGAGGTTCGAGAGGAGACCATTGGGACCATGAATGGAGTTGGGGACTTTCGAGGCGACAGGCTGGTGGAGGGGGATCGAACCGGTGTGACTCTGGACCGGGTGGTGTTGCTGTTCGCGCTGACGCTCCATCTGCTGGCGTTCAATCTGTTCGCGCTCGCGCTGCTCCCGTTCTCGATGGGCCATCTCTTCCTGTCGGTGGCGCTCCAAGATTTCCCGCTCCCGGGAGTCCCGCTCGCGCTCGGGGTTGAGTGACTGGGGAGACGCATGCTGCATAGCTTGGCCGATGCCAGGAAGGGAGTGACCAGTGGAGTGAGACGGACCCGGAGGATGCGGACCATACGTCGGCGGCTGGTGTGAAGCCCCGTGGGTCTGGCTCAATTCAGCTAGCCCTGGGAGGGAGTGTCCGCCCGACTGGCCGCCGGGGTGGTAGGGACCTGGAGGAGCAAACCAGAGTCAGTTCATGCATGTTCCCACGGCAGTCGGTGCCATCGGATGGCAAGAAGAGCACAAATGGATGTATTGATTGAGGGGGTTCTCACCAGCTGGAGGGGGGAGGACTGGCCCTGAAGGCTGCGCCGCTGGGCCTTGCTGGGGCGGATTTTGACTGAATTTGCGACAGGCCAGGTCAGTCTCTGAGGTATCGAGTCATCAAGCACAGCAGCACTGGTTCATACCTGAACGACCCCAGGGGCCGCGGTTGCTGGTTCATTTGGTCCATGCTAGGATGCGACGGAGGCCCTCCAGAGGAGTGCCAGCTATCGTTTCCCGAGTTCATTCTCGGTGCATGAACAGGAATCGGAGAGGGAGGGGGGAAGATGACGATTTTCGGAGACGAGGATCAGAAAAAATGGCGAGGATCAGGAAACAAAGAAGAGAACCAAGGAAAGAAAACAATGTGAATGTAAGCTCAAGCTCTCTCTCCCACTCTGGCCTGGGGGTTATTCCACAGCCAACGCTCAGGTCGCACTCTTGTCACAGCATGACCTGAGCCCTGGAAGAGACAAAGAAGCAGCCCACAGCAAAATAAAAATAAGCACAAAGCAACAGTGAAGCAAGCCAATAGGCAAGGAGAGAGGAGAGATGAGCACCTGGAGAGACTGCGCGCGATCGCGGGCGAGAGAGTTACCAGTGGAGGCCAGGATGGCGCTAGGCCTATAAAAGGCTAGCGTCATGGTTGGGCGGACATTTATTGATCCGGATGTATTGTAACTGCAATACAGGAATAATACCGATTGCCCGCGATTAATGGCGGTCAGCAACTGTCATTAACCGTCAACGACGGTCTGGCTCTGGTATTGGTATTGTACGAATCAATGATTCCCTCCGCCTTCGTCATCGCCCATATTGTCAGGCAGAAAAAAACAAATGCGGTCAGGGGCATTCCAGTGCTGGGTGAAGGGAATCAATCAGGTCCTGATGCTAGCCCAAGAAGAAAGGGAAATCAAGAAAAGATGTCCAGTATTGGTTTATGGTTTGGCAGATAGAGTGATCTTCAATAGGATCAATCTTGAAGACATCTACACTACGCTATCGCATGTCAGGAATGGATACAGTGACACATGCTGGCATGACATTCTCTATCCTAAGTCCAACCCATAGAAACGCCAGCAGAATACCTAAGTACCAAATGGGGCCTGCATACAAACCAGGGCCACGAGAGGCAGAAAACAACAAGAGAACAAGGATGCCCCGAAGCCGAAATGGTGGGGGACTTCCATTCTGCGAGTCATAAAGACCGGACCAAAACCGCCCAAGGGAAGAAAGACAAGGAAAAGGGAGGGTGAACGGAAAAGTCCTGCGATTATGGAATCTGTGGCCTGCTGCTATCATTATTTTCTGGATTTTCTTTTCGGTTCTTTGCTCTCATCAAGCCACCACGCCCTCCACCAGCCACCGGATCCCATCCCGAGATGCGCCTGTCCATGGAAGATGATGATGGGCCCTGTGCGAGTGTACGCCCATTTACAGGGCAGAGAAGACAAAGAGCTAGAGTCACGAGTCAGCACAGTTGGGGTCATGGGGGACCAGAAAGAGAAGACATACGTTGTTCGTAGCAGCAATGGCAATACTATCCTCGAACGGATGCCAGCTCATGTGCAAAATCTTCTTGTTGAAGTCGATCTGGTCGGCATCGGTCTCCTTCTTCATCCGACTGCCAGGACCCGCCGGGCTACTGGACCGCGACCCGGCCTTCTTGCCGTTACCTGCCTTGCCCATCGGCGTCGGCACACCAACCTTCTTGGCCTTGAAGGCTGACTTATCAGCCTGCAGCACAATCTCCGTGTCCTTGGTCTCCTCTGTCGGGTAGATCATGAAGTTGTTGTTGTAGCTGCCGGTCATGACATTCTCGGCGTCACCGGAGAAGACCACCTCGAACTTGTCGAAGATGCTATCATTTTCGTATGTGTCGCACAGGCGCGGGCGCAGATGTTCGTGGATGGGGATGGTCTTGACGGGCTGCCGTTCCATGTTGACATCCCAAATCTTCACGGTCAGGTAGTCACGCGATACAATGTACCGACCGTCTTGTGAGAATCGCACATCGGAGATGGAGGAGATGATCTCGGAAAAGAAAGAGCGGGAGGAGGCATCTTCCTCTTGTTCAAACACTGGAAAAGGGAAGAAAATGTCAGTACTCGATAATCCACTTCGGCAGTCAAGGACGTACGTTTAGCATGCTCGTCGCACAATGCACGCTGTCGCATGTCGGCCAGCTTGATTGTGCCCTTAGAGCTGGCATACATAAACCAGTTACAGCTGACCGGGTGGAACTCGGCTGCCGTGATCACCTCGGTCAATTCCTCCATGTTTGCGGGCTTGATATCGACAATGTTGAAGCTCTGGTCTTGAATGTTGAGGTTCCAAAGGTTGACGCGGAGGTCGTCACTGCTGATAAATGTCTCGCCATCGCTGTTGACGGAGATGCTATTTATATGATACGCGTGGGCGTTGGCGTACGTTCTCCGGGGGACGGCTGCAACGACGGTGTCATGGTGTGTCAACCGGGGAGCTTCAGCGCAGACGGGTCTTTGAAGGAGACGCGGGGTGCCCGAGGAATGCCTCCACCACCGACCGCACCCGCCGGCGTGAGCTCGTTTGATAGATTGTTCTCCGCAACCACCTTCAACGACTTGTCAAACACCTTCCAGAGCTTTATCGTCTTGTCGTTTGTCGAGAGGAGAAAGTGGGATGCATTCTGTCGCCGGCACCATTTTATCTTGTTGATCTTCTCTTCAATCTCTAACGACTTGAGGTAATCGAATTCTGGTTCGTGCGACTGAAACTCGGTGTGGAACTTATACTCGCAGGTTTTTTTCTGTGTTGGACATTCGTTAGCGATGGTTCTGAGAGAGCAAGATGGAGAGAGAAGAGGGGGTAGTTACCGTCTCGTTCCGCTCAAACAACACCACTCTTCCACCCTTGTCTCCCGTCGCCAGGTAGTTACCAGTATGATCAAATTCGACGGTCGAGATGATGTCGGCTGGTAGGCAAAGCACCTGTAAGCCAATATCCTCCAAACAGCACCTGGAGAAGGGCAAGTGGGCGGGTTACCTTCTGTAATATCTTCTACATCGCCTTTATCACCAAAGCATCTGTTGGAAAAGTCAGCCACTGTCTGGCAGCCCGCAGACGCGATGTTTCTCGCAGGCGGGGGCCACCCGGGCAGACTTACTGTGTGAATTTCCAGGTCGGTGTACCTGGATCTCTGTCTACCATCTTTTCGTTCTAGGTGTCGCCCTTGGGCCGGTGTGAACAAAGACCGATGCGGAAAGAACACTGAGAAACAGGGAAAGTTGGCACGCGGTTGTCGCCGAGGGCTCTACTGTAGATGAACGCAGAAAACCACTCGGCTCGAAAGATTGGCGAGATGGTGGTTCGTCACGATCGACAGAAAAGAAATGCGGACACGGTCGAGCCCACGGATGGCAATGGTCACGACGGGTAAAAGCAATGGCAGGCAAAAATTGGCGCGAGAATAGACACACTCGATCGGAAATGGCGTGTGTGCGGTGCGAGGAGTTCTCGAGCCGATGACGGGAGGGGGGTGTTGCGAGAGGGGGAAGCGGAGAAGGAGGAGAGGAAAACCGTCTGCACGATTCAATTGTTGTTTAGGGGAAGGCGAGGACGAGTTGACAACCGACGATGGTCCGAGATGGTTGAAGGATCGAGCAAACAGGACCGGGTGTGGGTTGTTATGAGTGGACCCGCTGTAGCAAAGCTTGAGAGGGGATCATAGGAAGAAGAAAAGAAGAAAAAAAGGGGTTGTCTCAAGAAAAGGCGAACACAGCGCTTTCAGACGGAATACACACGACACGAAAACCATGCAGACGATGGAGTGTGGGGAGGGGCAGAGAAAGAGAGAAGAGAGAGGGGCGGAGCTCGAAGTTGAAGAGGGAAAAGATGGGTTGAGGTGAGGCGGTGGTGGGGAGGTTCGTTACGGAGATAACCCTCGTCCCCTCCAGATGTACCCAATAACTAATTCTGTGGACTCGCAGGTCCCTGGACTATTGGATTCTTGCGCTTCAATGGAGACATCCTCTGCTGTTCTCTTCGGCCTACAATCCGGTGCTGGACAATGCTGACATCAACACTGTCCACCGACTGTAACATTGCCCCGATGCAGAAACTCGCCCAACAGTCGGCGAGCAAAGGGATATCGAGGGACTGCGGGCATGGACGATCAGCGCAATTGGACAGAACCTTTATTCTGATCTATGGACCTATATTGAGGTGGATAGCAGGTCAAGTGAGCGTATATCTCCAGTACTGTGCAATTCAGATGCACGCACCGCCTCTGTCGTCATTGCCGGGGCGCCAATCTTCACTCTTAATTGTGTGCAGCCTCGGGTCTGATCTGATCTCGTACAGTATAAAACGAAAGAGTCTGCATTCGAGAGCCGAGGTATGTCGAGAATTATTGGCATATTCCACTCTTCCGGACGACAGGATATAATCTATGATGGTATGGTTGGGATACCCGGTATCCTCCATGCAGATGCAACCAACCACCTTGAAAATTGCTTGAGAATACAAAATCGCTGTTTTGCAAACAGCAAACCATGATTCTGATCCAACCCTGACCAACAACTATATAAACAAGTCCCCTCCAACGCCCCTCGAGAGCCAAGTGCCGCCACCATCACATGTTTCTCTTCCCGGGCTGATCCATCGAGCCGAACAACCCGACACAGTCCTGAACAATGGGCACGCAACAGTGTATTGCAATATACAACTCCCCTTCGCAATGAAAACAGACCGAAACCTATGATCAACAGAAACCCCGAGAAACAAAGATCATAATGGCCGACAAGCCAGAGAACAAGCGGGCTACGCGCGCAACGAACAGCCACCCCGAGCCTCCCGACACTAGCTCTTCCCAAACACCCAATACCTCAGCGCGCACAGAATCGAACTCGACACCTCCATCACTAGCAAGCCGCGTCCAGAGCTCAGCCGCAGGCCTAGCCCGCAGCGCATTCCAACCGAGCAGCGCGACAGAACTCGCGCAGACGCTGGCCAGCGGCACGAACGGCAAAGCAGCCGGGTCGTCCTCAGCGACATCAGTGAATACTCAACATACCGCCAGCCGCGATGGATCAGCAGCAGCGCGGTCCTCGAGGACGAGCCAGACAGGCACTGGACCGGGTCCGGCCGAGTCCTTCCGCAGTGCGAGTTGCTCGGCTGCAGGGCAGGGAGAGACAGTGCTGCCGCTGCTGACGGAAGAAGCGTTCCTGCGTGGGGACACGGATGCAGGAATAGGAATTGAACGGGACGGGGCGAGTCTGGATACGCTGCAAAGCGAGACGGGGAATTGGAAGGGCAAGCAACGGGCTCAAGATCCGGTGCAGATGGAGTTCGACACGGTCTGGAGACGCGGTGACTCTGTTTCAGAGACACCTGCTCCTACCGCAGATACGCAATCCGAGTCCTTAGCCGACGGCGCCGCCGTGGTATCCCTATTATCCGACACATCCTTTGACCCTTTCGCGACAGAACCAGAAAACGCCGAAGATCTGAACCTGGATCTGGATCCGGCAGCACCGCCTCCACCCCTCACAGCATCAGAAATAGAGATGCTAGACTCATTCCGGCGCCAACTACCTCCCTCCACACAAGAAACCCCCACACACCAGGCCCAGTACCAGCACCAACCCCGCCTTACAGCGCAGAGTCTCGTCCCCGACATCGACACCTTCCTCGCAGAAAACGACCCCTCTGCTACCAGCAACAGGAATGGCCATACAGCGACCGGTATCAGCAATCAAGCCACAACAACTGACCCAGCAACTATATCCTCACTCCGCGACTCGGTGCTGACACACCTCCCCGGCGCGACAGACTGGCTCAATGTACATGAGCGGTACCACGACGAGGTGTGGGGGTATTTGCGACCGGTGCTGGAGGCGGCGCGGATAGAGATCGAGGAGAAAGAGAAGGAAACAGGGCGGGAGCATGAGGGGGATGATGGGCCGGCTGTGCGGCGGTTGAAGATGATTCTGGCGCATATGAGGGTGCAAGTGTAAGTAGCGTGGAAGCATGTTGCATATATCCATTATATATTACACACTGGGACGGTGCGTCTATTGTAATGTGAATGGGATATTACATGGTTTGGGATGGACAGACAAAGAATTGGGAGTGGATTTGACAGGCCACAGAGGAATTGGGGTATCGAAACTGAAGCGTTTCGATGGCTGTCAATGTCACTTTCTACCTCTGGGGTCTCTATTCCTGAATAATCCCAAGGTTTTACAACAGCAACGCACAATCTAATGGATATATTCCAAAGCAAGTAAGATGGTATGTTACAGGAAGACCAGACCAGAAATATCCAGCGAAATCGAGCGGACCAGATAGCGAGATTCCAGATCATAAGAGACGAAAGGGCGTGCACGGCATGAGTTAGAAGGACCAACAAGATATGAGAGAATCGCGGGGGTATGTAAAATGGAACAGCGGAGGGCGAAATCACAGCTCCAGGCTGGGTTCCTGGCCCTTGACGCGGCCGATGACAATGTGACCGGCGTACTTGGGGATGACCTCGTCGTCGTGGAGCATAGCGAATTCTGCCAGAAAGTTAGAACGGGTTACATATTGAAATGGCAGAACGTCAAGAGTGATTCAAGAACATACCCTCTGTGGCATCTCGTCCCATAAAGTTGAACAAGGCGTTGGCACCGCCAGGGTGCTCGTCGAGCCAGTTGGTAACATCCAGGACGACGCCCTTGACGGCGATCCACAGGTCGTCCTTCTTGTTGTGCTTGGCGACCTCTTCCATGGTGTACTCCTTCTCGGGAATCTTGAAGTTGGCCGGGTCCGGCTTGGCCTGCTCGGCGGCCGGAGAGGTGCTCGGGGCAACGGCCGGCTCAGCTGATGCGGGGGCCGCGGCGACAGTGGGTAGACTGCCGCCGGGGGCAGCACCACCCCACTCGACAGAGATCTTGCCGGGGGTGGAGGGGTCGACGTGCAGAGAGATCTGACCCAGACGCTGCTGGGCGGCAGAGGAGCCACCGGTGATTAACTTCCGGAAGAGGTGATGGCTGGCAGAGTCACCCGCAACTCGGCCGTAGACCACACAGCCCAGCAGCGACGAGCCTCCCAGACGGTTGGCGCCGTGGACACCACCCGCCAGCTCACCGCAGGCGTACAGACCCTCGAAGGGCGCCTTCTCAGCGTTGAGCACCTGGGCGTGCTCGTTGATCTCGATACCGCCCATGGTGAAGTGCAGCACGGGCTCCATCAGGGAGACGTGGAACTCATCGTCGATGTTGAAGGGCATGTTGTGGAAGAAGCGCTTGTTCCAGGGATCCTTCTTCTTGCCCTCGGCGATGAGATTGTACTCATCGAAGGTCTTCTGCAGGGTGGCATCACCGCAGCCGATCTCCTTGGCAAGCTCCTTGCCGCTCATCTTGCGCATCAGACCACGGCCGGAGTAGTGGCGCGTGTGGAAATCCAGAACCTTGGACGCCTTACTGTTAAGGACCAGGCGGATGGGCCACTTGCCCTTCTCCTTCTCTTTCCACATCTGGCCCGACACATAGTCACGGTGACCCAACTCATCCGAGAACCGCTGGCCGTCCGAGTTGAGCAGCAGCCCGCCCTCACCACGGAGAGCCTCGGCCGCTAGGAACTTGAACTTGGCATTCGGGTCCTTGGGGTCCACGAGACCTGTCGGATGCACCTGGACCTTGTCCATATCGATGCCGTTGGCACCGATCTTCATCAGCATCTTCTGACCGTCACCAGTGGCGTGAGTGCCGTTGGTGCTAGACAGACCAAAGGTATCGGGGCGGTGCTGCTTGAGCAGCGACGAGTCGCTGAAGTCGGCGGCATAGCCACCGGTCGCGAGGACGACAATGCCGTCGGCACTCTTGGTCTCGCCGTTGTGGGTGTAGGTCACACCGCTGATGGTGTTGCCGCTCTTGTTGACGGAGGTAACCTGGGCCTTCTTGACGATCTGGACGCGGCCGGGCTCCTTCTCGGAGAGCTCCTCCAACCGCTGCATGAGGGCGTAGGTGATGGCCATACCGGGGAATTTGGCATCGTGACCACGGTGTGTTCGGGGGTGGGTGTGTCCACTGCAAGACGGAAAATAAAATTAGTCAAAAATATTTGAACTAGGTAGTGTGAATACATACCCGAGACGGGAGACGAGGGTGAGGTCGAGGTTGAAAACATCCTGCAGCCACTCGACGGCCGCAGCGGACTTGTAGGTGAGAACCTTGATCAGCTCGGGACGAGCCTTGTCGCGGGCAGACTTGAGGGTGTCTTCATAGAAAGCCTTGACGCTGTCGCCAATGCCGAGGTCGATCTGGGTGCGGGTGAGGGCACCGTTAATACCGGAGGTGGCCTTGGTTGAGTTGCCACCGAAGAAACCTGGGTGAGAGAGTCAGCGGTGGACAAAAACCTACGAAAAGAAAAAAAAAATCAAAAAATCAAAACCAAGCATACCTTGCTTGTCCAAAACGAGGACATTGCCACCGTTCAGGTAGACGGTGTGGGCGGCGCTGAGACCGGACACTGCGACAAGAGTCAGCCGAGGCGAACGAGAATGCGGGGAAAGCTCAAGGAAACTCCTTACGTCCACCGCCGACCACAATTACTTGAGGTGCCATGATGAAAGATGTGGAGTTAAAGAGGGGGGGGGAAGGATGGAGAGAGAGAGAGAAGAAGAAGAAGAAGAGTGGGCGATATGGGGAATCTTAAGGGAGAGGAATCTCTCAGAAGCCGACGAGCTATCGGCCGAGGCCCGTGGGGAAGAACAAACTGGGTTGGTAATTGCACGGCGCTGGTTTGTCCTGGTTTTTCAGAACCTGGGGAAAACCTGAATCACATGGGATATAGGTGCAATACACTGTGAATCTCATATTATATACATTTTATCATACTATCCCCGAAATACAAAATGCGCGATCTTCACATGCACTGCGTCACCTTCCATTCCATCCCTGGCCACGCTCGAGAGAGAAATAATAAGAGAGAAACAGGGTGATCGGAATAAAGACAGAACCGGTCATTTCATGGTTTTATGGAGTTCTTACCACGGATTCTCTGGTGGAAAGTATTGCGACTTCGGCAAACTCGGTCCCAGAGCACAAATCTGAAGACTGCCGTGAGCCTCGGAACTTGGGGGGAGAGTGCTCAACCTCCCGAGGACTACTGCAACGCTGACATGCCTCTTTTACCGTACAAGAATAAGGGGGATAGATGAACTGGAAAGTGCGCAGCAATATATAAAAATATCGTATATACTTATATTTCACTTGCAATTTTCCTATATCTTGTAACTCGCATACTTCAGTTTCGATCCCCGACCAGACAAGCCCAATTGCCGCTGAACTACGTCTTCCCGCTGATTGGTGGAAGAATTTCGTGCGGGTGACATAATCCGGGGATGGAAATTGCCCCGATCGGCGACGATGACCTCATTTTGCTGGGCCTCAATTGCCGACGGAATTCATGAGATTCTCGACATTAGAACTTCAAGAGGCTGCTCGGCATAGAATCGCCATGGACCTTGCGCGGTAGTGGTTAGACGATACGCCGTAGATGTTCTTCGACCACGTGTCGCTGCTCGGGTTAATACACCCCGAGAGTACACCCGCCACTCTCAGGTGAACTACGAGTACTTGGGCACTTCCCGCCCGAGAGACTTGTATACTCGATCAATATGCGGCTAAAATAGAAAAGGTGAGATGAGCCAATAAATCCGGCTATGCTTACTGTACCTGTGTAGGTCAATGCTGCAATACGCAAGACATCATCCATACATGGTCTATGTGGTCCTCAATCCATCCAGGTCACACTCTTCGTCACTAGAAACTCATTCAGTCCCTCGGCGGCATTGAATCGACCCCAGCCACTATTCTTGACACCCCCATGTGGGAGGATTGGCTCGTCATGGATCGTCATGCTATTGATATGCACGGCTCTGCAATCCCTGTCAGGATTCTGGTGCGGATCTCGATAAAAGAGAAGCAAAAAAAAAAAAAGTCTAGAACATACCCCGATTGAATGCGCTTGGCCATCGCCAAACCTTTCCGAAGATCCTCGGTGAAGATCGACGCCGAGAGGCCGTAACCAGTGCAATTGGCCAGACGGATCGCCTCCTCGTCGTCGGCGACCATGCATACTGCTGCTACGGGGGCAAACGCTTCTTCGTGCCACAGTGCCATCGTCTCTGTCACGCCGGCTAAAATGGCCGGGTCCATGCGTACTCCGGCGTCGGGGGCAAGACTGGCAGTAGGGGATCCCGAAATGAAAAAGGCCCCAGCGCTCACGGCATCAGAAATGAGGGCTTCCACGCGACTCTTCGAGGCCGTGTTTACCAGAGTGGGTGGAGGTGTAGAGGCATCAGCGCCTGCAGCCAGTGCTTCCTTGAGAGTGTCGACAAACGCAGGTACAATCTCGCAGTGGACGAGGATGCGATCAGTGGCCATACAAATCTGGCCCGAGTGGAAGCCGAGAGAAGTTAGAGCCAGAGTTTGTGATATAGAGTTATCGCAATGTCATCAAGACTCACGTTTAAAAAAGATCCCGCCAATACGCCCTGCACGGCAGTTTGCAGGTCGGCGTCGGCACACACGATCGAGCTGTTCTTCCCACCCAGCTCCATCAGACACGGCTTGAGGTTCTGCCCACATGTGCGAGCAATCTTGCGGCCGACCGCCGTGCTGCCTGTGAAGTTGATCTTGCGGACGGCCAGGTGCTCGATCATCGCAGCCACCACCTCGGGTGCATCCTGTGTCCGACAGGACAAGATATTGAGACATCCAGCTGGAAGACCGGCATCCTCGAAGGCGCGACCAATGGCCCAGTAGCAGCGTGGAGCCAGCTCCGAGGATTTCAAGATTGTAGTATTACCCGCGGCCAGGGCGCATGCAGCCGAGCGAATGCCAAAGACAAACGGAGCGTTCCTGGGGATACTTGAGTGAGCATATGCGTCTTAAACAACAAAAAACGAGGCCTACATACCACGGCACAATACCGACAATCACCCCCATCGGTTCCTTGAAGACCATCGCACTTTGACCTTCGGCCTCTACCACGGGGACACTCCCGCAGATAGACGTGATGCGGCCGGCAATCTCCCGCAGCATGCGAATAGCCAGCGGAGCCACAAACCCCCGCGAGGCACCGACATTGGCGCCCATCTCTGTCCGCATGTACTCGGCATTTTGGTCCAGGCGCTCTTCGAGCAGATCAGCGGTCTTTAGCAGGATATCCCGTCTCACGGTGGGCTTGGTCTGCGACCATGCAGCAAAGGCGGTGTCTGCGGCCTCCACTGCACGAAGGGCATCTTGCGGTGTAGCAGCAGCAGCTCTCCAGCATGGCTGGTTTGTATAGGGGCTGATCACGTCGAAGGTTGCCGAGGTGTACTCCTCTTGACCGTTGATGATCAAGGGAACCGTGGTTCCGTCGGTCATTATGGCCTAGAGCGAGTGCTGGGAATTAGTGTTGAAGGGCGATGAGGAGAGGAAAGTGAACCCCTATTTTATCTTTCCCTTGCTTCTCCGTAAGCAATCGGATAGTCAGTGTCTTGAATCAGTTGTAAAAGTGATGACGATCTATACCCGGAATTGACAAAGGCTCCACACTATAGAAGAGAATATCTAGTCTAGATATTAATATATTAGTTGGCGGAGCTATTTTAACACTTGAACAAGTCGAACAAATCTCAGCTCTACCTCTGTGGATCTATATCCGCCAGTAACTCCAGCTGCTACAAAGGCACGCAAGGAATATCTGAATTTGCATTCGAACGTAGCAGCACCTGGCCTCCGGCCCGAAGGAACATGTAAAGCATGATAGTAAGCCCTGGCCAAGACTAGAAATGAGTCCACAAACGGATCTAAGCCACCTGCGCACCGAGGCGTGTAAACAGCTCCACCTCCATCCTCTCGGCCGCGTCTGGCTGAGAGAGGATTGCCTCCATGTCATCCGAGCCAAGATCTTCTTCCCACACATTATGGGGCTCTGCATTCGCTTTCATGTTTTTGTAGAGACACATCCGCAAATGCCAGCGCAACAAGTCTGGACTGACATGGTTGTTGGCCTCACGCGTGCCATAACGGGCAGAATTCAGGAGAGAACGCCCGCTATACTCCTGTGACTTCGAGGTAAATGAAATAACTCTGTAGTTCGCCTAGGGCCACAAAGGTATTAGCCTCCAGTGAGAATGAAAAGGACTTGTTCCATCCCTGTATGCCCACATAAACTTACATCCGGGTCGATGCCAAACTTGTAACTGTCCCACAGGTCGTGGAGGTAGGTGTTGAGGAGCAGGCCGTTTTGCGGTGAGAAGAGACCAGTTTGGCCAATCTCGCTAGCAGGCCTAGTGTCAGTCATCCATAGCCGGCGATAATTGTGTTGATTCCATTCGCTGATGCGGCTCGTTGGATAGATGTGGACTGCCTGCATGGCCGCGAACGGAGAATCATCAGCATCCTCATCGGGCTCAGGCACGGTGTCTGAGACGACACAACGCACGTCTCTTGCCCGGATACTGTTTCGAAATTTCGTTTGCTAGAGAGGTAATTAATGTCAGCACAAAGTCCTCCCCCATCTGAGAATCTCAGGGATAGTCTCACCAATTGATTACGCTCAGACCGGGCCTGTGACGAGGACGAGGGAGATCGAGTCCGAATGCGACGAGGCGCCACATTGTCTGTGAATCGGATCGAGAGAGGTTTCAGGTCTAAACTTCTTTTAAGAAACTTGCACTAGCGATCATCAAGAACAATGGAGCATGCTTACCCCGATCGAGGATGACATAGTAACCGGGCTCAACCATTCTAGGACTCCCCTGATCAAGTCGACGGCCAGTCGCTCCATTTGCACGCAGCCGAAAGATTGCCCAGGAGGCACCGGCGGGGAATATCATGATTTCCCCACAGTATCGGTACAGCATTTCAGGGTTGATACTTCTGCGTGCGGTATCCTCGGGGATCCGTAGCACTTTATTAAGACAGGTTAGCAAGAAGAAAGTAATAATAAGATAAGGCGTTTCTGCCTACCAGCAAGTACTGCTCCAGAATCGTCATAAATCCGAAGGTTCAAACCACGTTTCCGAGGCTCCTCTAGGGTTCGTGCCATTGTGAGATACAGAAGATGGCGAAGGTGAAGGTGATAGTAAATGTGATGATGGAAGGTCAAGGTGGTGAATGGTCAAGAAGGGGTTTTTCGCTTGATAGCTGGAGCATTACTTATAATATCTTACTTTACCATGCCGCTATTGCTATTCGAATTGAGTAGTTTTGATTTCCAAGGTTTGAGGTAGGAGGTACACCTAGGTAGATATTACTCCAACATCACATCATCCACGAACCCTACAAAAACCATGATGAAAAATTATTTTAAAAAATTATTTTAAAAATGCCAGACAAGAGGTGAGATTAGGAAATCGAACATAGATATGCCAGTTTTGCGTGCACTGCTACAGATTGGCCACCGTGGCGCACTCCGTTGGAATAAAGTGACTGTGAATGTATACTTGCTGACTCGGTGCTACGAAGCTTTCGGCAATAAACCATCTAGATATTCTTAGACTAGGCATGTTGGTTTGAATTCCTGTGCCATGGGAGCATTGGCTATCCTTTCAACACGTTTTCCAGAATGTAGCGTTGGTTTGCTTGGACCTCCAAGCAAGCTGGATATACAAATTCATGGAGAGATAGGACTGGCATCAATTCGTAGGTATTTCATCAGGTAATTACAGCAATTGGTTTTAATGTACCATCTGGCTCGTGGCAAACTCCTAAACCAAAACGTTAGTTCAAGATCAGAAAGAGAGCAACAAATCACAACGAACCGGGAACTGATCTGAGATGCTGGCCGCCACGCGCTCGACGTCTTCGGCAAGTTCCTGGACTCCCAAGTCCCACTGGCGAAGAGTGGCGCCGTTCGATCCTGCGGCAGCAGAATCGGTATCAAAGGCGATGACACCGTCAATTTGATCAATCCGGCCCCGAAGCCGGCCTTGCTCGACCATGCGAGCGGCGTAGGCCTCTGCCTTTTCACCGGCAGACAAATCGCCTGAAGACTCAAGGCCTAGGATAGATCCGAGGGCATCAACGGTGATATTCTCATAGAGCTTGCTCGCGGCGACGAGGTTGTGCTCGATCACCGCCTTGTCGAGGACGGTGGTGCCGTCCGCCGTGACGGCCAGTTGATGGGGAGCAAGCTTTTTCGCAAAGGCGGCGACTTCTTCGGCAGTGAGGAGCCGGTCAAGGAACATTTTCTCTAGGATGCCAAACTCATCCACCGAAGGCGCACGGTCGTCCTTGTACAGCCGGGCAAGAGAGCGCGAACGCTGTGGCCCCGCAGGCGCCAGGACCGCACACCGGATGGCCGCCGACAGTGCAGTGAGCCGGTCATTCTCATCCACACCTGGTACCAGACTAACATTAAAGTATTCCTGCGCGGCATCGAGAAACCGGCGACGGGCATCCAGGACACGGGCCTGGGACAGCTGAAAGTAAAGCTTGGCGTCGTGGTCCTCGATCTTGCTAGGCAGGTTCTTGATGCGGTTGAGAAACACCTCGGCGCTCATAGTGTCGTCGTCTTCCAGGTAACAGCGCACGATGCGGATCCAGAGCCGGGCCTTGGCCGCGTCCGAGACCAGCCGCTGCGAGCTGTCGACATGGATTCCCTGCAGCGCCCGCGCTGCGGCGGTGTATTCGTCCTGCGACTCATAGGCATCGGCCAAAATCTCTCGGATCTGTGAATCCTGCTCCTCCACTGACGTCGCCCGTGACTGGAGCAGCGTCACTGCATGTTGTCCGACCTTGATCTTCGTGTCTGGCTCGAGCTTCTGTAGGACGGTGATGAATGAATCGAGTAGGGGCCGAGCTGCGACGATGCTGACATCTTCGCCGAGGATGGAGTCGAGGTAGTAGATGAGGTCCTGGGCTAGTTCGTGCTCCGATGAGCTGGCCACGATGTCATTGAGGAGCTCGTTGTACTGTTGGAGCTTGGTGGGCTGGTTGGTGTTTGATTCGATGGCCGCCAGGGTAGTAGTGATTTTCTGGGAAGCCATGGTTGTGGTATTATGGTGAGGTGTAGGGGCGAGGTGTACGGGCTGAAAAATCGCAGCACAAGCCGTCGCTTGAACCAGACGCGATGGGAATGGAGATGGTGGAGAGTGGGAGTGGACAAGATGTTATCGATAAGAGGGCGAGTCGCTACAACCTCAACAACCTTGCAAGCTAGCTCTCTTCAACGCGTTCTTGACCTTGTAAAAGATGGTTTGGTTACTTTTTGTATTCCTTTTCTTTGTTTGATTCTTTTTAATGCTCAGCCAAAATTTTTGCAGTCTAATGACTGTCATTTCAGTCTTCGCAACCAACATGGAACAAATTCATAGGTTCCATGATATACAATAGCAAAATTCACCTATGAAACATGCTTTTCCTATCTATATAGGCTTATATTCCGAGCTTCATTCCGTATAGAAAGAGCCCATAGTGAAGATAGAGAAGATAGAAGAGAATGACCAAAGCTCTTTGAACCCCAGGGGCATTACCTCACCGCCTACCATTCCTGGCCAGTAGCTCAATGCCCGCTGTGGCGTAGCTTGCACCTCGACGCCCACTCTTTTTGTTCCACCTCTCGTCTCTTTCGTGGCCTGGCTCTTCCCCGACAATCATATTCGCTCATTTTTAGCCCCAGCTTGTTCATAACTACAGTTGATCTGTCCACACGCCATGGCCCAGGTCAAACCAGATCCGGACGCCTCTCCGTACATCAAGCCCGATCCCGATAGCAAAGACGCCGTTCTTGCGGACCTGGACGATGACATCTATGAAGATGCAGGCGACTTGGACTTCTCGGTCGCAGGGCAGAACCTGTGGCTCTCACGCCTGCCGCGGCAATTATGGGAGCATTGGTCGCAGCTGGATGATGATGATGAGATCGAGATTGGGACAATGAGGATAGAGGGCGAGCCAGGAGACCTCAAACGGGTGAGTGTTCAGCTTATATTTTCGCTCATCTCCAGTGACATATTCATGACATTCGTCGACTATCAAGGTCAGCTTGCGTCTCCACGAGCGCCCGGATAATCGTGAGATCCCGAAAGACTACACGCTGCAACAACAGACCACCCTCTCAGATAATGCTACACACATGACGGGAAATACCTATGTGTTTACCGAAAAGGATATTCCTGGCGCAGAGAACCGGATGGCGACGTTTGGAGAGACGCGGTCTGCTCTTTACGAAGCTATGAAGCGCGATGCGCGGAGACGAGAACGTGGCGGCAAATGGGAGCCATATGTGCGCAAGACCATCCCGAGTATGTTCCATCTGACCGTCTTTTGGTTGATTTTTTTGCTCATGATCTTCAGAACAAACGGCGTTGATCGGCCGGGCCAGCGAGGAATTCAACTGTCTTCCCGTGGAAAACGAGGAGTTCCGGCTCATCTCCGAGAAGCGAGCCCTCGATGCCTTGAAGCCACGGAAAGAAACGGTCTTTATTGACAAGCTTCCTGGGAAGGTACTCCAGTCGCGCAATGCTCTCCCAGGAGAGAGAGGCGCTTTCGTGGTACGTCTTCAATGCGTTACTCTTGTTTCCAGTCTTTCCTACTCACACTACCCCCAGCAAGCCACGAGGCCCATCAAGGGCAAGTCCCAGGAGAACAAGTCCACACGTATGCCCCAGAACGAGCTGCTGGATCTTATTTTCCAGTGCTTCCGCGAGTTCAGGTACTGGCCATTTAAAACACTCAAGGCAAAGCTGCAGCAACCCGAGGCCTATCTCAAACAAACCTTGGAAATGGTTGCACACCTGGTCAAGTCGGGTGATTTCGCCATGACATGGGAACTGAAGCCCGAGGCAACGCAGAGTAGCTACTCGCATTCTGCTCCCTACGGGGATGCCAAGGCCGAGTTGGCCCCAGGAGTCGACGACACCTTTGACTCGGAAGATGACCCGACTGCTTCTGGCATGGCGACAGATCATGATGATGTTCAGTTTGAAAATGTCGGCTAGAATATCTCACAAACTCACCAGATGTAGCATTAGCACGGTCATGGCGTTATGGCTTTTTGAAAACACGGAGTTCAGGCTGTATCTCTGACATATTATCAAATGAATGAAATCAGATACCTCTTCACGTCATTCAACCCTTAGAACTTGTATTTCATTTGTTGTCTTCGAGTTCCTCTTTGTTGACCTACGCGCCGGGTGGTATGTCACGTGTTTCGAATGCGCCACCGGCGCCTGCGGGCGCGTCTCTCCACACAGCAATCACCTCTCTAGGCAGATCACATCCAGCATCTTAAATACCCTGCAACTCCCTCGTAACTTGCATAGGGGGCATATTTTGACTTCTTTCTGCTACCCACTAACCCCAGGTAAACTACAGCAGCTTGTGATGACCGAGAACGAGGATCTTCTGGCCAAGATCGGTCAGCTTGCTGGTAAGGTATTCGACGTCAGTTTTGCCGCAGCAGGGTCTAATCTCGAGCAGGCCAAATAAACCGACATAAACACCAGTCTCAGAACCCTCAACCCTCTATTCAGTCTCAGCATGTGTCTCGTCATACTCCCTCTCACCCTGGATGGGCGCCCTACCACCGAGGACGAGGGCGCCGTCCAGCAGTCCCCCATCGCAACCGCACCCTCGTCTTGAATAACACAGCTTCGGGGTCTACCCCTAGCTCCACACCGTCGTCTGGTCCTGTGAGCGAGAACGATGTTGAAATGCGTCCATCCACAACCTCGAACGGGTGGGTTGCAAAGCGTGATCGCCACATGCAGCTGATCAACTCGGCGGTCTACGACAAGGAGGCCCAGGCCAGGACTAAGGCTATGGAGGAGACCCACAGGCTCAAGACTCAGAGGCGAACTCAGCGTGAGCAGACCAAGGTGCTTCGTTATGCGCAGGGCTCGGGAGTTCCTGCATCGGTGGCTACTGCTGCGCAACCCGCAGCTGGCCACCAGATTCTCGTCAATGACCTTCCCTTCCAGATTGCACGAGGTGGCAGCAAGTTGGTTCGAATGTCAAGTGCGAATCCCCTTGATAATTCTTGGCCTAGAACTGGCTTACCCGTTATAGATGATCCAGCCGCCGCCAACAATACACCGAAGCGCGTCACCGTGGCTGGGGTGGCCTTTGTGCGGAGCAAGAACGGGAACCTCCACCGCCTTGGTGCCGTGAGTTCGAAGAAGTGAGTAGCTTCAGTAGTGTGATGTCAGAATAAATACTGACTCATAGTAGAAAGCAAGCTGCGGTTAAGAAACGGGACGAACTTTGCAAGAGATTTACTACGACTGGTATTTTGTTTTCCAACGGATCATCCTGCTCCGCCATTCTAAGCATCGTGTTCGAGAAACTGACACATTACTCCCAGGAACATGTTACAAAGGGCCATCGTGCCTCTACACCCATGACCCGAGCAAGGTGGCCATGTGCAAGGAATTTCTGCAGACGGGCCAATGCAGCGCAGGTACTAGCTGTGATCTCTCCCATGATCCCTCGCCCCATCGCTCCCCTACTTGTATGCATTTCCTTAGAGGTCGATGCTCTAACCCCGAGTGTCGCTACGCCCACATCCGGGTGACACCCGGTGCCCCAGTCTGCCGAGCCTTCGCCACGCTGGGATATTGCGAGAAGGGCTCCATGTGCGAAGAAAAGCATGTGCACGAGTGCCCGGACTATGCCAACTCGGGCGTTTGCCACAAGAAGCGCTGCAAACTGCCCCATGTGGACCGCGCGGGCCAGATCCGCAAGGCCGCGGCCGCGGCCGCCAACAAGGCTGACCAGGCCGATCGTGAGGATGACTCTGATCCGTCCAGCGAGGAAGAGGACTACGATGAGATTGACTCGGATGACGTTGACTCGGACGAGTTCGACGACCCCGAGGAACTGATTGGAGGTGTGGATAGCGGTGAGATGTCGCAGCAGCAGGACTTTATCGGATTTTAGTCCCGTCGCCGACAATATTGACTGCTTGCATTTGTAGTTGGGTGGATTGCGCTTTTCTTCTTCTTTCTTTTCTGTTCGGTTATGTGGTTTTCCCAGGAGAATTAATCACCGATACCCCAAGATTTGTTGATAGCATGTGAGCACAGGAAAACATTAGTGGATACTTGTGATTTTGTCTGTTGTTGTAGTACCGTAGGCTAGTTATTCGCCTATTCTTCAATTCTACATATCATCCCTTGCCAGGTTGATATCTATCCATATAAGTCCGCAGTAGAACAGCCTTGGAATGATTTATGATCTATGGTGGAACCAAGCTCAAAGGTATCGTACATGGTTTTCCCCAGGACTCGATCTGCTGGGCCTGGAGCACAGTTCAGGACTAGATCCGTGGACAGAGACCACCGGTTAAGACGCCATTGAGCACTGTATTGATGCATAATCCTAAGGAGATTCAAAGCATTCCTCTCGTTTTCAGCATAAATTGTTAAAAACACTCGATATCCTCGATAAGTAAAAATCAATCCCTTCTACCTCCTACTTTATCTTCTCTTTCTTTGACAGTATCTTACTTTGATTTCTTCTTTTTCTACTTCTTCTCCCTCTCAGGAATCGACTCATTCCAACAACTATATCAACTATATCATCAACAGTGACAGGACCATGAGGTTCCTCAGTCTTTTGCTCCTCGGTCTTATGACTGATCTATCCGCAGAGGCTTGCATTGGCGGTAAGTGCCTTTGTGTGAAACACCACAAATTGATGACATAGAATAAGCAGAAAGGATGCTAATTTGGGTTGGTCTGTGGTTATAGATGGAAAAGAGGGGTGCAAATTGGATCAGGACTGCTGCAACAGCGACCATTTCTGTGGGAATGGCTCGAGAGATGGCCAGTTATATAGCTGGTGTGCGCCAGGGCAGTAATGAGCATATGTCGGGGGGAGAGAGAGAGAGAGAGAGAGCATGTTGAAATTTCTGAGAAGATCCATTAAAAGTCCTACATGTAAGCTTTTGAGCTGAATGGGACTCTAAAAGGGCAGGCCAATTCTTCTTTTATTCGCTGTCTCAGGGACATCTCTAGCTACTGTAGTAAATCTTCTATGTTCAATAAATGCCCTAGCTTCTGCATCACTGATAATTAACTAGTTACTAATATTACACTATCCACCTTTACTGTATAGGCTTGCTACAGGAAAAAAAAACATAACTTTTAAGGGTCTTTAAGTTACGATGTATATTGGATCTCGCCAGCTTTCTATATCGGTAATCTAAGTCCGACCACGCCCCATCTCGGTTTTGATGTCAATATCGCCGCCAAGAGAGATTGCAGATTTGCGTGCAATGCAATTACCCTATATCTCAAGCTTACTGAAAGTGCTTGTACAAGATTTCCGAAGATTGTAGATGCAAATTGGCTATAACCTCACATAGTCTCTTGGAGCATTTAACCAAATCATCCGAAACCTTGAATCGAAAGAAAGCTAGGATAACTCATCAAGATAGTACTTAGTTATGGTCCAGCCCAGTTAGTACGCTTCAACCAGTCTTCAAAGGAACTAGCTTCTAAGCCAAGTTCCTCTTGCGCAATGTCATCGGCAGGATCCAAAGCGCCATAACAACTTTTCTCCTCTGGAGCGATCGAGAACCATTCCATCATCTGGCGAATATCCTCTTTGAATCCAGGACCAACCGCACGCGACGCCATATCGGCCCACTCATCAATAGTGATTGGATTGTAGACCGCCGGTTGGCCGGTGTGTCGTGTGAATGTCGAAGCGAGATCTTGCATACGGAACTTTTTACCAGCAACAAAATAGTTCTTGCCAGCTGTCTTTGTGGTCCCCAGAGAAAAGACTCCTGTATTAGAGAAAGGTAAGCTTGAGCAATAGAGAGTGGTTGTCTTATATCCATGGGTTGATGGCAGATCTTACGTGCAGCAAAGAGCCCCATATCGTGCTCAGGATCGACCCATTCAACAAGCTTGGTGGCCGGGATCGGTGTACAAAAGCGAACAACTCCATCTGCTGTTTTGAAGTTAAAAGAGGAAGTACAAGAGATGAGGAATGAGGGTCTGACCTTCTCTCCGGCAGTACTGTGGGCGCTTCAGATTGGTGAGAAAAAGACCTGTGGGGAGGTAAGAGGATATTAAAATACTTAACAGGGCTTGCTTCAATACCACGATACTTACCAGGAATGAGGCAAGTGACCGCTGATAGTTCTTCTTTGGCCCATTGCTCAATAATGGACTTATGATCCATATGGAAGATCTTTTCAAACTGCCCCGACGTGACTTCTTTCATATTAGGCAAGCTGCTGAAAACAAAGTGCTTCACATTGCAACTTTTCGCGGTAGCAACAATGTTTCTGCCGGCTTGTAGTTCATGTTTCATGTCTTCTTCGTTCGCAATGATTTTGTTCGAGTGCTCGCTAGTCACCGCAAACACTCCATACGCCCCACTGAAAGCATCTTCGAAGCTTGCTACATCGTAAATGTCACCAGCCTGAAGACTCAAGCGCTTGTCGGGCGTTTGGAAAGCATTCAGAAGCTCTTGAGCCGCAGGAGATTCTGGATTTCGCGTCACGGCGCGAACATTCCACGTTATGGGCCCGGGTTCGCGCAGAAGTGATTGTACCACGCCTCTGCCTTGATTTCCAGTTGAACCCAGAACAACAATAACAGGATGTTGTGAAGTCATAGGGTAGGGGGAGGATCCAAAATATCAGAAAACTTATTATAGCGCGGCTAACGTAAAAAGTTTGCTTAATCTAAGAAAAAAAAAATCTATTAGTAGGGAATCTATATAGAGCATTTATACTGTAGCAAGGACGGGCTTCGGAAATTAAAATTGTTCCTTCTATAGGTGTATCAGAGTAAGACGTCAGTAGGCAAATTATTCATTCATCCGACTCGGAGACATTGATATGGATCACCCAAATGATTGATCAGCATTCTCGGCTAACGTCATAAAACTTCATCTTGCTGGTATCAGGTTGAGCAAGGAAATACACGTTGGTCATGGTGATGTACGGCGGATATTTATCTTGATTCAAACTGACCAGATCGACCAACATAGCGCCGGATCTATCTGGAGGAGCGCTTAACCAAACAAGAACTGATTCAGTCAACGCGCGCAACCGCTATTTTCTGTCGGACCAGCGTTTCATGTCAAGTACTGAGCAATTAAATTTTTATTTTTAGGACAGAAGTACCTCATTGGATTAAGTTCTCAAATTAGTCAATGTTCTACTTTAATGAACGGCGCGAACAACATATCCTTGCGGGCTGCTAAGAGTTCCCAAAATTGCGTACTATAATTACCCATTCACTCCACGTGCCAAGACGTGGCCTGCTATTAGCCATCATGACTTCCACATCAGGAATTCTCTGGTTCGGACATTTCGGAGACCACCTCCCAGCTCCCTTTCGCCTTGAATCCTAATATGGATCTATCTCTATTCAACCAAAACAATCTCCTCTACACAGAGGAGTCCTTGTCAAGGTACCAGCCTGGGGGGTACCATCCAGTCAGCCTTGGAGATACATTCGAAAATGGTCGCTACAGCGTACGTCATAAGCTAGGATGGGGTGGCTTCTCGACTGTATGGCTTGCGAAGGATAGAATGTAAGTTTATCGACCGAGAAAGACCTTTTACTTAGCCGGCTCTAACCTTGGGCCAGCCGGAATCAATGGGTTTCGTTGAAGATCATGACCGCAGATTCAGGGGTGTCTCGAGAGTTGCGAAATTTGAAGCATCTTGAGAGACATTCGCAAGGGAATTTATCCTCAAATTATATTGTGCAAATGCTTGATTCTTTTACTCATGAAGGTCCCAATGGAGTTCATCAATGCCTCGTATTTGAATTGCTTGGCCCTTCCGTTGATCAAGTGCTCGCAGACTACCATGAGAGCCACGACAAACTCTGCGCGGAAACCATAATCCGGATGTCTACACAGCTTTTGAAAGCCGTGAAGTTCATTCACGGTGCCGGCATGTGTCATGGTGGTGAGTGCATTGTCTGAGCTTTTTTTTTTTTTTTTTTTTTTTTTGCGTGGTGGTATAATCGTGCTCACTTTATGTTAGACGTTAGCGGTCGGAATATCGCATTTAGTTGTACGAATCTGTTGGACACAACAGAGGAGCAACTCTTTGAATTTCTTGGATGTCCTGAAACTGAGGCGCTGGCCCGCCTAGATGGCTCACCCTTGGAAAATGGATTGCCAAAACAACTGGTCAAGGCAGCAGAATGGGTGGAATGGATCGATGAGGACGACGAAGATATTCGACTACTTGATTTTGGGGAGAGTTTTCTTCAAGGCGAAGAGCCTAAAAGGTTGGCCCAACCAGGTACATTGCAGGTACCGGAAACGATTTTCACTACCTTTTTTGATTATCGCGTCGATCTGTGGCGCACAGGTTGTATGGTAAGCTGCTATGTGCATTTTCTACAGCACACGGGTTTACTGACGTATCATTCTAGATCTATTCCTTTTTATTCACAACATACCCATTCTGGTACCTTGGTGAGGATGAAGTTTTGGTTTTCCAAATGATTGGCTTCGTGGAGAGACTGCCGACTGAATGGGAGTCTAAGTGGAAATCAATGCAGACGAGATCTAGCCACGGTCTGGAGGCTGAAGGTAAGCCAATAGATGCACTATTGAATCTGTTGCTAATTACGCTTAAGATTGCACTATGTCGAAGCTCGAACAGAAATTTGCAGAGATCGTGCACGACCCAAATCTCAAACCTCTGCTACGAGTGACTCAAGGATTGATGCGATTCTTACCATCGAGCCGCACCACTGCAGATGAGGCACTCAACTTGCTTTTAGCACTTGAGAATAATTGATGAATTTAACCCAATCGATTATTAGCTCTGTGCATGCTGGATTAGAGCCTCCTCGACAAACGCATCCAATTCGCCAATCCCAACGCCGACATAAAAGAGTCTATATCACCTCAACGACCGGTGTAGCTTTCTTCACGTTTTCAACCTATTCACGAATATTCTCTACAAAAGTCCGAGCAATTCCGGGTTTGAGGCCCTTGCTGACGAAGAATTCCGGGTTTTAATCCTTTGTGGATATACTCAAGACTAAAGCCATCTAACAGCATTATATCGCACGCTTATCGAAATGCAGCCTTAAGGGTATTATCGGATACGCTAGTCACCGTATTCTTTAACAGCTACGTCTTTGAACCCTAGAATTTTCAATAGACCTATATCTTTCGGGCCCTCTAATTCAATAGCCGCCTTAGAAGTTATAATATCTAGCGTAGGGAGATAAGAGTACGGTAGGATAATATTAATATTAATAAAAGGATATAGTGTCCCACCTTCGAGAATATTACTACCTTTGCGCTTTCCTTTCTCCAGCCGCTGCTACTCCTCTATATATATCTCTTCCCGAATCTTATCAGGCACATTTTTGTGCGTCTCTAAGATACCCCCTTTCTCAGCATAGGTAACCAACTATCTAAGGGTTTATATACGAAATCGATAATGCTTTTTCCCCGCTGGATCTAACCAGCAGTAGGGGCCTAAGTAATATACAGTCAAATCATATTTCATCAAATTATAAACGTGGCGCCAAATCGCTTACTGACCATATACATATTCCTTAGTATCTAGCTGGACATCTCGATCGCCAAGTATTCTCTTTGTGGTAGACGATTTACTTCTCTTCTCGACTTTCCGTCCAGCGGATAGAGAAGTGCAATCCTCTACGTAATTAAAACTAATCCTCAGTATAAGTCTTTTCCCTCGACAGAAGTGACTTAACCACATCTAAAGCTATTTCTCGATTATATTCTAGACAATGTTAGTCTTGTTAAAGCGTTTAGTTAGCTCACGCTAGGAACGATCGTTGACTAAAACGACAATAGCAGTATCGTCAGCCCTAACCTGTCTATCACGGGAGACTTTCTGTCTAAGGACAGTCCGTAGCTTTTCTCCTAGGAACAGCTGCCAATAGGCACTTAGGGCTAAGACCAGGTCTTCTTCCGTGTCCTCCACAACTACCTTATTATTGACGGTGATCCGCTATTCTATAAAGCAGTAGATATAACTTAGTGGATCCTCGTCGTAGATCTTGCCCTGCTCCCACTCAGATTCCTAGAGTAGTAGTACAGTCTTTAGTCGAAGTCGGTATACAGGAATAGGCTTATCGTCGAGGAGGATAGATAGGGAGGGACTACAGTTGGATCGCGTAGCATAAGGGCTGCAGAAATATCCGGGGGTTGGGGCATATTGTGAATCCTGTTCCCATGGTTCGAGCTCTTGAGGCTGAGAGACGTAGTCACCGTGATAGGGGCTGTCGCTCATATCTACACATGATCGAAGGCCCGGAGATCTGCGTCAGCAAATACCTAATACCAGCGGTCGGCAGACACCAGTAACGAATAATAGCGGCGGTAGATAGAAAGAGCCATGGGAAACGCGAATAAGGGCTATGTTGGCCTACCAAGGTTAGTCCTATGCAGTAGAGCACAGCCTTCGTTATGTACTGTAAGAGGTAGACGAAGACAGAAGGCCGCAGAGGAAAGGAGGACGGTGGGCGTGGATCAAGTCAGACCTTCCCCCCACCCCTTAACAATCTTACTAGAATATTCTATAGATATTTCCTGTATTTTATAATGACTTGTCTGGTTCTGAAATCCAGTACGCTATGAGACACATTACGGCTAAGTAGGGGTTGTGCCCAGACGATACGGATTAGAATGGTTTCGGGTACAAGCCGAGAAACAACGCGTGAGTGTCCCTAGGGGAAACTATTTTCGAAATCAACTGTAATAATAAGGAAGGGGGGGAAAGAACACGAGGGAGCAGCTCTTCTCGAAATCATAGACAGGATTCGATATTAAAATTTCCAAGAGTTACATACCACAAGGTGTTCCAAATAACTAAAGGCAGCATCAATATAAGTTAAAATCAGCACGGCAGTTGAAAATGTGACTGTGATATAGCTGCAGGAGTAGCGTCCTGCTGATAGACGGTCCACACATGACTACGAGGCCGCTATATCGGCAAGAGACGATGGCGAAGTAAAGCACAGCAGCTATTTTCTAATGATAAGAGCAATGCTGTAGTTTTGAATTCTCTTTCAGTTATGAATGCAAATACTTTCAGACAGTCAGAAGGAAAAGGAAGGAACAGTGCCAACAGGAAGAAGGCAGATACCTCCAACTCAACCTTGAAACTCTCATAGATGACTCATTGGGCTAAAAGATCAACTAACAAGGACCAGACTCAGTGATCCTTCGCGGTCAACCCGAAATCCACAGCCCAAAGGAAGGATTAACCCTTTGAATAGGCAGCGACACAAGCCCTAGAACACATGAACCACCCAGGTGCTTCAACCGCATCCCCCCAACCTCGAGCCTTGACCCGCCCTGTAAACTAACCTTGAAACTATCAAGCCTTGCTAAGGTCAGCATGCTACCTAAATACCCAACCCTTTTTCCACACCCGATGCTCTCGAGCCCCATCTCACATGCCCAATAGAAGACACTGCTCACAGAGGGGTGATCAGGCAGGGAGGGGCCTAGGACGGGCTAAAGTGAGGCGAAGGTCTCAATTTCGGCTTGGCCTTTTCTTTTATTTTTCTGGTTTCTGTTTTTGGTGGTACCTAGAGGTCAGTCCACTGTTTCAGAGCGTGTTGGGCAACGACTTCCTGGGTCTGTTCTCCTGTTCCGTGACTGGGTCCGATGTCTTTTTTATCAAGAGAAGGGAGGAAGAGTGGATCGGTGGGCCTTCTTGGTCTTTTGATCTTTGCTAAGTTTTGATTTGGCTCATACTTGAAAGATGGTTTCGGATGAAGTGAGTACGTAGAGTTTGAGGATATTGATGTAGATATAGATTACGGGATTCCGTGCTCACATTTTCACGGATATTTTCATCGGAGGGGATAATTTGAGCGTAGTATTATCCATAGCTAGAGATATAAGACAGAGAAGAATAAATATCTCTAGAAGCAACAAACCCTGGAAAAATCCAGATCTTAGTCAGGCGTGGGAAACCCACCGCTGCCCGACGCGACCTATCGATTGGAGAAAACGGCCTTTTCACCGCCAGATCTTCGCCCGTCAAAATGTCTGGGCAATCAAAGCGCATAGGACGGCGGCTACTATGTATAGACGGTGAACAGACTCAGGGGTGCAGCCCCCAAGGGCTCGTGCTGAAAGATGGGGGAGAAACAGGAACAGGCGTCATCGACTGGCGGGTTGGGCGGTAAAACTGGAGAGATGGGGCTGTCAACGGGGGGAAGCCAAACGGGTCTGTGTGATCTGCTAAGAATTCGTAAGAGGCCGAGACTCGGCAAAATGGCTGCAAGGTTTTTCCTGATTATCACGATCATCATCATTATGGGCATGCATTCGAATAACCCATGGATGATAATCTGCCCCGCGATCTGGGCGTCCACAGCATCCATGGCATCCATGAGAACTCGGGATGGCAGAACTGCAAGTCGATCACACAAAAAAAAAGGGCGATCAGGTGGGTGTTTACGACCCAAGATGTCTCCACGAGCAGGGGCCCTGGTCATCTGGAGGGGACGAGTGATCGTGGGGATGACCTCAGGGATCCTCCTGGTGAACCACGGACCCCAGTGGATCCCTGCGGGCCGAACCCGTCCCAGAATGGAGACATCGTCAGGGATGCTGGAGATATTTTGCGAGAACCCAGCGCAATATTCGAGATGTCATGGATTTTCGTGTCCGCACAGACCATCGCCTATCGTCTCAGACCAGAAATATCAGCTCCGATCGATAGGCTATCGTCTATCGATAACATGCCACCCCACTTGGGGGGGAATGAGAGAGGAGAAAACCGAGGTATCGTGAATTTGTGGTTGGGGACTCTATGGCCTGGATTTCAAGGCCATCGTCATCGCCATCGTCCCCTACCAAGCACAATACCAAGTACAAGTGCGTAGATACAACCACATTTAATAAACCATGGAACAAAACATACAATAAAACACCAAATCAACTAAGACAAAGGCAACTAAAATAAGATAAACAAAGTAAACAAAATAAACACAAAAAAAAAAAAAAGACAAGCCATGCAGGTCTGCCCAAACTGCGCAATGCAGCCAATGACGGGCATCTCGTCTTGCCTGGGGCCACACGGGACTCGTAGACGTCGTTCCCCGTACCCGGTACCTGCACGGTCTACGCCTTCACTATGATCCATTGTGGTACTGGGTACGAAAAAGCCCCTACATAGTCTCTCCCCCATCTCTTTCTCTTACTAGTCACTAGTGAGCCCGATCTTGATCTCATCATTTCGCTTTTCGTCCTTTTCGTCTTCTTTTTCCCCCTTCTACAAACCTGGTCCTTTTCTCTCGCCCCACTCCCCATCTCCCCTCGGCACTCACACCGCCTCTTCAACATGGCTCGATATTCTCAGTTTGATTTCTACCAGCAGTCCCCCTCAACAGTAGGCGTGCCCCCTTCCGAAGAGGATGAGATGAGTGTACTAGACGACAAGATCCTCGACCCCTCGCCCGACCTCGACCACCGCCGCTCTTCTTATGATACACAAGACGCTCTCTCACATCGAGATTCTGTCTGGTCCAACTACTCTCACTCAGGCCCAAATCAGTCTCGTCCCACATCACATTTGGGTCAAACCATGCTGGATTCATCCGGTGCTTTCATGGCTGTCGACGGTCCGCACTCGACCTCCTACGCCCAATCCTCGTGGCCTCTGTCTCGCACGGAATCCGGGTCATGTACACCGACCGCTGGCTACGAGCAGTATCCTGCCGAGGGAGACAGCAGTTCGGCGCCATTTGCGGGGGGTGCTGTGGGACCTGTCAGCTCCATGCCCATGAACCCCATGTCTTATCGAGGCGGCATGGCGTTCGCCCCCCGGCGGGGTGGCTATGTCTCCGCAGTCGAGTCAGGGCTGGATGCCGGCGCCCATGGATCTGGCTGATGCGGCTGCCCAGTCGACGAAGAGCCCGACCTACCGGAACGGCTCGCCGTTGATGGTTCGACGGGATGGCATTCGGAAGAAGAATGCTCGCTTTGAGATTCCAGCTGAGCGGACGTTGAGCAACATCGACCATCTAATTAACCAGTCGACCAACGAGGAAGAGATCAAGGAGCTCAAGCAGCAGAAGCGGCTGTTGCGGAATCGGCAAGCAGCGTAAGTTCATTTTTCTTTTGTCATCTCTTTATCTCCTTCCTTGTCTCTTTCCACAAGGCTGACATAGTCCGGTACAGACTGGACTCTCGTCAACGCAAGAAGCTGCACACCGAAAAGCTCGAGGAAGAAAAAAAGCACTTTACACAGACCATCGGAGATCTGGAAGATGCGCTGCAGAACATGAAGATCAGGGAGGCTGAGCTCATGCGCGAGAAGAGCGAGTGGATCGCCGCCCAGCAGCAGATCAACCAGTACCTCGAGGGCTTGCACATGGAGAAGGATGAGATGATTCGTGTGCACACGCTGGAGACAGCGGAGCTGCGCAAGAAGAACAACATTCTGATCGAGACTGTGGAGAAGCTAGAGCGGGGCGCCAAACCGGCTGTTCCCGACAACCTCGCCGGCGATTTCTCGGGCTTCGAGAATCTGGGTATGGACGGCAATCCATGGGACGATTTCGCCATGCCAAACGGACTGCCGCTGCACTCTGAATCTCTGCCTGCTTCCTCGACCGCTGTTCAGCCCCAGCCGCTTCGACAGGCGAACGGGAACCCCGAGAAGCCCAACCCCGCTGTCGCATCGGACTGTCCCTTCAGCTGGAATGCCTTCTATATGTGCCTTCTCTTCGGGGCCTTCATCGCTTCCAACAGCACCTCGCTGCCCGGTCGCTCACTTCCTCAAATGTCCGAGGAGTACCGCGCCGAGTCAGCTAACGTGTTAAAAGCGGTTCTGGCCTCCTCGCCACCGGAAATGGCCCAACCAAGCCACAACGCAGCTGTGTCTGCGTCCGCAACTGGGTCTGCCCAGCCGACTACCATTACCGGCATGGAGATGGTGCAGATGGGCTCGGGACCGACCGCGTCCTCGGCGCTGGACGAGCTGCACGACACTTTGGTGATGCCGACCGAAGACCAGCAGCGTGAACAGGTCTTCTCGCTGAATGCTGAGCAGTACAACTCGCTGACCACTTTCGATGACCATGGTGCCGGCCTCAAGCCCCAGCAGCCGTCGAATCTGCAGCAGGCGCTGGCGGCGATGCGCAACACTGCAGCACAGCATCGCATACAGGCTGCCTCGACCTCTGACGTTTACACCAGATCGCTGATGTGGGACCGCGTCCCGCAGAAGGTGATCCGTGATTTCCGTCGCATGGTGCAGGAATACGGCGCTAGTCCGATGAAAGATGCCACGGCGGGCTTTCAGGCGGTTTAAGTTGGTCCAGTCGTCTCCGGATGGGCTTACCTTGATCTTTTCTTCGACCGTTCGAACCGCTCCACTTCTTTGGATTTGTTGCGAGTCTTCCAGATTCTCTGCAGCTTCTCCTCTTTTGGTCTTATGTTATTTTCCACGATACGAGCCAGCAACGGTCTCTAACAGCGTGCCCTACTAGACCACGCTCTATATCTTTTTACCCTTTCGTGTACCTTTTTTTATTTTCTCTCTGTTGTTCTTTCGGCACGGTTTTTGGGTTCTGAGTATCTAGCGGGTGATGTTTTCTAGCGACTGGGTTTTGCAGCGACCTCGGTTTTTTTTTTTTTTTTTTTTTCCAGCGTGGTTCAGCGTGGGAGGAAGCGGTTTTCTTATATCATGTCATACGCAAATGGCCGAACATGAAGCACGAGGTGGATTATGGAAACACCCGACACAGGGATGACAATGGGGAACGAAACACGAACAAATTTGGCCCATGATGCTTTTGCTTCTCTGTTGTTTTTTATTTCTTTTGTTTCTTCTATACTTTCCCTTCTGTGGAATGGCGGCGACGCCCTTGATGATTGTTACGATGACATGACTGCAATATGCGATGACTGTCCCCGCCTTGAGGGGGATCTGGATATGACTTGTTGACGGCCTTGATTTGCAGAACTATTATTTCATGCATATGTCTCCATGGTAGATGTACCGTAAGAAGAGGGTCCTTGCTCATACACACCCAGCTGAAACCCTTATAAAAGCATCGAAAATGGGACAAGTCCAAGGCATGCTCAGCGCCCCAAAAAAGACACACCAGTCACCTATCCTCAGGATCCTATTTTAATGAGCCAACTTGATTTTGATCACCTTGAACAAATCGAGCATGGTGTCGATCATTCCATAAGTAGTTAGATGTGCCGCTTGACATGAATCATGAAGTGTGCCAAGTCCCGTTAGGGCTCAGGATGAACCAGGATGAACTAGGCACACGATGACATAGGACTGGGGCAACTTGGCCCCAGTAAGCTACTCAAAAATTCGATTGGCCCCTTGAACCAAGCCAAGAAGAGTAAATCGATTTGAATCTTGCATTTGTATAGCGACTCAGCCTCTTCGCAGTGGAGAACACTGCAGTAAGCAATATATAAAAGTCGGTGTGCCATCAACCTTTGATATGTAGTTTGTATTCAGCCAAAGCCATTCGAGTCAAGTAAAACTTTCAGGTTGTATATATTATGAGATTATCCAAGTTACTTCTCCTTGGAGGGGGCGGCCTCGCTGCGGCCACACCTTCATCGCACGCTCGATTACCCACAGCGATCATCGATTCTGGCACAATCGTCGGCACACCCACAACTCTCCCTTCTTCGACCGCCGTCGTCAACAAATACCTCGGGGTTCCCTTCGGCGAGAAACCCACCCGCTTCAGTTCCCCCAGGGCCGCAAAGAACTGGACAGCACCGCACAATGCAACAAACTGGGGCCCAGCATGCATCCAGCAAATCAGCGGATCCGGCGGAGAATTCCTCGAACTGATCAAACTCCCGCCCCGGCAGCCGGCGAGAGCGAGGACTGTCTCAACCTCAACGTCTTCACGCCGGCATCCGCCTCTTCAACCGGGTCCAAGGCCGTGCTGGTCTGGTTCTATGGCGGGGGGTTCGTATACGGCGCGACTTCTGTGCCGTTGTATGACGGGACGAGTTTTGCGGCGAACCAGGACCTGGTGGTTGTCACTGTCAACTACCGCACCAATGTCTTCGGCTTCCCGGCGGATAGCAAGATTCCGGTGAAAGAACGGAACGTCGGGCTGCTGGACCAGCGGCTCGCGCTGGACTGGGTGCACCGCAATATTGCCAAGCTGGGTGGCGACCCGTCGAAAGTAACCCTCGTGGGCGAGAGTGCCGGAGGCTCGAGTGTCGATGCTCTCGTCGTGTCTCCGCCTCACCCGGTCCCATTCCGTGCAGCGATCATGGAGTCTGGGCAGTCGACGATCAAGACGCCCCTGGACGCAGACCCCAAGACGTACACCAAGTCGTGGAAATCCCTCGTCCACCTAGCCAAGTGTCCATCCGATGACGACGCCGTCGAGTGTCTCCGCAAACTGCCCGCACGCGACCTCAAACACCTCGTCGAGAAGAACTCCCTCGCCTTCGGTCCCGTCTCAGACGGTGGGCACACATGGGCCGAGACACCACAGCTAGCTCGACAGCTTTCAACAGACAAAATCTCCTCGATCGCGCGCGTACCGGTCCTGATAGGAAGCAACGCAGACGAAGACAAGCCGTTCGCAATCGGTCAAAACGACACGCGCAAATTCCTCGCCTCAAACGGCATCCGCGGCGTCTACGCCGACATGCTTCTCAAGGCCTACCCACTGGGCTCGCCAGGCGCGCACACTGAGAACGATCGCATCTCGTTGATCGCCACAGACGCGTTCATGCACTGCCCGGCACAGAAGTATGCGAACCTTAGCGCCGGCGTCGGCATCCCAACCTGGCGGTACTTTTTCAACGCCAGTTTCCCGAACAACGAGATCTTTAAGGGGAGTGGGGCGTATCACAGCGCGGAAATCCAGTTTGTGTTTGGTACATACCCGCAGGCTAAGGCGACGCCGTTCGAGCGCGATGTTGGGCGCGTGATGCAGACGGCATGGGCGGATTTCGCCAAGGATCCGGTTAAGGGGCCTGGGTGGAAGCAGGATCCTCAGGTTGCGGTGTTTGGGGATGGTGTGAAAGCTGGCATGAGTGCTGAGGGGAGGAATGCTTTGCGGGTGGTTGATTCGGGGTTTATGGATCGACGGTGTCGGCTGTATCAGGAGTTGTATCGATGATGGATTAGGAACAATTTGCTAAATTGGGGGTTCTAGTTAGACTATTATTATTATTATTATTCTTTTTTTTTTTTTGGCAAAGACCTCTCTCTACTCTTGAATTTGTTATGTTGCTTTGCTTGAATGGTTCACCGGCCTTGACTATTCCATGGAATAGTCTCGGGTGATGGCGAATTACGGTATGCGGTTTAGCGTACCTATTTGGGCCCTTCAGCATCCCCGTATGTGTTTCTATAAGTCCGCTTTATCGCCGCTTCAACTTCTCACTGTTTTTCGCTTTTCTGCTCCTCCTTTCCCTTATCTCTATATATATTCTATTGGTAAGGCTTTTTGCGTTTAGTCCGGCCCGCCGAGCTATATCCCCTGTAATAGGGCCGCGTGGTGCGGGCAGTGGATTACACAAGATGGGGAGAATCGAAATTCTTTGTCTTATCAACATGAACAGCAACCACGGCTTCCTAGTAAAACACTCCCTGCTTGACCTCTCTGGGCTCGGACCCGCTAGGAGTGCGCCAGTAGTAAGACACACCCTCCCAGGCAATGTTCCCACTCCTTCCCGGTATGAGACCAACAGATTCCAGATCTTTAACGAAGGTATAGATCCAGAATCTGCATCCCTCCCACTCTTCGGTGAATTTGTACCGATCTCGTCCCTTCGAGTTGATTAAGTCGGTGATGGTCTGAACTGTGGTGTGTGCTTCCACAGTGAAGGTCAAAGTCTTGATCGCGTTATTAGTCGACGTGTAAGGCTTGGAAGATATCTCTATTTTCCCTCTCAGCCAGTCTGAGCCATATCCAGGCATCATGTCGAATCTGGCAGAGCCTCCTTTAGCCAGTTCCAGAAAAGCAGCCCAGTGGTTGGAGGATTTCCATCTTCGTCGCCGTCGTTCTTCGGATTGATGTACCCACTTGGATGCGGGTGACCTGTGCCTGGAGTTGCGCGATGATGAAATTGTCTGCGTCGTAGTTGTGATTCATTTCTACACAGATGTGTAAGTGAAGTCCCATCTATTCGAAGGGAAAGTTATTCACTTACCGAAGGGGGTTTCGACGGTGAACTAGACAATAGTAGATGGTGTTCCGTCGGTCTCGATTTTGGTTGAGCGTGCCATATAGACCGCTGATATGGTGATCTAAATAAATCCATAAGAAAATCGCGGGAATTTATACCTCAGAAATTGGTAAAACTAATATAGAAACCGCAATCAACTCTCTCTCCTAGGCGCTAATTTTGATTCTATCATTAGCATTGATGGATCCGGGGCTACGTTTGGTAAGCGCTTGACGAAACTTCTAATGCATCAGCTAGTGCACTCTATAGGCCCTTCACCAAGCGCTAAGTTGAAATCTGGTAGTAATTAGGCACAAAAATAGATTTTCAGCTGTTTGATTAACGATAACTAATAGGGATAGAGCACCTTGACGGTAAAGAAGTAATAGTATAGACGGTAACCGAGATCCTAGTTCCGATTTCACGGTCTTGCTACAACATTACCCTTTCTTCTACCTTAGGTAGCAATCACATCGCATCACTTTCCTAGCTAGTTTCATCCTCATCACAAATGCTTGATATTAGGTACTTAAGCTCCTATAGTAAGCTCAACTACTTAGTCATTACTCCTGGTTTTACCACACATGCATGCATGGCATACTAAGCCCCAGTTCCTACCTTCTAGTGTAATTTAAATATCATTTAGTAAGGATATATCATTCAGTAAGGATGGTTCACTCTTGGCTAAGGCTAGCATCATGCCTACCTAGGTAGGTATAGAGAGAGGGTGACATGCGTGCATGTGCATGTCTAGGATGCAGGGTATCTACATGGTCCCCCGATCTTCAACAAACGAAACCGTCGTCCGACGGCGAATCGGGTGAATTTTGACCTTATGTGCTCTAGAATACGAGCCTCGCGCCCATAATACCCGGTCGCTATCCAGGAGAATAGATGCCACCGTAGCCGTGCGAAAAAAACCCCAATGCTGGGGCATGCGGAAATTTTGCATAGCCGCGTACTCGAAATAAATTGGATAGAACCCAGCAAGATCCCAATCCAAGAGCCAAAGCTCACCCGAGGGACTGAGAAGAATATTGCGGGGTGCGAGGTCATGATGCGTGAAAACGAAGGACCCTGTTGGAAGCATTTGGTGTTCAGGAGTCGACATTTCACGTTGATGTGCTGTTTGCATCGCTTTTCGCATGGATGTAAAGTTGATCCAAAATCGGAAGAAGTGCTCCATGTCCCCGGGACTGCATCTTGCGGGCAGTCCATAGCGATCTTCGAGCCAGAATGACCGACACTCGCCCGTTGACAATGATCCAGCCACGGACGAGGTGATCTATCTTAAACGTTTAACAAAGCGACGGAGCTGGAAACCCAACTTTACAGTAACAAACCAGCCCAGTTGTGTCCACACATCTTCCAGTGTCCTTCCTGGAATACGGTCCATGACACAGTACGTATCTGGCCCATTCCTGATGATCCGCTTCACAGTTGGAGCGTGACTACTCAGTTGGCAAGCGATGTCGATGGCCTTTATCATGTCTCCCACCTCGTCCGGCTGATAGTGCTTAGCGACGAAGCTCGACGAGAGTAGGGATACTCTGGGGGTAGGTGCAAGAGAAGGGGAGGCGATGATGCGACGAACTAGCTCGGTGTCCGAGTAGCTCTGTAGCAAGTCAACATCTGAATCGCTATCCATGTCAGATCGTATGGATGTGGCCACCCTAATGGAAGAAAATGGCTCCCATCACAAAAGAAATTGAGGAACCGGAATAGTCACGTGATCGGAAGCATCCATGGATATAACCTCACATGGTGCGGAATCGGGCTTGGTCGCTACCTACTATAGGCCCTCCAGAGCTATTCGAGTACTATAAGTCCACTCTAGCTGGCTTGAGCAACCAGGTAGCGGGTGGGGTGTGTTCATGCAAATAAAAAGACGCAGAATCATAACACCACGTCCATTTCACACCACTAACATAGTAGAAGATTGTTCTCTCGAACGGCGCTGTGGAATAACCGATATAGATTCTTTCTTCTCGGACCAGAAGTACTTCTTTCTGCACAACATATACTCGAGTGACGATGTACCACGGGAAAGCCTGACCTCGTCCACTGTGAAGCGCGATTTCTTTATCTCCTTTTTCAGTTCCTTCGATGGAGATGAATATATGGCCGAAACTCTGCCTCCAGGGAGGTCTTAGACTGCAGTGGGCAAAGAATCTTGTCGAGAAGTGACGGTAAAAATTAAGCGTCATCAGTCCCACTGTGCAGGCGCCGGAGGCAGAGACAGCACGGTCCGCCCACGCACCGTTTTATTGCCAGACCTACCCCCCCCCCCCCCCCCCCCTATAATAAGAGCTGGGCGCTAAAAGGAACTACCTGTGTCGCTTATAGGATGTGATAGCGCACGTAATCTTGCATTTACTAGTTTTCGTGAACGCTGCGAGCGCCAACCAATTACTTTAGGGGGATCATGTTCTATCTATATTCATCAAAGTTCGACCTTGAATAAAGTAAATTGGATATCTAGAAGGAGTATCTCTCTGCTAGAGAGGCTGCTATGATTGATCAGGCAAGAAAGCCCGATCTACCGCTTAATGACCTTGAACCGATCAGTGAGCCTAGACTGAGGTAAAGCAAGGTAACCTACTCCGTAGTCTGTTTGAGAAACCCCTGTGTTTAGTATCCATCGATTAGTCGTATAACGAAATGTGGATTGCCTTGGCGAGGAACCTGGGAAGGATTTCGCCGTGATGGACTAATGCAGGAGTGCTATGGATAGTAGCCAATGATGGCCAGTGTGCCATTTGCTGGAGCTATAGCGGGATTTAGTACTTGGTGAAGGTAGCACAGTTTGATATTATGATCCACAACGACTTGGCAGAGTTCTTCCAGGTAGTATTGTTCTGCCTAGGAGTCAATATCAAATGGAGTATAGCCAATCACGTCTTTTCCAGAGCCGCGTTCGCCGGGGAATCATAGTTGTAAGCCGCGCTTTCTCGCTTACATGAATGCTTCTTTGAAACAAATTAACTCCCAAGGTTGGTGACAGTGTGATGTCCTCGTGAGTCTCCCTCGACAGGACCCCCTGGGCAAAACTATACCCACCCCATCCCATAGAATGATTTTTGTTCCTCCGATGTCTCTGATTTTACAAGAAAACAAGATCGATGGCTCCGCTTCCTCCTGCCAGATACAGTAATACCTCGCACGCACCCGCCCACGCGCAGGGTTTCATCCACGTGTGCGGCTTAGCCGAGGGACCTTGGGGGTAAGTCATGGTGAGGCCAACGCCCAATCACTTGGCTGGTATTCTGGTCCACCCTCAAGCTTTGCCAGGAAAGCTTGGATTGCCTTGGGCCGCAGCAAGCTTCTGCACGAGATGCAGGCCATATACAGAGCATAATTCTCCGTTATTGCTGTTGCGAGTGTCATGTTGGCTTTTTTTCTTTTTCTATAGATGCGACTGCTGCCGTTGCCGGGCACGGGACCCCATCAACCCTAACAACACGACTTCAGTAAGAAACTAGGGAAAAAATGCAAAGGAAAAGGAAAGAGAAAAAGAAATTACTCCCTAACAAACCCACTGCATGCACTCAGACCCAGATCCCCCGATTCATCTCCCAGGAGGGGCCAAAATTCGACCCAACTCTCAAGGTACTCGCGCGCGACGGAGGTCCCGAAACCCATGTAGAGATTTTCTTCCTGGCTCTTGGTGTTATAAAGTAGTGGCTTGATCCTGTCATTATGGGAATTTTCCGATTATTCTACCGAGTCATTTTTATTTCCTTTTTATTTCCTTTTCTTGCCCTTGGGACCACCTTCCCAGGCCTTCGTCTGCACCAATATGTCCTTCGACCCTCATAACGTCGACCTGGAAACGGCCGACCCAGCCCAGATCGTGTGCTACCTCAACGCCGAAGGAAACGAATACGATGGCCGGCTCGGCGCGCGGATCTCCGCAATCTTCGTGATTCTCGTGGCGTCGTCGGCAGCGACCTTCTTCCCCGTGATCGCGCAGCGGGTGCCGCGGCTGCGCGTCCCGCTGTATGTCTACCTGTTTGCGAAGTATTTCGGCGCAGGCGTGATCGTGGCCACAGCCTTTATCCACCTTCTGGACCCGGCATACGGCGAGATCGGGCCGAACTCATGCGTCGGCATGACAGGCCACTGGGGCGACTACGCGTGGTGCCCGGCAATTGTGCTGGTGTCGCTGATGGTGATCTTCCTAATGGACTTCGGGGCCGAGCGCTGGGTTGAGGTCCGGTACGGGCTGTGTCGCGACGACCCAGAACCCATCATGGCGAGCGAGTCCGAGTCCGGCCACCTCCACCACCACCGCGACTCAGACTCGCGCCCGCGTTCGCAGGACAAGCAAGCCAAGGAAATTGAGTCGCAGTCCGAAGCCAGCTGGGCCGAGCGCTCGTTCCGGCAGCAGATCGCCGCGTTCCTGATCCTGGAATTCGGCGTCATCTTCCACTCCGTTATTATCGGGCTGAACCTCGGTGTTGCCGGCGACGAGTTCGCCTCCCTCTACCCCGTCCTCGTCTTCCACCAGTCCTTTGAGGGTCTCGGTATCGGTGCCCGTATGTCCAGCATCCCCTTCAAGAAGGGCAGCTGGCTGCCCTGGTTCCTTTGCTCGGCCTACGGCCTCACTACCCCGATTTCCATTGCCATCGGCCTCGGCGTCCGCACTACCTATAACCCGGGCTCGTTCACGGCCAATGTTGTGTCTGGTGTGCTTGACTCCATCTCGGCGGGAATTCTGATTTATACTGGTCTGGTTGAGCTGCTTGCTCGCGACTTCTTGTTCGACCCGCACCGCACTCGCGACAACAAGCGTCTGACCTTCATGGTCTTCTCTCTGCTGCTGGGTGCTGGCCTCATGGCTCTTCTTGGGAAGTGGGCTTAAACTTGACTCAACTTTTTTATTGCTTGGATATGACGGGTATGAGTACTGGATGGCACCCATGATCATGTCTGTTCATTTTGGGTCAGGTCTTCGGCCTTGCTACTTTGCTCTAATTAGATCTTGATATCGCTGTTATCTCAAAAATAGATTAATTTACGCTCTTGCTTTATTATACCGGCACATCTTGAGGTAGTAAAAACGCTTGACTCTTCAATGACCTAGTGCCTTAACTGCATCAGGCATCTAGATGGCTAGTGTTAGACTTTTTCTACAAATTCCCATGTAAAATGCGTTTGATATACCACACAATTAGAAAGAGAAGGAATGCCATGCCTATGAATCTAAAATGAAATACCTTGCTCTATTTGTATGTAGCCCTATTGAAGACCAGGCGTGATTTAAGGCGGATATCAGCATAGTGTTAGGCTATATGTTCTATTAATGGTACAGTATTCCTCATTCCTTGTTTCCCTTCATCATTTCAAAAATAAATATCATTCTTGCGGCATTGCCTCGACATTCTCAGATCATCTACAAGCCATGGCTGTGTGGTGTGTTATGTTGATTCGCCGGCTAATCTTCGGGAATTCTGCTTGGCATGGTGGCCTTCAAGCAACCACTGGATTCGCCCTGCAGTCAGAAAATGGGGTTAATTATCTCACGGAGACACATCCGTCCATCGAGCATGCGCGACCCCGGCCATCGGTCGACTCCAGCTTCACATGTCCTCCACAAAGTTAAATCCCCACGCTGAGACCACGCGGGTGAAGTTGAGAGGTCTTTTTGCTGGGCACTTTGGCTTTCCTCCACAGTCGTCGGCATACCGAAAAAGACAGTTGATACTGGGCTCAACTCAGTGAGTCATATGGTATTCAAACTCTCTATCAACACAACCTAACGCAAAGCCATGGTGGCAGACACCGCACCTAGTAACCCTGAACCGGTACATCGCCTTGCTAGTGCTCTTCGCCAGCACAATCGGCTGCGACATCTCACTCATGAACGGACTGCAATCGCTGGGTAGCATACACTTTTAGCCCGTACAGGCATGGTGCGCCAACCGCTTCGAGCGCAAGCCCACCGTTCTAATGGGGTACGCGTGGCTGGTGCTGGGAGCAGGCCGGCGCCACCGATGCGACCATGTCCACGTACTCGCCGCTGTTCGTCGGCATTGCTGGCGCGTGGTTCCAAGCGGCGGTCATCCTCGTCACGGAAATCGCCTATCCCTCCCACCGGTCCTTTGTCACTGCCATCTTCATGTGCCAATACTATGTTGGCTCGTTGCTCTCAGCCTGGCTGGCTTTCGCGACTCGTAATCTTGCAAGTAGCTGGGCCTGACGTATTCCCTCGCTTATGCAGGGTGCTCTGCCTTTGCTGGTTTTACCGGGGACGTTACTTGTGCCGGAGTCGCCGCGTTGGTTGGCTAGGCAGAATCGTGCTGAAGAGGCTCGTCGTGTCTTGGTCCGTTCTCATGCTGGTGGGGATGAGATTTCTGAGCTTGTTACCTCACGCTCATCCTCAACACCATCGGCATCACCTCCACAACCCAGCAAACCCTCATCAACGGCTTCCTCCAGCTCTGGAATCTACTAATGAGCATAGTCGGTGCATGTCTCGTCGACCGTGCCGGCCGCCGCACGCTCTTCCTCGCATGCACAACAATCATGCTCGCCAGCTACATTCTCATCACCGCGCTCTCCGGCAGCCTCAAAACAACCGGGACCAGCGCCGTCGGCACAGCCGTGATCCCATTCTTGTTCATCTACCACGCGGGCTACAACATCGCCTTCACGCCGCTGATCCTCGCGTACCCGGCGGAGATCTGGACGTTTTCGCTGCAGGCCAAAGGTGTGGCAATTTCTGCGATTGAGAACTATCTGGCGCTGCTCTTCCATCAGTTTATTAACCCCATTGCCTTTGAGGCTATTTCTTGGAAGTACTATTTTGACTTTTTGGTTATCTTGCTTGCTAAATTAGTTACTATTTACACGACATATCCAGAGACGCATGGTTATTCACTTGAAGAGATTGCTGTCATTTTTGATGGCGAGTCGGTACATATATCGCCGAGAGCGGCCAGGATGGATGTCGAGAAGGAGCGAATGGGGAAGATTGAGCATGCCGAAAATGCATGACCGTGATATAAGAGTTCGTCTATCTAGATTTGACTTGATGGCTGTCACTAGGAGAATGGGCTGGATATGGTTCAATTATGACTGGAATGTGTACAGCTCGTTCACTCATTATAATTCGACATACTATGTAAGGCGTAGATATCGTGAAATGTGGCCAAAAGCATGATCACAGAGCAAGAAAAGTATGACAGAAGAAATAAAGGCACAGGCCACCAGCAAAAAAGCAAAGATTCGTCACTTGGGGTTGTATTTTTCTTTCCAAATCCTTTGAGAGTGGTTAGCTGGTTGCTATTCAACGCAGTAGTGTAAGCACCAGCAGGGTGATGAGAATGAGAAGAGTAGCATAGCAGTTGAAGCACAAGCTCATAATCTGCATCTGCACAGCCCCTCATCACCGTTGCCTACGCTGTAGGCTGCAAGAAAGACATGTAAAAACGTACCATGAATTTCCCATAGTCGGACACCCACTCGTCTCAGCCAATCTGTAATACTTGGCCGCCTTGAACTATCGCCACGCCCGAGATATCAGCCTGCGCACAGCCCCACGGCCAAAAATAGCCCGCACATACCTTGTCTTTCTTTCCACCAAATCCCTCAAGATAGCACCAAGCAACCTCGTTCATAGCATCAGTATCGCCCAGATTCGCTGCCGTTTCGTAATACTGCCGCGCCGCAGCCGGGTCCTTGCTGACGCCCCATCCGTTGCGGAAGCAGTTGGCCAGCTCGAAAATGGCGAGGACCAGCTCGCCTTTCGCGGCGCCACCCTTCTTGATGCCTGCGCGCAGGGCCTCGGCTTCCACAGCGGCGGAGTTGGAAGCTGCGGCTGACAGGTATGTCACTGCTCGTCCAGGGTCTTGTGGACAGCCCCAGCCGTGTCTATAGGCGGATTAGTGGGTTGTAACCAGAGAAAAGAGGGAATGCAATGATAAAATGTACCGGAGAGCTAGTCCGTAGAGGACTTGGCTTAATGGGTTGTTTACGCCATTGGGGTCGGCGAGTTGGCTGAACATTTTGGTTGATCGTTCCAGGTCTAGACGATCTGTCAGTATATAGCTTGCAAGGTTGAGAGAGGGTTAGCCCCAGTATCATCGCTTACCTCCGGATTCATGAAGTCGAATCGCCTCTTGGATATTAACCTAGTAGGCAAGGTTAGCATCATTCCCATAGCTATGCACTAAGTAGATTTTTTTTTAAAAAAAAAAAATCCCATATCACTCACATCATCCTGCGGGTCTCCAATCTGACTCTGACTCGAGCTCCTCGATCGAGGCTGCAGCCCAACCTGCAGCATGTCTTCGCCCTCAGAAGGCCGAGGCGGCGATGGCGACAACCCCGACAGCCCGAACTGCGGGTTCTGCTGCACCAGCACGGTCGCGCGTTTCTCCCACTGCGCCTCCCAGTCATTCTTATCGGCGCCCTGGTCATCGCTGATCTGCGGTAGATCCGCAGGAATATTGATCGACGAGGGACGTGAGTCCCTGCTATTGCGCCGGTGATCGAGGTGCAGCAGGCTGGAGAGTCGGCGCTCGCTGCGCGGACGGGGCGGAGACGGGCTGGAGACAGAAGGCGATCGCGAGGAGCGGTGGAAGAACTGGAAGCTCCTGCGCGAGGACCGTCGGTCGGTCTCTACGGAGGAGGGCTGGGACAATCCGGGCCCCGGATCGGGCGGCGGGGTGACGACTTCTTGGGAGAAAGTGTCGGAGCGCACGAATCTGATTTCTGGTGGCGGTGGAGATGCCGGGGTGGTGTCTTTGGAGGCATTAGGTGTGGGTTTGGGCGTGTTGAACTCGTCGCGCTTGTGTAGGATGTCTTTCAGCGACGGCATCGTAACTTGCGATCTGCTATCGTTTCGCGGGGACTAGTGAGTGGACCCTCGTCTGCAGAAGCACCAGGAGTGAAGAAATCTGGAGATGGGGAGATTGCAGCAGTCAGAGAAAGAAGAGAAGACATATATTGCATTGAAAGAAAGCAAGGCCCGTGGCAGTTGGGTTTGTCTGGCCGGGTTTCTGATGGGCCCCCGTTCCATGGAGACGAAGTCTTGGCTGGCGGCTACGCTATGACTACGCTAGGCAGTTACGCACAATCTATAAATAAACCGAAATAGATTGAAATATGGAGGTATGTTGAAATGGTTTCGATGGTTGACACAAGGTGGTTGGAGAGTAAGTATACATCTGTGGATACCATCAATGCATCTTTAAATAAGGGCCGATGTACCTCCTGCATCAGTCCCTGCAGATAAAGCGGGCATCCATGGACGAAAAGCAACGGGAATACTGGCACTACGGTCAAGAAGATCAAACTACGTTTCCTGGAGTATCCTCGAGAATATAGTGATGGTCAAAATGGTATTGCAATGTCTAGCTCAGCAGATGCAAATAGCCCCTATAGTTTTGTACACGATGACGGCCGAAGTCCATCTACTGGGCCTTAGCGGACATGATGCCTGCTCCTTGTTAGCACTCATTCCAAACACTTCAAATCTTAGGTAGTCACTCACGCTCGACGTCAGCCACACTCTGCTGGAGGATCTGCTGCAGAACCTTGGGGCTCTCCAGCTCCTTCTGGATCTTGGAGATGACGGACTCGGCAAGCTCACGCTGCTGGCGCTGCTTGACCTGGCCCTCGTAGCGCACCCACGACTCGAGAACCTGCTTAGCCTCGGCGGCGAGAGCAGTGCGCTGCTGGAGCTCGTAGGCCTGAGACTCGAGCTCGGCGGTTTCCTATGAAACTAGTCAGAACCACTCATCCCCGAGATATATCATCCAAACAAGCCTACCTTAGAAACAGCAAAGAGCTGCTTGGTGAGGTCGACGACACCGGACAGCTCCTTGACGTTGTCGATGCGCTGCTGGACGGCGCTGGTGTGGTCGGCACGGGCAGCGTTCAGGATGTCCTTCTGCTTCTGCACCTGACCCTCAGCCCACTCACGGTAAGCGGGACCACCGTACTTGGCCACACCAGTGAAGACCGACAGCAGACAGAAGGCGGCGACGGTCTCCTCGTTGAAGACGTACAGCTCGTTGCTGATGGCAGCAACGGACAGACCGGCGGCGGCGGAGAGGATGGCAGTCTTCGAGACCAGCGAGTTACCGGGAACCGAGTCGAGGATCGACTGCGCCTTTTTCTGGGGGTCCTCGGCGGGGACGTTGGAGGCCGAGCGAGAGGCAGTCAGGTTGGCAGTGACGACAGGGACGCGGGCGGTAACCGGTCGCAGCCGGGCGGCGCCTGAAGGGAGTCAGTAACCATCGGGTGCGAGTGGTCGAAGGGCAGACACGGCATACCAATGGCGCTCTTAGCGAGACGCGAAGCCATTGTTGCAGATGGGAAAGATCTTGGGCAATGGGGGTGGATGAACGGAACTGAGGAGACTTGAGGTCGGGAGAGGACGGGCGTGCAGACGCTAGCCGCTCTGGGACTAGCGGTCCATGGCGGAAAAACCCACCTTCCGTGCCTCAAAAAAGTTGCAAAAAAGTACTCGACTCCAACGAACATTGTGTTGATCTTGTTTAACCCCGGTCGCCACAATGCCTGCTCCAGTAGACGCATCAGCCATCTCAAAGAAGAGGAAGAGTAGCAAAAATGGCGGTGCCCCCTCCTCCAAGCGTCGAGCAGTGGCCGAACCCGATTTCACCGAGACGCTGTCCACCATTCAAGACCTCGAGAACCAGATTGCCGAATCGCGGAAGCACTACAACAATATTGCGACCCTGATTTCCATGCTCAATGTCGAGCCGTCGGCTAAGCATCCGGAACTGGCCGTGGCCGTATCACTCTGCCGGGTGTTCACCCGGTTGATCGCAGCGGGGAACCTGACAGAAACGAGTCGCGCGGCTGAAAATGAGAAAATTGTGGTGGCATGGCTGAAGGAGCGCTGCTTGGAGTACCAGAGGGCGCTCATGGCGATTATGCGCCAGGCGGATAGTGCTTCTCAGGTACGGGACTTGTGTTTGTTTCTCCAAAATATACTTGCTAATGATTGCTAGATTACTGCTCTAACCCTAGGCATGCGCCTGGTCAAGGAACGCACAACACATCTCCCCGGCGCCGACAACAATGTCTGGTCCTCAGGCCTGTTTAAGGACATCTTTGAGGCCGTGGTTGAAGCCCCCGCTGGGGAGGATCTACGGTCCGAATTTGTCTCAAAATTCGTCAAGGAGTATGAAGACGTCAGATACCATACCTTCGGGCAAATATCGTAAGTTATCGTCTTTTCTGACACTCAACCTGACTATATTATTAACTATTCGCAGTGAATATGCCGCCGTCAAACGAAGCTCCAATGTCCTCGAAACCCTCATCGCGATCCTCTCGGCTTGCGACGAAGTGCCTGCCGCAGATCACGAGTTTGAAAACTTCTACACCCAGGTTGATACAAAAAACAAGCGCATGGCCTCGGTGAATTCCCACAAGAAGCGGGCGCAGGAGGCATGGCTGGCCATCCTCCGCAATAATCTCTCGCAGTCGCAGCGAAAGTCTCTCCTGCGCATCATGGTGCACAACATCGAGCCCTGGTTCAACCGACCCGAGCTACTCATGGACTTCCTCACGGACTCATACAATGTGGGTGGCGCAACGTCACTCCTCGCGCTGTCCGGCCTGTTCTACCTGATTCAAGAGAAGAACCTGGACTACCCGCAATTCTACCAAAAGCTGTACTCCCTTCTGGACACCGATCTCCTTCATTCGAAACACCGGTCCCGGTTTTTCCGCCTGCTCAACACCTTCCTCTCCTCGACCCATCTGCCGGCCGCGTTAGTCGCCAGCTTCATCAAGCGGCTCTCTCGTCTCGCGCTGAATGCGCCCCCTTCCGCCATCGTGGTTATCGTCCCTTTCATCTACAATTTCTTCAAGAGCCATCCGACCTGTACCTTCATGATGCACCGCGCCATCCGCGACAAGCAGCTGGCCGCAAACCTGGAGGCCCAAGGCATGGATGACCCGTTTGATCCCTCCGAGACCGACCCTACCCGCACCAACGCCATCGAGAGTAGTATCTGGGAGATTGAGACGCTGCAGTCTCACTACCATCCCAATGTTGCTGCTATCGCCCGCATCATCTCCGAGCAGTTCACCAAGCAAGCTTATAACCTGGAGGACTTCCTCGATCATACGTATCAGGGCATGATTCATGCAGAGCTTGGTTCCGAGGAGAGGCCAATGCGGAAGACTCCCGTCGTGGAATACCAGATCCCCAAGCGGATCTTCACGGATCGTCTGCTGGAGGAGGATGGCGGGTTGGACTCGGGTGCTGGGAGTTTCATGCGTGGGCTGTGGGATTTCTGATGAGCGAGGTTGGTCGACAGTTATATCCAATAAACATCCTGTCCGCTGTTTTAGCACGTGTATGTTTCTGTGAAGAGAAGAGAGCGTTGTCATTTGATCATGAGCACATAGCCCATAACACGAGAGAAAAGCAAGAAAACGACGCAATCTGGCAGAAACGAAAGAACCTCATCTGCCGAATGACCCCATTTCGAAGCAAGAAACATAGCCCATAGCCCTTGAGAGAAAAGAAAGAACACGATGCAACCGGAAAGAAAAAGAAAAGGAAGAAAAGAAATAACGAACGAATAACGCCATTTTGACGCAAGAGAGAAAAAGAGAGGAAAGAAAATTCAATCAGACCGAAACAGATCTCCCCATCCCATAAAACCGACGAGACCGAAACTCCTGTCAAGCATCTCAGTATTCAGCCTTAAGAGGGCCGTTGCCAAGCGCCAACGGGACGATAGCCCGGAGCAATCTCGTTCCATTCGTCGTTGGCGTGAATCCAGGTAGACTGGGTCTGGTCCAAGTTGGGGTCCCAGCGCACAACGATGTTAATGTGGGCGCGCTCCTCCCCCTCTTCGATGATGGTGTGCGAGGTCTGGTGCTCAGGCGGGGGCCGCAGCAATGGACCCTGGGACTGCCAAAGCAGCTGCAAGGAATCCTGGGTAGGCCCGCCATACAGCGGAATTTCCTGCACCATCGAGAAGTTCTCAAACGGCGGCATCTCATCCCAGAAGGGGTCAGCAGTCAACATGTAATCCTCCTGCGACCGCTCCCATAACTCCTGTGGCTCTGGTTCTGGCGTCTCAGGATACGTGCGGCCCGGTGCGTAGCCGTAATCTGGGGTCAGGGCGAAGATGCCTCGCTTCATGCGATCCAGAAGATCGTCACTGATAACCAAGGGAAGCTCGGACTGGATGGTGTCACGCATGATCTCAATGGTTCGATGCGCTCTGTGGCGGCAACGGTCCCAACGGCGATCGACTTCCTGCTCCATGGTGGTCATGGCCTGAGCAACCATTGCCTCATTGGATGAATGCGTGATTTGGTTATCGGTTCTCTCCAGGAGTTCGTGGAGGCCTACGGCGAGTCCAAGGTACAAGACGTTGATGTCATGCAGGGCAGCAGAGACGGCGTCGCCGATCTTTCGCAGGTCGTAGTAACTGTAGACATTATGCCAGTAGCGAGACCAGGCGCTGACTCCGAGGCGTGATTTGGTCATGCGCTCTACCTCGAGATCTCCCACCAGCCAGTGGCACTGGATGACGATCCTGTAGGCTTCGATCTTGGCGTTCCGGAGAGGCTCTGGCATCACCATGACCGTGATTTCGGCTGGACGCTGGGCGCCTTCCTGTTCAGCACGGCTTTCGCTCCGCTCTCTCGTGCGATAGAAGCGCTCAGGGAACCGTGGTGCGGTAGACTGTGCCAGGGCTAGGTCGGGGTGAGCCCCGTGGGAAAATATCGAGTCTGCCATAGGCTAAAAGATAAACAACGAGAGTGGATCGTGAGGCAACCAAATGTGGGGAATCCTGTGATTTTTGCCAGGTACTGCGCGCGAGCAGTGTATGAAACGAGGGGACGGCCTAGATCGACAGGATGCAAAAGAGGGGCGTGAAAATGAGAGGAATAAGACGCGAAAAATACTTGAAAGGAGCGCGAAGGAGACGTGGATGAGACGCGAATAAGACGAAAACTGCGAGTTGTCCACGCGACTTATCGTGGGATTTTGACGACATAAGCATCTTAGTCTGTGCCCAAGGCGGCAACTGCGATGAGTCGTAGAGGGGCCAAAGCCCTAGTTTCCACCAGCAGATCTCTGGTTATGGGTGTTTGCCTTGTAGGCCATCTGCGTCCAACTCGGAGGTATGAGATGAACGGTGATTGCTGTGGCTGCTATAGAAAACATGGTGATGAAAATGATACTATTCACCTTTCCGGAGATCTCTCGATGGTCAAACACTCGGACACTAAGTTATTCCCTTGCCGTAGCTATGGCCTTAAGGCACCCAATCATGGCGAATTATCATTTACTAGATTCCCCTCGTGGAATTCGAATAGGTTACTCCTTGGAATCCCCTGAACTTTTGTCTTCATAATGAGGGGGTGCACGAGTCGTGTAGGGCCGGCTATGATGATGGTACTGCCTTCCCTATTACATTCGCAGTTACTTTGAAGATGATGTATACCTCACCACAAGTCTGATGAGGTTTGAATACGATTAATGTATACTTTGCTGTTCCGAGCTTCTGATTGGCTATCCACCCACATATCATCACTCTCATTGGCGGGCTGTGCATGAGAGCCACGTGGGAAACTCCGTGTTTCTTTCTTGCCTGATGAAACAGGCAGAAATCGTTACTTCCCACAGGCGTGGCTGTTACTCGACAACAAGAGGGAACATGATCAGATCCTATGGATATATTAATGGATGAGATATTGCTAAATAGCCCATTCACTCTATGAGAACAGGGTGATGAGATGCCAATTATCCCAACCCACAAGTCAGCTTCACACGCCTTCAGCACACCCTTTTTTAGCTGGAGATCCGAGGCGCCATCAACACTATTGCCAGAATCGATCGTCAAGTTATCTTGCGCTTCAGTATGTGAAGCCCAATATTTTTATCTAATGTGACCCTTGCAGATTGTATGGGACCTCAAGCTATAATATCTTCACAAGTTCCCTGCTGAGAGAAACCCCCTAATATGCGGAGCAGCACCCCTTGGTATGGGTTTTCGGGCGCTAAATGCTATCCGAGAAATGCTAGTACTGATCCTCTGAATTGTGGAGTTCATTTCACAGCCCTATGCCTTGGTTTCTATCCAAACACTCGGGAAAGGGATGGCATTCCGGGATGTTCCAGAGAGTCATTTAGGGAAATTTTCACCCGTAATTCTCTTATTTACGAGACAATCAGTAGGGATAGGTTTATTTACACCCCTTTTCCTCTGCTCCTTGTCGTGGTAGTGAATGCTTCGTCTCCCCAACATCCTGACTTCACCATCGACACTCAGTACCCAAACTCATACTTCAAGCAGATCAAACCGACCACATTGGAGCATTCAAACTAGCTTTGGGCAGGAATTCTCCATGTTCACCTATAGACATTCTCCTGACATTGTAGAGTACATGCTTTCCAAAATAGGCCTATAATGGGCCTCAATGGCTCCAGGAATGCGACATTCTCTCAGAAGGCGCTTTTTAGGGTCAACATTCGAATACCTACACGCGACATTCGAGTTCGATCCGCGGGGCTGGGAAGATCGTTGTACTTCTGGCAAGAAAGATAAGAAGCAACTTGTGCCTCGTCCGTCTGCTCTTGGTTATCCCATCGCCTCGACGCCTCGCCCTACCGCCGCCAACCCTAATCACTCAATCCTTTCCTTGAAATCCAACCACCGACCCATTCACTCCTTATTCTTATTTAGTTCAATATGCATTTCTCGAGGAGTGTCATCGCCGTCTCCGCTTCCCTCTTGTCCCTGGGCGCCACCGTCCAGGGTATCTCTTTCACATCGTGGCCCAAGGACATCCAAGCCGGCAAGCCCGTTACCCTGAAGTGGGATGGTGCCCCCGACAAGGTGAGTTTCCTTGATTTGCCCGCAATCCAGCAATGGCTAATGACCGGATAGCCCGTGACCCTTTCTCTGCGCGAAGGCAATGCCGGCGACCTGAAGCAAGTCCAGACCATCACCGACAAGGCCGATGGCGGTTCCTTCACCTGGACTCCTGGTGACAACATCAAGGGCGGCAAGTCCTACGCTTTCCAGATCTCGCAGGATGGTCAATCCAACTGGTCCGCCCTGCTGAAGGCTGGTGGCAAGCCTGTGTCCGATTCCAGCGAGACTACCCAGACCACCGCTGCCACCACCACGGGCGCGAGCCACAGCGCGGAGACCACTGCCACCACCACGGGCGCGAACCACAGCGCGGAGACCACGACCGGCACCACCACCACCGGTCACTCCACCAGCAAGCACCTGATCAGCTCCAGCTCTGTCTCTGCCAGTCCCTCGGGTAGCCCAACTTCCACCACCGTTGTCAGCTCCATCAATGCCAACGGGCCCTATGGCACCAGCACCGGGTCATTCCACAACAAGGAGGCCACTGAGAGCGGCAGTGTCCAGACTGGTGCAGCATCTCTGTCACGGTATTCTGCCACTCTGGCCGTGGGTGCTCTTACTGTGGCTGCCTACCTACTGTAGAAAAACCAGGATGCGTCTCCCTAATTACATGCTGGTGGGTCGCCACTTGACAGGTGGGACTGGGCTGCGCTCGTGTATATATATCTCCCGCCGAGTATGGTTGATCTATAGGCGGCTTGTCAGGCGTTTTTGGAGGAAAAGAGATTAGTTTTGTTACCAATCAGTTATCGTAAAGTTCTTTGACATGATTTTCCCCCTGATAGCCGTGTTTGTGGAGTATGCGAGAGTGGCGTTCCTGATGGAAGCCAATAATTAGTGGATCGGAACACAAAGATCGCCCTTCGCGCTGTCTTACATTTCTGAATCCTTCAACCTGTCCACCCACGCCCTCCGATTAATTCATTTTGTTGAACTCGCCCCAGTTTTGGACGTGTTCGCCTCGGAGACTCTGCCGATCACCTCTTGTCCTGCTTGATCTGCCGATAGCGCTATCCGCCCTCAATTCGATGCACTGTTCACCTCCGATCTAGTGTCTCGGGGATACCTAATCTTGCAAGGCATGAGCTGGCAATGATTAAGCGCCATCAGACTGCGACAACACATCTTGCCCATTTGAGGTTTAATAGTGGTACGCAGAGCCCTCCATGTCTCTGCTAAGCCGTTTCCCTCCCCTCCATGCCTGGCGCTTCCATCCCAATCCATAGCGATACCCTATCCCCCGTCAATTGGGTTGCTCCGGTCATTCCGATGGCTCGTCTGGGGCTGGTCATGAGGCGGTTGGGTCCCGGCAGAAAGCTGAGTGTCGACAGTGCTGACTCGCATCCTCCGACTGCGGCAGAAGCGCCCAAGGTCAAGCTCCCGCATGTGGACACGCAGCTGAACATGCACCAATACACCGGCTTTTTCGAGGACGGATCACCGGCCGGCAATGGCCTTCCAGGTGAGTTTCTTTTCCTTTTGTTTGTAGTTGACCTTTTTCTGCTTCGTGTCGGGATAGAATCAGTTGCTGACTGTCAGGGATTCCATAAGTAGACTCCAACGGCTCTCCAGTACAACCCCCGAACCCTTCCGCAAGTCCTGATCCGAGCAATGGTGATAATACGACAGAATGGTCGGCCGTCGGCCATGCGGCGACCGGGAAATCGGGACGCGTCATCCACAACTTGCAAGAGGAGGTTGCGCGGCGGACGCGCGAATGCAGTCTGTACCGCTCGCGCGCGGACGAAACACAGCGGTTGAACGAGACGCTCAAGATCCAGGTCCAGAATATGACGGAACGGCTCCAGAACCTGGAGCAGGTCAACGATACCAACCTAAACTCCATTGCGCGCAAGGACCGGAAAATCGAGGAGCTGCGCGCGGAGCTGCAAAGCGAACGAACCAAGCGTCAAGGTGCCGAAATGACTGCCACCCAGACCAATCAAACGATGCGCGACGAGCGCGAGCAACACAACCGCGATCAGGCGCGCGCACAGGAACTGGTCCGCTTCCACGAGACCCAGTACGAGGTGCTGTCGGCTGCTACCAAGCGCGAAAAGGCAGATCTTGGTCGGCGTGTCAAGGGCATCAGAAATGAGGTGAATTCTATGGCTGAAGCACAGAAAACCCAGAATACCTCCACCGAGCGCCTGGATGTCATCTCTGACCAGAAGAACCGCGAGATCGAGAACCTAAAGAGCATCCACGACAAGCTGATGGCCGCCCATGCCAACTACAAGCAGATCAAGGATGATGAGCTCCGGAGCACTATCGAGCGTGCCCAGGCCAATACTGCCATGATAGATGCTACTCTCGCATCCTTGAAAGAGACCGAGGCGCACATGAAGTGGGCTATCCAGCTCAACAGCAACAGACCCGAGAGCTAATGGAGCTACTCGAGGCTGGCCATACACTCCTCTTCACCACATCTCCTCGTGACATCAAATGGGCTATCCATTCCATCAGGCCTTGCTTCACCGAGCCCTACCTGACCGCCTTGGGCAATTCCCATTCAAGATCTCTTTGAATACCCTCCAACGGCTCCAGTATCTTCTTCCTCCAGCTCCTCTCATATCCTCTTTTTCTCTATATTTCTAGCACTGTTACATTGTGCATGGCGTTTTTCGGAGGCCCAGATACCCATTGTGGCAGAATTCGGTCCTATGTCTTCTATTTTCTTTCTTCTCTGCACTAGAGTACCCCTGTTAGAGTTGACGCTTGATGACCTGTATTTTCTGCATTTTCTCTTTTCTTTTCTGGACATGACTGAACAGGCACAAATGAATCTATTTGCATATACATCTCTTGTTATGACCCTTTGCCTTCTTTTGCATGAAGATTGGTTAGGTAAAATCACTCATCAGTCACTATGGACCGCACTCTCTATGCCGCTCCTACCCATGACATGTGAAGCTGTCTAATTCTCCCAGGCAACTGCTGATCCTCAACTATCTCAGGCCCCTGCGCTCCTTGGTTTTCTCTCCAAGGCTCCGTTTCATTTTTACTGTCACACGATTGGTATACTTCCAGAATTTTCTGGCCTGGTGGAATCGTTTGTCTTCTTCTTCCCTCCACACTTCCCCCTCGAGTCCTTCGTCTCTCTCACTTTCCAACGTACTATTGAGCTCCTTCCGCGTCTCTTTTCTCTCTAAGCCTCCATGAAACTGAAGCTAACCCAACCTGTTCATCATGTTTCATGCACACTTCTTACCTGACGAGAAGAAGTGGGAGATGCGATTGGTGTGACGCGTGGACGAGAGTCTGGTAAGCCTCTCCGCTTGATAGAGCCCTGCTATAACCCTGATATTCTTCTGCTGACCAGCCTTTGATATAGATTCCTGGTCTGATGGCTGAACTCTCGTATGAAGGACTTCCTGCTTCATGTGGCTGATAGACCCAGAAACTGACTGCCTCTAGATTGACCCATCCTCAGGTGCACGCAGAGTTTGGGCCATTTGGAAGGGTAGTTTTCTCTATCAAGTGCCGGGTTTAATATTCTTGCTAAAATAAATGGTTTCTTTCAGACATTCAATTTCCAGGGCAAACTCGATGATGCCACTTTGACCTCGATTCATGAGACAATAAGCGATTGGCTTGAGAATAACAAAGTCGAAGATCGTTCGGATTCGACATTCCCCTCTGGCAATTTAGATGCAGAAGAGGTAGGCCTCCCCCTTTTATACTCAAATCATGCATAATGGAAGGAAAATGGATACTAATTCAACATGTTCACTGCATAGGCTGCCCCAACTATGCACCCCCTCGACCCTGGCAAGACGGATCAAATCGAGGAATGGATCTCCGAGATTGCTATAAAGGATCCTATCTCCGTGGAAACCGAACCAGCAACGACAACCCTAGACCCTGGTTTGACCGAGGCTGCTCGCACAGAAATCGATACCTTGCCCAGCCTCGATCTCTCATCCATGCGCCCTGAGTCCAAGTCTCTGTCAGAGAACAAGAAGCCTCGGGGAATCAAGACGCGCAGAGCCACTTATATGGAGGCCAATCCTCCAATTAAAGCTCTTGCCCCAGCACCCTCCACCATGGCTGATGCTTCTCCTGCGCTGTCTCGCCCTCTCCCTATAAGACCGTCACCGCATCTCTTGGATATGGACGATCCTGCTGACCTCAGCTCTCAACTCTCACTCGCATTCTCACTTTTGCAGCCGACCTTGGTGAAAGGTGTGGTGAAGGAACAATTGAGTCCAGCGACTGAGGCAGCTTCGCTGACTGGCACTGAGGGAACTACTCACCAGGATAGCGGTGCTCAGGAGCATAGCGGGGACTCCATCCCCAGTCACTCTTGCTATGCTACTCCCCCAACGGAAGACTGAGAGCAGCGAAGAATTGGGGGGGGGGGGGGGGGGGGGGGCAAGTAGATAGAGCTGGACGAGGTGGTTTTCGCAGAGGAAATGGGGATGTGAGCTGGAACTAGGGGAAGAGTTTCAAGTTGCCAAAAAGTGGAGGACGTTTTCATTGTTCTTAGATTGTTCCCGTCGTTTCTAAACAAAAGAGAAATCCCAGATTCTCGGATATTCTCTTCCCTTTGTAGTGTTATTGCCAGCAATTACTAGAGTATTCTGTGCGCGGTATTGTCCTTACATCGCATACGCTAAGCCTATATGCTTCTTATCTTGGTTCATTTGTCCAATCACACGCTTCTACATCTATTTAGGTATTTAGGTGTACACAATATAGCCATCGACCTTGAGTAAGACATTTCTGGGGCACTAGTCACTATTTTCAGCTTACTGAGTGTCCCTATATTGACCCTAATACTTTGTGTAGGGTCTGATTTCTATGTTGGATGCGAGAGAAGAGTAAATACCTAGTAAATCGACGCAGCCACGCTCAGTCACTATTGAGAGTGCTTAGGGCTAGGCTTCTTGCCCAAAACATTATCTAAGCTAGCGTGCCTAAACTACCTACCGAATTCAAGAGATGTAGTTGTGTATCAGTCGAGGTCCTGGGGGATGTAATATTGATATCAACGAGGCTTTGATTGAGCCATGTACTATCTACTTAGAAGGCAGGTCATCTGAATACATAGATGTTGCATTGAACAGGCTGGCTGGCTATAATATATCATATAATTCTTCTATCAAAACGAACAAGGACTTTCTGTTCAGCCAAGTCATGGCAACTCTACTATATACGTTCAGTCCTCTTCCTCCGGCGCATCATCCACGTCTCGTAGCCACGCACCCCGTGCATCTACTGCCGCTTTGCGTACCTCGCGCTTCGGGTCATCCAAGACTGCCCTCAGCGAGCGCAGGACCTGGTTCTTAACAGGGAGCAGCGGGGACAGAGAAGGAGGGGGGCGGGCAGCAGGGGCATTATTGGAGGGTGACTGGCGGGTCGCAAGCAAGAACAGGCAGTTCAAGGCATCCACACGCAGGCGGGGAGTATTGACGGCACCGGAGCCAGGGACGGCGGCAGTGGTGGTCTTGAGGAGCCTCCTGACGAGACTTTGTACGTGGCCACACTGATCGATGACCACAACGCCATTGTCGCGGATGATGACGGCGAGCGTGTCGAGCGTGGCCGTGCGGACGGCGACGGATTCTGCGGTTTGGAGATCAAGGGACTGCAGGAGGAGGGGGAGGAGAGTGGGGAGCTCGGGCATGACCAGAGCTGTGGAGATGGTGGAGATAATTCCGGCAAGGGCAGTAAGGTGGGCTGGTTTGATGTGGTCAGGTGTCTTGGTGGATGGGTCGGATTCATTAGACCCGGCAATGTTGACTTCGCGGATGCACGACGAGATCAGCGGGATGACAGTGGTGAAGACACGCTGCTTAGACAGCAGTCGGATGATTGCTCCATTGGTTGTAGAGAGTACATCGTCGTCGCTAAGAAGGATGGAGAAGCCGCGCGCGGCTGTGGTGCTGGTCTGTTGATCGACTGATGACAGCAGAGCCAGAAGGGAAGTCAAAATATGTGTAGTTGTGGGAGCGAGGCGGATGACCAAGGCTTTCGAGAGCCAGAAGACAGTGCGGATGGTGGCTGGACTAAGAACCTGTTGTTTCATACTTGGGTCTGGGGACACCAAAGCGTCAAATAGGTTTTCGGCAATGCTCAAATCCTGTTTCGATAAAAACTTGTTGGCGAGCAAGGCCTGGTGACGCAGGAATGCAAGGTGCGTAGCAGGCTCGGTGGTGTTAGAGACGGAGCGGCGAGAGATATCCGCCAGCAAGGCCGACATATCGGGTGAGGTGTGTGGGATGCGGGGGCCACAGTCTTTAGACAGTCCCGCGAGGAGATATGTCGAGATGATGATCGTGCGCTCTTGGTCAACATTTGTGGTTTGGGCGAATGGGACAGGCACGAATTCTTCTGCTGGTGCGAAGAGGCTATATACATTCTCTGCGACTTGTTCTTGCTTCTGGATAGAAACAGACCGCACCAGAAGATTGCAGAGCCGGCCCAAAAAATGGAGCACTGTGGGATCGTTGAGAATTTGGTTCTTTGCCTTCCCCGAGGCGGACGCTGCGACACTGCGGCAGAGACCAACCACGACCTTGTCAAAATACAAATCGACATTGGGATCTTGGTCCATCTTTCGCTGTTGCATCACATAAAGCAGAGTCATGAGAATAGCACGAGGATAGGCAACGGATCCAGGCTGGTCCTTCTGGAGCAGAATTGACAATTTGCTGAAAAGACGACGGAAAAGCGTTTCGAAAATATCTCTCTCCACACTAATCTGGGCCAGGGTCTCGAGTGTCGAAAGATAGGAAGAGTCAAGCCCTTCGTCCTTATCCGGCAGGGTAGCCACAAATGCAGGGAAGGTAATATCCACAATAAGCCGAGGCTTGTGTTTGGAAATCTCGGCAAGTGCAGCAATTGATTCCTTTTGCAAATCTCCCCGGCCAACCGATTCCTCCTTCAGGAGGATTTCATCCAAGTATTGGATGAGCAGCCCAATCTCATTGTCTTGGAAGAAATCGCGCAGTGTCGAGAGGCGTAGAAACCCTTTCAAAGCAGTGACCCGGAAGGAAACTTCCTCCTTAGCAGCACCCATTAATGCCTGGCCGAAAATATCCGAGAATTGATCTTTGAACTCAAGCAGCGGATTTTCGATAATGGTTTCTCCTCCTCGAGTTGTCCACTCCCCGAATACTTTAACTGCAGAGTCAAACAAGACAACAAGAGTCTCAAGAAGAGCTCTTTGTTTGACCATTCCATCTGCCTCCTGGTAGATGGTGAAGATAGGGGCCACAACTGTCTGCACAATGATAGTAAATGCTATGGCAGAAGCTGCCGAGAGGGAGCTCAAAATTTGCTGAGCGGGTTTTGCTTGTTTCTGCTGGGGCTCCTGCAGTTGCTCGTTGCACTCTTTGGTAATAGGCCTGAGATATTGCGCTAGAGGCAGCTCCTGTGAAGCCTCGGTCACTCCTTCGGAGAGACGCTGCGCGATGCCTTTCAAAACCTCCTGGGAAGACTCAGACAAAAACTCCTCTTGGGCGTTCAGAATCTCAAACTTTAGAACTTCCCAAATGGTGATGGAATACCTGGAAACCGTATTTGGATCGTATGAGTGGATACAGGCAATCAAAGCATTGAGCGCATCTTTCTAGTGGGATAGTTAGTCGCAGCTCCACATCTAGAAGCACAGGAACTTACTTTCACATTGGGAGAAGTAGAATCCAGCTTGTCCAATAATGACGGGATGGCATGCGGCGCAAATTGACTAGTTGCCGCAATGCAGTCCTGCAGCCGACCCTTCAGGTCTTGAGCGGTGATCCCGTAAGGATCGTTCGGCGGAGGTCGGAAGGTAATTGGGAAATAGTTGTAAACCGAGTCAAACAAAAGCTGTCCCAGTTAGCAATTGGCAATTTTTGAAGACGCATTTAAACATACCTCGGCATGATTTGAGATATCCCATTCCACCATTACCACTCTCAAAACAGAGAAGACGAGCATCAAGTTCCGTGGATCTTTTTCTCCTGTCATGAGATCCACAATTCCAACAAGTGATATATCACCCATATCCCGCAATGCTGCACATGATTAGTTTTGATCTGAGGCTCCGAATAAAGTCAACTGAGGTTGCCATAAACGTACCTGCTCGGTGTCGTGACATCAATTCATTGAGCAGTTGATAAACCTGGAACCTCTGCGATTGCGAGCGAGCCTGGAGGTCCTGGAAATTCGAGAATAACCTATATCAGAGTTAGCCTTAAGTCGTCAATTCAACGGGTCTTGCATCCGCTCCGAGAAAAAAGCCCACGGAACACGAATGGCAGGCGCATAACTCAGTACATACGCTTGGGCAACCTCGTTGGCCAATGCCTCAGTAAACCGCTCCAGCGCCTGTAGCGTCTCCAGACCAGCAATTGCACCACAATCCTCGATTCGATCACAAAAAAACGTCGTCAGGACCTGGATCTGCTGTCTCGACAGATACCTGGCTGGCAGCGCTTTAATCACGGCCGTGAGGAAGGACACGGCCTTCCCGCGCAAGATAGGATCTTCATCATTGATATATTCGCCGAGCGACTGGACCGTTTCGATCAATGTCGTCTTCTTGGATTCCACATCTGTATCGCGCCATTAGAACGGAGCCGGAGTGCGGGGCAGAAAAACGGGCTTTACCTTGGGCAACACCTTCGGCGATGCGCTTGGCTTCTTCCTTGTCGTGCTCGACCACCAGCATAAACGTCTGCAGAGCCGACATGGTACCAATCGAGATAGCCGGGAGGGTTCGAGGGGGAAGGAGTAGCAGTCCCGCCGTGCCTGCCATTTTCGTGTGACCGAGGGCCTCTTATCGATAAGATCAGGTGACCGGTCCCTCCACATCACGTGCTGTAGCTTTGCGTCATAGCTCTGGCGCTTTGCCCTCGACACCAAGCTCTTTTGCTGAATGCTGCGCTCAAGATGCATCACTCCCTACTTCTGATATTTGCCCTCATCAGCAGTGTATTCTCTCTCTGGGGATTTTCCTTCCCCGTTCCCCTATACCAGAAGCCCCTAGCTCTCCAGTCTCAAGACCAGCACTCCATCATGGACAAGCTCATCCCCGGTCTCGTCAAGCCGCAATCAACAGCCCCAGACGGAGATATCCAGCGTTCCAAAGACAGCCAAGCAGACGGGCTCATTGTCTCCGACGTCCTCCCGAAAACAAAAGGCATTAACATCTATGCGCGGCTGACTCGAGACTTCGAGCCCATCGCCTCCCGTCTCAACGATGCATCGAAGAATATCACGGTGCTGGCGCCGCGGAATAGTGCAATCCAGGCCCTGCCCCGGAAGCCATGGGAGAATCCAGAGGATTATAGTAAGTTCGGGGAGGTGGATGCCTACGAGGGCCAAGAGGGCCAGGATCGGGCGAAGCGCAATCTCCAACGGTTTGTGGAGGCTCATCTCATCCCTGTTAGCCCTTGGCGGGCGGAAGAAGAGATCGAGACGCTGGCAGGGGAAAAGCTGACTTGGAACAAGGAGGGTGATAAGATCGTTGTATGTCTTGTTTCTGTCCTTTGGGCCTGTGAATTGCTAACCACTTCTAGATCCAACCCGGAAATATCCAGGTCGACACTGTTGCAGAAAAGGTGTCGAATGGGGAGGTCTGGGTTTTGAATGGCGTTGTCAACTATCGGTGACGGGCCGGGTCATGAGTGATGAAATATGAAACGAGTGAACGCATACGAGGATTTCTTTTTGCTAGTTCTTAATTTGGGTGCTCTACCTTGGTATAGTCCATAATATCCAATGGTTGAAATCGGAATACCTTGCCCTCGAGAGACTCAAAGTCATGTAGCCATACAGTATCAAGATGCTGCCACTTCAAATATGTTTTTATTTTTACATCTAAGATTGGTATATCCATATCTCGTAGGAAGGAGCAAGTACAGAAACAGACAGGCTTTGTTTTCTTTCATTATCCAAATGTTTATTGCTTAGAGCAAATCCACCTTCTTCCCAAGTATATGGGTTAAAACACTGGATCTGACGAGCACGCCCGATCCCATCAAATCGATTGCGGAGCAAAGTTCCGCAGGATTCTATCTTCCACTCCGTCCAGTATGCAGAAGTGCTCCATGACCTCCAAGTTCTCTGCTTCGTTCTGGTACAGCTTGTCGGGGTCCTGACCAGGCTGCAGCGGGTTCGCCATGGCAGCCGGGTTGGCCATACCCATCTGCTGAGCCATTTGGTTGGCAGCTAACCCAACAGTTAGCAAATATCCCTACTAAATTGACCAAACAAAGCGTGCTCAGAACATACCGTTGTCACTACCGAGAATAAAACCGAAAACAGACTGCAGCCCAAACAAGTTCAGGAAATACCACGACAGACTCGACACCCATCTGACATCGAGGTCACGGGTCATGACACCGGACTGCAGCATGGACTTGAAGCGGATAGTGAGAGGGAAAGGCAATTTCACTGTGGAGATTTCGTTAGCATATCCCAACAGATAAAGACAACTCTCCCACGGAAACATACGAATCACAAAGCCAGAAAAGAAGGCATTGATCCAGCTCATGATCAAGGTCTGCGGGATCATCATCATCATATTCCCCTTCAGCATCCCCGTCATCGCCTCCATGCCCGCGGGATCCGTCATGGGATTCGCCGGCGGCTGGCCGCGCTTGTTAGGGTCCTTCAAAAATGCGCCGTTCCGGCAGCCCGACACCATGTAGTTCTTACGCATCTCGAAGGACTCGCGGTTGAGCACGGCCGAGGCATGGTTGCGGAGATTGACGACACGGAGGAGGGCAAGCCGTTCGCGCGACTCAGCGAGAGTCGAGGCGGATTTGGGGGGGGAATTCATCAGGACCGTGGCGTAATGGCGCAGGATTCCTGTCAGGATCTGGGGAGGTTCGTTAGTTTCGCTTTCTGGGAAATTGAATCATTACCGCTGGGGGGGTGATCATGGTGAATGGTCACGTACCATGACAACCGAAATCGGGAAAAGAATCCAGTAGCTATACACCAGGGCAGGTCAGTCTGGCTTGCTCGCGTTCTTTTTGGGGAAGTTCAGGGCTACTCACAACAGAGCCGGATCCCGAAGGATGGTCTGCTCGACCCCTTGAACTGCCATAATGGAAAGAAAAAAAAAATTAAAGAAAAGGAAAAAGGCAGGGTAGAATGGGAAGCCGATCAGAGACGATCCCCGCGATGGTGGCAGAGTCTGGAGATGAGAGAGGGAGAAGGGGAAGTGGAGGGCGGTGGCCCGCAGCTTCTCTCCAGCTCTCTCCAAAGACGCAACTCTGGCCTCGACAAACCCGCGAAAAATCACCTGGCTACAAAACAACAATAAAAATTCATATAATCTTCACAGTACTCGACATTACTTGTCATCTCTAACTCTCTGTCGCACTCATGGCTACCAACAAGGTGCCGGTCTACTCGCTCAATGGTGCGTTATAGGCTTCCCCATTTATGCTGCCATTCAGCTTCCCTTGAATCGCACTGGGCGACACAGCACTCTCGATGGGAGACTAATGAATTGGCCTTGTCTACTAGATCTCAAGTCCACCAGCGATGATGCTCTGGGCCCCCTACCTCACGACGCTCCCCGCGCCATACACCTTCAAGCCCAACCACACCAAGACCAACGTCCGCTTCTTGCTGGGCTACAGCGCTGTCGCAATCGCGGCATTCACCTTCTATGCAGACCGCACGCTCGGCTGGGAAGCGACCACGTCCCCGTGGATCATTGCCGCAGTGGCCGTGTACTTTGTACTGAACAGTATCCTCACCTTCTGGATTTGGGGCGTCGAGGCCGGGGAGGTGTTTAGCGGGAAACGCAAGACAGGAGAGACGGTACGCCATGCACACACATGCACATACACATGGTTTCAAATAGGCATCCACGACGCCAGTATACTAACCTTCCATTGTCCATAAAACAGATCACCATCTCCTCGTCGACCAAGAAGAACTCCAACCCCTACAAACTCCACGTCCAGTACAAGTCCGCCGCAGGCAAGGTCTTGCAGGACAAGCAGTTTGAAGCACCATTCCCGAATTGGTTCTCGGCCGACGGCGTGTTTCACCCGGAGCCCTTCCGGCGCTGGTTGGCTAGTGAAGTTGATGTGTTGCGGTTGGCTGCGAAGGAGAATGAGAAGAAGACAGGCGGTGTGTCGGGTCTGGTTGGGAAACCTGACGACGCTGCGGATGGTAAGATGCGACGATAGTCGAACCATGGGGCTGAGGAATCCGAGAATGCTTGGCTGGTTTATATTGTCGGGGAAGTGACAAGCTGGTCTTTGGTGTATGCTTGTCAAGAAAAGATGCATATTGTTAATGCCCGAGCGAATTCAAAGCGAATTATACCGAATTCTCAAGGCGGGTATCTCAGACGTAGATTCGGAGGATATAAGGCAATGAGACCGGGTCTCCGCTGTTAGAACTTGGGCCTAGCAAGAAGTACACAAGCCAAGTCAAATGTAATTGTCCATATATTCAAGAAGGCTAAAAACAGCAAAATCTATAGGGATTTTAGGATAGAAACCCAGCACCATTCCAAACGCGTCCATCAACATCAATCGCATTGCCTCGTCTCCTACGAAGCCGCCTCAAGAGTGCCCGGTCGTTCCGTCGCTGCAGCAGGCTGGACATCGTCTGCTCGTCGGTTCTGGATGAGTCTCTTTATAGAGCAGTCAGACATTACTCAGAAACCTAGTGTTCAGAAAATAGGGAGAGCAACTCACCAGCAGGTTCCGGAGCAAAACCACAATAGTCACCTTCCCAATGGAAGGCACAAAGATAGAAGCCTTCTCCCGGACCTCGTGGGGGAAGTTCTGGAGCAAAGAAAGACGCAATCAGCACTGACACTCGAAAGATTGAAATGAATACAGTTGTAATGAGAACATACCTTCTCGCTCGAGAAGTTCACACACACAGCCCCTTCTCTGAGAAGACTGGTGTCGAACTTGTACTTCTCACCGGGCACACCCGAAATAACCACATCGCACAGCGGGGCGACATCCTTCAGCGCAGCACCCTCAAGATCCACAACCTCGTGTCGGCGCTTCTTCAATCCCTCGCCACGAGTGAACTTCTGCACGCCGGTGATATCCACACTGTAGACACAGGCACCATCGTTGGCCAACAGCGCAGCCAGCGGCCGCCCGACGACCTCGGAGCGGTTGACGACGCAGATCGTGCGGCCGAATAGCCGGTTGCCATATGGCAGGACGGTGTTGTAGATGTTGAGGTACTCGAGGATCTTGATGTTGGCCAGAGGCGTGCAGGGCAGAATACATTTTTGGCGCTTGGTCTCCGGGTCCAGGAACCGGATGTTCTGGTACATGTTGAAGATGTAGCGGTGGCTGAGACCCTCAACGTCCTTGCTCACATCTACAATCTGCTGCAGGTATTGGTCCTGGCGGTTGTTGAAGATCGGATAGTAGACGATAATGCCGTCGACGGAGGTGTCGGCGTTGGCGGCCAGGATGGCTTCTTCGATCTCATCGCGGGAGACTTCACGGAGGGTGTATTGAAACCCACTGGAAAGAAAAATGAATCAGCTAACGATACTTTCGGATCTCCAAAGTCAAGGCATTATATAGCGGTTTCTCTTGCGCAACGAGAACGAGGGGCAGGTATGAATCACCCATCCAAAACCCCCACCAACCACCACGAAGCCATTGAGGACTCAGGTATGAATAGGATATCAGAAACTCACTTCTCTTCGCAAGTCTTCTGAGTCCACTGCGCATACATGAGCGCCGCAGGGTCATTGTTGGCCAGGAAGCCCACTAGATGAGGCGGCTTCTCGAGGGTCCGGATGCCCTCCTGCACTTCGGCGATCAGGCGATTGGCGACATTCTTGGACAGAATCACCTTGCAGGAGGCCGGATTGGAGTCGGTAGGAGCGGACATGGCAAAACACTGGAATTGGTAGGACTGGAGAAGCGTTGCGCTCGACGCGGGGTGTCTTTGCGAGGGAAAAAAAGATTGCTCGCTTATCGATAACAGCACCGCTTTCGGCCGTCAAGGCGGCGCAGCCCAGAGGCCATGGGAGATTGTTCGAAAACACTCAAAGCAATGTAGTCAAACCAGAGGAATCAGAGGTGCATAGATAACTAGAACTTATGCTGGTTATGCCATAGCTATAATGGATCTTCCCAAGAACAGCACCACGCATCCAGTCTCGGACAGCCTCAGCCAACTCAAGGTATAGAACTCAACAATGTCTACAATTTACAATCTAAGATTTACCAAAGCTTGAATGAACAAATGAGATAAATTGCGGTTCAACATGGAGACACAAGGAGACCAGACGGAAGCAGAGTGGTCCTCCTCCCATCTCGCGCCCCCCGATGCGCGGGAAAAATCTAAACGTACAGGATATAAATCACATTTTGGCAGTCCACAGCCCGTGTCCTTTCAGGCGACGCCTCATAATGACTCCCCCAGACTCGCCGATGCTTACACCGCTACACTCCATGGGGATGGGTCCATCGCGAGAAGCGTCGGCGCACAAAGAGGAACAGAACGAAACAATGGCCTCAAAATTGTACAAGCTATCTTGTCTATACACATAGGAGTCAGGAAAACAAGCCGACCACCAAGGATCACCCGAGTGTTTTCTAGCTCACCTATGCGTTGAAGGACTGGTTGAAGGCACCGATGACCTCCTTGAGCTTGGCCTCAAGCTCCTTGCTGACCTGGCCCTCCTTCTCGATGGCCTGCTGGATCTCGGGGTGGTTGCTCTTCAGGTGAGCGAGGAGGTCGGACTCCCACTGGAGGATCTTGGCAACCGGGATGGTGTCCAGGAGACCGTTGACACCGGCGAAGATCAGGGGGACCATGTCGGAGACGGCCATGGGCGAGTACTGCTTCTGCTTCAGCAGCTCGGTGAGACGCTCACCACGAGCCAGGGTCTGCTTGGTAGAGGCGTCCAGGTCGGAACCGAACTGGGCGAAGGCAGCGACCTCACGGTACTGAGCCAAGAACAGCTTCAGGGAACCGGCGACCTGCTTCATGGCCTTGACCTGGGCGGCGGAACCGACACGGGACACGGACAGACCGACGTTAATGGCAGGGCGGACACCCTTGTAGAACAGCTCAGACTCCAGGAAGATCTGGCCGTCAGTGATGGAGATGACGTTGGTGGGAATGTAGGCCGACACGTCACCACCCTGGGTCTCAATGATGGGGAGGGCAGTCAGGGAACCAGCACCGTGGGTCTTGTTCATCTTGGCGGAACGCTCCAGCAGACGCGAGTGGAGGTAGAAAACGTCACCGGGGTAGGCCTCACGACCGGGGGGACGACGCAGCAGCAGCGACATCTGACGGTAGGCGACAGCCTGCTTGGACAGGTCATCGTAGATGATGACGGCGTGGCGGCCGTTGTCACGGAACCACTCACCCATGGCGCAGCCAGTGAAGGGAGCAATGTACTGCAGGGGGGCGGCTTCCGAGGCGGTGGCAGCAACGACAACCGAGTACTTCATGGCGTCGTTCTCCTCAAGGGTCTTGACGAGCTGGGCAACAGTGGAACGCTTCTGGCCAACGGCAACGTAGATACAGAACAGCTTCTGGGCCTCGTCGCCGGAGCTGTTCCAACGCTTCTGGTTGAGCATGGTGTCAAGGGCGACAGCAGTCTTACCAGTCTGACGGTCACCGATGATCAACTCACGCTGGCCACGGCCAATGGGCACCATGGAGTCGACACATTTCATACCAGTCTGGACGGGCTGGTTGACGGACTGACGGGGCAGGATACCAGGGGCCTTGAGCTGGGCACGGCGCTTCTCCTTGGACTGGAGAGGGCCCTTGCCGTCAATGGGGTTACCCAGAGCGTCAACAACACGGCCGAGCAGCTCAGGGCCGACGGGGACATCGACCTATCGAGTTAGTCAGCACAAGCCGTGAGAGGTTGGGGCAGCGAGGTCCATCGATGCAAGGGAGCTTGGGAGACTTCAGGGACTTCACTTACAATCTCGCCGGTACGCTTGACGGTCTCACCCTCCTTGACGAGACGGTCGGAACCGAACAACACGACACCAACCTGGCCGGCCTCGAGGTTCATGCACATACCCTTGACGCCAGAGGCGAACCTATTCATCGATTAGTTTACCGGTCGCTGTAATGCCAAGACCTTGGGGTTTCACATACTCGACCAGCTCCTCAGCCTGGACGTTGGTCATGCCGTGGACACGGGCGATACCATCACTGTTCGAAGCTCAATCAGTTTCTGACTCGGAAGACGGTGGATTGGTAGCGTGCAGGAGCATATTCGATGAGGTTGTAGACCGGGACCGAATTTTTCTCCTCACGCCCTGCGACGCCCGGGGCGATTTTGACGTACCCGACCGACAGAACGCGACCGGTCTCGGCGAGACCAGCCTCCTCCTGAACACCACGGATACGCTGCTCAAGGATGGAAGAGACCTCGGTGGGAGCAGCCTTGGCCTCGGCGGCGTAGGAGCGGACCTGCTTCGAGGCACCGGAGAGGGGACCGGGAACAGCCGCGCGAGCCTATAGCAAGGCGAAAAAACTTGTTAACGACGAGCTCAACAACAGCCAACGGATTCGAACCATTCTCAATATATTAGTATCCAGGGTGGAAGGCATATGAGCCTCGATCGAGCTCGGATTTGAGATGAAAATGGGACGACCTGGCAATGAACGACGATGAGATGGGATAAACTCACCGAAGCGATGCGGCCAGGGGCCGAGACGGCCGCAACGGAGCGGCTAGACTGCCGCAGAGCGTTCCTGAACATTATGAAGGGGGGTTCAGAGGGTGGGAGGATGGATTCTCTGAGAGAGAGATGTAATTGGGGAGAGGGAACGGAGAGGAGAGGAGGTTGTGGACGGGTGGGAAGGAGAGCTTTGTCGTCGGGGGGAGGATTGGATTCTCAGCACTTGCGCTAAGCCGCTTTAGACCACGGCCCTCCGAGTGGCCCCCGTGCCCGTCCACGCTGTTCTTTGCGGGCGCACGATGATTTCTCTCCTACATGCTACAGCAATATTTTATTTCTTATACTAGAAAAAGAATTATGGGGGAAAAATTTTTACTCTGGGAGTAGTGTTCTTTTCTATGGACAAAAGTCTCATGGTGTCCTCGGGTGAGGCGGGCCACCCCTTCCCGTTTTTTTCTCTTCGGATCCGCGGGTTCTTTGGTCAGGTGATCTGTGCTTACTTAATGCTTTTCGTCACGGCAACCGGCTCCGGGCAAAGCACAGTAAATACTCCATATACTCCACGACTCAGTCATGATTTGGCTTGGAACACAACACTCGCTATGGCAGACCATACAAACAGAGCATGAGCTCGATTTCACTCAAGAGGAGTCAAGAACCAAGAACAAACCATCTCATTGCAGTACTGATACCATAGTCCTGACACCCAGAGCGGAGAAAGCAGCCTTGGGGGGAGGGGCGAATAAATCCAAAGCGGATGATGATTCCACAAGCATGTAGCAACAATTTCCCTCGGCCTTCCCTGGTATACCAATTTATTTCTTGGCTTTCTGTTGCTTCCGGAACTTCTCAATCTCCAGCTCCACGTTCTTATCCAACCGCTGCTTGAGCTCTGGGCGATATCCAAAGAAAAAGAGAATCTCCATCCACACAAACAGCGGTGCCAAGAGGAACGCCTGCAAAAGGTTGTCGAGCAGGGCTGGAGCTCTCCCTTCGAAGGCGCCGTGTCCCACGAACTGTGCCAGCCACGACACGACGTGAATGCCTCCAGCGTAGTAGTTCACAATCGTCCCGTAGGTCCCGAGCAGATAGTTTCCATAGGCTGCAGACGCGATGACCAGAGGTGCGATCAGACCGCCTGCCACGGGCTCGAGGAGCACATAGAAGATGGCGTAGATGAACGCGCTGATTGTGCCGCCATTTGCGAGAAGGTATTGGTTCTGGAGAGCCTCGGGGAGAGTGAAGAGGGTTGGTAAGTTGCAGCCCTGGGGGGAGCAAGGTCAGTACAGTCATAAGAGGAGCAGGTCGAGGCTCGCATACAAGAATGATGCCCGTGAACAGCAAGGCCGGAACACAAGTAATATGGATCGCGACGTTCACCTATGCAGTTAGCAAAGCCAGTTCAACGCCATCCGGGAATGATATTGCCTACTGGGTTTTTATGGTAGACTCCATACTGTCCAGGTCTCCAGGTCAGTCATCTTCTCGTCGGGTAAGTCGGGGGCTAGAGGGGCTCACAAAAAGTAGCTGCTTTTCCAGGTTGAGGGCCATGCTGGTGGAGTCGAGGAACAGAGCTATCCAAAGTTTCAGGCTCAAGCTTAGTGATTTGAATAATCACAGAAGGACAGATATCATTGAAAAGAAGGTAATCCAAGGTCGTAGGAAGCGATCTCGCGTCATACGGGCCGAGCATGGGAGGTCTTGGCACCGGCTTACCTGGCAGGCCGGGGATTGGCTCGCTGTATACTTCAACACATTCGAAGGCACATTTACATGGATTAGAGAGTGTGTGATTGGAAGTCTTGCTTAAAGTCTTGCTTATTGAAGACATATTAATATCTATGGGTAACTTTGTTATTTACGTTAGTAGTGAATTAGTGAATTAGTGGGAAACCGATTAAGTCAAATATATATATTCCCCGTGGCTTTGGACAAGATGTGTATTTTCACAATCCCCAGAGCACAATGGACAGCAATTCAAATTGACTGGATTAGAGTCAAAGTACCACCTTCCTGACAGAAACCTACGTTTAATGTGGCTGTGAGGGTTTCTAGGAATTTGTTGTTTCTAGGCTATGCCACTGCCCGGGTATCCTCACAACACATTCGAGAAACAACACAACAGAGAGGAAAAAAGTTTATGCCCCAAAGGTGCTCTAAATTGCTTCTATAAAGTTTTGTGAATATACTTGAAAGATGCCTGGCTCTTATTATCCTGTCTTTTCGAGGATTGCTGCGGTTTCCAGCATGTTGACCAGTTGCACCAGACAAATGCCAGTGAAAAGCGCAGGTTTTTCTCCTCCCTAATAAAATGGCTCCATAGACTAATCCACCCCCAAGCCAGCTTTCTGGCTTTATCATTTGCAGTGCTATCGGCATCATTGAAGCGGACTAGATATGGCATACACCACGTGACCACGTGACTTGAACCTGGGCCGATGGAGGGACCTGGAGATGTCTTGCGCAGGTCCACTGAACCCTCCCAGCGACTGTGTCTACCCACTCTTTTTGACAGTGGATTCAATCTCTGCCACTGATCATCATTTTCTATCATCCAGTCTTCCCAGACCTCGTCTTCCTCTGTCCTGGCTCGACAGGTCATGAGCTAGCAGCTGACGCCGTCGCTTGAGCTCAATTGCCAACTTCCGACCTCGAATCAACCACGATAACTTGGTCACACCCTTGAAAAACTGCACACAGAGCGGGTCTTTCATCCCCAGAGAGCGACGCGCTTTCGCCGCGAGAGGCCACTGCGTTGATACCACCGGGCCGCTGAACTTCACCCGCAACACGAGCTCCGATTGAGCATTACCTCCAAAATGTTTTTCCTCAAGGAAGAGACCAAAATCATTTCGCTGCATCCGTCCTATTTTGGACCCAACATGCGCGAGTACCTCATCGCCCGACTCAACGAGGAAGAGGAAGGACGGTGCACTGGCGACCACTTTGTGATTTGCGTGATGGACATGGTTGACATTGGCGAGGGACGGGTGATGCCCTCCAGTGGACACGCAGAGTACACCATCAAGTACCGCGCGATTATTTGGAAGCCCTTCCGGGGCGAGACGGTATGCGCTCACACCTCAAGATGCTCGTTCATAAGATCCTCGGCTGACTCTGACTATCTTAGGTTGATGCCATTGTCACTTCGGTCAAGCCCACAGGAATCTTTACTCTGGCGGGTCCGTTGTCCGTCTTTATTGCGCGAAAGGTACGGAACAGCTTGCGCTGCTCTTGAGATCCACCACTAACGAGTCCCCAAGAACATTCCATCCGACATCAAGTGGGAGCCGAACACCGTGCCCCCGCAGTATACCGATCACGCAGATCAAGTGATTGAGAAAGGAACCAGTCTGCGCCTCAAGATCCTTGGTGTCAAGCCCGATGTGGCTGCCATCAACGCCATTGGCACGATCAAGGAGGACTATCTTGGGTAGGTGATCCCCTGCTACATTGCTCTTGAGACACAGACACTCACAAATTATCTTTCACAGACCATTGTAATGAGACATGAGCCACACCACACATACCTACGATTTCTACCGATACCCTAATACACAATGCAATTGATCGAAGCCGCGGCGAGTCGTTAGAGGGAGGAGACCGCCAAATAGAGGGAATTGGCCGGACAGATACTGGGAGAGACCTCCATTGGTTGCGGATGCCGTTGATTGTTCTCCTCATTGACACAAGAGCCGAGGGAAGCAAGGCCCGCTTGAGAGATACCATTTCGGCGTGGATCAGCCGTGGGGCATTTGCAATTCCGGCTACAACCATGACATTGTACAATATTGAAAAAATCGCAACCAATTATCTGAATGATCCAGCAACCTTGGAAAGCAAGCAATTGCCTGGGAGTTTTCCTGAGAGTATGTTGATATGTTGAGCTCTCTGGGCATTCAGTTGCCCGAGAGACGGCTAACAAGCGTGGGCTCTGCTGGGGCTCTCTCCCGCTGGTGTGAAACACTGGCGTGTTTCTGTGGTCCCCGTGCGCGTTGTTTTTTTCCCCTCTAAAGACTCGTACCCGGTACCGCTGGTCCACGGAGGATCCTCGTATGCAATGGTGGTACCCGGTACCTGGTCGCGTAGCTGCAGGGCAAACATTGCTCCTTTCTCTGTAGTTCATCCGACACAGTATCTCTCTATCTCTCTCTGTCTCTCTCCCCCTTCCATATTTGCTCTCTAATTTCAGTTTCAAGTCTGGGCTTTGTTTCTCTTTCTCTGCCCTTCTTCTTCCCCCCTAACTTGAAAATACATTCCCTGGTTTTGCTCCAATCTCCCGTTCTCCTTGCATTGCACCGGAACGGTTGGCAACCATGACCTATCTCAAGGACGTTTACCAAAGGTTCCTGGCTAACCCCAGGTCTGCCTCGTTGGCCGCCGATGTGTCCTTGATCTATGTGCCCTCCACCATCCAGATCGACAAGCCCGATGCCGTGGTCCAGCACCTGTCGCGACAAGCAAGCATAGTCAAGAAGAAGTCGGAGCAGATCATCAGCGCCATTGAGGGATCCGACTCTCTGTGTCTGGATATTGAGACGACGCTGGAGTTCATTGATGGCGGCGGGGCCTATCTCCCCTCGCTCGATGATAATTTCCTGGCCGACCGCGTCGTGACCATCCCCACGGTAAATTCCCCGAGATCGCTGGGAACCCGATCGAGTGGTTATCTAATGCAGTTCTTCCCCCTTCCTGCAGGTACACGTTGTTCACTACAATGCCGACAACCAGATCCAGCAGGTCCGCCTCTACTGGGACCAGGCCTCTTTGCTCAAAGAAGTCGAGGTGATCGGCGCACGTGGCCGCAACTGGCCCATTCGCGAAGCTAAAGAGCAGACTCGTCTGATCAAGGCTGCCGCCGCGGCGAAGGCCGCTCCTCCGCAATTGGCCCCGTCGCAGGATGGCAGCCGTGACCTCCCCCAACGACCTGCCTCCCCCGGCAAGAGACACATCAAGGACCCGTACGCGGCCGACTCCCTGTTCGACCTCATTTCGCCCAGCAAACAGGATGCCGAGCCCGTTCGCCCGGCCTCTCCGGGCAAGAGACACACCAGAGACCCCTACGCGGCCGAGTCCCTGACCGAGCTTCTGTCGCCCAGCAAGGAGAGCTCAGAACCCGTGCGCCCCTATGCGCCCAGCGTCGCCAAGCCGCCCCAACGTGACCTCAGCGAACTATTCGTCGGCGATGGAGAAAATGAAGTTCCCGACTCACCGTCGAAGCCACCGCGCACAGGGGCCCCCAAGGCAGGCGCGGGCCGAGCCAACCCCAACCGCATCTTCGGGGCCAACGAGCCAGACGAAGACGAAGAGCGGTCCAAGTACAAGACGGACCCGAAGAAGTTCAGCCACTTCGAGATCGGCGGCGACAACGACGAGCGTGAGTTGAAGGAGGAACCCAAGCGGGGCAAGTCGCGGCACCAGTCGCAGTGGGACTTTGACGACTTCGTGACGCCGCAGAAGCAGCAGCGGCTGGTCCGCCGCGACGAAGTGCGCCACTTTGACTGGAGCGATGGCGAGGGCGAAACAGCCGAGACGCCGCCGGCCAGACCGGCTGTGCACCACCCGCGACGCGATGCCGAGGTGCACTTCGAAATGAGCGAGGACAACCAGGACGACGACGACGGCCGCATTATCAGCTCGTACAAGAACCGCGGCCAGGCCTTGTACCAGAACCGGTTGTTCGACGAGAACGGTGAGGCCGTGCCCAGCACCGTCGAGAAGAAGCACGAGCCTCTGTCGATTGTCGGCAATGCCGCCAACCGCAAGAAGAACTTCGACTCCCACTGGGAAATGACCGATGACATGACCGAGCCGAGCAAATCCGATGCCGAGAACTCCAAGGCTGTTCCCACGGACCGCATCAAGGCTGTCAAGATGATGGAGTCGTCTTGGGACAACTACGACCAGTCCCCTGAGCCTGTCCGCACTGCTACGCACCTCCGGAACCCGCGTCGTCATAACCAGCCGAGCTGGACGTTTGGCGACGAGGAGTAAACAGCGCGATATACATCCACCCGTGCAACGAAACAACAACAAAAAAATGAACCAAAAACAACAAATTCCCCACGGCTCGCTCAGCCATATGTTCCTTCTACGACCATGCACGGCCGACTGACCTGATCACGAGCAATGTGTATCGATACCCGCATGAATCAGGACTTATGTACCAACAGCCTCGAAATCTGTCTTTCTCTTGTCTGCTTGTACGAGTCCTGGCTTTAATGTCTGCCTCATTAATTTTCTTTTCTGTTTTTTTTTTTTTCGCTGGTCTCTTTTATGTCTCTGTCGAGTACGCCTACGCTGGTGGTTTTATTTCTTTGTATGTTGCTTGTAACTACCGAGGTAGTTTCTGTGTGTTTTACTTTTACTACGAAGAGAAGAAAAAAACATAGTCCAGAATTCAATTCTCAAATGACTTGTTGCTCTGTCCTTGCTTGATGACAGCGAGCTCCCTCGTAGATGGTCTCAAGATTGATCTGAACACTCAAGGCCTTTCATCAAAGCAAGTCCAAGCACGGCACAGCAACAGATACAGATAGCCACCCCTCCATCATACCATATCTCACCAGGCAATTTTGTTCAGGAAAAAAAAAAACAAAACAAAACAAAACAAAACAAAACAACAGCAACTCCCCTTCCAACTTGCCAGCCGCCCCAACAGCCAACTCGATTTGGTACAAGTCCCAAGGGCAATTGAGGGAATCGCAGGAGAGAACCATGTGCCTTCGATCCAAAGCGAACCCGAGGCAAAGATCACCCGCAAGAACTGTCAGATTGATTGCCCTTAGATGTAGAACATCGAGTCGCGCACGTTAGGGTGGATTTCCACATCGCTGCTGTTCGCCGCAGCCGATGCGTCCCCGGCACTACCAACGACACTCCCAGCCGGAGTAGCCGCAGGGGTAGGGTCGAAGAAGCCGCTAAGATAGCAGCGGGCGCGAGTGCAGACAAGGTCAGCGTAGTACGCAGGCGGACACACGCTAACAGCCTTAGTAGCGCGACCGAATAGATAGCACAGTTTGTGAGTGAGATCCTGCAGGACGTCCGCGGCTCCGGGGACACCGGCGGAGCCCGGGTAGCGCGGGTGGAAGATCTCGTCCCAGACAGTGAAATAGTGCGCGGGGCGGGCGGTGCCCTGCATAGCGGCGTGGGCTTGCAGGAAGAAGTCCCAGTGGCGGGCCTCGGAGATACCGCGGTCGACGACGGTGCCGGGGGACGGGTTGGCGGAGCGGTCGGAGTCGGCGTCGCGCGTTGGGTAGAAGCGCGTGTTGTGGCGCTTACCGACTACCACGATTGCGAGATGTGGCAGCCCGCGCGCTGTGTCCTTGGCTGGGTAAAGGGCGGCGCAGGCGCTCTTGAGCTGTGGCAGCTCGCGGTCGAGCACGATGTCGTACTGGCCTTCGGAGACGCCGTCGCGGTATACGACGATATTCTCGGGGAAGCGGTTCTCGTTGCATCGTGCCCAGTGTTGCAGCCGTGAGCGTAGCAGTGTGTCTAGGTCTGCTACCATCTCCTGGCGCGCTGTCTGGATACGGATCTCTGCAGGCCACTGCGCCAGCGACGAATCGACCGAGGCTACGACACCCGCTACGCTGGGAGCCGAGCTCGACGATCCGGGCGAAGGGTGCGTGACGTCGATACCAACAAGCATAGTGCGACCCTCAGAGATAAAAGAAAGGTCAGAGGTGTTAAGAGATTGGTTCACCCCGCCAAGCTTTAGGTTGATCTTAAGCCCGACGTTCGCACAGTACTGGTCGTTAGCGCCCCTAAACTTCTCAGCGAGCACGTTGACATTACGTACGCCACACCGGACGTCGCAGACCTGCTTAATGCAGTTGTACAGCGCTATGTCTTTGCCGTAGAGGATTCCAAGAATAAGCGAGGGCTGGTGCTTTTCTTGCAGGTTACGCACTGCCGACTCAATTGCGGCTGCGTCATTGTTGCCCGTCAGCTGGATTCGCGTGCCGGGCTTGCTGGAATCGGCTGCGATACCGAGGTCACGTAAGTTATTTGTGAGCTCCATCAGAGATTCATTGAGCGCGTTTGGACTTGGCCACAAGTTACGCGCCCCGGGAGCATCGATGTACAACCAGGTCCAGGACTTCATAGTCACAGGCCTCGTGAACCGAATCTGGCGCATGCTCCAGCTACCGAACATGGCAATAACGGCCTTCTGGGCCAACTTCGTGTCCTTGTAATAGATCTTGGGAGCGCCCAAAACCCTTCCGTGCACGGTGATCAGCTCAGTCGATGGCTGGACCCCAAAAGTTGACTAAAGGACCTGGGTTAGCAAATTGATCGACTTATTTAGCGGATTCCTCTTAGTTACCAGAGTCTTATTCAACGGCTCTCCCAGGCCCAGTAAGTCCACACCCTTAGTCACAATCGATTGCGCGTTCTCGGCTGGCTTTCGACCTCTCACAGCAAATGCGAGCATGTTTGCCGTCTGGCTTGCGTTGAGCTTGGTACCGACTGGCTGGCCTGCCTCCACCTCACAGACCTCCACGGGCAGATAAACAGGCTTCTCGCGAGTTCCAACGTTGACCACTGGCATATTGGGGTCCAGCGCTCTATTGTATTCTGTACCAGTAGTTAGATGTTGTTAATTTGATAGTTGATAGTTAATAATTAATACCGGGCCGGGATAACTAACCAGTCTTGAAGAATTCCTCCACGCTGATATAGCGGCCGGCTTGGGGCGGGCCTGCTTTGGGAGGAGCTTTCTTCCCCTTCTTCCCCTTCTTCCCCTTTGATTCCGTACCCTGTGCAGGCTGGGATTCGGGAGCAGCCTTAAAGAACTGCACGTCACGCGGCCCAGCACCATGGCGCGTAATCTTGGGCGGGTTGGGGGATGAAGCACCATCGGCACGGGTAGCCAGACTTGCGATGGCCTTCACACGGGGTCGAGGCTTGCCACTGCTAGTCTTTCGAGTGATATGCGTGATACGAACTCGTAGACGTTTGAGGAAGGCCTCGAGACGGTAGATGTTTCGGGTATTCTCGCGTTGGAACTCGCCAATCACCATAGCCAGCGGCCCTTCTTGGTAACAAGCAAGGTATTTAACCTGTATATTCAGCAGAACACGGGCTGTGGCGGCACGCGCACTGATAAAGAAGCCACGGAGTACTTCCAGACCGGCACCTAAGCTACCGCGGTCAATAGAGCCCGGGTGGAGACCGTAGTGTTTGTTCGCGCCGACTGAGACGACTGAACTATCGGTCTTAGGGTAGTGACCCATAAGCAAGTTCAGGATATGCACAATCTCAGCCTTTGACTCCAGCATCGCTCCAGCCTTAGTGGAGGTTAGGTAGTTCACCAAATCAGCCGGGTCGAGCTGTCCCGTGTACTGGCAGGTTACTTGATACACTTTGGGGTTCTCAGGGTAGTCGCCTTCAATGTCGTCCTTGTATCGCACGTCGTATTGCTCGGTTTGGGGCAGCTCGGTGCATGAGATAATCGTCGAGCGATAGTCTGTCGCGATGCCAGCTTTTTGCTGCAAGAAGTGCTCTTCGAGTAAAAGGCGAACAATCTGACGGGCCTTCTTACCGACCGGCTGGCGGCCCCCTGCATCGGCCGCGATATCCACATGGTATCGAAACAGTGACTTGCTGGACACCTCTAGTGGCAAGTAGTTCGCATACAGCGTCACAGGCTTGCCAGCTTCCCCGTAGCCTGGTCGCTGGGGATATCGAGCTTGACTAGGCGTCTTCTGGCGCTCGACGGCCAAGGTCTTAGCCACAGCATTCTCAGTCTTCTCGACCCGTGCATCAGGAGCTGGAATCGATTGTCCATCCCTAGAAATACAATAGTTAGAACAGATATCATCGAATTCCCCACGAAAGACAGACCTAAAAATGCGTGGACCTTGATCTCCACGTCCTCCACGGAAACCACCGCGACCGCCTCGGCCACTGAATTCTCCTCTGCCGCGACCTCTGAAGTCTCCACAGCCTTGGTCCCCACGGCCTCGGTCTCCACGGCCACGGTCTCCACGGCCACGGAAATCCCCTCGGTCGGCTGACGGGCGGAACGGCAGATCGAGGCCATCACCTCTTCCCCGACCCCGACCGCCTCGGTCCCCAAACCCACGTCCCCGATCACCTCGTCCCCGATCACCACGACCACGACCACGTGAGTTATCAGCCATGTTGTGCGGAAGAATGAAATCACGTGGAAAGAGGTCTGCCTCAATAAACAGGCGAGCAGAACCAAACTCACAAAGAGAGGAGGGGGGAAACTGGAGCTTAATAAGGTAGCCCCGACACCACATCGTGTTCATCAATCCCCAAACCTGTGCAGGTAGATCCTCCAGCTTTTTGTTTGCTGGATTGGCGCAGTTTCTAGTCTTTTTTTTCTTTATTTTTCAATTGGTGCAGGCTACTAGGACAGGGATATTGTTACGCCAGCTGTATCTTTTTTGTAGATCATGAACAGGGGACCCTATCTATGTATGCATAGTGCTCGTTGGTTGTTGGGCTATTGTTGGTGTCGGGGATACGCGGTGTGGGTGTGAAGGGGCAGTTCTACATAACAGCGTTGGATTGAATAAATAATACTAACAGTTTACTTGCAGTAAATAGCATGAAAGGGATTTTCAGCTCTGCTGCAGCTATGACTCACTCATCCTTGCATTCTAAGGTGGTCTTCTTAACTTGGAAATACCTTTGAGAGCCTATAAGCAACACCATGCTATAGAATAAAATAGTTATAGGAAGATAAAAGTAGAATATAGGTATTTTCTTGTATATTTGATAGTTGATAGTTGATAGTTGATATTTAATACTAATATCTTGCATTTATTTAATATCTAAGAACCACTGAAGGCCTAAGAGTCTGCTCATATTGCCTAGCTATTGCTACAAGATATTTATGGATAGAATAGAAGAAAAAGACTCCTCTATATTTATTCTAGTACACTTATATCTAGAAATAAAGATATAGACATGGATATTGAAGACAGACGTGGTGAGATCATCCATGGCGATAAGCCCGAAACGGAGATAATGGATTAATCATCCTCTGGCGCCAATCCATCCAGATGGATTATCCTGCTCTCAGATCTTTCTCTCTGACTTGCTTTCTTTAAAGATCTGACCTTTGACGCAGTGGAGCTTGAATCGCCTTGAGTCCCATTGTTCAGCTTTGCTCGCCATTTTTCCCCCGACCGCGCGCTCCTTCGAGGAGGCAACATCCCAGATCCCGCCCCTCTTCCGGTCATCATAAGCTTCGCCCGTGCATCTCCATCGCATTGGACCGAGATCCAGTCTACTCGCATCGGCAACTCGACAGGTGTTGGCGACTGTTGCGAATTCCCGCCCGCAAACACTCATCGTTCTTCGCACTGGTTTCAGCGATCTGACAACTCGAAAGAATTGCCAGCGATTGGATCTGTGCGCCCCTTTGCGTACGCGACTGTGATCTGGGAGAGGAAGAAAACCCTCATTTGGTTTCCACACAAATTTCTCTGACTGTGGGCTCGCAACCAGGCTGAGAAGCCGTTTGGGACGAGCTCACGGAGGAACGCTCGACTGCAACTTCGCCTTTGATAGTGGACCTACTGTCGTGTGGTCAGCATTTGTTTCTCAGATTTCGCTCGGCACGCCTTACGAATTTCCGTGGTCGGTTGACTTGACGGCCCAAGCGAATCCCCCTCGCATTTCCATCATGACTCCGACTCCTCCCTCCACAACCTCCTCCAGCGCCGGCACCTATTCCCCAGAGGGCCAGTTTAGGGTGATCAGGAAACGGAATCGGGTGCCACTGTCGTGTGCACCGTGCCGCAACAGAAAGTAAGTGTCCGAAGCAGACCCCCGAAGTTCTCGATCGATTCTGACGGTCTTTGTAGACTGAAATGCAATCGTTCTCACCCCTGTGAGAACTGTGTCAAACGCGGCGATGCCGCTTCCTGTACCTATGCGCAAGCGAACGCGCGGAAGAAGAACTCGCCCCAGCAGACCTCGCCCAACTCCCCAGACGACATGCAGAATCGGATCGATCGCTTGGAAGGGTTGGTTCTATCCTTGATGACCAATGGATCCCAGTCGGCCGGTCCTGCCGCTGCACTAGCGGCCATCTCGGCGGACGGTAGCGCAGGATCGACGGGGCTTCCCCATGACATCGAAATCGACGAGGAGGGCCCAAATGCCGAAGAGAGTGACACGGAGCAGGTGACCAAGTCATTCGGGATCATGAAGGTGGACAACAACAAGTCCTACTATGTTAGCGAAGCCCACTGGGCGTCCGTGCTAAACGATGTAAGTGTTTTGTTGGGTGCTGGGCTAGATATAGGGATTGCAGCTGACTGTGTCTGAATAGATCTCGGAGGTGCGAACTTTCTTTCATACACACAAGAAGCAGCTCGAAGAACAGGCGGAGAAGGTCAAGGCAACCCGGCCGCCTACCGATGTTCCGGAGTCAGCGTTGCTATTTGGTTCTTCAAAGTCGCTCAGCCGGCCCGAGATTATAGCTTCCTTACCATCCAAGTATACGACTGATCTTCTGGTGGCTCGCTACTTCAATAGCTATGATCCAGCGACCCGTAAGTGCTACACATGCCCGGAGCTCTATCGCATTCATTCTGACTGTGTCTACAGATATTCTCCATGGCCCTACATTCCAAGCACAGGTAAGTTTGGGAGGCCGTATATTCTGGCCGATAAATCTGGAGACTAATTGGTACAGTACAACAAACACTGGGAAGACCCCTCTCAGACAGAGCTCGTCTGGATCGCAATGCTGTTTGGCATGATGAGATTGGCCATGTTGTCCTATCACCGTGAAAGTGACGAGCCTCCCGAATTCCGAGGAAAAGCCATGGACATGGCCGGGTCGTTTCGAAATTCGGTAGCGCAGTGCTTAACCCTGGCCGATTATACAAAGCCCCATCCCTATCTGATTGAAGCGCTCGTGTTCCACCTACATGGCGATTTCTCCCAGAACAGGGAAGCAGATATCTCAGTCTGGGTCCTGACGGGCGTAATTGTTCGTCTAGCGATGCGGATGGGGTACCACCGTGACTCCAAGATGTTCCCCAACATCACCCCGTTCCAGGGTGAGATGCGTCGACGAGTGTGGTCTTTTGTCCGCCAGGCCGACCTCTTGTTCTCATTCCAGGTCGGACTGCCCTGCATGATCCGCAGCACCGATAGCGATACGGAGCTACCGCGAAACTTGTATGATGACGATTTCGATGAGGATTGCAAAGAACTACCGCCACCGCGTCCGCTCAATGAGCCGACACCGATCTCGTACCTGATCACCAAGGCGCGCCTATCATGCGGCTTTGGCCGCGTCAACGAGCAAACTTCATCTGTTGCATCCAGCTCCTACGATAAAGTGATGGAGATCGATGCGGAACTTCGCCGGTCACGGGATATGGTCCCTGATCACCTACAAATACGACCGATAGAGGAGTGTCAACTGGACCCCTCCAATCTCATTATGTCTCGGTTTGCCGTAAATATTCCCTCAAGACTTCCCAATATTGAAACCATGTATATTGACTGTTGCCAGGTAATGACTGTATACCACAAAGCACAATGCGTGCTTCATCGGCCGTATGTTGTTCGTGCTCGGGAGAATCCCCGGTTCACTTACTCGCGCCGCACATGTATCGATTCGGCCATGGAACTTTTGGAGTTCCAGGCGATTCTCCACGCCGAGACGCAAGGCGGGCGCTTGCGCAGCCGCCAGAGCCGGGTCACTTCGCTGAGTGCGGCTGATTTCCTGCTTGCCGCTACCATTCTCTGTCTCGACTTATACCACGGACTCCAGCTGCAAGCATCCGGGCGACCATCGGGCGATACCTACACCTGGGGTCGTGAGCGGCGAGACGAGATGATGGCGGCCATTCGACGCTCAAAGGGTATTTGGGATGAACTGCGCGATGAGACCATGGAGGCGTGGAAGGGGTCGAGCATTCTTGGCGTGATGCTCGGCAAGCTCCATAGCACGATCCCTGGGGCTGAGACTAACGCCGGGTCCACTATGTTTGAGCCACAAGACGAGAAGCGAAACGCAGCGATGACACTTGGTCTGCTCAGCAGCGGGATGAGCCCGATGAATCCGGGTCCTCCTCCATTTACCGATCCAATGCTGAAGATGGCGGACTCGCCAGTGGGAACAGGCGGCGTGGGCACTTCGGCTGAAATGCCGGGGGCTCTTTCGCCGTTTAGCAGCATGTTTGGGCAGATGCCGGACTTGCAGGTCAACCTGGACTGGGTAAGTTGCCGGTTGAATCTTTGGTGAGATATCTCAGTGCTTACACTCTTTTCGTACTAGGACGCGTGGGATACATACATTCAAAACCCAACCCTCGACCCCTCGAATCAGTTTTGGCCCATGGTGGACTCGCAACGGCAACCCACTCCACATTCCTTGGGCTTGTCACAGCCTGCGGCCTCGAGTCCGCTGGCTACGGCGCAACTGCCACCAGTGTCTAATGGTGTGCCCGATAGCAATTGCGGTAACACACAATTGCCAAACATGTTTTCGCCACCGTCTAGCAGTCCCGATAGTGGTGCATCGACCATGCCCGGGTTTGGTGTGGCCTCAATGCCTCCACCAGGAGGTACTAGCCGGAGCCAAGCTGGGCTTTAATGAAGGCGAATCAGTATGATCAGTAGGATCAGTATTGGTCAGTATATCTTTTATTTTTAGCCTCCTTTGCAGGACTTTCTTTTGCCGAATCTGGGATTGGTGTCTGGAATGGGATGAATTCAGGGCGATTACAGATAGGGATCACTGCGGGTTTATGAAGACCAGATATATACCGGTGTGTGATTTTATGTATGGCCGGAGGACTGCACGGGCATGAAAAGTATTGCTCTGGGGGAGGATCCTATCGGCGCATTTTGCAGGCTGTATCATATTTCGAGGTTGCAATATTTGGACTCCGCTCTACGTTATTTGAAGACACAATTTGAATGTTGTATTGTCTTTTCTTTGCACATTTACCAGAGAATCATGTCAATCCCCGGGGTGTACTGTCCGCAGCCCCACAAGTGGACCCGGGCACACATCCATATCACGTGATTACAGATAGCGCAAGTTTTCCATCGAGTGAATCTGGCGTCATGAACTGGCACAAGTCACCATTCGCGAACTCTTGCACTCGCAGCATCGTGTCTGGTGCTAATCCAACCATATAAAAATGTGAGACAAGCCTTGCTCTGCTTTCCTGCGTCTAATCCGCCCCTCTCTTTGCATTTCGAGCGAGAGGGTTGATTTTAGATCGTCGCTAACTTTTCCACCTCTATAGGCATTGTATCCGCAGAGCCTCATCTCGGCTTCTCGCCTCATCCTCATCCTTCTCCACCACTGCATTTGTGTCTAACACGGCATCACGGTCACGATGGGCTGTTCCGACCCCGTCCATCTCCGCCATCTCCGCCTCGACGCGCTCTTCACACCCGTCAATCTTCCAGGCGCGGTGGAACTCTTCCTCGTCGGATGTGCCACCAGCACCGCAGGAAAGCGAAGCAGAGAATGTGTCGCCAGAGGAAGAAATGTCCATGGAAGAGCGGGCTGAAGCGCACAGGCGCAAGCAGCGGCTGGCGAAATTCTCCGACACCCCCTCGGCCAAGGAGACGGTTTATGTGGGCAATTTGTTCTTTGACATGCCCGCTGAATCTCTGAGAAAGCATATGGAGAAGTTTGGAACGGTGATAGCTGCGATTATTGTTCATGACAATCGCGGGATGAGCAAAGGGTGAGTTTGGGAAAGAAAAACAGAAAAGAAGGAAAGTAAGAAATAAGGCTAATCACTCTCCTGAATTGGCAGATTCGGCTACGTCCAATTCAGCAACGTCGAGGGAGCCACCAAGGCCATCGAGCAGCAACATCGCCAGGTTATGGATGGCCGCCAAGTCGTGGTGGCATACGCCAAAAGTCGAGTCTTGGCCCCGCAAGACATGTTCCCGCCGTCCGACTGCCTGTACGTCGGCGGAATCCCCTACGAGTTCACCGACCGTGACCTGCAGGATCTGTTCAAGGGCATCTACAACGTCACCGACATCCGCGTCCCCGTCGATCGTCGCACCGGCTTGCCACGTGGATTCGCGCATCTTGATTTCTTGGATATCGAAAGCGCCACCCGGGCCAAGGCCGTTTTGGCGAGGAAGACCCCCATAACCGCAAGCTGAGGATAACCTATGCGGAGCGCAAGATGCGGAGGAGTGCTTCACAGAACCAAGACCAGCCGCAGGAGTAGTGGGTCCTCCTTCCAAAACACAGAATGTACTATAATATGCCGATTCAATTCCACTGTACTTTACTTTTGAATTTAATGACCCACTGCAATAAGAACGCTTCGGCATAACTATAGACCCACGTGACCTCCAGGGAACCTCGGCTGGCGGAAAGAGCCATTAGTGAGCCAACCCCACGTTGGATTGAGAGGCCGGGGGACTTGCGCTGGACAACTTTCCTTTCTATCTTTGTCCAGTATTACTTCTGGGGATTGATTGTTTTTCTTTGTGTCTGACTCCAGCTTGATACACCGTCACCATGTCGTTCCTCGGTGGCGCGGAATGCTCCACGGCGGGAAACCCTCTGACGCAATTCACCAAGCACGTTCAAGATGACAAGTCCCTGCAGCGCGACCGGCTGGTCGGCCGAGGCCCTAGTATGCAAGAAGGCATACGGTCACCAGGCATGATGGGCGGACAAGACCAGGTAAGTGTTGATAGGGGAAAAAAGGAATTCAAATCATTCTTCGTGATATGAGATCTAACGAAAGGTCGGCGGGGAACCGCCACTCACCAGATGATGGACGATTTCATGCAGCAACCAGGCCAACAAATACCGGGAGGACCGTCGCCACAGCCCTTTGCGATGGAGCATATGCGACGCGAGCTGGAGAATTTCCAGCCGGCACAGGCTCGCGCAGGCTCGCCCGGGTGGGCGGCCGAGTTCGACCCGGGCGAGCAGGCCCGTATGGAGGCGGCATTCCCCGGGGCACAGCAGCAGGGGGGCATGATGAACAACAAGTCTGGGTTTACGCCGGCGGAGTTTGCGCGGTTCCAGCAGCAGAGCCGCATGGGCATGCCGCAGACGTCGAGTCCCGCCACCTCGGCAACTCCGCCCCAGATGGCGGGGTATCAACGGCCAATGGGGATGGGCGGCTACATGGGAGGAATGGGCGGTATGGGGATGATGCGGCCGATGGGTATGGGCGGGCCGATGGGTATGCAGCAGGAGCCTGCGGAGCAGACCACGCAAGATAAGGGCAAGGGTCGGATGGTGGAGCTGGACGATGAGAACTGGGAGGCGCAGTTTGCCGAGATGGAGACGGCCGGGAACGAGACCCGGACGGATGATGAGGCCAACGCCGCTATGGAAGCCGAGCTGAACGAGCTGGACAGGTCAGTGCCCACCTCCAATGACGCCTTTGAGTCCGTGTGGCAGCGGGTCCAGGCTGAGACGGCAGCAAGCAGGAAATTGGCCGAGGGTGACGGCGAGTTCGAGGTTACCGATAGCTTGCACGTCGGTGATCTCGGTGACTGGGAGGGCTTTGATAGTCTCAACACCCGGTTCCGCGACCCGCAGCTCGGCGATTATATGTTTGAAGAGGACAATGTCTATCAGTCTGTGGGTAATCCGTTTGAGGAGGGTGTCAAGATCATGCGTGATGGTGGGAATTTGTCGCTGGCTGCACTGGCTTTTGAGGCCGCCGTCCAGAAGGACCCGCAACATGTGCAGGCCTGGACCATGCTGGGCTCTGCGCAGGCGCAGAACGAAAAAGAGCTGCCGGCCATCCGCGCCCTGGAGCAGGCGCTGAAGGTCGACCCGGGGAACTTGGATGCCTTGATGGGGCTGGCCGTCTCATACACGAACGAGGGCTACGACTCAACGGCCTACCGAACGCTGGAGCGCTGGCTGTCGAACAAGTACCCGCAGATCATCGACCCGAAGGAAGTGTCGGGCGACGCAGATCTCGGGTTCACAGATCGCCAGCTGCTGCATAATCGTGTGACAGAGCTGTTTATCAAAGCCGCCCAGCTGTCCCCGTCCGGAGCCCAAATGGACCCAGATGTACAAGTGGGCCTGGGCGTGCTTTTCTACTGCGCCGAGGAGTACGAAAAGGCAGTAGACTGCTTCTCCGCAGCCCTAGCATCCACCGAGTCCGGCACCACCAACCAACAAGAGCAGCTGCATTTACTCTGGAACCGGCTGGGCGCCACGCTCGCCAACTCGGGCCGCTCCGAGGAAGCCATCGAGGCATACGAGCAAGCCCTAACCATCAACCCCAACTTTGTGCGCGCCCGCTACAACCTCGGCGTGTCCTGTATTAATATTGGCTGCTACCCCGAGGCTGCTCAACATCTGCTGGGTGCCTTGTCCATGCACCGCGTCGTCGAGCAAGAGGGCCGCGAGCGGGCCCGCGAGATTATCGGCGGCGGCGATGCGCCAGACGGGCTGGACGACGAGCGTCTCGAGCGTATGCTGCATATCAGCCAGAACCAGAGCACGAATCTGTACGATACGTTGCGGCGCGTCTTTAGTCAGATGGGCCGTCGCGATCTGGCGGATCAGGTTGTTGCTGGGATGGATGTGAATATCTTCCGCAAGGAATTTGAATTCTAGTTCGGCGAAGTTTGGGTTTGATTTGGTCTCCTTTTATTTTATTTTCTTGTCTATTTCTCGCCATCTATGAAGTGCCGGCAGGGTCTGGCTGCATTGTATCTACAGGACATCGCTTGAATAGATCTCCATCTCATGGTCTTATTCCAGAGCCTACATACTCTGCTTTCACCTTCGTAGCCACCACAGCCTTCTCTTCGTCAAACCGCGCGCCCCATGATCTGCAGATAAGCAGACATACCATGACACGATACATAAGCTCGATATCACCTGGTGGAGATCCACACACACTGCAAGTCATTCAACATACCCCACACCACCCTTTCCTCCACTCGTCTATCTAATTCTTCCTCTTTTGCCCAGATGCCTCAATGGATCCATCTCCCTGATTGTGGAGGCGTATCGAAGCAGAGTGTTAGGGGGGGGGGAGCCGCGGCCTCCTACTGTAATATAGTAGATGTAGCAAAAAAAAAAAAAAAAACAAAACAAGGACTTGAGGCCGCGTTTACGCAGCCCCTCCTGCTTCTTTAGCGCTTTACCTCGATCGAAATAACTGGGGCAAAGGATATGCACGGAACGAAAGAGAACTCCGGGGCGGGAGGTGAGGGCTCGAATCCGGATGGCTTTTGATGAGACTTTGATCCTGTCTAGAGTTCGCTAGGTTGGAATGATACCAGGTAGAACAACTGTCTGGAACAGGTAGCTCTTAGCCTCGGAGATTTGAAGGTGTCAACCCTAGAAAATCACCGTAAAGTCCTTTATAGCGTCTTGGTATCTTGGCAGAAGGTTCTAAGTGATATGGGCCAATATTTCCTTTAGAATGAGATATGCTTCGATAAAACAAGCATACAATATCTTCGACAGTGGAAGAAGGATAAAAAAAGAGAAAAAGACGCAGAATAATGAGATGCTTTGTAGTTAGCAGGATGGATGTAGCTATTTTAGTTGCCCGGTAGTATATTCAACTCAACAACTTTTGCAGCTCAGCGAGCACCAGCTCCGGCCATTACTAGGCTGATGTGGAGACCAAAGATTGGATTGATAATTTGCTGCTTGTTTGATACATTATTATTATTATTATTATTATTATTATTATTTCCCCTTCGGCTTCCTAGAAAACCTCCTGTATCGATTTGTCTACTTTGCAAGATAGCTGTTTGCTATTGTTGAAAGAGAGTAACTAGACTTCAAAATACCTTCAAAGGCTTATACCAGCTTGCCTCCTCCCCGTTTTGTTGACCGCCTCTCCCACTATATTTATATAGAGACCTCCATTGCTGCTTTTCTTCTTCCTCTCTGTCACCCCAGTCTAGTCATCCTTTCGTTTATAGCTTACCCCAACCTCAAACCCCGTTGTTCGCAATATATGTCCAACGTACCTCTTAAAACAGCCTCCTCTGTTTCTTCGTCTGTTGGATAACTTAATTCACCCACTCTTCCTTCATCATAGCATTCCTTTGATCTCACCGTTAGGGCCTTATCTCGGTCCTTGAGATTGGCAAGTGGACTATTCCATGTCTCTACGACTAATATACTAAAGCTATTATAGATGTGCTGAAGCCTAGCATCGTGAATCCTGTACTTGACTCACCATGCGATGTGCAAGCTAGTCATCCTACAGGGAATGTAGCTAGGCGAAAACGACCGGCCGCGATCTGGAGTTATATACCATATCTCTCGTAAATGCACGCCAAAATACACACCCAGGTGGACAAGAAACAAATTATTCAAGAGATCCATCATCGAGGAATTCCAAAAAAGAAAGGCATTGTCAGAAACAAGAACTTGATCCTCCAACACAGAGAAGGAGCAAGTGCCAGAAACCGATTTCAATGAGTACCTTTATCGGCTTCAGTGTGAAGGAGGGTGTTTGAATCTGACTCTTTGTTTCCCGAAGACCAATCTCTGATCTTGGTACTAGATGAGCATCAATAGCAAATCCTCAACGACCACCATCTCATGTTCAACGGAACAACACAACCGAAAAACAATTGGCGTTGGAGATCTCCAAGCTGGCACTTGACCTGGTGGCGACCAACTGGAATATCCTGGAATATGAGACATGGCCAGCTCTGCGACGCACAAGTGGATATACATGGACCAGCAATACACAACACCATTGGGGATGCTATCTTCCTGAGATACCTTGAGAAGGAGAAGGCCCATCTGAAACTGCAGTTGCAACCAAAAAAGGCCCCGAAAGACATCACAGCAAATAACAGATTACCCAGATGTTTCCAAGAGGAATCAGTCTGTTCGGTCAGAAGAGGGCATTTTATAAAGTGGCTACCAACATCGAAAGAGGGTCAAGAGCAACAAAGCCTTCTTTTCCATGCGTTCTCTCCTCTTCCTCGACGCTACATGGCTCCTCCTGCACTTCGCAGATCACCGCGCGGACTTGAAAGTTGGCTCTTGGAGAGTGATCAGCAATGCTCAAGGGACCACAACTACCAGGGCTTGCCATTCCCTGACCAGGGGTCGTCTCGCTGTGATCCTATCTTCCAAGTATAGTATATCAACAAAGAGAACCTTCAAGAATGCGGCAAATGGATATCTCAACAAGCTTTCGACCAACAATAGAAAAGCCGACTTCCTTTCACATATTCTCACATATCTGTGAGCCAAATGATATGAAAAGAGCCTGGTGGGGAATCTTGGTGATGGAAATCATGACTCCTCTGTGCACAGCTTTGAATTCGACTACGGCACCGTCTTGTTGCCGGCTATAATCCCACAGCTTACAAACGCCCTAGCGGAACTGATCATCACAAAGACGGCCCCGATCGTTCCGCTCAACTGATACAAGATATACCTCGTGGAAATTCGATTCCAACGGCGACATCCCACCGGATTGCCTACAATGCGGTGGATCCGCACGGGTTGGGCTTCGGTATGACCCCTCACGTCAGTTCACAAAGGGTCCTCCGTCCTCTGCGAACAGTCAAGGAGAGTACCAGAGACCGACTGGTTTCTCCGCGAGAAGAACCGGCACGTATTGGCGGATTGGCCGGAGCTACAACCAGTTCGCTCATCCTACCAGACGAAGAAGGATCAGAAGGATAAAAACACGCACGAAATCCCTGTCGCGATCCAACCACTGGACTGCGAGCTTGTTAAGCTGGAAGAGTCGAGTGAACTCGAGCTCGGTAGGGGGTGTGTGAGAGAGAAAGAAACACAGTACACTCACTCCAGTCATGCGCCCAGAAACAGCCAATTAACTTGGAAATCGCGTTCCAGGGAGATGACTTGCTTCTTTGTCTGTCAGACTATGATCGAAGAATTTTACAAACAGCTAAACTCAACAATTTTGGTCACTGTGTAATTCGCAGATAACGACAATATACTGGGAACGTATCCATACTAATGAAACACGGGAGAGTGACGAAGATCTAAATGAACGGCCGGACAGCCTCAAATCTATTGCCTGGTACCATGAGATCACTGTCTTGTTTTATTTCTCCTTTCTTCTATTGCTCCACGAACGGGGTCTTGTGGAGGTACATCCTGTGTGCCGACTCCTGACCCGAGAGGGATGATTGGCAAAGTCACCATCACAGATCCTATTGATTGCCCGGGATAGCGGTATTCGCGCGCCACTGGACATACTCGAAGACGCGATGGCTATCCGGCACGACTATTAAAGTGCCGAGCTGTATCCGCAGAGACGACGAGTGTGTATGACGAACGCATTGGACCATTCCAAGGCTCTGTCTCTAATTCTTTTTTTTTCTCCAGGGCTCTTTGTTTCTAGGATCTGCTGCACTCATGCAGCTTGGTCATTAACGGAAGTGGCTTTCTTCTTTTTTTCGCCTAATTGACAACAAGCAAAATGTGGAGAGCAGCAACCAACAGGGAGAAAGGGTATTGAAGGGCATTAAGCTGTGTCTCCGATTGTCTGCTTCTTTGCTCTCTGTTGACCTGTCGCAGTTGATGATGCTGGGTATTTTCTACGAGAGGAATGCCTGCCATGTCTCGGTGGGTTCGATTTGGATATCTGCCTGCTTTTCCCAATTACAAACCTCGATCTTCGAGAATGATGGAAAAGGGGCGGAAGAGACTGCATGATACAAGCTCATGTCGCCACTGCCTGACTTTATTTTGCACTAAAAACGATTTGAATGCCGCAAGGATGGTATAAATTACATTGAATTGAATACTATGATCTCTATCTACACAGTCAACAACATGCTGGCATTCTTGTACCAGGTCAACAGCGGGTTCTCGCCGTTCCGCGTCTCCGTGTCTTCGATATAGGCCCAGCGGTGCACGAAGTCTTCGTGGCTTGTGACCTGCGTCAGCTTGCCTGTCAACGCACGGTAGACGTCTTCAACGACGTTGAAGTCGGTCGGGAAGAAGATATCAAAGTAGCCTTGATGGACCTGCAAAGATGATTAGTTAGGGGCCTCGAAACATTCCAATAGAACATAGGTAAATAGGAATACTTACGAAAGGAGTCGACACGGGCACTGTTTGTCGCTGGTACCGAGTTTGCACGACTGGTGCGTTCAGTCCGGGTACGGCATCCGGCAGAGTGCTAAAATCACTGGCAACGAGGCGGTGCGCGGGGAAGTACTGGTTCAGAACGTCGAAGAACTGCATCAACCGGGTCGGCACATACTCCGGAAGAGTGTAAGGATTGCGGAAAGGCTGGACGGAGCGCACACCCCGAAGCAGCTGGGGGCCCAAGGGACTCGGGAAGGGGCGGCGGGCGGCCGTCTGGCGCACGCGCATGAAACGAGCTGCGATTGGATCGAGCTGCAGATCGTAGTATTCGTGGAACTCGCCGTCGGCATCGATCAGCACACCGCCTTGCTGCGGGAGCTCGGTGCGGCAGTCGTAGCGGATGGCATCGTGCCCGAAATTGTCAAACACTTCGAGCGCTAGGAAGAAGCACGGCGAGTGCACGTATGTGTCCCAATCAAAGATCGACCGGTTGATGATCTCGACGCGGTCCCAGTGGCCAGCGGCATTGAGCGTCTCGTTCAGGTTCTTGAGCTGCAAGTCGGCCAGCGCGGGCGAGATTTCAATGATCTTGAACTTGGTGCGCTGGTACACCTCATAATCGGTGTCGCGGATGAAGTCGAGGATATTCAACATCATTGTGCCGTTGCCCGCGCCCATCTCGTAGATAATCAGGTCGTGGTAGGGATACAGCGTCAGCTTGTAGTTGGACACTAGATACCGCGCGATCGTCTCGCCGTAGTACGGTCGAAAGAGCTCCGTCGGAGTATGCCAGAGCTGCCGTGAGACGTCGGGCGTGACCTCGTCAAGCCGGTCTTCGAACTCGGTGTATCGCTGGCCCAGGAGCCGTTGGAAAGCGGGCCCGTCGTCCAGCCTATTGAAATCGAATGGCTCTCCGGGACTGAAGATGGTCGCGTGCTTCGAGAAATACCCGTAAGACGGGTTGTAGAGGCTGTCTGAGATGACAATGTCAGCAGAATTCCACACGATCTAGCTCAGCTACCTCACTCACCATCAACGAACTCCCGTGTCGACATCTTCACCTGTCGCGGGCGATCGCGCCGGGTCCGCAGATCCTTGGCGGTGACCTGTGGATAGGTCCAGTATTCCTGATCAATGTCCCTGGGATTGTCACCCCGTTTCGTCCAGAGCATGCCATCGTCGAGCGATTTGCGCTTGGTGGGTGAGCTGCGCCGGGTGAGGAACGAGCGAGACTGTGGACGAGAGAGTGAGGGAGATTGTCGCCGCAGATATTGACAGGCTGGGTGGCGGAAGAGCTGCCGAAACAGCTGGTTGAGCACGGGCGAGTCCATGGTGTTTGAGCAAAGTTGGTCCGGGGAAGACGAAGGTGATGGGGTGACATGCCTCAGGCAGGATGAAATTTGCCTGAAGACAATTCTGCCTGAGGAAGATATTTATGCCTGAGATCGAAATTAAACAATCCCCATCACGTTGCATCCAAAGACTTCTTACAGTTGATGGTGGTCTCGGACAAATAAGCCATTGGATTCCCCTGGATCGTTCCATTTCATTCGCATCGAGCGACTGGCCCATATACTTTGATCTAGCTATACCCTCCCATGCCGCAAACCGAGTGGTCCGAGCTTCTTGACCGAGCTTCGTCCATGCTCAACTCTTCGAGCATCAAAAGGAACCAACTATAAAACACCATGACCGACCATTCCGCAGTTTACATTGGCACGGCATTTGTGGCCGGGGTCTGTGTAGCCATTGCATGCAAAGACCTCCTTAACCGGTCGCGTCGCGAGAAATCGACAGCCGAATCCCCATGCAATGGCTCAGCCGCGCGACCAGGGCCTCCGGCTATCGTGGAGGGTATTGAGGGCTGTATTGGGAACACTCCCCTCTTTCGAATTAAGTCGCTGTCAGACGAGACAGGATGTGAGATCCTGGCCAAGGCAGAGGTATGTGCCTTGAAGTGTTTTGCACTCGAACAACAGGCAGACAGACAATCTGACAACTGCTCCCAGTTTTTGAATGGCGCCGGGCAGAGCTCTAAAGATAGAGTGGCGTTGAGCATGATTGAAATGGTATGGTTAATGCCAGTATTGATGAGATTGATGCATTCTTTGCAATCTGACTTGATTGACTTGAACCCAGGCAGAGGAACAAGGTATTCTGACTCCCCATTCGGGTGACACCATATACGAAGGCACATCAGGATCCACAGGCATATCGCTAGCAACGCTAGCTCGAGCAAAAGGGTATCTAGCACACATGTATGGTCTGCCCGCCAGCCCCATATTGTCTAACTTCGACATCGACTCATCTCCCGAACCAGATGTATGCCCTCAGACCAGGCCATTGAAAAATCCAACCTGCTCCTCAAACTTGGAGCTATAGTTGACCGTGTGCCTCCAGCACCGATAGTCGAAAAAGACAACTTCGTCAACCGCGCGCGGGCACTCGCACAAGCGCAAACAGCCTCCTCGTCCGCAGACCCAACCCAATCTGTCGTTGGGTCAAATGACCGCACAAAAAGCGGCCGCGGGTTTTTTGCAGATCAATTCGAGAACGAAGCCAACTGGCGCGCACACTACCTCGGAACCGGTCCGGAAGTCTATGCCCAATGCGACGGCCAGCTGGATGCCTTCGTCGCGGGGGCCGGTACGGGCGGGACGATCGCTGGCGTAGCGCGGTTCCTGAAGCCCCTGCTACCGAAACTCACCGTTGTGCTTGCCGATCCACAGGGCAGTGGTTTATATAACCGGGTACGGTATGGCGTGATGTTTGATCTCAGGGAGCGGGAGGGCACGCGGCGTCGGCGCCAGATCGACACTATCGTCGAGGGCATTGGCATTAATCGGGTGACCGCGAATTTCGAGGCTGGAAAGGAGCTCGTCGATGATGCTGTGCGTGTGACGGATGCGCAGGCGCTGGCGATGGCTAGGTGGCTTGTTGAGAAGGATGGCATCTTTATTGGGAGTAGCAGTGCCGTCAACTGTAAGTTTTGTTTCCTGGTGTTGGTTTTGTCTATTTTCTCTTACTGATATGTGAGCTACTTCAGGCTTTGCTGCGGTCAAGATAGCCATGAAACTGGGGCCTGGTCATAGGATCGTGACGGTGCTGTCGGACTCGGGCTCGCGGCATCTCTCCCGGTTCTGGGCTAAGGCCGGTGATGTTGGCGGGGCGGTTGATACGAGGCTTGAAGATGTCCTTAAAGTACGGGATGAAGACTTCCAATAATGAATATGATGACATTACACGAGGCATGATGATAGCATGTAGGGTTGGTTGTGGGCTCTCAAACATTACGTCAAGTTGGTCAAAGCCACCAAATCTCAGAAGGACAGTTTGACACGCTTGGCTGGTGAGGGTTGCTCAGGAGATATGGTGCGTTTACGACTGGGAGCCGGACTGTCGAAATGGATGGCGGACAGCTTGGAGGGCGATGATACCTCGCTGGTAACCAGAACTAGATCGTCGTCTTCCACAAGCTGTTCAAATTCTGGCTGAATCTCGTCGCCAACAATCGACGGGGTTGCCTCTGGACTCTCCTCGACAGGGGGCAGATCTATTGAGGCTCTTGGGGTATCTGCCTCTTGCTCTTCTTCTTGGTCCGTCTCATCCTGCGTGGGAGACGCGGTCGGTTGCTTGCCATTCCAGATTTCATCTCCAACCCAGATCCGGAATAATTCAAATTCAATCTCGGCTTGAGAGCGGCCCGGGAATTCCGCCTGTATTTCAGCCCAAGAGAGACCCGATTGCTCATCCAGCCAGGCTAGCGTGTCCAGTTCGGTTTGCGACCACGGCTCTGATAAGTGAGGCGGGTTGGCGCGGCGATGGGTCCAGTGCCAGGCATTCCACACGCAGAGGTTGGCTAGCTTGCGTCCTGGTAATGAATCCAAAACTTCACCCCATCTCTTGCCCTGGACATGCCGGAGACAGATTGCCAATTTGGCTTCGTCAGGGGTCATACCACCAAGAGATTTGGTGGGCGTGCCTTCCAGAACCAGGGTAGAGGCTGGTTTGGAGGGGTTGACGGTTGGATCGCTTTCCTGGACAGGTGTGCTTAATGAAACTTCACGCTGTAGAGAAGCTTGCGTGTCGTCATATATATGTGCAGAGTTCTGTTCCTCAGGAGTGTGACCCACGGGAGTCGGCTGGTGAGAGCCGTGATGGTCTGCCCGCCCAAGTTTTCCTCGGATATTCGTCACTTTTGATGGTGTAGGAGAGGGCCGGTCCTCTTGCAGTGGATCGTCTGATTCGCTGCCATCCGGTGTCTTTGCAAAAGACCAGTCACGGGTGACTGGGCTTGAATGATGCTTGCGCTTCGCCTTTGGCCGGCGCTTGCTCGGCGTGGCCTTGGGCTTCGATCCCACTGTGCGTGGTCTGCGAGGCGGGGGAACAGCCCACAAAGAACCTGAACCAGGTGGAGAAGTTGATCTCAAGGAGTGCCAAGGGAGACGCGGAGACGACTCGATGCGCCTGTTCCCAGTAGTGGGAGTTGAGAAGGCCTGGGGCAAATCAGGAACTCGCCAGAGAGGGTCTTGTGGTGTGTAATCGTAGACATGTGGGGATGCATATCGCACTTGGGAAGCGGATTTGAGCGCTGGCTGATCAGCTTTTGTGTAGGCTGCAGAATCCCACAAGGAATCGACGCTGGGTCTGTCGAATTCAGAGTCGCGGAATTTCTGGAGGTTGCTTGTTGGGGATGCCTCCCGGGGCTGTTCTGGTGGATGAAATCCATCATCTTCCTCCTCGCCAAAATCGTATATCTCATTCTCAGCATCCTCATCTCCTGGTTCTGAGGAGCCATCCGAATGGCGCCATGTCTGCGCGTTGTCCCCGGTATCGCCTTCGCCGCGCATGCCCAGTAGATGGCCATTATTTACTATGACATCCCCAGTATCCAAATCAATCTCATCACCGACTTCGGTGAAGTCCTTGCCATACTTGGTGAAAATGCCCTCGAAGATCGATTTGAGTCGCTGGTCGTTCTGGGCGCGAGCCGTTTGGAGGTCCAGGTCCTCGGGGACATCGTCTGAGGAGCCAGGGGTATAAGACAGACGTGGTCGCTTGCACGGTTTTGTGGCATTGTGCATGGAGTCATCCAAGTGATTATCCATGATGTCGCACTCGGACAGCCGGCGGAAGGAAGGGATTGCGCGAAGGGACCAGTGCTTTAGATGCGGTTGAATCGCGAAGTTGAGGAATAAAGTGGAAGCCGCATTATCCAGGCTGACAGTGCGACAAAGTTGAATGAGATTTGAGAGTGAAGGTGGACTGAAGAGAAGTTGGCAATAGCTGCGACAGAAAATAGACGCGGAGCTCCCAAACAAAATGACGTTCCCGCTCCCACCTCACCTTCTCCCCACACCATCTTTCAACAATGTACTGCCAGAAGTGTCGGACGCCGCTGAAGCTGGATGGCTCATTAGAGTCGCTCAACCCGGCTGCCTTCGACTTACTCGTCAGTAAGCATGCCTTGGAATCCTTGCTCTGATCTCCTCTCACTCACCAAACCCTGGATATAGACTCGACCGGCAGGACACTTTCCGAACATGGACCTTCATCATCCCGATCATCCTACGCCCCCGAGCGACGCGATCTCTACGACCGGGCCTCTAGAAATGCGACTTCTCCAGTTTACAGGCGGTCTATCCCTGCGCCGCGCACGGGGAGCCAGTCTAACCCGGCGGGCCTCCCCCGAGCAGATAGTGGAAATATGTCTTTTGTGATGCTCACAGAGTCTCAAGTGGTGCCACCACCTGTTACTGAGGGCCCGCAAAACTCTCGGAATCGACGATGGAGTACACAAGCCAATGCTGGCGGCTCAGAGGATGCGTCGTTCTCCGACCAGGTCGAGAAAACAACCCGACTCTTTGAGATTGTTTCGTCGCGCTCGGATATCGATCACCCGATTTGTGTGGAATGCACCGATTTACTGGTTGAGAGCCTCCAGAAACGACTGACGGGTGCGACAAAAGAGCGCGACGCGTACATCTCTTTTCTTCGAAATCTGAACTCGTCGGTACCGACCACAGAAGAGCTAGAGGCGGCAGAGAAATCGCTGAAGGAAAGCCTCAAGATGGAGGCGGCGGCTTTCGGGGAGTTAGAAGAACTAGAGCGGGAAAAGGCTGCCTTGGACAAAGAGATTACGGGGTTGGAGGAAGAGTCCAGGCAGCTCGATGTGGACGAGGAAGCTTTCTGGCGAGACCGCAACGCCTTCGCTCTGACGCTGGCAGAGTTTCAAAATGAACGGGATGCACTGAACATGCGCTACGATCACGACTCGCAGCAACTTGAGCGGTTGCAGCGGACGAATGTCTACAATGACGCGTTCTGCATCGGCCATGATGGATATTTCGGTACAATTAATGGACTGCGCCTGGGCCGGCTGAACAACCCCTCGGTCGAGTGGTCTGAGATCAACGCTGCCTGGGGGCAAACGGCACTGCTCTTGGCTACGATTGCGGAGCGCCTCGGTTTCCAATTTCAAGGATATCGCCTGCGGGCCCTGGGTTCCACCTCGCGGATCGACAAGATCGAGTACCCGCAGCCGTCATCTGCCCAGAGTGATCGGAGCGCCCCCAAGGTCACCCAGCTGGACCTTTTCTCATCCGGGGACCTACCGCTGAACCTCCCCTGGCTTCACCGTCGCTTTGACGCCGGCATGGTGGCGTTTTTGGAATGTCTACGCCAACTGGGACACTTTGTCGAGAAGACCCCCGCTCCTGCGCCAGCTTCGCACCGGGGAGAGGCCGGGGCAACCGCGCCCGGTTTAAGTCTGCCCTACCAGATCAAGCGGGACCGTATCGGCGATGCCAGCATTAGGCTTGGATTCAACCAAAATGATGAGACGTGGACGCGAGCCTGCAAGTACACGCTGACCTGCTGCAAGTTTTTGCTGGCCCATGCCAGCAACGTCGCCAGCGCCGGCTCTGGCAACTCTGCTGCCGTAGCGGCAGCGGCCGTGGCGGCGTCTGAGCAGGCGCGGCACGCAACCAGCCCCAAGACCCGACCGTGAACAGTGAGGCAGCAACCCAAGAATTGGGTTGAAATGGTGTGTGTGTAGCACACGCCAGCCTTGGATCTTCGGAAGGCGCAGGGCCCGTGTGGACCTCCGCTGTACTTTTGGACCAGCGGGCGTGAGCTATGACAATCCCAGGCACCGCACGAGCTGCATTAACTTTTGCCATGTCCGCAACCTTACTGGGTCCTGGCACGATCGACACGGTATCCTCGTTAATCCTTCCTGGGCACCGGCTGGGTGCAGGGGCGTTTCCTATCAGGCCGAAGCTGACATCTTTTTGCTTTCGGGGGGAAGCATCCGGCTCCGATCTGCTTATGCGGCATCGTTGCGCCACGATTCCTTGATCCAGTCCTGCGCGCTACATCCTAGTACCTGCATTGCGATCCGACCCGGTGAACGGTTCGTGGGCCAATTGATATGGCCATGGCAGATTTCTCCGGGTGGGCCCCAGCTCCACGCGAGAATCCTGAACTGGACTATTTCTCTTTTTTTTTTTTTTTTTTTTTTTCTGTCGAGATAGCACGGCTTCGGGGTCTTGGGCAGAGGGATCTCGGAAGCACAGGGCCATCTTCCCCACCCGCACTCTTTTTTGTATGGCATCGATCAATACTCGTTCGGGAGTTAGTGCCACGGAGCATGCACGAAGTCGAGACGGATTCCCGTTAGACTTGCGTAGGGGTCCACCCCTTTTCCGGTACTTTTGTCTTCCCCCTCTTCTTTTGCCACTCGAGAAGTACGATGTGTTCTCGCACTTGCGCACTGTATTTTTGCGTCATTCTCGCCTCTCGGAGACCGGGGTTTGCCTCCCCGAAAGAGACAGCGGCGATCACTGCAGCCATCTACTCTACATATGTCCTCCCCTTGAGTGTATCTGAGCTTTCCATAGCCGTTGGGATTTGGGCCGGCTTCACGGGGAGATAGGGGAACCGAGGTAGTATACTATACTAGTGCTGAGTATAGGGACCACCCTTTATTTTGTAATATTTTGGCGGGATTTGCTCGGCAAATGCCACAAGTTGGACATTGTCGTGTACTATAGGTATTGGTACTAAATACCGAGTATATTCTCAAATTGTCACTGTATATTAAGAACTCCCAGGTCCAGCACGGACCTTGCATCGATCCGGCTGACACTCGGAAAGGGATCCAAGCGCAAGAATTTTTTTTTTTTTTTCGCCCTTGATTTGGGGATGACACTTGTCTCTCAACGGTTGAAGCATGCTCTAACGGCTGTGGAGACCCTTGCGTGGAGCCGAATGTGGCCGGGACGGACCGTGGAAGGAATACTTCAGGAAGATTCAATTTCGTACACAAATGAATCCGTGAATCCAAGAATCCTCATTTCATTTGCCGAGTACTGGATATTTCCTCAGGGATCTCTTAGTGGTTATTTTGGCCCGGCGTGCTGGGAATAGGATACTTCGAGACACAGAAAAAGGCCCTCGGGCCGCTCCCGGGCTCCGTGGATCTGCACTGAATCATTTGATTGATGAGGATGACTAGTATTCCTAGTCATCGTAGTATTATTTTGGTTCTCTTTCAAAGACATACCTCTCGAAGAAAATAAAAGGCAGCGGAAAATGCACCCCATTTGCGGCCAGTGCACCGCAGGTAAATAGTGCGCTTAGGCTGTACAGTAGTTCGAGGGGAAAGAGAAAAAGCCAGACTCCACTTCAACTGTTTTTCGCTCTTTGTTGAATCCTGCAAATAATTTAACTACAATGAAACCTGACTTTCTAGGATGATAATAAGATGATAATCACAAGAATGGAGTCGGGATCATCTCGAGTCATTTTTTATCCGGAGATATTCTCCCCTCTCTCCCCCTTCGTGACGGCCGTTGACGATCGCACTTGACAATCTGATGGAGCCGGCGCCCTGCCACGCCCTGTGATTTGGCCGCGGAAGCAGGGGGTCGTGCGTCCGCCGCATCTCGACGCAAAGAGAAATCCAAAGATTCCTTGGCCCCGTCCATTCGACAGTTCGGGTGGCCGTTTCATTATTAAAGGGCATTCTCGGGTTGATTATGTTCTCTGCGAGAAAGAGGGAAGGTTGCCCTAACTTGATGATCTTTTCTTTTCCATTTTCCATTTTCCATTTTTTTTTCTTTTCTTTTTCTATATTACATGATCATTCTTTCAATTGTGATTATCCCAAGCTTTGATCGGATCATACTACACCCAGTCATCTCCATGCAATAGCATCATCATGGACGTCCCCTCGCTCTCGCAATCCTCGGTATTCCGTCCCCGCAGATCCGATGACTGGCACGAATATCGCGAGATCATCGAGCAGCTCTACCGCAACGACCAGCTGAAACTGCGCGATGTCAAACGCATCATGGAGCGGGATTACAAGTTCTACGCCTCGTACAGCCTCTCTTTCATTCGCTTTGATTTATTCTTTCTTTTATCTACCACTTGATATTCATGTCGCGTCCTAACACAACCAGAGAAAAACAATACAAAGACCGCCTCGCCGCATGGCATGTCCGCAAAAACATCAAGGCCAAGGAAGTCCACCTGATGATCCGCAAGCAACAGAAGCGCGCTGCCCAGGGCAAGCAGACTGCGTTCCGCGTGAATGGTCAGGACGTGGATCCCAAGCGTATTGCCCGCTTTGTTCGCCGCTATGGGTCTGCGTGGGATGATCGAGGCAAAGATCCGAGGCAGCAAAGCCCTGAGCCGCGTGAGTTTGTCCGCCATTGATTTTGATTCTTTGGATTATAAGGATCTGTCGAGTGCTCTGTATATGTTTCCGGTGATTGACTCGTCTAGAAACCCCCTCCGATATGACCTGCTATACCCCCGAACCTGCCGAGGAGGCAGCCACGCCGATATCTCCGCTGGAGATCCAGTCGCCGACGCGGGAGATGGGTGCATATCCACTTACTTATGGTATTTATCTATCTTCTTTCTTTTCTTCTTTCTCCCTTTCTTCTCCTCTCCTTTGCTGCAGTACTGCAATACTGCATAGTATCCAGAGTACAAGTGGTATTGATAATATCCATCCAGACCCAACCCGCCTCGAAACAATCCCCGACCTAATCATCGACGACGACCCCAACTTCCCCCTAACCATGCACCATCCCCAACCAAGCCACCCCTACCAACACTCATCCCATTACCATCATCATCAGCACCACCCCGCCAACCCGCTATCCGGCCCCTCAGTCCCCATAGCCCACGAAGACGAAGACGCCCCGGGTGAAGACGAGCCGCACCCGGATGAATGGAACCGGCTCGATGCATTCCAGACCCGGCTCGAGGGCCTGCAGTATACGCTGAACAGGACGATGTCCAAGTGGGCGCGTGATCAGGATCCGAGTCATGATGGTGCTCATCATGAAGGGTTGGGGATGTGATGATGTCACGGTCTTCTAATGAACTAGAATATCTCTTCTGGGAGATTTACCTTTTTTTTGTGTGTTTTTTCTTCCTCTTCTCTGTATATTGTTCTATGTCTGTTCATGCTTCGTTGCTGTTTTTCTCTCGCGGCCTGCTTTCCACGTACAGGCATCCAGGCGGGGGAAGGGGGAAGATAAAAGGTCATGGCAAGGGCGTTTCTTCTCCTTTTTTCTTCTTTTTATTATGAGATTGACTTTGATTGTCATCGGTGACGTTTCTATCTAGATCGGTATGAAGGGGGCGTTGTTCGATCTACCGGGTTTTGTTGTGCGTGCGATGAATAGCCTCTTCTACTATCTTTTCCATCCGGCACTTTTTCTATCCCTTCTATTCTGGAGTCCTGGATGATCTTGACATCAAAGCATTCTATCCATTGCCCTCCTGTATCTGTTCGTGGATAGTGTCCTGTTTCTATCAAGGTGTCCCTCCCAGTGGCAAAGAGAACATCCTGACCGGGCTCTTTCTCTCTCTCGCTCCCACCCCCCAAGTTCAGTGCCAGTCTCACAAAGCGCCAGTGCCCAGAAGATCTCTTAGAAAGAATCCACATTTAAGTCAATAACATACAGAATCGAACCCAACCTACTACTGAAGGGAGAACGTGTGGAGGGAGCACACAATTAATACTGGTTCCAGTCCCGGCCCTAAGTCATCCCGAATAGGTAACACTCAGTCAGGTTTTCCAATGTTGGATTTCCCCGCCTATGTACTCCGTAGGTAGCAAATGGTAGTTCGGTAACAAGCACCCCCTGCAACAGACAAGACATTCTGCAAAGTGCATACAGTCTTAAAAGTAATAGAAGTCCACAGAAAGATCAAGTATCAGCTGACTACGCCATCCATTCAATAAATAGGTACATAGAAACCAAATGATCCCAAAGCATCGCTAAAAGCAAACCCGAATCCAACCAAAGAAAGAAAGAAAGGAAAAACACAGATGCCCAAGGCCGGGGGGAATAAATCGGCATCGTCACGGCCCATTGCCTGCGTGGCAGTTCAAGGGAAAGAAAAAGAAAAAGCCTTGGTGGTGGAAAGCACGCTCCTAAGAATATTTAAAAATAAGGGTAAAAAAAAGAAGTTTGGGGTTTGAAAAAGGCGGGCAAAAGAAAGCTTTTGAACACCGATAACAATAGTCGCAAAAGCCAATCCAGTGTTCCATCTCGTCTAGTGACCCCAATCAATCCTCAGGAATCGGTCACGGTCCATGATCTCACGAGTAGAAAGTGCTCTTCTGGAAGCTCTCGGGCGAAATGTCACCGATCTTGCCCTTGATCTCGGGTTTCTCCTCGGGTTTCGACAGCGACGACAGGCTCTGCGAGCGGTCGTGGGCAGTTTCGCTCTTCATCGTGCCGGTGCGAGTAGCCGGCTCACTGCCTCCTGTGATGGCTTGCTGAGTAGGTCGTCGCTGGATAGTCTCCAGGTATGGGCCCGGGAGGTAGCCAACGCGCCCGTCACGAGCACGGCAGCGCCACCACTCCGACGCATTGCCCATGGGGTCGGATTTGCTGAGCACGGCGACAATGTCGCCCTTCTTGACGGCCAGGTCGATGCCATTGCTCTCCTGCGTCTCCGGAGAGTAGTCGTACAGGACGCGGCAGAAGTCCAGCTTGGACGGGTCCAGGGCGGTGGACTGTTCGCCGTTGGGGCCAACGAGCTGCTGGCGGCGAAGCGCCTCTGCCTCTTGTGACCGGGCCAGCGCTTTGATAAGCTTGCCCATCAGGTATGGGAGACCGAACACGGCGACCAGGAACATGAAAAATGGCTTCTTCGACGGCTTCGCCGGTGCCGGAGAGCCGTCCGGAAGAGTGGAGGGGGCAGACCGGCCGCCCATAAAAGAGGCAAAGGCTGCCGGCGTCAACGCCGTGGCATCGGCAGGGGCAGGACGCCCAGTGAGCTTAGCAATCAATGTGCGGAACCACCGGATGATGGCGAAAATGCCCAGGGCCGAGCCGAGTGTGTTGCGCAGGTTTCCAAACTGCTCTGCGACCGAGACCATAGCTGTAGGAGAGTTAGCAACTGGCACGTAAAACAAGAAGTACAGAGCAACCTACCAAAGAAAGAACTATGAGTGGCCATATAAGTGCTCTCTAACATTTGAGCAAAGCCACCAAACGCGCCGACGATGCTTTCGATCATCTGGAACGTAGCCTGGGTACTTTGGCTGAACGAGTTGGTCAAGCTGTTGGGGTCATTGGGATCCTGCCCAGGCATGCCGCCATACATCCCGCCCATGCCACCCATACCACCCATGCCGCCATACATGCCTCCGTACCCGCCGTACATCGAGCCCATCGAACCCATGGAGCCGAAGCGCGAGTACGGTGATGAATATCCACCGTACCCGCCATATCCTCCATAGGGACTGGCGCCGAACCGTGAGGCTCCGTACGGCGAATAGTTAGAGGCTGTGGTGTTGACGACCGAGTTAAGGGCGCTGGGGCGGGAGGGAAGATCGGGGGCGGTGGAAGTGGTTGCGGTTGCGGATGTTGCGGTGGGGTTGGCCGCCGAAGCGGAGGTGGGAGTCATCGCGGACGAGGTGGCAGGGCTGCTGGCGGTGGGTGTTGTGGACAAAGAGTTTCCTGCAATGAGAGTAAATTAGTGATTTGTTCAAGATGAATCTGCTGGCGCTTGGGGTTCGTCGGCGACATACCCGCTGCGCCCGCTCTTTCCCACGGTTTTGGTGGCGAGACCGACGCCATGGAGTTGGGGCGATCTCAGCAGCCTCGCATCGAGAGGAGGCTGTTGAGAAGCGATGAAATGGAGGTTCAGCGCAAAGAGTGTTGAAGGAAAAGGGCGATGGGGGTGAGGGAGGAAAAGTCTCGCATGTGGCCGGGAGTGGAGATGCCGAGGAAGTCGGGGTTTCCCGACGCCGGGAAACTCTTAGTCACAGTGATCAACGTGAGCACTTGCAGTTGGAATAGTTGGATATTGAAAATTGAAAATCGAAATAGAATGAGATTTCTGGCTATAGGTATTTAAATACTACTTATTATCTGACTATTTTGGATATTTGATTTCGGCGAAATGTTGTAGTCCGGAGGTGGCGACTGTCCGACCGAGGCTCATCGGCTCCTGTGCCAGAGCAACTATATAGGGATCATCCTGGATCCTACAAACCGCAGCTATGAGTGATGTAATAGAGAACAACTCTATTTCTACCAATGCATAGTGTTTAAAATAATGTATCAAAATCATGGATCCATGGCCCCGTGAACAGATCCGTTCTTATCCAACGCCAAAAGCCAAAATCAAATGACCCGCCTATGTACAGGAGATGCGGATGCGGATGTGAATGCAAAGTTGTAAATGTTGATCATAGCTCGCTGTGATATTCAGGACGTTCAGGCCGACGTTGCGCTTGATCCTTAGGGAGTTGAATCTTCCACACGCGAGGAGGCACGGGCAGACCTAACCAGTATTTCCAGAGCCGGATGGCTTCTAGAGTGCCAATTTCGTATCTAATCGCCAGGTCAGTTGCTGTTGTTTTTTGTGATTACAGAGTATCTGCACAGAACAAGACTTACAGGGTCCGCGGGATGTCCAACCAGCTCTGCAGCACATACTTGAATGTGCCCCAGACAAGGTCCCATTCCACCTTGAGTTCCTCGAAGAAAGTCGCATCGGGGTTGGGAGGTGGTCGTTCCCAGGGCATGCGCTCACGCTTATATCGCCCGTAGATAAAATTGCCCTCGTCACCTTCGTAATAAAAGGTCGAGCCGCCGTCCTTGAAGATGCGCCGTTTATGGTGCTTTTCTTCATCCTTGGCCGAATGGTGGTGCGTGTACGGAGCCGAACCGTGAATAGGGAACGCATTATGTTGGCCAGACTCTAAGGCTCGATGGAAACTGTGCGAAGCCGCCAGGCTGTGCGAGATGCGGCCGAGCGTGTTGATCAAGGCCACCAGCTCGGTCCGACGCAGCGGCGGGTTCTCCCCGTTCTTCGTCTCGTCGTACTCGAACAGCACCTTCAGCGCCGTGCCGTACCCGTTGACTTGCAGCTTGCCCCACAGCCGGCACTTGTCGCAGCCGACGCAGTCCATCAGCCGGCTGACGTTGCGGAAGCGGTTACGGAAGTCTTCCTTCAGGCCCTGGGCGCCGGGGTCCTGGAACATCAGGTTCTCATCGAAAATCTGCGGCGGTTCCCCCAAGATTTTGGTCAGCTGAGTGACGCGCGACTTGGTTTCAGCGTCCTGTGTCGGATCGCTGGTGCAGAACGTGTAACTTTGGAGGTGCTTGCGCAGCTTGGCTACGGCACGCGAGACGAGTGCGTAGTTGAAGTACATGTTCGAGATGCGCTCCGGGTGCTTGTGCAGCCGCTCTTTGTAGCACTCCAGATTGGGATGCCACTGGCCGGTGGTCTGGTTGAGGTAGTCCCAGCAAAGGTGGGTGGAAATGGAGGCGTGCATGCCGCTGATGAGGCGGTGGAACACCCGCTTCTCCAAGCACTCGTTATCCAACGGCAGCCCTTCGAGTCGCTGCGACTCCTTCTGGAGCACATTCCGGAAATCCGAAACGGCCTGGAGTCCGCCTGTCGGCACATTAAGTGACTGCTCCTGCAGCTCCTCTGCCATAGGTTTCATGAAGCAGTTCTCCCGGTAAATCGCGTCCCAAACCTGGTGCGCACCGGACCCCGAGTATCCAGTAAACCGCTCCGGGTTATCCACCAAGCTCACATAGTCGCCCTTTCCGGTAGAGCCCTCATCTTCGGGGACACAGTAGTCCCGGTCATCGCACTCGTCGTCGTACTCGACCACACAGCTCTCCCCGACGCCTTCACCCAGCATACCCTGTAGTGGTCGCTCTTTGGGGCGCTCGGCCTGGATATTGCGAGGCGGGTGGTTTGCCTTGGGACCCTCCAGCTTGCTCAGTTCCTCCGCGCGCCAGGTGAGCGGGATATCCTCGTCGGACTCGATGGTGTTCACGGAGCAGGCGATGTTGCCGCACATACTATTCGCGTCAGACCAGAACGGGCATTCTTTGTTGAACAAGTTCAGCCGGTAGTAGGAGAAGAAATCGGTATCTTGGGTGATGGAGTTGAGGAGGGTGTAGATCTGTTCGTTCAGGTGGTTGATGGTGCCGTAGGAGACACACGCGTCCGAGACCATGGCCGAGGGGTCAAACTAAAGTCAGCGATAGAGATACAGTCAGTTGCTATTCCTGGGAGGGCTATGAATCCATAGTGTCCAGGATTTACTCACGGCGCATTTGTTCGTCGTAGCCAAGGGCGAAGAGTCATGGGCGTCGGCGTTGGCCAAGTTTACAAAGGCGAACACCGCCGCGGAGAAAACCTTTGCCGTAGAACGCATCTTGTCTGCTCTCCCAGTCACTCGAGGAGTAATTCAGTCAAGCACACGAGTCACTGGAGTCGTGTAGATGTGTGGCGCAAAGGCCGAGAATCCAACGGTCGCGATGCAAAACAAACGTTGCAGGTTTCGCACAGGCCAGATCTCAATCACAGACAGAAAGAAAGTCGAAACATGCTCCGAAGTCGAGAATGTATCGCAAAGAATGCCGGGGAACTTGCGGGCAAAAAGACCAAAGACCAAAGGACAAGCTGGCCTTGGATGGTGGCGGAAGCCGATCGACGCCAAGACATGGATGGCTAAAAATATCGATAGATCGAATATCTACTTTTCACGCATCACACACATCACTTCATTCATGCTATAATATTCTCACTAATAGGCATACGCCTTTTGATCCCCTTGTCCCCGGCGTTTCCTGTTGCAAAGCACATAATAAATGTGAAGCAAGAGGCAACCGGCGCATACAAATAACAGCAATGCCGCGTTCGCCCAGTGGCCGGTAGGATATCCGCGGGCTGCCTCGTCAGACTTGTAGATCCACACGCCGACAATCTGACCAGGAGCTCCGAACGAGATATTCAAGGCAATTGCAAGTCCAGCGCCGGCGGTGGAGTCGAGATTGGATGAGAGCCAGCCAAGAAGGGGTGGAATGCAAGAGAAGGCTCCACTGGAGGCGACAATGAGACAGCCGTATCGATGCTAGAAGACCTGTGAGCTTTTATTTCAAATTAAAGGTGCCATGACTTACCAGATACGCATCAGCTGGCAAGACAGCAGAAGCCAAGAAGCCCATGGCTCCAATCAACGAGAATGCAGCCGAGTGTAAACCGCGCCTGTTCCAAGTCGAGTCAGCATATACTTCCTACCCTCGTGAACAATTTCGAGGAACCTACGCATTGAAGTAGTCTGCCGACCAGGACACTGCCACGGTCACCACATACGCAACAGCGTAGGGCGGCACTGTCATCAGCTGGGCCTGGAGGTTTTCATAGCCCAATCCAGCCGTGATGGAGGGCGTGAAGAGGGACAAGCTGGAGAAAGGTGTCGAGATACCAAAATATACCTATATGCCTGTTAGTTACCATACCACTTGTGAAGATAACCCCGATCAACCATACAGCATAGTGCGCGTACAGCCGCCAGTCAGTCAGAACCGTCTTGGCATCAGCCCAAGACATAGCCTTCGCATCACCTTTGGACCCTTCATGCTGGAGCCGTTGCCGCGCAAGCTCCCGCTCCTCGTCGGTCAGCCAGCCCGCCGTGTGCGGGTAATCAGGCAGCAGGAACCAGACCAAGATTCCAGATGCACACGAGGGCGCGCCTTCAATAATAAACAGCCAGCGCCAGGCGGCTAGACCGTGTGACTGGTTGAGAAATCCCACCCCGTAGGCGATGGCGCCGCCAAAGGCCCCGGCCAATGTAGCAGATGCGAGGATCAGTGCGACTCGGAGTGACCGCTCCCGCACTCGATACCAAAAGGTCAGGTAGTACACCAAGCCGGGGAAGAGACCCGCCTCGAGGACTCCGAGCAGGAACCGGATGCCAGTGACTTGAGCGAAATTTCGGGCACCTCCAAGGCCCATTGTTACTGCGCCCCAGGAGAACATGAGGAAAGCAATCCAGCGCTACTATCGTGTCAGCAGAAGCCCAGTCAAAGCAGAGAAGATATAGACGCACGCTGGGCTTGAGTTTCTTCAACAGATAGTTTGACGGCACTTCGAAAATGGCATAGGCGATCAAAAACACCATGAGGGCAATTCTGTGCAGGTTAGAGCCGATCCCAAGACCCTTTCAAAACACATACATATATTGGTAATCCGTCATGTTTGTCTCTGAAAGAAGATCATTTCCAGCATCTGCATTCAGCACTTTGGCATTTCCTAGAAGGGCACATGATCAGTTCAGATTCGACAGGAACCAAGCCTCCTTCTAGCTTCTCAGAGACCATACCGATATTTGACCGGTCGAGGTAACACAGAAGATAAATCAATGCCGAGAGCGGCACGATTCGCAGGTCCTGTTTCCATACCAGGGCCTTTTCCGCAGCTTGATCATGGTTGGAGTCGTCGACGCTCAAAGAGCCGGTCTGTAAACAATCAGCAAGTGAAATGGGGGGACACAAAGAGAGAACAGGAAAAACTCTGCACGAACAGCTCCTTCAAGGTCCGTGGCCTCATATTCAACCTTGGGGTCGGCCATTGCAAATGGGAAGAGAATTATTTGTTGACGAAATCCGGGGAAGACAGGCTTAATTTAAACAAAGTCCAAGCTTTTGCGGTCTTCTTCCACTCCATTTTTTTCTTTGTCTTATCGGCGTCGGCCTCCGATGCCGGCGAGCATCCAGGCGCCCCTAATTTTGCGACGTGAAAGGAATCGGGGGCGAAGGGGGATCCACCACAGTTTGCAGCTTAGGGCTTGCGTGCGGGGGAGCTCCACAATGCCGTGTCGGAGATGACACGCCAATAGCTCGAAGGAAGACTGGGAGTAATTTGGTGTTTGAGCATATATGTCGGACGATGAATTCTCAGGCGTGCGATCGCTGTCGTCGTCGGAAGTCGAGATGCGACAAGATCTCGCCCTCGTGTGGACCCTGCAGAAAAGCCGGCATCGCATGCAAGTACAGCGATCGAGCCAGGGACCGCCGCGAGCTGGTGGAGCGACTCCAGCGTCGACTCAAGCATGCTGAAACTGCAAATGCCAACTTGAATGCGAAGCTGGTACAATCAGGTCTTGCGCCTACTCCCGTCGAGCCTGCGGGGGTCGGCCGGATGTCCGATCCGACAGAGGCTGATCTCGATGCCGACGATCTGCCGGGTGAAAGGGAGCGCGGCGACGAGGTTATGGAGGAAGTGTCGTTCCTGTCGCGCCGGGCGGGAGGAGAGCATCATTTCCTGGGCTCGGCCAGTGGAATTCCCTTTGCTAATTTGGTTAGCACGACAGTCGAGGTGACTTCGCGGAGTCCGGGGCAGAGAGCGATAAGTGAAGGACGAACTCACAGACCGGCTGTTGCGTCGTCCATTCAGTCCACGTCGCCGACGACACTTCCCATCGAGACTTCGTTTTTGCCCCCAGAGCGGGTCGCTCGTGACCTCCATCGCGCGTACTTTGACCATGACCATCTGTCGTATCCTTTTCTGCATCGTGCATCGGTACTGGCCGCATTGGATCGTGCCTATCAAGATCCAGTATTCCTCGAACGAGATGCCTTCTCGTCTTTTGTCTTTGATATGATCCTGGCTATCGCCACGGCCAATGTTCACAAGTTTGATTTCGAGTCGTTGCCCAATGCCGAGGGCTATCGGCTTCGAGCTGGACAGCGATTGAACGAAGTCTTGCAGCAGGGCAACCTTCCAGCACTTCAAGCGATTTTGTTACTGGGGCAGTATCGAATGATCAACTCGATTCAAGATACGTCAAGTAGTGAGTGTTCCTAAGTTACGAGATGAGACCGCGGGAACTATGTACTGACTCGCTAGGTATGTGGCACATTGTCGGCATTGCCGCCCGCATGTGTTTAGAGCTAGGTCTTCATCGCGAGCAGGTCTATCGACCTGCCAAAGGATCCAATGCAAACGACCCGAGCCAAATAGTTGCAAATGAGATACGCCGTCGCTGCTTCTGGTGCGTGGTAGCAATGGATAGGTATGTGATGTTTTCCACATCTATACAACGCCGCTAACTTCAAAACTACAAAACTAGAATCGTCAGTATCTCCTTGGGGAGGCCTCTCGCTATACACTTGCAAGATGCCGATGTAGCTCTTCCCGACCTGAACTTGGATGGAACAGTCAACAGCGACTCAGAAGACCAATCTACATCTAGCTTCTGCCGCACAGCAATATTCGTGCACATCGTCCGCTATCGAATCCTCTGTGGTGACATCCTATCCGCCCTGCACAACGGATCCACCCGCACGCAGACCAACGAGGTACCAGCTCTAGCCAGCCGCGACAAACTCGCCAATGAACTAGCCCAATGGCGGCAAGATACCAGCACGCTCTCACTCCCAGACGTGGACCTATCGAGCACCCTACCAGGAGACCGGTCTAGTTTCCGTACGCGCGAGTGGTACGAGATGCTCTACTACAACGCGCTCCTCATGCTCTACCGGCCCTCGCCAGGCCTATCCTCCGCCTCATCCCGCGACGCCGTCGTGCTACAAACCATCTTCGTAGCAGCAAAACAAGCCATCGCGTTATACGCACACCTGCACCGATCACGGCGCATAAACTACACCTGGATCACACTGCACTCCGTCTTCATGGCGGGTCTATCCTATGTCTACGCCGTGGGCCGCCACTTCCGATCCCATAAACGCAATATACCAGGCACCTCGACACGCACAGCGCTACTCGAAAATAACCCCACAATCATTGAAATCGTCAATGACTCCAGAGCATGCTCCAATGTCCTGGTTGCTATTTCCGAGCGATGGAACGTAACGAAGAATTGCCACGACGTGTTCAATCGGCTGAGCGATGCTATGCTCTCTGATGCGGTCGAGTACCACACTCGCGCGTCTTCCGAGGCTACTAGGACTGCGTCGGCGGCGGATGTTCCTTCAGGGGCATCGTTTTCGGTACAGAGTGATGGTGCAGGTGGTACGCCGCTTGGGTACTGGCAGATAAATGAGATAGGAGCGACAGCGCTGGCGGTTGATTCGGTGCTGCATGAGTGTTTTGATGACCTGCAGCGGTTTCAGCCGTATGGGTGTGGGGATGACCCCGTTGGACAGCTGTCGCATGACTGGTTGGGAGAGATTGGGGGAGTAGGGCTGAATTTGAATTCTATGTGGTGATTATGGAGAATATCACTTGTTTCAAGGTTGCGGTGGGACATCATACTACTGTATTTGAACATACCACACTGATACTACTTTACTATAGACGCATGGTCCAACTAACTGGGACTCAAGGGAATGAACATAACTTAGCCCAACAATGAATTTCTTCCTCTGCCTCAAGATATTGATCATGCACAGACAAAACTTGCTGCGTCATCTGAGTCCGCACCATGACCTTTAAGACGAGCACTCTGCGGCCAGGGACACAGCTTCCTAGTACGACGCGAGCCATCCAACGGCCGCGACGTGATAATATGTTCCGGAAAGGTATCGTTCTCCACCCACGCCCGAAGCGCACTATCAACATGGTATGTCGACGGAGCCGAGGGAAAAAAAGATGCTGGGCCACAGTGCCCACCTCCTAAAAAGCCATATTTTGGTTCTGAGAATCCTAACACATGTTTCTAGTGCTGTTTTAACGTACCTGGAATCATATACAAGTTCAAAAAATCTGGTACCCTGCCGTTGGCCTCGGTCTTCTGCAGCTGCTCGAGATGGCGGATGGGCCAGAGGGCGCCGTTGTAGGGATCAGTCCAGCCTATAAATTGAAAAGTGAGTCTCCATGTCCGTGGGATGATAGATACAACATTAAACGGAACCAATCTAACCTTGCGTAACAACCATCTTACCACCCCGTCGCCGAAACGCACTCAGATCCGTAGTGATGGCATCGATCAACGGACTGGCACAGGTATCCACTGCATCAACATCTGCACCGAAATCAAACTTATCAGTGTCAAAAGACAAGTTCCGGAAAACCAGATTCTGTAGAATAGGCGTGCTGTAGTTGAGGTACAGCGAGGTCTCCTGCAGAAGCCACTGTTTCTCGCTCCCGAGCGTGTACCCGGGGTAGATGGACTGACCGGTCCTGGAATCGCGTGGGCCCTGGTAAATAGCGTTTATAGCTGCGATTTGGGGGTTGGTGAGACATTTCCCGGATTTTCTGGAAGATTGAGAAGAGCCATGACAGGCGAATGACGTGATATTGAATGAGCACTTGAGCGGATTCTCAATAAGGCCATCGACGACCCCGTCGAGGCCGTCGCAGTGCGAGAGGATGGCGTTGGTGGTAAAGTTGAGAGTAGCCTGGTCGAGAAATGCAGCGTCCTAGAAGAAATGAAAGAATAAGCACTGTTAGTGAGCCGAACATCCACTTAGTCAAAACACGATGATAGCCTCCATAGATATTATTCACTCACCCTCGAATGTCTGGCATTCCATAAAAACGCCAAAATCAAATGCGAATACCAGTTCCCCGGACTGCCCGCATAAATCCCATCAAAGAGCTCCGGATGGAACTGCGCCAGCGCAAACCCCTGCGCGCCGCCTGTCGAACATCCGCTGAAATAGCTGAACCGCGGTGCAGAGCCATAGTACCGCATGGTCAGGTTGCGGGTGGGTGGTGTCAATTTGGCGATGGAATCGTGGATCCAGGCTTTTGTTTGCGATTTGCTGTGCAGGAATGGGATGTATTGTTCGGGTTGGGTGGTGCCGTTGCCATTAGATGCTTCGTTGTGGCCCGAGTCTCCTCTATAGACACAGGGTACGAGAGTTAGTGGGAGTCGTCCAGCCAAGGGGTTTGTGTTGGCTCAAGAGGAGAAGTACGTACGCTGCAACTGCGTAGCCTCGGTTGAGACTTTGCATCATGGATGATGTATCGATTGTGCCTGCGAGGCCTCCGTTTCCTATACCATGAATCAGTTAGAAAGATTTTGGTAAATAGAGAGAGAATGAATCCTACCAGTCGCCATGTATCTGCCATTGTAAGATTTATTCTCGGGCAGCCACAGCTCAAACCGAAGCGAGTTATTCCCGGCATACGCGATGGCACCGTGGATCCTGCAGAAGGGATATTCATTTGGCAGTTTCGCACCAGTCGATGAATCAGTGAGAACCAGGCTATTTCCGGCGACCCATTTCGCGGAATTAATAGTGACTCCATTAACCCTATTGAGAGCAGTAACACTAGAGCAATCATTGGCTGCGAGGATTGGCTGTCCACATAGTACAGCAATGGTAATAGCAAGAAAATTTCGTGAAAGCGACTTCATTGTGAAAGTTGGTTGTACTACAACCCGCCCTATCTATACGCCTTTATATACCCCGCTGCATCCCTGGTCAACCTCGGGAATGCAACATGCAAAACGGCTAAGCTGGGGGATCGGCAGAGCAAGCGGAGATACACCCCACGAGGAATATCACGGAGAACGGGCCCGCAGGCCGAAAGTTGGGCAAGTCGGGGAATACTCCGAACAAAAAGACTCATAAACGTATATACTCAACAAAGGGAAAGGGAATGACATCAACAAGTCACTATGGATCTATAGCAAGAGAAATGTAACCCAAATGATCAAAACAACCTCTCCCCACCCTCAAGATCATGCCCCGACTCCATCTCCCTAACCCTCTCCCTCCGACTCTCAACAAGGTCCTGCCCGGCCTGCTCCAACGCCGAGCGATCAACCACATTCTCGAGCCCGAGACACCGCGCCGCAAACGCAAAGATCTTCTTCTCCGCCTGCGGCGCATGCGCCGTCAGTCCATGGTCATCACCAGGAAACAGGCGCATCTCGCGGTGGCCCGCAGTACCGTACCGGTTGAACAGGGTCTTAGAGCACGACGGCGCCAGCACGCGGTCATTCTCGCCGTGCAGCAGCAGTAGCGGACGCGGGCTGAGCGAGGCCACGCCGTCGGTGTCGGCCGTCTGCGACGCGATGGTTGCGACGCCGCGCACGCGGTCGGGCTCGGCGGCGGCGACGCTGAAGCAGGGGCTGCCGCCGAAGGACCAGCCCACGACGACGAAGTGCGTCGAGCGGTACTGGTCGCGCAGGTAGTCGAAGGTGGCGCGGATGTCGGCGACGCAGGTTTCTGTGCGGGCTGGTTTGCGGTAGTCGAGGCGGATGCAGGGGATGGAGAGGAGGAGGGCGAGTTTGTCTGCTAGAGAGGGGTATATTCCTTTTCATTATTCAAAAAAAAAAAAAAGAATGAGTAAGTATCTGAGTCTATTTTGAGTCTCTTTGTTCGGGAAAGGTAGGGTTACCTGCTGGTCCGGATACTCCCCCGCCTGCACCAGATACCAACACCACCGCTGCGCCCTTGGCCTCGGTAGCATTGTAGCTGCGAGGTTCATGGAGGATGGCGGGTGCCTCGTGGTTAAGCGGGTCGGATACTTGGATATTGACATGGCGCGCGATCGACGGCTTGACGGCGCGCTTTTCTACATTGGGCGGGTGGACGGGCCCGAGGTCCTTGAGTGTGTGTCGGACCTGGACTGAAGCCATGATCACAGGAATAGCAGGCCTCTTTGATGACAGGGACCGATGATCGAGTGAAGGGTACACAGCGTGATATCTTGATCGACACCGTGTAATGAGGGGGCAACAGATCTGTGTGGAAAGGCTACGAGCGATTGTTTCATTTTATAGCGGTCTTCTGGATATAGTTGGTTGGCGGCGCTGAGATCAGGTTGACGACAGGGAGGCGATGGCTTCACGGTCGACAGGTGGAGGCGAGTTGGGGTCTTGTGGCGGACAAGGGGCGATTCCAAGTACATACAGCTGGGAGTGACTACCTCGAGGGTTATTTTAAGCTCTTACTGGTCTAGAAGGACATTTTGCGTGAAACAAGTCCATTTACACTTGCTTTACAAACTGAACTCCCCTATACAGGACACCTTTGAACACCAGAGCAAGAAAAGAATAGGAAAGACAGGAAGAGAAAACAACAAAGTCAGAAGTAGAAATCAGGAAAGTCAAGAAAGTCAAGAAAGTCAGGACCAAAAAAGAGAAGAAGAAACAACAGGAAAGTAAGAAAGTAGAAAAGACAGGAAGAAAAGGAAAAACGTACCAAAACCAAAAGAAGAAAACAAAACCTCATAATCACAAACACCAAACAAACATCCATGGATATCCATTTTCATACAAAATCTTCGAGGTCGCGTAAACAGTCAGTCGTCAAGTCGTGAAGCCGCATATTGATCAGTCGAAGAGGCATTAGGTCGTACTTCGGCGTTTTCTGCGCCGCAAACTCAGAACCTTCCGCAGTTGAGCAAACGGATTGGGCACGGGGCGGTTGTAAAATGGGTCGTTCTTGAAGTCATCGTCGGTGAAGCGCTTCGGACAGTTAGTATTAGACAAATACCCAACTAACAGAAAAGGAGAGAACATACCTTGCCGGGCATTCGCATAAAGTTACCAAAGTCGTTCATCATGTTAGATCCCTCTTCGTAGTCGTAATGCTGTCCGCTGGGGTCGGAAGTTCCAGGCGGGAAAAAGGCGGTCCCGTCTAACGGACGGTGGCTGTTGATACAGTCGACAATTTTGTCACGAGGCGTGGCGCGAAGGGCCTCGGCGTTGGATTCCTTGACAGCCTCCAGTGGGCTGCTCTGACTGACAAGGTTTCGTTCGGGGCAGACGGCATCATAGGGCCCCTCGTGGTGGTAAGAGAACGCAGTCACGTTGTCCAGTTGGTCGATGATGTCGGGGTGCACAAGCTGCGAGTGGCGCGAGTACTTTTGCTGCATGCTGCGGCGGCGAAGCGGCACACCGCTGTCGCGTCTTCGGGGCGGCTCCACCGGATGATGCTCGGGGCTGCCGGAAAAATAGATGGAAGGCATGGATTCAGAGTGCGATCGCCTTGAGTGGAGTGAGGGCGATGGTGACATGTAGCGGGCGTATGGGTTGTTGCTGCCAATAGTGGTCCCAATAGAGCTGCCCATAGAGCTGCCAACACTGGGTCGGCGATTTTGATTAAATGGATGATGAGGATGGTGGCGCGAGGCCAGCGGCATGCACTCGACTGCGGCCATTTGAGGTGGACCGTGTATGCTTTGTGAAGACAGTTGAGTAAAAAAGTTGGGAGGAGAAGAGGTATAGAAAGGCGCAGAGTTGAAAATCATGCGCAAGTATAAGTCAGGATGACCTGGATTTAGAACGGGTGGGGCTGACCACGAGACCGGGGATATCAAGATAATACAGAGCTGAGGTGGGACAGGATGAGAAGAGAGGATGAAGAAGGGAGGATGAAGAAGAGGAAGGAGGGGGAAGAAGAGGGAGCCTGAACAGAGTTCGAGGGCCGACGATCAAATGGGCGTTGGAGGCAGCCGTGACGTGATGACTTGCGTATCCGCGGTTTTATAGTCCTTAAGGTCCGCGCTAGATTTTTCTTAACTACGGTGGGGCCGAAGCCACTTCTTCAGGGTTTGAGAGATCGCCCAAGGAACGAGAAGACTATTTGCAGAGCAGAAAAGTCTAGATTTGGGGGAATAAAAGGGAAAAAAAAAAAAAAAAAAGAGTCAAAAGAAAAATGAAAAGAAAAATGAATCCATTCGCCTTGCATTTGGGGTGTCGATGAGCTTAGTCACGATCGGCCATCTATGACAGTATCTGCTGGGTCTCAATGACGCATGTATGGACTCTCTTGCTTTTTTCTTTCTTTTCTTCTCTCTCGATGATCCGTTCTTTGAATTAAGCTTATTCTAGACCAAAATAGCATCTCTTCATCTGCTACCTCGGTCACTGGCAAAAGGTACCCTTACGTTGCCTTGCTACTATGCTTCATGAGTAGACCCCCTTGATAACCCAATCCCACGAGATCCAGGGCACCGGTTACGCAACATCAGATTTTCTCCTGCTAGTCCCTGCCGAGCCAGGGTCCTTGCGGTAATAGTCTCCATCAGACCCGGCAGTGTCTATGTACTACATAGAAGAGAGAAATTTGGGAACAGGACCAGCGCATAGAACCTGGCCAATCCATCGTGTCAGTGTCAGATATTTCTACCTCGCAGTATTCAAGGTGATTGGATTTCACTGCTGTCTTGGGCGTCGGTGGATTACCACTAAACAGAGGACTCGATAGAAAGTACGCATAGTACTAATTAATCATCGTAGAAATAATCATGTAGAAATAAAATAAAAAGAAGCCAAGTGTATACGCTCAAGCAAGGGCGATCATTCAGCCTGACAGATGGCCGATGCGCGTGCCGAAAACACCCCACACCAAGACCTCCCCCATCAACTCCCCCAACATCGTGTCCAATTCATGTCCTTCGTGCAATACTCCGAGTCCGAGTCCGAGGCAGACACGCCATCCCCTCGACCGGCCAAAAAGCCGCGTCCCAACCAGCCATCATCGCTCCCTCCATTACCCGCGGCGTTCCACGATCTCTATGCCTCGAGCACGCGGGTCAGCGTCAGAGACGACCCGAGCCTCCACGGCGGACGGAAACGCGTCATTCCCCATGTGGAGGGGAACTGGCCAACGCATCTCTACTTGGAATGTACGTGCCGGGCCCTCGCATGGTGTCTCATGCCACTAATTGGATAGGGTACCCGTCGAAAGGAGAGCTGCCTCTCCTTGCCGATCTGATCGCCCAGGCAGAGGATCAACATGACCAGAAAGCAGAAATCCACAGTCTCTTGCACAGTGACCTGGGCGCTCAGCTGCCCCTCCACATCAGCCTGTCTCGGCCAGTGGTCCTCCGCACCGAGCAGCGTGCCTTGTTCACCGAGACGCTTCAAAATACCATTCGTGACTCGCATATTTCTCCGTCAGTATTCTTTTTTTTTTCTGTCTTTGAGACACTGATTCTGATCCTCATTCAGGTTCGAGGTCGTTCCCGACAGTCTGGACTGGGTGTCCAATTACGAACAGACGCGCTGGTTCCTCGTTCTGCGGGTTCGAAAGCCAGCAAACGATGGCTTGAACCGTTTGCTTCGGGTGTCAAATGACTCCCTTGCTCTTTTCGATCAGCCGCCCCTTTATCAAGACCCCCGCCCATCCCGTGCGTCTGCCCGTGGCCAAGACAGCGGTCTGTGCCCAGACTCCTCACACTATTTTCATATCTCCCTGGCGTGGAATCTCTCAGATCCGAGTTCGAGCGCTCGTGACCGCGTTGCGAGTACAGACTTGCGGCCGTTGCGGGAGTTGCGAGTGCGCTTCTCAAGCGTCAAAGCCAAGATTGGGAACCATGTCGCAAGTATACCGCTGCCAACAGCGGTGCCGGATGGAGGGCTTCGTGGATTATGAGCAAAACATTCTATACTAGGCAAAAATTTTTGAATATTTGAAATATTGAATCAGCCTTTCCTGTGAGTATGGTACCTAGTTCATGTTTGTAATTTGTGCCATTAGTTGGCCATTCCAAGGTTGCACTCCGATTCCCTGTTCGGCCAAGGAGCTCTGTTCATACTTCTCAATCCCAAGGAATAGAAAGAAAATCGACCCAAACTCCAGACTCCTACAACCATCCAAGGTTGGCTGCTGAAGATGTCCACGGCATGCATGGATGTATGGAGTGATACGTCCATACCGTAATATTACCACTGCCACTCCGCGTCGCCCACGCCTCGCTCCTTCCATCTCCAACAATGCAGGTACCAACCGTGACTCTCGTAAGAACCCACCCGCACCTCATCTCTCGCGAGGACCCCTGGATCATCACTGACAGCCGTTCCACTCTTAGGAAGACCTGCACGCCTTCCACACCAAGCACTTTCCCGGCCAACCCCAAACCCTGGTCCCACCCTCTGCCTCTGACAATACTGCTGTCGAGGAGGGCACCGACGAGGAGGATCTCGGGTCCTACCCCGACGGAGTGAAACGCACCTTGACCGACGAGCAGATCCGCATCTTCAGACACAGCGAGATCCACGCGCTGCTACGCGCACGCCAGCTGCAGGAAGATGACGCTGAGTACGAGGCGCGCAGGCGCTTGTCGGATTCGGCGTCGGGGGCTGAGATGAATCCTGTGGACGAGGCTTCGCAAGCCAAGGAACTGGCTGGTGTTGGCGACGATGGTGTGCAGGCGCAGCGCCAACCGCATCCGGAGTCGGAGGCGCCTGCTGGATCTCATGAATCCCTGGATTACGGCGAGGATGAACGGGACGCAGCTCCGGTGCATAAGAAACCTCGGGCGGAGGCACAGCCACCCTTCTCTCGCAGGGTTGTCTCCTATGACGATTGAGTGACCGACGCTGGAGACGTGTGTTGCTCATTGGATCCTGAAGTGGGATATCGGCCAACATCTATTTATGAAGGCTCTCTAAAGCAATTAACGGGTAAGTCATCTTGATCTCTTCGAACCCCTGCCTGTTATGATGAAAATCTTCAAGTCATCCTTAGTCGGAAAGCCATACCATCTGCGGATGTGTAAGGCTTTGACGACCTTAATCTTCTCTCTGAGTGGGCTTGTAATGCTGTTTTTAGTCTGCACGGATTATATTTGGCAATAACTAATATGTTGTTAGGACCATACGGTTCGTGATGATGCTGGAAACAACTGTCTTGCTGTTGATCAACAGAGCCCAAGTTGTAATCTGTTCTCAATCTGATTCCGCTGTCTGATATGTGAAGCTTGACAGGCACCATCACTGATGAATCATCTAGCAAAAGCCTCTGAAGACCACGCAACAAGGCACCAAGCCTTGTTCTGGGCCTGAGATGGCTCTAACCCAACAGCCTTGATTCATGTTGTAAGGACTCCAGCTGCCAGCACCTTGTGGTCAATATGGAGACGCTGTGCACAGCAGGACATGAGTGAGCCACTGCGGCGGATGGTGGTAAACCCTGTGTTCTTCACTGCTTTGTCTGGATGTTCCTAAGTGGTAGTCTACGAGGTTGGTGGATACTACTCTCAACAGGTAACATAAGAAGGGTGAAGAGAATGATTCAATAGAATGAAGATCCAATAAATCTTGGATTCCCCACAGCTAGTTCCCAGATCAGGCCCTTTTCAGCCGAGTCAAAGCCGACATTGGCAGGCTTGTCTATGTTCGAACACATCTATATACAGCAACGATGCAACTCGTATATGCAGATTCAACAGAATTCAGCAGGGAAAAAAAGAAAAGCAAAGAAAAGCAATGCAAGTATCAAGAGCCCAGCACAACCCGCATTAAGCGAGAAAGCTAAAATGCCGATAAACTCCTAGCGCCGCGAATCCAACCATAGCTAAAGAAGAAGAAGCAGCAAAGGAAGAAGAAGAAAGCAATGATATAAAGACAAGAGTCAACAATCACGCATTATTCGCGCACGAGAAACTCGCGCTGCTCGGGTGGTCGTGGATGGCTTTTCCAGAGACGTAGAGGCCGAGACCGCACTGGAGAATAATCAGCAAGTATTCATTGCACCATGAGGAAACACTAGGACGATAGTGTAATGGTTCAAGTCAGGGATACTCAGGGATACGTACGAGACATGCTCCAATACCGATAATCCCAAGATTCAGCACGGTCAGCGCAATCTTCTTCGGCGACGAGAACCACAGGCCCTTGTTCATGTACAGCCAGAAGATGCCGCTGAGACCGTAAGTGAACCAGCTGGCGAAGAGGGCAGTCTAGAGGATCAGGCCAATTAGCATGATACTCGCCTATCCTCTGTCAATAGAAAGGAAGTGAAGACGTACAATCAAACTCAGCAGGTTACTAAACACCGGGATCGCAGACGCGATGATCCAGGCCACGATCCACAGTCCCAGGGCAATGCCCACCCACGAGCTGACGGCAACCCAGTCGCGCTTGTGCATGCGGTCTGTACCGCGGAAAATGCGCACGTAGACGTATTTGAAGGCGACGTGGCCGTTGATGACGCCGGCAATGATAATCTAACGAATATTGAATATTAGTCCATTATTCCAGACTTGAAAAATGAAATTGAAAATTTTAAAGTATGGCAAAGGCCCATGAAAGAAGACATAAAAACTCACCGTCGGCAATGCAATCCCATACGCCACCTTGGCCACAACCTTGGACGCCGACCCCAGCGCAGGCGAGGTGACATCGTCGCCGGCATACCGGTAAATCACCACGGCGGCAATGAGATACAGCGAGATATCGACGCCCTGCAGCAGACACAGCGACTTGGTGAAGTCGCGCGGGTTGCGCAGTTCGGCCATCAGCCCGAAGAAGGCGGCGTGGCCGCAGAATGCGAAGACGATGTTGCATACGGCCGTGAAGCCGTGGTAGAGGTTTGTGTCGACGACGGCCACGACGCCGGTGCCGGGACTGCCGATGCCGACGCCAATCATGCAGATTAGCACGGCGATGATGATACTAGCGAAGGCTGGAAGAATGAATGAAGTTAGTGTGGCTGCGTATATAAGCTGTGAAGTGATATGTTTTCATACACACGAGAGACAGCCACGACATCTTGACAAGCGTCCGTGGTAGCGAGCACAGAAACGAGACGACCATCCCCACCACCCCGAAGACAATCGAGCAGGTGCCGTGGTCCGTGATGGTGTTCATGGCCACGGTGAATGTCAGCAGGTGGCTGGCCATGATGAAGACCAGGAAAAGGATCTGGCACACGCCCAGGAACTCGCGCCCGATCGGACCGCCAATGACCTCGCCAGCGTCGGCCATGGTCGAGATGTGCGGGTATTTCCATTTCATTTGGCCGATGATATATCCGGTGTATGTGGCCAGGACACCCAGTCCAATGAGGATGATGATTGCGCTGTGGTTGATGTATTAGCTCAAATATTCCTTTTTCTTGTTCTTCCTCTTCTTCTTTTCGATTGTCCATAGCAATTCACGTACGGCACGAGACCCAGGCCTGCGACGGCAGCTGGCAAGGACAGGACACCCAGCGACACGGTTTCGGCGACCATCACTGAGGCAAGTTAGACTCGATATTCGAGATACACTGAGAATAGATTCGACCACGTACGCAAACCGCATTGCCTAAACAGAATAAGATATTAGCCAGACCGAACCGTTTTGCAAGTGTATCTGTATATCACTCGAAACATACCACCACTTCAACACCTTGTACTTGACCTCGGCAAACTCCTCGTCCCCAAAGGCATCTTCGCGGTACGGCGGCACACCATCCAGCTTCTCATCGAGTTCCGGAGATGCCGGGCAGACGTCCATATTCTTGTGCGCGGCATTCTCCAAGTCGGCTGGAGCCGGGGCATCGCCCACAGAAGGGCTCATGGCGAGATCGCAGGTAATCAAAGGGATCAGTGGAATAAAAGAGAGAGGGAAATGTCGCGTGTGGTCCACCCTAGTATGTAACTCGTGAAATATAGCACAACAAAATGTCAAAGCCGAGAGAGAACAAGAAAGCCACGCGAGAGCTCCAAGGAGAAAGGAATGACCGCTACACCCCCACAAAAGAAAAACCAAAGAATAATAAAAAAAAAAAAAAAAGAAAGAATAATCTCTGCAGAGGGTCTCTCCGCCACCCAACCCGGCGCGGCTCCTACCCGAAGAAAGTGGACCCTTCGACCAGACCTCCGACGGGGCACGAACGAATCACCAAACCGAGACGTAATGGAAACGAAGAAAAAGAGCTGCTAGTCGGGTCAAAAACTGGGGAAGAGTTTTGTGGCCGATGCCGGTGTGGGCTTCAATTTTCAACAAGAATCACCATGGATTCTACTTCTACTACATATATACATGCAATGCAGTATGTAGTATGTAGTATAACCGACAAGATCGAAGTATGGAATATTCTATATGCCGATCACTGCAGGATCAGGATTTCTCCGCGCTAATTTGGGATAAGCTCAGATCCTTTTTTTTCCCCTTTTCTTTTCCTGCAGATTCTGACTTGGTTCAACTGGTGCCATGGACCACGTCCACTGTTTGGGTGTCGGAGTTGGTTACATACTCCGGATGGTCTGCCCTGGTTTTATGGAAAAGACTCGTGGCTTTGCAGGGAATATTTCCATGTTTTAGGTGTATAGTTGTTTAGTACTAAGAATAACTTCGACATCCCTGCCATGAGAAAGTTTACCCCGACCTTGGCCCGGCCATTTACGGTTCATTCATACTCGAGTGGCAGGGGAGCGTAACAGGACAGGGTATACACCTCAACGATATCCAGAACATAGTTTAACGTGCTCGAAAATGAATGATTCGGTTAACACACGCAGTCGATGAACTGTACAGACCATACACAATCCCCACAAGTCCTGTCCCGCGACGCCAGCGCCAGACCCGTTCCTAGATAAAGTACACAAAATGCTCGAAACGCCAGGATGCTATCATACATAAAACAAAATGCAGGGAAGAAAAGAAAAGAAAGAAATACACGTAGGTTGTGCATGCCCCATGAAGACAACGCCAGATCCATGTCATCAAATCACCCACGACTCAGCCGATTCATTCGGCGTCGCTTGCGTTGCGACGATTGGATCGCATCTGGTGTCAGGATATCAAACGGTGGCTCGAATTCCTGCTCCTTGGTCTCGGGGATTGGGTGGCCGAATGCCAGGATGGAGCCGCGGTGGCCGCGGCGAGTGCCTTTGGAGGCGGCGATGGTGGAATCGCGAAGTTGGCGCTGGGAGTAGAATGAGGTGAACGGCTTGTCTGGCAGAGGAGGGTCGGGGATGAACAGGGGCTCTATGGCTAACGGGGCTGGCTTGGAGTTGGGCTGGTTCTTCTTGTGTTTGGGCGTGGTTTTGGTTTCGGCGGATGGCTCGATCACTTCATCGTCGCCGTCGCGATCGGTTTTTGGCTTGCGAGAGCTCGACGTAGACTTGCGTCGCTTGGCTACAGACGCAGAGCGGGCTTCCTGGTGCAGCTGGCGCGCGGCCCAGGCGTCGACATCGTTGGGGTCCGGAGTGCTTTGCGAGTCGGTTCCCGGTGCCGGCGAGCTCTCCATTTCGGGTTCTTCTGCAGGCCGTGATCGCTTGCGCGAGGGGGCATGTGATTCGGTTTCGGTGTCTGGACCGGGCAAGGGCTTGTCCTTGGCGAGTTTACGGCGTCGCTCCTCGTCCTTCCATACCTGGAACTTGTTGACCAGAGCCTCCAGCTCTTGGATCAGCAAATCGCGCTTCGGCTCATACAGTTTCTTCTCGCTGTCGTGCACGCCCGTGAGCCCCATCACGCGCAGCCAGTCGTGACCACGGAGCTCGTCAAGAAGTCGGTCGACCTGCTGCTTCTCATGCTGTGCGCGATCTCGCTCGATGTTGCGCAGTTGTTTCTCCTGGCGCTCAAATTTGCGATGAGACCGGAAGTACGTCTCTTCGCTCAGCGACTTTGCGCCGGAGGGGCTCGAGGCGGCCCTGGGAAGTGTGATCACTTCGCAGTTGTGAAGGTTTTGCAGGGGATTGCCGAAAGGCGTCGGATCAGGTGTGGAGGGAAGAGGCAGAGGCTCGGACAAGTCATCCACCAGCGCAATGGTCGTAGAGGCCGCAAGAAATTCTTTGCCAGCATTTATATCAGCCATGAGGTTCGACTCGTACGGAGAACACCCATACTTACCAGGCTTGGGATCTTCTAGACTAATCAGCTGCTCGTAGTTGTGAAAATATTGCACAAGCTCGCTCTTGCATCGTGATCCACCATCCGTCGAGCGCAACGATCGCCTTTCTGCGGGTGTTCGAGTCGGCGCAGGCCGCTCGCTGTCAACGGCATCACTCTTGCGCTTTTGCGAAGAGCGAGTCCCGCCCATCGATACCGGTTCCTCTGATTGTCCTACTGTGGCAATCGTGCCATCGGCCTTCGCTGTATCGCCCGCCGATGTTGGCCGACCGTCGCTGCGGCGAGTGGTGCGGATGGTCGCCGGAGGATTTGCAGGCTTGGTCGCAGAGTCGACAGCAGCGGAGGGTGTCACGGTATCCAATTTCACAGCAGGCGTAGTGACCGCGGGCGATATGGTGTCCAAAGGATCCGGAGACTCGCGAGCACCGTGCTGCAAATCCGCGACCGAGGGAGTTTGATGGCCCGGGGTGCCCCGTGCTGTGGCGCTGCCATTGCCGTTCGGACGAGGGGTGCCGTCGGTCGCCAATTGAGAGGAAGCGACCGAATTGTTCGACGAGGAGGAGGCCCGGCGAGTGCGACGGGTTGATGCCCGCGGGCGCGCAGGTTTGACGGGCGGCTTGGCGGATCGAGGCTGGCCAGCACTGGGTGGGTTGTCCACGGTGGTGTCGAGACAGTCCGGAGAGCTTCTGCGGCGGCGCGAGGGGCCGTTTTCAGGCTGGGTGCGCGGTTTCTTCATCGGCGGTGTCAGACCGTCGTCCGGGTGGCCGTCGGGGGGCCGTCGCACGGAGCCGCGGAGCGACGACCGCGACAGGAGGGCCATTGCTCAACAATGGGATTAGTCGCGAGTCATGCTGCAGCGGTGCCACAAGATGGGGAGAATGGACGCCTGCCGAGGGCGTTGATGAGTTTTCTTTCTTCTGTTGGAGATTTTAACTCATGCAGGGGTGTCGAAGGAGATCGCGGAGACGATATGGAGAAATCTGGTTCTTGGCGGGCGTTTTTGTAGCCGACGGCGACGCTGGTCAATGGCTATTGTGGCCATGGATTGAATAGATTCTATTGTTCTGTGTAGTTTTCTATTCATTCTATTGTGCTTTGAATGGGTTGAATTGTCGAGTTCCAGCCACCTTATCCATGGATATACTTGAATCAGATTGTTTCAATGAATACTCTTTCACACCCTAATGTCGCTTGTTGTGATCTCTTGTCTACTGGTTCGACTTTCTCGAATAGATACAGTGGTTGCATCTGGACACAAATATCTACAGGATGCATGAGTGGTTTCTGAACTGCCCAGCGAGTTAGATAGCGAACAATCTACGGGACTAAACTGGCTATTCCAAGGATCTGGACTCCGGCCTACATGAAGGAGACAGCTAAAAGGACATTCCGGACACAATATCAAGGGACAGAATTTCGAGCTGGGGCCCCCTTAGTTCCTGATAAACTGGGAATGTGTGGTTGTGTTGAAGATATCAGAGCGAGAGTTAGGGTTGGGGTGTGGTCCAGACGACTTTTAGGTGCTAAGACCTACTCATTTAGATCTGTCTATAGCAGTATGTAGTATTGTAGTATTAAGGTTGGTACTTATTCTAACATCCGGGGATGAGCTGGACTCTGCCCGAGTATAAATGGACTCGTCACCTTGAGGTTATTCACCATGATAACGGCCAACGGTATGACCTGAATATTCTCCCTATTCCCATATTATCCATGCCCTACTACCAATAAACTATTAGAAAACATAAACGGCCAGGCCAGGGCCTACGTGAAGGATTTGTTGGTTTGTTGGTTTGTTGGTTTCAGAACTGTCCACGGGTATAGTATACTAAGACGAACATGAATCATGGCTATACTTCAATCCGAGGCCATACACTCAAGCCACTGGAAAGACCGTGTCACCGTGGAATTGCAGACCTCAAGGATATCTACAGTCGCATGTGGCGGTCGTACTCAATGCAGATTGCCTTTCAAGCAGGATGTAACCCCGAGATATCTAGGGATGTACATGTTTACCTGCTTTCCCCACACGCGATCGGCATGCTAAGTCGACCCAACAACATAAATACAACCCATGCGCTCCTGACGGCGATCCTCTTTCTCTTCTTCATTCACCTCCTCACCATGAAGTTCGCCACCGTCTTGAGCGCCTTGGGGGCGCTGACTGCGACGGCCGCCGTCAAGGTCAACCCGCTTCCCGCACCCCGCAACATCTCCTGGGCCTCGTCTGGACCCATCCAAGTCGAAAAGTTGACCCTGCGGTCTTCTCATCATCACCACGACGCCGATTTCGTCCTCAAAAACGCCTGGGGACGCGCCTGGCAGACCATCACTACCCTGCAGTGGGTTCCTGCTGCGACGGAAGCCCCTATTGCATCATACCGCCCCTTTCCCACCGAAACACCCAAGTCCAATAACAAGGACAAGCGCGCTTCCGTGGCCATCCAGTACGTGGTTGTCGACGTGGTGAATGGAACTGCCGATCTCCAGCATGGAGTGGACGAGTCGTACAAACTCGAGGTGGCCGATGGTTCCAACAGCATCAAGATTCACGCCCAGACGGTGTGGGGCGCGTTGCACGCGTTTACGACGCTGCAGCAGATAATCATCTCGGACGGCAAAGGCGGGTTAATTATCGAGCAGCCCGTTCGCATTGAAGATGCCCCTCTCTATCCGTACCGTGGAATCATGATCGACACGGGCCGCAACTTCATCTCGGTGCGCAAGATCTTCGAGCAGATCGACGGCATGGCCCTGTCCAAGCTCAACGTCCTCCACTGGCACCTGGACGACGCGCAGTCGTGGCCGATGCAGATTCGCTCGCACCCGCACATGACCAAGGATGCTTTCTCTACCCGCGAGATTTATACGGAGGAAGACATGCGCCGGGTGATTGCCTATGCCCGGGCCCGCGGTGTTCGCGTGATCCCCGAGGTCGATATGCCCGGACATGCCTCGGCGGGCTGGAAGCAGGTGGATCCGGAGTTGGTGGCATGTGGTGATTCCTGGTGGTCCAACGACGTGTGGAAGTATCACACGGCCGTCGAGCCCAACCCAGGACACCTGGACATTATCTACAACAAGACCTACGATGTTGTGCGCGATGTGTACCGTGACCTCTCGAAAATCTTTTCGGACAGCTGGTTCCACGTCGGCGCGGACGAAATTCAGCCCAACTGCTACAACTACAGCAAACACGTTACCAAGTGGTTCGCTGAAGATTCTTCGCGCACCTTCAATGACCTCGCGCAATACTGGGTGGATCACGCAGTGCCGATTTTCCGCCGCACAGGCGACAACCGCCGTCTGATGATGTGGGAAGACATCGCGCTGTCGACCGAGGCGGCGCACAAGGTGCCCAAGGACATCGTGATGCAGACCTGGAACAACGGCCTGGAGAACATCCAGAAACTCACCTCGCGTGGCTATGACGTGGTGGTATCGTCGGCCGACTTCTTGTACCTGGACTGCGGCCACGGCGGCTTCCTGACCAACGACCCTCGCTACAACGTCCAGTCCAACCCAGACGGCGGCGTCAACTTCAACTACGGCGGCAACGGCGGCTCATGGTGCGCCCCATACAAGACCTGGCAGCGCATTTACGACTACGACTTCACGGCGAACCTCACCAAAACCCAGGAGCGCCACATCCTCGGCGCCGAGGCCCCGCTGTGGTCGGAGCAGGTCGACGACGTGACCATCTCCAGCGAGTTCTGGCCGCGTGCTGCGGCGCTTGGAGAGCGCGTCTGGTCTGGCAACCGTGATGCCTCGGGCCGCAAGCGCACCAACATGCTCACCCAGCGTCTGCTGAATTTCCGGGAGTACCTCGTCGCCAACGGTGTCCAGGCTACCGCTCTGGTGTCCAAGTACTGTCTGCAGCACCCGCACGCATGCGATCTCTACTATAACCAAACTACGATCTCGTGATTTGGGGGGATTGGAGCCATTACTGTCGTTAGCAACATTGATCTTATTCTTATTTGTATATACTAATTTGCCACCTCGATACCCCATACCGTGGTAATCCTTTAGCCTTCATTCAAAATGTCTATTTATTTCTTTTCTCACTACTCGTTTCCCTTGATACTATTGCAGACATCTAGCCGGACATCAAGACTAGCGACGTCATAGCTACGTTGGGAACTGTGTTTACCATCACCCCAAAGAGGAAATTAGTCTATTCACGCAGGCAAGTGATTCACCTAGCCCAGTCGGGAGTTATCGATACCAACCTCCTTTGGAACACTGGAACTCGGATCTTTCGTGCATTAACTCCGTATCGAGCGAGTTGCAGTGCAGGCGTCCCGTAGAGTATGATATGTAAATGCGATCTGACCCTCCAGGCCGGGACAGGGGGTCGGCATGGGGAGCAAGAGAGCTGCAGAACCGGGAATAAGATCGAAACTGGGTCATCGTTCGATCAGGTGGTTATGGTAGTGTACCCCGGGGGAATTTGCTATATTACCTACACTCCTATTTTTCGGGCTGAATATATGTAAAGTGTCCTTTTTAGGCAATTCCCCCGACAATACCGTAGAATACCCCTTGAACTATATGTACGAACGGGTCTATATCCAACTGAATCTGGATTCAGGCTGTGATACACGTGGGATTGGGAATCGGCCATTTCATACCAGACCGAGAAGCGAACGCTTGACTGGGTATTTTCCTTGAAATAATCATTATTTATTGATTATTGCTTTGTCCTTTTCCATTTCCTTTTCCTTTTCCATCTCCATTTTTCTGGTGTTTTTTTGTGTACTTCCCAGACAAGCAAGTAAAAGCGAATTCTACAGGGATTCTCTGCATCGGAGATCCTCGGGTTACTCTCCGGTCGATTCGATCGTGCATTTTAATTTTCTGTCCCCCGGTCCCCGAGCACGCGGGATTCTGCGTAACAGTTGTGTGTGGTCTGGAGTTGAGATCGCAGGTTGTTCCCGAGGATTAAGCGGGGAGCACGGGTTTCTTTTTGGGGTTGGTATCACCGCCGCGTTTCAATGGAGATGACAAGGTCGTGGGCTTGTTTCATACAGAAAGAAGCAGGAGTATGCTGTAAGCTATGAGATACGAGTAACACTTTATGGTTGAGTGTGTCTTGTAAACTCCAGAGACTGTGGGATTTCCGGATTGGGAAGATGTGTAGCACGAACTATGCCAACTTTATACCCCTCTGAAAGATTCTAACTGAGTATATTGTATATGCAAGGAAGGAAGGTTGCTATTGATCCACTGATCACTGATGATGACGAGATCTTTAGAGTTACACAACACCCCATGAACCAGGATCTAAGCGACAGTCTGATCCCCAAGGCCAGGACTAAAACTAGTGGAAAGCAGCCCTATTGTTGGCTCTCGACGGAACCGCGGGCATTCAACAGGAACGTACATCGGGCACCTTACTTAACATGGCCCCTATGCCATGAGATTCGCATCCCGGCTCAGTGGCCACGGTAAACAACGATGATGTTTCATGGCGAACCCCGGTCATATCTGAGGTGAAGTTGTGCGATACCAAACAGGCGGGAGCGTCATCCGCCGGAAAGCTTTTTTGGTGGCGTTCTTCTCGAAGTTTTCTACTGCTTACTTACACAATCAGGCTTCTATGGATCTAGATGGGCATTTTGGTTGGATCCCTGTCTTCTTGGTTGTTTGAAGTATGGATTAGTGACCCCTGGAAGTATCCCATGACCTAATCAGTAACAATACAAGCTCACCTGACATGTTCGCAGATCCTGCAACGACAGGATATCCTGTCAGCTCTCAGAGTAAGCCTTGGTGGCTGCAGGATGCCGTCGACGTGGTCGATCTCCAACGATCAGAGGGCGATTTGGTTTAAGAGACCAGTGCACATATACATAACCCAGTGTATTAGTGTATAGAATACCGAAAATCAAAACCACAAACTCACCAATTAAATACTCCAGATTCCACATATGCAAAGCTACCATGAAAAGTCCAGATGTCTGCTATCTCTCGAAAGAGTAACGATCAGATCTTGCAGGATCAACAACCGGGATGAATCGGCACACATTCCCATCCCGTGTGATCACCCGAACTATAGAAGTTTAATAGGAATATCCGGTGATCCATTAGACACATTGGGATATCAATGACATTTCATAGGTACTTTTTGAATCCTTCATATCCCCCCACCCCTGGTGCCACCCTGTCTGTCCCATTATGGATATGTTATTCCAGACACCAGGGGCACAGACCCTGCGCCAGTGCGTCGGGGTGGCCGACATGATAGGCCTCAATTTATCCATGGGTATAATGACATAAATTTCATGGATATACCCGTCGTGCTACAGAATATCAGCCATGTCTCAGTATAGGCGCAATTTTTAGACCCCGCCTACGGCTAGTCTTTTAAGCGTAAGGTTTAATATAATATAATAAGGATCTATTTTCTATCTCTCTCTCTCTATATATATACTAAGAGGCTACTATCCTCTAGGACCCCTATCTAATTTTTAAATAGACGATTAGTAGAGGGATAGTCACGTTTCTTATTATATAATCTGTCACGTGAACAGCCTTCGAGATTTTAGCTATACTGAAAACTGGTTTATATAGGGTATAGGGCTACAAAAGTCATTAATAATGATTCGATTTAACTAATCATAGCGCGAGGTTTCGACCAATCAGAGTGCTAGGATTCCACTAATCAGAGCGCCAGAATCCGGGCGTAAGTCACATGACATGCATGGTTAAAGAGATAAAGGTCAGGTGACCCGGGATGGTTATTTAGAGTTTAGAGTGCTTCGCTACGCTCCGTAATTATCTTCCAATTGAAAAGTCGAGTAAGAAATTGAATCTTTCGTTGACTTTAGATATGACATTAAAGTCACTTTTCAATCATGCAATTTGGCTCACTGCGCAGAAAAGACTTTTAGAAAGCCTGCCGCCAGTACGAGTGATATACACTTCCGGACTTCAAATTCAGATAAGACACAATGTACCTAGTCCTAACAATCAACCAACAGACTCTATGGTTTAGATAAGCTCAATAGCCACATATAGACAGGCTATCCGCATTGCTTTTCTGCATTGAACAGTTAAAGAATAAATGTAAGGCGACGTTTAGATGTCCCGCATCCTGAACTATAGGCGTGACTCGGCTGAGATGAGAGGGCTACGGACAATCTATCGCATGTTTCTATTTTCATTGGCGGGCTTGTATAACCTGGACTCATCGGCCCCTTAAATGGCCCAATCTTCTCTACAAGCCCTGCCAAAGGATTCCATCGCGCGCCAGAATGCTTCAACGAATCCCTGTATTAGAACCTCTCTTAGTCAAAGATGCAAATCGTCGATCCAAAAATTAGACGGGGGCCCTAGGGGGCCACCGCCCCCTAGTGTATATATACATATATAATATTATATAGAAAATAGATCTTTATTATCTTATATTAAACCGTACGCTTAAAATACTAGCCGTAGGGGGGGGGGTCTAAACATTACGTTCACGCTGAAGCTACGCAACGCAACAGACTAGGAGCCTCTCGATATATAGCCGTAGAACGAGTCTAAAAATTTCGTTTATACTAAAGCTACGCTCCTCATCTCTTCAGCGTCTTACCGGCCAGCTAAGGCTAGGGGTCCGGGGGCCGTACCCACTGGTATATAGTCCTGAACCAACAAACCAACAAATCCTTCCACGTAGGCCCCGCCCCGGCCTGGCCCTTTATGTTTTTTTAATAGTTTATTGATAGCAGGGCATGGATAATATGGGAATAGGGGGAATATTCAGGTCATACCGTTGGCCGTTATCATGGTGAATATCCTCAAGGTCCCTTATACAGAATTGAGCAGAACCGTTTGAATTGATTCAACTTACCCTTATATGTAAGATTCTACAACTGTACATTTCGATCGGAGATTGGATTATTGGGGCATACAAATCTGTATAACAAATCACTACTGCCGCACGGGAATTTAGCGTTTCTTATAATAAGTTCGCGTATAAAGATTAGCTATAGTACTAACAACAAAACATTAGAAAAACCAAAATCTAATAATAACGATACTGTCATGGACCCCTATGTATGCCTGATTCTCTCCCTCTCTTAATACAACCTCCTGTTGCGCCTTTTTTTTTGTTGACCATGAGGAAATTCTTCCATTGAAAGCGAGCAAGGGGAACACACACAAAAAAAAAAAAAAAAACACTAAGACAATGAGGCTCAGCTTGAGTTCCAGGGAATTTCTGTTCTCCCTCCTTGCTATTGCGCTTCTTAACAGCCTTGTGCAAGCGCATGCGATTAGCAAGAGGGGCTCGGTGACTGTTAACGGTACGTATATCGGCACAGAAAGCATTATCCCAACGAGAGCTGACAATAGAACTAATTAGCCAAACCAGACACGCCAGAACCCGATCCAGCCCATAATGGAGATAATGGAGACGCCCACCCCTCAAATGATTCAGTCAGCGAGTCTCCATCAACACTCGAGAAGAGGGTCTTCAGTGAACCCGCTCCAGGGGATTCCTTTAACTGGTTTCGCGATAAACTTCGAGACGCCACACTCCTCCCTCTTTCCCTTGAAGACAGTTCGCCCTCGACAGCAAAGCTGTGGCCCGTCCCCCGCTCGAAACACAATTTTGGCGTCGTGAATCTGTCCGGCTGTACCGTTGTCATCATCACATCTCGATATGCTCTCTATATGGGGCACTTTTGGGAAAGACCCACGTTCGAAGAAAAAACCGGCCAGGTGGATCGAAGAGGAAAGCCAATTTATGCTTTCAACGAGCGTCGGTTCAACAGAGAGGTCCTTGATGTCCTTGCCCACGGGGTCAACATGGCGGGAGAGGGACGTACCCGCGGAATCCGAACCTCCTACTTTACAAGGAGTGATGCGGATACTCGCGTGGCGATATACACCGCCCCTGCGGACGACGGCCGTGGTTTGCAATTTCCAGACCAGATCAATAAAGTCAAGGATGAAATCTACGACCTACTTCCAGGCCTGTCTCATGGAATTACAACCAGGACATATAAACGCGCAGGCATGGATCGCCTGATCAGTCTTTTGGATAACCATGTCGACAATATCGCGTTCACCGAGGGCAAGATTTTGGTTCGATTTGACCCAGACTATTACGGGCCTGGTCCCTGCTATGATGTTGTACCCGCGTTTCAAATCATCAAGGGTGAGAAAATTCGGAAACCGGCCACGGTCTTGATCGCCTCCTAAGGTCGACTCTTGTTTAATTACCGCAATTTGTGGAGTGCCTAATTTGTGTATATAGATTCCCTTGATGGGATATGAGATTTGTTCTGAAAGGCTCTTCACAACTATCAAGAACATACCCTAGTATCTTGGTCTAATATTTCTGTATATATAGATATAATGTTAATCTATGTAGTAGCCAGATAAAGGGCTAAGATAAAATTTATCATCGAATGGTCTCTACTTGTTCTGCGCCCTAGTATATTCCTCAAGTTAGGCAATATCCTACTGCTTCCGTCTATATCTCAGATTTACTGTCTATAGCAGAAGACTGCTTCGGTTCTCTCACCCAGTTCAAAGACAGCATTTGAAGCTCTCCCTCCCTCCCTCATTGTTTATTTTCGCGATGAGGTTTACTCAGTGAGATGCCTCGTGCTCTTATAAAAGCACCGCCTGAATTGGAAAGCTTGCGGAAAAGAATATCTGGTACGTATAGATAGAGGGCAGATATACATATTCAGGGGGGTATGACCATGATCACCAGCATTATTCTGATTCCTTCACCAAGTCGTCACAGTGGGCCATGACACCGCCTCACCAAGTGGAGGGGCAGATCGCAGGCCGAGGATTTTGATCTCGGCGACCGCAACACTACACAACTATAGGCTGGTGCTAGAGTGTCCCGCTGTGGAGATGGCATTTTTGTTTCTTTTTTTTTTCTCTGTTTGGATCGTAAAATAGTGGAATCCCTATCCGTGAGTGGAGAGTAGCCACAATCAAATTTTTTGATGTCTGTCAAATCCTGTGAAGTGGCACATCCCATAAACATCCCACAAAAAAAAAGGAAAGACAAGAAAATCAAGAGTGGATCTTTCCCGCGAAAGTAGATGCATCTCCTCCGAGCCCGTGGTGAGGCACAAGTAATCGCGAGGATCGTCATGCGGTGAACTCAATCATAGCGAGGGGGGAGCTCCCAAGATGATAGATCAGAATAGAGGAGGGGAAATTGCCACGGTGCTGATCTCGCGTGTATGCATATCTGCTCCCGAGATCGCGCGCCTGCAACATGTTGATCATCGCACTAACCGAGTACTGCTAAGAGACTAGCAATGCAGCGACATCTACCCATATGTACTAGTCTGACTAGATATAGATATATTTTGCTGAAAATGGCCATGGCTATGACGAGTATGTACACGAGGAGCACTTCCACTATTCAATGTACATAACCGTCACCCGACACATGCATGCCCCCAGGCAATGGTCGACCCGCCAATCTCACAGGAACTATTGTCCGTCCCACCTGCAGGGAACAGTATTTCGGGGACCTTCACGAGGTGTCTACAAAATGGACAGGGGATCTTAGATCTCCGAGTTTGTACCGTGACTCATGCGCCATCGTCTGCCTGAGTGGAATCGTGGTACAGCCGTGTAACGATATCTCGAGTCTCCACCCGATTCGCACTCCCAAGAGATAGAGAAACTCGATCTGGTTAATATGGATGGTATAGTACGTAACTGGTCGAGGGTGAATAAGGTGAGGTTACACGTATCGGAGATAGAATCAGATGATCAGATCTCAGACCATGGGTGGGCTTATGGACTAGAGGCAACCTTGGGGTGGAGTCGGGGTATATAGATCGGGAAGGATTTGGGTTTGTGATCCGATCGTGATTCACAGATGATTTACTGATTAGCTATGATTTGCAGTGATGGAGTATTATCTTGCAAACTATATTCCTTAGGAGAAATAGTCCAAATAAGTCTTAAAGTCGTTCCTACTGGACGCCTTGCCGAACCCAATATTGCACTGCTCATGGCGTCAGTTGGCAGGCCTTCACCAGGGTGATTGGGTGTGTTTTGCCCTGGGGTGATGGCGCCCGGGTGTGACCAGGCACCACCAGCGTTGCCTTGCCTTAACCATGAGGGCGATAAGTAAATATATTTTTTAGTAACCATTTCAGTAATTAGTCAGACCACTTGAGAATATTCCTAAAGTTGTCGATGTGTACAGAGTACAATAGATCATGCTCACTAATCTCTAATGTATTTGAATAAGCCCCGTTTCCACCCACATGGTGCCGTGGCGAGGACCGGACCGCGCTCCACGGCCCCAAAGAGATGACAAGTAAATTAAAAGAATGATAAGATAGTAAATTACTGTCAATGCGAATATTTCTAAGCTTGTCTCAGACGCTACATAAATTCCATATTGCCAGATCGACTATATGCAGGGGGGCATGTGACTCCCCTGGAAGATCGCCGTGATGGTCAGGGGGGATAATTTATAATAACAAAAATATCAAATAAATTTACTTGAAGAAAAAGCGACAAGAACAAAGTACACATGATTTGAATATTTGAATATCTATACGAGGATTATCGACCCCATCACCCCAGGCCCGTCATACACAACACCCCCCACGTATCCACACGGGATGACCTGTCACGACGGGACAATAGTGTCACTAGTTTGGCGGCCACTATACTGGACTTGTCTATAGACAAAATCATAATCATAAATAATAATAATAATAATGCCCGTGCATGATTCTTGAAGACAATACGTAGGATTCTTGTGGAGACTGGTCTCGCTGTCATTTCCATCGCCTGTGTTAGTTGAACCTCCATTGAATGTATTATTACATAGTCACGAAGGCGTAATATCGATAGTGAGAATATACTGACTCATTCACGATCACCCAAAATAATGTTCATAGATACAAAAAATAAAAGAGAACCGCACTAGATCCCAACGAACCCAGATCCGCACCTTACCCGGGACAGGGGGGGTGAAGGGGCCGACGCACTGACCAGGTAATTTCTGGGGGTGTTTACTATTCATATATTTCATATGTAGCTAAGAGGTATAGAATATCATATACGAAAAAGGTTAGGCTGAGATTGTTGAGGAAGGACACTGGTGACAATAGCGCCAGGGGCAACGGAAACAAGATGAAGGACAGCTGTACAGGATCCACTGTAAATCTTTAGACCTTGGCCCCTAGTCCATTACTGGCCCCTAGCCCATTACTATGGTTAGCACAGCGCGTATAGCCTAACCATTCTAACTTTTTCTAACCATTCCAGCCTCGCTTCAGGGAAAATATCGGGGGATATGGATAGCACCGACTCGATAGGGGCGCGTGCACGCATGATCAGCGACAGGATTGTTACCGTCAAAATGAGAGATTGTCGGGGTGGTATTCCGATTTCCATCCTGATATGTACATACTGTATTTATAGTAAATACATCATGTAGAGTCTAGAGCTCCTGATCATCGGTTGGCGGAAGATCTCTGATGGATTTGTAGTCGATCTCATGGCTATGTATACATCCACGGAGACTCTATGGAGTAAAAAGGACGAGTCATGGCCTTGTCCTACCAGTCATATTCTAGAAGTCTAGAAGCTCGTTCGGTAGAAAGATACAAGAGATCTCTGTTTGAAAACTTGATTTGTGATACTCACCAGTATGTAGTGAGGAAGCACAAGCTCGCTTCTTGAAACATCCCGTCACCCGAGACAACCCTAGATCCGTTGACTTCCCGAACAGATTCTGGGGAGATCCCATGGATGTACATTCAGTCACTTATCCACGTATTACCATAATACCATGATCATAATTCTTTGCAGCCATGCGAACCACCGGGTCTCTCTAGCTTGCATGATCCGCCCGAGATGCAGGATGAGAATATTATTTTTAGGAATCTTCTAGGGAATGTCCCACAAGACACGAGAGGGATGGCACAATGAGGCATGGCATTGCGAGGAATGTACATAGAGAAGCAAAAAAAAAAAAAAAAAAAAAGAAATACAATAAAATGTCTATCTAATTATAAGTTTCCTGTCTCTTCATGAGATACGCAGTTACCCGTGGGGGCCCAAAATTGGATCCCGGTCGGCACACATGGCGTTTTGAAACAGACGAGGTGCATGATTACACTTGCGGGGGCAGAGTTAACGTGCGAAGAAATCCATCGAGTAGGTGGGATGTTGAAGCTATCTCGTTCAGAGTAGTCGAGATGTACAGTAGTTGATTACAGTAGTTGATTTTGCCACTGTCCGGGGGTTGATGGGGGCCAACCACAAGTCATGAACTAACAAGAATAGAAACAGTGCCTGCATCTTTACTGTGTATAGAAGGAGAATCCTCGAATATGAGAGGCTACTACGCGAGGATCGAGTGGGATCCCCCAGACTCCCGCATGCACTTGTCGATCGTTCGAACCGGTGTTTCATCCTCTGCTTGTTTCATTCTGTTTTTAGAAACACTGACATACTCTCTTCTTTCCCTCTCGTTCGCTCTCCCACATGGATGACAGGGGTTTGGGGCCCGCTCTCGTGCATGGTTACTCTTTATAGGGCTTAGAGCCATGGCTCGCAAACCAAGTCCCTCCCATTTGGAGATATGTATCCATGAATAGCACAGGACTTTTTGGAGAACTGTTGGGATCGGCCACCCTGAAGGACTAACGGACTCGAAGGATTTGGTTTTTCCCCCCCCTCCAAATTTAGCCCTGGTCAATTTGCATGGTTAGTTAAACTTAGGTTCACTTCCTTGGTTGAACTCTGTGGTTATTCTTAGAATGGGTGAAACTTCGGAGTAGCACAGTTGCTTATCCTGGCAAGCTAGTTAGGGCTCACGATGACGAGGGTGTTTCCACGTGGAAGAGTAAACTGCCGAGGTCGCATTGTAATTTTTTTTTTGGTTTCTTTTCTTCTTCTTTCTGTTTACATACCTTGTAACTTAGAATGGTACTGTAATAATAGTCAGAGTGGTGCGATCGATGGCATCCATGGATGGATCGCACCCGACCCAGAGATGGTGGTGCCGCGTTGGGTATGATGTTTTCAGATCCAAAGTACAAGACTTGATTCCTTGTCGTGTCTACTTCCCGACAGGGTCATTCTCTTATTATAATAAAATAATCCTCGAGGCTCCGCTGAAATTGCAATGGGGCCTGAAAACTTTGGCGTCGGGGTCGCCGTGAGGGGGGCCCACCTGGTCGCAATGCCCAACGCGCGCTCCCAGCTTCCCAGGGCCGTGGAGATGGTGAAGGAGAAAACGAGTCCTGGCTGGGTAAGCCTAATCATCCTGTCGTACGAAATACCCAATTCTTCTTAGAGTGTCGGGGTGATGTGTCATGGGTTTTTTGGGGGGCGGAAGAAGGGAAAAAAAGAGTGTGTGGTGCCTGAGATTGGATGGTAGGGAGAGAGTTCATCACTTGGGGTCTGCAAGTATATTTCCAAGTTTTGTCTTTTGTCAATCTTTTGGTCTTGTATGCCTTTGTAAACACAGCCTCGATGGCCGACCGCCAGTGTCCAGGGCCATGCACCGAGGGTCCCCCCAGAATTATGGCCGAACTATCGGTCACAAATATAATTTACGAACATACAAAAATTACCAACATGACCTCATCCCGTCTCTTGCATCTGTCGGGATCGCCGAGCCTTTTTTTTTCTTTTTCTTTCTTTTCTTTTTTTCTCGGCGGTGAACCAGACCAAGACTGCGCCTCACTTCTGCTGCTGGACCCATCGACAAATCTGCAGCCATCCAATCACACCCCCTAAAAGCGCCTCCCTTGGATATCATTGGACACTGCGGACTATTGAACTGTGGCTCAGGCCGGGTTGTGGCTCAGGTGTTGCTTCGACTCACCGCGCCCTTTTTTTTTTCTTCCTTCACCTTTTACCCGAACTAAACTAACGCATGGCGCCAATAGTCTCGTTGAAGAATGGTCTTCCCGTCTGACAGCCTATTCCGGATAATTGTGAAATTCTGACTTTTTGATTCTTCTGATCTAAATCCTTCGCGGTCTTTCCGATGTCAGTCCCGAGACCCACCCGAGCCTTTGTCAACATGTGACGGTAAGTATAAGAGTATGAAAAGATGAGACAAATAGGAGAAGATAGGAGAATACCCAGTCTTGGAAGAATATGATGTGATGAGGGATATATTCGAGAGTTGCCATTCCGACTCGATGCGGCTCAAGACAGGGAACCATCCTGGACGAGTTCTCACATCCAGGCCGATCCACCAGGGTGAGAATCATTATCATAAAATGAAAATGATACTTGTGGCCGCAGGCCGACAACAAACCATCGGAAGTCACCCTGCCCCTGCCATTGGAGAGAGCCTGGAAGTCCTCATTTCACGCTTCATTTGCTGAGGGCCAATCATCCCGTCTTGCGAGCCATGCACGCCAACATGGGTTCCTCTGTGGGGGAGAAGATCGGCACCCGGATCCACGGGAATACGATCTGGTTATGATACAGTATACACCTGGGTGACTCGATCTTTGTCAGATTCTCGACCTATAGGATATCCAAGCGACATTTGCGATACAAAGAAAGCCAGCGCACCATGTCGTAGGGCAGAGAGAAGCAGGATTGCTGGACGCCTGAACGATGCCTGGGGCCCCCGGTCCACAGCCCCGTGGCATGGTACAGTACGGTACGAATAATACCAACGAATATTCAAATACTAAAATAATAACAAATAATAATGATTTTTTTTATAAAATATATAATCGAATATATAATAATATATAATTCTTTTTGCTATTTATTATAATCATAATTCTTTTCCTTTTATCAAATCTTAGTCTGGATTATCTGCACCCTATCCTGTAGGGCGGATCTTTATAATATCCCTCTCCCCCTTCCCTCCCTTTCACCCTGTATCGATCTTGATTCTTCCCCCCTCTGATCTGGGGCTCCCAACCTGAATGCACTTCTGCCTTCTCACCCCTTTGCATTCTCGGTGAGGCACGTTGCCTCGCACGTTTGGGTTGCCGAGCGGCCCGCAATCAAGAAACCTTATCGGTGGGTGTTTTTTCCAACAAAGAAAAAACACTTAAGACTTTTTTTTTTTTTTTTTTTATTTATTTATTTATATAGAGGAACATCTCCCTCTGCTGCTCTTTCACAATGTTGGCCGTGGATCCCGCCCGTCTCAAGCAATCCTACTACCAGGCCATGGACCCGACTCTAGTGGATATCTTCCCATTCCCGGTGGACAGTGCTCCCCAATACGCCCCAACTCTCACCCGCGTCTCCCAGCCTTTCTATGATACCCCGTCTGTATACGAGTCCGACGTCCACAACCCTTCCAATTTCTCTTCTATGCCCGCTACTCCCCCCCTCTGTGCCCTCTCACTCCGATCCTCACATTCCCACGGGCTCCTCAGCATCAGGCCCGTCCATTGCAAGCGCATCCTCCTCAGCCATTGGCTCGCCATACTCGGGGACTGCTCAGGCCTTCCAGGACAACTGGGTCAATACCAACCACGGCTTGGGTCTGCCCACGGCTGTGATGAACGATTTATTTCCTAATGAATTTGTGGGGAGCACCGTCGACTTGGACGGGCTCTACCAAGAAAAGTTTCCTGACACGTTTGTTGGTGGGTGACATGACTAGATCTCAAGGTCAACTGTATAAGGCTGACTCGCTTCAGATCCTTCCCTGATCCAGCCCGTCCAATCTGGCCCCGGATTCTCTCCGCCCACCATCTCCTACCCCGAACAACCCAACCCTCCCTACTCTGCGGTCCCCCCCAACTTCATCCCCCAATCTCCCGCTGCATCGCCTGTCCCCTACAGCGACAATGCAGAGCCGCACCCGTCCCCCCGGTTACATCCGGGGTCGCGGTCCGGGCCGTCGCCGCTGATGATGCATGCCAACTCGCACTCGCGCCCCGTGTCCGTCTACGACCGACGGTCGTCCATCTCGTCGATCCGGTCGCGGCACTCGCAGCACAGCCCGGCGCTGAGCAGCATTGATGCCGACGACGAGACCAAGGAAAAAGGCCGATGCCCACACCCGGACTGCGGGCGGATCTTCAAAGATCTTAAAGCCCACATGCTCACGCACCAGTCCGAACGCCCAGAGAAATGCCCCATCGTGACGTGCGAGTACCACACCAAGGGCTTCGCGCGCAAGTACGACAAGAACCGCCACACCCTGACCCACTACAAGGGCACGATGGTGTGCGGCTTCTGCCCGGGCTCGGGGTCTCCCGCTGAGAAGAGCTTCAACCGCGCCGACGTTTTCAAGCGCCATCTGACCGCAGTGCATGGCGTCGAGCAGACCCCGCCCAACTGCCGCAAGCGCAGTCCAACCGGCTCCACCAAGCGCGGCATGAACTACGGCAGCGATGCCACGGGCAAGTGTTCCACTTGCTCGGCGACGTTCAGCAACGCCCAGGACTTCTACGAGCACCTGGACGACTGCGTGCTGCGCGTCGTGCAGCAGGAAGAGCCCTCCGAGGCCATCAACCAGCAGCGGCTGGCCGAGGTGGCCTCGGACGAGGAGGTGCAGAAGACCATGGAAAAGCACCAGCTCGTCGACGCGGCCGGCTCCTCCGTCGACCCCTTCGATGAACACGACGACGACGATGATCACGACTCTCACGACCCCGCCAGTTGGCGCTCCGGCCGCGGCGGCCTGAAATCCTCCAAGGGTGCCACCGGCAGCTCCGCGGGGTCCTCGCGCGCCATCATTAGGACTGGCAGTGCCGTCTCGAAGCAATCTTCGTCATCTGCTGCCACCAAGGCGCCCCGCGCCGTGGCGACTCGCCGCCGCAACAACCGCGGCAATTACCCGCAGTCCTGGGGCTGCCCCAACAGCAGCATGAAGACCAAGAAGCGCGTGCTGTGTGTATTTGACGGCCAGCGCCGCCTGTGGAAGGACGAGATGATGCTAAACAACGACTTCGAGGTCCGTCTCCGTCTCCCCGGCGCCGCCGGTGCCTCCCCACCGCGATGCCTACGTCACCGACCTCGACGTCGAGACCATGAAGCGTGCCGAGGGTGTGCTGAGTGCCTCCGATGCCGAGCGCGGGCCCTGGATTGATGGTCCCTCGCCGCATCTCATGGGGCAGCCGGCCATGCTGCTGCCGGAGCTGGGACACTCGCACGATGACGAGGTTTCCCTTAACGAATTGATGGCCTAAATTTCCTCTCTCCTCTCTCCTCTCTTCCCTCCTATTTACTAGGCTTGAGATGGCCGTGTATTTCTTTGCTTTTCTTTCGATGTCTGATGTTTTCCGTATAGCAGAGGCGTCTGACGAGCGATTTGTCTGAATGCGGATTATGGATGATACCTTGGGAACGATGTGCTCGATACGATTTTTTCTTTCTTTCTTTTTCTCTCTTTTCTCTCTTTTCATTTGGAATCGTGTTTTCTAGCATTTTGCACTTGTGGCCTTGCACTTGTATCCCCTGATCTGCGAGCTGGACTGGCATCAGACGGTGCTGATTGGACTTGGAAACAATTACGAGTCATCTAATGGATGTCAAATGCCAAATGGCAGTCTTATAATCATCAGTCTGAGTGTGTACCTTCATTTAGCTTGAATGGTGAGTATACAACACTTAACTTACCAAGTTAGCTGGTAGGCGTTGTGGATCAACTGGCCAACGCAATCATCTTATCGCCCCTCCCCACCTCCACCTCCATCTCCAACCCTCGCGCATCCATCTTCCCCATCCCCAACCGCCCACCATGCAATTGGGTCTCTCCGAGAATTTGTCGGCCCTCGTGGCCCGCCGCTTCACAACAGCCAAAGAAGCCGGCCACCTCGTCTTCTCGTCGACGCATTTGTCAATTATCCATGCCGCGGGGATACCAGTGAGTCCCAACTCCAACCCCAACCCTACCATCTCCTCACCTAGCAGACACAAGAAAATCAAAACAGGCAATCTAATTCTTTGCAAAGTATCAACTCCGCTACTGCCCCGCCCTCGCAAAGAAACCCTCCAACCTCCAACAGCAACAACCATCCCCCGCCGGTCCCAAACCCCCCAAACCAGACCCCTTCCAAGACCCGTCGCCCGACCTGCTGATCGCGCAGTTCCCGGCGGAGAAACCCGCCTACTCGCTCGTTTTGAATAAGTTTCCGGTGATTCCGAATCATTTCATTCTTGCTACCGTCGACTGGCAGGCGCAGACGGATTTATTGGTTAGGGAGGACTTAGAGGCGACGTATGAGTGTTTGCGGGCGTGGGGTGTGGATGAGAGTTTCCACGAAGGGTCCAATGGATCTTCTACTTCTTCCTCTTTCCCTTCACCGAAGAATCCAAAGAAGAAACTGTTTGCCTTTTTCAATTCCGGCGACGACAGCGGCGCTAGCCAACCGCACCGCCATCTCCAGTTCCTGCCCGTCGAGGCTATGCGCGCGCAGCCTTCCTCAGAGAAGGAGCCGACATCACCAAACCCAGCCTGGGATCCTCTAATCGAAACACTCTCTACCACCTCTTCCACCTCCCAATCCTCATTCCAAAGCCTATCCCAGCTCCCATTCGCCCACTTCGCCCTTCCCCTCCCACCCAACCCATCCCCAGAAACCCTGCACACAATCTACCTGAGACTCTACCGTGCAGCCGTAGCAGCAACCCACGGCCAAACCGCAGACCAATACCCCGAGAATATTCCCACAGAGGGCCCCGCAGTGATCAGCTACAATCTGGCCATGACGCTGTCAACCATGCTGATCTGTCCCCGGCGCCAGGAAACCGCCCGCGTGCCGGTGGATGCGGCGGCTGCGTCGGAGAAAATCTTGGACTCCGGGGTTCTGTCGCTGAATGGGACGCTGTTGGCGGGGACGCTGATGGTTAAGGCGGAGAGTGAGTGGGATGCGTTGCGGAGGAATCCGGGGCTTCTTACGGGGGTGCTTGCTGACGTTGGGCATCCTCGGTGGGATAGATGGGATGTGTCTTCTCTAGGATGAGTTGTCTATTCTATGAAAAATGAGTGGTTCATACTCTGCAAGTAGATATGAATGACCTCTTCTGTGAGAAGAGATATTGCTCTCGCATGTCTATATGGCATCCTTGGATATAGGCTTCGGGTGTGGGGTGTATTTGCTGTACTTACACCCGAGTGATATGACTTGAAATGAAATACTTTCTTATTTTAAATTACGTATGGAACTGACGAGTAGGAAATCTATATTGCAGATGCCTTTGCACGCTCCCAACACCGAGTAAACACAACGAATAAACAATGAAACAGACAAGAGCACAGAAAATAAGACCAGAAAAAGAAAGACAGAAAATGCAATGTAATGCAATACAAGCCACAAAAATACTCTGCTCCATGCACTCAATCCAGCCGAGTTCTTCAAGAAACAGGGAAACTCGCCCATGACTCCTGAGCCAGACCCCCCAACACATAGCTAACTCCCTAACCAAGACAGAATAGAACCAGAACAAAGTTATCAAGTAGTCAATGACCAACAACCGAGTAGCCAGAAGAATAAAGAAAAAAAAAAAGAATGTATATCAAATTCGGATACCATAAATCTCACACCACTTCTTCTTGCACGTCGCATTCCCGAAATAGTACGACCCCCCATGCGTCCAGATGTGCTGCGCGACTTTCTTCCACGATACCTTGGGTGGCTGCGACATGTCGCCGTCGGAGGGGGATGCACAGGCGGCGACTGCTTGGCGGAGGAGGATTATCTGATTAGTTAGTTGATGTCAAATACGGCACATACATAGATAACCACAGAAGAAGAAGAAGAAGAAGAAGAAGAAGGAAGATACTTACATCCTTCTCCTGCCACTTGGGCTTCCGCACCCGTTGCTCCTTCGACTTGGTCAGCGTGCGGAACCGGCCTCGCAGCGTCGACTCGGCCTCCTTGAACCCGCCAATGCGCTTGATATCCTTGTACGACAGCCCGCGCCGCTTGCAGTCAATTAGGAATGCGTTGCGCGTATCGCTGTAGTGCATGCTTGCTTTGATGCTGGGCTTGTCGGTACATGGCTGTTCAGGGAACTGGGTTTGGGTAGTAGAGTTGGTCCCCTTGTCGTCGAGAGGTGCGGGCATACTGGTTCCATCTGGACCTGTTGCTCCGGCGTATGTTGGCTTTGTGTAGTCGGCATACGCGTGCATGTCCTGCCTATGTCCTGCTGCGAAGGGGTCTGTAGTTCCGGGCCCCGGGTAGTCCGGGTCAGACTCGCTGAATATCGGGGACGACGAGGACCGCACTGAGGAGTGCGGGTCTGCGGATGAGGGGACGTGGAATGGTAGTGCGTGACTCGGATTGTATGCCTGCATGCCTGGGCTTTGGACCAGTTCCGTATTTGTAGTGTTTGTCATGTCGGATATCGGCCATGGGTCTGGATAGTAGCCTCCATTCGCCCAGTCCAGTCCCTCGGCCATGATATCGGCTGGGTGGTGCGTGTACCACGGCTCTGGGTCGTGCGGGACAGGCCATGCCAGCCATCCAGCGTTGCTGTCGCCGATGTATTTGGTGTCTGGGAGAGACGCAGAGCTTGTAATTTGCAGATTGGATGGTTGGAGACTGGCGGGTTTCTCGGTGTCATAGGCCGCCACGGGTGGGATGTAGAACGGGACACCGTTTGGGATGGCTGGCTCGCTCTGCGGCACTTCGGTAAATTCGAAAGATGATGCCAGGGACGGAGTCTCCTCGGTACCTGACAGAAAGAAGAGGTTGCTGGCCGCCATGCATAGAGTGGGTTTTGGCATTGGATGGACGAGCGCAGTGTAGTTATTGGCTGTGCTGGTCGTGAAAGGCTCATCGATTTGTTGTCGAGCACCGCAGCCTGGATCCCTATATGTGCCGCCATTGCTGGAGTCTGAAGCCTTTGCTTCTGACTCTGTCATAGAGGAGAGAGTGCTCTGCGGGTACACAGCTGGCGGGTATAGGGGCTGCGCCTGCTCTGGGATGCAGCAGAGATTCTCCCTCGAAAGCAGATGATGGCCCATTGAGGATTCTTTGTGAGACATGTCTCCAGTGAAGTGTCGGGCAGAGCTTTGAATTTGGCGGTTCTTCATTGAAATACGTCTTGGACGTTGCCGGCGCAGTCGAGAGCGCTGATCTGAGCCCGGAGAGTGACAGGAGGACGTTGATCCCCAAGTGCCCAGAGAACGTGTGCGTGATCTGTCAACACAGCAAGACTGCCATGAGTCCATGTGTGAGAAAGAAGGAGAACAGCCAGAGATAAACTGGGGGGCCATGGCAGGGATTTCTTTTTGGCGGGCACGCCGTGGCTTCAGGGCCTTAGAGCCAACCAGTACACCGGCCATGGCTGTGAATACCAAGCCGAAAAAATATGAAAGATTGTAAAATAAAAATAAAGAATGTTGTGATGCTCCCGCTCATTCACTTCACACCGCAAGTACGGGACAGCAAGGTTGGTCGTACGCGGGTTGTCGCGGCGTGTAGACTACCGTCTTTTTTTTTGCCCCAGAATATCAGCCTGTCTGGTGGTTGGGCTGGCGGATGGGGGACACCTGCAGGGCCGTTATCAGACTTGCAGAAGGTGAGTGATGGACTGTAGCTGGAGAGGTTTCACCTGCACAGTCGAGGTGATCTACTCACCTTATTCTTCTTGCACCTTGCTGTTCACAGTTTGAAGCCCTGGCTCTGAGATAGCAGCACTTGACAATCCATGCCAACTCAACCAGCTAACTTCAACCTCCGAGAAGCAATAGGCCTGCTAGACTACTACCACAGCCCAGACTCTGGTTCAAGCGGGTGAGCCGTTGGATGCAATGCGGTCTCAGATATGCCGGGGCAGGCGGCCGTTGACCGGGGAGGCGAGCGTATGGGGTGCGTGCGTGCTCGATCTCTTTGAATGCAAGGAATGCAGCGCAGATTGTGCAAGAGACACTGTTAGACAAGACAAGTAGACAAGCTAAGTCGAAGACGGGAAAATCTATCAAAGAGAAAAGTCTGGTCAGGCCAGCAAGATTCACAGTGCTGTTTTAAGAGCACAACTCATAGGAGCACTGACGACATCACGACAATTCATTCTTCATATCCCGTCCAGCTCATTCCTGATCCTCGGCCCGGCTCATCTCTTGTAGAACATGGTGCCTTGGTCCATCAGGAATTGACATCTCCCCCCTTAGTAACTCTAGAAAGTGCCCCCTAGGGGGTAATAGCAAAGTCAAGAACAAGAAGGGAACAAGGGTCGTTGCCGAAATGAGCTCTTAGCCCTAGCCAGGCTGCAAATCTCGCTGTGCTCTGATACTGGCGATCCACTTGCCGCTCGTTTCAGATCGGTTCTCTATTGTCTTGTGTGGTGTCTTGTCTGGTCCTCGAATCTGGAAATTGAGTCGGGGCTGTGTCTGAGAGGTGAGACAGTAGAAAGAAAGAAACAGTGAAGGGGAAAAAAAGCCGAAGGAATAGAGGGTATCCTTCTAGTCGGAGATTTCTAAGTATTCAATGCAGTCGAGGCTATGGCTTCGAAATAGACTTTTCTACTACTTTTTCTTTTGATAGATTTGATATCTATCTTTCTCGTCTCTACCTTGATCCGTGCCATTTCCTCCGAGAATCCTCACCAAGTATACATACAACCTCCTCCATATAGCCCCCAACCAGAGCAACCCCAGCCACGGCGGATAAAGAAAAAATAAATAAATAGAAAAATAGAAAACGAAAAAGAAACACTGCTATGATCGACGAACCGTCCGGATCTCCATCTCGCAACAGCCCAGCCAGGTTGACAATGTTCCATCCTGGACGGATAACCACATAGGGCTTTAAGGGGAGGGCGCCAGAAGAGAGGTTATCTGACATCCGCGCCAATCACAGACCCACGGGATAATCCAACCTGCCTGTAAAAAGCAAAGTTGAGAGGGTAGCGGATGCACTAGCTGATTTGGGAGGCGATCGTGGTGTGACCTGTCAAATCCTTTGGGGATGCCAACTGCCGAGGTGGGGGTGTAGGGCCCTGGTTGATATTCGGCCGGGTTGGTGGGTCAAAATAGTGCTAGAGATAGCATGTTCCTATTATGTTGTTTTCTCATATGTAATGGTTCGTAGTTTATGTATAATATTTGTAGTATCATCTTAAACATAACCCCAAAAGAAAGTATGATATCTCAAAGCATACAGACACAGAGCAGCTTATAGCCTGAAACCAACCACAGTAAACCTCCATCCCAGCTATTAACCCTGTTTCAAAGAAGCTTCTTTCACTTGCCGTGGGATGGCCCGGGTGGCGTTGAAACCGGCAAGCTAGAAATCCCGCCTGCAGCGCTGCGAACGGGCAACAGTTGCACAGCTTTGCTGGCTTGCCAGGCCATGGAGACGAAGAAAAGAAAAGACGTATGGATGGCCCATGAGCTCCACCCCCGAACCAGCCGGATGGGATGCCGGGACGGGTACTCTAGGAGCAGTTCACGTCAGACAACAGAGCAAACTCCCGGCTCTTTGTTTAAGGGGAAGATGTGGATCGACGTTATGGGGGTATGAGCTGCATATGCAGATCAGGTTCGGGGCCTGCCATTGGTCTTGCTCTGTTTTTATTTTATTTTATTCTCTTTTCTTTAAAAATATTTGAAAGGGTAACTTTAAAGGGGTTGGCTTGATTCTCTTCTGCTGCGTTTAGGGTTTGTCTGAAACAGATCCGGGGAAGTCGGGGTGGGTGCGGACAGGAGGGTTGGTGTTGGCTGGTTGTGTTGGCACTGCCAACTGTGGAGCCGGGGGTGGTGAAGGGTGAAGAGGCCCGAATGAGAACAAAAAGAGTGGGGAAGATAGAGGTTGGAGATGGTTGCTGGAAAAATGAATCTCAAGGGTGGAAGTATATCTCGGAGGCATTAGGGTTACGGATATGGAATTCCAGCTTCCACCTGCAAACAACTACATTGAGGCGAATAGAAAATACTATTCTCACCCAACTCAATATATTTCTCTTTTCTACTCCTAGTCCTCCTTCGAGACTCGAATAGCCAAACTAGCTTGGGTTGGTCTCAAAAGGCGGACACAACTGATGCCCATGCCATTGCACGTCATGGCTCGCTGCAGATTGACCATCCCAGAACGGTTCTGCTGCTCTGCTGCTACGCGCCATGGCACTGACTACCTGGCAATACTTGATCAGGGATGTTGCCGAGATTTCAACGGCCACTGGGGTTTCGGGACCGTGTCTTATATATTCTACAGACGGCCTACTCGTTCCCAGCAACTGATGAACAGTTAATTTGTGTAAAACAAAAAGAGGAATATTCGCAGAAAGTGCTTTTTCAAGTCCGGTGGTTATGGATTATTGAAATGCTTATCTGGAAGTTCGAAGCATGTGCCCCTAACGAACCAAAGGCCACTGGACAACTTGTTGGGCAGGAACGGGATATCATGCCAATGAGCACCAAGTTGAAACGTTCACACAGACGCTGATCTCACCCGAAACGGTCCACGTCGTCGAGTGACAGTCCCCGGGGAGGAGAACGAGTCGACCGCAACCATCCCCGGGGCAGAGGCCAGCCGTTTGAGCTCGATGTCGCTTTCCCGCTTCCGTCGGCCAGCTGCGTCCTGCCGGGATGCCAGACAGTCCAAAAGTCGGTCAACAAGGAGTACTGTGGCCAATCAGCATATAATAATAATGTGGACAGACCAAGAGAACTGACCCGCCAGGAGAGTCAAGGTAACGGCATATAGAATGATCGGGGAGGTCATGAAGGCATATGCAAGTGGAAAGTGGCTGGCAAAAGAAACAAGACTCGCAAGAACGATGGCCAGGACAAAACGAATGCCAATCGAAAGCACGAGGTATAGCTGGCGCTCGTGGCGGCGCGCTAGCGCCAGAAAAATAGCCAAAAGGCACATTGACAAGCTGGCGACAGAGAAGAAATATTTGTAAACAAAGGCAAGCACTTTCATGTACATCTGCAGTAGTTGATCTGGGTCAAGGAGGCTAATGTCTCCCTTGACCGTCGGAATGATCCCCATGCTCGAAAAAAGTGCAGCTGTCACGTTGCCCATCAGGTCGTCAACCAAGTCCTCCATCTGCAAGAAATGTCGAGTCCCAGTTTCCGGACACAAAGGTTGCTCCGCAATATCTTCCAGGAGACTCGAGATGGCGGCCCACTCCTGGGTTGCACCGCGACTAAAGGGAATTTCCATGTCGGCGATCGTGCTTCGGATGAGCTGGACAGCTTTGTCCGCGGACGGACGTGGGTCCTCGCAGATAAACATGATGGTTTCCCCCAAATACATCAGCTTCAACGTAACGTCCAAGGTGAGGGCGAGGATCTGCGACCCTTCCAGCAAGAGAATGAGAGCCACATGGAACGGAAAGTGCAGTTGAGCCCAAACTTGCTGAGTAAATACCCCCAGTCTATGTCGTGGAGACACGTCAAAATAGGACTGCCAAAGCAGGTACTGCGATTGATCAGCATATTCTTTTGAAGATAGCAGGGTCTAGAAACCCACCACATTAGTAGTAACTCCCAGGATGTGGACAAACGACCATTTGGTCCACCCACCAGGCCGCACCGTCTTATTGACAATCCGAGTGATTGCAATGACACCCTCCCCGATTATGATCAGCGTCAATAGACCCATTCGAACATTGAGATGAGTGTCTTGAAACCCGATCTCTGGAAAGAGACACGAGACTGTCATCACCATCCACATTTCAATTCCAAAGACAAAAAACCAAATAGTCCAAACTCGCGAAGGGAATCCAGTAGACTGACTGGTGAAGTACATCTAATGAGAGACATTAAACGACGTCCACGAAAACCGGTTTCTTCATAGATACCAGAATAGACAAGAACGTACCGCGAGATAGAAGAGACTTGCTGACCATAGAATGGTGGCCGTGATGGAGACGCCCTTGATGGCCGGTTTCATTCGGGGGCGAATGAAGACAATATTGTTGACGGTGTACTGAGTGGCTAGCAGCATCCGACTGCCCGCCAGAATCAGACAGAGGGACTGGAAAGCCCAGACATTTTCATCATGAATGCGAGCGCTGAATCGAGTGCCAGCGGATGCAAACCCGACCATAGCCCCTAGCTGGATTGCTTTGCTGATCCTTTCAAAGATCGAATCCCGCCCAAAACGGATGTCGAACAGTGTCACTTGAAGCCAGGTGAACCAGATAACCCCAAGAAACCCAATATATGCTCCCAGCGCTAGAGGTAAATGTTAGAGACATCCAGTCCTTGGAAATGACTGACCCGGAACGAACCATCCATGTTGTTGATCTCATGCGTCGCAGTAAAGGTCGACAAATTGGCCACGAAGAACAGATCAAAGAAGAGCTCGATGGGAGTTGCATCCGAGTGACGGTAAAGATGGGGAGGGTTGCCGTCTCTTTCGTCAATGGGAGTCGCAATCCATGGCAGTGTAGCACTTCTCCTAGGAGTTTGTGTTGAGACCAAGTAATACACGACCGTGACGGCAGACTCACGTTGAAGCATCCTCGGCATACAGAGTCCTACGCAGGGGCTGACGGAAGATAGAGAGAAACCGAGACGCAGGCATAAGGAGATTGGCAATGAATAAGTCTAGCCAGTGGGGTATCAAAAGAAAAATGGCGACTGCAAAGAGAGATTGTTGAAGTGCCATGAAAGCCGGGAGAGCCCAAAGCCATCGAGTGGAAGGCACGCGGCCAGGCAGAATGGAAGCGACGATCAGCTTTCATCGCTGGAATCCGAAATTGCCATGGGTGCACCAATACTCTCGAGACCGCGCGACTGTTCCAAGGCCCCCGCCGATGCATCTTGTGCGTTCGGGTCAACACCAGCTTCTTGCTTGAGCCGCTCGTAATTGTCACCGGCTTCCTTGATCATGGCCTGAATTTCCACCTCACGGACAGCAATATCGGCTTTTTCTTTTCGCAGCTCTTCCATGCGACTGATCATTTGCGTCTTGGATGTCTCCATGGCCGCCAAAGAAGTGCGCAATCGTTCGAAACTGTGGGCCAGTCGCGGGAGTGAAGTCATCTTGGGAGGCGTCCGGGGCCGGTCGATACGGTCCGACCTGCCATTCCCAATGGCGGACTTAGTCTGGGTGGCCTCGTAGGCGGCTTTCTCCTCCAAGTCCGAGTCCTCTTCATCAGAGGCCCCCTCAGCATCATCGATAAGATCGCGCATCGCCTCCCGCTCCTTTCGTTTTTGTTCGCGCTCGGCTTTCCTGCCTAGCGATATCTTGCCGTCCTCGACATACTCGTCAAACCCTTCCGCAAAGTCTTCGTCGTCCCGGATCAACCGCGTATTTTGAACCTTCTCTCCCCTCGCTATTGCATCCCAGTCATCCTCATTCCCAGCGTTGTCGTCAAGTGCAATGAAGTCGTCTTCCTTGGCGCCATGTTCCATGGCAAGCCTTGCGCGCCGGGCTTTCTTCTCGCGGATCTCCGCTTCACTAGGGATAGCAGACGGCGCCGAGACCTTCATGACCTCCCCGAACTTAGCTGCTACATCCACGGTCCTTTCTTTCTCCTCATCCGTGCTTGTTTTGGGCGTCGAAGGGGTTGAGTCTCGGAGTTCCTTCAAGTATTCATTGCTGTAGCTCGGCCGGTCTTGATCCTGACCCACGCGAGCAGAGACTTTCTCCGATGATCCAGACGGAATGGTCCGCTGGAACGCGCTCCGTTCCATTGCTTTACGACCCAGGCCATATCGTTTTGGTATGATCACTTCGCTTTCCTGATCGCCATCATCGGCCATAGACGTCTCGCCGGGGCCGAATGAGAGGCGCAATTTGGATTTCTGGTTTGTTTTGGAGGCCGCAGGCCGCTTGACAACGGGCTCTGGGACCGATAGTTAGCTTCAATCTTCTAGAAAAAAAAAAGTAGAGATGGTAGATGGACCTGGAGCAGCACCCCCTTCGTCTTCCTCATCCCCGCCCACCTTGCGGGGCTTTCGGCGATTCGAAAATGAACTCATCGCGCCAAGAGCAGAAATAGGAGTTCGAGCAGCTTGAATTGTGATTGAATGCGACGAGAGCTGGTGGGAGGCCGAGCAGCAGCTCTTATCGCATATCGGGAACATCATTTCTCCGGGCGTGCACTCAACTCCCCGTCGGCCGCGAGTTGAATCTTGCCAAACCCCAGACTTGACTGCCGCGTGCCCAAGATGCCTCAAGCTCAGCCTGAATTGAAGAAGGTGGGTGATTCTTCGCGTTATTTCTTTTTTGAATCCTTGGATTGTGGCATCGGCTAACCCTGTCCCCGCCTATAGTACATGGAGAAGCGGGTCTTCTGCCAACTGAACGGCAACCGCAAAGTCATTGGCATCCTCCGAGGTTACGATGTACGTTCAATTCTTTCCAATCTTCCATACCACAAGATCGCATTGCCTTAGGCCGTCGTTTTTTCTTGGCGCATGGGCTTTTGGTCGTGGCAGACGAGACGCAGAGAATGAGCGCTTGAAGGAAGAGCTAACAAGGCTGTCTTTGCGCATACAGGTATTCATGAACCTTGTCCTCGACGAAGCATTCGAGGAGAAGGCGGGTGGAGAGAAGGTCTCTATCGGCATGGTGGTACGCGCTGACCCCTCTCTCTGCTCCATATCTCAGCATGCTGATCAAGACTCTTTGCAGGTGATTCGCGGTAACTCGGTCGTCATGCTCGAGGCTTTGGAGCGGATAAGCGACAAATAAATTCAAAGTGGAATACTCCACGCCTTCTTCAATTTTTTTGCTCGTCGCAGTTGCATGGGCTTTCAGTGAGGCCCGCGGGAGAAGATCCTTAATGATACAGGGAGTTTCTGGGTAGGTTGATCATATGGGAACAATCAAAACCGCTGTCTTTTATTTATTCTCTGTTTCTCTGTTGGTCTGTTGCTTCAGGGCACAGAGAAAACACTGCACACTTGATCGACTGGTCATATTACTCGGTGACTGTCAAGGGCCTACGCAAATGGGCTGGCTGTCATAAAACACAATAGAGACGAAATTCTTTTTCAAAGCAATATCTCACCGACCTCGCGCCTGAAGCCATGCTGGGTTTCCTTCTTCCAAATGAAATGATCAATGGCAGAAATAAAAAAAGAAATAAAAAAGGTAGAGTGATAAAATACAAGAAAAAATCGAAGATACAGGTGAAATGAACTTCATTTTGACTTCTGTCCAAACTTCAGCTTGAGCTTGAGTCCGCCACTCGCAGGGGTCGAGGGAGTAGAAGCAGTGGGGGTATTGGGACCCGTATTGGGGGTAGACGAGGGGTTGGGGATAGAGAGCTTGGGAAGAGCCGTAAAAGACGGGGTGCTGGGGCCGGCGCTCTTCTTAGACTGCTTGAAAGTAATTCGAGGAGCGGGTGGAGGCATTCCCTGGTCTTCACGCTTACGCTTTGAACCAGACTCCTTGGATGAGCCCAGGTTGGTACGGGCACGGGCGGATCGGAAGAAACGGAGCTTCCCCTGTCCCAGATTCTGGACATTCCAGAACCGAGGGTACTTCAGTCTCACAATTCGGGACGTTCTCGCTTCAAACAAAACTCGGCAGAGGTCCGTGAGTTCCGAGAGCTCCAGAGCTCCAAGGCATGGCGAATTGCATGCGGCCCACAGGTAGTCCTTCATGGATGCGTCATCGGACAATTCCTGCCTGAGAGCCTCGATGGCGCCTGGGACTGTTTGTCGACGCGCGAGGTCGGCTTGGCGGAGTTCCGTGGACGATTCTTGCTCAATGATCAAACCGTCAGCCTGCGTGGGCGTCTCTTGCTGGGGCCGGCCGAAGGCAATCTGTGCTAAAGCCTGGCCAAATAAGCGTTGGCACTGATGGCGGACCCAAGCAGACGGATCAGCGGACATGCTAAAAGCGAGCCACCGAAGAAGGTCGGGGCTTTTGGCGATGTCGAGATCAACCAGACATGCGAACGCTTCCAGTCGGAGAAGATCATACGTTCCAAACCGAGTGTATGGAATGAACCGCATCAAATCCAGAGGTAAGATTTTGGCCTGCATGAGTTCCATCTGACAATGCAACGCGGCCCGGGAATACAGATTTTGAAAAGAGCTGGACCATTCGTCCATGCGTCGGTACCGATCGAACTCGGCGATGGCATCCTTCTCCAACTGTTCTTCAGCTTGGGTCTCGAGAACGCGCTCCATGTCAAAGTGATTCAGTTCATCCTCTGGTCGCGCCTCGTGCCTACCAAGCATGGCATGGCACAAGGATCGCATCAGCGAGGCGACGTAAAAGTTGTCCGAAAATTCGTTGTTTGAGTTGTCATTGAACTTTAGCTTGTCGAAAAGAAAACGCTTGACGCGCATCGGAGTCTTGCCGCTGTTGTCACGAACGTTCGAAATGGCTTCCGGAATGACCCGTTGCAATATGTAGGCAGCCCGGTCGGAGAAGTCGTTTGAACGGGTCATGGGTGAGCCTGGAAGACAGAAAAGCTCCTGGAACGCTTTCTCCAGATGAAACAGCCCGATCCAGTCAACCTCATCTTTGGCATGTTTGACCAGCGCCCGTGCTGCCGCAGCGCGAATCCCGTGAAAATATCGATTATCCATTAGGGTTCGAAGAAAAATGGTCGAAATAAGCGGGTGCTCCCTCTGAGCGGTCATGTACTGCAGGGACTGCGAGTGGATTAGATGGAATCATGAGGGTGAAAGGAAGACATATTACCAACCTCCAGTTGAGCCACGACATCTCTATCTTGCTGGAGCTGCGACAGGTACATGTACCCAGGCATTCCCAGGGACAATTTGCAAATCCACTCGAAATCTGCATCCATGCGGATCCATTCGTAGGATTCTTGTCCCATGCGCTCTTCGTCCTCCTTTGTCCAATCAGCTAAACGCCATGCCTGCGTCTCCTCTTCGTTTTGAAGCACATCTCCAAGGCAGTAAAGGAGCACGTCTTCTTGGGCGTCGGCCTCGCCCGACGCGACTGCTCGTTCCCGTTGTTTCTTGTTCCGCTTGAGCCTTTTGTATTTTGTGTTGTAGGGAATGTCAAACTTGGTCACGCCCTCTTTGATTTCAACAATGTGCTCGTAGGGAGTGCCATCGGCTTCGTGAATACGAATAGTCATGGATCCCGTAAAGACCGGTTGAACGGAACCAGCATAGACCTGCCGAACCTCTTCCTTGACATCCCGCAGAAAGGCATGCTTATCCAGATCTCGAGACGACGGTTGGTCAGACTGAACCTGTCGGATCATCATCTCGACTACAAGCTTCTTCTTGTTGAATCGTTGCGTGGCTTGAAAGCGCGGGCATCCTGCACCGTATACCCATTGCTGAAAGAAAACATCCAACTTCGCATGCCCGAGGCGCTCGCACGTCTTTTGGAAAAGCGAAGATGTGACCGCTCCGTTGGGAATATCGCCCATGCGAGCGTTCAAGAAAAGCCGGGAAATAATCCGCGACATGGTTGCTTTCCCACTCGCCTTGGTGAGGCGACGATCGAGAGAAAACAAAACCAGCGGCGCCTTCAACGCAATGAACCGGTATTCAGAGGGATCGATTTTCAAGATAGTTCCCATGTCATAGATCGATGGCCGCTCAAAGTCCAGGTCACAGACTCTATCAGACATTTGCTTCAGCCGGAATCGATATTCATTGTTCCCGCAGAGCTTCCTCATGAAGGTATCGGTAATGTACCAAGCTACACCAACCGTCACCCAAGTGTCGACCGGTTCGTTGGGGATGATGTTGATTCCGGTCCATTGACATGCGAGACCATGCACCAGCGCTCGCGTCGAATCATACATTGGGTCAATTATTTCTGCCGGGAAAAGAAGGTGGCTGCTGCAAATTGACATGCATGCCATCGGTAATGTATCAACTGCCACATCATCCACGAAACAAATCTTGTAGCTGGAAAAGGGATATGACCCGTATGACAGCGAGAAAAAGTCAATCGCTTGAGCCATTGGGAAGCTGGTGTTCTGCACCTCATCCCCTCTTCCAGGAAGACAGAAGGCGTGTAGAGGAATGGCGTTGAGTCCCAGTTGTTCGTCCTGGTCACTCTCACGGAAGTCGGCCAGATTGACGTACTCGAAGGGACCGACGGCGAACCCGATCTGCTGGGCGGAAAGAGGCGAGTAGCATGCGAATGAGGCTGTCTTTCGGGTGTGATCATCGGGGTTGACAATGTCATCAGTCAGATCACCCGAGCAGACCACAGACATGTCGAGGCCCTCATCGTCCGCCGAAATGTGGTGAACTTGGGTCCGCGAACGAGATTGCGAGGATGATGCATCGCGCGCCTTGCGATCGAAGACATCCCCAAGTGAAGAGGGACACGTTACCGAAAGTTCCCAGGTACAACGGGATGAGGAATCATCCACACAAGGAAACAGAGGGCAACCAACGCCAGACTCTAGCGAGTTCGTGGTATAGGCGTGAGGATAGCGCCGGTCACCGTTATCCACCCCGACAAATTGTAGTCCGTCCCGAATATGGTCCACCACGAACTCGATATTTAATTTGACTGCCGTGAACCGTGGGAGATTCGCCTCTGGTGCTCTTGCACTCGTTGCACCATCCACATCGTTCCCAGCACCCTGCAGTGCCATCTGATCCTGGGCCTCGGCAGAGTATGGGTCGAGTTCATCAATCCGAATGCTCTTGGGAATGGTGATCCATAGCTCAGGATCGGGTGGGCTCTTCAATAGGCTATCAATCTTCGGCGTGAGGCGCTCATGATATTGCGCTCCGTACAACTGGAGGGATTCGGAGGGATCGGTGAATTTGGCCGTCGCGGCTTTCCCGTTGACATTGACGTGTTTGATTTCGCCCTGGCGGAAGTTCAAGCGGATCGTCCTAAGGTCTTTGGACTGGGGGTGGATTGTGATGGCCGTATTGCCTTTGAGACTCTTGGTCGCGAAGTCGATGTCCAGCTCAACCTTTTGATGTCCGACACTGAACCCCAGGCCCAGCGGTGACGCCGTCGCGCCGAGCGGTGTTTCGACAACGCCCGGCATTGCGAAAGAATCTCAGTACTGAGATGCGCGGAGAGCGCTGGATGAACCATCCACCGTCATGTCCAAACTCAGCAAACCATATCAAGATTCAACAGCGACGAGAGGTTTGGGTGTGGTCCGGATGAGGTGAAGCCGAGGCGGAAAGCGCGAAAGTCCGGTGGTGCGAAGGTGCCCAAGTGGGGATCACGAAGCCAGTGCCAGGAATCGATCAACGTCAAAACGAGGCACGCGCCAAGGCGACAGGCAAGCAAAGAGCACAAAAATGGAAGGCGCCAGGCGTCCCTTGTCGCGTCCCGATGCGGAGGACGGCACGTGACTGCCGATCTGAAAATCGCTGTTTCAAGAGATTCCACTTGTCCTCTTACGCTCCTTTTTGTCGCGGTACCTTTTCTTTTCTTTTCTTTGGCTTCGGTTGTGCACGTGCCTGTGTCTTTCATTCGTTTTTCCTCGACATTTGGGCTACGCAAGGTGTCATAGTATCTCACGAACCACGCTGGGATCGGTCTCCCCCTCCCTACCACCATGAGCGCAATTCTACGCCGGATCCAAGGTTGGTTCCCGAGAACCGATAAGGGGCACGTGTCCAGGCTATAGGGCTGACCAGGATGACTTTTGACAGAGATCCAAGAGTCCCTTTCGGACGATGCTCTCCTCCCCCTCAAATCTTACAAGTACTCGAGCGTCGACAAGTCGTTCATCTCGCAGTACATCCTGAGACATTATGTACGAGTCCCTGTGGAATTGCTGCCATGGCAGCGTGGTTAACCTTTTGAGTTTCATCTAGTGGAATGCCTTTGTCGAACTCCTGCCCATGTGGATGGCCCCGAACATGGTTACCCTGCTAGGGTTCCTGTTCATCGTGGCTAATGTGTTCTTCATTGTACTGTTCATGCCAGATCTGGAAGGACCGGTAAGGATCCTGGTTTTGCTGGCTGTCGTGTCTACCTGCTAAGACTAGTGATAGGGTCCTACTTGGCTTTACTTCAGTTTTGCTCTGGGCATGTGGATGTACGTTTTGAGATCTTATTCTCAACCCCTGAGCCCGGCTGACCCTTACTAGGTATTCCACTTTGGACAATGTGGACGGCAAACAGGCCCGTCGAACGGGAACCTCTAGTGGTCTTGGAGAGCTTTTTGAGTTCGTGTTGCCCGTCAAGTCGCTAATGGTGCAATGCTGACCGGCGATAGTCATGGAATCGACTCGTTGAACTGCGCCCTTGCCAGTCTTCTGGAGACTGCGGCCATGGGCTTTGGTGCGACACAGCTCGGTGCGTACACTGCGCTGGTGCCCTGTCTCGCCATGTACTTTTCTACTTGGGAAACCTTCCACACGCACACCCTGTACTTGGGCTACTTCAACGGCCCGACCGAAGGCCTTCTCATCGCCATTTCCATCATGATCGCCTCGGGCATCTGGGGACCGGATATTTGGGCTCGCCCCATCATTGAGCTGGTGAACTTGCCCCAGATCTTCGGTAACGCCTCGGTGAAAGATCTTTGGCTGCCGATTCTCCTGGGCGGGTTCTTCCTCGCTCATCTCCCGGGCTGTGTCTACAACGTCGTTGTTGCCCGCCGCAAGCAGGGTCTGCCGTTCACCCCGCTTCTCAAGGAATGGGTGCCCATGATCGCCTTCACCATCCTCAACGTTGCTTGGCTGTTCTCGCCCTACTCGTCAATCCTGAAGAATAACCATCTGATCCTGTACTGCTGGACCATCTCTTTCGTTTTTGGCCGCATGACCACCATGATCATCCTGGCCCACCTGTTGAAGCAACCCTTCCCCTACTGGACCATTCTGCAGTTCCCGCTTGTTGGAGGTGTTGTGCTGGCGAACCTGCCTCGAATTGGCCTTCCACAGGTCAGCGCCTGGTTGGAGCTCATCTACCTGTGGGTCTACTTCTTCTTTGCCTTGGTGGTCTACTCGCACTGGGCTGTTCTGGTCATCAACCGCATCACCACCTTCCTGGGTATCAACTGCCTCACCATCCGCAAGGACCGGGGGGCGGATCGCGACCGAGCCTACCGCGAATTCGGTGAAGACACCGAACTCACCGAGCCTATGAACGGCGAATTCGACCCTACGAAGGACCATTAAATCCCTTCGGCCTTGCATTAAGCTAATCAAACAAGACCATGTTTGGGGCTTCAGTGCATGGGCATCCTTGTCAGAAGTACGCGTTTTGTGTTTATATATATGTCCTCGATTGTATTTATGAACTTGTGCATATCCCGGCGATACGCTGTTCTGTTCTGCGTTTGACCAAGAGGTGGGATAAACAGCCTTGCAACATCTCGACATTGGGGCTTTTGCGGAAATCGGTTATAGAGCTTTTACTTTGTATTTAGGCTATTAATTTTGTGAATAGGTCAAGAATGAGATTCGAACTGATTCAACTTGCATTCGACAGACATGAACACGCATACACTAACTATCGCGACATCAATCGAAGCATTAGAACTAAGAATCGCAAGACAGAAGACAAGACAATATCAAGCAAGAAACGCCCCAAACAAACCAGCCGACCCGGTTAGTTTTTGCTTCCCAGTCCCAGCGCATCAGTCAGACTCCCCAATCCCAGATTGTCAATCAACTTGTTCAATCCCAATCCTCCAAGCAAACCGTTCAGCAAACCTCCCAAGCCCAAGCCATCGAGCAGCCGACCCACCAGGCCCAGCACACCATTGAGCAACAAGCCCACCGCGGCAATGATCTGGAAGAGTGGCTCGGAGAGCAGACCCCAGAGCGGGTTCAGCTTCTTCTTGGCATGAGGCATATCAGCGACGCGCTTGCGTCCGTTGTCGATCGTCTTGACCACCGTCTCGGTCAGTTCCTTGAGCATGTCTGCGAGCTGGTACTCCTCTGGACTGGCATCTCGCGATGAGGCACGCGCCTTGGCGGTGGCGGCGATGCGACCATCGGGATCGAGGGCGCGGATGGCGCCATTGCATTCCTGGAGGATGCGGTTACCTTCTTCAAGCAGCGGCTTGACCTTCTCAACGAGCTTTTCTTCGTCCAGCTCTTCCTTTGGCGTGCGGTCGGCTTTCTCGAGGTGCTGAAGAGAGTGTTAGAAAACGTTCCTTGCAGTGATTTGGGACATTGCGAGCTAGAGCTTACCTCAGTGATCATATTGCACACCGGCTTGACTCGCTCCAACGTCTGGCTCAGGATGTTGCACATCCTCCCAGCCAGCTGGCGGTCGTGCTCGGCCTTAGCCTGTGCTTCCTGCTCCTCGGGCGAAGGACCTTCAGGCTCTTCATCGGGGATATGCTCCAGCAGCGTGCACTCGCCAATTTTGTTGCCGTCATTGTCGACCACATAGCCATTGTCGTCAATGCTCTTCCCAACCAGCGTGGCCAAGTTACCCGAGGTCAGCTTTCCGATGAGGTTACCATCCGCGTCGCGCACCTCGCCCTCCTTGGTGACCTTGCGGCCGGCCATCGGGTTGACCTCCCGCTTTTTCTCTTCGGGTTCCCAGCGCTCGACCTTCCCAACGGTGTTGCCGTTCTTGTCCAGAACATCGCCGTCCTCGTCGACCTTCCGGCCCAGCAGGCGCTTGGCGTCGCCTTCAACCAGTCGTCCAATGATGCTCCCGGCGTCCGTGACCACGCCGTCTTTGCCGACCTCTGCGTTGTCGAAGCCGTAGAATGGGCCCTCGGCCTTCTCCTGCTCGGCGCCGGGGATGAGCTTGGCGCGTCCAACCACCTGGCCATTGTCTCCCCAGATCTGGCCCTTGCCGTCGACCTTTCGACCGGCTAGTCTTTTGTCGCCTTCGACGATGCGCCCAAGCACGGCACCGGTAGCAGCGTCCACGACGTTTCCAGTCTTGTTCACCACCGCACCTTCGAGGAGGGACAGGTCCTCCTCTGGCGGGGCCTCTTCTTCAGGCGGCTCATAGGGCTCCGCACGGCCCTTGACGTTGCCGTACTTGTCGGTGATCTCGCCATCCTCGTCGACAGCGCGTCCACGCAGCTTTTTCGCGTCTCCTTCGACAAGTTGGCCGACAATGGTGCCGTCATCGTCCTCGACAAATCCTTCCTTGTTGACAACAAGGCTTTCAATGCCGGCGAAAGGACCTTCGGTCTTGGTCTCGCGTTCATCCTCTGGGATAAGCTCGACGCGGCCGACAACCTTCTTGCCGTCGTAGACTTCGCCGTCCTGGATCTTCTTGCCAGCAAGCTCCTTCAGGTTGCCTTCGATGACACGGCCAATAGGGGAGCCCTCAGCCCCGATAATATACCCGGCCTTGTTGCAGGTCAAGCCGTCCAGGATTGAGAGATCCGGTGTAGGCTCCTCGGGTTCTTCCCAACGCTCAGCGCGCGCGATCACATTGCCGTTTCGATCCAAGACCTCACCGTCCTCGTCAACACCACGGCCAATCAATTTCTTTGCATCGCCCTCGATCAGTCGTCCGACGCGCGTCTGATTCTCGTCCTCAATCCAGCCATCTTTGCCAACGACCAGGCCCTCCAGACCGGAGAATGGCCCTTCTTCGTCATGGTCATCCTCGACCGGAAGCGCCTGGGCCTTGCCGATGACGTTGCCGCGGTTGTCCCAGAACTGGCCCTGGTCGTCGAGCTGCGCACCGAGTCTCGACAGTTTCTTGGGGTCGCCCTCGACGAGCTCGCCGACAGGCTTTCCGCTGGTTTCGTCGATGATGTAGCCGCGCTTGTTGCATGTCAGGCCTTCGAGGGTGTCGATGCTGGGGATGTGCTGCTTCGCCTCTTCGGTGGCGTCCTCAACAGTGTCTTTGGCGTCTTGGACTGTATCTTCGGCGGCTTCCTTGGCCTCGTCGGCATCCGGGGCCGCGTCTTGAGCGTCCTCAGCGGCGTCTTCGGCGGTAGATTTCGCCTGGTCAGCGACACCGTCAACGGCGTTCGTGGCCTGGTCGGCAGGCAGTCCATCGTCCGCGTCTTCGAACTCGTCGATCTCGTTCTGGACTCCGTTGGCGTATGCAGTGGCGTCATTAGCGGTCTCTTGGATGGTTTTTTGCTGGTCTTTCACCGGGATCAGGTCCACACGACCGATCGCGTCGCCATCCTCATCAACGATTTCTCCCTCATCATTCAGGGTATATCCAACGAGATCTTCCGGTTCGCCCTCGATGATCTTGCCAATCACCTGGCCGGCGGCACTCTTAATGACACCGCCCTCAGAAACAGGCAAGCCATCCAGCTGAGCCAGGTCAGTGACCACGTCTTGGACGTCACCCAGCTTAGACTGAGCTTCGTCGGGAACATTCTTGGCTTGATCGACAGCATCCTGCAAGACATCCACGCGTCCGACCAAATCACCATCTTCATCGAGGATCTCGCCATTATCTCCAACAGTCTGGCCCACCAGATCCTCGGGTTCACCCTCAACGACCTTCCCTAGCGGGTTTCCGTCCCGACCAAGGATCTGTCCACCATCGGCAACCTCAAGGCCCTTGAGCGCAGCCAGATCCAAAGGCATAGCCTGTGTCACACTCTCCGCGCCTTTCTGCGCAGTATTCTTGACCGTCCCGGCAAGACCCTTCGCCTTCCCAGCGACTCCGGACGCCGCCCTTCCCAGTGGCGCCGCCGAGCCAGAGACCTGGGATGCAGCCTCGTCCGGCGGGGAAGGGGGCGGCGCTGCTCCGAGGCAGCGGATCTCTTTTTGGACTTGGGAGACGGGGTCTCCGGGACAAATTGATCGTCCATTTTGTCTTCGTTGGGGATAGGCTGCGGCGCCTTGGGGGTGAGCTTGCGCGGGGTGGTCTTTTTGGCGGACTCGACGCTGTCATCGGCTTTGGAGGAGGGCGCGGCGCTGGAGCTGGAGCCATTGCGAGTTTTTGAGGGCGTTGTGGCTTTTTGGCCCAGCTTGGGGGTTGTTCTGCACACGGATGGGGAAGCCATGTTGGTGTTTGAGTGGAGAGGTCAGGCGGGTGGATGTTGGTTGAGCTCGTAATATACAATATCGAGTCGTGCTGAACCAATTTTAGATTTCAATGGATCGATCCAGAGATGTCGTCTAGCCAGTTGTCGTATGCTTCGTGTGATAGGCGTGATCCGTTCGTAGACACAATATACAAGCACAAGGCGATATGGTACAGCGAAGAAGGAACAGTATTAAGACAAAGTATCCTTTTCAACAGCCAAAGAGAAGAGATAAAAGAGTAAAAGTAGAATAAAAGGATATCGTAAGAGTGTTCCGAGTATTTGAGAATGACTATAATCAGAGGAAAAGAGGGATTCTTATACTACGACCGATACTATTTATATACGCACCTCTCCTCCCAAAGGCAGGATACAGAGCCCACTACGTCATTCCCCGTTGATATCATCGCCCAGTTTCTGATCGCGATCAACACCGGCTCTTCTGTTCTTCTGTAGCGAGCACGGGGTAAACCAGGGCGGGGTGTGTGGGCTACACAGAGCCACTGGGCTGGCGGTTTGGTGTCATTGTCGGTATCATCGTAGTGGGGCATAGGCGCAAAACCAAATAAAATGAAAAAAAAAAAATATGAAGGGCCTGGAAGAAGGAAATAGATGAATTGAGAGGCGATCTGGTGAAATTGTATGCACTGGATCGCGAATCAGAGCGCTCGGATGGGGGAGGAGCTGGGGTAGAACATGACGCTGGGTCTGTATTACTAGACTTGCGATACACTACTATGATCAATGAAGAGTTGTAGAAGTAGTCTTAATTCTCTCAGGTATGACCGATATGTTCGTCTTCTTTCAAGGAGGGTGTAGTAGATATCATCTACCACTGAAAGGGCCTCGATCTGTCACCAACAATGACCACGCGTCCTCGCAACGGCGTTGAAAAGCAATTCATTTTGACAGCGGAAAAATAAACGGCGGCACCTGTGACTGGATGTCGGCACGGAGGCGATCCGTGGAACGCGAGTGACTCCAGCATGATAAAACACGGTCGATCGAATCAGCGTCGTATCCAATATTAGGCCAGGGGCCCCTGCTCCAGAGCCATTTGCCTTGAAGCAGTGCCTGTCAGTTTCCCTGTTTAGTGGCTGAAGAGAAAGCAATGAGAATAGGGTATTCATTGGTTAATGGGTGGTGCTTGCTTGGAATCATCATGACATCAGAGTTGACAGCCGTTGGACAATGCAACTCTATACCAACTCTACCCTAGCTTCTCCTGTTTTTTCTTCTTGCCCTGTGAAGTAGTGGCTTAAATAGAATAGTGTGGTCAATCATTTGCCGAGTATGGATGTATGAAAATGCCAAGATCAATTGTAGTATCTGTCCGACGGGAGTATACCAGAGTATACCCACCCGTCACAGACAGAACAAGGACATGCTGACCCCAGATCGCTGGGATCGGGGGACCCCCCTGTCAGATTCAACGGGGAGTGGAGCACACTCTCGGCGACTCGGCCGGATGAGATCATTGGCGATCGGGTGCATCATATTTAATCTATTTGAGTGGAGAGGACAGCCACCCAAGTCATTCCAGGCCGCTGATATCATCGGCCGCGATATCAGGGAAACATGATTTTGCTTGAATTTTGTTGTCTTGGGCTGTGTTTTTTTTTTTTTTTTTCTTTTCTAAATTTGAGAATTGCTACAATGGTTCAGTATGTCCCTGCACTAGATGGAGACGTCGTTGGACTGTGCCACAGCGTGACACCGCTGACGTTGATCGCCGGTTGAAAAATCTCCGATCAAATCGGGCTAATTGATTTTTTTAGATCATTAAATCTGTACTTTTGCTTAATGTCTTGACCATGTACCTGAATAATATCCATCGTGGCGAACTATACGTGTTTCGGCAAACAGTCGAAACTGATCTATGGATAGACATACTATGGAAGTGACCATTATCCTAAGGAAATGATATCCTGATAGCTGCAACCCATGCTGATACAAGTCTTGCTACACTTTACCGGCTAATCTACAGTATCAAATGCCACGGCTCTACATGAGTAATAGTCTTGTAGCTGTGTTTCAGGGTAGCTTCTTTCAGAAGATTTGTGTGCAGGTCTCAGGAACTATAGTCCCTGCCGAGACATGTTTTACAGGACAGTTGCTATGTTTCTATCTATACTATATACTAAAAGAGAAAACCTATTGTCTTCGTGAACCTCTAACATTGATAATGGACTGAAAACATGAAATTCGGGCAAAATGAAACAGACAAAGAAAATACAGTTTTTATTGATTGATGGTGAAGTGCATTCTTTCATCGCCTCTAACTCAGACTAAGTCAGAGATAGTTTGAGACTACAAAGAAAGCAGAGACAATAGCTTTATAGATTGGATATAAAACCAGCATACACTTCCAGCCACTGAAGGATAACAGCCTAATACTTCTCAATTCCCTCACTTAACTCATCATATTTCTCAGTTTTTCTTTTCTTCTTCTTCTTCTTCTTCTTCTTCCAGCATGTCTGATATCCAACAATGTCGACAGATCATCGCTCAACTCGAGCGGGACTACAACCAGGAGCACAAAACCACATTCATCGACATCGTCCCGGACAAAATCATCGAGATCTCAACAATGGCACTGTGGGCCCAGTCTATATCAGGCGCGAAAAAGATGGACCTGGGCCTGCCGGCTCCGAAAGCCTGGCTGAGAAAACTCGCTGCAAGAGGTCCTGCTGAACAGGCTGAGACGTACAAGGGTGTTATGTTTGCGTTTATCAAGCGTAAGTTTTTATGTTATGCTATTTTCTTTCATTTTCATGTTTGCCTTTGGCTTATCTATGTGGTTTTGGTGGACTATGACTGATTCCCTGATTCTCTATAGAAGAACCTATCAGCCGACCTGTTACTCTCCCCTTGTCATATGAGGAATGGATCCGTTCAGGGGACAAGTAATCTTGATTGTCTGCCGAGGCGTGTGATATTTTTGGGGTCGGTTTATAGTATAGAAGCTGCACACAAGGCATGCACTGTCGATGTCTATTATCTGTTTTTCTGGGATTCTTGGTCCTCTCGTATGTATAGACATCCCTCTTCCTCCGTGCCCCACAGTAACTCCATAACAGTAAAGTTGTGGACTTTTTTGAGATTTTTAGATGGTTTAAGGGATTCCTTTTCTAATGAAAAAAGGACCAGCTAAGGTGCTTGAAATAACAAAGCACTGTAATATAAATAGACATCCCCATTTATTCAAGGCCACGGCTTAAATAATAACTCATGTCTATGTACAAAGAGCATGGAACGGCATCAGAGCCATCCCGGGTAATCATCAATTAGCGTTGGGGGGGTAAGAGACATCCATACATCGAAGCTTCAGAGACGAGGGCATGAGGCAATATATTCACCCAGTCAGAACACCAGTCCGTTCGTAAACAAAAAGCATGTCGCGAGGTAGATATAGGAGGTATAGCATAGTTTGGTGAGAACCCACTACGGCTCGCCACGGGGCTTGCTCAGCCGGCGACCCTGGTTCGCCTTGCGGTCGACAGCCAGCGACTGCGCGAACTTGCTGCGCTCGCGCACCTGCGGGCCCTTCCAGTAGAAGACGTAGATGGGCAGCACGACCAGACACGACAGACACGCCAGCACGGTGGACGCGTACTCGACGTGCCACTTCTGGCCGATGTTACTGTACATGGGTGTGGCGTACATGGCCGAGATACCGGCGAGGAAATCACGCGCGAACGCGTTGCCACCGCACGCTGAGGCTGAGTATACGCCGTACGAGGCGATCATGTAGTCAACCGACGAGAGATAGATCGCGTAGTTGGCGATGCCGACCATCGTCGAGAAGATCATCGATCCGATCCAGTGCACGTTGCGCTCGTTGCCGAAAGACGTCCATGCGAATCCGAACAGGCCGATTGGCTCGAACGGCGCCAGGAACAAAAGCCATTTCAGGCGGCGCTCCGGGGGCAGGGCGTCGTCGCCTTGCGACTTGCGGATCGCGCCGTCGCGGATGAACCACGGGAAGTACGAGAAGTAGGTGAGGAAGTAGGCCAGGTTGATCGGGATGAAGGCCCAGGCAATGGCCAGCGTGCCGAAGTCCCAGCCTTGCTTGTACACCAGCGTGAAACTCTCCAGGAAGGTGAAGATCAGAGCATCCGAGAATCCGGAGAGAAGCGACAGACACAGCACAATAGGCTCACGGACAAGCATAAGGAATGGTCGCATCCAGATGGTGCCGGCTTCCTTCAGTGAGACTCGCGGCTTCTTCAACTCGTTAGGACCGTAGACGTACGGGTTTTCGCCCGTCTTGCGCTGGCGCTTGGCTTCCCGGTCGATGAGGATGGTGGAACGACTCTCGGGCATGAAGAAGATGATGGCCTGGACAACTCCTCCGAAGATGAGCTGGATCCAGAAGAACCATTGCCATCCCAGGACTGGTAATGTGGGCGAATGTTAGAATTGTGGTTTGAAAGGGTAATAAAGGGGGCGGGGGGGAATTAGGGTTGTCGCTTACAGCGCTCAATGGGACCACCGATGATACCACCAATACTGGTACCGATGCAAGACGACAGGACGATGAAAGCTAGTGGGAACTGCTGCGTCTCGGCTTCGTAGATGTCTGCAATCAGACCCAGAGTGACACTGCCACCAGCGGTAGAGATACCACCCTAAAATAGGTCAGCATGCCGCCTCATAATACAAGTATTGAGACTAAAAGGGAATAAACTCACCAGTCCACGAGCAACAACAATGCTCCCCCAGTTCGGAGCCAATGCAGCCGGGATTTGCCAGATGTTGATGAGGAACATTGAGAGCTGCAGGATAGGCCAGCGACCGAACTCCTCACTCCACGGCGCCCACAGTTCGCACCCAATGGAATAGGTGACCAGATAGATCATCTGGCCGACACGGGCCTTTTGCTCGCTGATATCAAACGCCGCCGCCAGGGGCTTAACGGCGTTGGGGTACACCGATGTGTTGAAGTTCATGGAGACCTGAACACAGGCGACGGCAGCGAGATACGACCACTTCTTCCATCGCGGCCAGCAGTAGCCCAGCTTCTCGTAGCAGTCGCTCTCCTTGAGCTCATGGGGCTCGGTCAAGGGACCCTCGTCCTTCTCCGAATCGTCACCGTTGGAGATTTCAGGCCCCGGACTGTTCTGGCTATCGGTGCCCTTCTCAGAGCCCGGGGCGCTGACAGCTTGCTCCCCATCTGGGACTTGATGCGGCGCGATATCGGCCATTTGTCGCGCGGTTTTTCTTTTTTTTTTTCCTGTGTTATTGCGTGGGGGAGAGTGAAATCAGGCACGACACAAAAACATGGGGAAAGACAGGGGGGAGGAGCCGATAAAAAAACCGGGCATGAACTACTTTACTCCTTTACGGCAGATTTTTTTTTTTCTCTTTCTCTTGCGGAGCTTGCATTCCGCTTAATTTTCGGCTCAGTCGTCATTCCTGTTCACAAACCGGATTTACAAAGGTACCCACAGTAGATAAGTGGGTGCAGTGGAGTAGATCACCCGCTAGGCGCGCGAGATACCGAGACAACTTCGGCTCGGGTAGTTCTTTTCGGTTTTCTCGGACATCGCAAATAGAGGACTTGAGAAGAGCACCACCAGATGCGTTCGGCTTTATTCTGAGAATATCACAGTTGGGAATATTGCTGGTTGTTGGAAAGAGGTGTGATAAGACTCGGGCGTGCATGGTCATGACGACGCAAGCATAGTGCCAATGCGGCCGATAATTGTGGAGATGCCAATGGCTAGACTGCACCCGACGACAGGGCACCCGTTCGGCTTCATTGCATTATTGACCTTGTTGATGTCGCGTTTTCATTCGAAGTATCTCAAGCCGCACTCGTATAGATGCAGACGATTCTATACCTCTAGTTTTTTTTTTTTTTTTTTTTTTTTTTTTCTTTTTTTTTTCACCTCTGGTCTCTATTAATTCAAAACAAGCACACGATATGTGCAATGGTAGGTACTGGAGCTTCAGATCCTCACAATGTGATTGGGGAGAAAAGGGGGGGGTTCTCCAAATAAGCCAGGATCAGAATCATGCGAGACTCGAGCAAAACAGAAAAGAAAAAACGAAAAGCAAACTTTGTGAAGTGGGGACTTGGATCTACCCGGCAAAGAGCATGGACTAGGGGCCAATGATACTGTGATAACCAGGAACCGTCTACAAAATGCGTTGATTATTCCGAGGTTCATCCATCCCAAGGGTGGTGATACGATTTGATATTGGATTTGATACTCTGTTTTTCTTTTCTTTTCTCTTCTTTTCATGTTTCTTCTACTGAGTATGTGAAGTGTTTCTAAATAGTATATTCTCAATATTAACTGTTTTCACTGTTTTCAAGTGTTCTTCGGGGAGGAATGCTCGTCCCTTGCCTGCTTCTTAGCTTCTTGTCTGCTTGGCATGCTCCACTCATCTCGCCCCAACCAGCTTGAGCAGAGCCCGGGACTGACGTCAATTCACTATGGAACAAAACCAGTTGGGCAAGAAAGGCGAATAACCGCATGCAAAATGTAATCAGAGCATCCACTTGCCACAGTGTGAGGTGCAGGGCAATCCGGTGGGGATTCAATGCATGCGGGAGGTATTATTTTACATATTTCTATCTGATTTGACTGATAGCTGCATCCTTCTAACAAGACTATATCCCTCGAGACACCTGCCCTGACTCGGGGACCTTCCAGGGCAATCTAAACTAGTAGCGGGTGAGCTGCTCTTGAATCCTTTTGATGCTGGGGCAGTGGAGAGATGCATTCCATCAAGGGCAGGAAAAAGCCGCAGTATAATGCCTGGTGCAGTTCAACCATCGCATTCGAAGACGCTGTAAAGAGCTAGCTTAAACACAAACCTCGGGACCCTCAGTATCCTGGTCTGCTGGTTATATCATGTGGCAGCTCTAAACCCTGAACTAATCCCCACGAAGCTCAAGCAGACGCGCCAAATCCGCTACCTCAGTGTGATCGCGCGTGTTCTCCATGCGATGACACCAAGTAATCCCCCTCTCACCACCCTCCCCACCCTCCCCACGCACTTCAAAAAGAAACTCGCCCCCAATCTGGTTGGAAGGACCTCCCTTGGTCGCCAAACCATTGGGGATTTGTCTCAGCGCTTGCATGATCGACTGGCCCACGATCGACACGAAGCTCCTGCGAATATACGTGGGCCGCGAACCCTGGGCCAGCGACCGCGTCATCCCCAGCTCGTCGTACAGTTTGCGCGTCGGATCCGAGTACATTGGGAATGGACACCCCGTGTCGGTGGCATACATGTCTATCAGGGCTGGGTCGCCGCAGCCCACGATGACGATGGAGGTGCTGGTTGGTAGACGCGATAGATCGTCTGGTTTGATGGACTGAGATAGATTGGAGAGGAAGTCCTGGCAGCTCTATCGTGGTGTTAGCCCGACATTACCCTCTTTTCATAACTCTAAATCTCCTTTTTGCGGCATCTGCTAGATTGTAGACGTTGACGTTGACGTGGTGGACGAGAGAGAGTTACCCCGCAAAAGAAGTGCCGCACGAAGATAACCAACACGCGAGCGGCATCTCCGCTGTAGAGACTCTTGAACAGATGCTCTTTGCCATGGCGGTCTAAAACCGTGTGGTCTGCGACTTTGCGCTGTGTTTCTGGCAACGGCAGCGCGTCGGTTGCTGTGGCGTGCGCATCCCCGAGGTTGGCTGCCCCTGATGGAGCGTTGGTCGACGTGGGGTCTTCACTTGGGTAGGTTGGGGTCGCTGTTTCAGCCATTGTGTCTGATCGTTCAGTTGGTTCGGTAGAAAGATAATCGAGTCAGCAGCTCGGTCGCGCTTTACCCCAATCGTTGCGATAGTCCCTGCCAAGCCTTTTGAGCATCTGCGTTCTTGTTTCTTCGAGTTCACTGCATTTTTGCCCGTGTAGCACACAAGATGAGGAGGAAACAAATAAATTAGGGAACGGAAACTTTGAAATAAGCCACTGTGATCGGTCGAATCAAGTTATGAGCAGTAGCTTCAAATTTCCATTGCGCCGAGTGCAATTCCCCTCGATATCGGCCAGGGTTGGGTTGCGGCTATGATCAGGAATATCGCTTTCGGTGTGCCACAGGCTATGACTTCTTTCGATATCAATCGCGTGATTGCAATGCCCGTCTTCTCGCTCAGTGTGGTTTCTCTGGCATTGAGATCCATGCAGCACATGGTTATCTCTTATGTGAGTTTTCTTTTTCTGATCCGATCTGAGGTGAATTATTGACTTATGTTACTGGTCTGAAATTCCTCTCTAAAAAGGTGAAGTCCCACAACGTATTCCGTGGCAGAAAGGGCTTTGTTTGGTTCTAATACTGGAAGTCGATCTACAGAGTAATACTCGTCAAGACCAATATAGCGGTAGCGCCGAACGGCGTGCTTGTATGATTCTCGACATGATTCACCAGAGTTATTGAGGCTGTTTGTGCGGTTTCTTCTATATTCGTTTTAGCCGTCTATTTCTTATAAACTTAATTAACACCTTTGTAGGTTAAGAGCCGAGTAGACATAGACAGACCCATGTAGACCTCGCCATGGAACTACCGCGAACTACCCAAGAAAATTTATGTGTATAATTAATCCTAAATAGGAACCTCCTGCTTGTACACCAAGGTTTGTGTATATTAACAAGCAGTTTGATGCACTGAAATGGGTAGGGATTTTGAGACCTCGCGGGTAATGAAACCAAAATATCTACCTATGACGACGTCAATGGCCTCATCGAAGGCATCTATGCCGTATGACTCTCAGCACCCCTTCTCATCTTGACGCAACACTGATCATCTATATAGCCATCAAAATGCTCCGACCACCCAGGTCGAGTTCGGAGACCAGAAAGTCGATGTACCCAAAGACGGCTATTACGACCGGTATCGTATGAACCCGAACCTGGACGAGGTGGCGCGCGATCCGGCTGTCGGACCAGACATTGAGCTCTTCCGGAAGATTCCAAAGAGACTGGTAGATTCAAGAGTCGGCCAGGTATACGCGCCCAATTTCTACTATCGCACTAGGAGCGTCCAACTTGTGTACCTGAGGCCCCTTGCCCGCTTGCAGCCTAAGCTCCCATCACCCTTGGAGCCGATCACAGCACTGCCTAGTTACGGGTTGGCCGCGCTGACGATCTACTCGTACCTCATCTGTGACAATGATCCGTACAATGAGGTCTCGGTGGCCATTATAGTTCGTCATCCGGGGAAAGAAAGTCACAGCACGACTCAACTACTCAGCTCGATATGGAACCGAACCTTCTACGGCTATGTGCTGGCTCTACCGGTCGATACCGAGATTGCTCGAGTGAGAGGCGTATATGGATACCAACTGCCTAAATGGCTGGCAAGCATCAAGCTGGAAATGGATGATGGTCATGGTATTGACGCCGAAATCACTGCAACTGATGGCACGCCCGATCTGAAGCTGGAAGCCCCCTACCAGCTCTGAAGATCATCCCATCGCAATCTTCGATCACGACCAACAACGCCATCAACAAGATTGACGGGCAGTGGTGCCAGGTGGCGGTCCAGGCGAATCCACTCCTGGCGGCACAATGTCTTTTTCGACGGAATATCAAACTATCTCGGGGCGAAGGCCCATTGAGTACACTCCTCAAAGAACTAGGCGTTTCGACCATCCTGCGTATGGACGTCCTTAAGGATGCACAGATGGTTCTTAACATGCCCACTCCTTTGGACCTTCGATAATGTCAAGCTTTGAACATCATCATAATGGCCTTACTACTAGTCAGATGGCGAGCATGCTGGCAGCGGTACATCCTATCAACATTTTTTATACTTTGATGAACTTGAAGTGAGCGCGATGGTTTAGATCTTAGATCTGCCAGTGTCCTTTCTATTTGTCAGACAAGCCCTATTCGCCATCCAGTCTGTATAGGTGCACATAAACCAAGCAAAAGCTCAATATTTTTGAATCCATCGCTCCACATGGCAAAATGATTATTAAATTACAGATCAAGGATTCTGGTTATTCTCCTGACCACCCTCGTCCTCATCCGCAGCCTGCGACTCCTGAACATGCTCGTAAAAAGGCGCAAACTTGCTCCTCTTCCGCAGAGACCTGCCAAAGAACAGGAATGCCACGGGAATAGGGATAAGCACGGCAGCCACACACCCGAGGAGTGTGGAGGCCCACTGGATACCCATATTCTGAAACATCTGTCGCGAGAAGAGCGGAAAACTGGCTGCTACCATGGAGCGACAGAAGGTGTTGGCTGCGATGGCTGATGCGGCACTATTAAAGAGTTAGCCGGTATTCAGAAGAGGCAATTTCAAGGCAAAAAAAAAAAAAAGAAAGAAAGAAAGAAAGAAAGAAGGAAAGAAATACAATCACTCACAACATCAAGTATGTATCAATCAGGTAGTTGAATAGTTGGATGAAAATCACTAACAAGCCAAACCCGGTGAATAGCCCACTGAGCGTCGGCACAATCCACGGAATGCTACTCGTGAACCCAGTCCATCCGAACCAAAACAGTCCCGCGGCAAAGAGGAACCCTCCAACAATCACCGGAGGAAGACGCCACTCGGGAACGGGGACGCCCCCGTTCGCATCCAGCCGGGCGTTGTATCCCCGGCTCGACCAGATGATGTAGGACGCAGCGATGAACAGGCCCACCACCATTCCGAACAACGGCAGGCCGCCCACACCGGGGTTCATGTGATAAACATTCTGAAAGACGAGCGTGTACGCCGTCAAGAAACAATACAGCAGACCGTAGATGAAGCTGAGGTATATCGTGACGGCCGAGATCAACGGCTCGTTAATCAGCAGGCGCAGTGGGCGCGAGAAATTGTTCACCATCAGCTCGCGCAGGTCGACCTCGATCTCTTCTTGTTTGGCGTGGATGCCCCAGTTCTTCGTGCGACGGCGTAGCTCCTTAGCCTTGGCGACCAGAACCATCGGAGGATAGGATTCTTTCAGGAAGAGGACGTTCAGGACGAACGCGGCATAGCCCATGATTGCAGGGATGTACGCAGTCCAGCGCCAGCCGAGATACGACATGTTGATGAATCCACCGATAAAGGGGGCCAGCAGCGGGCCCAGGAACACCGTGCTGGAGAACATGGCAATGGCAATGCCGCGCGTGCGGTTGTCCCAGATGTCGGAGAAGACGGCTGCCACCACGGCCAGTGGACAACTGCCGAAAATGCCCGAGAAGAAGCGACAGATCATCAGGGTTTGCAGGTCTTTGGCGACTGCCACGGCGGTGTTGAAGATGCCGAAGCCCAGCATGGCAATGAGAATAGGCGGCCGTCGGCCTTGCAGTTCAGAAAAGGGCGCCCAGATCAAGGGTCCGGACGCGTAACCGACAATGTAAAGAGAACTCGACAGAACTGCGACTTCGAGACCGACTCCAAATTGCTCAGACACATGGGTTGACGAGGCGCTGAAAATTGCAGAATCAAAGGTGGAACAGATGCTGGTGAAGGCGAGGATACCACTAATGTAGAATCTAGAGTAAACGATCAACATGAGTCCATGAGCATGATCCTACGCATCCATTCATAGATCATAAGGCGAAAAGACAGTGGACTTACTTCCTGGGTAAACGCCAATTCAACGGATACATAGGATCGTCCGGCCCATCGAATTCCACCACATAGTCCTCTCGAGCCGGCAACGGCGGCGGATAGGGCTTGCCAGCACCAAAAGACGGCAAGGGAGTTTTCGACGGTCGTGACCGAACACTTTCACCTACAGTAAGCGCATGCTGCAGCCTCTGAGTTTCAATCCTGCTCAGCGCATGCGAGATGTTCGTCCGGTGGCGCTCGAGATCAACCTCCGTGTTTCGAGACTGCAACCGGTGCACCTGAGGATCATAATCAACGGAGCTGCTCGAGCCCGACGAGGACCCCGTGTTCCCCGACGATGGCGGTCGATCTGCGCTGGCAGACGTCCTGCGTTTCTCGTCGCTCAACCGTGGCGAGTAATGCTTGGCATCGATCTCGGCCCGTTCCAGGGTTTTGTCTATATTGTCCATGCTGGATGCGTCCGCCAGAGATCTCTCTGGTGAATACTAGACGGTGGCAGAGATCGATGGAGGCCAGCAAGAAGCCACGGTAGCAAGCTGGGGAGAAAATGGGGAAATCCTTTTCATTGCGAAGTGACTTGTGAAAAAAAAAAAAAAAAAAAAATAGCAGGGCCATCGGCAAGCTCATCCGAGTTGGCCGTCCTGAGACCCACCATTCGCGGCATCAAGTGTCGACGCGCATTGCCGAGCGCGGAATAAAAATGGATCAGCGTAAATGTGTCTTGTTTTTGCCTCCCTGTTTATTTTCCTAGAAGAAAAAACTATGCCCATTGCTTTTAACTGCTTTTTATGCCTGACATATCGCGACGGTGGTGAAATCATGACTCTTTCTCAGGCACCGAGGCTGCAACCGGTGGATCAGTGGATCTGCGCCTGGCCGTGCGATGGTGCATCTGACGTCATTGCCTGTGGAGGGAATCCAAGGGTATAGTGTGCCTGAATTCGATGATAGACCGATCCAGCAAATCGTGTGTTTGTGTATTAGCATAGTTGTAACTCCAGTTGATCTCAGGGATAAACCCTGGATCCCAAGTACTACGAAATATCATAGTAGAAGATGGCTGTATCTCACGGCTAGGCCACAGAAAGTATTCGTCAACTCCTTCCACGTCACCACTAGGTGTGTTTTATCCCAATTTCTGTCCATATGGTTGGGTTGCAGTCGCTGAACTGATTTATGCGGTCCCACGGGTGAGCACTATCCTAGATGGCGTATAAGGAGCTGCCGTATCTCCAGCCCAGAGACACAATGTTGACTCACTGAATACATCTACAATCTCAAAACCATCTGTTCGCTCTACGCACATGAGATTTCACCGCTTCGGATTTACTAACGAGCTAGGTCGGCTATTCTTAGTATTTGGTGTTGAAACAGCCAGACAGACGACGCAACCAAAAAGAAAAATATATTCATTCATTGAACGTCAACTATCCTCTGTTCACCCTCTTCCAGCACCCTCCCATTTCTCTGATCTCCCCTCGAATTATTCCCCTCCGCAGAATGCGTAGGAGGCGACGGTGGAATCTTTAAAAACTGGGCGACTCCAAACCCCAGCCCCGCCAGAGCATCAAAAACATGCTGACACCACAGGTACTTCTCGCGGTATCCATAATAGCAAAAGAATTTAGAGGCCCAAGTCAAGGGAAACAACAGCAACTGTCCACTCCAAATCCGTTTGTCCTGCTGCAGACAATACGGCACAGACCGACAGATCTCATTGGCATAGTACTCCGCCGTAGCAAGATCGACCGAGGGGAAGGCCTCTGTGTCTTCAGATCCCATGATTACCTGAGTGCGGTAGATCAACGGGTAGACTAGAACAAGAGCCGTCCAATACAGGAGATGGAGGCGTGCGGTGTCGAGTGAGGCAAACCAGTATGGAACCGGGAACATATGACAGCCGGCTTGCAGCGAGCGTGGGAGGGTGTTAAATTTGGATCGGCCTCCTGGCGAGGGCCGGCCGCCTATTGTCGCTTCGCGGTCGTCGTACCATGTCATTAGCTTTTTCTCGAGTTTGAGACAGGACCGTTGTAGGGACCCAGCCCGATTATCATGGGGTGACTCCTCGATTTTGTTCACCGAATGAATGAGAAAGGTGCATTCGATGAACCCTTTTAATAACTCGTCGAGGGAGTCTTGCTCGAAGGAGCGCGTCACAAACTCCCAGTCGATCATTGCCGGGTCTTTCCCGACGGCGTACCATATCTAGAATTATCTTTTAGTATCAGAAGAGAAGCCGTCGATAGGTGACTTACTGCTCCTAGCTGTTGCTGACGATATATTGCTTTAATCAGGGGATTGCCGTGATTAGCCTGACTGTAGTATTTCTTTAACAAGGCATTGGTCCCGTTCTTATGGGCCATCCAAGCCGCGAACCCCGATGGACAGAAGAGGGCCTGAAACAATGTCAGTTTGATCATCTCTAAGACCGTCATGGCAACCGGATAATAAATACCTCATAGATCTGGAAAACCACCGTGGTATAGATAAGGTCATCAAACGGGGGAGAGCCGCGATGGATGGTGCGCGACAGCATGCCCAAGGCACTATTGTAGATTTGGATTCCATATTGAATCAAGCGAGCATCATTGTTGGTTTTGCCCAGAAGAACTGAAGACAAGGCACATATGGACCGGTCAAACATCTCGCTCTTGCGGACAAGCGTGGGGAACTGCTCCATGAGAAAATGCCAACTATCGTGGTTGGCCGGGCTGCGGATGTCCACGGGGAAATACGCGCCCAGAAAGGACGAGTAGAGCTGGTTGCGGATTTCAGGGCTGGTGCCGATGGAAGGCGAGATAGTTGGGGGCCGAGCATGCTGGGATCGTGCAGCGACCGCCTGGTTTGCATTGGACGATAGTTCTGAAGTGTGGTTGAAAAACACTCGAGACTTGTCCAGTCCCGGACAGGGCGTGCCTCGTTTGACGCATCGTGCACATTCGGGTTGCTGAAGATCGCACTGTCGGTTGTTGACCGGGGTCAGCCTTATTGCGTACAGCCACCTGTGTTATTGGCAACCCACCTTTACTTTGCGTTTTTTACAATTAGCGCATGCTAGTGATTTCCACGGGATTCCCGGCATGCTTTTTTTTTTTTTTTCGTCGTTGTTGTTCGGTTTTTTCCGGCCGAACACTGGCACCAGGGTATTGCCAGTGATAAATTGCGCCGGAGAGAGTTGAACTGGATTGAGGTTCTGCGAGACTTTGGGGTCCTCCCTTTACCATCAGGATTCCAGGGCCAATCAGCAGGCCGGGACCAGTGCCGATCGGTTGCTCATATTGATCCTCTTGTGCCGAGGTGGGGCGGGGAGAGAAGCCTCGGTTTCTGCACGGAACTAGCGGAATCTTTTTCCTTTTTATATCAGTGCAAAAACGAAAGTCGGAATATAGTGAGATGAATCTGCCTCATCATATCGCATGGAATTAGCGAGTGGAGATGGCAGAAGCTTAAATGTGCCCGCTTACAGCAGTATCATCTTTCTGACTGAATGATTTCTTGGGGTATTGCAACTGGCTGTATAGCTCGAAGTTGACTGTCGATCTACTACGAATTCAGCAGCACGGATCAATAATACCAACGATTTTTCATAGTTATGTAGTCAACGGTGTAATTTAGCATGGGAGCGTTAATTGTCGGGAGCTTTGGCTCTGCGCTTGATTATCTAGTATATCCTCATTGTTTATACCAACCATAATAGTAGCCATTGTATAACTATATTATCGACATTTATATTAAATGTACTGTAGTCTCGAGAAATAAGAGCCTAGGGCGCTCGACCTGGATGAGAGCAAGCGTGATCGACTTGTGTTCAAGGACTTGACTCACAATTAGAATCTGAAATTCAGTATCTAGATTAAGATGGTGGAGATAAATCAAGTGTTTGAGGAAGTATCTCTCAAACTTCTTCACTGCTTTGCAGTCAAAAACCAAAGACGTTTAGCCCACCAGAGCCAATTTATTCTGAAACCATATATTGTGAATAGACAGTATCAATCCTGGGACCATATCAGTACTTTGAAATTAACATATTGTCCACAAAACTACCACTGTCCTCGTTTATATCGAACCTTTTCCAGGCGCCCTCGCTCCACAAATCCTTGCCGTGTATACCACTGCCTCAATGCCTCCCAGCCATCATTTCCTTCAGGGCCAATGGGCATGACAGCACTGGTGTTTCGAACGTGGATAGTAGGTTTGGTGTTCAAGCCACCATGCGCTCCACATTTATTCTCATCCACAGCCTTATGCTTTGAATGATAGACATCGCCATTCTGCACCATTTCCAACAACTGCATCGAAAGACTAGATCCAACGGGAGAGACTGGTAATTAGGATGACCGAAAAGGGAAAGCTCCACCGTTGGTGCATGGGAATAAGGTGCTCGCGAAATGGGGAAAGATAGGCATATCCAAGAACAAAGTCTGTTTCATGAGTTTGCTGGGTGTCATGGACAGCAACAAGGAATGGAAGGCCGCGAGAAGCCAGGTCATGCTATTTGGCTGTATATGTTCCAGCTCCTGGCGGGGTTTGTGCGAGTGTGAGCGATGTGTTTTTTTTATATAGTGGGTGTTGATGGTGCAAATCTGGGGCAAATTTTCGAGCCTTGCTGGACGGATAGTCGCCATGTTTAGTTGATTTTGTATGTCTCTTTTTCGCTTGGATAGGTGGAACAGGTGAGCGTCAACTGGGATGTTGGCAGGTGACGCTCTCAGGTATGTTGACTGCCAGTGCGGTGTTCATTGCATGGATTCAGCCCTAAGGTCCAGCCTTGCCGTAGTTCATGCACTGCCCTATGGGTCAACAGGGGTATTATTTCGTTGCCTAGAGCCTTGGGGCTGCATCTCGTATTTCTTCAATTTGGCAACGATGAGTCTCGCCTAGTACGTTAGGCCATACTATACCAGGCAGATATCCAGTCCACATAGCCCAGAATCTTTTTACATGTCAAGCGATTAGCAAGAAAATACCACCAGCTGATGCCAAAATACCTGGTTATATCCCAAATTCCCATATGTATACCCATATGGTTGCCTGGTGCCTAGTTTATGTGTCACAGCCTTATCAGGAGAATCCCCACATCGGCATGGCGGCTACGACTGTTCATCTTCCAGACGGGTGTGTTCGAGATCTGCCCCTGGTCCTTATTGCAACCCGTCTCGGATCCCTGCCGATCTCTTTCCCGGATGTCACGCTGTACCACATGGGCTGGAATCTAAGCCACATCTATTGTGTCATGGACACGGGATGGTGTGAACTTCCGAGCGGCTTAGCCTGGAATCAACTGGCATTGGAGCCTTGCCTTGGTGGATGGACGGAGAAAGAGAGGGGCCAGGGAGTGCGTAGGGCGTGGAAGTAAATGAACAAACCCTAATTCTAATTCTTGGTGAATTTTCTGGAAGTCCTTGCTATCCTCAAAATAATATGCCAATATTTAGTGGTTTACTATTGACAAATTCCCTCAAGATCGATATTTTAACCACGGAGTCCGCGGACAGCGAGAACGTATTCCGATCTTCCGATCCAGGCAGCAAGATCTACATGATGTTGCGAAGACCTTGGGACATGCCAAGCATCTAAGGAGGCTTGTCTGGAGGTTAATCCACGATCTTTAATTACTATTACTATCCCTCATATTGTCATCCCAGCGCATCAGAGTTTTCTCTACCATCAAATGGCCCTTATTATCTCCATTATTCTTAACATTAACCCAACCCCTGCTGTCTCCACTGATCAGGGCCCTGGGCCGCGTATGTCGATCTCGGCCCAATGCATGGTGATTGGCAACCGCCACCATGACCATCCTGGGCGCTTGATAGTTCCAGTGGATCGGGTGGAGCCCCATTGAAGCTTGATTGAAAGTGCCACCGAAATGCCTCTGCCTAAAACATGTCATGGTGGCCATGAAAGTTGGAGTAGAAGGCGATTAGGTATGCATCTCCATTGTTTCCCTCCACATGGTTCTTCTTTTTTTCCCTTCCTGCAAGAAAGAGGAAAGCGAGAAAAAGGAACGAAAAGAAAAAAAAATCCACTTCGACCCTGGCGATTAACTCTGGATCGTCCCGCCAGCGTCACTCAGCGTTTGACGTCATTTTCACCTTCGATCCTCTCCCCGTCTCCTGCCACCCATGTCAACCCTCACACCTGCCATGGACTCCCCTATTGCCATGCCAGAAACGAAGAAACGGCCGCGGCGAGGTCGCAAGGCAAACAAGCCCGATATCAAGCCCAAGAAAGGCTTATTGCTGGACGAACTAGGTGATACGCTCGTAAACCAGCTTTGTGCTCCTCCGAAACTCGATGACCCTCTCAACGTTTCGTGCGGGTCGGTCGCCGACCACCTGCGCAGCAATCTCACAGCAGCCCTGACAACACCCTCGTGTACCAGCTCGAGTAGCAGCAGCCGCACCCTGACGGGATTCGACACCACGCCGCCCACGAGCTTGGACAGTCGCGAGATCCCCGAGCTGCCCAGTTCGACTTCACTCACTCAGGCCAAGCATTCTCCAGCCAGTGACGGTTCTTCCCATACCAAGTACGTCGACTCAGAGCATGCAAGCGTGTTCAGCCTAGACGACTTCTCCACGATGACCGCCATCGAGGGTCTCGCCGCACACTACGGTCGGGTGGCGCACATGGGCATTCTTGACCGCAGCTACCGGTTCTTCGTGAACAAGAAACGCACTGCCGCACTGTCGTTCAAAGTGCAAAACGGCGTGGCGATCGTGGGTGGCGACCCGCTCTGCGAGCCCGATGCCGTCGCCGGGCTCTTAGCCGAGTTCGCCGCATACCGACGACGACACCTGTGGGGAATTGCATTCATGGGTGCGAGCGAGTCCTTTGTGCGCGACGTCGCTCAACCCCAGGGCTGGACGACCATCCGCTTCGGCACAGAGCGAGTGCTCGACCCGCAGACAAACGAGGTATTGCTCGAGCGTGGCGGGAAACGCATCGCCGTGCAGAACCGCCAGTTGCTGCACCCTGACAAGGGCGGCATCTCGCTCGGCGTCTATGCGCCCACCATCCACGGCACCGACCCGCAGCTGCAGGCCGATCTAGTCGCCATCTACGACGCCTGGCGCACCGAGCGCAACTGCTCTGCCTCCCCGCAGGCCTTCATCACCGTCTATGACCCCTTCGCCCTCCCCGCCCTCATGACCTTTGTATATACTCGTGGCCCGGACGGCCAGGTCAATGGTTTGGCGGCGCTGCGTCGTCTCGCCGGCGCCGGCTACCACGTCGATCCCTGCATCGCCGCCCCGGGCAGCCCCAAGGGAATCAGCGATCTGCTGCTCGTCGCGGCGATGGCGCTCCTGAACCGCACCGGCGTCTCATATCTGGGTTTCGGCTTCGAGCCGCTGCAAGTACTGGCTGCCACTGATACCTCTGGCATGCCGGGTCCATTGGCCAACCTCACGAGTGACCTGTACGCCCATGCGTTCCGCCGTCTCCCCATTCGGGGTAAGAAGGCGTACCACGACAAATTCCGTCCGGATCCCGCCCAGGACTCGGGTCTTTATATTGTCTTTCCTGGTGGATTCCCTGGTCCGCGTCATCTGCTAGCAATGGCGCATATTGCCAATATTAGCTTGCGCAAGGTCTTCTGGACGGATGTTCGCTCTTGGGCGTTGCGTCGCAAAGCCCAAGCTTCGACGGAGGGCACTGCGGACCCGCCAGATCGCAAAGATCAGACATCTGCAAGCTGAGTATTGATTCTCACGTTATAGCATCGGGTTTTCTTTTGTTTATCTTCATCCTCCCCCTCATTTTGGGCTATACCTTCAGAGGTGGGAACTGTACTATAGACACGGCGTTTTGCGGGTTTTCTCCATCAGGTCGGAAGGATTAGCATTCGGTTCGGGTTTTCTCTTTTCGGGCAAGGGGTGTTTTGTGCTCCTTGGACGTTCTTTGGTCGCATTTCTTTGGGTCTGTGTATGACTTCGCCGTCCTGCCTATCCGGTATTTCTCTTTCTCTTTCTCTTTTCTCTTTTCTTTCGTATTGGTCAGATAAAAAACACTATGGAAAGCGTCAGCCTGGATGCCGGAGTCATGGTCTTTTGAAAAACTCTGGAATTAGACCATGGATATAAGCGAATGCAATGAAAGAATCCCGGGTATAATTTCTTGACGGGTTGACAAGCGGGATTCTAAACTACATTGGTAGTAACCTGAAACAAGAAGTCTTTTAGTCCTTGAGAGTTAAGAAAGGAGGATTGCAGTCCAATAGTGAAGTCATGCTATTCATTATGCCATGTCCCGGAACGCCAGTATCCAAGGTCAACCATAGGACCTTGGAATCGATTGATGATATATTCTAACAGAGTCGGCCAAAGAGGAAGTCTTTGACGATGGGTGAGCCTGAGAACTCCGGGTTCAGCAGGACACAGCTATAACAAAGGAGTTTAGTATAGAAGATCTCAGCATTGAAGTTAAGGACATGCTCACTTCAAAAAATACTCCAGGCCTACGCGCCGCGATTCGAGGAATTTAGGTCGGAATTTGACTGCCAGTGGTCAGCGTGACATGGGTGAAGACGGATGAAGAGAAGCCAAGCTCCCTACAGAGAACACTCTTTGGAGGAAGAGCAGGCAGCGCGCTTCGGGCGTGTGGGAAAGAAGTGACGAGTCGCTGGCGCAGATCATCAAACTCGGAGTATCTACAAGTGTCATATATAATGAGTCCAAACCCTTGCAAGAACATCAGATCACGCGGGGGCCAACTCAAGGCATACCTCATTCGAACAACTATAGGACCTCCCTGCACGAGTCCATGTTAGTGAACAAGCCACCAAGACAGCCCTGGAGAGATTCTGCTCCTCACATCAAGAGTCTGGATCGAGCAATTCCACACCACATACGCGCCCACCCCCGTCTTGCCCTGCACCACGACATGGTCATCGACCGAGACGCTGCTCGCCCAGAGCCCGCGACTGGTCTCCGAGTCCGGGTCGGTGGTATGATCTTCTAGAGTGATGGGCGCGGCACGGCCCACGGAGATCTGCGATGCGCGCGACGTGTTGCGCCCATGCCGCTGCCAGTAGGGCGGCACTACACCCGACGGCGGGCGGGACTTGGCCGACAACGCGGGACTCTGGGACGGGGATTGGATCGTACCATTGGCGTCGGGCTCGGGCGCGGACTCGGACTCGGTGGGCGCGGGGGCGGGGCTGGGTGGGAGACCCGGTGGCGAGGACTGCGATGCCGGCTGCGATGCCGGCCCGGCCTCCTCAGTCGCTGGCTCCATCCATTAGACGTTGGAGGTGGACTGGGCGGGTTGGGTCCGGTTGCAAAGAAACTCTGGTGGCGCAAAGAGGGGGTTAGCAACCCTTGCTTCTGGCTGAATATATGTCTGGGTGTAGATTTGACGCGAGATCATGCACGTCTAAAGTTCCCTCCTCTCCAAAACCCAATTGTAGGGTGGAGTGATATGGATGGATGGGGGCATTGCACATAACACACCACGGCGCAAGGACCGAGAATCGAGGAATGCGAGACCAACCGTGGCGGAACTGACCGAAGGATTCGGAGAAAACAGGCAATGGATGCACTAGAGGCATTCAAGTGAAGTGAGACATGGAGAGGTCATGGGGTGAGCTGGGGTTGTCTTATGTCATCAACACGGGCCATTCCACCGTCCAGGGCTTCAGAGTCAACATCTCTGTAGCTATGGCGAGTGGATGTTTTTCTCTGAAATATGTTCGAATCTACCCACAGCGCATCTAAAGCACATCTACAGCACGCATTGATATATACAAAATCATATGTGACTGTCGGGATGCATTATTCCCGGTAAGAGTCAACCAACAGTCCGAGGCTGAGACCACTGAGACACCCTTTGCGTTCTCTTATCTTCTTTGGTCTTGCAGCAGAGACCGGTTGGAGAGGAAATCCATGACAGGTGGGCCATTTGATAAGTCTCCTCTTGGCACATCCTCGGGCATTCTGCGGTGAAAAGGAAAGAAGAAAAGAACTGCTCATAGCGATCCCCGCGGATCGACATCTAGGGTTATCATGTATCACGGTCTATACTCAGGATTCAAGCCACGAAGAATTGCCACTCAAAACTAGTCGAAGACTAGATATCCCGCTAAAACCAGTGGATCTAGTTTCACCAAAGTCATCTCAAATGCAGTAGAACCACAATTGCGCTAGTTGGTGGCACTAGCACATTCTACAGACCTTTCCTTTATCTTCGCTGTGCCTCCATGCATTTTCTTCTTCTTTTCTTTTTTCTCTTCTATTCTGATTGTGTCTCTTGCTACTTACGTTTCTTTCTCTTTGAAGCTATCATTTAATGCTACGGTATCTACCGAGGTAGCAGTATCCTTGACACTCGCTTTGTCTTTGTTTCTCTTAGCTTCATTCCCTTCCGCTGTCGAGGGCGAGGAATTTGAGCTTCACGTATGTCCCAACTATTTCTATTTTTTGTTTGTTCTGGCTTTCTCTCCCTTCATTCCATCTCCCGATCCTCGATCTATTTTTACTTTTCTGCTTGCCGTCAAGGCTGCTACTGGAATCCGAGTTCCTGACATCGTTGATCTCTGATATTTAGTACCTCCCACTGTCGCTTCTTATCCTCAATTCACGCCATGCTGTCTCAACTGTTTCTGGTTATCGCCTCAGGGCTCACCCTGGTGAACAGCCAGTCTGCCATCTCCATCGACCCGAGCAGCGTTCCTCTGTCCACGCGCGGTAAGCTAGCTACTCTCAATGACTGCCCTACACAGAAGAAGGAAAAAAGACATGGCTGACAACCACCCAGAGGCCTGGTGTAGCTCCCAGACCTCCTCCTGCCCGCTGCTGTGTCTCCAAGTTCCCGGAGCATCAGGCAGCCCAAGCTCCAACAAATGCACTGCGGTAAGTCAAAGCAACTCGTATACATACATAAACCATATACTCATGCTCGTATACTTTATTTTCTATAGGAAACCCTCGTTTACAGCTGCATCTGCAACAACAACGTCTCCCCCAACGCCTCTGAGTACTCCCAAACCATCCCCTACTACGTCTGCACCGAGAAGAACAATCAGTGCGTCAAGGCCTGCCAGGGTAACTCCGGCTGCCAGTCCGACTGCCGCACCGACAATCCTTGTGGTGCCCAGGCTCCCAAGCGCGTCAATACCACCACCTCGACCACCATGGCTGCTACCAGCACCGCGACTACCGAGGCGCTCAATACCATGGCTGGTGGTGCTACTGGCGCTGCGCCTCGGCTGATTACCGTGGATATGGGCCAGGTTTATGGGCTCTGTGTCCTGGTTGGTGGGTTCATTGCTGGGTTCGCTGTTCTGCTGTGAGGTCGCCGTTGTTGTCGATCCCTGATGAGGGAGATGGATTCGAGGGAATAGGACATTAATAATGGGTTGATTTGAGGACTTGCCCTGGGGTGTTGCAATTTACGTGTGAACGAGGATACTAAGCTCGGCTGGTCATGCTGCGGTTATCTCTTTTCAGTTTTCAGTTGTTTCTTTTAGCATTAGCATTTGTGGTTGCGTCAGCATTGAGCGTGTTGTTCTGATTTGATCTTACGTTCATGGGCAAAATTGATTAACCTGGTTTCGTACTCTCCAAGTAATTCTCTCGGGCTTAGTTGTTCGCCAGTATTGTCTGCCTTTCCGGCGTATGCTGCACGCTATATCTTCGCCTTGACCTTCGTACTATCCATCCTCTGTCCCTCGTCATTCTGCTCAGCAACCTCTAGCGTCGGGAACTTCGCCGGCATAATCCGGCGCGGCGTTGACCCCGGGATCACGGAATACTCAGAGAAATCAGACACGCCGCAGTGTTCCCGCAGAAAGTCTTCGTCGGTGTCCAAGACACCATTCACTGTGGCTGGCGGTGCGTGGATCATAGCCAAGATGGCATCGGAGAAGACTTTCTGGTCATAATGTAAGCGTTTCTTGGATAGTATTGAAAATTGGGGCGTTGGAAGTACTTACTGCTTTTCTCAGGTCCTTCCTGCATGATGGGTCTGAGGCTCGGTTGTGTTCCGTTGCGGCTGACTCAATAGTCTGAATGTAGGAGATGCCATCAGCAACGTTTTTCCCATCTTGTGCATTATCAATGTCAAGAACCTACTGAGGCAGGCCAGACGCTTGTTATAGCCATTTCTGTCCGGTTCTGGCGCACAAAATCCATGGCCAGGCCCTTCACCAAGACACTCATGCCGACCTTGCCTGTGCCACCGGTCAGACGATTCTTCGCTGTGGCTTACAATTAAAATATCAGAAGGTTGACACTTACCCATCGCATAAGCCGTCTTCCCCCGAAAGAACCGCGAGTAAATAGGCGGCGAAACCACCACAATCCGACCTCTCCAACCGTTCTTCTCAAAATGCGGTAGAGCCATCTGGACGGTGGCATACAGTCCTTCCGGATTCACCTGCTGCATGAGTCGGAATCGCTTCAGCGGTGTCTTCTCCACCGATGACCACCAGATAGCCCCGGAATTGTACACCAGGACATCCAGCTTCCCGAAGACCCGCACGGTTTCGTCGACTGCGTGCTGAATCTGTGCTACGTCGCGCACGTCCACGGCAACGGTTGCGGCGCAACCACCGGCCTCGCGGATCTCGCGCTCTACGGTGTTGATGGTTGATTGCGGGGAATTGGGATCTGGCGGGAATGGGCTGGTTTTGGATGCATCCGATGTAGTTTTTGCCGCCAGCATTACTGGAACATGGTTAGTGTTGCTTGTTTCTGGTGTGCCTGGCGTCCTTCTTCATACCGGCGTGACCGTCCTGGGCCAGGTCGATGGCGATTTGGCGGCCGATTCCACGCGATGCGCCCATAACAAGAGCAACTCTTTGTGGGGACATGTTGGCTCAAAAGATGTATTGTGAATCATTCAATGTGGGAATCTTCAAATACGTCCAGTATTAGACGCAAGGATGGTGGCCTTCTCTCCACATATATGCTCCGCTGGATAGCAGTTGGGGGCTTCGGCGCAACTAATCGGTGACTGGGTATGGGAAAACCCAGCGATATAACCCAAAAAATGCTCGAGAGGATCCGGCCCAGCGTTGTGTTCAAGAAATAGATATCAAATCACGTTGATTTCTTGATTACTCACAGTTCCGAGGCTTGGAAGAGTCGACCTCGGGATAGTATAATCGCTGCCTCAGGCAGCAAGGAGGGGCTCTCACTGGACACGGCTACCATATTGCGAGGCTCAAGCCCCACGGCGATACTCAAGGAGAGCTATTCTCGAATAGACAGGAGCTCTAAGTGCAGTCGTGTGCTCGGTGATGTCGATGGCCCAGCGGTAGCGGAGGCGGCAGGATACTGCCGTTCCCATGAGACCGCTCTCCAACTTACCTTCTTCCATGCACCCCGCCTTATCTCTACTCTGACAATCCCTGATTCTTTTCTTTTCTTGACCTTTATCTGCTGAAATTTCTTCTTGCCTTTCTACCAATTGCCGTTCGACTGAGGTGGTGCGTCACCTGGACGGCGTAGGCGAAATGGACGCGACTTTGCCAGATGCCTTTACCCCAACGCAGACGGACCCGTCTGCTGCAGCCGGAGCTCTTACGGCATCCAATGAAGCCGCCGGGGGGAATGTTTCTAAGCCCCTCAAAGTAGAAGGTGTGTGGGTGTTGTCGCGGGGCTGTCGGAGGGAGCGGAGTGTCCGATGATTAGAGCTAACAAGTCCAACCCGACAGATCTTCCCAAGTTTGAGCTTGAGTCCTATGTAGCGAACTATACTGGTGAGCTGCCCCCAGTCGATTCTCTGCGTCCTCGGTGTTAACTTCTAACTTCCAGGCCGGACCCGCTTCGACCGTCTCTACCTCATCGGCACCTGCTCTACATTGCTGTCCACCGACGCGCTTAAGGCCGCAGTGGCAGAAGCCAAATCGGGAAAAGATGTCCTTCGATACGAAAAGGCAGTGAGGGCACTGGCAGAGGTGGCGCCGAATGAGCCGGACGCCACGCTCGACTCGGCATGGGTCCAGGAAATCCAGCGGACAGTGAGGGCACAGGCCGACCGGTTAGAGCTGGAGCTTCGAGGGTACAAGAACAATCTAATCAAGGAGAGCATACGGGTAAGAGCTATCTTGAAAATGGAGATGGACGTATCTGGACTAACATCAACAGATGGGTAACGAGGACCTGGGGAACCACTATCATGACACCGGCGATTTGCTCGCAGCATCGAAAGCTTACTCTCGGATGCGAGATTATTGCACGGCCCCAAACCACATTTCGTCGATGCTGTTCAAGTTGATCAACGTTTCCGTTGAACGAGGAGACTGGTTGAGCGTACAGTCTAACACAAATCGCCTGCGCAGCGCGCAGTCGAAACCAGAAGACTTGGCCAAGAACCAGCCGAAGATCTCGGCCGCCTTGGGTCTGGCACAGATGCACGCTGAATCGTACGGCGACGCAGCACGCAGCTTTCTGGGTACACCCCCGACTTTGGGCGACTCCTTTAACGAATTGATCACCTCCAACGACGTTGCGGTGTATGGTGGCCTATGTGCACTCGCCTCCATGGACCGAAATGAGCTGCAGCGCCGTGTACTTGAAAACCAGTCCTTCCGCAACTTCCTCGAGCTCGAGCCGCATATCCGCCGGGCGATCACCTTCTTTTGCAACTCGAAATTCCGACCTTGTCTCGATATCCTGGACAACTATCGATCTGACTATCTCCTTGACATCCATCTTCAGCGCCATGTCAATGCGCTGTATACCCGCATCCGTACCAAGGCCATCGAGCAGTACTTGGTCCCGTTCAGCCGGGTCACACTCGACTCGATGGCTACCATCTTTGCCCCTCATGTGGTTGGCGGAGAAGCGCGACCGACCGGGACTGGCTCACCGTTTGTGCAGGAGCTTATCCGCCTCATCAAGAAGGGAGTTATCGAAGCTCGCATCGACCTAGAAAAAGGGGTATTGGTGTCGAACCAGACGGACTTGAGGACCGAGGTGCAGACCAAGACGCTGGAAGGCCTGCGCTCTTTCAATGAAGAGTCGCATCTGCGGATCCTGCGCACGAGCGTCCTTCATGCGGAACTGGAGGTGCGGCCTCCCCATGGAGAGAGACGACCCATGATGGAAGGGCCAGGGCCGGTCAAAGGAATGGGGTGCGGCAAGGCAGCTCAATCGAGGCGAGATGCTCGGGTAACCCTCGAGAGCTGATTTTTCGGCAAATGATCATCCAAGAGCACGATGTGTAAATGAGAAATGAGACAATACCCCAACACCTCCCAACCGCAGTGACAAGAAATGCCAGTGTCTGCGGTGAAATGCAATTGCTGAACGAATGGCTTGAGATATTTTTTTTTTTTTGGTCTAATAGAGAATAAACAAAACGATCACCTGCGACCGCAATGTGCTAGGCAGTAAATGGGATACCGCCGGAATGAGATATTGAGAGCAACGTCCTTTTCTGTGCAAGGGGAAAAAATTATAAATTCTTGAATTGTTCTACTTAGAAGCGTTCACGGTCCCTCAAGAGCGAGGAACCAGTTGCTATCTCATCCATTCCAAGTGACTGTCTGATCCAGTCCAACCTCGAGAATCTGCATGGAATGCTACACAGTCACCCGCTTCATCTCTGCCCAGGTGGACTTCGACAGGGCAGGCCTCCAAACATTTAGCATAAAATGTTCATCTGCTCATAAATAAACGTATAAATACTTCGATATCCGAATAGTTGTGCAGGTTGCCACCAAGACTGCAGCGAGGACAGTCCAACAGGATGGAATTAGGGTTAACGATGGGTTGCTGCATGTCTCTCACCGGCCAGGCCATTTCTAATTCTTTGTTCCCAGGTATATCTCGGGGCTCTTACCCTCTTTCTTATTGTGAGACCCTGGGACTGGACACCATTCCTTGTCAAGCCAAAGAACTGAGCCCAATTCCTTCCCTCTGTGTGATTGTCACTAGGGTTCCTGTCCACGGTTGTCCAGCAGTTCAGTCCTACACTCCTTAGCCCAGAGCACCGTGACCCTGTGCTTGCTCACCGGCTTTTTATTTATTCTTTTTTTTTTCTAGGCTCTTCTGACTGCTACACTCGGTCTTATCTCCTATTCGATTCAACAAGAGAAACGTTACCGTGAGAGCGCGCTCTCAAAGTAACTCTTGCCCCTCATGAACGCCGACATGCTTGGTTTCTTGTGCTTCTATTCCATTATGTGCTCCGACAACTCTCGACGAGCCTCTTCGAAGCGTGGTGCGGGCACGGACATGGCCTTGCCCTCTGCTTCTCTTTCGCAGTCGGTGCTTGCGGGCAATAGTGATGCTGCTCCCGACATGGAATCCCCACAGCCCCCGTATACTTCGACTTTGACATCGACTTCCACGACGAAGGATCATGGTCCTGAAATAATGCTTTTGTCGCAGTCTCCGCTGTTGCTTCATACACAGCCTCCGGAGCCAGAACTGAGTGTGAATGGTGTTTGTCCGGAATCCGCGGAATGGTCTCGATCGAACTCCATCACGCACCCCGAGTCGGCACCGGAGGACTGTCAGGAATTACATGAAGAGGTCAAGGCGACGGAGTTGTCAGGTTTACCATCCATACCTGAATCAGAGTCTCAAGTGGAGCAGGGCGATCCCGGGAGAGCGGACTTCAGAGAGATATCGCCCAAGTTACCTTCAATACCAGAGGAAGCAGTTGAGTATTATCGTGTCTACGAAGCGCACACCGAGCCAGCCCCCTCGCTACAGTATGTGTCAATATCAACAGCAACGGAAGCGGTGGACTATGCAACCGAAGATGCTACAGCTACAGCATGGGCTTCTTCGCCGCCACCAAACCCCGAAATCGCACCCGCGCCGGTAGTGGTGGACTCTGAACCAATCCAGGACTCTATACCGGTGTCGCCGTCCCCAATTCTATCTCCTAACATACAGTCCGCCGCAGAGGATGCAGCAGACACATCCTCGACAACCACAAACGACGAAACGACTTCTATCTTTGATGACGAGTACTACTCCGACACCTCCAGCTATACGGCATCGCTTCTATCCGATGTGAAAGACTATACCTATGAGAATGGGCGGCGGTATCATTCATACCGGGAGGGCCACTATGTGCTCCCCAACGACGACCAGGAGCAAGACCGTCAAGACCTTCTCCACCACGTCCGCAATCTCGTCCTAAACGGATCACTCTTTTGCGCGCCAGTCGGGGAGAATGTCCAACGAGTCCTGGACATTGGCACCGGGACTGGGATTTGGGCAATCGACTTTGCAGACACCTTCCCCAGTGCCGAGGTGGTGGGCACGGACCTGAGTCCCATCCAGCCCTCATGGGTGCCGCCTAACCTACGGTTCCTGGTCGACGACGCCGAATCGCCGTGGCTGTTCAGTGCCAGCCGGCCGTTTGATTTTATCCACGCGCGCGACCTGGGCGGCGCCATCGCCGACTGGCCGCGGTTGCTGCGCCAGGCCTACACGCATCTCCGGCCCGGGGGCTGGATTGAGTTGCAGGAGTTTGAGGTGACGCTCCGGTCCGACGACGACTCGCTGCGTCTGGCGCCGACGCTGTGCGAGTTTGTCGGCCGGCTGCATCAAGCCAGCGAGGCTTTCCACAGGCCCATGAATATCGCCGAGGGTCACAAGCAGCGTCTAATCGAGGCGGGTTTTGAAGACGTCAGAGATGAAGTGTACAAGGTGCGACAATGCCTTGCCCTGTGATTCGCCTGGTTTTTCTCCCGTGTTGGCCATGAAACTGACTGGCTTTCTCGGTGCAGGTTCCCTCGAGTGCCTGGTCTGGGGACTCCGTACAAAAGCAGATTGGTCGGTACAACCTGTGCTCACTCTTGATGGCAGTGGAGTCCTACTCACTGGCCCTCTTCACCCGAGTGCTAGGATGGTCCAACACCGAAACCCAGGTGTTCCTGGCGGGAGTGCGTCGAGATCTGAAGAACCCGGAGGTTCATTCGTACTGCAACTTGCACATTGTGTACGGTCGGAAGCCGTGGTATTATTATCCAACTGGCTAAATCAGAAATTGGACGGGAAAAGGAATTGGGGCAAGGGAAGAAGAAGAGTGTAGATAATTCGCATTTCAGCCGAGGAATACCAGAGAGTTGTTTGTGCAACTGCACTTCCCTTCTGCCACCACCCGTTGCCTCTCCAACTCGCCGGCAACAAAAGAACTCGCTCCGGTGCAACTTCCGACTGAGTCTGAAGCTCACCCAATCTGCGGGCAGCTTGCTGGGAGAATACAGGGACTGCCTCAGACACGACCCAGAGGCTCCCATCGCGTCTCCAGAGAGCACTGGATGGCCCCGAATGAGTAAATAATATGGCCGGGAACTGCAAAGCCCTGGGAGTCATCCCCCCTCCTGGCAAAATCAGTTCACGATGCTCTTGTCTTGGGCAACCTCAGGTGTCCCTTTCTGGAGCCTGTCTGCAGGAGGCCTGGTAAGTTGCATCCGTACGCCCTCGTTCGTTGCAGCTGCAGGTCCCTACATCCACCCCCCTTCCCACCCACCCTCTCGACTGCTTGCTCACCTCATCCGGGCGTCTAGATTACGCTAATCTGGGGGTGCGGTCTTGACCAGGTTCTGCTTTGGCTTGCGTATGGCGCCTTCTATCAACTGTGGTGGTCGCCCCTGCGCCGATTTCCAGGCCCATGGCTCTGGGCTGTCTCGCGCATTCCTTCGCAACTCTCGGTATTGAGTGGTCATACTCACTTGGATATCACCGCGCTGCACTGCCGGTATGGGCCGGTGGTGCGAATTAGTCCCAATGAGCTGGCGTTCAACACCGCCCAGGCATTCCGGGATATCTATGGCGCTCGTCCTGGAGGGTGCTTCCCCAAAGACCGCAGTCACTATCTGCCGCCGGCAAATGGCGTCGACCATCTGGTCTGCGCGGTCGACAACGGTGTGCATGCGCGACAGCGGCGGCTTTTGGCACATGCCTTCTCAGAGCGAGCCCTGAGAGACCAGGAAAGCCTGATCAGAGGCTATGTTGACACGCTCATCGCCAAGTTGCGAGCCGGGATAGCTAAGAAGGGCTCACCGCGCATCGACATCAAAAACTGGATGAACTACACCACGTTCGATATCACGGGTGACTTGATGTTTGGCGAATCCTTTGATTGTCTCAAGGACAACCAGCTACATCCGTGGATCAAGCTGATCTTTAGTTCCATCAAGGCGCTTTCAATAAACGGAGTCGTGCACCAATTCCCTCCTCTTGGGGCTCTCTTGAATGCCTTTATCCCGCAGGAAGTCAAAAGAAAGGCCCAGGAACACTTCAATTTGGCTGCCCAAAAGGTCGATCGGCGGTTAGAGACAAACATGGTCCGTCCGGACTTTATGTCAGCGATCTTGCAAAATGGACTGAGCGAGGCCAAGGGTCAATATCGCGAAGGCGAGCGAATCATGAGCAGGGCGGAAATTCATTCCAATGCATTCATGTGAGTTTCTCTTTCATTTGAATTTTTATCTTAAAGCTATACTGACTTGATATTTGATGCTAGCCTTATTGTAGCTGGAAGTGAAACCGCCGCCACTCTCCTTTCTGGCTGCATCTATTACTTGTGTACAAATATCCACGCCATGAGCCGTCTCGCCAACGAGGTTCGGTCTGCCTTTACACAAGACGCCGATATCACGTTCCGGACCGTCAACAATTTGACCTATTTGGCCGCCGTCATCGAGGAGGCCCTTCGTATGTATCCGCCTTTTGTGACCAGTTTAGCGCGCATTGTGCCCCAGGGTGGCGCAATGGTGGATGGCAATTTTGTGCCAGAAGGAGTATGTTCAAGTCTGTCATATTGAGATTGGATTTCTGAAAATCATCCCAGACAATCGTGGCCTGCCACCACTATGCATCGTACCATTCCCCAGCCAACTTCACCTTCCCACACGACTTCCTCCCAGAGCGATGGCTGGGGTTTGACACCCGCTTTGATCGAGACAAGAAAGACGTTCTACAGCCCTTCAGTCTCGGGCCGAGAAACTGTCTGGGGAAAACGTGGGTTCCTGCATTGGATTTTAATGATTTGATATTGGACAAAAAGAAATGTACTAATTTTTTATTTTCCTCTTTTGCTAGTCTGGCATATTGTGAGGTCCGCCTGATCCTGTGCAAGCTGCTGTACAACTTCGACCTGGCGCTGTGTCCGGAAAGCACCAATTGGACCGACCAAAAGGTCTACTTTCTTTGGGATAAGCCGGCGCTGATGGTGTCACTGCGAGACCGCTTCCCAGAACGCTGCAGACGAAGCGCCGAGTAGCTGAGTTGACCATGTGTCTGGGACATGGCTTGTGGACATGGCTTGGTCTGCTCGGGTCGTACAATGGGGTGGAGTGACTAGCTCATCCGCATGACTCTGGGCTTTACGGGATAGCAGGAATCCTCTGGTGTTTTCTTCCTGGGTTTCGTTTCTTTTTGACGTTTTGGCGATGGCGGCTAGGATTGCTTCTGGAGTTATGGGCGGTGCATTGTTATTCTGAAAACGGGCCAGAGTGCCTCGAGATGCATATCCAAAGAAATAGAATTATTTCGGTCTGTGAGGCATATGGCATTATCCAATGCCTCCTTTTAAATCTAATCAATGCACAAGGCAACTTCCAAGGCATGGACATACCACACCCTGACGACGCCCTCACGTCATCTTCATCAGCTCTACTCAAGTCACGGCACCGAGCACTCATACTCGAACATACGTTCTGTTGAGTTAAATGACACACTAATCTTGAGGTCTTTCAATATCTGTTTGAATGCGTCGGCTTTTCCATAGTCTACGGTCACCATCACTTCTCCCAAGCCACGTCTTCCTCTTCAGCTACACCCTCATGGCCCTCGCCATCCAAGCCGCCAGCTTCATCCACCAGTACCTGTGGTCCTGGCTCCATCCTACACCCAGTAAAAGACCCGACGCTATCAAACTAGGTGTGCTAGCTGGTCTGGGAAATCTCGATCCCTCGACAGGTATGTCTATACTTTGCTGGAAGTGTTTCCATGTTTCCGTGTACTAGAACCAGCGCTTTGTTGATAATACATTGATGTATAGTGGGCCAAAAAGCAGTATGCTGATAGCCATCGGCTTATAAACAGTTGTCCATCCAGCAGAGTCTCACCCCAGTGTCATCCTCCATGCCATCGCTGCATCTGACGTCCCCACGGCTGAACGTCTACAGACTCGATACCATTTTGCCAAGGCCTACGGCTCATATCGCGGTCTTCTGTCTGATGGTGATATCGATGCGGTATATATCCACGCACCCATAGCACTGCGCTTCGGGTTTGCAGAGCAGGTATTAAATCATGGCAAGCATGTTCTCTGTGTGAGCCCGTTGGCGGCAAATGCAGATGATGTCAGGAGGCTGGTGGAACTTGCAAAGGACAAGGGGTTGATACTAGAGGAAGGAGTGAGACTTTCCCTTTCTTGAAATGACTTTTATTCTTGTGGATGCTCTCAGGAATCCAGTGAATCCAGTAGGACAAGTATTCATGATGAGATAGGCATCCTGGCAGTTCCATCCTGCTATACATGCATATCGCAAAATCGTCGATGCAAGAGAGTTGGGCCGTATTCTTCGCACCGAGGCTGTCGTGACATGCACTCTACAAATACCGATGCAAGATAAACGGTGGGATTTCAACATGGGAGGTAAGAATAATCCCACCGGCCCCTGCTGAGGATTTTTACGTTGATAGAAGAGGAAAATCATTGATTATGAGGTGAAAAAAAAGGTGGCTCGGCCATAGCCCTAACATCCGCCATCGCCGCCACCCGTTTCTCACTCCACGCAACAACCCCATCGACTCTCCTCTCTGTCACAGCTCGACCCTCACAATCTGACCCCCGAGTAGACGCAGCCCTACATACGCACATGACCTTCGAGAACCCACCGAACCACGCAGTAATCAGCAAAGTCCATACAGACATGTCGCGGCCCTGGGCCGGCGGTCTTCTTCCGCGCGTATGGGAAGTCCCAACCATCGAGGTCGAGACGGAGAAGGCGCAGATTAGCTTCTACAATTTTACGCACCCGCATCTGTACCATTTGATTTCGGTCACAGATAAAACCACGGGAGCGACCACGTACAAGAAACAGTATACAGGCGGGCCCTTGTGGGGGAAGGTGGTTGTCTCGACTGGGGAGAAGGGGGGCAACTCGGGGTGGAGTACGCATCGGTGGCAGTTGGAGGCCTTTGTGGATGCTGTTCAGGGGCGGACGCCGGCTTATTGGGTTGCTGGGAAGGAGAGTGTGTGGTTGATGGAGAGTGTGGATGCTGTTTATAGGGCCGCGGGTTTACCATTGAGGGAGTCTTTGCGAGAGGAGATAAAGGATGGTTAGCTGGGTAGATCTAGTTATGTCAATATGGTCTATATCAACATGCTCTATGTATAGATGGAAAATTCCATCTGCTTGGAATGCAAGGAATGGAGACAGTAATGCTCTGCTGGGAGATACCCTGGTTTGATCGAAATACTGCATTTTACTAGTAGATCTGCATGGTAGAGCATATACCTTTGAATCTTTCCAGGTTTGTTTAAAGCACAAAGAAGACAAAGCTAGGAATTATCTAGCCACATGAACAAGCATATGCTCCCCCTTTTATTGTTTGAGCAGATAGTTCCATCATTCTTAGTTAAGTACAGCCCACCCCCCCCTCTCTCTCTTTATTCCCTTTCTTTGCTTGCCTGGGGGTGGGATTTATAAAACCCAGTTCTCGCCTACCATCAACATCCACCTTCCCAGCTCAGCAACCAAGCCCTTTCCCTTCAAAACCTTCAACTGGACGCTACAGTTTCTTTTGACACTCGTTGACTTGATCCTCTCCGCCGATTTGGTCTGTTAAAAACTCCCAATTATGGAAGATGACCCCAATACATCACCCGGGACTGAGACTGTCCATGCCTCCAAGCCCACCATCGTCGGCCTGTACGGAATATCTGGTACTGGGAAAACGTTCCTGCTGAACGATCTACGTAATCTCAAAGAAACTCTTGGTATTTCGAACTTTTTTTTTTACGAGGGCAGCCAGGTCATCGTCGATGTATGCCCAGGCGGGCTTGAGGAATTCCAGCAAATGGAAGACCAAGACAAGGCGTATTGGCGCCAATGTGCTATCTCAAGAATCCACGATGACTGTACTAAGTCTCGAAGGGCTTCTGTCGTCGCTGGGCATTTTATGTTCTGGCGCGAGGGCGAAGATTATGGTCAATTGGTCTGCACGCCAAGTGACTTGGATGTCTACACACATATCCTCTATCTGGATATCCCCCGCCGAGAGGATTGCCCAAAACCGGGTCGCTGATACGCAGAGGATTCGCCCTTCTTCATCGGTTTCCCACTTAGAGAAATGGCAGCGATCCGAACAGGATCAATTGCGCCAGCCTTGCCGGTCTTATGGGATTCTTTTTATGCAGTTGACCCCTCGCCTTGCATGCGCACAAAAGATCTCGGTTCTGCTAAGGGACTTTCTGTGTGATACGGCATACGACAACATTCAACGCGCCGTGGGTAGAGTGGATCAAATCATTGCAGCTTGCTCAGACAAACTAGACAACGTGCTAGTCATCGATGGAGACAAGACGCTGGCGGCAGAAGACGGCGGACCTCTATTTTGGGAACGGGTTTCCTTTCCTCGGAGATCATTTTGACACACCTCTCCCTTGAAGGAACTCTTTGGTGGCCCTCTAAATTACTCGGATAGTGCATTCCGCCAAGCGATGCTCTTATGTGACGAGGCCATCGACGACAAGGAATTTGAGAGGATCTGCGCCGAGGTGGCCTCGACTATGACAATTCATATAGACTTCGTGTCTCTATTGCATCTCATAGCGAATTCAAAGAATGCCCGCGCAGTCGTTGTGACATGTGGCATCCGTCGAATCTGGGATATGATCCTTGAACGAGAGCGTCTTACAGACACCGTGGAGGTCATTGGTGGCGGACGCCTTGTCGATGGCTTTGTTGTCACGCCTGTTGTCAAGATGGTCGTCGTGAATCGTCTACGCAGCTTCCATTGTGCCCGGGTTTGGGGTTTCGGCGACAGCCCGCTGGATCTCGACATGCTCCAAATGGCGAATGGCGAACGAGGCTATCGTCGTGACTGGCAACAAGGACACCCGCAGCCGGAGCATGGATATGATGCTCGAGATGCTCTTGACAATCAGGGGTTTCGGCCATTCGGCCACGACAGGCGTTACTCCCGCACGACGCACCTCCGCGGCTAGACACAGATCGGTTGCCTCTCGTGGACATTACCGCACCAAACTTCGTCGCCACGATTCTTGGCCAGGAAAAACAGGATCCTGTTCGGGTCATTCATGCCACAAAGCGAGCAGCAGTCAAACTGCTATCAACACCAATGAGGAACAAAAGCCTCCCAGACCCGACACTCCACAAGACCTATCAAGACGCCGAATGGTATCTCGGCATAGAGCTGCTCGCCGATCTCATCGGGTTCAAAACCTTTCAATCCCACACGCCCAAGGCTATTTCACAGACGGATACCGACTCTTCCACGAAAAAGAGACATTGGTCGTGGGCGTCATGCGCAGCGGCGAGCCGCTCGCCCTGGGCATAAACGAGTGTTTCCCGCAAGCGATGTTCCTCCATGCGAAAACCCCAGAGGAGATCACTTCCGCACATCTGCGAGGCTGATTCACTCTCTTCTTAGTCGATGCCGTCGTCAACAGCGGCAAGACGGTCCTGGAATTTATTCACCATATCCGCGGGGCTCCATGCCACGGTCCAGATCGTGGTTGTGGCTCGCGTGGTCCAAGACCAGGCTGTTGCTGTCGGCAGCAACCTCATGCAGGAACTCACTCGCTATCCGCGGCTTGGGATGGTTGCGCTACGTGTGTCGGCAAATAAGTATACCGGGCGTGGGACGACGGATACAGGTAACAGGCTGTTCAATACAGTGCACCTGCCCTAAGTCCTGAGGGTCTGATCAGAATATGTACTTGGTGATCATGTACAGAAAATTATGCTGATTGAATTATAGTTATCTGGATGCGGTACGTTGGTCACGCCGAGAGTTAGGGCTGGGAAATTGTATTCTTAAGGAAACCCCAGAACGAAATCCAGCTTTGTCCAAATAGATCTACATGTCTACACTTATTTCCAAAAATTGGCACATTGCCTCGTTACTTTTGTATTGAGAATCGATCGTAAATAAAAAAGGGGGAATCAAAAAAGTAGGTAAACAGCGCCAGGGTATAGCGCCAAAAAGAAATGAAGTGTACATGATTAGACGCATTAGGGGCAATCAGGACAGGTTGACCACTGAGACTCGTGACCTCAAACTTCCAGAAGAAAGAGAAGAAGAGAAAAGAAAAAGAAGTAGTAGGCTTGAAGAGAAGAGAAGAGAAGAGAAGAGAAGAGAAAAGAAAAGAATTGCTCATGTCTTTACGCAAGAGCGTAGGCAAATGCCAGGAAGGCGCCAGCGGCCGCCCAGACGTTGCCGGCCAGCGGCGCGGCAGCGTTGTGTGAGGTCGGCGAGGACGAGGCTTGCGACGGGGCCTGCGTCGCCTCGGGGGCGTCCGAGATGACAGAGTCGGTGGGGGTCTCGGCCGGGGCCGAGGGGCTCAGCGGGGTCGAGCTGGTCACGAAGACCGAGGACGAGGCCGGGTGCGTGGTCGACTTGAAAGAAGGCGTCAGCGTGGACGTGGAGCTGGGCTTCGGGCTCGAGGTCGGGACAACACGCGGGGGCTGGGGCGTCGGGGTCGGGGTGGGAGTCGAGGTGGAGATAGGCGTCTGGGTCGAGGTCGGGGCCACCGTCACGGGCATCCAGTTGAGATCGCTGGCTTGCAGCGTGGAGTGAGCCTCAACGGTGCCCATCTTGGCGTGGCACGAGGCGTAGGTGTTGCCCTTGTAGTCGCACGACACGGACGCGGTGCTAGTGGAACGCGTGAGTAACACAGTTGCGACATTGGCGAAATAAACAATATATTGATGTCCATGCGGCGGGGGATCACTTACTGGCCATCGCCATTATTGTTAACTAGGTGGACGGCGTTCGGCCCGGCGATAGCGGTCATGCCAGGGGCCGGGATGCCACAACTCGTGGGCTGCGGGCAGGTAACAAGGTAGGTGGTCACAGGGCCGTTCTATGTGGATGGTTAGTTGCAAGGTTCAGGATCAACATGCGATCGTCTGATCAACATCTCGGAGTCGGGTCGCGAACTCCACCGCGCACGTACCGAACCCAAAACATTGGCCTGGAGGTCCTTAACGCCCTCGAATCCGGGCAGGAGGAGATTGGCCGAGTGAGCGGCGACGGCAGTAGCGCCGGTAAGAAGAGTCGCAGTGGAGAAACGCATTGTGAGTAAGGGGGATAATCTTTCAAGGCTGAATAAATGGCGTGTGCTGACGGAGTTGGCAATCAAGAAGGAGTGTGTACACAGTACTGGTAGAGTCCACGAATGAAAGAGAGACTGGGGTTTAACGAAAGACTTCAAAAAAGAATGAAAAAGAAGGAGTGACAGCCAGCAGCTTCGAGCCTGGAAGAGAGAAAAGAACGACGAGAGTGCGCCCCAGGGGGGTGCAGCCATAAAAAGACTGCAAAAACCCAGGGCCTCGCCCAGCTATCTTTAGGGGGTCGCCAAGGCTACGTGAGATTGGAACACGGTGCTAGCGGCCAGGCTAGTAGGGCCGGACTGTAACTTGGGCCAGGAACGGCTTCAGGGATTTACGAGCCCATGGGAGGAAAAAAGGAGGTGTTCGCTCTACATCTTGGGCCCTAAACTCATCGTGGTTTAGGGCCCGAGATCCACCGCGCAGGCCCAACTGCAAGGGGAAGGTCGGGCGTTCGTCCTTCAGCCCTTGGGCTTAGCGAGATGGATACAGTGGAGATCACACTTCAATAAGCCCAATTATTCTGCGTATGCTTGGGTTAATCAGAGTATGATAATTAACAATAATATCTCAATATCAGCAACAGTCGAAATTGGTGAATAAGTCAAATCAACAACCGAACCGCCCACGGCCTGTACAGTGTTGGGCATGCAAGATAAATGGCCCTTAGAATATGACTCGACTGTAATCTCCGAGGTCCTGCTCACCTTGGGGCTAAATGATTCAGGGCTCCACAGCCCAGCCCCGTGACGAGCAACACGCCGTTAAACCCAGCGAGGATATAGAAGGGCGTGGCAGAGGACAGCGCGTCAAATAGCCACCCACCTACTTTGGTGAGCACCAGAATCCCTGCCCCGCCATATAACGAGTAGACCCCGGCAATGGACCCTTTCAACTGGGAGAGTTGCAGCAGTTCATTGCCGGTCTCCGCCAGGAGCGGTTGGCTCTCCGGCTCCACGTGGGGCTCGATCCGCCGGTCGGTAGATTTTCGTGAAGACTCGTCGATGTTGACCTGTAAAATCCCATTGCTCAGCACGGCCAAGCTACAGACAATCGCGCCGATCTGACTAATCCCAATCAGGGCCATCACCACAAACACGGCCACGTTGCCACCGGGCCCCTGAAACTGAGGGCTGGGCAGCAGCGGGAATGCCACATAGCCCGCAATTCCCACGAGGGCGCCCACCAGAAGAGGGAAGTGGTAGCGATGCGACTTGTCCGTGAGAAACCCAATGGCTGGAGCGGCGAGCAGGGCAACCAATTGAGACACGCCGGTCAGAATAGACGCCAGGATGTATGCACGCGGACACGCTCGTTTCATATCCCCGAGCCCGGTTCCAGGCTCTGGTTCGTGGTCGTCACATAGACCCGACGCTCGATAGTAGTGGTTAACCGCCAGGGGAATAAATAGCGAGATTCCCACCGACGAAGCACGGGCTACAAACCCTCCGATGTAGCCTAGGCCAATATCGCGATTGCGGAAGCCCAGGAGGAATGCAGTCGTCAATTGATTCCAGTATGGCAGTCTCGGAGGCTGGACATGGGCCACGTGCTGCTCCTCTTCTGACTGTTCCGATGAATGAGAAGAAACATTCGACAGAGCTTTCCACCCTTTCCCTTGCTCCCCCGGAAGATCTCGGAGGCCGACAAAGCAGATGAGACCAATGATCACGGCCACAGCAGCGACCAGGTAGTAGCTGCGCTGGATGGCCTGGGACGGTGAAAGTCCCATTTTCTCGAATCGAGCTGGAAGCGGCAGGAAACCCATCAGTGATACCAGAGCACCGCACCCTGCACACATACCTACAAACCCCGAGAGGCGAGCAGAAGATGAGTCGCGGACAGGGTCAGCTGTGCCTCGGTGGGGTTGGCTGCTGGTCTGTTCCGGCGAGAACGTCTGATCCGAAGGCACAGATATCTGGCACGGTTGGGCACCAAGTGCTCTTCCCGTAATAGTCGGTAAGACTGCGGTGACCATGGTCGACACGGCTGAACCGCCCACACTGAACAACAGCCTTCCCAAAAGAAGCTGCGGATATATATTCGTGGCCTGCACGAAAAGAACCAAAGCGATGGCTATGATTACATAGCCAATAGTACATACCTATAATCGATGAGATACGAGCAGGGTTTGGCAGGACAAGAGGTAGCTCACATGGCGGACCCCGATGCGGTCCGAGAGGACTCCCCAAAGCGGGCAGGCAATCAGTGCCAGCAGTTCATCCGCAAATCCCAAAGTTCCTACAGCATCCCCTTCTCCTTTTTGTAGCCCAATCAGGTCCGTCACCACAAATGAGACGGAGGAATTGATAAAGACCAGAAAGGCGATGGAGAAGGGACAGACGGCCAATAGATAGGTCAAGGTCTGTCCCCACGAGGCAGTAAACAACGCCGAAGCTGAAGCCATGAATATATCCTGGTCATCACTCACGACCACACACTTGGATGAGGATAAGACAAAGTCAAGGTGGATGTCAAACAGCTGAGCTGGGAGATGCTCCGATGATGCTTGGTGGGGATGCTATCACATGACCATCAGATAAACATGGAGTATGTCTTTGTGCCTCGGGGCATTTGTCCTTGCATACAACTTTGGGAACTTTGCTTCTATATCAAATATATGTTGACTGTCTGTAGAGGAAATGACAGAGCCAACAAATTATGTCAGACCTGCTCCTCGGTGGAAAAGCGAAGAATGAGGATTGGCCATAAGTAGGTCCAAAGTAAAAGATTCCCCTTCGGCCACCAAGGAAACATGAACACACTGAAAATCCTCTCTTACTTTAATCAGACTCAAGTCCTTCTATCAAAGCACTTCCTGTCTCTCCTTGAATATCAACATCGACCTGTGGCCTCTTCTGAATGGCACGTGCACAGCTCAGCTGACGTAAGATTGCGGAGAGCCGTTACTGTGGAAAGCTGTCCAGATCAAGCATCCCCCTCCGTCGCATGTCATCCTGAGCTGTCTTGCCCGCTCTGGTCCATGACCTTCGACTTGTTCCTATCAGTCGATAGACATGAGACTGGCCGCCTACACCGGGGTAAGTAGCCTTCCTGCGCCAGAAGTGACTCCCGCTGACTTGACTTGCAGGCCTCGGTGGCCCTGGCCACCGGCGTGTTTCTGAAAGCTCTCCATCAGAGAGCAAATTTCTATTCAGCGTGCGTTTATCTTTCTCAAAGTAGTGCGAATCTTATGGTGAGTCGGATCTCTGTCAAGCCAGCCGGCTATCAAGTTGGCTGTCGCCGCCACCCCATGTCCAAACTGACTGTGGCTAACAATCCACCGGCGCCGTAGATTCTCACCAACCTCTGCCTTCTGGCCACGGGGTTTCTCCTCTTTTGGCTGCAGCGACTTCTCTACGGACCCTTGCGACCGATTGAAACCGAACAACTCTACGAGCGCGCGTGGTTCGCCGTCACCGAGACATGTCTGGCCATGACCATCTTTCGGGGAGAACTGGGAGGTTGGTTTTTGGTCATGTTCATCTCGCTTTTAGTTGGGAAAGTCTGGGGTTGGATTGGGGAGGGTCGCGTGGAATATCTCGAACAACAACCCCCGCCAATCCGCGTCTGTTCCACATTCGGCTGGCGGTCTCCCTGATACTGTCGGTTATGTTCAATTCGTTTATGCTGCAGTATTGCATCACAACCGTCATTCACCAGGCGCGGCCCGATATGATGGTGATGTTTGGGTTTGAGTTCGCCATCCTGTCGATCCTGTCGACTTCTACCGCCGCCCGGTACGCAATCGCCCTGGTGGAAATCTACATCTCCCGCCAGCAGCTGAACGCCAAGATGGAGGAGCGTCGAAACGAGATTCGCGCCGCTCGATTGGAAGCCATTCGCGAGCATGCGCGTTCTGGGGCCAGTGCACCCCCGACCGACCTGCCTGACGAGAACGATGTGAATGAACTGGAGTTTGACGTGCCAGGTTGGGAAGAGAAGGGTCGTTGGGTGTTCTACCTAGACCTCCTGACCGATTTCCTGAAATTGACAGTCTATCTGACGTTCTTTGCCATTCTTCTTACTTTCTACGGCCTGCCCATCCATATCCTGCGGGATGTCGTCGTGACCATCCGCTCATTTGCTCGTCGGATCATGGACTTCCTTCGGTACCGGAATGCAACAAGGGATATGAACGAGAGATATCCGAATGCTACTGCGGAAGAGGTTGCCCGAGAGGATGTCTGTATCATCTGCCGCGAGGAGATGATTCCGGCACAGCCAGCGCCAGAGGCTGGCGAGGCCGGCGCCCAACCGGCACCAAATGCACCCCGTGTCCCTGATCGTCTACGTCCCAAGAAATTGCCGTGTGGTCACATCTTGCACTTTGCATGCCTCCGCAGCTGGCTAGAGAGGCAGCAGAACTGCCCTACCTGCCGTCGTCCAGTGCTGGTTCCCTCACGTACCCAAGTTGCTGCTGGGACTGATGCCAACAGACCTGACAACGGCGGTGGTGCGCAGAATTTTCCTGGAGGTAACCTACCACCTGGCCAGCCCGGTGCCCAGGCAGATGGAGCGCCTCGAGCTCGGGTGTATCAGTTCGGCCCCTTCCGTATTGGCTTCGGTGCTGTGCGTGGGGATCTTCTTCAAAACCTCCATCAGCAAATCCACCAGGGAAATGGCCCTCTACAACCTGCGGTAAATGCCAATCCGGCCGGTCCCCGTCAAATCGGTTTCGGTTTCGGTTTCGGACGTCGTCCCGCTGCTCCCAGCACACCCACCACGCCAGCCGGGACTTCCAGCGCTGCCGATATCCAAACGCAGTTGCAACAAATAGAGCAACGAATTACTCAGGAGATTAACTCCCTTCGTGCGGCCGCACAGCATTTGCACCATGTCCGCTCGCTCCAGTTGGAATTAGAGCGAGCGCGCCTTGAACAAGCGGGTTCTCTCGCCCAAGCAGCCTCCTTTTCCAACTCTACCCCTGGTGCCCCTGTCACCTCATCGTTTACGACGCACCGTCAGTTTGTTTCGAGCCCAGAGACGGCCACGCTAGGCTCTGGAGATCCCCGCCTCCCGGAGGGGCTCAGTATTCCTCCCGGCTGGAATCTTATTCCTCTTCACTCTGCCGAGCAAGGCGTGGGTGTCACGCAAGCTGCAAGCCCTGTGCCTACTTCGGAAAATCCACCGACGGCGCCGGCACCAAACCTTGGTGTCGCTTCCCAGCCAGCTGCAGCTTCGGGGGCCACTGCTTCGCCCGAGAACCGTAGTGAAACCGCACAAGCGTCTTTCGGCGCAACCACTGGCGAAGCAACAGCAGCCCCCGTCGCAGATAACTTACCCCAGTGGGGGTCTGCAGCGACCGAGGCCTCAACCGATCGTTCACTATCACCCTCGCAGGAATGGACTGATGTTCCCTTTGAACAAGCATCCGAGGCAGGGCCCGCCAGTGGTGAAGGCTCTACTAAGGTTGTTGCTGACCACAGCGAGCCTACTGAGTCTTCATCTAAAGGCAAAGGCCGTGCAGCGACGGTAGAGGAGGCCGTAGATGACGAGGCGTCATGATCGAGTGCATTTTATAACCCCTTGTATTCTTCATAGTTGGCCCGAGCCTTCCAAGTTGCTCTCGGTCACATTCCCCAAGTCTTTGGATCAGCGTTGCATGGCGTTCTTTGAGCAAAACATCATACCCGGATTTATTGTTGTTTATTTCTTATTTCTCCTACATCATGATTGGAATTTCTCGGGATCTTCGTTATAGACAAATCAAGAGATGTATAGGCCACAGTGTTGTGTACGCACGGCATATTGGCTGCAATGTTGGCCTAAAAGCGGGGGCGGCCAAGGCACCAAAAACTATGGTCGACTTGGTCAACGATTGTCATCCTATTTTCATCCCATCTCCATGTCTATCTTTTTATAGTGTTGGATCGATGTGTCCAGTGTTTTGGCTCTTGTGTGTCGCCCGTGCAGCCGATCTCTTGTCAACATGCATCGAGTGCATTCAGCGCCCGTGCGGGTCCCTTGCCCCAGGGTGCCTAGCATTTTTTGTTCGACCCTTCTTCGCGAGTCATTTCCCGCCAAAATGAAGCTCCTTGGGGGTTTTAGATGCTTACAAGCTGGTGATTCGCATCAGCTGCTTTCGTCATCCGCGTATGGAAGCGAACCGCCCCCAAGCCCACCGCAGATCCACCGCCCATTTGTCAGTGGTTGATTCGCCCCGCGATACGTACGCCTTGGTGTCTCTAACGTCGTAAGGCACACAGCCTTCCAACATTCGAATCAGGAAGAGATCGCCTTCCTTGTTACAAATTTGCCTTCTGTCCTCGGCCACCCAGAAAATACAGGCATACGCTCACGTTTATGCCTTGTTCCTCATGGTAACCCAGCAGCTGATGCAATGGTGATCTTATTTTGAGTATGTGGAAAGCTGACCTGGTATTCGCATCATCTGCGATGCATGCCGTGGCACATCCTTCACCCCCTGGCGTCTCTGTAGCCGTTGTCGCGTGGTCTCCGCATCGAGGCTAACCGTTCATCTTGTACGACAGGCGACCTCTCCGCGCATAACAATTCACCTGGCCGCCGTCCATGCTTCTCCCACGGCGATCGGTCCTCTTTTTTGGCTTCTGCTTTTTTCTCGTTCTCTTCCTGACGACGCGCAACCTGTCACAGCCATGGGCCAATGTGCAACAGGTCGTGGGTCTGGGCGATGTGATTGACTCACCGGCGGGCAAGACGGGGTCTAGGAGTGCGACTGCCGGGCAGCCAGATCAAGACTCGTTCGCATCTCAGCCGAAGTTCGTGCCGGGTATTCCCAACCCACCCGGGCAGAACTATTCCAAGGTTGTGGTATTGTCGCAGACCAAGGAAGAGGATACCAGCTGGGTTGACCAATTAACTGATTGGCAGTCCGCCAAGTATGTCGTCGATGATAGCTCCGCTCCACTTCATCCGCCAGCAAACAAGGGCCACGAAGTCATGGTATACCTTACCTACATCATCGACCATTACGACAAACTCCCCGACGTCGCAGTGTTCATGCACGCCCATAAGACCGCCTGGCACAATGACCCACTCCTCAACGGTGATTCTTCCCAGGTTCTTCGGCGGCTCAGCTTGGATCGCGTGATCCGGGAAGGATACATGAACACCCGGTGTGCCGGTGGACCCGGATGTCCGGACTGGATGCACCTAGGTGCTGCCGAAGAGAATGAGTTCAAGCAGGAGGAAGTTATGCTGGCCCGGTCCTGGGGCGAACTGTTCCCGGACGAGCCGATCCCTTCGGTGTTGGCCCAGCCGTGCTGTGCCCAATTTGCCCTGTCTGGGCAGCGGATTCGCTCCATTCCCCGCGCGCGCTTCATTTTCTACCGCGACTGGTTACTCTCAACTGCGCTGAGTGACTTCATTACCGGCCGCGTATGGGAGTACATTTGGCAATTCGTGTTCACGGGCAAACATTCCGTCTGTCCAGTCGAAAGTGTGTGCCTCTGCGACGGCTATGGCTTCTGCTTCGGTGGCCCCGACGAGTTTGATGCCTACCGGTCTCTCGAGAGCCAGCAAAATGAGCTGCGGAACTCTCTCGAGAATTGGGATTCCCTGTCCGAGGATATTGAATCCGCTCGCGAGAAGGACGAACTCAATGAGTCGACTCCTCTGGAAGTCCCGGAAGTGGGCCAAAATTCTCAAATGATCCGTGAGCTGGCGAAATTGGAGAAGAATGTCACCGACATACTTAATGCGGCCATTGAGCGTGGCAACAACCCCAAGTACCGAGCCCAGGAGGCCGGTCGTCCTTGGAACGAAGGCGATGGGTTTTGATTATTATTATTTTGAATTTGAATTTGAAGGATTTCAGCGTGCGATCTCTTGCCGTATATCTCACGGGGTCTAATGGCGTTTCGAATCATCTTGTGTCGATTGGAGCAGCCTATGTTTTCTTTCCATCTGTTTCAATTTTGGGCAAATACTCTGGGCTGCGATGTGCCGTGAGTCAATTTATGACAGTTCTTATTTCTCTTGACATCAAACTGTACAACATCAAACTTTAAATATCCTTATACTGTGCAACTATTACCAGCCAGCAGAGATGTGTAGTTTGTAGATCGATGTTGTCCACCTACTAGGTCCGCACAAGCCCTACTGATTTTCCAGACCACAATAAAACAAAATCATGTCACGTGATAATCACGTGAAAATGAAGAGGTTTGCACTGTCTGCTGTTCCTTCAAACTACGCAAACATCCTCCTCGCAACAATCGCCTGTCGCGTCGCCTGCTTATCAGTTCGAGGTCCACGAGCTTCCGTACCTGGTGTCTTCTCCCTCCACACTCTGATACTCTTCTCACAACCCCCTGTTGGGGTGTGGCGTTGTGAGGATCGAGTGTGGTCTCCTTGCAACCACCCGAGAGCTATCTAGCTAAGCCGCCCGTTATACCGAGGAATTACTTGTTGCTCTGTCGTTAGACTCGATTCCTGCCACTGCCTGCTGGGAGAGCTTTTCATTTGTTTCTAGCTGCAGCTCCAAGGTCAAACATTGCCATATTAGTTGTGTCAAACTTAGTGGCTGCGCGATTACGATCAACCCACCGAATTGCCGAGCTATCAGCTTATCGCATCGAATAGCGCGAAGTACTCTACGCCAAACTGACACCATGACATCCTCATCTTCGAACAGCCACCCTCCGCCTGCCACGTCCTCGACCGATCTTCCTACTCAATCATCTACAAGTTCGTCACACCTCGATCCGAATGCGCAACTGGCGAACAGTGGATATGCGCCGAATGATAACCAGCTTGCGGGCTTAGTCGAAGCGGCCACTGCTGCTGCGGATCAAGATATCTCCCAATGGACCGCAGCTGCAGCCGTCGCCGCTGCCGCAGGAGCCGCAAGCCATAATCACCAGTTGGACGGGTATGGCGCGGACATGCACCTCACTGATGACGGATTCGGCGATGCAAATTTTGGCACGGGCATGGCGAGTGGCAGACATCTGAGAGTGCCCGGTAACAACGAGCACTCTCAGTCGCCAGGCCTGTCACGAACCGTCTCCAAAAAGCGGAAACGAAACGACGATAATTTGGACCCGGCATTGACCAGTCCTGGTCTGGGCGCGTCGCAACACGCACAGTCGCATTCGTCGCAACAGAATTCGCAGGGGTATAGTGGCGACGGACTGGATATTCGGGCTGTGCCGCCGCAGTCGCTGTCAGAAGCGCGCGCGGTGGGCGTTCATTCTGCTGCTGCGCTGTTCCGCCAGCCCTCGAGCAACAAAAAGTATACTCGGCCGCCGATGTCGAAACTGTTCACGTCGCTTGAACTTTCTCCGGAGAATTTCTTGCATCTGCAAGCCGCCGCTAAGGGGTATATGTTGAATGATCAGCATCCGGAGAGGCGGGATTGCGTGGGCCAGCGAGGCAAGGGTGATACCGAGATGGTCAAACTACGCCTGTGGAACTGTGTTCGTCACTTCCTGGAGGCCGAGGGCAACGGCGAACGGTTCTTCGGCGAAAACGTTATCAATGAAGGCATGGGTCCTCGAACATACATTTGGCCGCGTGACCAGCAGAAGATCATATCTTTGGTTATTCCTCTGTTGCGACGCATGGTCACCAACGAACGCCAACGCCAATATGCAATCGAAACCCGGAAAGGAGGTGGCTCCGATGATCGACGACGCCGGAGAACCGACGAGGGGTTCCATAATTTGGATAGCCCACGGTTCTCGCCCGAGCAGTCCCTCCAAATGCACACTCAGGCCCATCGTCCGGACGACTTAGGACAGGCGATGCCGCCGCCACCTCCCCCGCAACAGCCGATGGGCTCAGATCAGCAGACCATGGATCTCGGGCTCACTGATCTTCTCTTGGATGGATACCCGATGGACTGGAACGAAATCACGCGATCGTACGACATGTACAATCAAGACTTTGAGCTTGATAATCTATGGTCTCTATCTGGCCTTCAGCAGTCCGACTGGCGCGGGCTGGTCGCCGCCATCGATAGTCACTATCATACCATTCACAGCGGCGACTATAATTGCCCGCCTGGTTGCGAGGACGCCAATATTGACCGCATTATTCATGCTAACACTACATCTGCCCTGCCCTGGCGGATTGGGGGAGGTCGCAATCTTCCTGCTCGGGATGAATTGTAAGTATTAACATGATGATCACTTGCATGTTGCACTTGGATCCGTGCTAACATTTTCAACAGCGCCAGCAGCATCACCCGCGATGTTTCGCGAATCATTCGCGAAAACATCGCCGCAAGACACGGCGGCGCTCCACCCCCACGAACAGCCGATCACCAATTCCACCATCCCCAGCAACCTTTCACCGCCGACAACTCTCAAAACCAAACATCTCTGCGTGTCAACATCCTCCAGCACGGCAAGCGCATTCTTTCCCGTCTCGATTTACTAGCCGGCCAGTACCCCAGCATCGACAGCGTCAAGCAAGCGATTTTGCGCCGCTTCCCAGGCCAGATCCCCGGCCTTCCTTTCGTGCCGGACTCTGAGAATCTCGACCCGGCTGCCCAGGAAGCTCGCGAGTCTGTCGCTGCCGCTGAGTGGAGAGTGAAGGTCTGGCTGCCGGACGGGCTTATTACTGTCCAGAATCAGAAGGACTGGACTATCGCCTTGCTTTCGGCTGAGACGGTGGACTGGATGGATGGGGATTTGAAGGTGCTGGTTGAGGTTGACGGAGCCAGTGAGCAGCAGTAGAACTGGTCTTGTTTCCTCTTCCTCTCTCTCTCCCTCACTGGTCATCGAGGCTTCTTCTTCGATCCCGTTCTATTATTTCCTCTTTTCTTGTATGATTAGTGTCTGATGAATTGGGTGCTCTCTCTCCTCCCTTTTCTCTCTGTGTCCGCTTTCGCCCCCTTTTTACTTTCGATCTTATCATGATGTGGGCTTATTTATTGGGCGTCGTGTTGGGATGGTGTCATTGCAGTGCAAGGGACGGGGACGGAAAAGCGATTAGATGTGTGTGCTATTTATTGACTTGAATAATACCCTGTTTGTTTATGCCTCCTTTCCTCTCCCAATATGTAGCTTCTCGATCCAGTGTCATTGTGACTAAATCGCAGTTCAATGCGTTGACTCAGTGGACACGATGACCTTCTATATGGCAATCGAATAGCTTAGGAAATATCCAAGTTCAAAAGAAGTCCATGTCTCGTAATACAGCTGGAGGGTAATAATGATAATGATGATGAGGGTCTGAGAAACAGAAAAAGCAATACACGGATACGTCTACTCCCCAAGTCAAGCCCAAACAAAATCGTCAACTCCGTTCTATACGCCATGTAACGACCAAGCCCAAAGATAGAAAACAAAGGAAACAGTGTTATAGGTGGTGCCCACTCGGCTACGCTCATTTGTTGTGTACAAAGAGCGTACGCAACGAGTCCCAGTGGTCCGAGTCGGCGTAGCTGTAATCCCGGTTATTAGTATTTAGGCAAATATATTTCAAAAGGAAAAGAATCAACAAGAGAGAGAAAATAAATAAAAAAAAGAGACATACATGTAGACCATGCTACTCCGCAGACTCGACACCAGGGTCTCCGGGTACCAGCGGAAAATGTACATGACAAACGCCCAGCTCAGACTGGCGAAGACGGGCCAGGCATTATCCGTGATCTGTGTGCGGGCCTCGGGCGTGATGAGCGAAGAGAGAGGGTGCATGTCGGGCTGGACAGCAAGCTTGGCGAGAGACAGCATCACACGGGCGAAGACGTAGATGACAATCTAAATAAACAAGGTTAGCTCTCCCATTTCACTTATTTATCCTTGCATGAAGCTCCTTTGCTCCCACTTGTTCCCATACCTGCTGGCTGACACTCCCCGGCTGTCGCCCGAACACTGCATACCCGCCCAGCAGGCCTGCAAAGAAACTGTCATATCGGCCCTCCTTCGACCCACTTGGGTTGAGATTCCGGAGAATGATCATGGAGGCCTTGTAGATAACGGCGAAGGTGGAGAGGTTCCGCGCATGCTGGCGCGTAGCTTTAAAGACGAGCTTGAGCTTTTCCCGGAATCTATGGGCCACAGATAATCAGTAAGCCGAGCAGTCCGCAAATATTTCAGAAAAAGGAAGAGTAGAACATACGTTCCGGATCGGAAAAGAAGAATCATTCTATACTCCGGCCAAAGCCAGAAAACCAGTCAGCCAACCCGGGGTTATGGAGGTTTGCCGGGTGGTTCCGACCCAAGTCGACCTACACCAGCGCATGCGGGAACCGCACTTTGGATCCGTAGACGATACCATTGCGCGCGCCTTTTACTAGCGAGAGTACCGGCTGCAGATCAGGGTTGAGGGCGAGTGTTTCCAGACGGGACTATCGGTGGGTGTAGGTTAGCGGTGTTTATCTCTCCATGTCATTACCAGACCTCGGGAAGCGGGTATCTCTCACCAGGATCGCATCCATAGCGTCTGGGGGACCTCCGGGACAGGTCGGACTCGGATTCTGGGGAGGAAGCTAGATGGATACACCGTATGATCGGACCGGAGGGACATGAAGAGGAAAGGAGAGAGGGACGCAGACTCCCAGCGGCACTTTGCTCGGTTCCGCATCGAGACGGGCCTCGGCATGTGAGAGCCGAGACGTCATGTCACGTGGCGGTGCATTTATTTCGATCTTATTTATATTGATGCTATTTAGTAAACGACTAGATTAATTTGCAAGTTCGTTATGTAGATTTCTTTTATTTGAATTGCATAAGAGGGTGGGTAGCGGCAACACATGGCATGGTGACCCAGAACATCCATGGATGTATATCCGCTAGCTCTGTATATGTATACATCATCGGCGCATTATTTGGATCACTTTTGGCCTACATTAGACGAAATAAATATGCATATATGCATCCGATTGGATAAATATCTAGACAATCAACTTTTCCATGCCGGTCAAAAACCCCGACAACAGAAGCACAAGCACAACCCCATCCGCCTAAACGCCTGGAACAACAGAAGAAGACAGTCAAGCTCTAGTCGGTCCGCGCCCGCTTGTGGCCCTCGTCCTCCGACACCTCGTCGACATCCATCATGTCCTCGTCCTCGTCCGACTCCATGCCAGCGCGGCGCTTGAGACCCTTCATCTTGCGGGTCTGCAGGCCGCCCAGATCCTGCTTGGTGAGGTGAACACGGCCGACCTTGTCGCCGACGGCATCCATGCTGATGTTTTTGTGCTTGGGCTTGATCTCCTCGTTGGGCCGCTTGCCCTGCTTCATAGCTTCCTTCATGGCCTCGGGCGCGGCCTGGCGCACACGGCCGATCTTGAAATCGAACTTGGGGCCGATCTCCTCCAGCTCGATGCGTGGCAGCTTGTGGCCGCTGCGCTTGGTGACGATCTTGTACCAGCGCAGGTGCACCACGGGTGACAGTCCATCGCGCGGCTCCTCGGCGCCCACCATCAGGATGTACTGCAGGCCCTCGACGTCGATACGGTCCGTCTCCTCACCCTTGAACATATCCAGGAACATGCTCTTGAGCGCCACGTGTGCGGCTGATGTTGGGTCGTCCCACGGACTCCCCGCGAACAGCATCATGGGGCGCATCCCCAGCCCAACGTGCATAACCAGTTCGTTTATTGGCGGGATGCGGTCGCCGTCGGCCGGTGGCAGCAGCATCAGCTCGCACAGGTCAAGAAGCTGCGAGTTGAAAATCCGGGCCAGCGTCACACAGTTTGGTCGCTTCTTGTTGCTACTTCCGAACACCACCAGGCCGCAGTCGTTTTTGTTGGCCAGGAACTCCAGGCTCTCTGTGTTCTCGAACGGGTGGATGTTCTCATTTTTCTTGTGGAACAGCACCGAGTGTGGTTTCGTCAGCGAGTGGAAGGTTTTGAGCACCGTGTCCAGCATTTGTGGGCATTTTGTTCCGTGCAGTATCAGCGTCCGCTTCGGCGGCTCGATGAGTTGCGGCTCCCGCGCTTTCAGGATGCGCGCAGTGCGCGGGTTCTTGGGTTTCCTGCAAGGTGTATCAGTCAATGAAAATGGAGCAGACGGCATGAGTTTTGAGCGTACACTTCTCGCAACATGGTGGTGTGGTTGTGGTCGAAGTCGAAAAGTCGAACAAGCGGAAAAGTTTTGGTTGAAGGCTTGGCGCTCTTATCGATAAGCGACGCCTCATCGAGGAATCACCTCAGGTGGACCTCGCATCAATACATGCCCAGATAAGATCGTATAGAATAAAAGGTTTGGTGAATTTCACTATCATGGCAGCTCTTGCGTATTTTATCTATTTACTCCAGGCGCAGCTTCTCAAATTCCTTGATCTGCTCCTCAAACCGGGCCACCTCGCTCTCGGCATCACGCAGTCGCTTCTCCTCCTGCTCGCGCACCTCGGGCTTGACCTTCTCCTTCCACCCTGGGGTGCCCATGATGCCCTGGGACTTGCGTACAGTATCGCGCGCCTTGTCAATATTGGCCTTGGCCTTCTCTTCCTGCTCAAGGGCAACCTCCTTCGACACACGCAGATAGACAGCCGCCTCCGCGCCCACCGCAGACACCACGCAGCCAGACGGACGGTTCTTGTTCTCCGGGCCCAGGTGCGACAACCCTCCGAGAGTCTTGCCACCAAGGGACTGGACAGTAGTCATTTCCTCGGAGATAGTCTTGGCGCTGGTCGCGTCGTAGGTCTGGATGATAATGTCGCCCTTGGTCTTGACGTCGTACTGGGCCAGGATGGAGCGGATGGCCTTGGAAGTGTTCAGAATAAGCTCGTAGGCCGTCTCAGCTGCCGGGTCGTGGAATTCAGGCTTGAACTCGGGGAACTGAGCCTTCATGATCGAGATTGTATTGTCACCGGGACGGCGAGGCAGACGCTGCCACAGGTGCTCTGTGACGAACGGCATGATAGGGTGAATCAGGGTCAGTGCTCCTTCCAGGGCAGTGTAGAGGGTTTGCTTGGCCGAGTTTTGCGTCTCCGCCGAGGCATCGGCAGTCAGCAAGTACTTGGAGTTTTCGATGAACACGTCACACAGCTGGCTGTACCAGTACTGGTAGATAGTCGTGGCGGTAACGGAGAATTCACGCTGCTCGAGCGCCTCGTTGACATCCTTGGCCGCCGCATTGAGCTTGTGCAGAATCCAACGCTCTGAGAGAGATTCGTGGCCGGTCTTTGTGGCAGTGGGTTGGGGTTTGAAGTCATCACCCAGCTTGCCGAGAACGAATTTGGTGGCCTGGTAGATCTTGTTGCAGAACCGTCGGTATCCGTGAATCACCTGAATATCGAAAGCAATATCGCCACCTGCGGATTGATTAGCACATGAAATAGCAGCTAAAAGATGAGGATACATACCACCGGTGGTGTAGGAGACCAGAGCGAAGCGAAGTGCATCAGCACCGCACTCCGGGATACCCTTAGGGAAGGCCTTCTTTTGGTATTTGGTGGCAGCGGCCACCTCCTTATCAGCGAGGTTACCCACCAACAGCTTGCCATGGAGGGTCTGTAGCTCGATACCCTCCATGACATCCAAAGGATCGATCACATTGCCCAGAGACTTGGACATCTTTCGACCCTCGGAGTCTCGGATCAATGAATGACAGTAAACCTCCTTAAAAGGAATCTGGCCGGTCATTTTGATCCCCAGCATGATCATACGGGCGACCCAGAAGAACAGAATATCCCAGCCTGTCTCCAGAACAGAGGTCGGGTAGAGGTTCTCAAAGTCGTGGGTTTGGCGCGGCCATCCCAACGTGGAGAAGGGCCACAGGCCCGAAGAGAACCAGGTGTCCAGCACATCAGGGTCCCTCACCAGAGAGAACTGCTTGCCGGGGAACTTGGCCTCGGCCTTCTTACGAGCATCTTCCTCGGTGCGACCAGTGACCCAGAGGTTACCATCGCTGTCATCACCTTGCTCGCCCTCGACCTGGACAAAGTAGGCTGGAGCCTGGTGGCCCCACCAGAGCTGACGAGACAGACACCAGTCGTTCAAGTTACGCATCCAGCGGAAGTAGCTCTTCTCCGCGGTCTCGGGGCGGATGATGATGTCGCCATTTTCGACAGCCTTGATAGCCGGCTCGGCAAGGCTATCCATCTTCATCCACCACTGCGGCTTCAGGATGGGCTCAATCACATCGTTCGATTTGGCGCACCGCGGAATCTTCATAGGGTTGTGTTCCCACTTCACATACAGGCCCTTCTCCTTCAGAGCGTCAATGACCTTGTACCGGGCATCGAAGCGCTTCAGACCAGCAAACGATCCTGCATTCTTGTTAAAGGTGCCGTCATCGTTCATGACTGAGATAGATTCGAGGTTGTGGGCCTTGCCGCGGTTGAAATCGTTGAAGTCGTGGGCCGGGGTGATTTTGACGGCACCAGTACCGAACTCGGGGTCCACACCCTCATCGGCAACAATAGGGAGCAGGCGGTTCACAAACGGGTGTCGCGCGTTTTTACCGATCAAGTGCTGGTAGCGCTTGTCGGTCGGGTGGACCGCAATGCCAGTGTCACCGACCATGGTCTCAGGACGGGTAGTGGCAATCTCAATGCGCTCCTTGGTCTCATCCATCTCGTAGCAGAAGTGAGTCAAAACACCGAACTCGACCTTCTTTTCGTAGCCTGGCACGTCGAGCAGTGTACGACCTTCGACCTCCTTGTTCTCCACCTCGAGGTTGGACAGGGAGGTGTTCAGAGCCACACACCAGTTGACCAGACGGTTAGCACGGTAGATAATGCCCTCTTCGTGAAGACGAACGAAGGTCTCGGTGACGGCAGCGGACAGGTTGGGATCCATGGTAAAGGCTTCGCGGCTCCAGTCGAACGAACCACCAACTCTTCGAAGAGCGTTCTTGATGTTGCTGTGGTATTCATCTTTCCAGTCCCAGATCAGTTTCGTCAAAGCCGGGCGTCCCACGTCGTGACGGGTCTTCTTTTCCTTCTTCCACAGCGTCTTCTCAACGACGCTCTGGGTCGAGATACCAGCGTGGTCCATTCCAGGAAGCCAGAGTGTCGTCTTGCCCTTCATTCGTTGCCAGCGGATCATGGTATCTTGCAGGGCATTTGTCAAGGCATGGCCCATGTGGAGGGAGCCAGTCACATTGGGCGGCGGGATGGGAATGACGAAGGAGCCTTCCGGCTTGACCTTGCCATCGGACCCGAATTCGGGCTTGAAGAGATCCCGCTCCTCCCACCATTCCAGCCGGCCGGCCTCAATCACCTTAGGATCGTATGCGTCGGTGGTTTTCTCCTTCTCAACCTTGTTGACCTTCTTCTCGGACTTGGGAGCGGCCGGCTTGGTTGCCGCCTTGGCCTGTTTCTCGGCAAACTTCTTTGCCTTCTCGGCCTTTTTGCGCTCGCGCTCCACTAAAGCATTGCCCAGATGTCAATGAGTGTCGAGGAAACTGGGGATTTAATCTGAACTCGGGCAGACATACACTCCTTCTCAGTTTTCACCTTCGGAGCCGCGGCATCTTGGCCACCCTGGTGTTGGCCCTGGGGATCCTTGAGCGCAGCATCGGCAATCTGGTTGCGAGTTTGTTCGTCGGCTTGCGGCGGGGGGTCGGCCATGGGAGCCGTGGGCTCACCAACTGTTTGAGGTGTGAGCTGCGACGTCCAAGAATGAGTCACGGCGCATACTCACTGGGGTTCTGGGAGGCAGAATTCTGAGCCATCCTGGAGAGTGATCGATATTGCGGAGGAAATCTCCAAGGCGCCGATCGCGCCACGAATCGTCGGATGAGTATCTTGAAGGTGGGAAAGATTGCGAGGAGGGGTGGTTGTGCGGGCAAATGAAATTTCCCACGCAGACGGAGCGAATCAGCGGGGCACGGTGGAGACCTCACCACAGTAACGTCGAACTCGGGCACCAATGGCTCGGTTTTCTTGAATGTTGTTCTTTGCTTTCTTTTCTTTTATTTTACTTGGGGAAAGGCATCGCGATCAGCCTCACGTGATACGCTGGAGCCAACGGGTGATCTGAGTACGATAAGCTGGGCTCCATTCGGGAGCTCGGACTACACAACTATATAAGACTCAAGATTGGCGTGGAAGTTGCAATGCATTGTCTCTTCAATCCCTCGAAAACACTGTCGCCAAGCCACCTAAGCCATCACTCCGTGAATGTGCACATCCATTCAGAAAAACAGGAGAAGCAAGCAATAACGGCAAAAAGAAAAAAGAAACCATAACACCAGGCCAACGCTGACGAGGGGAAGAGATATCGCAAAGACAGAAGGAAACCCGCGAGCGCTATACAATTAGGCAGAAAGGGAGAGCATCTCCCGCTCTAAGAGGTCGGCTGATTTATCACGCTCACTAACACGCCAAAGGAACAGAGGCGATCGAGGGGCCCGGGGACGGCCCAGCAGATTAGATGTCATGTCTTGTCATTAACGTCGTCTCCGATCGGTAGTCGGCCACTAGCCAGTCTTCATCCGCAAAGCTCAGATCAAAGAATGGATGGTTGCCAGGATCATTCTCCCTTGGTGTTCTCGGCACCGTTCAGATGAGGAATTGTCGCGATGCCGGGCACGGGAGCATGCGGGACACGAAATAAAAGGGAGAATTGCAGATACAAGAGAAGAGAATCACAGTGATCATCATGAGAAATGATCAAGAATGAGACGCGTTGCCCAGGGCGTCTGCCTCGGCGCGCACCGGGTCAAAGTACCGGTGTGCCATGGCCTCTTGGGCCGTCAAACGTTCCTAGGATGAAAGTCAGGATTTTCCAGAAGAAAACACATATGTCAGAGAATCACATACCGCATGGTCGTATCGAAGCAGCTTGTCAAGAAAATCAATAGCCTCGTCGCTGACAAAGCGCTGATTTTCCGCTGTGACAAACGAGTGCCACGGTTTGCGGGGGAAGCGAGAGAGGATCTCGTCGTATTGCGGGTCCAATTCAATGTCGTACTTGTCCAGGTACTCAAAAAGCTCCTCGGTTCCAAGCACCTTGGCGATCTTCACCAACTGGTCCGAGTTGCTGTTCCCGTGGAAGAAGGGTTCCTTGCGGAAGATCATCGACGCGAACATCGCACCCAAGGACCACATGTCCAGGGAATAGTCGTATTCCTGGAAGTCCACGAGCAGCTCGGGGCCCTTGAAATACCGAGACGCAACCCGGACATTGTACTCGGTTCCCTTGTGGTAAAACTCCGCCAGACCCCAGTCAATCAATCGCAACTAAATGAGGAGAAAAAAGGTCAGAGATATATAAGATCACCCACACGAAGACCACGAGCCAACCTTTTTCTTCTCGTGATCGATCATCACATTGTGAGGCTTGACATCTCGGTGCATAATTCCCTTGCTGTGACAGAAGTCCAGCGCCTTCAGCAACTCGTAGACATAGAAGCGAACGTCGTAATCCGAGAAGCGGGGGTACAGGGTTCGGAAGTCGGTGTTGTTGACAGCTTCAAAGACAAGACTCGGGGTCTTGCTTTGGTTGTCGCGAACGACGTCCAGCAAGGCCACTACGTTGGGGCCTCCAGCAAGGTTCTGGAGGATCTTGATTTCTCGCTTGATCTTCTTTTTCTTGACGGGCTTGAGAACCTTGATGACACATTTCTGGTAATTGACGACGTTGATGCCTTCGAACACTTCCGAGTACTTTCCCCGTCCTAGTGGGAAAAATGTCAGCATGGGTTGATGGCGTGGTTGCCCCGCAGTCAGGGAATTGCGGCAGATACTGCCACCGTCCTGGTCTGTTTAGGCTCCAATCGGGGGTGACTTTACCTATCTTGCGGACAATCTCATAATTCTCGAGCACGCCCCAGGAGATGTTGACACTGTCATAGTCCCAGTAGGACCGAGGCATGTGCTCGTTGACATCGGCATAGACACGCGCCATGGTGATGGTTTCCGAGTCGGCCCACAATGGAATACGAAATGCGGCGGGGTCCCGAGAGGTGCGACCGGGACAGGTAGAGGGCGTGGTTTGGGGGATCTAGAAAGATATAAGTAGATCCTTCAACAGACCAGCCCAAACACAGCTGTGTTATAAACCGGAAACAATGGGTGGGACAGAGTGGGATATGGTGCTGCTGCGTAGAACGAGATCCCGCACAGTCACGGGATCCAAGTGTTGTGGAGAGCCGTCCCAATTGGGTTAGCCCCGGGAGAGGAGTCGGCCCGATGGATTTTGTGCCTGCCGTTTTTGGTGACTATTGTTACCTGCACCTCTCAGACAGACCACCCCGGCGGAGCTGGGCTCCCTTTTAAACCATGTTTTGTGATCTGAATGTTCCATACAACCCTGATGACCCAGAGGTGGTCCACACCTTAAACTTCCTGGCCGAGCGTAAGTCCCTGTCAGGCCAGCTGCGGCACAAGATCCGAGGACCACATGAGATACTGACCTGACTTCCAAGTGGGTTACACCACCGTTGCCCTGTCTCAAACAGTCAGCGGGAAGCTTCCTTCGAGCCTCAACCCTCCGCCCCTCCCATCGAATGTGCCGAAATCCCTCCAGCTGCTGACCCGCTTGAACCTGATACTGTCCGATCCCGCGCAGAATCAACGCCTTGCCAGCCTGACTCAGGCCTACGACCTAGTCGCTCTTTGCCCAACCAATGAGAAAGCTCTCTTGAATGCTTGTACTAGCTTGGAATGCGACGTGATCTCGCTGGATCTCTCGGTGCGACTTCCGTACCATTTCAAATTTAAAATGCTGTCGGCTGCGATATCACGTGGGGTTCGTCTGGAGATCTGCTATGGGCCGGGGGTCACGGGAAGTGGCCTCGATGCCCGCCGGAATCTCATCGGGAATGCGATGGCCCTGATCCGGGCAACTCGCGGCAGAGGGATTATCGTGTCGAGCGATGCAAGGAGGGTATTAAGCTTGCGGGCGCCGTGGGATGTGATCAACCTGACCTGTGTGTGGGGTCTGTCACAGGAGCGCGGAAAGGAGGCGATTTGTGAAGAGGCCAGGAAGGTGACCGCGTTGGCTAAGCTCAAGCGCACCAGCTGGCGAGGGATCGTCGATATTGTCCACGGTGGGGAGAAATCCAAGCCTGAGGGATCAGCACAGCAGCAAAAGGCCACGACAAAATCCAAAACATCTACGCCAGCGGGATCGGGAACCGAGAATCTGAAGAGAAAGGCTTCTCTCAGTTCGGAGGCGGTGACTGAGGAGCCCGAGAAACCTCTGTCAAAGAGAGATGAAACGTCGGGCTAAGAAGGCTCGGGTCGAATCCAAGGGTGAGGATGCTGGCTGAATCTGTGTCCAGTTTGATATACTGGCCCTTACTGGCCCATTCGGCAGCTTTTCACCAAACCCTTCAGCCATGGAGTATAGGGCAACAGATCTGGCTCTATGTTACCTCCCGCAAGATTGGAGACCAGCCTTCACTAGCTGGCTCTATGGGCAGCGGCTCCCGGCTAGCGTCATGCTCGGCTTCTGGTTGTACTGCCGGTGTGGACTTCTCCCCACCCCCAACGTCGTCATGGACTGCGAGGAATGTTGAGTAGTCCAGGAGACTGACTTGGGGTGCAAACAATCGTTATTGGAAAATATGATTCCATTTCCAAGCAACCAGAATCACTCCCCTGGAGTCTCATTCAAAAAATATGGCTACTAAGAGTCGACACCGAAGAATTTATCTTGCACTGTGTTAATGTTAGGCTCTCCTGTGGCCCTCTGTATTCTATACACTTGTGCCATGAGCCTTAATCATTCTTAATTCCCTAGAATAAATAGTATGATTCTTCAAGTGGACGGTTCACCAAGAAAGGAAGGGCTGAGATTCCTGTCAATGACTGCAAGCCAACTGCTCTCTTGATTCTTCTTCAAATAATCCATGGACGCATGCGATCCGTCCCTCGTGTGGTGACATTTGAGGAACTCGTGGAAATTGCTGTCGCTATCGACTTCTTTCAATGCCACGAAATCATCGAACCTTTTTGCAGCATGTGGGTAGAAGCAGTCAAGTCTTCAGAGCGAACCACGTCCTCAGAAGACCTCCAAAAATGGATTGCGGTTTCAGTGGTCTTCCGGCGCTGCGATATTCTCCGAAGAACAACCAGGATTGCTCAACAGCATGGTAAAGCCCCATGGAGACGGGTCGCTTGCCAGTCCCGTAAATTGCTATATTCCACCTAGAGAAATGATGTGCCACGAGCTAAACTATGGATTTCTAGACTGCATTGACCAACGACGAAATGAATACTTGATGGATCTTTTTATTCTTATCGAGGAACGCATCTCGAACCTTACAAACCAGCAAAATTGTCGCATTTTTGACTGCGATGCACTGCAGTTGGGAATTCTGCAGAAGAAAATGGCACAGGATGGGATTCCTCGACAAAGAGATATTATTGATTCATTTTTGGGGCATAGTCCGGTCTCTGCCAGCACCACCCTCCGGAAGTACCATTCTATCCTGCGCAAAATACCCTGCGAAATGAGCCCCATACATGCATACATCGACAATTGCCCAAACTGCGCCGAGGGTGTTGGGCCTGGTACATATTTGCATATACAAAATTTCCCTTCTTTACTAGTGGGAGTTTCCCAGCTTGGCTCGGGACAGCCTAAATGAAACCCAGACCATTATCATCAGTGGAAATTTTAGAAAACCTCTGAATTCTTAAACGTCCTCTATTATATTATGACTTTTGTCTAAATAGGTGTATATCTATAAGAGTGTTGTCCTACAAGGCCTCAAGTACAACGAGGAGCTATAGGGAAGTATCACTCCTCGATAAGCAGCCACTTTATATAGTTTCCCTTGAGTTATACCCATTTAGCTGGAGCTTTCTATTTTATATAGCTCACTGGCCCTTTCATTCCTTCTCTGTAATTTGTAGTATTCATGGACATACCATGAGATTTTTGTCATATTATCCAAGATACATTACTTTTAGCTAGCCTTTATTCAAGGGGTCCCTTCATCTTAGTTTGCTTGTCCTCCATCTCTACTACGCACCGCCCTTTTTCGAGTCTCTCTTACCTTCTTCTAGACTTTACTTTATCTCCTTAACTGTTTCCCCACCTACTCACCTTGCTAACACCTTACTTCATTCCCTAAGTTCCTTCTTCCTCGCCTACCTTTGAGTAATACTCGCTTCATCTCTTAACCTTCATCTCGATTCACTCATTACTCCCACGGTACCTCTCTCTATCTCCTAACCCTTCTCTTCGTTCATTTATTGTTCTTTATCCACTCTTTCACCAAGTCTGACCTCGCTTCATTCTCTAAAGTTTCATTGATTTGCTCAGTTCCGAGCGACACCAAGGTATGAAAAGAACAACTTCGGTGATTCCAAAAGCTAATAGTTGCTTCAAGATCCACAGCATAGTTGACTCTGATTACCTTTCTCCAAAAATGGCACCGATCACTCACACCCTCGACCCAAAGGGGGACGTGACCCTTGTGGCTGCTGCCCGAGACGAGGATAACCCACATGATGAGACTCGATTCCCAGTCTCATCAAGGCACCTAACTCTTGCCTCGCCTTACTTCGAAACACGGCTCAAGATCTGCTGGCCCGAGGGCAAAGTCCTCTCCGAGCAGGGTAAGGTCGAAATGGCCATGCACGATTGCGATGCGGATGTTCTTTTGATCATCCTCAATATCTTACATTGTCACCTGTGGCAAATCCCACAATCAGTCACACTCGACATGATGATCGACCTTGCCCTGACTACGGACTTGTTGGAGTGCCACGAGGCCGTGAATGTTTTTGGGGCTCATGTGGGTAGACGGGCTCAAAGACAAGATGTCACGTTCGATAGAAGAGGTCACCAAGAAGTGGATCATGGTGTCCTCGGTCTTTCAGCATAGTGGCGTCCTGAAGCAAGCTACCAGACTTGCCCAGTAAAGTGGAACAGGCCCCATCGACACTGGCAACTTGCCGATCCCCAAATGGATCAGAGGTAAAGAAACCCCCCTCCCCACATGGAAAGAAGAGAGGTCGAGAGACAGGGACTTTATGGCTAATTTTAGAGATCCAGACGATATTGACAATGAGAGGATCGCTTATTTGGAAAAGCTCCTTCGGTTGATGGAAAAGCATATCTTCCAACTGGCAACCGTGCCCGACATATGTTCGACGAAGTGCGACGCCCTGTGCTTGAGACTGGCGTCAGCCCCAGCTCTGCCGCCGCTCGGATACTGGAATAACGACGCTGTTCAGGTGATAACCCATTTTTTTTTGACGTATGTCTGAACCATGCCTAGGAAGAAACCAAAGTTTTGGCAACCCGAGACTTTCTCCAGACACCTCCTCGCAAAAAATGCGCATTGCTGAATTGCCCGGATACCTGGACCAATTGGGAATGAAGCGAAGGATCACTATTCTGGAAAATTTAGGCAGAGAAGATGAAGCTGAGAGATTGTATTCTGTCCGGCTTTGGGGAGGGGTGGATGCTTGGATGGCATGTCACCATTTTGCATGTTCTATTTTCTTGCAAATTCTGGATTTGTAGCATATAGGGAATTCTCAAGTCTCAACGGCTGCTTCGGTTCAACAGAAGTGCCTGATGGCCATTGCGCACACAAGAGAATCTTGGGGTGATATTGACATTTCATATTCCTGGCATAATATGCCTTAACTACCAGCTACCTAGCGGTAAGCACCTATCGCTCAATATTGAAGCAGCCGGTTCCTTCTTAGCATATTGATATACCGGGGTTGAATCAGTACTCCGGACAGCAGTGAGATTAGCCCTACCTCGGTAGAGACATTCCATCTGCTCTAACCAAACTACGGCTTCGAAGAGCCTCAAGGCCTATGACCAGCATACTAGCTTTGTGTCTAGTGTCTGCATTGCTTGGGTACTTTTGCATCTAAGATGCAACTCGACAATGCGACATGTATACGCCGGTGTGGCGATTTGCTCTCGAATCAGGTGGACTGTAGATTGTCGATCGGCATGGTCAACCTGGCTGATCAACATGAACCAGCAAACAGCTTGGCAAGGAAATACACCCGACAGCAGCACAAAAAGAGGGGAAAACGAATGTGTGGAGTCGGGAGATACATCGTCATCATCATCACTCCCGGTGGAAACATGCAGCTATCTCGCCCTGGGCGTCCATGATTTGCTCGACATTGGCGCCAAAAGACAGATAGAGCGGGAAAAAGGTGCCAGAACCTGCCTATTTCCTGGCGTTGAACGAAAAGAATGACAAGAAGAGAGTAATATCGCCTGCGAAATCCCTTCCTCCTCTCCCCCGCTCTACCTCCACATGAGAAACCGCAAGGATCATATTCCTGCGCGCATCGTTCGGCAGAAATTGCTTTCCGTTCGGGCAGCTGGCCATAGTGTGTGTGGGTACCTATGCATCCCCCGTCTCTTCCAAATGAGCGTCATCATTTTGCATCATAGGATGTGTATGACCTCGGTTTGTCGCAAGGCCCTCTCGACACATGATTCGATTAGCGTCTTGGCCTTTTCTTTCTTGGTATTTGGGTAGAGAAATACTCACCGGGCCACGGAATGCATTCACGTATTTTTAACGGCCGCTCGTGCTGATTTGACCGGGGAGGATTAAGGGTTGGTATCTCTGCTAGGCTCGGCCTTCCAACTTTGGTGAGTGGAGAATTTCAACGGGATAATAGTCAAGGTTTGATATTGTGTACCCAAAAGCCAATATGTCGAATATCCTGCTGGAATGTTTCTGCCGAATAGGTGCTGTATTTGAAAGAAAGTGGACATTGATCAACAAAGTTCACCATAGATCATAGATCAATCTATGGCTTACCCTTTTGCTTCGGGGCTGGAAGTAGTATTCGAGCTGGTCGAGCTGGAAATACTCGGACGAGAAGCCGAGCTGTCTTTTGAAGGAGGAGAGGCATTCTCTCGCGAGGACGGGGTAGCGTAATGCTTCGATGCGTCCATGGTTGCACGCGTGCCGTGACAATGTCTCTTCAAGAAACAAAGGATAAGCGCCAAGGGTATATCGCAATCATATGGAAAATATTCCGTATAATCAAGTTCACACAGAGGGAAGCAAAGGGGAGAGAGGGGACATTTATATCCAGGAAGGAACTTTGCTGGCAAGTCCAACAACCCTCCCTATCCGTATGCTCCGTATATCCCATGGACAAGGACGATGTCACTATTCCGCGGTATAGCGATGACCCCTTGTTCGGGCAGAAATCCTTCTCTGATGGAAAAAGCAGAGAACCAATAATACTCCTCGCCATAAACAAGCCCATAGTAGGTGTATATCGTCTATGAGCCAATGACAAGCTACACGAGAGGAGACTGTCGTCCCGCAAAGCACGGACGATATCTGCCCAGGATTTGGATCTTGCAGCGACACAGAGCCTCAATCCCCGCCGTGATTGGGGACAAGCTGGTCCTCGGATGCGGCTGCCTGGTTGCGAACTAGCTGGGAAGGGACTGGATAGATCATCTCGGAGACCAATTTCCTGCTAGGGGAGAAAAGGCATCAACATTTGCTAATGTGAATGCGCCAGCTCACCGCGGATCCGGGCACAAAGGCCAATCGAAATAGATCATGACAGCTGGAGAGACGGTCAGAGAAGGATCAAACCTTTGCCTATGAGATCCGTTGATATCAGTTGGGCATCAATCATCCCGTGTTGCACAAACCTGCTGTGCATGCTGAGGTTGATTTTCCAATTCACGACGCGCATGGACCAGCTTTAATTTCATCGTCTGAGAAAAGATAGAGGGTTGAGAGTATAAACCATTTTGTTCGCTCCACTATGATTACACAATAACATAGAACCTGAATCATTGAGGGAAAAAAAAAAAAAAAAAGTAAGCCTAACAAAAAGAAGCCCGCTCAATTTACTCGTCCTCTTCTTCGCTTTCATCCTCTTCCATTCCTTCGGCCGCCGTCACGGTGAATGTGGGAGCCTGGTCCACACCCACGTAGCTGTCGCTCATCAAATACAGCGTCAGCTCATGCTCCCCGGGCGCGGGCACCACATATTCAAGCCGCAGCTCGAGCTTGCGGCCGATCGTGACACGCTTGATCGCCAGCAGATTCTTAGTCTTCTCCTCGCCGACCACCAGCCACCAGTTCTCCATCTTGGGGTTGGGATAGAAGGGCGCATGGACTGTCGTATCCGGCTCTTCATCTTCCTCAAATTCCCGCTCGATCTTGACCTTCAGGTAGGCTGGGTCACCCGAAGTAATGTTGTCGGGGTCTTCGACTTGGAAGTCCATGTCGATGTTGGGATACTTTTCGTTGGTGAAGGTTGCTGCCTGCGCCAACTGCTTGTTGTTAAGCCCAAGGCGCTTGACCAGCGTTCCGTATTCCTTGTTCTCAGACGGGTCCATAGCTTCCATGAACTCAAAGATATCATTGATCCTGCGTAGGCCCGGGTTAGCATTCATTCGTTGATGATCATGCGTTGAAACATACTTGTACTCATGAGCTACTTGGATGACCTCGGGGGAGAAGTGGGGAATCTGCTTGAGCGGGCTGTCCCGATCCCACATGGCTTGCACCACCATCTGCGACAGCTCCATGGCGTTCATGGCGTTGAGATGGCCCTCTGAAGAGAGGACATCGACACATGCACTGAGCAGGGTGAGCACCTTGCGAACGATATCTTCCTGGTCCTTGGCCAAATCAAGCGGAAGTTGCATGCGTGAGAAGTGTGCCTGGAGTAGGACAAACGCCTTGAAGTGAGGCGAGTCAAATGCAACCTGTGACATCTTGACGGGCACGCGATCATACACCCGGCGCAGAATGTGCTCCTCGTGGCGTCGCATCTGAACTGACTCAAACTCGGTCGCCGATGTGACAATCTCCAAAATGCCCTTCAGCTTCGTCCGGGCTGAGAGAGAAAGCAGGAATGTCTGCATGGTGATGAAGGAAATGTTGTAATAAGCACCGATCATGGCAGCATTCAGCGGCGAGACGCTGTCATCTTCCTCGTCCAAGTCGATGATCTTGGCCTCAGACAACTCCTTCAAAGTATTCTCAACCAGCTCCGAGAGGAACGTACTGAGCCCCTCATGGCTCACGTCGCTGAGGCCGTAAAAACTGGGGTTTGCCAGAAGACGGCGGTAGAAGTAGGTGTAGGTCATCCAGTCGACTGCATCCTGGGTCGAAGCGAGCGTCCTCGTGCTGGCCTCGGTGACAAAGGCATCATGCAGATAAATCTGCAGGTGGCTCTCAACCGGCAGCGCTTCATTAAGGAATTTCTTGTAGTAGTCGCGTTTAACGGCGGGAACCATCAATACACCTCGGCCGCTCTTATCCTGACCCGGGCGAGAGGCCTTGCCAAACATCTGCAGGATCTCGCTGATGGGATAGTCGATGTAGCGGTGCTCACGGCCCTCGAAGAATTGTGTGTTCATGATGATCACGAGATGAGCGGTGAGGTCCAGCTCCCAGCAAACATCTCGCGAGGCCAACAACACCTGGATTGCACCGATACTGAATAGATGCGACACAATACGCTTGTCAGTGGGTGTCAAGGCTTCATGATAGTAGCCGATTCCGTGGGTCAGCGATGTGGCCAAGGTCTGTTCCTGGACCCGACTAAGCAGTGGTGCGAGCTCATTAACATCCGCGTTCAAGAAACGATCCTCGTCATCGTCCATGGCACATGCTGACAAAAGATCCATGGCCGTGGAACGGGTTTGTTTGCGACTTGGAACGAAGATCAGAGCAGGCTTATCAGGGGAAAGCTGCAGGATCGACTGGTATGCTGGCCTGGCCATTGCGAGCATGAGGGAGGGGAAATGAGGAATGGTGAAAGACTGCAGGTGAAGCTCCAAAGGCACGGGGCGAGCATGTGGGCTGAAGTTGTAGATCGTATGCTTGTTGGCGCCGATCCATTCTCCGATGTCGCGGGCGTTAGAAAGAGGCACACTCAAGCCGACAATGCGCATTTCGTTCTCAGTCTGCAGAGCAACATAGTGCATGCGAGACACAACCACTTCATAAACATATCCTCCAAAGCCACCGAGCAGGTGAAGCTCGTCAGCAATGAACAACTGAACCGTCTGGACATTCTTGCGCCTCTGCCACTGACGAGACAGAACATCCCATTGGCTGGGAGTGGCGAGGACGAGATCAGCCCGCTCGAGAAGCTTCAAGTCTGCAGTAGTCTCACCCGTAAGCTTGACAATGGTCTTGCCACCGGAGAGATTGCCAAGTCGCTTCTCCCAGTCTGCCAGTCGCTGGTCAACCAACTCCTGGAAGGGGGCAAGGTAGACAGCACGGCCGCTGTTCTTTGAGGACCAGTGGCGGAGCAACGCCAATTCAGCGCAGACAGTCTTGCCGCTTCCCGTTGGGGAGCCAATGAAGACGTTGTCATCGGTGTCAAAGAGCGACTTGAAGACTTGGGTTTGAATCTTGTTGAAGTTCTCCCAGTTAGGATAGAGTCGCTGATACTCCTCGCTCTTCAGAGCTTTGACTGGCGCACGCTGCATGTCAAGCAAGGGCGTATGCGGCGGGAAACGCTCAGGAAGTACGAGCTTCTGGAATGACACAGCGATCTTTGTTTCAGAGTGCATCCAGCGGTCTGAAACCAGGGAGATGAAATAGTTGGGAGGCATCGGCTCCGTGATTGGGACGGTAAACTCGACAAGGTGCTCATTCATTTCGGCCTGAGCATAGTCACCCCGCAGCAGGAAGCGGTCATGGAATAATATCTCCTCACCATCACAGTCTTCAACCAAGATCCAGAAGTCTTGCGCGGTACCGTGCACAACCTCATCCCAGACAAAGTTGGGTGTGATGGTAAGTTCCACCCGCAGCATGGACCGCGTGATGGGTTGCACTTGAGCCTGAACCTCAAGCCGGGGGAATTTGGAGACCAAATCGCACACGACGCGCCCAGCTTTGGGCATGCCAAGAAGTTCACCGATGCGAGGGGGGTCCAAGTCAAAATAGCTCGCCCAGGGGACGTCGATCCGCTCAGCCTTTTGGAGGATATCTCTAGGGCAGTTGGGGAACTGGCGAAGGGGAGACATGGTCGGCCACATACGCTTTTCAGCCATTTTGCAGAGGTCAAGCGCAGTCTTGGCGACGGAAGACCAGCCCTTCTTCAAACAAATCTCGAAGATTGCCCGAATGATACGCCCCGCAGACTGGGTGACATAAACCATGTCTGCCATCAAAGCAAGACCCTCCAGCTTAAGACGAGAGATATAAGCCTGGAGCAAGACGTTGATTTTCGCATGGGGTTCGTCAATGGTCTCCTTGACGGGAATTGGGACGCGACCCAGAAGCTTGCCCAACTCCAATTTCTCATCTTGCCGAACAGGGATGTATTTAAATTCATCGCTCAGAGCAAAGATCCGGAAGAGCTCGATCGTCGTGATGGACGGCTGGATATGTTGGGCGTAGGTCAGCATCGAGTTGTGGCCAATGTAGTAATGGGAAGAAATGCGTCCAAGTTCGGTTGGTTGCAGTCGTCCGGTCTTCTTCTCATACTTAAGAAGACCAGCCCGCTCAAGGATGACGGCAGCGGAATGAATGAGGTCAACTCGCTTCTGATCCAAAGCGTCATCGTTTTCATAATCCGCGCCGACACTGTACAAGCCCGGCGAGCGAAGCATCCGAACGTATAAGTAGGTGTAGCCAAGCCACTCTACGCCTTCGTCGCGGCTGCGAACATTGCCGAGCACAATCTCTGCATTCATGTTGTCCGCCAACTTGCTCACCAATTGGGATTCAATGGGCAGTTGCTGGTTCATGAGAGAGAGGTAGTATTGAATCTCGGACTGCGAGGTGATGATAATACCCTCGCCAAAGGTATCATACTGAGGTCGGCCTGCTCTTCCAAGCATTTGGAGAACATCTTGAGGGCTCAGCTCGACCCAGCTACCCTTCTCAGGAGAATAGACCTGGGTTCCCTTGATGATAACGGTGTGTGCAGGAAGGTTTACACCCCAAGCCAAGGTCGCGGTGCAAACCAAAACTTGGATGCTGCCATCGGCGAAAAGTGCCTGAACGGAATCACGGTCCGCGAGACTCAAACCAGCATGGTGAATACCGAGGCCATACGGGAGCAAGTCCTTTAGAGAAGCATCGTCCACCGAGTCTGCCTCCTCGGACAAAATCGCGCGACTGGCAGCATCACTGCGCAAGATCTGTCCGATTGTTTCCATCTCAAGTGCTTTGTCCCGGATATACTTGGCTGTCTTAGCGGTTTCTTTTCTGGAATGGACAAAGATAAGCATCTGATTCCGACGCTGGCCGACCTGTTCCAAGACCTTGTTGTAACAGATATCGTTCATTGTCTTCAGCTGCTTGATTGCCTTCTTGTCCGTCACGCCAATGAATTCCTGTTTTAATGGGCAAGGTCTGTAAGATCCGTCGAAATGGAACAGACCCTTGTCAGGATCAACCCGCAAGAAGCTTCCCACGTCACGGTAGTTCGGAAGGGTAGCGCTGAGACCCAAAATGCGGACAGGGTCTCCAGTTTGCTCGACTCGACGAATGGTCCTGCTCACAATACTCTCAATGACGGGGCCACGCTCGTCGTGAAGGAGGTGAATCTCATCAATGATGACAAGTCGGACAAGCTTGGTGTAACTGGTTTCAGACGCCTTTCGCGTGATAACATCGTATTTCTCAGGGGTCGTGACGATGATCTGAGTATCCGCGATTTGCTGCTTGGTGAGTTGTCGGTCACCTGTAAGCTCGGCCACTCGAACGCCGTAGGGCTCGAGGCGTTTGCCAAGGTTTCCAACCTGCTCTTGCACCAGAGCTTTCAGCGGAGAAATATAGACGATCTTAAAGTCATCCAACATGATCTCGCCGGTTTCCGGGTTGCGGTTTTTGCCAATTTCGCGAAGGATGGTGAGCATAGCGACATTGGTCTTTCCGGAACCTGTAGGAGCGCAGACGAGAATGTTGCCGTCATCATGGAAAGCGGAAGGAAAGCACTTGGTCTGCACCCTGTTGAGTTCCTTGGAGCTGCCAAACCCAACCCGCGCCCATTCAGGGAGCTCGGTCGTTGGGATGTTCTTCTCTCCCGGGTCTCTCTTGGCTTTGGGCGGTGGTACATGGATTTCTTCATATCCTTTGAATGTGCGTTTTGTCGACCCTTGCGGCAATTTTACGTTGGGGTTCGTCATGAGGTGGTTTCCTTGGTGGAAGACGAGATTCTCCAAGTTGATCAATCTTTGGGGTTGCAGGCCGCCAACCAAGCCACCTTCGGCGGGCTTTTCCTCTGCTGGTGCCGACGGGACATCGACATCCATCAAATCAAGCTTGATTTTCTTTTCAGGGCGTGCCGCTTGTTCGTCACGGACTGTCTTTCCCCGAAGCTCGTCTAGGACCGCGCGATGCCCAGCCTCCACCATCTCACTTTCCACGAGGTTTCGCGCATCGGCGTCTTCCGCAACTCGCCTCCAGCGTGTCACCCAAACAACCTTGTCACGGTTGGTGACCAATTTTGCAACAAGATCGGGATGGTCGTAATCGAAAAGCTCCATCAGGTCGTTTTCAACGTCACGCAGAGGTCGCTCCGCACCGTCTTCGGATTGGCCAAGAATCTCAAGTGCATTGCGAGCCTTTTCGTGTTGGATGTGGGCATCTGTATACAATGCCCCAATTTGACGTTGCAGCCAGTAGGCGTCAATCTCGCGGGCAGGAACATTCAAGCCCGCCTTGTGTTGCGTTACGCCATCCCGGTCAAGGCCACCGTCGATAACCATTTCTTCGCCCTCGGCCTCCTCGGTTTCGGGTTGAGCTTGTTCGTCCGGTTCTTCGTCATCGGTGAGATCGTCCTCGTCTCGAACTTCGTCCACGGTTCCCATGCGCTCCTCATCTTCATCTTCATCATCGAAGACAACGGCGACACCTTGGCGCTCGTCGAGCTCAGCGTCTGCTTCTTTCATCCCGTCTTCTATTTCTTCTTCCTCGTCCTGGGCATCGTAATCCGTAATTTTTTTGCCCAGGTTCACAAGTTCGTTGAACTCTTTCGGGTTCATCGAACTCCCAAGAAGATCGTCAATCTCTTTCTTTTTATCAAAGTCCTTCATTTCTTCGTCCTTCAACAATTCCAGCACGGCATCGGCGGCACTTCGAACGACTTCGTGCGGGACATCGCCCAGGTGGCTTCCGGTGATTGTGAGGATGAGATCGTAGGTGACTCGCGTAGCAGGTGTTCGGGGACGATATTTCAGGCCTTCGACCACAGCATCGGCGGCGGAAAGAATGCCCTGGCCCCGTAGTTGAGCCGGTTGGCCGCGCTGGCGTTTTTTCTGTTCCCGCAAAAGCACATCTTCACCTTCCCGGATTGCACCTCGCTCAAGGTCTGCAGGTGCAACTGGTTTCTTCTTCGACTTCGGCGCATCGTCCAGCGCGACACGCGAGCCCATCTCTCGGATCCCAATGCGACCAGCGAGAGACTCCGGGTCTCCGGTGGGTTCATCGTTGACGCGGCTGATGAAACGACGGTCCGCCTGGAGAACCAGGTTGGACATCGCCGAGTATTTATACTGCGAGATATTTTGGTCCGCCATCTTGGTGGTGGAATGATGGAATCAAGAAAGCGACAAAAAAAGAGTTGGATGCGACCAGAGTCGCGGACCTCAAGGGTCAGCGCCGAGGCAAGAAGTCAGCGATTGGAGGAAGTCAAGAGGTCTCACAAACCTGGCTCATCCTCCTATCGCAAGCGAGCTGATTTGGTGAAAGAGAATGGCAAGCCAGGGTGGTTGAAGACGAGAAACGCCAAGGAGAGCAGCTCGGGAAGATTTTCGGTGGCGAAGGCGGAAGGAGGGGAGCTTTGGCGTTCTGCCGTTCCCCAGACAATGTTGCCCGCAACAATGCGACTCCATGGTCACTTGTCGCTAGTGACACCGGTCTTACGTTCAGCGGTGCTAACCTTAAGACTCCCGTCTCATCGCTATCATGTCCATCGAACCATCTGCCACCATGTGCGTCGTACTCGGATGCGGCCACGTGCGTCGCTGGCAGTCTCGCAAGTCGAGCTACGCAGAGGCGCCAAATCCCAGGCGACGATGAAATTAAAAGACCTCCCTCAAGGAGTCCTGAAGCTAGAGGCATACGATGATGGGGAGGACGATGCTCCTCAGTACCCGACGGTGGTTCAAGGGCACCGGAACAACATGCTGAAATTCCAGAATTGTGTCGTTTTGACACGAGTCGGGGGCTTCTACGAGGTAAGAGGGCAGACACTAGATAGCCAGAGCTAACAAGCTAATAATACCTTTAGTTATACTTCGAACAAGCAGAGGAGCTGGCGCCGTTGCTCGGTTTGAAACTTGCCGCCAAGAAGACCAGTGCCGGACCCGTTCCTATGGCCGGCTTCCCCTTCTTCCAGCTCGATCGATTCCTCAAGACCCTTGTTCAAGACCTTAACAAGTATGTGGCTATTAGCGAGGAGTTTGCCAACCATACGGAGGACAAAACACGCACAGGGGGTCTTCTCTTCGATCGAAAGGTGGCCAGGATCATCACACCCGGAACATTGATTGACGAGAAATTCATCGATCCCTCTGAGAACAATTTTCTGCTGGCCATCCATCTAGACGTTTCCGCACTGGAAGAGCACTTGAAGCAGCACACCAATGCTGAATCGTCGCATCAACACGTACTGTCCTCCGTGCCCCAGCATGTAGGGTTGTCTTGGCTGGACCTCTCAACAGGTGACTTCTTCACCCAGCTCACCACGGCCCAAATGCTTCCCTCGGCAATTGCCAGGATTAGAGCTCGTGAAATTCTTGTGGACCAGAATGTTCGGGATCTCGTTGGGCAGGAATTGCAGCTGTTGGTTGGACATGACCATCGTCTCGTCACATTCTTTCGGTTTCCCGAGACCATCGAGCCCATGTCTCAATGGGGCACAATACTTGAATCCCCCGTCCCGGAGGATGTCCGCACGTCTTTTACAGACGAGGAAGTGGCCGCTGGATACAGTCTGCTTGCGTACATTCGGGTACAGTTACAAGGGTCGAACCTGAGACTCCAACCTCCGCGCCGAAGACACCTCCAGGAATCCATGAGTATCGATCGGAATAGTCTGAGTGGTCTTGAGATCTTGGAAACTGCGCGAGACGGATTTGGGAAAGGCAGCCTGCTCCACGCTGTCCGAAGAACCTGCACCAAGAGCGGTGCGCGTCTTCTACGAGACCGTCTTAGTGTGTTAAGATCTTTTTTTCTTTCTAGTGCCTGGCTGACATCAATGACCCAGCCTGTCCATCAACGACCTTGCAAATTATCAATGAGCGACTTGATCTCGTCTCGGTTTTCATCGACAACGAGAATCTCCGTGACAGTGTAGTCCATTTGTTGAAGCGCAGCTACGATGCTCAGCGTCTGGTCCAGAAGTTTGCCCTGGGGAAAGGAGACCCGGATGACTTAATATGCCTTTCCCGGGCTATCGAAGCCTCCAAGGACATCAGACAAGTCCTGGTGAATCACAAGAGACTGGAGGCTGTTGATTCTTCCAATGCCCAACGCAGTGTCAACTCCATGGTCTCACGGCTTCACCTTGAGGGACCTACTGCACTGGCGGACAAAATTCTTGCGGCCATTGATGAAGAGGGCTTGTTGCAAAAACAACGGATTGAAGATAGCACGGCTGCCGAGGCAGCCAATCTGGCACAAGAAGTCACCCTGAATGAAGGCAGCTCGAACGAATTCGAAGCATTGCCTAGAAAAGCCAAAGTGAAGATCGGTGACCGCGCTGCCACCACAGTTGTGGAATCGGGCCCAGTTGATAATTGGATCATGAGACGCGACGCCAGCGAAAACTTGGATGCGCTCCATGTGGAGCTGGAGCGACTGTTTGATGAAAAGACCGCTTTGACCCAAAGGCTACGCGATTTCGTTGGATCTTCGGCCCTGAACCTCAAATGGACTCCAGGCTTGGGCCATATTTGCCACGTGAAGGGGGCGAAAGTATCCCAGCAATCGATGGAGGATTTAGGCGTGACGAGAAATGTCTCTTCTACCAAATCCACTCGGTCATTCTACCTTCCGGCATGGACGGAGTTAGGAATGCGAATGGACCATGTCAAGGTCCAGATTCGTCAAGAGGAGCAAAGTATCTTTGAGCGTCTCCGCCGCGAAGTCATCATGAACCTGGTCAAAATTCGCCGCAATGCAGCCGTCATGGATGAGCTAGATGTTGCATGTTCATTTGCCATTCTGGCTCAGGAACAGCGAATGGTCCGGCCAATCCTCAACGAGGGAACCTGCCACAAGATCGTGGGTGGAAGGCATCCAACCGTGAAGCTGGGCCTCGAGGAGCAGGGCCGCTCATTTGTGAGCAACGACTGTTTTCTCGGGGATCTAGAGCGCATCTGGCTCATTACCGGCCCCAACATGGCCGGCAAAAGTACCTTCCTACGACAGAACGCGTTAATCACGATCCTCGCCCAGGTTGGATCGTTTGTCCCTGCCGCGTATGCTGAGATTGGCATTGTTGATCAGATCTTCAGCCGTATCGGCGCGGCGGACGATCTCTTCCGGGATCAGTCGACGTTCATGGTGGAGATGCTGGAAACCGCTGCCATTCTCAAGCAAGCCACTCCGCGCTCATTTGTGATCATGGACGAAGTGGGCCGGGGAACTACCCCTGAAGACGGGTCCGCCGTTAGCTTTGCGTGTCTGCATCATTTACATTATCGCAATCAGAGTCGCACGCTGTTTGCAACCCATTTCCATGCTCTCGCAGACATGACGCAGCATTTTGAGAGCCTGGCGAGATATTGCACTGATGTCAAGGAGACTGCTTCAGGCTCCTTCTCCTTCGTCCATCGACTACGGAAGGGCGTCAATCGTCAATCCCACGCTTTGAAGGTCGCCCAGTTAGCCGGTCTACCCAAAGAGACACTGGAACTGGCTATGCGTGCCCGCCAGGAGATAAGCGGCGAGCTGCCACCCCGTCCTGTTGCAGGCGAGGTTCAATCTGAGTCATCTCCTGAGCGGCTCGACAGCGGGTCCAGTGGTTTGTAATATATACTTGTATTTGTTTGATCTGTATGTACATTGTCGGGTTTCTTTTGTTCATGATACCACGTGATAGTTGTTCAATATCACATTCTCGTTTTCTGTGAGTTCATCAGTCGGGTTTTTCTCTCGACTGGGTGTTGTTTCAGCTCCAAATGGCCATTTCGCAGCTTAATTTATTTCGTTAAAGCTTAGCCGTCCACAGCTTGGGGCCTTTCTCCTTCCGTCCATGCTGACCATTGTGGCCCAAGTCCACCACAATACCCTCGTCAAACGCCGCCTCCTGGCAATCCTCATCACCGACGCCATTCACAAACTGTACCACGACAAAGTCAACGCGCCGACGCCCCAACACGACCATGGGCGCATGCCACGTGCCCACGCCGTAGGTAACCGCCTGGCCGCCATGCGCAATGAAGGCCTTGACATTGTGCAAATCCGGCGGGTCGTGAATAGTGACCGTTTCACCAGCCTCGTTCTTCGCTGTCGCCGTTTCCCCCTTTCGTGTAGGCGCGACTACTACCAGGTAAATGGGTTCGTCTTCCCGGTCGCCCACTTTGGAGTGACTCGATAGATCGATGGGGATGAATGTTTGGTTCGTGAATGGGTGGCGCTCGAGGATGCGCACGTCAAAGACCTCTTTGTTGGGTTGCTGCCCGGGGGTGACGGTGCGCAATTGGCGCGGAAAGCAGCAGAACATGGTCATCCGCGCTTCGGACGCTTTCCCGCTCGGACAGGCATTGGTGTAGCGGTCGAGGAGTGGGGAGATCGGACTGTATTTCAAGGCGGAGTTTTGGTTGGTGAGTACCGGCGCGGGATTGTGCGATGGTAGTGACGATGGCTGGGGGGCGACATTGAGATCGCGGGGGAGAGGTGAGGAGATGGCGGTGCCGAAGGGTGCGAAGTTCTCGGGAGTCAGTGGCTCGGGGTTGAGCGTTACTGATGGATTTGATGTGAGGATGGGTGCCATGGTGTGATGTTTAGTGTTGAATAGAAACTCGCCAGCTGTCGGTTGTCCAGAGAAGCTCAATGGTTCAAAGGGCCGGGGGACTGGGGACTTTGGGGTATATGAAGAAGTGGGGACTCGGTGGCCTCCGCGCAAGATATGTATCTCTTATCGCCGTACGGCCGGGGCCGACAAGGCGACTATACCGGACTCCTTGATAATTTCATGGCGTTTTATAGCTCCCCTTGTCTTCTCTTTTTATTTCCCTTGGTAAACGAGGCAGTCTGCTGTATTGTCAGTGATGTCTACTCCCAAGCTCACATAAACCAGTCCTTTTCTCGATAAACAGAGAATAAACTAGAGACTGGGAAATAAACAATTGCTCCTAAAGATGTCATTCAAAATATAACAAGAAAGTATTTATATACTAATATACTAATATACTAACTACATAGTATAGACAGCCCTTTGGTGGATGCAATCGACTTCTCCACCCCGCACGATCACGTTGCTCCCTTGCGAACGTCTGCTTCCTCTCTTCCTCTTCCTCTTCCTCTTCCTCATTCTTCCTTTTACTTATTTTCACCTATCTTCAACTATTTTTGGTTCTTTTGGTCTCCTTTGGTTCTGATCTATTTTATTCTCCTGCTGACTTCCCTTCCAATCAATCCATCCCCTCACGAGTCGACCCTTGGGGAGCTCCCGCTAATCTTATCTGAGCTACGAGGTGAAATGGCGATCCGTCCCATGAAGTTCACGCCCGAGTATGCTTTGTTGTTTCTTTTGTTCCTTTTCCTCAAATTATCGCTACATAGAATGCTTCTATTCTTTTTGAACAGCTTACTGACCACTCCAGGGTCTTGATTGGTGCGCCCAGGCGGTCCTCGGCTGTCCCGAATGCGGCGGGCACCCTTGCGGTTTACACGCAAACCTCTTACTCTTTCGAGTCCCATGCGAAGACCAACGAGATCCGTGTAATTGATATCGATTCCGGTCGATCTGCCCTCATTACCAATGATCCCGGCGCCAACAACCCCCAGTGGCTGGATAACAGCGACCAGCTGGTTTGGCTGAAGACCAAGGCCAACGGGAACACTAGTTTCATTATTGGTCATGCACGCGAGGCGGATAAGACATACACTGCGGGCACTGTTCCCGGACCAGTCTCAGACTTGAAACTCACCGTTATCGAGCCCGGCAAACTTGGCTTTGCCGTGAGCGGGAAGGCTAACCCAGATGGATCCCTGTTTAACCCGCACGATGTAAAAAAGCCTCATACCTCCGGCAAGCTATATACCTCGCTGTTTGTCAGACATTGGGACTCTTATGTCGAACCGCAGAAGAATTCCATCTTTTATGGTCTTTTGGAGAAAACGCCGCTGTCACCGACTCGCCGTCAGGCTGGCAAGTTCTCCCTGTCGGGAATCACAAATCTCATCACCGTCTCAGGATTGACGGGCGTCGAGTCACCAATCCCGCCCTTTGGGGGCACTGGTGATTTTGATATCAGCCCGTCCGCAATTGTTTTCATTGCCAAGGATCCTTCACTCAACCCGGCGACCCACACCTCGTGCTCCTGCTACTATTCTCCGATGTTCTCATGGACCTCGTGGACCAACATGAGCGCACCCGATGCGAAGGTTTGCAAGGTTGCCCCTCTTCAGGGTGCCATGGCATCCCCCGTCCTCTCGTCAGATGGCAGCTCCATTGCGCTCTTAACTATGCGAGAAGATGGTTACGAGTCGGACAAGAACAGGATATTATACGTCCCAAATCCTTGGAACGGCGAGATGATTGAGATCTTCAAAAGCGACGATGGAGAAGGTCTGTGGAACCTTAGTCCCTCGGCTGTCTCATTTGCCCAGGACGATAAGTCCTTGTTGATTCAAGTCGAGGAAACTGGGCGCGGGATCTTATACCAACTTCCCCTCCAGAACGCAAGAGAAGTCAAGCCTGACGCTCTCAAACGCTTGACTCGGACCGGCTTCGTCAATGATGTGGTTCCCGCAGCGGCGAACTCTCCCAAGCTGTTTGTTTCCAGCAGTAGCTTGGTTGATAACAGCCTGTGGACCATCATTGACCCGTCACATCCCGATCATGTGCAAGTCGTGTCTTCGAGCAGCAGGGGTGGAGCCGTATTTGGCCTGGCACCGACTCAGGTTGATGAGATTTGGTTCCGTGGCGCCGAGGACCACCCAGTCCATGCACTTGTGGTGAAGCCGTCTCACTTCAAGCCCGGTGAGAAGTATCCCCTTGCCTACTTGATCCATGGTGGTCCCCAGGGCGCTTGGAATGATCAGTGGAGCACACGCTGGAACCCGGCCGTTTTCGCAGAGCAGGGCTATGTCGTGATCACGCCCAATCCCACGGGTAGCACGGGCTACGGACAACCCTTCACTGATGCCATCCGTGGTGAGTGGGGCGGAAAGCCGTACATTGACCTCGTCAAGGGCTTTGAATACATCGAACAGAACTTGGACTACGTGGATACCTCACGGGCCGTTGCCCTGGGGGCTTCGTATGGCGGCTACCAGACCATGTGGATTCAAGGACATCCTCTTGGACGAAAGTTCAAGGCGCTCGTCACGCACGACGGCGTGTTCAGCATGACCGGTCAGCTCGCCAGTGAGGAGCAATACTTTCCGCTCCACGACCTCAAGGGCCCGATCTGGAAGGTTCCTGACAATTGGGCGAAATGGGACCCGTCGCGGTTCACGGAGCATTGGCGGACTCCTCAACTCATCATCCACAATGAAAAGGATTATCGGTTGACAATCGCCGAGGGACTCTCTGCGTTCAATGTTCTACAGTTGAAGGGCATTGAAAGTGCGTTCCTCACGTTCCCCGACGAGAACCACTGGGTGCTGAACCCTGAGAACTCACTGCTGTGGCATCACACCGTGCTGAATTGGATTAACAAATATGTCGATCTGCCTGCGGTGTCGGAAGAGCCCGATCTCTCTTCGGGGGCGGCCAAGCTTTCTGTCTAGAGACAGACAGCTAACTGATTTGCTATTTGGCATTTTTTGGTTGATTGGATATGAAAGATATGAACATCTACGGAGGATATATGCACGACCACGGGTTTTCTTTTTCTTGGAAACAAAGGAAGATGAAACTTGGGCTAATGTCAGTTTGCTTTGACGGGCTATTTTGGGCGATATCTGGCATTGTCTGAATGATTGCCATTCATATAACAATGCCTTGGATCTCGGGTATATAAGTGATTGATTTCCTCGAGTATTTCGGAGTAGCTAGATATACAAATTGTCTTTTCATCCATTAATCCACTATGTCCTCTGACGCCTCGTCGCCCTGCTCTCCCTCTTCGGGCTGTGCTCCATTTAACACCCCAGTCTCGTTTGGAGTACAGCCGCGCGCAAATCCGCAGAGCTTCCATCCCTCTTTCTTGCCAGTCATCCGCCATCTGGAGACGCCTCTGTCTCAACTCTTTTCCAGCACAACCGGCCTCCCTCATCCCGACTTCCCTGTCACCATTCTGGCTTACCACCTACTCACATCGACTCAACTCGATAGCCTCGCCTGCCACTTCCACCAGGTCTGGCCTTTTGTACCCGCAACTCTGTGGTATCCCATGCAGATTGCCCCATGGATTGGCACGCCGGAGGAACAAGACGTGGATCTACAAACAAAGCGACGACGGTTCGGACGATTCATCGGACTCGGAGGCTGTGAAACACCTGTCATTGACAATGGATCCTTCAGTCATACAGATCAAACCGATACTGAGACTGCCTCTGTGTTGGAATGGATGGAACAGCAGTGGGAGGATGCTTTGGCGAGAGCCAGGAACGAGCGACGGTTCGACGGGAAGAATCCTTGATCCTCAAGTCCCTTTGTCTTCGATTCTTTGTCGTCATTCTTTGTATATTATCACCTGTTAATTATTCTCTTTGATTTGCAACGAGAAAACCCTTGATACTGAATGTATAGCCCAAATTCCCTTTTCATCCACACGGAGGTTACGCCGTGGCTCAGCTACATTTAGCTGGCGGGTAAAGACGTCGATGTATGACGAGAATAGTATAAAGGCCGTTTTCTCTACTTCCCAACCTCTCAATATCTTGTTCTTGGCGATTGAGTATTTGTGATTCTCACTCTTTGCCATCTTCCAACTCACTTGTCAACCCTAACTCCCACATTCGAAACGTCCTCTCCATGGACCACATGGGAGGACTCGTCACAGACTACGGGGTGGCTCTGCGCACCTCGGACATCCCCTGGGTCTCCAAGCAGCTCTGGGCGCCCGACGCGGCATCCAAGAGCGGGAAATACTTCCTCTATTTCCCTGCCCGCGACAAGAATGGTATCTTCCGCATCGACGTGGGCAGTTGCCGATACACCTGTGGGACCATTTGTTCCAGAGGAGAATCATATCCCGGGGAGCTGCAGTATCGACCCGGCGGTGTTTGTGAATAAACCAGGCGGAGAGCAGACATCAGAAGGAGCAGATGGGAAGGCATACATCTATTTCGGGGGTCTTTGGGGTGGCCAGCTCCAGTGCTGGGTTCGTCCCACCGCGGACTCCGACAAAGAAAAGACCGATGCAAATGGCTATATCTTCGACGACTCCCAGTCCGGGCCCCAGGAACCATCTGGTCCCGGCGTGCCGGCGCTTTGTCCGCGCATAGCACAGCTCAGTGACGATATGCGCGGCTTTGTCTCCCCTGCTCGCGAAATCCAGATCCTGGCCCCGGAAACAGGGAAGCCCACCGCGGCAGAGAATCATGAACGGCGGTTTTTCGAGGCTGCATGGCTGCATGGCTACCGAGGTCTCTACTACTTATCGTACTCGACGGGAGACACATGACTTGGTTTATGCGACGGGGACCTCGCTGTGGGGTCCGTATACGTACCGCGGACGGATTCTGGAGCCTGTGCTGGGGTGGACGACGCATCACTCTATTGTTGAGTTTCGGGGCCGCTGGTACCTCTTCTATCATGATTGTGAGCTCTCGCGGGGCGTGGAGCATTCGAGGTCTGTTAAAGTGAGGGAGATTGTGTATGATGATGAGGGAGGTATTCATCTTGCGTGAGCAGAATTATTAGCTGGATGTGCTTGTTCAGATATGAATTATTCCATCTTTCATCTAATGACCCATCCCATTTTCCCAGTTCTCCTGCACGATCTTCCAGTACTTCTCGCGCGAGCGCATGCGGAAGGTCTTCCCGAACTTGATCATTACTAGGAACAGACTCGAGAACGCCATGCCAATAAAGGCGGCCGAGATAAAGCAGTTCTGGTAGCCGAGGTTTTCAACCCAGGGGGTAATCCTGTTCTGTGTCAACCCTTGTTTACTTGGGACAACGCAATGCATGGGGAAATAACTCACCCATAGCCGATGGCAAAAGACATGGTATTGCGAACCAGCATCACACTGGCCATGGCAACCCCACTGAGTTCCCGGTAGCTGTCGACCAGGTAGTTGACACTCAGGGAGATGCCGCACGTGTTGGTGAATGCCAACATGCACATGGCCACGACCAATCCGAACCAATGTACTTCGTGGGCTGCGCCGACTCCCCACAGAAGTAGAGACCCCGGGACGAGGATCAGACAGGCGGTAAATAGCCAGAGTCGGTGCTCTGCTTCCATGACACCGTTGTTGCGGCGCGCTAGTCGGACGGTCAGCCAGTCGCTGAACCGGCCTGCGAAGAGAGACCTGCGACGTAGGGTTAGATGGAAATTGTGATTATAATAAAGGGAGGAAGCGGCTTACCCAATGGCCACTCCTAGACAACAGGCCACATAGCTGAGGCCTACCATGGAGGACCTAAATATTGTTAGCATGTTACCATACTTGGGTATTTATCGCTTTCATTAAACGCACCCGAACGTATACGGCGCCGATCCCAGGATGACGGATGCTGTTCCATTCAGGATATTGAATAGAACAAGATAAGTGCCGTAAGAAAGGCTTCAAAGAGGTTAGCTAGGTTCAAAAATGGGGAAATCGAATCGCATACCCAGCGTAGAAAATGACCGGCCATGAGAGGTAGTACAGGGTCTGCCAAAGCCGTCGAAACATGGTGTTGCGCGTCTGCTTTGGTCCAAGCAAAGACAATTTCTTCACATAGGACTTCTTGGTGTACACTGCCCCGGATGCGGTGGCTGGGCCAGGGTGCGTCGAGGCTGCTGCCGCTTTCTCAGGATCCTCGCCGTGGGAGCTGATATTCGGTGAGTTGCTATCATTGGCAGGCTCCGCGTGCCCCCGGACGTAGTTGGTCTCCTCCATGAAGAAAAACAGGAAGATCATGGCCACAGCCACGAAGATGCTTGGCCAGTAAAACACCCAGCGCCAGCCCTGGTACTGGGCAATGAACCCGCAAATGATGGGTGCGAGATAGTTGCTGCCCGCGAGGAAAAACGCGTAAAGACCCAGGTATGTGCCACGTTCGTGAGTGAAGTACTGATCGTGTTAGTGGGAACTTGAACCGAGTTGCTATTTCGCAGAAGCTTACCACATCCGTGACTGTGATTTCTGGAAGCGCTTCCACCGGCGCTGTAAAGAAGCCTGCGACAACACATCGTGCAATCCACTGGCCGTCAGAATGGGCATACGGTCTGACCATGACGGTATTAGCAAGCGTGTACTTCAACATCCAGAGGATCTGGGTGCTTTTCTTACCCCCACATCGTTGCTCCCTACATCCCGTTAGTTGCTGATCGTCAAATTGTCCCAAGAACACTCACCAGTACTCCCGCTAGAGACAGTAGATATGTCAGACGCTTGCCAAACTGCATGGCAAAAGGCTGCCAGAAAAGCAGGCCCCAGCCAGCCAGGAGGAATAAATAGCCAGTCCCCTCATTCAGCGTATGGACGGACACCCCCTGTTACACGCAGGATGGTTAGTCTGTCGGTCCTAGATTCGATCTCATATCATAGATAGCCTAGCACATACAGATTGTTCCGACAGAGGTACAAGGACCGAGTAGACAACGGAGCAGGCAATGCCAGTCACTAACGTATAACTGAACAGACAAAGCCCAGGCGGTTAATATCCCATCGGCAGAGATCCTGGATTCAACAGTAGAATGGGTATACATACGCACTCACGCACACCGTCGATAGTAGCTTCCGCCGTCGACTCCAATTCAGCGGATCATCTGGATCACTGGACGGCGTCGGGATAAGCACAATATCGCTATCTCCCTGGTTCACATGCTGGGTGGTCATGACATGATCCACATCGACCAGCACCACAGTGCCAGGAACTTGGGTAGTATCCACTATAGCCATAGTGGGTGAAAGGTCGTCCAGGGTTGAACTGCGATACTGCGCATTGAGGGCCGAGAGACGGAATAGAAAAAGAAAGAGACAGGATCCAGGACTCGGGGATTTTATTTCAACTGAGGGGGTCCAGTATCAAGTGGGCCGCTATCGGGAGAAGATAGTGACAGGGGGCGAAGACCATATCAACAGCGGATGAGTTCCGCAAGACGCTCATTTTTTCTGTGGGGGCGAGATAAGCTCCACCAGAGCTAACTGATTGTAGAGAAGAAGTCAATTCCCCGCAAAATCTCCACTCGGTTCAAGCTGGACGGAAGGTTGAGTGTTTACGGGTTGGAGAGGGAGGCCTGAGCGGCAAGGAATGTGGAGATTCTAATCTGCTTGGGTGCCTGTTCTATGCTTCCAAATATGCCCGAACCAGCTCTTCGCTGCATGTCCACAACACCTTGGCACTGTCTTCGCCCTCGGGAAAGTCAAGATGGGGCAAGGAGAGCACTTGGCAGTTGTCGAGAAAAGCACCGGACTGATCTGAGGAATGGCGATAAGTTTTGTGGATATGCTGGTCGCGTAGGCCTCTCACCTTCGAGTATCGGGTCCAGCAATCCACGAAGAATGGTCGCACTGCTCTGCGCCAGGGATTTGGGTGCTTGCTGCAGGAGGATGGGCAGATCCTGGCCAGCTTTGAATGCGAGGCTCCGTCAGATCCTGGTTTATAATCCCTGGGATATATCGATGGTAAGGTCTCAAACATACCTTCTTTCTTCCGCTGCAACCAGGAGGAGACCTCCTCGGGAGAGACATGGGTCTGCACATTGGTCTTGGTATCTGAAGAACGATGAGCACTACTTTATAACCTCAGAGAAGAGAATTGAAAACATACTCCCGGGATTTGCAGAAAATGCAGCAATCGACCGATCCGCACCCACTCTCGCAAGCAACTTGACGAACAGGATATTGGCAAACATCGACTGCGCATATCCATCCAAAGGATGATAAGCCTCCTCGCTCTCCGATGTCTTATCAACATCCTCCCAGTTGGGAGCGAGTGCCTCTCGCCGGATGCTGGTCGTGATTAGAACCACGCGGGATTCGGGAGACATGGTCGGCAGCAACAGATTGACCAGCAAGAAATGGCACAGATAATTCCTCTGGAACTGAGACTCGATCCCGTCCGCCGTGGTCTCCCATGGTGCAGCCATCACCGTTGGGAACCCGATGATGCCGTCAATGGGCACGGTCAGTTTTTTGACGATTGCCGCGGCCTCTTGGATGGAGGCCAAGCTCCCAGTATCTGCGGTGATAAAAATGATCTTCACTTTGGGGTGCTTGCGGTTGATGTGATCAATAACGGGCTGCAACTCGGGCTGAGAGTAGCCCGTGAAGATGATGGCACCAGCACCGCCGTGTGCGAGCGCGTCGGCGGTGGTCGCAGCTAGATCTCCACGGACGAGGCCGGCTAGAAGAACTGAGATGGGACCGGGTGATTAGATGCAGACATCGAGGAGAGCCTGAAAAGAAAGGACAACTCGTCTCACAGGTTTTATGCTTCACCCGCGCAGGAAACATTTCCACCACGCCCGTCCCCACCGAGTCGCTTTTGAAGAGGTCGCTCATGGTGCATTGGTCTGATTGTTAGCAAATGTGAGGCAGGCCATGCTGGCGAAAACCGCCCCGAGTCCATGGGTTTCGTCATGATGAGCAGCCACGGATCTTACCAGGCACAATCTTGTAAACAGTCCACACGCCCTGAACGTGCGGGTAAAAGTATTGAGATAATAACAAATACACCAATTAGCCCCATCACGATGCTATAATTCAATCTATACAGTACAATTTCACCGAGTCCAGCGGAGCCTGCCGAGTACTTGACAAAACATTCAGTTTCAAAAATATGCCCTTCAGTGAGATGCACCCGCAATGTCATCGTCGTTGGGCAACTCCTTGATGGTATCCTTGATGATTTGGATGAGTTCATCGATATCAGGACGCTCCGCGGGCTCGACTTGGAGACACTTGCGAACAACGTTCTTGGCGAGATCACTGACCGAACCCTCGCTCTTGGATGCCTCTCCGTTCTCAGGTCCCACTTTGCCTTTGCCCTTGCCAGCACCGGGCTTGTCGTCGGGAAATCTCCAGTCGCCGCCAAGTACACACATGCTCAGGCTGCCACCGGTCTCTTCACTGCGCGCCTCGAACGGGCTCTTGCCGACCAGACAGGCATACAGTGTGCAGCCCAGCGACCAGACGTCCACTTTGGTATCAATAATGGACCCAGTCTTCACGTCAAACAGTTCCGGTGCCCGATACGGCATGGTGCTGTGCTCTGCCGCAGTATCTTGGACAGCCAAGGCAAGTGAGCGCGAGGTAACCGCGATTGGGCTCGGCGCCAGAGACCCGAGATCCATCAAGATAGGCGTTTGACCGTCATCATCGATCATGATGTTGCCTAAGCCCCAGGAAATTAGAACTCGACATGCTGTTATTCGTTCGTAAAAACTTACCGGGCTTCACATCGCGGTGCGCATAGGGCCGCAGGCCACCATCGTGGACACCCTCCTGGCTGCGCGTGACCTCGTCATCCATCAAGGGTTCGTTCTCCTCGTCCTCGTCCACGCCATGGCTAGCGCGTCGTTTAGGTTTCATCTGCATCGACCTTTCGGCGTCGGCCTCGTCGCCCTCTCTGCGAACCGCTTTCGCCTGCCGGGTGGACGCCGCGCCACTCTTGACACGATATTGGTGCATAGACTGGAGGGCTTGGGCGACCCCAAGCATCAGCACCATCAGCCGTTTTTCAGGGAATCGAGTGTGGTTGACCAGGTTGGCGTTGATGGCATCCTGGAGATTCCCTCGCTGGTAGTAGGGCAGCAGAATATAGACAGTTTTCGAACCGGCATCGCCTCCATCAGATCGAAATTTGGATCCGGATTCTGTGGAGACACAGTGGTCGATGGAATGGATGATGTTATCGTGTGCGGTAAACAAGCTGTACGCTTCGACTTCTTTTAGGGCTTGCGACACGGATTCCTGGCCGAAGGGGCAGCGAATCTTCTTCAGAGCGAATAATTCCGAGGTGTTCTTGTCCTGAACTAAATAAACGTAGGAGAAACCACCCTGTAGGGAGTCGACGGTGTCAGCTCGGGGGCCACGTAGATGGGATCGCAGCCAGACGCCCATACCTCGCCCAACAGGCGCAAGAGTTTAAAACTCCGGTTTTTGATCTTCAATTGCGGAGTGCTGGGGAAACAGCACATGCAATCGGTAAAATTGTAAAGCAGATCGAAGAAATACTGAGCCATGGTGCTTGTCGCAGGGTTGCGTCGAGATGTCACGAGTGGCGGAGTGGACAGGTAAGACGTGCGCAAGGCTGTCCTGCCAAGAAGACAAGAAGAAAAGATCGCCGCGCCTTAAGAACAACAAAAAGAGAGGTGTCTTGGAGATGCAGCGCAAAGGTAAGGAGGACTATGCAGAAGCAATGGAGGTCGACCGGGTCAATGGGTGACGCCGAGTGGAGCGCATCCACCGGTTGTTATTTGTTGTTCCCCCTTTCCCAAGCACCCCTCGAGGACTTGGGATTGTTTTCTTCTTGTCATTTCTTGTTTTCGTTCTGTGCTGCTTGTACATACGCGATCTGCGATTTTTTATTTATTCGTCTGGGACACCCCAGCTTCGTTGGGTCTCTGACCTCATTTTCTCGCCTGATCCGCGATGATCTTGGGCCACGAACTCCACCTGCATTTCTCCTGATCCTTTACACCTTTTGCCGAAGGGTTTCTCATACGCTCCTTCACTTGGACGTGCTGAACTCACGGGATTTTCGTCGCAAAATATCGCCCTCCCCTTCCGATGGCGCCCCTCGACGAAGTCCAGGTCGGAGACCTGGTAAACGTCCCCGGTGGGATGCATGGGACGGTGAAATACTTGGGAACGGTCGCAGGCAAGCCAGGGCGCTTTGCAGGCATCGAACTCAGCTCCGAGCATGCGCCTCGAGGGAAGAATAACGGTGACGTGGATGGACGAAAGTATTTCAGCACATCGGTCGCCGGCTCGGGCATTTTCGTGCCCATGAACAACAGTAAATATGTCACGCGGCGGTCGACTTCCACCGGATCAGGGACGTTTGCTGCTCCTACAACGCCCGCGCGTGCTGCTCCCGTCAATTTTAGCAAGTCAGTCGGGCCCAGTCCCTCGATGCCACGGCCACGAGTCCGCCGGCCGTCGCTCCCCCGACCCGAGTCCCCTCGCGCCGCCCCTCCGAAGCTGAGTCTCAGCGGATTGCGTACACCTTCGGCAGCATCCAAGACGAGCAATGGATTTACGCGAAGCCCCGTCAAGGCCCCATCCCGCTTCTCGGACCGACCCCCATCGCGTTTGAGTGTGGACGATGACGTCTCGTCATATGGTAGACCGTCGGATTTGCCGCAATCTGCCACATTATCAGACACACAGGAACTCAAGGATCAAATCAAAAGTCTTGAGAAACAACTCCTGGACCGTGACAAGCAGCTGGATGAGCAAGCTAAGACGTTGGGCGACTTCCAAAAGACCTTGGAGGAACTTGAAGGCTCGGATGCCCTGTCGATTCGGACACAGCTGCGGGAACGAAATGAGCGGATCATCCAATTGACAGCCGAGTTTGACGGCCACCGGGCAGATTTCCGAAGCACCCTGGACACCTTGGAGATTGCGGCCTCTGAGACCGAGCGCGTCTATGAGCAGCGGCTCGACGAGCTTATGCAGCAAAACAAAGAACTGCAAGATCGGGGCGAGGATGTGGAGGTTGTTGCCCAGCAGCTCAAGCAGTTAGAAGAGCTGGTCTCGGAGTTGGAGGAGGGACTCGAAGACGCCAGACGAGGCGAAGCAGAAGCACGGGCCGAAGTCGAGTTCCTCCGTGGCGAGGTCGAGAGGACCAAACTCGAGCTGAAGAAGGAGCGCGATGATTCGGCTGCCGCTCTGAAAAACGCCCAGGTAGGGTCAGACGGGCCTCGCAATTCCAATGAGCTTGACCAAAAAGACGATGAGATTCGGGGCCTAAAGGCCATCATCCATTCTCTGAGCCACGGCAACCCCAATGCCGCCAGTCTCAGCAATGGCTCAGGGCCTGACAATCCGGAGCAGCTCAGCCAGCTGGAGCAACAACTCCATGAGGCTGAAGGGGCCGCCGAACGCAAAGATTCCCGGATCGAGGAGCTTGAACGCCAGTTGCAAGAGTTCCAATTCGGCACCGGTGGACGCAATCGCAGCTCCACGGTCACACTTTCGCCGTCCAAGCAGCACAAACCCACCAACTCTGCAGGGAAAATCTCCAACCCTGCCAACGACGCCAATCAAATCCATCGTCTCTCCGATCGGACGGTGGTCCCGACTGACTGGCATGACGCGCCCTCGCACGAAGCTCGCCAGCATCACCGCGGCGCGTCCAACTCTTCCCACCTCCGGCTGGAAAGCATGCCTGAATCCGAGCGTTCCTCGGATGATGATGGACAGTGGTGCGAGATCTGCGAAACGAGCGGCCATGATATCCTGAACTGTGTCAGCATGTTTGGCTCAAACCAAAAGGATGCCTCCGAACCGAAGAAGGCTCCAAAGACTGACAAGCCTGCGGCCGAACCTCCGGCTACCGATCACCCGACTGAAACATCTGGTCCCCATGAGAGTACTCCTTCTCAGAAGACGGGCCGTGATGTTGTCCTTGAAGGACTCAAGGGCATTGGTGGACTGAACTCATCTACGGGTCCTACTGCCGGAAAAGCATCGGGAGTCATTGACGAGTCCAAATGGTGCGCCCTTTGCGAGCGAGACGGCCATGAGAGCATCGACTGCCCTTTTGATGAATAATGTGGTGTGGATATATGCGATGGCAGCCAGATGCTTTGACTCTTTTCTAGTACATTTTTTTGTTGATTTCTCCCACTGCCCTTTTGCGTGAGGCCCAACCTGAAGCACTGATATACGTGCTTTCTTTTCCCCGTTGTATTACTTTCTATCATTTTGGCTCTCCATTCGTTCTGGCTTGTGTTGATACCATTCTCTTTTTCTTCTTCTTTGAGGACTTGTTCAATTCCCTCTCATGTCTTGTATCTGACCCCTTTCTCCCCTTCTTTTATTCTTTCCTTCTGGGTCGGTAACTTCTTTCTTTTTGCATCGGGCTGGGCCAGCATTCGGGTCTGAGGACCGTGTCATATCCTGTCCCTACCCGGACCAGATACTCTAGGTAGTCTAAAATCTAATCACATACCCCCCAAACATGTCAAGAATGTTGATTTCGTCACTCGTAATACACATCCATAGAAAATACAGTTGACAATGCCTTTTTTACGTCCTTGCTTTGGAGGGGCTCACTCAGGATAGGTGGGCGGCTGCACGATCTCTCCTTCCGGGTATCGTGTCTCTGCAACCACCCCGCAAGCCTTGCATCGCCGCTTGGTTTCGTCGGCACCGAACTCCTCGACCACCGCCTTGACCTGCGTGCCCAGATCCACACACACAAACTCCTTCTGCCAGATCACTTCCCCGCAACCCTTGCAGTACCACCGCATGATATCCACCGCATCTTTGGCCCGCGGCTGCTCCATCACCACACCGACTGTATCCTTGAACCGCACGGGCGAATGTGGCGTGTTCGCTGGGAGCAAGAACAGCGACCCTTCGTGGATGGGAATGTCTTGAAAACTGGGCGGCGTTGTCGACAGATCTACCGTCTTGAGAAGCATTGATCCCCGGTACTGGTAGAAAAACTCTGGGGTCGTGTTGATGTGGTAGTCCGTCCGGGCATTGGGCCCGCCGACGATCATGACCGTGTACCCAGCTGTGGCTGCGGAAGATGGATGGTAGACACAGTAGTTGTTGACGGGTGGCTGTAGAAGGTGGGAGTTGGCCTCAAGCCTAAATTCATAGCAGGGGTGAGTCTTTGATTCGATTTCATTCCTCTGCTCGATCTTCTGGTCCGCGATGAATCATCGGGATGAGGGGCATCGGGGAACCTCAGAAAGATTGCAAAAATACCATTTTGGAATATTGAGAGCTGGGGGGAGCATCTTGCACCCAGAGATGTCTGATTTAGCCAGGAAATGCAATGACTATGAGAGAACAAGCAGAAATGTTAGTGGATGAGCGGAGCATGGGGAATCGAGTATTTCGACAGTAGAAAGTCGATGATCGCGGAGATAGCAGCGATGGCCGGAGTTAACCCGATGTCGGGCCGGGTCAACTTGGTCCCGCCGATTTTTCTTTTTCGCCGCAACGCGATAATCGTTCAAGACCGACACACCACCATGGCCACCTCACAGCCTCCCCTGCGATTCACCTCGCATCATAACTTGGTGTATCGCCTGGTTGTATCAACGTTGACCGGTCGCACAGTTCAGATCTCCCAAATCCGCTCCTCGTCGCCCACCAATCCCGGTCTCGCACCGCATGAAATTTCCTTCTTGCGTCTTCTAGATGCCGTCACCAATGGCTCTCAGATGGAAATTTCGTACACTGGTACCATCCTCGTGTATAAGCCAGGCCTGATCACCGGTAGCACAGCCGGCTCCGGGGCGAGTGGCGGCGTTATCACACATGAACTTCCAGCCAGTTGCAATCGCGGTCTCAGCTACTACCTCATTCCCCTCTGCCTGCTGGCACCTTTCTCCAAAGCACCCCTCAAGGTTCTGTTCACAGGACCTGGAGTGATTACCTCGGCAACTCCAACTGGGGACATGTCGGTTGACAGTGTCCGAACCGCGATTCTCCCTCTGTACAATCAATTCGGCATTTTCAACAACATCGAGCTCCGGATCCTGAGGCGATCCAATCCCGGACCCAATGGTAAGGGAGGTGGCGGTGAAGTGCAATTGGTCTTTGGGCATCAGTTGCGCCTTCCCAAGACTCTGCACCTGATGAACCCTGGCCGCATCAAACGGATTCGTGGTGTTGCGTACTCGGTTGGGGTGTCGGGTTCGAACAACGCCCGCATGATCGAAACGACCCGTGGGGTCCTGAATCCGCTAAGTCCGGATACTTACATATTCTCCGACGTCTCATCAGCCCCTCTGTTGCCGGCCCCGGAGAAGAACAACCCCTCCGCAATGAAGAAGATCGGAATCGGATTTGGCCTGTCGCTGGTGGCTGAGTCTTCCACGGGCTGCCTCTACTCAGCCGACATGATTTCTCCACCTACTGGTGGTCAAGCGCCTGAAGATACTGGGAGGCAATGTGCATATCAGCTTCTCGAGGCCGTTTCCAAGGGCGGCTGTGTGGCTCCCGCGGCTGCAGCAACCATGTTCACTCTCATGACCATGGGCTCGGAGGATGTGGGCCGTCTGCAGGTTGGCCGCGAGGTTATTGCTGACCCGCATCTGATCCAGCTTGCCCGGGACTTGGCCAAATTCGGCGCCCCTGGCTGGGGTCTTCGGGATGCAGCGGGCGAGAACGAGCATGGCGATGTGATTGTCAGCGTGGTGGGCCGTGGAATCGGCAACGTCGGCAGAAAGGTTGCGTGAAGTCCTAGCGTTCCAAGAGCTCTTGACACATCTGCCGCTTCATCTCCCATTGACATGCAATATTCTCTGTCCGGCCCCCTCGTGGTGCATTGGAAGAGATTGCTCATGCAAAACCACCCTGAGTTCATTCATGGTGGCATTCTCATTTCTCTCCACCGGAGCATCCAATGTTGGCGAAGCCAGGCATGGGGCTGGAATGCCTACTCAGCTGGCACTTCTCGGTCCCAGTGGCTGAGAATCGAGGCCCACTGCTCCAAGGCCCCATATGACACGTGGTTGTATGGAGCTGTCACCTCGACTTCCGAATATCATGATACCCGTTTTCGCTTTTGTCGATTCTTATGCACCATTTTCATGTACAGCGGCGTTCGGGATATATGGGATGGCACCTTAGATAGGACAATGGTCGAAATGCATTTGCTCTTTCCAAGGTATTAACTCTTTGTCAGTAATGCCGTTGCTGTCTTCTTTGTATACTGTAAATTCATTTCCAGAAAAGGTCATTCATGGCTTCTACCGCGTCTCGAGGCAGAAAGACAAACAATTCATTCACAGGCAGGCAGCGACGCGTCTACCACATCAACAAGTATAAATACTTCATCTCTCACCATCTCTCACTTCCCTTCTTCCACTCCCTTCTCCCCCCTTCCCCCTGCCCACTTCACTCTCTTTGCTTCTCTCCCACACCCTCTATTCCTAAAATCGTGTCTACCCTTCTGGAGATCTTGACTTGCATCCTTCCCTGTTCTATCATCCTGAACCTCATCTTGGCTGATCTAAATCAGTCGTATTTTGGTTCTCTATCGTATCTTTTCAAGGCTTTGTATCTCTCATGTCACTCATATTCCCAGACCCTCACCACCTTCCTTTACCTCACTTGAGGAATTCTCTGTCAAGTGACAACCCCTGGCGACGGGCTCGTACCTCATCGCGGTGCCTGGGTCTAGTAATTCTCTCCCGGCTTCGGCTGGTTGGGGGTGAAGCCAAGACGAGCTCCACCATCTATTTGCCATTTACCTGCTTTTTTTATCTGCTTTTTTTTCTTCGCATGTTCTTGTTTCGATCTGCTGCTTTTTACTTGCCATTTATTTTCTGATTTATCCTGTCATTTATTCTTTCGCGATTTAGCCCCAGCGACAGGCGCGCACCTCATCGTGGTGCTTGGGGTCTAGTAATTCCCTCCAGTCTCGACTGGTTGGGGATGAAGCTAAGACGCGCCTTACCATTTGCCTGCTCTCTTTTTCTGCATTTGTTTGTATTTTTTTTCTTTTTACTTGCCCTTTATTTACGGTCTGTCTTGACATTTACTCTTTAGCGATTTAGCCCCAGCGTCAGGCTCATACCTTCCGCGGTGCTGTTGCCGATGGCGGGGATAAAGCCAGGATGGGCCTACCCCTTTCTTCTTGCTTTCTCTACTGGTTTGTTTTTGTTCATTGACTGCCGGAGGGCTTCCCATCAGTTGCTGACGGTTGATTCAAGTAGGGCTTACGAATCTCGTGACCGGTCCCATGCCAAGCCCGGCTAGTCGTGCCACTAGAGAGGACTACAACGACTATATCAAAACATACCAATCGCTGGAAACAATGAGACCGTTTAGTCGTCTATGTCTCTAAATGAAGTCTATCAACTCTAATATGCAAGCGAAGGTCAAAATCAAGGAACCGGAGCATCACGGCCCTAGGGGATAACCCAACGCCAACAGGATGCGGAAAACAATCAAAAGCTCAAATCTCAAAGACGCCAGGACGCCGCGTGTCAAAAGAAAATCCAACCACATTTTTGGGGAGGTCATCAAAGTATAACCCTTCGCAAAGGGGCAGAAACAAAAGTGTCAAAAAAAGAGGATTGGGAAAGAAAGATAAATGGGTCAAAAGAGCGGAAGATTATGTGGAGAGAAAAAGAGGGTTCAAGTGAATGGAATGTCAAAAATGACTGGGAGAAATGAGGATAGTCCGGTTTACTCGGACACATCCTCATCCTTGCCCGGGTACATAATATCCTGGCGGATGACGGCGCGGGCGTGGCTGACCAAGACAAAGAGCCACATGCAGATGATGCAAATGGACATGGCGGATGCGAAACCCTTGATGCCAGTGCTCTCAAAAGCATTAGCCAGTGTGATGGTCGCAATGGTGAACCCGGTGTTGGGGAAGACCATGGCCCACCAGCTGAGGTGGAAGGCAGTCGGCGGCGAGCGAATCACAGCAATCAACGCAATGCAGAAGAACCAGAGACTCAGAGCCCACAGGAAGGCACCGGCGGCAAGAGCAAGGATTTCAATCATGCGACCATCACTGACGGTGTCTTCGCTGCCCATGACGCTGAACGTCTCCGGAAGTCCCTTGGCCATGCCGATCAAAGCCAGCGCCGTGAAAGCCGGCGGGCCCACGCAGATGAACATACCCGGTCGGTGTTCACGGTTCGGCAGCCCAGACTCCATCAGTCGTCCAATGTAATGGGCATACATCATGAAGCTGATAGAAAACCCAAGACCCTGGAATGTCATGCCGGCGGTGACGATGGGGATGGCCGACCGGTCAGGCTGTCGTTCGGCGATGACGGAAGCGATGGTGCCGCTAAGCATGATGGGGAAGGCGGGCAGGATCCAGGACGGCATCATGGACTGTAGACGGTAGGTGTGGGAGGAGAAGACGAAGGAGTATTGGAAGATGGCGACGGCGAAGGTGCACACACAGTAGAGCCAGAAGAGTACTTCCAGGGTGGTCGAGAAAGCCGGTGCGGGATTGTCGCCGAAGTAGCGCTCCAGCCCGGTGATCATGGTGGCAACGGACAACCAGAACGTAGGGAAGAACAGTCCCTCACGGTCATGGCGGAGGGAGGCGACCAGTCCGCCATGGATGATGAACCGGGCAGCCATCAGAGAGCATACCAGCGCAAACAGGGCAAGGTTGATCAAATAAACAGCCAGGCCAATCTCATCGAGGCCCTTGAAGCGGTTGGGCTGGCTGGCAATGAGCAGAGCCAGACCACCCGTGCTCATGGTCAAGGTATACCAGGCCCAGGTGAAGTGGCGGAGGCGCTGGCAGAAGCGCAGCTTGCCTGGCTTCTCGGGCTTCTCGAACTCCTCCATGATAGGGGATCCCGAGTGGGATGAGAGGGGTGGGAGCTCATAGGTGCTGGGGTTAGCCCCTAGCAATTGTGGAGTGGTCATGATTGTGGATTCACACTAGGTAGTATATAGCCCAGATATGATAATTGAGACAAAAAAAGGGGGGGGGGGAGGGTAAGAGAATGACTTGTATTTCGGTATAGGACTGGGTTACAACAGAACCCCTTGGCTAGAAAACAGATAAAAAAGAGAATAAAGCCAAAGGACTGTGAAGAAGATCAAAAGAGGTTAAAGTAGAAGGAGAAGAAGTAGATGATTGAGAATGGATGAAAGTGGAGGTCGGAATGGAGCGAGAGGCCATGGATATAAGAATCCATGGACGAGGTCGATCAGGAGCAGCCATCAGCTATTGATTCACAACCATCGCCGGCTTGTTTTCAGGATCCGTGGCCAAGAAGTCCCAAGACTTTCATACTTTCTCAGGAGCGAGGACCAGCAAGCGTCTTGTCGCAGAGGCGCCAGCATTTCCTCCCCGACGGACCTACCAGCCTACCAGCGGCATCAAGGTTATCGGGGGCCCATAATTTTCGGGAAAGAACCAAGAAAAAGACAAGAATGGCTCGGGCAAGGTCTTCGGGCTCACAACCAGGATCCCATCCGCGACTGCATCAGGGGGGTGCGGATATTGCCCAATCGTCCAGGGGGGCGGAAGTATGATCCACAGAAGTCTGGGCATCAAGATCGATCCGGCGCCATAAAGAAACTTCACTGCCTAAGGGGGGTAGTGGACTGCGTAACTTGCCAAGAACCTTCATGGCGAGTCGCTGCGCCATGAAGCTAACAGTGAAAAGGGGACCGGGGTGAAGGAAACTTGGAAGCAAGACGAGTGACCTCAATGGCATGGCGAACAACAGAAAACCCTGGAACCGGCTTTCAGTTTACTCAAGTCTATGTATCCAAACCGTTACTCGGGCCGACTGTGCAAAAACGCAGGCCGAGTCCCTCCGATAGGAGGTTGTGAGCCGTAATCCTCCAGGATGGCAGGACGCGTGCAACGTGCCCGAGAGCCACGCCAAGATGGGTGATCGACGAAACATCATCGACGAGCGGTCCGCTGCCAAGCTTTAGTTCTTGGTGGCTGTGAAGAAGTAAAAAATTAGACTGGAGACGTATGTGGTTAGTGGCAAGATGCCAAGAGAGAAACAAGAGGAAGAGTTAACAGCTGTGAGAGGGAAGGCAGTTGAGATGGAGAGGTGGACAGAGTGAGCCCCGGTGGCAAGGCAAACAAGGAAAGAAACCCTCAGGCAACCTCTTTTTCTTTGGTTGCATCTTCCCATTTCGTCCTTCCCCCTTCTCCTTGATTCATGCCCCCCTGAGTCCTTATCTTCACAGCCTCGCGCCAATCCAACACTATTGACGTTGGATCCTCGCCAAGAACGATTTCAACATGGGTGTGTTGTCGATCGGTGGATCCTCACCCAGGACCCTCGGGTTTCATGCTTATTTTTGGGAATTTCTTCTTGGAGAGCCTGCCAAGATGCCTAGCCTGGTGTTGTTACGCAGTGGAACTGGTCTCTGATTCATGACGATATCGAGTTTTCGAGTCTCTCCAAGTGGATTCCTCCACATTCTACGCGGTATTATGGGGTTGCAATCGGCCCAATTTTTTACATTTTGTCTGGGGAATTGATCTAATGGACTGTGCCGATGGTAACTAGACCTGTATATCAAACCGCTCGAAATGAACTGCACAACGCCGGCCAAGATTGAATACAAAACTGCAGAGATTATGCGCCTCGAAATGACAAATCAGACGTGACCATGGCGGGTCCTCTTCCCCCTGAAGAGGATCACAGTGCAGGCCAAACAAGCTGCAGACTTTCTAGGCATGTGAGAACGCAAACTCTTTCTCTGTCTCTCTCCCAATCACACGGCCGCATCTGGTCACATCATCCGGTATACCAGGTCAGAGGCCAACTCGGTCGTCATGTCCAACAACGCCCGGAGACTCGTCGGAGCAGGATGCTCGGCCCGCTCCACTTGGGCATCCATCGGTCTGACAGAGGGTGTGCCCGTTTCACTGTCCTCCGAGTGATACTTGGCCAGTTCCTTCACCTTGCAAGCGGCATAGTGCACGACCAGTCGCCGCAGTTCATTCTCCCGAAGCTGTGTTGCCGAGGTGGGTGAGATCGGCTCGAGACGAGCCGTTTTGGTATAGGCGTAATGGAGCAGGTCCAGAACCATCCTGCCTTGACGCGCAGCCAAGCCGCCGAGATTTCGAGACTCGGAGCTCGACTCAATAGTGTCGGGCTCCGTGAAGGACAGCTGCACCAGGTCCCGGTGCAGCTTGCGCAGACAGAGTTGTGCCAGCGCCGGGATGAGGTAGCGTGTGGCAAAGACGTAGACCTTGGCGTGGAAGGCGAGGTAGGGGAATTCAGGGCCGGGAGAGGGATCGACCGGTGGATTCGAGGCCAGGGGTGCATCGAGGTACTCAAGGGCAGCAAATTCGTCCCACAGACTCAGTCCAGGTTCTCGAGGTGACAGGCCTGGTTGTTGGGCAAAGGACATGTCGATGACCGGCTTGGGTGGTCCCTCTTGTGCCTGCCGTGGACCATCCGTGTTTTCGTATTGGACTTCTATCCAGGCTTTCTCCTGCAGAGCCCCTTCATCGGGCAATGCAGGCCGTTCCCATGCTTCGGTTGATCGCTCTGCCGGCTCATCATTGGGTTCCGCAGCTGCTTCGGGGCCACTTGCTGCTTCGACAGTCTCTTCTGGGACACCTGCCGGGGGAAGTCCGGTGTCTCTTGGTTTGTCCAGGGGAGGCGTTGACGGCGGGGTCAAGCTGGCGGGTGGTTCCTTGGTCACAGACTGCTGGCCTCGCTTCTTTTTCTTGCCTTTGGTCTTTTTGCTCTTGGATTCTGTGGTTGCTGTCCAATTCCTCCATTCGTCGGGTTCATCCACCATGTCTGCAGCCAATTGGTCCCCAGCCGCTTCTGGGTTAGGGTCGACAGCATCCGGCGGTTGATCTGGGGAGTTTGTCTTGTCGATATTCTCCTTTCCCTGTGCCTCATCTTTCTCCTCCGCCTCTGCTTCCGCAGCTACCTCTTCCTCGATCATCAGCACAGTCTCGGGCTCATTGTGGCCCTGCTCGGTGTCTTGATTGACACTCCCGCTATACTCTGGGGGTGGCGATGGAGCTGGTGGAGGTACCGCGGACGAGATTGAGTCCGAGCGGAATGTGCCTCTCCAGGAATTCCCGGGACTGGGGGCGCTTTCCACCACCCCAGCCCTGGCTGCCTCTTGGCCATCCGAAGGATTGGGCACACTGTAGTCGCCAGTGTATGCATATTCACAGAAGGCAACAAATGTCTCGACATCCTCATCCTCCAACACCGCAATCCGATGTTTGGATTCCCGGGTATGTCCATTGTTCATCAAGTTGTGGAGAGGTTTCGAGACATGTTGTGCCAACCCCGACTGGATTGTCAACTTTGTGTGACGCGGACCAACAAGAAAGGTGAACGAGGGGGAGTGGATGATCCTTTGGGGGTATTAACTTCATCTGCGAAGCTTCTTCCTGGACTTGAAGGAATGGACCATGACAGCACTCACCTGCTATAATCTGGGCCGGAGTCCATGAGGGACTACTGATCTCCCTGCTGGAGATTCTTTGCGCGACGGCAATCTCCAGGGAAGAGCGAGAACTGCTTGACTGCTGACTTCGGCCTCCATTTAAGTATTTGGCTTTGGACCAAGTCATCGGCAGTGACCCAGTTCGGCCCCATGGCCTGCTACGTGTACAGCGCTATTGGGATGTGGAGCTTTGTCGCCAGCAGCATCCCGATATGCCCATGGAGCTCAGGAGGCTTGGCTATGCTGAGCTTGTCGACCTGTATAAAGCATTGGCCTCACGCGAGCAGGAAAGAAAAATGAAATTGTTTGCCTCTGACCATGCAGCTCCCTCTTCCATAGTTCAACAACATCCCTGACCTCAATGCAGGGCAGCCAGCAGGAGCGACGCTGGTGAATGGGTTGGGCGACGTTGCGGCCAGCAGGTTCGTGCCCAATAGCCTTCAGCGAACCCAACTGCGGGCCGCCGAAGTTTATTTGGCGCGGATTTCCACTGATCTGGTCAGGGGGGCTTCACTTTTTTGGTCTTTGGCTGCTTTGATTCGTGCCGTGATGTAGCGGTCAGGTCAAGAAGGGGAAATCCTTTGATGTTGGCGTGGTCTTATGTATCTCGGGGCACAGCAGATCGGAGATAGCATCATGAATGATTGAATATATCACAGTAATTGAATATGATGTGGGAATGCTCAGCAAAAAAAATGATCTTCTATGATTTGATCGAGTTGAATTAAGATTCACAGCATCGAAATATATACCTCGGTAAGACACGACCCGAGCATGCCAAAGATGTACATCTGAAGTCTATGGAATGGAGATAGGTATCTCTATACACTCTATATAGAGACCAGACCAAAGAACACAATCAACAATACCAACAAGTTCTCCAATTAGCTGGTATGCATCAGTCGAATCTCGGTGTTGCCGGGCTCCCACTCTCTCAATCCCTCTCCGACACTATACCAGAAGCGTAGCCGGATACACTCCTTGCGCGCAGCCTCGATGTCACCCCGGTCGAACGCCTGCGCCAGGGCCTGTACACACGCCACAACTCGCGCGTCATTCTCTTTTTTCAAAGCGTGGATTTCTGTTTCAGCTTCGGGAGCAGCACCGACTTCTTCGATTGTCTCCTGCACCTCCATCACTTCCATGAGAGTCTCCGGATCCAGCGCATGCTTCGTCGCCGCATCCTCGGCGGTCACATCAATGCCGTGCCATTCTCGGAGAAGGTATTGAGCGCGCTGGAGCGGATCCGCGAGGGTACGGTGCGCCTCGTTAATCCGGGCTGACAGAGCCTCGGCATGCTGCTTTGCGGCTCCTGGTGGGTACTTGTCCGGGTGAAGCCTGCCCTGCAGCTCAAGGAACTCGCGGCGGAGATCCCCGAGGGAGATGTCGAAGGGGGATGACGGCGGCGGGCCTGCGGGGAGGGTTTTGGAGAAGATGGAGTAGTAGTGGCTGATATCTGGTGCGTTGGTGATGGTGACTTCACCACGGTCCTCTGTTGAACCGGAGGACTTGGTGGAAGCGAAACGACGAGTCAATACCGGCGAGGGTTTTGCGAAAGGCGAGTGCGCTGGGGACGTTGTTGCGCGGGCGGGCTGGATGCGAAATTGGCAAAGCACGCACGCATCTCGTTGAGCTGCGCGGGTGGATATGAATCGTGTAGATATGGCTGGTTGCGCAATGACGCGACAGAGCTGTTGAGTAGTCCTCGGCAGAGCCATGATGGATGAAGAGCAATCCAAAATCCTCCAAAGCCCAAGATGTGGAAAAAGGTCGCTTTACGTCATCCCCGTACCCTGCACCACGTGACTTTATACAGTTCTCCCGACGAGACTTTTGATGGAAGATGCTAAGGAAAGTGGACAATAGGCAATTCCAGCTGCTCATGCTGATCTAGAATAGCTGCAATAGCAAAAGGTACCACTCCAAACCAGAGGGCATGGTGCTCGTTCTCGAGTATAGTGTACATCTCGCACCGAGGTCGATTCGGTGGTAAACTAGGTTCAATATGACAGAATAGAATATCCTTTATTCGATCCCCCAAAGCTTCACTGTTCGATCGTGGCCACAGCTTGCAATCCACTTCGCATTGTTGCTGATGTCCGTACTGAGGACGTTGCCAGAGTGGCCGCTCAACGTTTTCACCAGCGACCAGTCGTCCGCACTGAAGACGTTGACGTTCTTGTCGAAACCACTGGTCACAAAGAATGTGCCCGACTTCTTCGGCTGGACGGACGCAGCCGGTGTGGTTTCGGGTGTTGGGCCCGCACTATCAATGTCCATTCGGCCATTGGTGTTGTCGGTTGAGGGCAAATAAGAGTCCGACTCGGCTCCTTGGTACCAACGAAGGTCGGATACCACGCTCTTGTGTGCACCGATCCCACCGGTGTTTCGCACTTGTCGCAAGTCCCAGCATTTCACCCATCCATCTCCGGAGCCGGAGAGAACTCGGTAGCCGTCCACTCCCCAGTCGAGGCCATAGATTTCGCGAATATGGCCCTCAAGAATCATGACTGTCCGGCCTGTGCGAAGATCCCAGATTCGCCCAATGCTGTCCAATCCACCACTTGCCAAAAGCGATCCATCGTTATTAAACGACACCGCATAGACCTCTCGCGAATGGCCTTCCTGCAGAAGAAGCTCCGTTGTCGTTTCGACGTCCCACAGTCGCCAGGTGGTGTCGAAGGAAGCCGATGCCGCATATCGTCCCGATGGATGAAATTCTGTGCGGCATACGCGTCCTGAGTGGCCTGATAATGTCGCCAGCGGCTTATCTTGATCGAGGGCCCACAGATTGATGTTTCCCTCGCCACCACCCGAGACTAGATTGACCGCTGAGGGAGAGACATTGGATTCAGGTAGCGTGGCACCCGGGAACCACGACAACCCACCTACTCGATCGGTATGTCCCTTGAAATTGGCCCGTTCTTCTAGATTGGGTACTGTGAGAAGCTTGATGCCACCGCCCCAATTCCCTGCGGCGATGCTTTGGCCATCCGGCGCGAATCGGCAAATGCTGACCGGGCGGTCCCCGGCAATTTGAGACCCATACAGATCGAACCCCTGTAGCTTTTCCTTGATGACTTTGCGGTGCTTGACATGTGTTCGGAGCGGGATCGTCGAGTCGTCCTTGAGTCGTGCCACTCGAGCTTTTGCGCGCGGCAAAGAAAACCGGGCCATGGATTTTCGTGCCTCCAACAATTCACCAGTACCCTCGGTATAGAATTCCTCCTGATGTTCGGCCTCTTCCTCCTCTTCGTCTGGTTCCCGCATTTCAATGTCCCCCTCCTCTGCTTGCTTGTCCGCGATATCGGTCAACAACTCGCGTAGACGGTCTCGCCGGTCCGCCGGGCCTTCGCCGAACAGTGTAATTGGCTCCCCAAGCTCTCGTAACCGTGCGCGTACTCGAGTGTCATCCGTGGGCACCGCCATGGCGGCTGCTCTCCGTTTTCGCTCAAACTGGGATAGAATCGCGGACGCTCGCTCAGCGGGGATGCCCGCTGCCGACGAGGGAATCTCGTAGTCTTGGTCGACCGCTGCCGAGACACAAGTCAGTAATACGCGACACAAAACAAAACCAAATAACTTACGGAGATTGGCAAGGTCGATGCCCATATCCGTGTCCTGTTCGGTGCCATTGCTTAGCCTTGATCAAGACGCGCTGTGTGCGATTGCGGTTTGCAGAAAACCGACTCGCGAAAGGAAAAGCTTACCTCGGCCTCCTCGACGTAGGCTTGTCGCGCGGGGTGCATCATCTTGGCAGCTTAGAAGCTCGCACACTTCAGAGGACTGGAAAAGGCGCCTTGTCTATCACGATCAGAGAATGGAGGTTGAAAAGAAGATTGGGTCGGGCGGCAGAATTGATAACCATCGTCAATCCCACATCTCCCAGAAACTCACAGTCTCCCTCTTTTTCTCCCTTTGCTCTTTAAATAAAAACGCTATCTGTATTTCGCTAGAATACTTTCTTATACGGTCATCTCCCTCGGAGATCCTTGGCTCCACCGGTCTGCCACCTCCTCCAAATCGTCAATGACGCCAGGCGGTCAATCGCGATAAGATCGGCCTCCTTCTTATCCGATCGAGTTTCCTTAATTTTTCATCAACGCATACGCGCCCTAGTTTGCTTGTCTTTGCGCCTTCCGATGCTTCAGAACTGAGCTCGCTCTGACCGTGGGAGGGTCGTGATTTGACGACCGGGGTGTCTCCCCTGTGATGATCCCGCCAAGTGTTTCGTGTAGAGCCTGCAGTTCCGCCTGCAGTAGCCTACAAGCCATCGCGCGAAACGGGGTGTGCTCGGTTTCTACGTCTCCCAGCCTCTTCCTCTTTTCCTCCGTTCGAACCCGACCCTCCGTTTATACAGTCAGTCCTGATGGGCTGAGGCGTGATCCCCGAAGAGCCTTTCACTCGACCCCCCAGCATTCGTTTGCTTCCTCGCCGCCTGCGCGTCTTTCTTACCGTGTTGCAGTTTCATCTTCCGGAAAAGGACGGCGGTTTCACCCTCTCAAAAATGCATACAATTTTGACCCCCACGCCGCCGATGCACTCGGTGTAACTAAAGACAAGAATCCGGCTACCCGCCGGCGGAACCGGCCGGACAGCGGGGAAGATGCCTTTTTTGTGAGCCGAGTGGGCTCGCAAGATCTTGGTCAGTCGGGCGACAAGGCCGCAGAAGCAATCGCCTTCGCGGTGGCAGATGGCGTTGGCGGCTGGACCGAGTCCCGCGTCGACCCAGCCGACTTTTCGCACGGGCTGTGCAGGTACATGGCGCAATCGGCGCAGGCCTGGGATGCGCCGGCGGACCAGCTGCGACCCAAGCAGCTCCTACAAGCGGGCTACGACCAGGTCGTTGCGGACCCGGGCATTCGCGCTGGAGGCAGCACCGCCTCTGTGGGAATTGGACTGCCAGACGGCCGCGTCGAGCTGGCCAACCTGGGTGACTCCGGCTCGGTGTTGTTGCGACTCGCAGCTGTGCATCACTATTCGCCTCCCCAGACCCATGGTTTCAACACACCCTACCAGCTCAGCATTATCCCGCCGCGCATGCGCGCCCAGGCCTCCATCTTCGGCGGTGCCTTCCTGGAGGACTTCCCGCGCGACGCCGCCGTCACCAACGTCCAAATGCAGCACGGTGACGTCCTGATGCTGGCCACCGACGGTGTTTTCGACAACCTCAATAACCAGGAAATTCTCAAGCTGATTACCAGCCGCATGGTCCTGACAGGCGCGTGGACTGCGGCCCCAGACCACGGGATCGGCGTCTCGAACAGCCTCGGTGCTTTAACCGCTCAAGGCGGACTGGCCTCAGTGTTCCCTCCTCGATCGGACTTCCCGCCAACCTCCGAGTCCAACATCACTCTCCAGTCCCTCCTCGCGGCCGCTGTCGCCGGTGAAGCAAAAATTGCGAGTCTCGACTACCGTCGCGATGGCCCTTTTGCCAAGGAGGCCCAGCGCTACTATCCCGGTGATTATTATCGTGGCGGCAAGGTGGATGACATTTGTGTTCTCATGATTGTGGCTGTCGATGACGGTCTTGCCGCGACTGGCAGCCCCGAGTGATCTGGGGGGGTTTACTATAGACGCAACTCCTTGATTGACTTGCTATATATTTGCATATGTCTGGGATGCATCTCAAGGGCCGGCGTGAAGGTTGAGTTGCTGATTGCTGGGATGCACATATCCATTTGCACATGTTTGGCTTTTTGTTCTTTTTTTCTATGTTGGTCTGCGATACCTTGCATTTGCTCTAGACAATCCAACCCATTGCAAAATGGATCTTTTTCACGTTTACCATGGCCAGCCTTATTGAAAATATTTTAAGGGATGGAAAAAAAAAACGACTCAACATTCTTTTGCATTGATTCAAAGAACACTTTGTTGGATCAACCCAGCCCTAGAATAGAGCACCGCATAACATCAAACAGCACATGTGGAATATCAAAAAAAAATTTGGGAAAACAAACAGATAGGTAGGATGAAAACAAGATCATCAGATCAACAGCGCCTCGATGTGTCCACGGAAAGGGAAAAAAAAAAAAGAAGAAATAAAAAGAAAAGCAACGTAAAGAGCACAAGTGTGTACATCTCAAAGCCCGCACTTATGCGGCAGCTTCGACAGCCTTCTCCTCTGCAGGCTGCTCCGCGGTCTTGTCATCCTCTGTGCTCTCCCGGGCTGTCTTGCTGGATTCTTCAGCAGCGGGCGCCTTGTCGGCATCGGCATCAGGCATGGGAGTGTCAGCTTCGTCCTTGAGCTTGGTCTCGGGCTCCTTCTCCTCTTCGGTTTCCAGCTTAGGCGTGTCCGCTCCCTCTTCCTTGGAAGCCCCGTTCACCGTGGGCTTAGCCTCCTTGTCGCCTGATGCTGCCGGAGTGTCCCCATCCAATACACTTTTCCAGTTGGACAGGATGTTCATGGCGCGGTGTCGGAAATTGAACTCCTCATCGCGGGGAACGGAGCTGAGCTTGACGATCATTTTCAGGACCTTGTTAATCTTGGTGTTGCGAATAATGGCAACCTCCAGATCGGCATGCTTCTCGAGCTTATCGAAATAGGAGGCCATGGTGGCCATCTCATCTTCCTTGGGAGGTTGATCGCGGGAGATGAACCCTTTCTGGAGCTTGTGGCGAAGGAACAAAACTGCGTAAAGTTAAACATTGTACCAAGTCCGGGTTGAGATAATGGGGCCACATACTCTCTTTCTCCTTCTTGTGTTTGACTTCTTCCGGGTCAGCTTGCTTTCCCGGCTGCTTAGCCCCTGCCCCGGCGTCTTCCTCGTCACTGGCGGCGGCCTTGCCCTTCTTTGCAGGAGCTTTTTTGTTCTTACTGGCGGGGGTCTTCTTTCCGCTTTCATCGGCGGGAGCCTTCGGGGTGGTCAATTTCAGCTTGGTAGCAGTCTTGGGAGTTTTGGAGGGCTGTGAAGCAAAGTGTTAATTCGAGAGACATCCGAAGCAAGATCCGAGATCCTCACCTTGTCAGCTTCGCCGTCCGTTTCGGCATCCTTCTTGCGCTTCTTCGAGCTCTTGGACTTCTTGCCATCGTCGGCATCCTCCATGTCAACGTCGGTGTCGGCGCCCTTGCTCTTGCGCTTGCCCTTCTTGTCGTCTTTCTCGGCCTTGACTGCAGCCTTCTGAGCCTCCTCAGCCTCGCGCTGCTCAATTTCGTGCTGCAAAGCTGCTTGGTGTTCAGACAGAAGACCCTTGAAGTGTTGCAGATCTTTGCCTTCTGCAGCAACCTTGTAGGCACCAATCAGCGACTTGGTCTTGTTCTTTTCGGGGACATCTTTGCATTCAGCGGGGTCGAGGGGGGTCAGCTGCATGTTGGGGATCCACGCGCTGTCAAATGTAGTTAGTGAAAGGTCCAGGCCAGATGCATAGACAAGCCCAATGGCGAGAGGGTCACTCACAATTCATTGGTCTGGAAGAACATGACGGGGAACGTCCTCTCATGGACTCGCTTGCCACCCTCGACATACTCCCCCTTGTATGATCCATCCGGCTGCATGGCAGTAACCGGACGGGTCTCCAGCAGCGTCTGTGGCAGCATCTCCTCATCGCAGATGATGGAAGGCCACGGCGCATAGCTGCGAAGGCGCGCAAGATAGTACTCGCCAGGCTTCGCGTTGAGGTGGGTAATACGACTCTGCGACTTCTTGCGGCTCAACTTAGACTTGTTTTCACCAACGCCGCTTGACCGGCGGCGATCCTTGGAAGACTTTTTCGCAGAGGTTCCGTTCGCCTCCGAGGCCGCACCAGCCCCAGTATCCCCAGGGGCAGCTGCATCTTCATCCTTGCCCTTACTCTCAAATTCAGTGGGCTTTTCAGCTGGAGCTTCAGACTCCTTCTTTTCGGGGACATTGGCAGCTTCTGCAACAACTAGAATGTTAGTGATCTTTTGGTCACACAGAGACAAGCTCTTCCCGATCGGAAGACAGCTGCGGCAGTCTAGGGAGGAGTTTTCAAAACAGATGAAATCAAATATTCTTACCAGCGGCCTTGTCTTCTGGCACAGTCACGTTCTCGGGCTCCTTCTCAGTGGGCTTCTCAGACGAAGCTTGCTCAGGCTGCTCACCAGCCTCGGTCGCGGGCGCTGCGACAGGGGTATCGTCGGCCATAATGGCAAGAGACAGTCAAGCGCAAAGAATTTGACTAAGATTCAAGAATAGAGTAGGATGGGGAGGGTGGGAATGGAGTGGTAGGGGGGTTGTTCGGGTGAGAGAGGTGTGGAGAAGGAAGAGTCGCGAACGACCGCGGGAAGAACGCGTTGGGCGGAAGAGACCCCAATGACGCCACAACTGCCACAGCTTCACCCTAGCAATATGACTTAATTGACCAGCTACTCAATGGCCACTGGTGGTAATGGCAGATGTTGAACAATGTTCTGGAAAGTTCAATAATTCGGATTCGAGGGCAGATCAGCCCCTTTAAGTGTGGCGTCGTGGTCTTTGCACCGTGTAAGTGAATAGCTATTGCTCAGCTGAGCTGGATAGAAACAATAGCACAATTGACTGGTCAGAAGAAGGATTATTGAATAGTCCTAATTCAATCCCATCTATAGCTCTGCCACCTTGACTGATCAAAAGATTCAGAAAGGCGATACGAGCTCCTCGTGGAGAAACGGAGGATCTCCACGGCCAGATAATGGAGAGGAGAGCTCAAGTGTTCAATCAGCTAAGAATTGAAGTTAAAAAAAAGCCTGCTCTAGCGACATTCATAAAGACCAAGGAAGGGGATGACTGCTCCTTAACCAACCTAGACATAGAGCTCAAGCTATCGAAACAGCGTAGAACTAACACTCGATGAGCTTAGGAAAGACACAAAATGGAGTAGAATAGTATAGGATTTTGGAAGGTCCTCGGGATGAAAGAGAGAAGAAGAGAAGAAGCAGCGTTCTCTCCAGGACTCCATCAGCTCAGTACATAAGCGCCTCGGCACCCCCCACCACCTTAACCCAACCTCACCACCGGCCTACTTGCATGGAAAACATCATTGAAACACTAATAATATTCTGGACACTTTACAAGACAGCCTCAAAGAAGGGGTGTCTTCATACCCACAATGACAATGACACAGCAAACAATTCGCCCAGCAGTCACCAACTGGTCAGGATGAATACACCTCATCAGACTCCCCAACACCTTCCTTGACAAGGAATGGCTCTGGCTTGTGAATCCGGACCAGCCAGAGAAAATAATCTTCCAATGGAAGCAAATTTAGCAGGACCCGGTTGAAGCGCCATCCCAAGGCGCAAACCAAGGTTCCTGCAAGTGCATCGAGAATGAAATGGTTGGCAGTTGCTACGATGGCCACCAAAATGATGAACGGGTACAGAAACCCGAGAAAAAGGCAGATGAGACGGCACCAAGAAAGTCCAAGGGGGCGGGTCAGTCGAGAATGCATGATAGCATGTCGACGTGGGGGGATAGGAATCATCATGATGGTGAGGCCGATCATCAAAGAGTAGCCAAAGTGCAAAGATGGCATTGCCGCTACGGCCGAGTCAGATATGAATTGGCCTCTCAAGTTCCTCAGGGATTTGCTTACCATACTGGTTACAGAAGCGGTTTGAAGTCCAAACGCTGCCTGCTCCATTGACCCCATGGACCGTATCAATGAAGCCATAACTGCGCGCCACATCGCCTGTGGGACCTTTTTCAGCCGGATCACTCAGTAATCGTGGTGGCATGCATGGCCACAACGTGAAAACCACAAACGCGAGGAGGTTGCACGCGGCCAAAGTCCGGCGCTGTGCTTGATAGAGCTGCGGGCCTGCTGGCGAACCGCCAGCTCCTCGAGGCTTCCCCGGTTGTGACTCGATACGGTTGCGTGTAGTGGTGTAGTAATAGAGCCACACAAGGAATGCAATTGTGCCCGGGATATGGATAAAGGAGTAGGTCCAGTTGGTCCAAGTCATCAGTAGGGGATGGCGGAGGAAAAACTTCTGGATGCGAATCTCCCAGAAAATGCTAAGCGCCTGCTCCACTTGAATAAACTGTAGCGCATGTCTTCTCGACACATCGACAGTGCCTTCCTGGAGACTCATGGCGGTGAACGCACGACCGAGCTGATATGTCTATGAGGATAGCCGTCATTGGGGTGAGTTGCCCAGTCTCAGAAAGTATATAACTCATGTTGGAGAGCTCCAGGAAAGCCATGAATGGCAAAATGAAAAGCAAGACTTACCCAATATACCAAAGCCCAATACCAGCACTCCACTAGAAAAGGAAATCTTCGGAGTAGACGACTGAGGAGCCGATCTTGAAAGACGACCGTGTTGGGAGAGGTCACCTCGTAAGCCATGCCCATCATTCCAATCTGTCGCTTGTGCCATGGTGAAATCGGCGGCCTGAACAAACCGGACCGAGCACTCAGCAGGCCATCCTTCGGGGTTGGGGGAGAATATCCCGGCTCGAGAGAATCACACGAGGAGCCTCGTATAGACTCAGTTGAGGGCCGCGTGCGGCGTCGATCCAGGTCCAAGGATGAGACATTGACACGATTGATCCAGGTACCACCTAAGAGGAGGACGATGACAACCAACGGCTCCAAGACTGCACTGACTCCCATGGAGCGGGTGAACAAGGCCAAGGGAATCGAAGCCGCCGTTTCGGTGGGCCAAGGTCAAGAGGGAAGGCTAGTTTTAAAAGAGACACGGGATATTGTCTGTGATGGTAAGAATGGATGTGTTTAGTATAGAACCAACTCGCCAGCACAGAACCAGTCGAGGACTGGTCGGTGGTCGACAAGGAAATCGCCATGGGGTGCTGTCATTGCAGTGGCTTGGGAGCATCTTGTCAACAAAGGAAGCTGCCAGTCGAGAATAAAGCACCACCTGTCGGGGAGGCCGGACCCCGAGAGCTTTTGCTCCTGAAATCGAGCCCAGCCATGGAGGTGCCCTCCATTGGAGACATTGTTGATGCTGGGGTGTACCGGTATCAGCATGAACAATTCACACCGAGGCTGCCTCGAGAACCGTGTATGCTTTGTTTCTTCATATCAAACTGTCTTATGAGGAAGGAAACACCCTGTAGGAACCAGAATTATTGACTGCCTGAGCAGATTTGGGTTCTGTCCTAGGCCAAGTTTGAATCACGATGATCCTGGCACTGTGAGGTATTGGGTCTGACGATTCTAGTCTCACGAAAATGCCATTAGATTAGACTCAGCGACGCAGGAAAAAGAAAAATCAAAATCAAAATGATTTTTATGAAATATCCAGGGATACAACGATATAACGATACAAGAGCATGCCAACCGAGTGTATAGTAGATGTCAAGTACTTTGGTAGATACCCTAACCCCCACGACTTAAGTCAAATGAGCAGACAAATACCCCCAGATGCACCGAGCATGGTATCTCCATAGGAAGCCATTCGCAAATTTTCCAAGGGTAACAAAAAACAACTCTGATGTCAGCATTACTTGGAGCAGGTCGAGCTTGAGCAACCATATGAAGAGGATGAAGTATGCTTGACGTCAAACCCTCCCACCAGCAAACCGACGATCCGAACAGACTCCAAACAGGATTTATGAAGGTGGAGAAGATTTAAAAAATGGTCGAATTCGCAGGAACCTGACCCTGTTCAGAATGGCAACTTTGGTTTCCTCCAATTCATTATAGTCGAATCTTGTCGAACAACAAAGTACAATGTTTTTGACTAACCCGATGGTCATCGCCTCCAAGCGCATCGCGAGCCATTTGCCTCAGATCACCAGGAATTTGGCAGCGACGCCTCAACTCCGAGGGTTCAAGACGACGGCGCCTGCACCACAAGGAGCAACTCTCTTGCAAGACAAGGAGAATGGCTTCGGCTTTGCCAGATCCAACCCTCGACCAGTCAAGCCCAGGAGCAAGGGTGTAACGGAGATCCGGGGTCCTTACTACTCGGTACGCACTGCTTATCGCTCTTTACTTTGACCTACGGTACCGGCGACCTCCGTACTCAAGTTCCAAGCTGACCCCAGCGTAGGTCATGGGAAAACGATACCTTGCAGATGTGCTCGAGACGTAAGGCGTTACTACACCCTGTCTCAAAGCCTGGTGATATCTGACCACAAACAGGATGGGAAATCATGTCGACGGGCTCAAATTTGCCGGAGGTGAGTCCCACCTTGATATTAGAGGAATACTCACGATTGTCGTACACGGTACTGAGACGGGGGCGCAGGCTCATTCTCGCTGTTTGAGGAAAAGCCACTGCGCGAATTGATTGAGCTGGCCCACGACTATGGCGTATATGTGTCCACGGTATAGTCGTGACGGTTCACCTTTGTATTAACAGTTCTGACATGCCTGATTGGTACTCCTAGGGTGGATGGGCCGAGCACCTCCTCACACATCCAGATGCGAACGCCGTCTTCGATCGCTACCTGTCCAAATGCAAGGACCTGGGGTATGTATTCGAATTATCCTCCCTGGCCGTGACAGACCTGACCAGCTCCAAACAGATTCGACGTGATCGAGTTGTCATCGGGGTTCCTGTCGTTCCCAGAAGATGACTGGCTCCGCCTGGTCGACAAGGTTCACTCGTACAAACTGGAAGCGAAGCCGGAATTGGGCATCCAGTTCGGTGCCGGCGGGGACACCCCAGCCTCGGGTCTGGAAGCCATTGGGACTTCAGACCCCGGGAAATTGGTGAACCTGGGACAAAAGTTCCTCAATGCTGGCGTAAAGCGCCTGATGATCGAGTCCGAGGGCATCACAGAAAACGTCGAGTCGTGGCGAACAGACGTGGTGTCACGGATCATGAAGGAGCTGCCTTCCGAGCGGGTCATGTTCGAAGCCGCAGATCCGAAAGTGTTCAACTGGTACATTCGGGAGTTCGGCATCGACGTCAATCTGTTTGTCGATCACAGTCAGATCGTGCAGTTGACCTGTCTACGCTCCGGCATCTGGGGAACCGCTGATACCTGGGGCAAGGTAGTCTCGTTCCGTCCGGAGTAATTATTATATTGATAGTCAAATCATGATTGATGATTAGATGGTTCATCTCAGTCGTTGTGCAAAAGACACGTAGACCCGGCGATTGTCTACATCGCAAGCTCCGCGGGCGCGCCCGGCTCGGCACCGATAAGCTGCTTAGTCAGCCGAATCCGGGGAAAGCAGACGCAGTCAGTCCCCATGGATTTGAATCCGACATGTCTCCCGGCCTGGCTGTGGTCTCTTGATCCTCGCGAGTTTCGATGACTGCGCGCTCGCTGTGTTGAGCCAATATCCGCAAGCCCCTCGGCTCGGCGATCGGCATGCCTCGAGCGAGCATCACTCCCGGAGCTCGACTCCGTTGTCGACGAGCCTGCGACAGCTGTAAACGGCGAAAGCAGAAATGCAATGGCGAGCATCCGTGCACAATCTGTATCCAACGGCATAAGGAGTCAGAATGCCACTTCTCCGACAGACCCGCGCGCTTGCTCAAGCCTGACGCCAAGGATTCGACGATGCTGCTCAGCGAGCGCATTGTGCCATCTCCACAAAGAGAGACCGCCATGGACCGGCTGCTAAATTCTTTGGAAGACCGCGGCATGAATTTAGATCAGCAGGCCAGGGTCGAGAAGGAAGGGACCGCTCCTGTGCCCAAGGTGGCGCGACTTCTGCGCGACGGCCAGGGCAAATTCATGTACATTGGTGATTCGGCGAGTCTGTCTTTCCTGCAGAGTGTTCGTCGGATCGTCTCTTCATCTATCGGCCGGTGCGACTTCACCGAAGACAACTCGCGACATTCCATGCTCGAGGCCTTCCAGAATAATCCGAATACTCAGCCTGGTCCCCTCGTTCCGCCTCCCAGTAACGATGAAGCTCAACGGTTAGCCCGTCAGTACATGCTTGCCACAAGTCCCTTGCTGGATCTGTTCGACCTGGAAGAGTTTCACCCGCGGCTAGCCAATTGGGTAGGAAACCCAACTGGGGACGAAGACACCGTCAGCTCCATGTTCTATCTGGTTCTGGCCATTGGCGCGCAGGTCTCCGATATAAACCAAACATTGGCAGAGCAATACTTCGGCAGTGGTCGCCAATTGGCGTTTTCAGCATTCCAAGAAACTCCCAGTATTCACACCATCCAGTCTTACGTCCTGGTCTCCATGTACATGCTCGGTGCATGTAGGCGCAACGGTGCCTTTATGAATCTTGGTATCGCTTTACGTGCTGCATACGCAGTAGGAATTCATCGGAAAGACGCGAATGCACTCTTTTGTGGACACGAGCGACGAGCCAGGGAGCGGGTGTGGAAGAGTCTCCGAATGATGGATTTGTTTCTGAGTGCCTCTTTAGGACGTCCACCAGCTACATCGGACTATGACCATGACATCCGTGACGATGCTCTCCCATCTGCAGAGCAACAGCGACATTTGACGCCGCAGCAACAACTGTCGATTGCAGTGATATCGCTGTGTCGCATCTTCGAGCGCATCTTGACCGACGTCTATATGAAGCAAGTCATCTCAATCCATGTCGCAGAAGCCATCTCAAACCAGCATCGCGCCTGGGTTCGTACTTTGCCCGCGATCCTCAAAATGCAGACCGAGCGACTTGACAATAGAACCATGGAGAGCGGTCTCGCTGCAGCTCATGTGTTCGGGTCTTATTACTGGTCAATAATTCTTCTGACACGCCCATTCCTTATCTACCGCGTCGCACAGTACGTCAAGGGCAAGACTGACTCATCGGCTTCTTCCGAGTCTCGAAGCGGCAGCTCTCGTATTGCCCTGTTCGCCGATGCATGTGTCTATTCGGCACTCCGAGGTCTCGACGCTGTTGATGATCTGGGCCGTTTTGCGTCTCTTCCCCGCCGACTTCCCTTTCTGATCAACTCCGTCTTTAATTCTGCCATCGTTCTTGGTGCTGCATTCTTCGCCGATTACGACAACCTCTTGCCTCTTCAAGAGGGAATGAACCAGGCGGAGCGATTCTTAGGGCTGTTTGTCCCGCACGATCCTCATGCATGCCGCTTCCTCCAAATCGTCAAATACCTTCGTGCGGCTGTCGCCGAGTACATCCAAAGACGAAACCGCCAATGGATGGAACGCCGCAGCCGGCAGGTCGACCAACTCTTCGGCCAAGTCGGTGCTTCCGATGGTCCCACTCCCCCTCCATGGCCCCTGGTCCGGGCCGTGATATCCCTTCCATCGGCCGACTTGTCGAACACCCCCAATCTGCGCCCGTGCCTTCTCCCACCTCCCCCGAAAAGCCGCCTGGAGGTACCCCCTCCTCCTACCTCACAGCCCAACCCCCGGCAATATCTGCTGGCCCTCCACCACCTGGAAATGATGTATGGGATGCGTTATGCCATGGGCCCGAATCAGGAGCAGCTCTATCTTATGACGCTGCCATCTCTGCTCTGACCACTACGGGCATTCCCGTGGGTCGCTCCCCTGGAGACACCTATCCATCCCGGCAGCCCGCTGAATCCGGTGGTCCCTCTCCCCTATCAGATGTCATGTTCCCCGAAAATGGCCTGTTGTACATGGCCGAGGACCTTCCTGTCTTTGGTATCTGGGGGGATACTGGACTACCTGGTGACGGGTTGTAGTTTGCTGGCAGAGAGCTGCCTCGCACACTTCCCTTTCTCCCCCCAAAGAACACATTCTTCTTTTTCGTGGCTCGGATCGGTAGACTTTGGCGTCTGGTGAATGTTTCTTGGATATGGTTGATCCCATGATGTGATGATTCTTGCCTTCATTGATTGATACCAATTTCTTTTCTATATTCTTCTCTTACTTCCATAGGAAACCCTGGAATGCGCCGGTCTATTGATACATACATACCCAAATAGACGAGCGAATATCTTTTTACTCTGTCAGATAAAAAGAAAATATATCTATATGACTGTGCTTCTCAGTTTGCATCTACATAATACCCACGATAAATACTTCTGACTTTTCATCAAGATACGTCTTGTATCACATCCCATCCAGATAATGGAGAGTAAATCATCGGATATGTCGGGAACATATCTGGGCAAGATTGACGTGGAAAAAAAGAATCACAGTAGCCGTTCTAGCAACTAAGAATAAAGGGTAATCAAGGAGTATCATGAACAGGATTATATGGGAAAAAAAGGAAACTGAATGCAGCATACAAGGCACACCATACGATGCGCTGAAAAAAACACTAGCAGACGGAGAAAAACGGTAGATCGCTAGGTGGGGAGTTTCACAAGGGAACAAGACTCGTATGGCATTTTGCGTCAATATGCGCTGAAGAGAAAAGCCATAATATGTACGCATGTTAAGAGGAAGAGCGCGGGTTTGACCAGGGAGGCAACGTAAAATCCCAGCTCCAACAAGAGTTGCTGTATACAGCAACGGGTAGACCAAACATGGCAAGGTCAAAATTATATATGCTAATCAAGTGTAAACGGGACACATGAGAAGCAGGTTAGAACCCGAATGGATTGTGAGGTGCTGTCTTGCAGGTTAATGATCTGTTCATCACATCAGGAGAAAGACTAAGAATCCACTTACTGGCTTGTGACAGATTGGCTCTGAGTCCAGTCGGCTGTGGGGCCAACTTCGGGGGAGCATCCGGTTTGACGCCAAATCTGACAGATGGAGGAGGACCCGTCTTCTGGGGTGACAAAGGAGGGGCGGTGGGCTGCTGGGGAATCGGGGGCACCGGAGGTGGAGATGTGAAGGACGCGCTGCCATTCGCACCGGTTGGCTGGGGCTGCAAAGCTGGAGGGAGCACGGAATTGATGCCGGTCTGCATCGGCTGTTGCGGTTGTGCAAATCCACCAAAACCCGTGGCCTGCGGTGCAATCCCTTGATACCCTGGCTGGTTCGGGCTGGGTTGACCATTGGCAAATTGCTGCTGCTGCTGAATACCGAATTGTGATTGAGGAGTAAACCCCGTAGGCTGAGGCATCAGGCCATTCTGGAACTGGTTTTGCCCCATGAATCCAGTCTGTTGGGGCTGCATAGTGGGCTGGAAGCGCTGCTGATTCAATTCCGCCAAACTTTGACCAGGAGGGGCCACTGGCGGACCCGCTTGCGGAACCCCGGTCAACTGAGGCTGCAAGGGAGGAGGCCCAAAAGAGCTCTGCTGTTGCGCAAAGTTCTGCGGCGCCGAGAGCGGGCGCTGCGGAGGAGGGGGAATGAGAGAGTTTTGGCCGACGTTCTGTGGAGGTAGTGGGCGCTGCCGGGCCTGCGACTGTTGCAAGCCGGTCTGCTGAGGACTAAACCCTTGTTGCTGCTGTCCTGTCTGTGCCACTTGGGCGAAGAAACTGGGCGTAGCACCTGTCTGCTGGGGCTGTTGCGCTGGCGGCGACTGCACAGCAGTTAATTGAGGTTGGAGATTAAGAGTGGGCTGGGAGGTGGGGGTCGGTTGGGCGGGTGTCGGCTGCAAAGGAGCTTGAAGCAGCGACAAATCCGCCATCGCTCCTGTGACCTGTTTTTGGACTGGAGCCTGAGTGGCCGCCGGTGATGCAGTGCTGGCCGGCGGGGTCGAGGTCGCTGGCGCGGCGGCCCCAGTAGACTGCTTGGGCTGCTTCACTTCCCATGCATCGTCATCGAACCCACGGGCAACGGGCTTCTCCGGAACCGCTGGGGCTCGGGGACTTGCAGCACGCTCCGGCGACTTGGACTCGTCCGCTTGTTCGAACGCCTTTGCATCAACCACGTCGCCCGTCTGTACCGCTGGCGCTGGCCTGCCTTTGCGGGTGTTATTGCGCAACCCACCACCAGGTCCTGCAAACAGTCCACCTTGGCCACCATCCTCGCCATTGCCGATGACTTCTTCGCCACCAAAACTCACGTTTCGAAGCTTGGACTTGGGGCCAGTGCGGCCAAGAGTAGTATCCAGATAACGCATGACTCGTAGAATATCGCCCTCCTTTAACCCGAGAGTGCGGAGAGTGTCGGGGGTAATATCAGGCAATACGGATTCGTCCATGGAGTCTTTAAGAAAGTTCTGGGCATAGCGCTCGCACTGATGTGGCCCAACTCCAGCCTTGAGGAAAAGGTCAAACCAATCATACTCGGGGCGTTGTACAGAGGCACCCGCCCGTCTGGCGTCTCGAATGCTCGAGAGTGGTTTGTCTTCATCAAGTGAAACGTTGGCGACCTTCTCGACATATTCCAAGTCCTCAACAGACATCTTTGCAATAGGAACAGCGATCTTGATACCGTTCACCTTGTGCAAGTGAATTTTGCCATCTTGAAGTCCTATGAACTGCGCTTCCACTGTGAATGCTTTGGATCGATCCGTCCACTTTCTGACCTTACTTGAGTCAGGCTCTATAGTGCGCCTTGATTAGCCACTCTGGCCGCAAGCGAGCAGAATTGAGATAGAGAGTACTTACTCGACTTGGACTTGCTGTCGCGCTTCGGGCGCTGCAAAGACAAGTGCCCCGTCAGCTCTCAGCTCCGATCACAATAAGGTAGGCCCATCACAATGGGCTGATATGGAGACATGCTTACCTCCGGGGAATCAATCGAGTCCGTTCTTTGCTTCCCCGTCGCTTCTTTTGTCAACCGCGCCTCTTCCAGCCGGTTCTTTTCCACCGACGAAAGACCAGATTCCACGCCAGTTGGCTGGCTGCTCACGAATCCCGTGATTTCCACGTAGCTGCTGGGAACCACGCCCTCTTTGCCATTTTTCATGCGTCGCACCATCCACCACTCCTCGGACTTGGTGTCGTCAATGACCACGACTTCATCGCCCACAGCCACTGTCACCTCGTCGTCACCCTGCGCCATGAAGTCGTACAGAATTTGGCCCTTCTTCTGACCAGCACCACCCTCTCCTGCAGCCAGGACTTCCCGCAGTCCCTCGGCTCGGTAGGTTCCGGCAATTTCGCCAAGGGCGGCAACAATCTCCTGGGCCGTATCTTTGGCACCTGCATGAAAATCAATACTCTTACTCGGCCGAACGAGATCGACAAAGACATGTTTCCCTTCGATGGAGTAGTGAGTGAGCTTTTCTGCACCCCACTCTTGTTGACGGTCATCACCCTCGGGAGATAAGAAGATAATCCCAGTGACGAGATTGATTCCCAATGTTGTCGGCATTTTCTTCCTCTTGCCCATCACCTCAACCATCTCATTGATGTTATAGATATGGTAGCCCGATGGCGACCGCGGCGTCAGCTCACCGGCCCGGTTGAAAGGCGGAGATTCCTTGACGCGTGTTTTATCACGGGTCACTGTCGGTGCCACCTGGGGACGCGGTGGGGGAGAAGGCTCGGGTGAGTAATGTTTCATGGGTGGGGTGGCTTGCTCCGACGGTCGTCGGCGAGGCAGGGCCGGCGGGGGGGACTCGTCGTTTCCGTCGTTCTGGTCATACGATGGTCTGGTGGGAAGCTGAGGCGGCGGTGGCTCATCCCTGGTGCTATCGGATTGCACAGTAGTGGGAGCATGCTGTTTATGGATGATGTCCGCGATTGCAGCGGCAGCAGGGTTCTGGACTGTATCGATCGGGGAGCTCGGCGGGGATACTTCATGGTCGTATTGAAGAGCCTGTGTCGGCCGCTGCGGCAGCGATGGTGCTTCGGGCTCGGCTGGCGCAGCAAGCGATGCAGTTGATCCCTCCACGGCTTCAATGTAAATCGCCGGGGCAAAGCCAAATTCCGAGTTGACGCCAACTAAAGTCCAATCAGGGTCGGAGGTGTCATAAACCGCTAGCTCTGCCTCTTCCGAAAAAGAAACCTCCTCGTCTGTTTGTCGCGTATAATCGTACAGGGCTTTGGCTAGATGTATCGGTTGCGCCTTTTCGTTTTCAGGTAACCATCAGCAACAGTTCACGCTCTACACGCTCAGACGCGTACCCGCTGTGCTGGGTGGTGCCCGAGTGGAATAATCGAGCTTGAGCAGACACAAATGGAGTCCACCCATTGATCCTGCTTCGGCGCTTCAAAGGGAATGCTTACCTCTTCAACGTAATTATTTGGGACTAAGCCCTCGGGCTCATCTTCATCTTCCCGTTCCGCCTTTTTCTTAGCCTTCCACCAGTCATCTTCGGTGCTCTTTTCTAGAATGTAGAGCAGGTCTCCCTCGCGAATCTCGAGTTCACCCTCTCCCTGCGGCTGGTAGTCGTACACAGCCGAGTAGACGCCGAGGAAGCCCATAGTCGAAACTTTCCTCGACCTTGTCGAGTATGTGGCCAAGGACGAATCGTGGCGTTACTAATAGCACTTCCTGGTAGTCGGCCGACTCTAATGGTCGTGGATTGATAGGTGAGTGTACTCGAGGGGCCGTCGGGTAATTGGTGACGCTGGCCGTTAGTGAGGACAGTCTTGGCAGAGAGGCCTTTGTGCGCGGACAAGGACAAATTTGATATAAACAAGGCGATCAGGATCGCGCACAAAGAACCGACTCAGCCAAGCGGGGTGTTTGAAGCAGAAGAGGCCAAAGGAGGAGGGGAAGGGAGAGGTGGATGGAATTGGATCAGGGAGGGTGGGAAGGTGGGCCGCTAGGAGTTGAAAGGGTCACGTTCCCTCCACACCCACGATGTAGCAGAACTATAGAACTATATACCCTCTCCTTAAATTGCAAGATTTATGGCTCAATGAGAAAAAGAAAAAGAAAATCTCAGGGCGCAGTCGCAGAATTCCTGCTTCGACCCTGCATTAAACCCAGCATAGAATGTGCCCCCAACCCCCGAGATCTGACGTCTTTGGGGAGCTACTCGGCTGTTCCTAGATACTCCATGTTTACATGCAAAGCGACAATGCCTACTACCAAATGTACGTGTTTTCTATACACCCCTTAGAGCTCATCTTTGACAAAGGTTTCCTCACTGCCCTCTTCAGAACCTGGTTCCTGGTCGGATGTGTCCGTTGAGTCGGCTGGGGCCTCCGACTTGGCTTTGGTTGTATCCTGGTCTTCGGGAGCTTTGTCGTCTTGCGGCTTCTGGGGAGTGGCATCCGCATTCTCCTCTTCTTCTTCGTCGGAATCGACAATACCCTGGAACTTGACCACCCCGTTGTTTTCCACGACCTCCAATGTCCAATCCTTGCCCTCCGCCATCTCCTCCAGTCGTTTCTTCATGTCCTCAACCTTTGCTGGGTCCAGGTCATACTTCTTGAGTATTTGCTTGGACATTCGTCGCACTTCGCCGTTCTCGCGCTTCGCAACCACCTCCACCCGCTCTTCGCCAGCCGAGGCCACCCGGCCCTTTTCGATCTGCTTGCCTTCCATCCCGACCAGATGCTGCCCCCCAACTTTGATCCCGCCGATGATTGGGGTTTCCTCTGGGCCCGCAGCTTCGTCAGCGAGTTGGTGGGTGAGGTGCCATTCTTTCACGGATTCCCACTCGGCGATTTCGTCGGGCATGAGAACCTCACGACATTCGATGTTATGCACTTCGTCCTGCTGAGGGGGCAGAAAGGCAACATCGTCGCACAAACGAGGGGTGTAGATCACCATCAGATACGAGCAGGTTGTCAGCTCCTTAATCCAACCGATATGGTCTGTCGACTGCGGATGACAATGAAACTGAACCTCCACATTGCGATCGCGACCTGTGAGGTCGCACTTGGTGCCGCCACGCAAGTGCTGCACTAGATACCGCGATCCGCCTTTTGTGTGCAGCTCCGCCATATCAGTATTGGGATTGGGAGTCTGGGGCTCTTCGTCTTGCTTCATGTTGTCGCTGGTCTCGACGGAGAACTGGCCCAAAATAAAGGAGTGTGTAGTGGGATCTTCAATCGGCGGATAGTGTGGGATTCCCCGACCCGCGGGGAGAGCATGGAACTGCTTGATCTGCTTGCGGTAGCAGAAAGAGTAGGACCACCAGCCGGAAAAGTAGTACATGCATTTGCCCTCCATCTCTCGAAGAAGCTCCAGGCCACGGTCCGTCGCCCGTGCTAGTTCCTTTTGCTCTTCCGCTTTACTGTCAGCCGAATTGCCGGCCGTTGTATTATGCTCATCCGTTGTCACGCGAGGAATTTGGCAGAGAAGTCGCCGGTCATCAAGGATCATTTCTTCGTAGGTATAAGTCGGCCCATTGTGATCATGCCCGCGAGTATTATCGGCGTGATTAGGACTCGTATAAACCTGAGGGTTATTGTTCGCGTTGCTGGATGAACTGGCTTCGGCACTGGTTTGCGACTCGAGTAATTCTTCGGCCTGTGATTCTAGAACGTATTCGTCTGGGAAAAGAACTTGGTACTATGGCCAGCCAATGGGTCAGAGTAATGTCGATAACAGTAGAGCTCCAAACGTACCTGGGGGTAGGCCAGAATATCATCATTGATACTGAATGGCTTCTTGCCAGCCCACGCGCTCGACACAGCGCATGCCAGGACAAGCAACGACGGAAGTGCCACGGTAGGTCGTCGGCCCATCTTCCCTGGTCGCAGATCTGCTGATGGCGGGATCAGAAGTCGGTGATAATGGGGGAGGATCGGATGTCAGAGTGACTAGGGTTTCCCCGCCCGGGGCGACAGTCGCGGAAGCTTGATCTCAGAGAAAATTATAGTAGAGATTTTCCATTTGAAGAGAAGAGAAGAAAGATAGATATCACAATCAAGACCGGGGCCAACGGTCCACCTGCCAGGCTGTGGATCGGAGAGTTTGGCAAGGGAAGAGCGCGCGGGAGCTGCTCCGTGGCCTTATCTGCCGATAGCGACGTGGTCCAGGGACTATAGGAATGGACGCTTTGTACTATATGAATCCACAACTCACCAGATTTTGGTTATGCAGTCCTAATTAGAATCTCCAATATTCCAATACTAATGTCAAGAGGTTAGTCAAACATTCATATTCTCATACGTATATTCTTCCCGAAGAACCGTGGATCCCCGATTCGTGAGGCACCCACAGTTACCGCATGCGGCTAGCGCTGCTGACAGGGCAGTTTGTCATGAACGCATCGGCTGACTGATGTCTTGCAAAGCATTGGAAAGTCGAGCTTCGATGACGAGGTTTATGAAGCTTGACTAACCGCTGACATGTAGTCTCTTTTTCTTCTTTCTTTTCTGCTTGCAGAATATTCTACCTTTTTCAATTATTGTCCTTGTCTCGAAGGTTCGACTTCCGGCCTGGGGTATAAATAGCCGCCATCCCATCCATGAAACTGCTTCTGCCTTTTTTAATTTGCATCATTGCAATCTTTCTTTCTTATAACCCCTGGATTCAAGATCGTTTTGTGGCATTAGTCCAGCAAGCACCAGAGATCATTTCACAGTTTTCGATCAAGACGAAAAACTCCACTCCTCCCTCTAACTCAATTTTTCCCGGTCCCTCAGTCGTCCCCGTCACTGACATGGCTGTTCCCCGCGCAATCCGACAGGCCTTTCTGGCCATTGAGCAAGCAGAGGGAGCTGGTGCACGAGTGCGCCGCTCCATCGGTACCGCCAAGCTCCGCAACTTCAGCCCGTTCCTCATGCTCGACCATTTCACCATCGGCAAGGGCGCCGGGTTCCCGGACCACCCGCACCGCGGTCAGGAGACTATCACTTACCTGCTCTCGGGTGGTGTTGACCACGAAGACTTTGCTGGCAACAAGGGGACCATCGGACCCGGCGACCTGCAGTTCATGACTGCCGGCCGTGGCATCATGCATGCAGAGATGCCGCACGAGAACCCAGACGGCAGCCCCAATGTCGGCATGCAGTTGTGGGTCGACTTGCCCCAGAAGTTGAAAATGTGCGAGCCTCGCTACCGTGACCTGCGCGCCAGCGAGATCCCCGAGGCCACTGTTGACGATGGTCGTGTCACGGTCAAGGTCATCTCCGGCCAGTCGCACGGCGTGGACTCTGTGCGCGACCTGGCCTACACCCCCGTCTGGATATTGGACGTCACCATCCGTCCCGGGGGTCGGATCACGCAAACCTTGCCGCAGGGCTGGAACAGCTTTGCCTACACCCTCTCCGGTAGCACGGTCTTCGGCTCAAATGATTCCACCCGCGTCATCAAGGAGTATCACAACGTGGTCTTCGACCAGGCTGGTGACTACGTTGAAGCCTCAGTCCCGGAAAATGCAAACTCTGAGGCCCGGTTCCTGATTGTCGCCGGCCAACCGCTCGACCAGAAGGTGGTTCAGTACGGGCCCTTTGTGTTGAACACCCAGGAGGAGGTTTATCAGGCAATGCTTGACTACCAGACAGCCTCCAATGGATTTGAGAAGTCGCGAAACTGGCAAAGTGATATTGGCAAGCGAATGGGACTCTAGTGAACACATATTCACACGAGTACTAGACTTGTTGCATAACCGCAGTTTTGGCGTTTAGATAGGACATACATGAAATTGAATGATTTATGAATATCTTTAGTTCTATCGCAGTGTGACAAGTAAATTCCAGAGGCGACTCGGCCTCTCTGCTCTTGACCACGCCAATCCGCCCATTTCGTAGAATCGCTCAAACAAAGGGAAAGAACAAAACATAAACTATGACTTTTCTTGAATGCTTTCGTTTGGGGGTCAAGGGCGTGAGATAGCCCGTCAAACAGTCTCTTGCTGAACGATTCCGTCAACGGTGACCTTCGCGCTTACCGTGCCGATAACTGCCACTCCCTTGGGCACACAGATGTCCCGAATTTTGAAGCAACCAAAGACAACCAGTCTCGCAAGTGCCGGACAGCATCGGAAAATGCACTGCGCCAAGTAGTCGTCCACAGCACCGACGAATGAGAGGTCCAGATACTGGAGTTCCGGGTATCGCTTTTGCTCCGCGAACACCTCCTCCAACGCAGCATAGGAGACATGACGGCATGATTGGATGTTCAAAGTTTTGATCTTCAAGCCCGAATGTTCCATCAAGGCAATGAACGCGTCTGATGCAAGCCCAACGGGCTCCGGGGGACCAGCGGGATTCGACATGTCCACGTCTCGGACAGCATGAATATCCACATACGTCAAGGCTTGGTTGGACCAACCCCGGAAAAGATTGGCAAGAGCCTTATCAGTATAAACCGCATTTTGTGTCAGCCGTAGTTTCGACAAATTGTGGCAGTGGTCATGGATATGCTGAAGAAGCCTGTCGTCGGCGAACTCAAATTCTTCCAAAGACAGGGATCGTAGTTTGGGACCAAGTTCAGTAATGATTTGAAGAAGTGGTTCAGTATCTGTGTCTTGCATGAGATGCAGCGACAAGTGCTCTAAAGATGTCATGGACGAAATTCCTTCGAGTGCTTTATTGCCAATTTTCCAGAGGTACTTGAGCTTCAGTCGCCGAAGCCCAGTACAATGCTTGCACATCACCTCGGCGGTTTCATCATCGAAGGCAGAATCTAAATTCCAGAGCTTCAAGCTCTGAAGCCGGGAGCCGAGTCTCATGAATAGTTCACGCCAGCAGGCATCAGTAACTAGATTTGGCGAATCCAGATGCAGGTCCGTGATGTTCATGTCGCGGTCGATCATATACTGGAAGACTGAGTCCTTCCAGGGAGTGACAAATCGCAAGTTCAATCGGGACAATGCCGGCATGGAAGCAAGGATTTTGTTATAATCATCGGTGTCAAGCCCTTGAGATCAGTCAACACAGTGTTTCAAGAGGTGGAATTTATATCAGAAAGACATACTGGCACAGTCGTAAAGATCAATTGATTGATATTGCGCCCCAAGGAAAAGATCCAAAGTCTGTGGGTTCACCGCTCGTCTTTTGGACAAAATTTGACCCAGACGGTGCAGCAACGATGGGGGCAAGTCGCCGAATTCTTCGACATCCCCGATGTGATCAGCGACTTTCTGGGAAAACCGTCAGCCACCCGAGACAAATAAAATGGGGTCAAACAAGCCCTGGAGAACATACTTTGATGCACATCTCCAACAGACTCTGTGCACCGTGTGGCGCCAATCCATCCAAAAGATTGCTTTGCTTTTGGCGTCGCCCAATTCCCGAGTTGCGCTTCTTGGCCGGGGCCTTCTTCCCCCCGTCGGTATGCTTTTTAGAGCAGTCGGCACAGAGCAAGCCTCCGTTCGGGCCGGCCTTGCTGTAGGCAGTGACTGTGAAACGCTTGCCGCAGAGCTCGCAATTTTCCAGCTGGCCGGGATTTGGGCGCTGCTTCTCATTCATGATCTCGTTGGCGATTATATCGTCGTCATCGTCGGGCTCTCCGGTACACCGAGCCTTGCGACGAGAGAATTCCTTGGATTTCTTGATTTTCTCGATGGCTTGCTGTCGCTTGCGCTTCTTAGTCTTATCTTCTGGGGATTCGGGCTCGGGCTCGGGCTCGGGCTCAGGCTCCTCATGTTCAACTAAATTCGCAGATTCTTCCTCAACAGCCTGATTCTGCGCTTGTGACACCCAACGATCATAATCATCGCGAATCTGTGCCGCCGAAATGTTGTTTGACTAGGTTTTTAAGCAACTTAGCCAGATTTCACCGACACGCCCAGCTAGAGGAGTCGAACAACTACTTACCGCGAGGAAATCAGTCAAGGCAGAGCGTCTGCGACAGACTAGTTAGCATCATAAGAAATACATCTAAGTTCCTAGGCGGAGACATACGGGCCTCGAATGTTCCTCGCCGGCCTTCTGTTCGCCCTGTTGCCGACATGAGTATCAAGCATTTTAATTGTTTTTATCTCTATTTGGATCAGACTTACATGCTGATGGATTTGAACAGACTCTCAAATGGTCGAGTAGAAAGACGACCAAGAGATGAGGATATCGAAGTCAAGTCACAGGGGGTCGTGTCAATTTCGTGTTGCACTTAACGCGAGGATCTTATCTCCCACGATAAGTGTCGCGACCGATGGCGTCGAGAGAGAGAGAGAGAGGCGGAGGGAGAGGGAGAGAGAGATGAACAAGATCATCGAGGGGAAGAGATCTCATGTGACAAAGAACTTGGAAATGGCAAGTTCACGGGGGGTTTCCGTGAGAAGAATTTTTCTGGTTCAGGCACCTTTTTGCCTCTCGATCAACTCGGATCTCGATCGGCTTTCTCACTTCTTCCCTTCGTCACTCCCCCTTTCATTGATCCTCGATCCTCGATCTTTCGCTCTTTATAAACACTCTTTTCCGCTATTCAAAATCCTCAGTGATCGAAGAACCTTCTTTAGTATGCCAGTCTGCCCCAATAGGTGCTCTCAATCAGCTAACTCGTATCTATCTAGCAATCCAAAATTCTTCCCCATTCGAACTCGTCCTGTCGCTTCCTAACACACGCATCGATTTCTGTCTCCAATCGGTACTGATTCCTGTTGATCTCGCGGCGGAGCTAAACCCTGGTGCACTTCCGCCTATAAAATGAAGAAGAAACCATCGACCACGATCCCCGATTCTGAAGATGATGCACCATTCAGTGGAACGTCATTCAAAGATTCCTCGCCCCTCCCTCAACCGGTACCCCTGCGATCGGGTGGGTCTTCTCATTCCAATTCACGGACCACTCGCGTAATCCACGATTCCGAAGATGATGGCGCCGATACACTTGATCTACCTGGTCCTATGGCAACTGGGAACCGGGTCTCGGGGAATCTTGAGGTGGTGATTCCAGTAAAGAAGAGTGAGTCTGAATCGCCGAGCGAATTCACTTCGCGAGACTCTTCGGGGAACCCATCGCTCGATGGAATTACTGGTTACAGTACTCCGGCCACCAGTGTCGGCGTCACTGCCGCTGAATCAGATTCAAAACCTCGGACTCGGACTCGCATCAACGCATCAACCCGTGCTCAGCAACTGCGCTCGAGTGCTTTGTCTCTGCAAAGCCTCCCAAGAGGGAAAAAGAGACCAGCGGCTTCTATGGAAGCCGATGAAGCGGTTCGCGAAGCCACCGATGCAGCTTTGGCCCACGCGCTTCAGATAGAGGAATATGATCGATCCTCCAAGAAACAGAAGACTACCCAAAATGCTTATTCGGAGAACCAGGAAGATTCAGGGACTTCCACGAGATCTCTACATGATTCCGACCTGACAGACTTGGATCAATCACTCTCTCCGCTGAGCCAAGAGCCCGAAGACTTGTTCCAGCCGGACTATTATCAAAAATTCTCTGAGGGTGAGGATGATGACATGAATCAAGGTGATTATGAAGACGAAATCGCTCGATCTGGGGCTGGCAATGGTAGTTCAGATGACGATGAGCCGCCCCTAAGCTGGGAGGAGCAGCGGAAAGCTCGCCGTGTAAGCCTGAAAGCCTGGGCGCATTTGTCTTGGGAATTGGGAATTAATTCTCTTCTAGGTTATGGCAGACCGGCGGAAGCTCGAGAAACATCACCCAAGTCTCCGTTCCTTGTGGGATTACCTGAAAGCGAAACCTATTCTCACCCCGAAAGCCGCCAAGCAGCCTGTGTCAATATCTCGCAACTTGAAACCTTTTCAACTGGAAGGTTTGTACTGGATGATGGAACAGGAAAAGACTTCATACAGGGGCGGCCTGCTTGGTGATGAAATGGGCATGGGAAAGACCATTCAAGCGGTCTCTTTGATCATGTCCGATTTTCCACAGCGTGCACCAACCCTAGTCATAGTACCTCCCGTGGCTCTCATGCAATGGGTCTCTGAGATAAAGGTTTGTTCCGCATTCACGTCTTGCTGAGATTCATAGCTGACTAGGTCTCGAGGACTACACCGACGGTAAACTGAAAGTCCTTGTCTTCCACAATTCTGACTCCAAGGTGAAAAACCTCACCAAGACAGATCTTGGGAAATACCATGTGATCATGATATCCTGTATGCCATGCTCGTGTGTTTTCTCAAGTGATAGAAGCTGATTGACTTCTCTAGATTCAAGCCTGGAGTCCACCTACCGCAAGCAAGAAAAGGGTTGGTCTCGTAGCGGTGGGACTGTCAAAGAAGACAGTGAGTTGTCAGATGCACCGTCCCCCACAGCATACCAACTAACATGTCTCGAGGTGCCATCCATTCCCTCCATTATCACCGGCTCATTCTGGATGAGGCGCACAGCATCAAGGTAGGTCAAAGCAGAACCACACGGCCTTCTTTCTTTGCCTATGGACCTCATGATACTAAAGTATGTAGCAACGTACTACGGGTGTGGCCAAGGCTTGCTTTGCTTTGAAGGCCAACTACAAGTGGTGTCTTTCTGGCACACCAGTGCAGAACCGGATTGGGGAATTCTTTTCCCTGTTGCGCTTTCTGCAGGTTCGTCCATTTGCATGCTATTTTTGCAAGCAATGCAAATGCGAACAACTTCAATGGACCTCCAATAAAGAGGGCCGTTGCTCTGAATGTTCACATACGTATGGCATCTCCGATCATGCTGATATCAATTGTTGAGTTGATCCTAACCATCTCCACAGGGGCTTTCACCACATCTCGATCTTCAACAAGGAAATTCTTAATCCAAGTAAGTCTATCGTTTCCGCTTGGTCCTTCCCCCTTCAGATCCCTGACCATGATTCCAGTCACCGAGGGAAGAACCCAGCAGGAACGAAAAGCGGGCCTGTCAAAGCTCAGACTAATTACTGACCGAATCATGCTTCGACGCATGAAGCAAGAGCATACATCTTCCATGGAGCTTCCGCCTAAACGGTCAGTGCGGTTCTGCGGGCTCTATGGATTCATAAAAGCCATTCAATGCTGATGGTTCTTATAGCATTACCTTGCACAATGAATTCTTCGGCGAGATTGAACATGATTTCTCTCGCAGCATCATGACCAATTCGACCCGACAGTTTGATACCTACGTCAGCCGTGGTGTCATGCTGAACAACTACGCCAACATTTTCGGACTGATTATGCAGATGCGCCAAGTTGCCAACCACCCGGACCTCATCTTGAAGAAACAAGTGCAACCGGGCTTCAACAGTTTTGTTTGCCGCGTCTGTGATGAACCTGCAGAGGATGCGATTCGATCTCGGTGCCGCCATGAGTTCTGCCGACAGTGTGCCAAAGACTACATTCAGTCTTTCGATGCCGCATCAACTGTTGACTGCCCGCAATGCCACATTGCTCTTTCGATTGATTTGGAACAACCCACCATCGAGCAGTCTGAAGACTCGGTCAAGAAGAACTCGATCATCAATCGCATTCTCATGGAAGGCTGGACCTCATCGACCAAAATTGAGACGCTGCTCTACGAGCTCTACCAGCAAAGAAGCAAGAGCCACACGCCGAAATCGATCATTTTCTCGCAATTCACTTCCATGCTCCAGCTTGTCGAATGGCGTCTGCGCCATGCGGGGTTCAATACGGTGATGCTCGATGGCTCGATGACCCCGGCGCAACGACAAAACTCCATTGATCATTTCATGAATAATGCCAACGTCGAAGTGTTTTTAGTTTCCCTCAAGGCAGGTGGTGTGGCACTTAACTTGACGGAGGCATCGCGAGTCATCATTATTGATCCGTAGGTATTGCCGCGCGTATCAACCTGGATATTCTTTACTTACACAGCGTTCCAGGTGGTGGAACCCGGCAGCCGAATGGCAAAGTGCCGACCGCAGTCACCGCATCGGCCAACAACGGCCTTGTGTGGTCACTCGGCTCTGTATCGAAGATTCGGTTGAATCTCGCATCGTTCAACTTCAGGAGAAAAAGGCCAATCTCATCCAGGGCACCATCAACAAGGACCAAGACAAAGCCTTGGAAAAGCTGACCCCCGAAGACATGCAATTTCTCTTCCGGGGTTCGTAAGACACGCCACCTGCGTCACTTCTCGGGAGCAACGATCACCCACATGGTCAAACATGACGATGGGAAGAAACAAGAAATGATAAGATGGCCCACATCATTTCCCGAACCTGAGTGCAGCCGTGTTATAACGATTTTGCGATTTGGCCTTATTGCATGTAGAATCTTACTTACCTTGGGCCCAAATCACATACAAGAGAGGTTAAACTCATCAACAAGTAGATTTGTGAGATCGTCGTGTCTTGGTTTGTATTCCTGCTGCCTAGTGGGTTTGCATAGTGTAAGGCTGAAAGCTTGGCTCACGTCCCCACCGAAGACCCTCTTTCTCGCCCCTGACCCGTTCGGCTTTCTTTCTTTCTTTTTTTTTTTTTTTTCCTTTTTTTCTTTTCTTTTCTTTCGAGTCTCTCTGGGAGCTCCATTCTTTCTTTATATATCAGACAATCAGATATTCTGATTGGTATTTCCCCCATGATATCACCGGGATGACATTTGCTCCCCCCGACTCTCTGCATAAATAAATCGACTCCCCCCCGCCATGGACACTCCCCAATCATTCCCCGTGCGGCCGATTGATAAGTATGGCCCCGAACTTGTCGAGAAGGCCGACCAGTTACAGAGCCGTGTGACAATGAAGGAAGATGCAAAGCCCGCCGGAGGGTTTGATGCCACCCCTATTCCTCGTGCCCCACCAGGCTATACTCTCAAGATCACCTTCCATCGGGGCGATGACCTGCCCGTCGCCGACTTTGGCAGCTTCTCATCGGACCCATATGTCCGCGCACAGCTCTTGGTGGATTTGCCCCGGCGTCACAAGCAGGATCCTGTGACGAGTTTCCGCACTCCCACCGTGCATAAGGACATGAATCCGGTGTGGAATTCCGAGTGGGTCGTGGCCAACGTGCCGGCTTCCGGATTCCTCCTGAAAGCCTACGTCTACGACGAGGACCCGGCCGACCACGATGACAAGCTGGGGATTGCTTTTATTTCAGCAAAATCCTTGTCTGATCAATGGCCGGGCATCAAGGAACAATCGTTCAAAGTCAAGAAACGATTCGGCAGCAAGCGAGTCTATCTCTTCACCAATGTCTCGGCGTTTGCGACAGGGCACCATCAGGAGTCCTTTTTGGTGGTCAGTATCGAGTGTCTGGGGAGAACTCCCGGTGACCAAGGGGGCCAAATGTATACCATTGGCCCCAACCATTGGTTCAAGCATACCTCTCCTTTGATCGGGCGATTGGCAGGGACCAAAGATCATGTCCAAAGTCAAGATGGCAGCGGTAAGGCTATCAGCCGCTATAAGTGCGTTTCCTCTTTTTCTCCCCTCTTCCTCGAAGATTCAAGTCTAACACGCCTCATCCAGTTTTCAAGCAATTCAAATACAGCTCACAGGCCCTGTGCCATCGGACCTTTATCATCGCTATGTTGAGTTCAGGCCCTTTGTGGCCGGAATGTTTCAAGCGCAGAGTTTAAGAGGGCGCATCTTGCATAAGGCCCTACACCATCAACATCAGCGGGTCTACAACTTCGACCGGACCACCGTTTCTGGGGTTTTCACTACGCCATGCCCAGAGTTTGCCCAGAAGTTCCTGGAGTTTGTACACTATGGCCAGGGCGGACGAATTTTCACTTACGTTCTTACGCTGGATGGACAGCTGCGGTTCACGGAAACCGGCAAGGAATTTGGGATTGATCTCCTAAGCAAGCACACAATGCACAGCGATGTATCGATCTATATTGCATATTCGGGCGAGTTCTTCGTCCGGCGACGCAAGCATCGTCATCGCCAGCATTCCCCGGAATCGCATCAAGAAGGATTTCCTGTGGAAGAAGGGGAAGGACCGGAGGAGGTCACCGAGATCTCGACGGAGCCATCCGACTACGAACTCTTTATTGACAACGATAGTGGGACATACCGCCCCAACGCGGAAAAGCTGCCGCTGCTGAAGGAGTTTATTTCCTCCAATTTCCCGGGCCTTCATGTGACTACCCTGGATTGTCAACATGACGCAGAGCGGATGGGTCAGATGAAGGAGGAACAACGGGAATTCAAGAAATCCCATGGCCACTTGATCACTTTCCTGCAGCAGAGTAGCGTGTCATCCCTGTCCATCTCGAGTTCGGAAGAGGAGGAACTCAACGCACGCAGCGGCGAGCCCAGCCGGCAGCGAGGCGACCTGGCGCGACGAGTCCACGAGATGCGCGATGTCCGAAGCCAAGTGATGAAATGGGTGGAAGCGGATGGGCATGCGGACCGGTCCAAGCACCGATATTACTCGGGGCGCGAAAGGGCTCCGTCGACAGGCGAAGTACGCTCAGGAGGACAGGAGCCTGGGATGTCTCAAGCGGCTACTTCGCATCCTCGGGAGTCTTTGAACCCGACTTGACGTTTGTTAGAGCATAGAACACTCTCTTAATTCAACCCAGTGACTTCTAATATCATGGCTTTTTTGATGTTTTTTGGCCCCTTTCTCGTAAAATTACCTGCCCCCTCGAATTTTCTATTTTTATGTCGCTTTGTTTTCGAGAGTCCCGCCATCTCCGCCTCCTTTCGCCTGCAGATCCCCAAGCAGAATGTCGGGGGGGAATACCCACGTCCAAAATGCAGATGTTCAAAGTCAGTAGATTGAAACCAAAGATCAAATGACCAAAATGATCAAGTGGCAGTTTTTTAAAGATCACCAAAATCTAAGAATTTCATGGTCAACACAACGCCCTGAAAAACAAGGCATCCTATATGGGTGCCTGGGGTTTGTTCTTTTCTCCGATCGAAGTGAATCGACTGAATCGGATCATCCAACAAGCTCCGACTCCACCAACCTCCCGCGCTTGGCTTGAACCCCCCCCTCATCCACTTCATCACCTCTACTCTCCTCCCGCCTGTACGACTGAATGACGGATCATTTGGCCTATTCTCTCGCTTCGACTTTGAGCTGGCAATCCGACTGCAGGCTTGCAGACCGTCGATGGCCATCGACTGGTTCGCTGCCCTGGAATCCTTCACGCGCCGTGACCTAATCCCTTGGGTCTCTGCAACATCATGGGGAATGTCGCCAGCCGTCTTGACGATGCGGGGAACTTGTTCTTCAAAGACCAGAATCGGTGTATGTTTGAAGTCGCTCGCCCTTTCTGCCGTGAATCGCCCCCAGTCCCAACATGCTGACGGAAAAATCTCTGTAGTCTCGATCGCATCGGTCACAATAAGCAATTCGAGGCGTCGCCTGTTGACGCTATCCCCGAATGCGTTCCCGGCGGCGAGGTTTGCGGCGAAGCGGGATCCTGGTGATGATGCCCCTATCGAATATATTCAGGTACACAAAGCCCCGATGGTCCACATCCCTCCCCCGCGGCAAGTTAGTTGACCACAAATCAACATCATAGGACCCCGACTCTCCCTCGTCTGCGCCAATCCCGACATTTCTGCTGCGCCTGTCGAACGACGACGAGTTGATCTTTAATTTCACGTTCATTCTTCGACAGACGCAAACCGGCAACGTCGTCAACTCCACCGTCAATGGTGTCTCGACTTCACTTCCAGATGTAGCCGACACGGTACTCACGGGGCTGACGTTTGCCCACGCGACAAACTCAAAGGAACTCGACAACTTGATCACAAGGGAGTTTCACGCAAATCCCAATCTGCAGAACAACTCCAACGTTCAGCTGGTCGGAGATTTTTCCACCCACAGCACCCCCTCGGTGTCGTTTGACTGGTCGTGGACCTGGAAACCCCCCAAGACGACTGAGGATAAAGGTGGCGGCTGGCGGAACAGCTGTAGCTTCTTGGATTATGACCAGCGGACAAACCGCCTGAACACCCTTGCCCACTTTTCTTTCTGGGTACACAATACGGTCCGCCTGCTGCCGTCCCCTCAGATCTCGTCGCCGAACCTAGAGTTGCCCGTTCCCCTGCGCACCCGCATTCCCTCCACCCAGTCCGTTCTCTCTCAGTTCAGTGATGCTGAGACTCTCTCTAACCCTAACCTTCCTTCGACTACCCCGCCGGAGACCGCAGATGGCACTGCGCCGCCTCCGCCACCAAGCGTCCCCCCACCTCCGCCGCCAGTCAAAGTGGATCTGCCGCATTCCCGACCAGGTGATGATATGAGTGCTGTGGAAGATGGCCCGCTGTTCCGGGCCACAATGAAAGCTCTAGAGCAAAAGACGGGGAACATGCGCGCCAAGATTAAAAAGGTTCTCAAGAAAGCCGAGGCTGCCCAGCAGGCACAGGCCGGCTGTAATGATGCCATGGAAGCGTTCCTGGGATCACTGAACGACGCGTCTACATCCAACGCCAATGCCATTCAGCCTGCCTTGGACCACTACTTTGAGAAGATCGCCCGGCAGATCCTAAATTTTGAGCAGCTCAGCACTCTCCAGCTCCAGAAACTCGTCATCGAGCCTCTGATCAAACTTTACCATAACGACATCAAACAAGCCGAGGCAAAGAAGAAGGAATTCGACGAAGAGAGCCGCGACTATTATGCATACGTCAGTCGGTACCTGGGCCAGCGGCAGGACTCGCTGAAGGAGAAGAAGCGGGCCGAGAGCGATTCAAAATACCAAGCCAAGCGGCGCAACTTCGAGCTCAAGCGCTTTGACTACTCTTCGTTCATGCAGGATCTGCATGGGGGGCGCAAAGAGCAAGAGGTTCTCTCACATCTCACCAAGTATGCGGATTTCCAGGCCAAGAATTTCTTGGCGGCTGCCAAGAAGGTTGAAAACATGGTCCCTCAGTTGGATGCTCTCTGCCACGAAGTGAGCCAGGCCGATAAAGAGTTCCAGTTCCAGCGGACCGAGCGCGAGGAGAAGCGCAGAGCGTTGGAAAAGAACAGCAACCCGTATCTCGAGCCCGATGTTGTGGCCAGTGCGGCGAATGCAGCGTCTGTGTCCACCGGGACGGTTAACGGGGCTGCCCACGAGACCGAGTTAGGTCGGGCCGATAGCACAGGCTCTCAGCTCCGTGGTGTGGTCAGCAACAGTTCATCTGTTTCATCCCAAGCAAATGCGGGATCCGTCAGCTCCGTCGGAACGAATGCACCTCCATCCAACGTAGGGTCTGCCGGTAACTTAGGGCAAAATCGGTTCAAAGGCATTCGAGACCTCGAGGAGCGAGACGCTCTTGGGTCTGAGCGAGCCGCGGGCCAGCAACGAAAAGAAGGTCTTCTCTGGGCCCTCTCTCGTCCTGGTTCGCACATCGATCCAAAAGGAATTAACAAACAGGCATGGCATAAGTAGGCTCCCCCCGGTCTTCAGTGCGTTGCAGTGCTAACATTCACTTCCCTCTTTCTCAGGTTTTGGATCGTATTAGATCAAGGGAAATTGTCTGAATACAGCAACTGGAAACAGAAGCTAGACCTACACATGGAGCCTATTGATCTTCGGATGGCGTCAGTCCGAGAAGCTCGAAATGCGGAACGGCGATTCTGCTTTGAAGTCATCACTCCTCAATTCAAGCGCATCTACCAGGCCACCTCAGAGGAGGACATGGCGAACTGGATTAGGTCGATCAACAACGCCCTCCAAAGTGCAGTCGAAGGGCGAGGGGTGCCACCCACGCTTCCCGTGTCATCCAAAAATGAATCGTCGGCGGGTCGTGACATCGGTTCGGTCCTTACTGGGAAAAGCTCCTCGGTGTCAGGCCATCACTCGTATTCATCCAGTGCCAGCAACAACAGCGTGAACCGCCGCACGACCGTTGGGGCGCGGCCCAGCTACGTCCGCAATGACAGCAACAGCTTTGAAGAGAATCCGGCACGTCTCTTGCAAGCTGTACGGGAAGCGGACCAGGGGAACAATTGGTGTGCTGACTGCGGATCAATGTCCAAGGTGGAATGGGTGTCGATTAACCTTGGGATTATCCTATGCATCGAGTGCAGTGGCATTCACCGGTCCCTAGGAACACACATTTCCAAGATTCGATCGCTCACGCTGGACGTGCATTCCTTCTCAAATGACATCGTCGAGATCCTCTTGCAGATCGGCAACCGGGTCAGTAACATGATCTGGGAGGCGACGTTGGACCAGTCTGTCAAACCGAATGCGAGCTCGACGCGAGAGCAGCGTCTCAAGTTTATCACCGCCAAATACGCCGATCGAGCGTATGTGGAACGCCTGCCTTCGCCACGATCGCGCTTTGCGACCCCTGACGAAACCCTTCTCGCCTCGATCAAGAGGAATGATATCCAGGGCGTCCTCTATGGGGTTGCATTGCGGGCTAATGTCAACGTCGCGGATCGCTCTCGCAACACACACGCTGTATTTCTGGCTCTCGCCGCCGCAGACCCGGCCTCCCCGGGCTCCACTCCCTCCAGTCTCTCAGCCCGATCCAGCGCAAAGACGATTCCGTTCCCCATCGCCGAATTGCTGGTTCAAAATGGCGCGGAAATTCCCCCGCAGCCACCGTCTATTCCTCTTTCCCCAGCGGCGCAGTTATATCTCAGCCAACGAACTGCACGGTCGTCGGCATTTAGCCCCCCTGCCCCTGCTGCACCCATCCCAGGGAAGTCCACCGCAAGTGACACTCTGGGGTCTCTCCCCACTATCCGCGCGAGCAAGGACAACTCCTCCACGACACAGACACCCAACTCCTTGGAACACAAGGAGAAGGATAAGCTCTCTAAGAGAGGGAGCGCGGGTGCTCGGTTTGCAGGAAAGGTGGCATCCCTTGGAATTGATCGATGAAGGGGCCGCCCCATAATCGTACTTATATGCACTTTAATGAGATTCGCATGAAAAATCCCCCTCTGATGTTTTCTTTTTCTGTGTCTTTTACTTGGGGTCTTGTTTGGGGTCATGGGTGGCCGGGCTTCGTTGGATTCAAGCTACCGATTTCTTCTTTTTTTCTGTGTTCATTCCTTTCTGATGCCCATACCATTCACCGAGGCTTGTGATACCAGGCCACGTTCGTGCTTTTTCTTTTCGTTTTTCATTTTTGTTCCTCCCAGTCTCCGATATACCACGATCGAATGGCATGGGACCGAGTATACCCTGTATTTAAGCTGCTTTCCTGTTCATGCTACCATAGCATCCCCCTTGAATCCATGTGGTACTATACAGTGCTATCTACATCAGTATTAACATCTCAACATTTACACGCTCAATTGAAGTGCCCCAAGATCTACCCACCCTGCAGTATACAGGAGGGTTGCCTGGCGGTGGCAACATTCCGTACTGTGTATAGTTACAAAGGGCATCGAAAAAGCCCACCGTGGGGCTGTGGCGTCTAGCGGTGACCAAAAGATGTTACATGAATGGAGACGCTCCTAGAAATAGCATGATCATTCCCCGAGAGAGATTTGCCCGAGTCTGTAGCCCACCAAGCCACTCATCACCAGCCAGTGAGGTAGTTTGTTTGGCGCAACATTGATCTTCGTCCAGCATACATAAGTACTGTATGGATACAGTACGTAGTACTCTTGGCCCATTTTTGGGGTTTTTTCTTCCGAGGATCGCAGCCACGTGAGAGCACCAGGGATGAAGATACATCCTGATTGGGGATTCTTCCCTGTAATCCAAGCCCGTGGAGAATCCCCAGTCGGACAAGACATGCGTGCGAAGCAGCGAGGGTGACGTGTGACATCTTCTGCAGGTCCACCGGGGCCAAAAGGGAAGAATTCGAGTCCCCATTGAATCCTGCATATGACGTCATTTGATGGTTCTCAAAGTTTTGGGGGAGAATCGTGGCTTTTCTTTGCACGAATAGCTCGGCGGCATCGTATGCAAAAGTGGCCACTCTGGCTGTTTCAAAGACACCCTGCGTATCGAATTCGGCCAGATTCGCATGTCGTCATATCTCCAGTAATGTAGTCAACAATACCTAGATGTACTTGAAGATGTGCCTGAGGTCTCAAGAGGTGTTGACATAAGCAGCATCGCATTGGCTGGCATCTCATCCCGGAGTGGGCCATCGAATCCTCCCACACAATCTGCAGTTCGCAGTGTACACCATCTGAAACAATAAAACAATAAGAAACGCTGACATCTGGAATCTTCGCTTCAACAGATTGGAAAGCTACCAACCCCCTCGAATCGGGTCTAGTGGCATCATGCCCCATTGACCCTTAGCGCAAAAGGCGTCGGGAGTCAATTCAATGCCCAAAATGATAGGCTGCTATTCGGACTTGCATCATATGGATACGCGACTACTATCGAGCAGATCCGTGGGTGCCTGTGACTAGCACCTTCTGGCATCACCCGCCCTCGGGTATGTCAGATCGTCTCTAGATCTCCACCCGTTGCCAATTCAGGACATTGTCAGTCCTTCCTTGAGTGGTTATCCCGAGAAGACCCTCCCATTCACCGGAGGAGAGAAAAAAAAAAGATGAGAGGCTGAGAGACCCACCGGCTCAGTCATCTCCATGGTTATACATTAGCTCCGACCTCCCACACCAAGTGAGCATGTTCCTGTCTTCAATCCTTTCCTTTCAACTCAATCCCTGCTTGAAAATCGCTTGTGTATGTTTGGTCAGACCCTTGTCCTAGGATCTGCTAGGTCATCTGTCGTTTTCAACCACAGAATCACCGAGGCTGTCTACATACTCTTCCCCCCCCCCCCTTTTGGGGGGCACTTCGACTTGTTTTGTCCCTGCCTTGATTTGACAAATGCCCCACTGAGAAGCCAGTATAGTTGGGTCTCAGGGCTCTACGAATCCCTTTCTTGAGGTAAGGATCCGATCCCACTCTACTAACTAGCCCTACAATCATTCGCTGTGGGTGCATCGATTGGCGGATTCCTATTTTTCCAGCTTGACTTGTCCCATATTCTGGCAATGCCAGTCTCTCTTGGTGTTCGATCTTCTTTTTTCGCTCATCTGTGTCTTGGCTATACTCTCGTCCCACAGGAAACCCGAGGCAGGCAATCGGCGTGCCCTATTTAGTGTGGTGCACACACATTGCATTCCTTCCCATCTCTATATTTCCCTCTTCTGCTGTTCTCCTTGTCATTATCCCCCCCAATCTTCGATTCCGTGTGGGCAAAGACCCTTGGTTAACCCTTTCATCTGGCATTGTGAGATTGAAGGGCAACCTCATTTGTCACTGGGGGTCGATCACCATTGGGAATAAACCCTGAGTGATTTTAGCATTCAGGTAAGCTATAAAAAAAAACACTACGATTCTTCGTTAGTGGGTGCTGCGACTTGATCGAGTCACTGAGACCGTTGCCCCTTGTAGGGAGTGCATCTTTCATCGTGGTTTTGGTCGTCTCCAACGTTCACGACCGAACTCCATGGGCGATGTTCCTTCAAGTAGGACCACTTCATCCCGATGGGAAATGGATAGGAAGTCCCCGGTGTCAAAACCAAACCTATCTTCGAGAACCACTCAGCCATCGGGTGAGTCCACAAAATTCTGCATTGGCTGCCAAGAACACCTCTCATGAGAATACTCTGAGGTCTGTAGGGAACCTCGTTGCCATTCAGCCCTCGTCGACCAATTTCGAACATCATTCGAGTCCAACAGGAGTTGCTGGCCATGGCCAGTATAGACCCCCGCCATCTCCCTTGAACATGGGCGGCATGGTTTACACCCTACCCTGTCACCATCCGCACTCGCCGTTCGAGCAGCAGTCACACCACTATCCACAACCAGCTCATGGACAAGAATTCATGTACCCTATGCACTCAATGACTCCCTTTTCCGGGCAGCACACCGGCGCAAGGGTGGCCTATGGTAGTCCATTCGCCCCGGCCTACGCACCGTACTCACCTCTGGGCTCGGCATTCCACCATGGAAATGCACATTACCAGCCAGTTGTGTCAAATGTACCAATGCACAATATTGCACCTCCTCGGGCATCTCACTATAACCCGGGATATTACCTTCATCCACCATTCGCCGCACACCCTGGACACGGAATTGCGGGTGGTCCTATGTGGGAGACTGGGTTTCAATCACGTCCAGGCACAAGTGCCTCGTCGAGACCTGGCTTCTCGCGCAAGGAATCAGAAAGGAAACATACAGAAAGGGAGTACGATGTTTCGAAGACGATTGTGGATGGCTCAAACCCCATGAAGTTGGTGCAATCCCAATCACCAGGTGAGTGTGTATTGACGTTTGAAGTCTGAAGATTCCTGAAGTGACTCCTTTACTAAAATTCAGTCTCCTGATATTGTACAGATACCCAATCTCGTTTCCACTCGAGCCCAGTCCTTCCCAGCACACCGCGAGGCCCGTCGAGAAAACCCAAACAGTCGGGCCATGCGCTCTGGGTGGGCAACCTACCTCCGGGGACCAGAGTGATGGATCTCAAGGACTATTTTTCACGAGAGGCGACCAGCGAGATCGAAAGCGTATTCCTGATCCCCAAGAGCAATTGTGCGTTTGTGAACTACAAATCAGCTCCCGCATGTGCCGCAGCGCTGGCACGATTTCATGACTCCCGATTCCAAGGCGCACGTCTCGTCTGTCGGGTACGCCAAGGATTCGCGGCATTGGGTTCTGGTGTGACGAGCATGGGTGTCAGTCCTCGGCTGCGCCCTGGAGACACTGCAACGAATCTCTCTGGCGATGAAACCCTCATGTCGCCTGAGACGGGAACTGGTCCACCACCGGATGCGAACCTGTCCCGAATACCGGCTCGATACTTCATCGTGAAGAGCCTGGCGGTAGATGATCTCGAGCTCAGCAAACAGAATGGCATCTGGGCCACCCAGGTGCACAACGAAGCTAATCTGAACCAAGCGTACGAGGTAAGTGCGGTGTATCTATTGCATGGTCTTGAATTTTGTGACTATTCTTTACTTTTGTTATCTTCTTTTACTGTCACAGCCATTTTAACTCACCTGCTGCAGACCGCCGACGAGGTATATCTGATCTTCTCGGCGAACAAGTCGGGCGAGTATTTTGGATATGCTCGCATGTCGTCACCCATTCATGACAATGAGGAGCTCGCCTTAAAAATGCCGCCGCGACCTGACCCATTGCCCGAGAGGCCAGGTGAAGTGTATGTGACCCCAACAACAGCCACTTCCACGGCGCCCGCGGGACGGATCATCGATGATTCGATGCGGGGAACGATCTTTTGGGAAGTCGAGTCCTCCGATGAAGATACTGCCAGTGAGAAGAGTATCGATGGCCTGGAAGAACCCGTTGAGAGCCAGTCGTTTGGCAAACCGTTTCGGATCCAGTGGCTGTCTACTGAACGAGTCCCCTTTCACCGCACCCACGGATTGCGAAACGCGTGGAATGCCAATCGTGAAGTCAAGATCGCGCGCGATGGGACCGAAATTGAGCCGACAATCGGCCGGCAGGTCCTCGAGCTCTTCCATACCCCGAACACATGAGTTTCCCATAAAAGGTCCTTGAATATCAATGGGAAATGCAGCATGGAAAGGAGCAATCCCAGAAATATTCTTTGCATTTGACTTTTCAATCCCCCTTGGTTCAACATTGCGACTTTACTCCGCTCGATCATCGTGAGGTCATGATTGCTGCCGCCACCGGGCGATCAGTGGGGAACCTGGTCCTTATCGGGGCGAGTTGTAAGAGCGATGTGTCAGATGGGAATTAGACAGTGTCTAGAGAGGTTTCTTCTGGATTCTTAGAATGGATCATTTTGTCTTTCTCATTCTATCCTTCTCTTATTGTCCAAGTTCAAGCTGGGTATCTCCAACCCTGGAAAGTCCTGGGGAAATTCACGTCACCCTCGCTGACTCAGCGCTACCCCGGATCTTGGGCAAGCTTAACTCCAGTTAGCTCTCGGCCTCTCCCTTTCTCCTCTTGCCCCCCTCCTTCTCTTGTCTCGCTATTTTTCTTCCATCTCGAGCTTCTCCTCCCTCTGGGATTTTCCCCCATTCCGTTCCTCGTGCTTCATATTCCATTTTGTCCCATTTATATCATCTACCTCCCCTCCTTCCAGTTCCCATTCCCATGAAAAGGGCGGCGAGTCCGTCCGAATCCTGCCCTCTCGTGACTCGATTCCCCTGATCGAAACCATGTCCAACGATCGCTCAACCTCCCCCATCTCCGTCCCCAACTCCGACGCCCGCCCACGTCGTGGCTCCCTCGCCTCTGGCCTCCCCTTCACCGACCTCTTCTCGAAGCAGAGCCATCCCTCGGCTTCCCAGGCAGGGAACCCGGCGTCCACGTCGGCCAACCAGCAGCGCCGGCTCTCCATCACCACGCTTGGTCTCTCTGGATCCCCAACGCAGACCTCTGCGTTTGGAAAGGGTAATCTTCGGCGGGGCAGCCTCTCCAGCTCCCTGGGGTCCAACGTCCCCGCCCCAGAAGATGCCGTGGCGGAGGATGCAGAGGGAGCCTCGCCGGGCACCACCCCCAGTTCCCCATTTGCTCGGCGAGTCTCCTTTGGTGCACAAGCTCTACGTGAACATCGTGCCGGAAGCATAGGCAACGGTAGATTTCCCCCCTCTGGTTCCTCCCTGGCAGAGTCCCGCCGATCTGTGTCATCGGCTACCCGATCACCCGCAAGTATCTCAGTTTCTCCCAAGGACGAGAGATCTAACGCGTCGCGGCGACCCTTAGGCGAAGGCTTTAACTGGTCGGAAGCCCTGCGCTCCCGTGCGGAGCGTGCCCCGTCCATCGGCGGCCCGGTCTCCCCGCAGAGCCAGCAGGCGGCCCGCCAGTCGGGTCACCAGCGGGCTGCCTCCATTGCCTCCATGGAGCAGCCCGCTCGGGAAATTCCCAAGCAACCCAAACAGAATAAGCCCGATTTCTTCCAGGAGAAGATCTTACGCGGCGATTTTATGGATTAGGGGGAGGGTCGCTTTGAGGTTTCTCATTGAGTTCTCTACCCTTTTTCATCCCGTCTCTCTCCAAATTGTCCTTTCTTGTTGTGATTGATTCTGGGCCTGTTTTCCTTTTCCGCGTCTCGTCCTGGTGATGCCGAAGCGACACTTGATCTCTGAACATCAAATTGACACGATAGGGTTCTTTCACTGGTTGCAAATATACATAAGAATTGCCTTCAATCCACATACGTAAATCCCCAAATAATATCTCATTTTATGGCTCATCTACTGGTTTATCTATACACAATATATGTCCATCCACCTCTCACCCCTATGTAAAACCATCCAGCTCCCTCCTACTAACCTTGTTCAAAACGACATAAAATACCACACAATCAAGTAACGTTAATGTGACGTCCTTAGCACGGCACATGTGTCCTGTTAATGGCCCTGAAAGACCATTCCACCGACCCAATCTGCTTCATTCCTTGCTTCTCCAAGGACCGACTCAGTCATGTCGAGGTCGACGGCCCAGTACCAGGGTCTTCTGCATGGGCATGTGCCGGGGCGACACCCTCTTGCTTCTTGCTGATCGACGCCTCTTCCTCTTCCTGGTTGTACTTCTTAGCCAAGCGCCGATCTATCAGTTGGTTCGTGCTGAGCTGCTCCTCCGGGGCCGGCGGTGTCCACTTGCTGCTCTTCCATGGCGGGACGCGCATGACATACATCATGTCCATCTCTTCAAGTGTCCTGTCCTTGCCCTCGAGAACAAAGAAGTAGACCACCAGCACCGCCACAAACAAACACCCGGCAAAGACGTAGCCGTACGCAAAGTCGATATCGTGCGCGATGAACGGGGTGAAGAAACTCAGCAGGAAATTCCACAGCCAGTTCGAGGCGGTTGCCATGGCCATTGCGCGGGCCCGGTACCGCGAGGGGTACAGCTCGGCCACAATCGCCCACACCATGGGACCCCAGGTCATGGCAAAGCCGGTGATGAACAGACAGGCAAAGACCACCATCGCTTTGCCGGCGCCTGGGGTGTTTTGCGGGGTATGTACATCCAGCGAGAAGTGGCCCACCGAGGCAAATATCATAAAGCACACGAACATCCAGATGCCGCCCGCAATGAGAGACTTGCGTCGGCCAAAGTGTTCAATGACGTACAGGCCACCAAAGGTGGTGCCGAAGTTGACACCTCCGAGAATCATTTGCGTCACAAAGGTGTTGCTGATGCCGGCTCCGTTGAAGATTACCGTTCCCTGATGGGAAAACCATTAGTGCCTGTCTTCCTTCTCGGCTCAAGAGTATGCCGGGAGGGAGACTTACATAGTAGAAAAAATAGTTGGCTCCAGTCAGTTGCTGCAGTGCCTGAAGCACCATTCCAAGGACGATGCGATAGGGCATCCGCGGCGCCTGGAACATTTCTATCCAGCCATGCCATCCTCCTTTCAATCCTTGTTCGGCCTCGAGTTGCTCCTGGATCTCTAGAATCTCATGTACAATAACCCGATGGTTCTCGGGAATACCGTAGAGCTTGGACATGGTCCGCTTCGCTTGATCAGTACGTCCATGGCGGTAGTCGTAACGGGGGCTCTCGGGGAAGAGAAGGATGCCCAGTCCTAGTAGAAGACCCCATAGATGGGTAATTCCCAGTGGGATTCTCCAGGAGGCCGTGTTATTGATCGACTCCGTACCGAAGTTGATGCAGTAGGCAACGAAGATGCCCAGCGTCACGAACAGTTGATAGGAGCTTGGGTGCTATGTTAACATCCAAGGTGAATTCAGAATAGCCTTCATTGGTACTTACCACACCATGGCTCCTCGAATGTGTCTCGGGGCAATTTCGCCCTGGTACATAGGTACCAGTAGTGAACAGGAGCCCACTCCGAATCCAGTGACAAACCGGCCCATCATAACCTGATACCATTTCCCTGCCGGCGACGAAATCTGAATAATGAGGCCAACGTGCAGAATGATGCACCAAAAGAATATGGACCATTTTCGGCCAATGCGGTCCGTCAGAGGGCCCGCGACGAGAGCCCCCAGCAAGGTTCCAATGGAAAGCTAGTCGAGATAGTTAGATACCAAGCATGCTGCTATCTACTCGGCAACTCTCACGTACCAGAGACACAATCAACCCCGAGCGCACGTTGCTAAAGGAGTGGGTGCCGTCCGGCAGCCGCTGGGCATATCGTTGCTTGTAATTCTTCATCTCAAGAAACCCAGAGATTTGGCCGGTGTCGTAGCCGAAGATAATGCCACCGATTGAGACAAAAGCACCCAGAATTAGTGAGCGCCATGTTATCCAGGGTACATGAGACTCGTCCATCGAACTGCTTCTCTTCTCGCGGTCGACCGATCCTCCAGACAGGTCAGTCAGTGGCGGGGACTCGGTCCCTTCACCAGTTTGCTTTTTGAAAAATGGCACCTTCATCCTGTAAGAAGAAGTGCTCTCTAGTCTTTGGAAAGGAAGGTCAGTGGCATATGCCTGTTCATGCGATCGGTCCAAATGAGAGGATGGTTAGAACATGGAAATGGGCAAGATACACATTTTCCCAAGTCCCACAGCCTTGAATCATCGATCGCCACCTCCAGCACATCCTTGGGATCGAATGTGACCGTCATGGATAAGCAAAGGTGCCGCCTCCCAGGAACGTAAGTCATGGGCGTGATGTTCACCTCAGGGCACCGTAACGGCATCAACAGGAATCAGGCTTAGGGTCCCTTCCAACCCCATAGCCGATCAACAGCGAGTATCTTCTGGATGTGCGGGAGCTCATATATTGTTCGGGGAGAGCTTGTGGCGGACAAACGAAGTCATGACGTCAATCATCTATGTCAACATAGAACACCCCAAACATCAACCACGTCTCGCGAGCTCGAATAGCCAAAATACCCAACAACTACAGGTTTAAATCAGTATGGAAATGAGCATGGTATAGTGGTCAGCTTCTGCATAGTATGACAAGCAGTCGAGATTAAATTATAATACAGAAGAGTGTGAGCCAATTCGAAAATTAAACCAAATGAGAAGAATTGAAACAAAGCTGGATCAGTAAGGAATGCCGTTGGTCATCAGCTGGAACTGATCGTAGCCCTTGGTTGATCTGCTCATGTAGGACTTGCGCACAAGCTCTCGCATATACTCAGCAGCATCTCTGTCGCTCTTATCCAGTACAAACCGGTCTTGGAAGTTTTTGAGACTCTCGGGTTTGAAGCAGGGCAGACCGCTGTCCAGCATCAACGACACGATATGAGACAGCTTGCTGCTATACGGACGTGAGGCCAGGAATGCTTTGACGACCAAGGATTCGAACCACCGGTAGGGTTGCGTGGCAGTCGGATTGTGTGAATTGCCCCCGGGTAGGCTCAGGCCTGAACTGCTGCTCGGCTGATGAGCCGGACTGTGCGTCCCACCCATGACGGCCACCATTTCAGATGTTAACTTGAAGGGCGCTCGCTCAAAACGTACGCCACCAGGTGCAATATCGAAGCAGAATCCAAAATCGATATGGATGATGTGCCCAGCATCATCCACCATGATATTCCCGTTGTGCCGATCCTTGAACTGCAGAAGATAGGAGATCACAGAGTACGCAGCCATACTCTTGACGAAGTTGGTACGCGCCTCTTGGAATCGGATCGAGTCCTCGCCCCCGTACTTGGACACGAAGTAGTCGTATAGCCCATTCACGGCCTCACGCCCAAGCATGTCACGGGAGATGGAGTTGGGCAACACGTCAATCACGCCACAGCCAGGTGCCGTGGAGGTCACCCGGTAGGGGAAGACCCAGACGTCCAGACCCACGCCGGCGAAGATGCTGCGGAAGGCGGCAATCATTTGCAGAGCGAGCATGTCTTGACGACAGTCATCGCCAACTTTGAAGATAGCCGACTGCCAGACTTCGTACGTCTCCTGGTCGGACTCCGACGAATGCGCACCGCGCTGGCGCGGGTCGGGTCCATAACCGCCAGCGTGCGTGACGTCGGCTTTTCCATCCCACCGTGGCCTGTTCTTCTGGATCCGGAAAGTTGCCATATAGGGCGCCTTCGCATGGCTTTGCAGGGGCTTGCCGGATTTTCGATCGATTCCCACAACAACCCCGTCAGGGTTGCTGGGGAGATAGACTCCAACCTCCACCTTGATCTTGCGTAACTCTTCCTCGATCTTTTCCTTTTTCTCGGGCTTGCTTTTCTTGATGTACGGACGAAGCTTGCCCGAAACACCAGTGATCTCGTTGAAGAACGAGAACTCCCTTTCGTAGAAGTTACGCTCTTCGTCCGAGAAGCTCGAAATCAAGCTTTCAATGAAACGATCCAAAGTTGGTTTGAGAGGATCCGGCTGGTAAGATTTCCAGGTTAGCTACCGAGAATAATCGATGCGCGAGTGTAGATAAAACTTACCACCTGAGAGTCCTCGTCTTTGTAAGAATTGGCTTTCATGTTCCAAATCACTTGATGCGCAAACAGTTGCGACAGCTTGGCTGTTTCCAGGATATAACGTTCGACATAGCCCAGAGCATCGTACCGTAGAGCCTGGACCAGTTGAGGCACAAAGTAGAAGCGGACGTCGATCGAATGGCTCTCCAAAGCTCGCATAGCATACTGCAAAATGAACGGGTGGTTGCCGTAGGCAGGCAAGAAGTATGTAAGAGCTTCGGTGGGGTTGACGGGAGCCCAGAACAATAGATACTGGGAGGGAGTTGGGATTAGGTGATGCTGGCAATTTAGGACGGCAAAGCATAAAACTAACCTTCAATTGCCAAGAGACATCAGTCGGTAGAGATGAGTCGAACATAATTTCCAGCGCACTTGGCTCGCCAATGACCTTGTCAGGGAAGTTCATGATCAACCACCGAACATCACTCTGCATTTTCGCCGAAGGGAATCGGGCAGCCATCTGAATCGCCAACCCTGGATTCTCGGCCCAGGCAAGCCGCAGAAAAGATGAAGCACCCTATTATGAACGTTAATGTCAGGTGGCGAGGCAAATGGTAAGCCAATTCAAGCATACTTCTGTAGAGTTCTTGTTTCCCATAACTACGGGCATGTGGTGTTTCCGCTCAGGCTCCAGAGGGAAAAGCCAAACGCGGAGTCGCGAGCGCTCGTTCTCGATGAGAGTTTGAACCAAGTCCTGTTTGGCCTGCAAAGACTTGAATGACCCTTGTGCATGAACAGCAAGGCCTCCAACACTTCGTAAAGCACTCATCACGTCGGCCATAATTTTGTCCTCGGCTTTGATCTGCAGCCGGTTTCCTCCAAATGACCATCTAGAAACAAGGGCACGTCAGAGAGGGGAAAGGTCATTCGGGCGTGAGCTGAAGAGGATAAACATACCGTGGGGGGTGCTTGAACCAGCTCAGAGCAGCAGAGAGAACCTGATCTTTGAGTTTCCAGGATGCACTGTTGTTTCGAGGGCTGAGATATCTCAAGACTTTCAGTCCGAACAGAACAATACGAAAGTGTATCTCCCGTGCCAGAGGATGGCCCTTATTTTTCACAAGGCCCACGAGTGTACTGTTCATGAGGCGGCAGAACAATTGCTGGTCTTGCAGATTGCCCAGGCGAATGGCATTGAAATGGCTCTCAAAAAACTGAAGAACACGCATATGTGGCGAGAGTGTGTCCTGGGCTTTTTGCTGTTTTTTGAGCATCAGAGCTTTGTCGGTTGGCAAAAGCTCAATTTTAGTGTGCAGCGGGTCAAGGTATCTTGGACGGATTAGCTTGTTAACATCCCAATCGTACAGGGGAGTTGAAGTAACAAGATACATACCCAAAAGAAGGATCAAACAGCCCCTTCCGACGCTGGATGCTCCTTTCCCAGGATTCAACCACTTCTGCTAGAATCCGCGGCTCAGTGCTTGGGTTTTCGTGGATAACCCCGAGCCATAGAGAGACTCCTAGCTTGATGACTTCCTTGGTGAAAATCTGAAAGGGCAAGGCAACGAGGTAATGAACCACAGAAAGCCGGGGTTTGCTACTACTACAGATAAGACCAGCGGCCTGCCGCAGGGCATCCCTCACTTCAATGAGGGGAATGTCATCGCCGTTGATGCTCCGCTGGTAAAGACCGGAGAGAGCATGTTCCAAGTTCTCAGCAGACTCGGGTCGGAGTTCCGCTCCAATATTTCGACCTTTGGGCCGCCAGGCTATTAGTCGTGGGCAATCCAGTATGGACTAGCAGCTGGGACTCACCCTGGTTGCCAAACACTTCCCCTTCCAAACCGTTCACAGGAGGCATATCGGGGCGACGGTACTTCTGACGCGTTGTATACAGTGCCATAAAGTCGGAGGCAACATTTACATCGGCGCTTTCAGAGCCATCAATAGACCCTACTCTGCAGGTTAGATGAAAATTGCTGAAAGGAAAAATGGCTGACATCTCTGGGGAAAGAACTTACCAAGCCGTGGGTCGGTCTGTGGTATAAGGGAGCCCATTTCCATAGCGAAAGATCGACCCATGGAGATATGGCCGTAGCCACCGTCGTCATCATACTCGGACAGGTAGGTCTTGTTTGCAAATTAGCTCATGCTCGCAACTTTTTACATCGCAATCTGCGTACCTGAAGTAAACCCTTGATATCCAACGGTGCAATGTTGAGAACTGCTGTTACCCAAGTCTTGGCTCGTTCCAGGAACCGGTTCAGGGTCGCTCGTCTCAACGCGTAGTTATCGGGGAGGTCAACCTTCACAATTCCCCGGGGAGAAATGAGCGACGGCTCCCACTCGAACTCATCTAGTTCTCCTTGGAGGCATGCCGACCACATCACGGTCAATATCTCGAGCAAAGCAAAGAGCGAATGCTTTTCGCAAAGCGCAGAAGGACATTCGCGGATAATTTTGTCTGCACACAGCGTTGCTATGCTTTGCACTCTTTCGATTCGATGGCAGCATGCCACCAAGAACTCGGCAAGCTGCTTCGACAAGAACGGGGCCGAAAATTCATCATGTTCTCCAGAAAGGGTCAGTGAGAGATAACAGGTGATGACTCTGTCCGCAACGGCGTTCATAGAGGCAAACATCTCTGGCGTAGTGAGGGCGGGGTCCAGGAAATAACTGAGGATTTTGGTGCAGTTCCCCGACGATGCCCGAAGACTTTCGACCAACAGCACAGCATTCAAAAAGACCGCTCTTGAGTAGTCCAAGCGTTTGATGTCAGATTCTCGACCAGCCAGTTTAGAAATGAGCGTTCGCTTCTGCTCCATGATCCGTTGTGGTCCCGGTCCCCGCCGGAGCACGGTGTTGAGCTCGACATCACTTTCGAGTGACTCCATGCGATCCTCGGCCACCAGAGGCGGAGAGAAGTTTGCGAGCAAGCGGAGCTCTTTGAGGTGTTGCTGAGCTACACTCGAGTCGAGTGAGATTCCATGGATGGCCATGTTAAACCACGCATCGCGGAACAAAGACAAAGCGGTTTCATCGTAATCCTGTGCCGGTTGGGAAGCCCCTTCAACACTGCTGTTGGAAGATACGAGCAACGCAAGTGGTTTCAGAAGTGGAGTTATGTCACCGGGTGCAAAAACAATTTCTCTGTGATGCTCATTTTCAAGGTCGGGAACATCCCCTTTGTTGACAATACTCTCCAGTAAGTGGGTCAAGTAGAACCGGTGGAGTGGGGAACTTCTGTCCAAATTTATGGAAAGATATGCCATGGCGCATTGAACAGCATCAGAGATCAGATTCAAGCCTTTGTTAACCCCATCACGGTAGATGCGAGCGTAGAACTTGAGCAGAAGTTGGAATTCAGCTTGCCCACTGCTCAGAGCGAGAACGGCTGTCTCCTGGATGATGTATGCATCCACCGCAACATTAATCTTTCCAATTTTTTGAAGGAGCATGGACTGAGCCAGGGCGCTGATCTTGTCGTCGTTGCAGCTGGTCGCGACGGTGACGATTGTATGGATGACATTCCGGTAGGATGCACCATCATCCTCGCCATTCACCGAAAGAGATACTAGACTCCCATTCTTCGGCTGTAGATAAGCTGTTGGGTTATTCACCAGCCCGGTGGGATCTCCAACCAACTGATCTTGGGATGATGGATCGGTGTTGCCGCCGGGGCTCAGCGCGTTGCCCAAAGAATACAAAGTTGTAATCACGGCGTCCTCGGAGAGAATGGTCAGGATCTGCGCGAGACTCCGAGCGGCTACTGAAACAACTGAGCCCGTCAACATACCTCCCTCGACCACAAACCTCAGCAGACAGCGCCTCCCGATTGAGGCACCATTGGAGGACATTCTCGCAAGAATTGCGGTGCATTTCAATGCGGTTATGGCCAGCTCAACGCACGACATTTGCTGGGGATCGGCCAGTGTCTCCTCGAGCCTGGATAAGAGTACATCGTTGTTTGCCGCATCTTCACCAAGGATCACACAATTCAGGAAACCCACCAAGGCGTCGCCTTTGACCGAGAAAGCAAGCCGTTGCTGCCATGGTGAGCCGACCTGCAGGTAATCGGAGCCATCCTCCAGCAAGTGAATTTCCTCGCTGATAATGTCGGTGATCCGCTCAACCAGAGTAATGTCTGCCTCATCATAGCTTTTAGCAATACCGACGCCAGTCATATAGTCGTCTAACAGCTGGTCATCCGACAAGTTCTGGGATCCGAGGAGAGATGCCGCGCACGATTTGACGAAGCGCATGAAGCCTTCTTGCACGAGCATGCCGCCCAGTGGGCGGCCGCGAGCAGCATATCGACGGGTATACTTTTTCCAATTCTTGGAAGCACTCTCCACGCCACTTGCATTGCGAATGGTAGAAGAGGCTGTCTCCACCGCGATCATGAAGGATTCCGAAAGCATCCCGCGCATATGATCGATTAGCCTTAGCTTCTCAGTCGCAGACCAGATGACAGTGTATTTGGCCGAGGCTTCCAGGAAACCAACAAAGGACACCGCGATTGACAGAATAGCAATGGAATCATGTACCACGCCTTTACTGCCTGCTTCTTTCGAGTACTGAAAGGGTGTGACCGCATTGATCGCCTCGGCGCAGTTGTGCAAATAACTATTAATGGCATCGACTGTCTTCTTCCGCAGGCCTGGATACTTTGTTCCCAGTGATAACAGCGCCAGAGTCACGTTGTAGGTGAGCGACTCCCACGGCGAGGGCTTGACACTCTGAAGAAATGGGGACGACTGGAACAGTTGACTGGGGGCTTCTGGCAAATAGGACGACAGCTGAGATACCAATCGTGCGGCGTGCTCGAGGTCGTTGACAGCAGAGGCGGCTTGACAGAGGGCCAGGAGGACATCTAGTTCACGAATGCCCTATCAAAGTCAGTTTGCACCACCACGGCGGAGACAAGAATGGGCATACCATTGGAACTCGAGATGTCGGAGCCTGACCCCTCAACACACCATTCAGGGTCTCATCGGCCTGGGTGGTCGACCGGGACTGCTGCGACAGACGAACAAGCTCCGAACCATCGTCACGGGCGGGCGACTGAACAGCCAATGCCGCAAGTTTCTCAAACGCGGCGCGTCTGACGCCTCCCGAGAGTCTAAAGGGTTTTGTGAGCATGTAATCCCTGTGTGCCAATAGCGAGATAGCGACGACATACCCATCCATGTTTGGGACTTGCGATGGAAGAAGTCGAGAAGAGAGGAACAAGGTCAACAGGGGCAGATGCACGTGTTGCGCGAACCTAGGTCCGCGGCTCCGATCCACGGGACTTGGTTGTAAACACTGCGATTTCGATATTTTGATTTTCTTTTTTATTTTTTTCCCCTTGTTACGATTGTTTTTATTGTTAAAAGACACGATAATATTATGGAAGAAAAGTAGAAGGCATGTTTAGACAATCATTTCTCGTAGAAATGCCCTTGCCATTCTTTTGGGGCGAGAATGCGGCTCTCGGAAAGCTGCAGCTTCCTGCCCTCTCTCTCTCTCTCTCTCTCTCTCTCTCTCTCTCTCCCCGGGCTTCGAGGAATCCCGTCCATTTTTGTCTCTTCTACTTCTTCCCTACTTTCTTCAACCGCAAGCGCTTGAAATCCTCCAGAATTTCATTCCATTCTCGACATTGTCTCTGCCGTCCATGTCGCAGGACTAAACCTCGACTCGGCGAACATCGCTCTTTGACTCGGAGATAACCTCGCCATTGGGGGGCTTGGGTGTGGGAAACCCCAGAACTATGGCGCCTCATGAGAAAAGCTCGCTCAAACGCGGAATGGTAAGTGTTTTTGTTCAAGGACTCGTTTCTCAACTTGCTCACAAGTTCTTTGTTCTAGCCCAGCGCAGATGCCGATTCGCAAGACTTGAAGAAACCACGGCGCTCGCAAAGAATCTTGGATCAAATTCCGCCACAAGAGACACCGGTCGAGCATGATTATCTACCAACCCCACTGACCCATCGGCATTCGACCACGACGGATATCCGCCACGAAGTGACCGCGACGCCGCCGGAGAGTCCGAGCCAGGCCCGCCCGCAAACCCCGTCCCGCTCGGTGGCACCACAGGTCTTTTCGTCGCCGCCAGGAGATACGCAAGCGCTATCGCAGTTTGTTTATCCACCGCGGGCGTTCGCGGATGAAGTGGAAGATGAAGGTGCTGAGGGGGTTTGGGGCTACCTCATACCACTGGATGAGAAAGTAAGCGGGCCACTGGTGTTGAGGAAGCGCGATAGCTGCGACATCCGGGATGGTGCGGCCAAATCCAAAACGGACAAAAAACTCCAGGCTCGCAAACAAGGGAACGGTCAGTCACCTGGGGGCTATCTAGTTGGCCGTCACCCAGAATGTGGTAAGTACCAATGCCCATGAGAATCAACTATGATCGAAAGCCAGGACCAACAGTCTACAGATATGATGATCAACATTCCGACAATCTCGAATCGGCACTTCCTCATCTTTTCTGAGAAAAGACATGGCGATACGGTCGCCATGCTGGAGGACCTGTCCAGTAACGGAACGTTTGTCAATGATGCCATCGTTGGGCGGAACAAGCACCGCGAGTTGGAGGACCGGGACGAAGTTTCCATCTTGAATGAAGCCCGGTTTGTCTTCCGCTATCCACGCACACGGGACACCAATGGTTTCCGCCAGCAATACCGAATCCTCCAGCAGCTCGGAAAAGGCCATTTTGCCACGGTTTATCTGTGTATTGAACGAGCCACTGGAACACGATACGCAGCCAAAGTCTTTGAGAAACGCCCCGGGGAATCTCAGAAGACACAGACGGATTCCCTGCAGCAGGAGATCGCCCTCCTCATGGGAGTCAACCACCCGAACCTGCTCTGTCTGAAAGACACTTTTGACGAGAGTGACGGTGCTTATTTGATTCTCGAGCTGGCTCCTGAGGGTGAACTGTTTAATTTGATCGTGAGCAAGCAAAAGCTCAGCGAGGCGGAAACTCGCCATGTGTTCCGTCAACTTTTCGAGGGATTGAAATATCTGGTAAACACCCCATACAACCCCTTTGTGAGGACCGGTTGCTGACCCAGCTAACGCCTACCGGTAGCATGATCGAGGAATTGTGCATCGAGACATCAAGCCAGAGAACATCCTCGTTGCAAACAAAAAGTTGAATGTCAAACTGGGGGACTTTGGGCTGGCCAAGATCATTGGCGAGGATTCCTTTACGACGACCTTGTAAGTGAGAAACCTGCCGCTGGTCAAGGTACACGAGTGCTGATATTCACTGCCAATAGGTGTGGGACGCCGAGTTGTAAGTTGACTGATTCGATTACATGAGATGGACGATTGTGCTTATTCTACAGATGTCGCGCCAGAGATTTTACAAGAAACCCGCCGGCGGCGATATACCAAAGCGGTTGATGTCTGGTCCCTTGGGGTCGTTCTCTACATCTGCCTCTGCGGGTTTCCTCCCTTCTCGGATGAACTGTACACCCCACAAAACCCGTACACACTGGCTCAGCAGATCAAGATGGGCCATTTCGACTACCCGTCCCCTTATTGGGACTCGGTGGGCGACCCAGCCCTGGACCTGATTGATCGGATGCTCACGGTGAACGTCGACAAGAGAATTACGGTGGATGAATGTCTCGATCACCCTTGGCTGACAGAGAAATACCCCAGTATGACGGACAGCACGGATGGCCTCACGGGGGCCCTGGGTAAGCTGGACTTTTCCAAGCGTAAAGTCGAGCGAGAGCGAACCTTACTGAGCAGCGTCAATGATGTCCACTTCAGTGAGCATGTGGAAGGGAGCGGGGCACCAGTCAAGGTCTTCCGCAAGAATGATGCTGGCAAGCGCGTTCATAACCGCCCAGCCAAGATCTCTCGACGTGAGGCCTCGCCCGGTGGTGACGGAGCCAACGAGTTTATCAACCTTGGCCAACCGGGTGATCCCACTTTGTATGATGACGAGGCCACCAGTCGGTACACATAAGATCCCCCTTTTTTTTCCATCTTTCTTTTTTACTTTTCATGACTTTCGTTTCCTGGGACTACGCGCGTACCGGTACATGGGGATCAGGGGCAGGCACCAAAACTTCACAATGTTTGTACAGTTAGAAGTCAATGTGGGAAATAGTAATCAATGCCTCTTTCGAGTGCTCAATTCTACAGATCTGAGAGATTGCCAGGGGAGATGCATCCGAAGTGGCGTGATAGATATATCTCCATGGATTACTCCCCAACTCTTCCATATGGAAGAATGACAATCATATATAGATTATCAGTATATCACATTGAAAAAAAAAAAAAATTAGAACTAGAATAGAATAAACATATGGTTCTAAATATTATCGACAAATATTCAAAAATACAATACAAAAGTGGGCGACTTGAACAGGGGGCGGGTCCCGCGTTCACCGAATGACAGCGACTCTTATTTTGCTTCTTTTTCTCTCCCCTTCACTCCATCTTTGGCGGCAATTGGGCACTCGGCTCTTTGCTTTTCTTTTTTTCGTTTCTCTTTCTTTTTCTCTCTTTCCTTTTCTCTTTCTCCTTCCTGTTGTCTTCTGTCTTCGCTTTCGCCCGCTCCCCTGTCAACATGGGCCTCTTCGCAAGTTTCCTCGACACGTTCTGCGAGCACTGCTCCTCCCAGTCCATCTATACCTTGGCTGCTGTCGGACTGCTCTCGTTCCTCACACTGTCTGTGGTGACCAATGTCCTCTGCCAGCTGCTGCTCAAGAACCCCCACGAGCCCCCTGTGGTTTTCCATTGGTTCCCCTTTGTCGGCAGCACTATCAGCTATGGCATGGATCCGTACAAGTTTTTCTTCGATTGTCGCGCAAAGGTGAGACCGTCCCTGAATTGGCACAGGGGAATATTTTCTAACGCGCTGGGTCTTGGCGGTGGCAGTATGGCGATATCTTCACTTTCGTGCTTCTCGGCAAGAAAACCACTGTGTATCTGGGCACCAAGGGCAATGACTTTATCCTCAATGGCAAGCTTCGCGACGTCTGCGCTGAAGAAGTCTATTCCCCGTTGACGACACCCGTCTTTGGTCGCAACGTTGTCTACGACTGCCCCAACTCCAAACTGATGGAGCAGAAGAAGGTAAGGGGAAGTGGTGTATCACAGACCTCAGGATGAAGTGGCTGACACAAAGAAAAAAAAGTTTGTCAAATTCGGCCTGACTTCCGAAGCGCTTCGATCTTATGTTCGTTTGATCACCAACGAAGTCGATCAGTTTGTGAAGACCTCCGCCGCGTTCCAAGAGCCCAAAGGCACGTTCGACGTCTCCAAGATCATCGCAGAGATTACAATTTACACCGCCTCACGCTCGTTACAAGGAAAGGAAGTTCGCGACCGATTTGATTCTACCTTTGCGGAAATGTACCATGACCTGGATAAGGGTTTCGCCCCGATCAATTTCATGCTCCCCTGGGCACCGCTTCCTCACAACCGCAAGCGCGACGCCGCGCAACGAAAGCTGACCGAGACCTATATGGATATCATCCAAGAACGTCGCAAGGCGAATGACCAGAAGGATTCGGAGGATATGGTGTGGAATCTGATGTCATGCGTGTATAAGAACGGCCGCTCGGTCCCTGATGAAGAAGTCGCCCATATCATGATCGCACTTTTGATGGCGGGCCAGCATTCCTCGTCCTCCACCGCTGCCTGGATCGTCCTACGCCTCGCAACCCGCCCAGAAATCATGGAAGAACTCTACCAAGAACAGCTTCGAGTCCTGGGTGCCGATTTGCCTGGCCCCACTTATGAAGATCTCCAAAAGCTCGACCTGCATTCTAAGGTGATCAAGGAAACTCTTCGCATCCACGCCCCGATCCATTCGATCATTCGCGCTGTCAAGAACCCGATGCCCGTGGAAGGAACTTCGTATGTCATCCCGACCACCCACAATGTCTTGTCCTCGCCGGGCGTCACCGCACGATCTGAAGACTTCTTCCCTGAGCCTTTGAAGTGGGACCCTCACCGATGGGATGAGACTCCGGCGGCCAAGGACGAAGACGAGGAAGAGCAGATCGACTATGGGTATGGGTTGGTCAGCAAGGGTACCAATAGCCCGTATCTCCCATTCGGCGCTGGCCGGCATCGGTGCATCGGCGAACAATTCGCCTATGTGCAACTGGGCACAATCCTGGCTGCACTGGTGAGGCATTTCAAATTTTCCAAATCCTCCGACTTCACGGATATCCCCGAGACGGACTACTCGGTAAGCCATTTTCCCTGCCACCTCTCTCGATGGCAAGTTTTATTAACACTCTCGCGTCTAGTCGTTGTTCTCCAAGCCTGCCGGGAAATCCTTCGTGCAGTACGAGAAGCGCGGCACTAAAGCATGATCGGAGTAACGTGTCTACAGCAAAAAGAAATTTCCTCGGTCTTGGACCGCTTATTTTCATTTTAATGACCCTTCTTGGTGCTCCAGGGGCCCTCAACATGGGCGAATCCATGCCATCGTTGGCTTGGAACCTCCGTGGGACAGGCATATTGCTCTGGGACAGATGTACCGGTTGTAAATTATTATTTCGTTTCGCGATTGAATTATCCATATTCTTCACTGTTCACACGATTCCAATGATCTCTTAGAATTTGACAGTATCAATTTCATCGCACAGGGATTCAGACCACCCCTGATCTACAATCTTTTTACGTGTATATCTACTGGTGACTAGGCCATCCCCAAATGATGTCCACGAGATCGCTAGCAATAGCACGATCTGGGAGAGAATTTCAACAATTGTAAATGTATATAGTACAGTGGCAGACAAACAAAAGATCCCATCACGGCTCAATATGTAACGGACCGCCAGCCCCTTCCATGGTTCAAGACCGACCTTTGCTCTCCTCAAGTCTCTTCTTGGCCCGAACCTCCACCCGTCGGCGCTCACCACCGTCAACCTTCTGTCCCCGCTTGTCCTCCCACATGCCCGGCTGGACCTGGATGGTAGCAGCCTGGCCATGGGAGCCCTTCACTGGCTGCAGAAACGGCCCCCTTATCCGAGACCCACGGTGGATTTTCATGTGTGCAAATTTCTTCAAGGGCGTCGATGTGGAATGCGTGTATTCGGTGGCATCGGGTGGGAGATTCACAATTGCTTTCTTCATGCCCGGTGACAACGTGGCGGAAGAAGTAGAGAGGGTCTTCGGGTCCGGTTTGCCATCCTCCGTGAGCTTGGATGCGTCAGGGACCTCGACGACCCGCAATTGCGCAACACCATTCACCACCTGTTCGAGGTCGCCTCCGGGTCCATACAACCCGTTCCTAAACTTCTCCCGCTTGCGAATCAGATATCGTCGCTGCCGTGCAGGCTCGATGCCAATGTCGCGAAGCTGATTGGAACTGAGAGAGAAGAGCTGCTCCCAGGACGGAAGCTTGCTCGCGTGCTTCGACATTTCGCGGCCGATCAATGTCAGAAAGGTCGGGACGTCAGGGACAAAAGGGGTCGGTGAGGGCACAATAGGTGCCGAACTTTTGTGGTAGGATCGAATGCCTTGCTTTGGAAGGCCAACATTATGAATGAGGCGTGCAGAGACGCTGGCGAGGCGCGAGTTTCGCATCGCCATTGTGGTCATGTTGCTGTCGGGGGGCCCAGGTGGCGCCAAACGCCAGTTTGTTTCGTTGGAATTTCACTCTGGGGGAAACGGGTCTTATCCCAGTCTCCTAGAAGAGAGAGGGGGAGAAAGCAAAGAGAAAGGTGTGTCAAGGTGTCAATTGGCCGGGTCCGTTAAATCGGTGCTGTTTATCGCTCCAAGAAATTTCGGCGATGCCAGCTGCCTCAGGATCAACAATACTCCGAAGCATCCATGAAAGCTACGCGACACACACCGACAACACTTTTCCTGTTTGTTTGCTGTGCTTGTCTTTTCAAAACAGAGAAGGAAAAAGAGTCATTGAAGGAAGAATGAGATCTTGATATTGCGTTCTACCACCAGGCGTCTGCCTGTTTCTCCCATCAGTTCCGCCTTCAAGAGCGCTTCCGGTCCATCGGCCGCCATGGCCGTGTCACCATTTGCTTCTCGCTCTCCGTCGGTGGCAGTATCATCACCAAACACAGCAATCAGATTGAGAGCTGCTGCAGCTCAAAACTCTGCTAATGAGCCAGCCCCTTCAGCCAAGCCACTCCAAGCAGACCAAGAACTTACAGAGCAGCTCAACGAGGACGTGCGACAGAAATACATCAAAGGTGGCTTCCCTCCCTTCTTCGTTTGTCCTTGGAACTCCACGTTAACCCGGATGAGACAGATAAAAAGCTAGGTGAAGGTACATATGCTATCGTGTACCTGGGCCACCTTCGCGACGATCCCTCATCCTTCGTGGCAATCAAAAAGATCAAGGTCAATGCCGAATACAAAGATGGACTCACCATGGACGCGATTCGAGAAGTGAAGTACCTCCAAGAGTTGTCTCATCCCAACGTCATTGCGCTTCATGATGTGTTCTCGTCCAAAGACCAAAACCTCAACCTCGTCCTCGAGTTCCTCCCGCGCGGGGATCTGGAGATGCTCATTAAAGATGGGGACATCCACTACGGTGCCGCCGATGTCAAGGCCTGGATGGGCATGCTTGCCCGGGGGGTGTGGTTCTGCCATGAGAACTTTGTGCTCCATCGGGATATCAAGCCCAATAACTTGCTGATTGCAGCCGACGGCGAGGTCAAGCTGGCCGACTTTGGTCTGGCCCGATCCTTTGCGGATCCCTACCTCAACATGACCCACCAGGTGATTACTCGGTGGTATCGTCCGCCGGAACTCCTCTATGGTGCCCGGCAATACTCTGGCGCAGTGGATGTATGGTCCATGGGGATGGTGTTCGCCGAGCTGCTGCTGCGGGTTCCCTTTGTGGCCGGGAACACCGACCTGGATCAAATCTCCAAGATCTGCGAAGCCTTTGGTACTCCGACAGAGGAGAATTGGCCGGGGGTTACCAAGTTGCCCAACTACATTCCCTCAGACCGAAACCACCTGGTCCCACTGCAGGGCCGAGAATTCTTTCAACGACAGTTCCCCACCGCTGGCCCGGTGGGTGCCGATTTGCTCATGTCCATGTGTACGCTGGATCCCAGAAAACGAAATACGGCCCTCCAGGTCCTCCGACACCACTGGTGGACGGCTGAGCCACGGCCCACGAACCCCGAAGATCTTCCTCGCAAGTCTGGAGGGACTCAGAAGATGGGCGATGACCTCAGCCGACGTGGTGGTGAAATGGACGATGGTCCATTCAAAAATGCAGCCCGACAATTGGATTTTGGGAAATAAAGGGGGGGGAAGATATAAAATCTAAGATCTTTGGCTTGTGGGTCGCAAGTTTCATGCATATCGCATCTGCAGTATCATGACAGATGGCAGCCCTAAGCATGCCCCGCTCCAATAGATATACAAAATCGATACAAGCCACCATTTTCCCTGTTGGGGTAAATGTAATTGTATCTCTCCTTACATAGAAGAGGGGATCTATTGATTGTACAATCCCCACTGGTTCTTGCATATCAAAAATATCAACATGAACACCGATATAAATTAGTTAGGTGGGTCATCCAGACTGTAATAAGGATCAACGTTTCACGAACTGTAGATGGGGCACCTTGCTACGCCTCCTCTTCTCCTTCCAAGGTTCCTAATTCCAGGCTTCATAGATCCAGGGCTTTTTTCTCCTTTACCTTTTATCTTTCCTTTTCTCCTTCCTTCTTCCCCCCCCCCCTTGGGTAAAGGTATTAAAGGCACCTTGTATAGAACTATAGAACTAGATAGTCCCCTATCTAGTATCAGATAGGGCAATCCCTCACGTATTAAAATAAGGGATCGGCTCCACTTATAAATGTTTATTATTCACTGCCCCTTTTCCTTTTTTTTTTTTTTTTTCTCTTTCTTGACCTTCCGTTCATCCCGTTCCCCTCCACTCTTTGTCATTGGATATGGAGCTCACCCCTCGAAGCCCAGGAACTCCTTCCTGGAGTCTTGACTCTTTTGAGCCTTAGGCTGTGATTATACTGGTTTAGCTGGTGTAGCATATCCACTCCCTCCAAACCCCCTTTTTTTAGGCTCCCTCAAGGGAGGGGGAAAGATGCAAGTCTCAGGTCTAAGGGGCGCCCTGGAGGAGAATACCTACGTTGGTAGTAATACCCCTAAGGTGATACTAGAATATAACCATAGTCATGATCACATATCAAATAAGATAATAATATAATAAACAATCAACAATCGACAGTCAACAGTCAACTCTCTCTTAATTAGTCTAAAAATTAAGATATCGCCCCATCCTTTTTTCTCGCGTTCACTTCTCGACTGTTGTCTCTCTCTCTCTCTCTCTCTCTCTCTCTCTCTCTCTCTCTCTTTCTCCCCCATCTGACACCCGCGTTGGCTTGGACATCCTCTCTCCCTCTCTCGGACTTCCGCTCCGTCCCAATTGCAACGCATGGTTTTTGGAATCTGTACGCTCCCGAAACCCCGGCCCGTGATCGAATCAAAATATCCCCGGTGTTTCTGTACGTCTTTCTCTCAGGAATGCTCCAAAAGTCATCCGAGACTGGCATCTCCCGAGCATCAATTTTCTCTCCCACGTTGCCAGTTGAGGCTATTGCTCATTCGCATTTCTTGTCCATCATGTCTCATTTGCCGCCGTGGATGTGGCTAACGTTCCTGGGTGACTCGAAGCAGACCCCGGATTCGATCTCAGCACATATCGGTGCACGTCCGCCCGCATGGCCGTCGCATCTCTTCAATTTGTATATTGAACTCCACCGACCGGCTACCGGTAGTACTGGGAACCATCTCCCCCAGCAGGTATGGCCTCGATGTCAACCTTGCCCCAGCCGTCGCGGCCAGCGACGAACCCCCGACCGGGTCGCTACCCCCTCTCCCCAACCCCAAACCCCGAAAGACCGCGCCCACCCCAGCCGACACCCCAAGAGCCTCGTCTCCCTATCAAGCGTCCAAATTGCGCACTCCATCGAGTCCGAAACCGTCACTGGCCAAGTCTCCCCTCTCAAATTCCAACTCGACGTCCAACCTCAGCGCAGTCCGATCTGCTTCGAGCGGGCGTGCTCCGGGCAGCCCTGACAAGTCCCTGCGCCGGACTATTAGTATCGCATCGTTTCCACAGCCACCCAAGGCCCCAAGCCGGCCTTCGACTGCGTCCTCGGTCTCGGGCATTGCAGGCACCAATCCACCGGGCAGCGTGCGGCCCAAGAGAGGCTCGCGGTTGAGCACGGGGACCACCAGTAGCTACCGAAGCTCGAAAACACCATCTTTACTCAACGGCAGTGGAGATGGCAAGTCGATCCTGAATGCGGATGGCCGAGACCCCGAGGCCTCCCCGGCCCATAGCCGGAGCTCTTCTGCCCAAGGCTCGTGCTCCACCAGTGCGACTACTTTTGAGGAAGGGGATGACGCGACGGGCACGGGCAAGACGGCTTCGAAGCAGAAGGAGATCAAGGGCAATGTGATTGTTAGTGTTCGCGTTCGCCCGGACATGAGCGGAGGGGACACCCCGAGAAATCATGGGGAATGGTCGGTCGAGGGACGGCAAAGTCTCATTTCCTATCGAGGCAAAGAAGGAGGGGATTATTATTACGGTGAGCATACCTCCCGCGCAACATACTCATGCCACCCTCCCCCAGTCATCACTAATGCTTGCGACCAGATAATGTCTTCACCACCCATGAAAATAACGCCAAAGTATACGATTCGGCCGCCAAGCGTCTGGTTCGGCGCGTCATGGAAGGCTACCATGGAACGGTCTTCGCATATGGCATGACAGGCACCGGAAAAACATTCTCCATGCAAGGAACGGCGACCTCGCCCGGGGTGATCCCCCTGGCAATCACCGACATTTTCTCCTTCATCCGTGAAACTCCCCATCGAGAATTCCTGCTGCGGGTCAGCTACTTGGAAATCTACAATGAGAAGATCCACGATCTTTTGTCGGCGCCCATTGCCAACGGGTCCGCCGCGCCTCAGCAGGAAGAGATTAAATTGCGAGAAGACAGCAAACGAGGGGTCTATGCGACTCCGTTGAAGGAAGAGATTGTGCAGAGCCCCACGCAGCTCCTTCGGGTGATCGCGCGGGGAGATCATGCCCGACGGACAAGCAGCACCCAGTTCAATTCGCGCAGTTCCCGCAGTCATGCGGTAGTCCAGATCGTCGTCGAAAGCCGAGAACGGGTACCGACGAACAACCCCCAGGACAAACGATCGGGGATCGCCCCGGGCGGCGTGCGGGTATCGACCTTGAGTCTCATTGATCTGGCAGGCTCCGAACGAGCCGCCGATGATAAGGAGCGCCGAACAGAAGGTGCGCATATTAACAAGAGCTTGCTCACCCTGGGCACCATCATTTCCAGGCTCTCGGAAACCAAGGATAAGCAAGGCAATCCGACTGATCGGGAGGGAAGACATCTACCCTACCGAGACAGCAAGTTGACGCGATTGCTGCAGCCCGCCTTGTCCGGCAATTCCCTGGTGAGCATTCTCTGCACGGTCCAGCTGATGGCCGCCGTAAATGCGCACTCGGGCGAGACCTTGAACACGTTGAAGTTCGCTGCGCGAGCGAAAAATAATATTGTGAGCCACGCCAAAAAGGCCGAAGAGGCATATGGTGGCGGTGGTGCGGATTCTGGAAGCCGTGTATTGCTTGAACGCTACCGCATGGAAATCCAAGCCCTACGAGGCCAACTTGACAGTCAAGCAAAGGTTCAGGCCGAGAAGGAGCTCAAGTGGGATGAGCAACAGTACGAGAAGGAGGCGCAGGCCCGCCACGAGGAGCAGGTGTTAGAAATGCAGCTGGCCCGAACTGCGCTCAAAGAGCGAATCGAACACCTCAATCGCCTCATCCTCAGCTCCAAGTCCACTGGGGTGAATAGCCATAGTAGCTTATCTGCCTTTGGTCGGCTATCCAGGATGTCCGCGACCGATGCGGGAGCTCGATCGCTCCGTTCGTCGGCCAGCCAATCCACCCTTGGTGCTGGCACTTCCTCCATACGACCCATTTCCTTTATGTCGGTCAACAGCAGCGAGCCTTCGGGAACCCTGCCCTATTCCAGCGGGTCCTTTGCCAACGAGGAAGAGGAGGATCTTGGTGAATTCGGCGACGGGAAAGCGAGCTTACAGCGACAAGTGAATACTTTGCAGGCGGATCTCGGGGATAAAAACCGGTATATCTCCACGCTCGAACGCCGGCTGCTACAAGCCCGACGTTCCAGCCACTCCCGAATGTCTATGGGCATCAAGCCTAACAATGCAACGATTGCCGAACATCCGGATGTGATGGCCATGGTCCGTGAAAAGGACATGGAAATCAACGAGCTCCGGCTCCAGCTTGATGACAAGGATCGAATGCTTGCGGCACTTCGGTCTGCAGCACGGCACCGCGACTTGGCTGCCGTGACCAGTGACGCGCCGTCGCCCGAGGTGAAGAACAAGGTCGAGTCCATGGGTTCCGGTGCGGATAGCCCTTCGGAAACCAATGGCGCACCTGAAAACCACGTGAGCCCCGGTGGCCCCCCTTTACCTGGAAAAGAGGGCGATAAGGAGGAAGAGAGGAAGAAAAATATGGACGACGTCTCGCGGATGCTGGATGAGATGATCCAGGGTCGCGTTGAGAACGGTCATATCGAGAAGGGTCCCGTTGGAAACATCAAACGCGTCTCCAACGACAGCCGACGAGAGTCCACGTTGGCCGCAGAGGTGCCGGGATTAAACCCATCAGCACCTGCAGAGGATCCGGCCATCAGCTCTCCATGAGGGCAATTGCGACGCCTCAATGTGCCTTGATGTCTGTATGCTTTTGCTGAAGCATCTTGTTGATCTGATACCCATTTTTCTGTTTGTTGCTTATTGTTTATTTCTTGGTAATCTTTTGTTGCTCCTATTTCTTCCTTTCTTTCATGCCAGTGTGTATCTATTGCAGTGTATTATTCATTTGTCATTCGGCCTTGTTCCCTATGGCGAGCACTGTACATGATATTTCGAGGACAGAGGGAGCCACGCTAGACAACCCTTTCGGCAGAAGGATAGAAGGATAGTTACACTTCACGCAGTAATCTCCAGATCTCCCTCCCTCTCTTTGGCATAGACATCCTTCCACTGATCCCAGAGCCGCCTCAGCTCCTGGACATACCGGGAGTGAAGCTCATCGATGTAGGCATCATCGATTTTGTCCCGGTTCTGTTGTTGCATGACCGAGATCGGTCGTCCTACCACGATATTCAGCGGACGGCGGTAGGGCATCAGTCCCACGTCATAGTTAAACACCCCTCGCGCATGAAACAGTGGGATAGTGAACCCCATGGTATGCTTCACTAACATCTGCAGCTTGTGGATGATTGGATGTTGATCCGAGTGAACTTGTTCGTACAAGTCGTTTTCGCCAAAGGCCAATACGGGAACCAGATCAGCACCAGTCCGAATGGCAAGCTTAATGAAACCTTTGCGTCGCTTCAGCACCAGGCGCAATGAATGGGGCTGAGCATTAAGGGACTCTCGAGCTCCTCCGAGCACAATGGTGATGGCGCGGCCCATGCCTTCCCCATCCGCCCCCCCTTTGGTCAGGAGATTCTCGCACGACTCCCGGGACACACTGGCGAGCCCCATAGCCAGCGCATATTCCCGGTAGAATGGCATGCGAAAATTAGAATCCAGCGTCAGCAGGGTGTTGGTGATGCCCGGGAAAAGCTTGGAGAACCCCAGGGCCTCGGTGCCGAAGGCAGCAAATGCTCCGTGGGAGATAATCCCATGGGGGTGGTAGCCCAGGATGTACTTCTTGGTCGGAGGCAGAGGCTCTTCGCGGTGGAGTCGGGCTGGGAAGTACGATGCATAAATGGACCAGATCGGCAAGGAGCGCAAGAATGGACTGCGGCCCTTGAGATCTCCCGAGGTCGCGGCGGTGGAAAAGAGCGAGATATAGACCAAGTATGGTACCAGGAGCGGCCAGAACAGAGGGATGGCACACGTAAAGAAGAAGATGGTCAAGAAAATGGCAATGGTGAGGGTGTGGCACAGAACAATCAACGTCTGCAAGCGACGCTCGAGGCCAATATTCAGCGGCGCCCAGTGAATCCTGGGATGATGAGTAAGTTTCAAAATGCCCTTAGGGTGGTTTCTGGAAGGCATTCCTTACCGTCGATGGCTCTGCTGGCGAATATCTCCATTCATTGTGACGGGTGTGCAACTGGCACCATGGGTCAAGGCATCCGAATAGCCCGCCATTTAGGGGATTCTACGATGACGTCACAACTTAAGTAATCACACCGATGTACCTAATATTGGTGCCTGAGGTGTCCAATTAATGGGATCAAGTGTCAAGACCAGATATATTCATTCACTTCTATTCGAGGCCGACCAGTGTAAACCTGGCCGGCAAGAGAAACCAAACGCTCACAAGTATCCAGACGCCCAATCTCTATGTCTATGCTTTCACCATAAAAATCTGGCTTTATAGTAAGCATGCGGTCTTTCTGTCTGTTGGATACAGGGAAACGAACCTCGTTAAGGGACTTATCGTCCATTAAAGCCTTTTTCTTCTGCGCAATATGACGGCTACGAAAGACATGGCGTCCAATGGGCCTGCGCTCTTTCACCGTTGTGAGTACCGGTGGGGGAACAATAGCATCCACATTCTCCTCCGAAGAATCACCTTCCTCAGCATCGGCTTTCCTCTTTTTCGATTTCTTCTTCTTTTTCGGCTCGGTCACTGAAGTCGAACCATCAGCCTCGTCCACCCGAGACCGAGATTTCTTGGATGACTTGGATGACTTGGAAGATTTAGAGGGTTTGGAAAATTTGGAAGATTTGGAGGATTTGGAAGATTTGGAAGCAGGGTCAGTCGAGTCGTTTGAAGTAGGCTCGGCCTGCGTTGGACTCGTGGATGACTTCGAAGCTTCGTTCGGGGTCGATGTCGGAATTTCATCATTCTTTTCTTGAGCCAATAATCCGCCGCTGACGAACCGAACTTCCTGGAATTTCATGGAGACGTATCGAGCCAGCTTGACATCGTCTCGCTTTCGCTGTTCCTGCTTCAATTCCACATCGGTCTTGCCGTTGAGTCGACCAAGCAACCCCTTAAACGCATCGAGCCCGGTTGGCTCGCCTAGAGGATCCCGCCCACCGCGCGCACCCAATCCAAGAGTATCATCCTTGATGGTCACTCTGATATGGGAAGCACTCCCGGCGGTGAGCATATCGGCATGTGCAGCATCTCGCGCACCCAGACGACTCCCGGGCTTCCATCCCTGAGCACTCATAATTCGGTGCCCAAAGCCGGATGTAGACCGGGCCCAGTTTGTATTGTTGGGATCATGGGAAATCTTCGTCCTCCTGTCCGCAAATGATTAGAAGGGCTTGCTGGGGGTTAAAGCACAGCGGTCTCCTAAGATAGCTTACTTGCGAGGTGCTGCTAAACCCATAGTCGAAAATGGGTAGTAACTCCAAGGGCTTTCAACCGAAGACGAATGCAAGAACTGCGAGGCTTCAACAATCAGCGAAAACTGAAGATGGAGGAGGGAAAAAAAGAATGAGTGATTGCTGAGTCATCGACAGATAAGGAAGTGGAGTCGATCCCCACGGAGCTGCCCATCATCGCGGCAGCAACTTTGGAGGCGCCTTGGGGAAAAGCAAAGGAGGCGTGTCGATTTCAGACCATGTCCAACCTACACATTCTCTGTCGAGACCACCCTCAACGGACAATTGCGTTAGTCACGGCAGATCAGGTCTTGGTGTTTCAATACAGTTCCACGGAGACCAAGAACACACCCCGCTGTCAGGTGGAATTCTCGGACGTATCATCGATCGATCTGGGCAGCTACCGTTCGCTTGGAGATGGATATGGTACTCTGGGTCTCGTTACGCTGGGCGAAGATGTCTTCGTGTGTGTGATCACCGCCTCTTCCAAGGTGGCTACCGTGAGACCCGGCGAAACTGTGTCCCGGATTGACACGGTTGACTTCTGTAAGGCCCTTCTTATGTGCTGATCCTGTTCAATTCTGACTGTGCAGACTGTCTCAATCATTCGGAATATGAGTTTGGCCTGGAATATGAAGCAGGCTCTCAATTCGCCGCCGAGGAGCGCGCCGACTTAGAAAGCCGGGAGACGGTGACCGACCATCCTTTTCTGGCCCTGAAAAAGCTTCTTGGTGATGGAAGCTTCTACTATAGCCTGGATTTCAATCTCACAGATTGCTTGCAAGACCGGTACGTCAAGTCCTGGATCGTGGTTTCCCTCAGCTAACAGAATCTTAGCTCGGACAAATCCGCGGCATTTGACATTGACACACTCGATGAAGACATGCTGTGGAACTCGTACATGATCAGTCCTCTGCTCCTCTTCCGCAGCCATCTACCGCCTTCTGATAAAGCCAAACTCGATTCCTCGCAGATGCTAACCTGTGTCATCCGAGGATATGCCAATACGCTCAACGTCCCTGCGTCGATCTCGATCCTCCCTCAAGTGCGAACCAATTTCCCTTCCTTGCTCACAATTATCTCGCGGCAATCCTCTCGGCGCGCTGGCACGCGGTTCAACTCGCGCGGCATTGACGACTATGGACATGTTGCCAATTTCGTGGAGACAGAGACAACCCTTTGGATTGCGCCGGGGATCGCCTTCTCCTATGTCCAAGTCCGAGGCTCAGTGCCTATATTCTGGGAACAAGCCCCAGGTCTCATCCCTGGTCAACAGAAAATCGAGGTGACACGATCAAGCGAAGCCACACAGCATGCGTTTAATCAGCACTTCGAAGCTCTCGAACTGGAGTATGGGGCGGTGCATGTGGTGAACCTCCTGAGTGAGCTTAAGCCTGGAGAAGCAGAGCTGTCGGCCAAATTCCGAGAGCACATTGCCAGAAGCTCACTTCGGCAAAAAGAGGGTTCCGAGAAGTCTCCACGCCATAGCCTGCTTCGCATCACCGAATATGATTTCCAGGCTGAGACGCGTGGACCGTCAGGATATGAAGCGAGCAACCAAATAAAGCATGAACTGGCTAATTCTTTAGATGGGTTCGCCTACTTCTTGTCGGAGGGTACTGCCCGCCCAACAGGCTCTTTCTTGGACGACAAAGAAGATGCCAGCAGTTCCTCAATTCTCCTCCAACAGGAAGGCGTTTTCCGTACAAACTGCTTGGACTGTCTGGATCGGACCAATCTTGTTCAGACCATTATCAGCTCGATGGCTTTTGGTTCATTCCTGGCGCAGCAAGGCGGGAGGCTTAGTCCGGACCTTCAGATGCGACATTCGACCATCTGGGCAGACAATGGCGACGCCCTGTCGAAAATCTATGCTGGGACAGGGGCCCTCAAATCCTCTTTTACCCGGCATGGGAAGATGTCTCTCGCTGGTGCACTTGCGGATGCGCGTAAGAGTGCGACGCGCCTGTATGTCAACAATTTCACGGACAAGGCTAGGCAAAAGACAATCGATCTTCTCTTGGGAAGGCTGGCCAACCAATTACCAGTACATCTTTACGATCCAGTGAATGATTTGGTCTCCGAGGAACTCGCCCGACGTGTCTCAGAATACTCTTCGACAAAGCACACTCGGCTCTGGGTAGGCACGTTCAATGTGAATGGACGCGGTGAGGGTCCCGGAACCGACCTCACTCCATGGCTTTTCCCCGAATCAGGTCGATCCGAGTACGATCCGACCATATTTGCGGTTGCATTTCAAGAAATCGTCACCCTCAGCCCCCAGCAGATCATGTCAACCGATCCCAGGACCCGCAAAGTGTGGGAGAAGGCTGTCAAGGACTGTTTAAACAGACAAGCGAAGCTGAAGGGGACGCCCAAGTATGTGCTCCTGAGGAGCGGCCAGCTGGTGGGCGCTGCCCTCATGATCTACGTCAGAGAGGATGCCCTCAAGGAGATCAAAAACGTTGAGGGTAGTGTGAAAAAGGCATGTTGATCACCGTGACTCGGGGTTGCTTCGACATGGCTAACAATTTGCACAGACTGGTCTCTCAGGAATCGCCGGCAACAAGGGAGGCTGTGCCATTCGTTTCGACTTCTCCAACACTAGCATCTGCTTCATTACTGCCCATCTTGCTGCTGGATTTGCAAACTATGACGAGCGAAACAGAGACTACGAGACCATTGATGGGGGACTGCGATTCCAAATGAATCGATCCATCGCAGATCACGACGCCGTAATCTGGCTCGGGGATTTCAATTATCGGATTGGGTTGGGAAACCTGCATGTCAGGGAGCTAGTCTTGCAAGGAGACTACCAGAGGTTATATGACAACGATCAAGTAAGGGATTTGGATTGATTTTCGCGCAAGTGGCTGACCAGTATAGTTGAATCTTCAAATGGTGGCCGGCAGGGCCTTTCCCTTCTATTCGGAGGGACCCATTGGATTCCCCCCGACCTACAAGTACAATGTAGGAACGGATCATTATGATACTTCGTAAGAGCACCCCTCTGCACTTGGGCAACGTTCTTACACTTTTGTTTTTCTTATGCAGTGAGAAAGCGCGTATCCCTGCGTGGTGTGACCGAGTGCTGTGGAGAGGTACCAACCTTCGTCAGACACACTACCAAGCCGCTGACTTGCGGGTGTCCGATCATCGCCCAGTTTGGGCGACTTTTGACTGCCTGATTGACGTCGTTGACCATGCGCTCAAGGATCGACTGAGACGATCGCTCTATGAGGAAAAGCAGCGCTATGCTCGGGAATCTCTTCCGGGGGCGGTTAGCCTTCTAGACTTGGAGGATGAAGAGGTCTTGCCACAAGTCTCCATTGCGCCGGGGCTGCCCCCAGCCAGTTCTGACCGAAGCAGATGGTGGTTGGATAATGGTAGGATCGTGTCATATTAGACGACTGATTCGCGGCTAATCCATGCTGCAGGAGCCCCAGTCAGAGCGACAATACAACCACCAAATGAGGGATTCGTCGCAAATGTTCAGCGCAAGTCGAATCCCTTTTCCTTGGACATTGAGCCTGATTGGGTCGCAGGCCCGGGCTCGGGTGAAGATAAACGGACCCGCGGGAGTCAAGTTGAGAGAAAGCCGGTATTGCCCACGAGGGATGGGGCATTGGCCCAACCAACCGCTTCTCCAACGTCGCTATACCATCGCTCGGACTTTCTCAAGCTTCAGAAGCCTGCCATTGACAAGTCGCCCCCGGTTGTACCTCGAAAACCTCTCTCGCTGAGCTCCCAGGTTGGACGTCGGTCTACCGGCGGGCGTCATGATCCAACAGCTTCATCGCCACAGGGCAGTTCAGGCCAAAAGGCTCGTCTAGCACGACCTACAGAGACTGCAAATGCAGGGGCCACTGATCTTTTGGATGATGTCATGAGTGAGAAAATTGAGTGGAAACCACTACTTCCTCAACGATGATTCTACGCAGTTGGGGAAGACTTGGGAGTGCTGAAATACAGGAAACTGGCCCTAGGCGACCCGACGATAAAAAGCATATGCCATTGAGTGGTGTCTGCAACTAATCTGGCTAGAAACTCCTGGGAGCGAGAAGATCAAATATTACGCTTCCCGTCAACCACGCACTATGTCGGTTGCAACTCGAGCAGCGATTCCATGCGTCCGGAAACGGGCCCCAGATGAGCCAGTATACCAGACCACATAGATAGTCTCTGACCAGGCGATGTCCGTTGTCTTTCGGGGAATCACTCGGCCACCAATAGTCACGGAAAAAGGCAGCCAACTCGGCAAGCGCGCTATAGAATACGAGGGGCTATTTGGCCATTAAGTGCACATCCCATTATGCATGACTCATTGTTGGGGGGGCGGTTCCGGTTTTTTCTCTGCTTTGGGAGCTTGTTTTGTCCGAGGGCGGTTGCTTCCTCCAATCATCCACATCGCGATACCGCCGGGGGGGCCTTTGGGTCTATTTTTCTTGCCTACAGACAGTTAGTGCTATTTCTTTGAAGAGCTAGCTGCCTCTTCAGGGGGACAGTGTGCAATGCACAGGAAAACTCTAGTGTAAGAGTGAGGGAGTGTTGGGTATACATACTTGCAGACTCCGATTTTTTCTTTGGCTCCGCAGGCGCGGGCGCGGGCGCTTCTGCCTCCTTCACAGGCGGGGCCTCAGCCGCCGGAGGATCTGGTTCTTTGGGCTTCTCGGGAATCGGCCACATATGCATGGTAATAGCCCAGTCGGGCTCAATCACGGTCTCCCACACCTGGGGAAGGATAATGTCACCATTAGGGCCAATGAGATCGTAATGCCCCTCGGCAACGTGTGGGCCTATGACCTCGATGTGGAGAAAAGCTTGCCGGATAAGCTCTTCCATGCCCTGTGTCAAGTCAATGATAAGTTCTGGGTTGTATAGTTGAAGCAGAAGAGAAAAGGAGGGGCTTACCTGCCACGTGCTGCATAGCTCAAAAGGAAAGCTGAATTTCCTTCCAACGGCGTCCTTGAATTTGATCGGCTTCTTCTTTTCGGCGGGGGTTTTTTTGGCAGCTTCAGCGGCCGCTGCATTAGCCGCTTCAGTCGCCGCCGCCGCCGCGGATGCCGCCGCCTCCGAAGCAGCGGCTGCTGCAGCTTTCTCGGCCTCTTCTTTGGCCTTAGCTGCATCCTCGGCGGCCTTTTTCTCCGCATCCGCTCTGGCTAGGGCAGCGGCTTGCTCGGCGATCTGTTTGTCATGCGCGGCTCGTTCTTCTTGAGCAGCTTTCTCCGCGGCCTCTCGTTCAATTGCCGCCTTTTGCGCGGCCTCTCGGGTCTCTCGTTCCGTCCGTTCATCCAGAATCAACTTCTCAAGCCTCGCAATCGCTTCGTCCTTGGCAATATCTGCTGGGGGCTCGGGCGGCGATTTGGACTCGGGCTGCGTCGGCGAGGGTACTTGGGGATATGAAGGAAAGTATGATGGAGGCATCATCCCGGGAACCATGGCGTACGGATCCCGATAATTGTAATACCCCGCGGGTCCATAGGGCATCAGCTCGTGGGAATGAAATGGAGATCCTGCGAACGGTGAGGGCGAGCCATGGGGAGCCATCGGGTGTGGTATTGGCGGCTGGGAAGGATTATGCGCATCGTTTCGCGGTTGCGGGGGCTGTTGGCGATGGGCGTGTCTTGAGTGCGCTGGATGTTCTTGGGGGAAATAAGGGTGCATCGAAGAGCCATGTGGAGGCGGGTACGGGGTGCCGTAAGGATAGGCCGCAGAGCCATAGGCAGGTTGCTGCCCGGAGTTGGGGTGACCAAGTCGTATTAGCTGGTCCGATGGGTTTTGAGGCCCATTTGGGTGCATGTAGGGACCAGGTCCATGGGGATAGGCGTTGTAAGACGGCCCGGAAGATGAACTTGGGGCATAGCCTGGCGCAGGCGGGGGCCACATTCTCCGGTCAGGAGCGGCACGGCCAAAGGGACCAGCATATTCTTCGGCCGAATCCGCGCTATCGGGAGATTCTGGTGAATGGTGCCTCCGGGCCCGCGGGCCAAACGACTCCCGTTCTGGGATCATATGACGACGCGAGGTCTGACGACGGCCTGAAGCCGAGCGTGTACCGTGAAGCGGGCGACTGCGGTGTGAGGTCCTTGGTCGAGAGGCTGAATCAGACGGTTTCAATTCATCCGGATATGGCAAATGCGCCCACTCATCATAGTCTTGGTACTCATGGCTCCCTGGGTCTGAAGGCACGGAAACTTGCACGCCGGAGGAATCCTCCTCGTCAGACAAAGAGTGATCCGAACCGTGCGGATCTGTAGGATCAATGGTGATGCTGAACCTGAAGGTTTTTTTTAAGAGGTCAGCGAGGTTTAGCGAGTGAGAGAGGAGGGGGGAGGAGGGAAAACACGAAAGGGAAAAAAAAAGGAAATCGTACGTCATGAGAGACACGAATCGAGAAGGGTGTTAGAGTGGTGAGAATGGCCCTCTCTCTCGCATATACGAAGCGAGGAGGGAATACCAGGCCCAGGTGGGTGTCCAGTTGAATGGTGGAGAGTTGTGTTGATAGGGACGCGGGGGGAGCGCATTGACTATCGAAATTCTAAACCCCGCTGTCCCTTACTCCCGTCTCTCAAGGGAGAATGCAATGGGATGGATGGACGCGTCTTGGGGACTTGAAGAAGGGATTTTTGTAGGGCTTGTGCTTTCGAGAGAAATCTATAAGTCAATACACAAACAAATCGCGAAGGATTCTAGGAGAAAAAGTGGGAGAGAAGAAGAAGAGGCGGAAAGAAGCCCTTTTTTTAGGTGCGAAATGACGGCCTGATTAGACTGGTTTGATTGGGCTGGTTGGGCATACGACTCTCTCTCTCTCTCCTTCGCTCTAGAAATTAAAGATCTTCCTTTCTCTTCTTTTCCCTTCCTTTTGTCTTCTCTGTTTACGTGCACTGGGTCACTTTGTGATCTTTAATCTTGATTATCTGGGACCTGCTGCCCAAATGCCTAACCATGAACCAATCTGCAAAGACGAAAATTCGCTCCTAAGAGCATAGGAAGGGAGGTATCACAATTATTATAAGATCCACCTAGAAGATCTACTGTTCGAAGCGATTGAGCAACTCTTTGGCCGCAATGAGTTCACTTCGACTCGACGCCCAATTCTCCTCATCGACTGATCGGGCCTTGACAATCTCGGCTAGCTTTTGCAGTGCAAAAGTCTTGAGTTGAGTCAAGGTTTTCTTGGTGGGGAGCGATGGATCCAAAGATCCATCTGTATGTTCAAGCATTCGTGATGACGCCTAAGAATAAGGCTACGATTAACACAAACGGCCATAATATAAGCACTAAGAGAACTTACCAAAATCAATCCATAGCATCCCCGCAAGTAATCGTCGCAAAGCTCAATGCTCCGGCAGAAGTGTTGGACTGACCTACCCAGGAGCCGGGCTGTGGTCCCATCAGGAGTGGCAGCGCATACATAGAGCAACTCGCCGAGCCGAGCATGGATCTGGACCACCGTTAATGACTGGGTTGAGTTGATAGGGGAAGAGCTAGCCATACATTCCAAGCATTGGGGGCGATCAGTAAGGCCTCCTCCAGGCTGAAGGTTGCCTGGGAGCTCAACCCTTCGGACTGGTAGAGATCGGCAAGTTCACACCAGGCTTCCGCATCGGTAGGAATAGCATCGAGGAGCTGGATCAGCGCGGTGATCGCATCGGAGGACCTGTTAAGCGAGCGCAATAGAGCCACTCGGCGCTTCAAAATAGGCTTCACAACCGGTAAGCCTGAGGTTCTGTAGTCCTGAGAACTCCATACTAACCACATTGACTGGATTATCTGAGAGAGTTTTTTCGTATCCTTGCAAGCACTCCTCCAGGGCCGAGTGGTCCTTGGCAATGGCCTCTTCGTACAGACCTCGGAGGCCCATGACGCGCTCATTCGCTGGACCGAATCGGCGAGTCAGGCGTTCAAGGCATGCCTCTGCAGATTCATCATCTCCAGTACGGAGGCAGGCCATGAAAAGTCGTTCTATCCGTCCATATTCCTCCGCGGTGTCAGGGGCTGATGCCGACTTGGTTCCAGACCCAAGGCGTAGGATCGTAGGGGCTTGTTGAGAAAGACGAAGAGCAGAAATTAAATCTGATCCACTAGTATCACGAGAGTCTAGAAAGGGGCCTGCCATGGTTAAGTTGTTCCGAAACTGCTCAAGGAAAGAGAAGCGTTAGTTGGACCCATGTCAATGACCTGGAGCATCAGGCAAGGAAGCAGTCAATCCCATCAATTACCTGGCTGATCAACTATTTTTTTTCTGCTAATAGACACGAAAACAATTTGGTGGGAATATGTTCAGGCAAAGAAAGAACAAAGAAGCAGAAGACTCTGGGGGAGTGGAAACTAGTAGGTGTAGCAGTAATGTGCTTGGGGTTGGAGTCCCGTGATCCTTATCGAGCTCCCCGCGCGCATCGCAACTTTGCCTTTCTTCCTCGTCCACTCCAAAAATACTCAGCAACCATGGACTGAACACACAGTCCTGCCCTGTCTGCCATCATGCTTTTCCATGATCAGAGATGACCATTGACTTGAAGACTGTGTCATACCTTCCCCACACAGCTCCTACCTCGAGTTAACCTGCTCGGCAGTGACTTCTACCACAATGTCAGTGAACTCTTGGATCTAGGCCGTGTTGAACCTACTTCAGCTGACTATTATATGGGTGTCTAGGTTTGAAAAATCACTCTATGACCTTATCAAAGGTCTTCGAAACCATAAAGGTGGGGAGGATGACTATATCCAAAGTTGTCTGCGGGAATGTAAGGCGGAGATCAAGACACAGGACATGGGTATGCTTCGTTCCTTCCCCTCATCATCTCTCAAAATACTGAACTGGGATATAGACAAAAAGGCCACAGCGCTCCTGAAACTTATTTATCTGGAAATGTTTGGATATGATATGTCATGGGCCTCTTTCCATGTGCTAGAGGTCATGTCGTCCGCCAAATACCTACAGAAGAGAGTTGGCTACCTTGGAGCAGTGCAAAGCTTCCGCTCAGATACAGAAGTCTTGATGCTGGCGACCAATCTGTTGAAGAAGGCTCGTAGTGTTCCACCCTAAGGAGTTATGTGTTCTATCCGTCTAACCGATCCACAGGACATCGGATCCTCCAATGTTCCCAACATGTCCCTTCCCCTGATTACCCTACCGCATATCATTACACCGTCTTTAGCGATGTCCTTGCTTCCTGATATACTCTCCCGCCTCTCGCATTCAAACGCCACAGTGCGCAAGAAGACAATTGTCTGTCTCTATCGGTTTGCCTTGGTATATCCTGAGGCTTTAAAGCTTTCGTGGCCCAAAATCAAGGACCATCTGATGGACGATCAAGAAGATAGTAGTGTCACAACAACGGCAATTAATGTGGTCTGCGAGCTGGGCTGGCGACGACCTCATGATTTCCTTCCCCTGGCACCCAGATTCTTTGAGCTTCTTGTGGATAGTGGCAATAATTGGATGGCCATCAAAATCATCAAATTGGTCAGTCCTCCCCACTCTATTAGCATCTTTTCTACTGACAGCCTCAGTTTGCGACTTTGACCCCGCTAGAGCCACGACTAACCCGGAAGCTCCTGCGGCCATTGACCAACCTGATTCAGACTACTACCGCCATGTCTCTACTCTATGAGTGCATCAATGGCATCATTCAAGGAGGTATCCTGGACGGCGAAGAAAGCCTTCAAGAAAGGGACGAAGTTGCAACACTTTGCGTTGGTAAATTACGTGGCATGATTGTCATAGACGCGGATCCCAATCGTAAGGCTTTTTTTCCTCTCGATTCAATCCTACTGTTACTGACCAGCCGTAGTCAAATACGTTGCCCTGCTTGCCCTGAATCGAATTGTCACGACGCATCCCATCTTAGTTTCTATGCAGCAGGATGTCATCATGGACTGTCTGGATGACCCAGATATTTCCATTCGGTTACAGGCATTAGAGCTAGCTGCTGGAATGGTCAGCGCAGATACAGTTCAGCCAGTAATCAGCCGTCTCCTTGATCAGCTGCAACAGGCCTCTGTCTCAAGTCCACGGGATACATCAAATTTCGAGGGTGCTGCATCTGCTCACCCTGAAAGCAGAGGCTCTGAAGGGGAGAACGCCCGTGGCCTCGGGACAGACAACACTGCTGCCTTGCCCAACGAGTATCGAATCGAGGTTATCCATCGGATCCTGGATATTTGTTCACAAGATAATTACTCTGAGGTCGTCGATTTTGAATGGTATGTCGGTGTTTTAGTGCAGCTCGTGGGCCTCCTTCCACCGTCAGAGCCAGAGGATTGGCAGGGCCATCATACAAGCCACACGGTGTCAAACTCGAGAACAAACGTTGCTTTTCGAATAGGGTCCGAGATTCGCAACGTTGCTATCCGTGTCAAGGGGGTACGCCTGGAAGCCACCAGGGCCGCCGAATCCCTCATGCTTACCGGCAGCCGATCATGCTTCTTCCCTGTCAGTTCGAATGTCGGCGACGGTGTTCTGGGACCCGTCGCTTGGGTAGTCGGCGAATATGCCGAACATCTCCTATCCCCTATTCGGACCCTGCAGTCGTTGATTGACAGTTCTAATGTTTCCCTGCCCCCGAAAACACTTTCCTTGTTTCTACAGGCAATCCCAAAGGTATTTGTTCAGGTGAGTCGGGGTGGCTCGCTTGGGAATCCATGGAAGAGTGAAATGTCTCTCTTGCTGGCCCGAGTGGTGGAATTTCTCGAAACGCTGGCAGCCCATCCGGATTTGGATGTGCAAGAACGAGCCATCGAGTTCCTCGAGATCCTCCGACTGGCGGCAGAGGCGATGCATTCTGAAACAGAGGACATCCCGTTTCTTCTCGCCTCGATAATACCAAGTCTATTCATGGGGCTGGAGCTGAACCCCGTCGCAGTCGGCGCTCAAAAGAAGATCGTCTTGCCTCTGAGTCTGCACCTGAATGAGGCATTCAATGATGATCTGCCTAGCCTGTTCCGCGGGTTGGACAGCTCCTCCCTCGAGTCCAGCCATCATGATGTTTGGCAATTTTACTACACCCCGGAAAGCACTGCAGAGTCAAACAAAGAGTCACGCGAGGTTGGACTAGCTGATGCACACCTCCATTCATCATCCTACCAGAACTTTCCTGGTGGTTCGAGCAATTCTTTTCGTGGGATTGAGAGACGAAGGATGGAACGCAGAGAACGCTTCCGGGATGATCCTTTCTATATTGCTCCTTCCGATGGGTCTTCTGGCACGTCTACGCCATTCCATGAGGTGCTCAATACATCCAATGGCGATGGCTTAGACATCGATTCTATTCCCATTGTTGACCTAAAATTGGACAATGAGCCACCGGGACTCCTAGGTCGGGACCTGCTGGGCTCTCACGAGAGCCGCCAAGTCCGACCGAGAAAAATGGAGGTGACTGCAGACGAAACATTTGGGTCCGAAAACCCGCCGGGCGATTCTCTGCCTGGGGTGGAGTCTACCGGCTTGAAGCGTTCTTTACTTCAGGTTGACTCGAGTGGGCTCGGGCACTTTTCTTTGGGACGAGACCGAGACGTGGCCGTGTCCGGGGATGAGGGTGAGACCGAAATGATGAAGGCCATGCAGCGGGTGGAGGAGGTACGATTACGGATGCAAAGAGCGTCGGAGCGGATCCAACTGGAAGGGACCCCGGCAGAAGGAACGCTTGTGAAGAGAAAGAAGAAGGGGAAGAAACAAAAGGATGTTGGTCCCGAGGACGGGCAGCTCACTCAGATTGTGAAGAAGAAGAAAAAGAAAGCCGCTGGGAAAGTTCCCGAGGTTGACCCGTCTGGTCCCACGGGAAGCGAGTGATTATGAGGTGGAAGAAATGATACATGTTCTCACTTAGCGAGAGTATTATGTCCCTAAATCCATTACATCTGCTTGGAGCAACCCATTGGAAGTATGTTTGGGGGAGGGAGAAGTGCGAGGACGAGAATGGAGTACTCGTGTCATGTCGAAAGAGTTGTCGCTGGGTATTCGAAGCAAAAACTGAGTCAATCGCAGGAGACCCTTTTATCTATCCCGTAAGCCGAGAGAGAAACGAGGCCATGGTAGACCAAAGCTCCGGGACAATTCTCATGAGCTCCAGCAAGAGACCGCCACAGACCACAAAAGCCAGGATGACTAGCAATTATTCAGCGTCTACGGCCGATTCATTCTGCGGTTTCGAGGCACCTACCGACCCAGCTGGTGGAGACTGGAGACTTGACATTCTTCTTGGGTTTGGCCGCGGCTGGTGCTTTTCCTCGCTTGGCCGCCTCATTTTTCGCGAATCGATCGTTCGCTCTTCGTTGTTGGGGTGTTTGTGCCTATAGAGAGAATCAGCATACGGTCGCGTGGGATCAATTGATTGGACTAACCATAGCTAGAGATGGGTTGAGCGAATTTGCGGTGGTAAGGAGGGTGGATAAGGGAGAGTATATGTATCCCGAGGTTCGGATGGCGGTGAGAAAATCAATGGGCAGAAAGGCCACGTTTGGTTTTAACCCAATATCCAGGGGGGTTGTAAACTATCTATAGGTAGGTTTAAGGCTGATTTTACTTTTCTATTGACCCTTCTCTTATATTTCGTATAATTATAAAGAGTATATACTATTATCTAAAACCATAAATCTATATAATATCTCTTTATAAAGACTAAATAAGATTTATACAACGGGTGCCAAAAGTCTGCCTACAAATTTCCAATAAATTACAAAATTTTAAACTTGAATATCTTAACGGAAATAGATAATATATTTCTAGAATGATATATATATATATTATTAATGTAAAAATTATATATATCTCTATTTTTTAATTATAAAAATTTATTCTATATAAAATATCTTGCTTTTAATTAAAGTCGCTAAAATCTGACTAACTTTAAGCTATAAAATATCTCTAAAATCAAAGATAACTACATTTATAAATTATATTTTTGAAAGGAAAATTATTTAAATAGTAAGAACTATATATTATTTTATAGATTATATCTAAATTTATAAAATAGTAGTTCTTTAAAATAGAAAGTCTAAAATCAAGCAAAAATTTTGGAAACTTTTATTAGTGTTGCTATATAAAAAATAAATTTTCTTAATTTAACCTATCTTTGATAACGTATAGCTTTTTAAGAAAAGGTCTAGGCAAAAAATACTATATATAAAAGTTAATTATCTATTAATGATTTAATATTGAAAAATAATTAAAAAACAGTATACCATATAAATTTGTTAAGGCATTTATGATTAAAATCATTAAGTTTTACAGGGAATATAGTGAGCGTCGGTAGACTTTTAGACGGGTAGCGTATATATTGGCTAGTATAAAAGATATTCAGAAGTAATAAATAGCATTATATTAATAAAAGACTAATCACTAGTCTCTCTTAGTCCTAGTGATATACCCCTTAAGTAGGATTGCTACTAAACAGGGCCCCGTGGCTACTACATAGTAGCCCAAGGCTCACACCATACATAGTATACTATCTTCGTAGTTATAGTATATATAGGTATATAGGTAGGCCCCTTTACAATAGGTTAAATCAAAATTATAGACTATTATTGGACTTTTCGCTGTGCAGTACAGCAAACACTAGTACTAAGATGACTAAGTCCCATAAGACTATTAATTTAATAAAGGACTATCTAGTCCTTTAGAGTCCTTCTGCTATCTTTACCACTAGCTGTCCCCTCGAGTCGGACCCACAGCATTTTCAGTTGTTGGTCCTCTATACCGATATGAAAATTCCTACTGATACAAGAATTTTTCTCTTTACTTATCTTCTATTATATACTTAGTATACTAAATTTCAAAGATATCGTAAATCGCCTTAATAAAATATACGAAGCAGCGAAACGCGAAAAAGCCTAAAAATCGCTGAATTACGCGTAAATTCGGTGTTCTATTACGCGTACCTAACTGGTCACAGTGAGTTGATCCTTAAAGGTGATACTTCTCTTGGTAACTGTGAGCCTCAAGTTTGTCTTTAATTGTACTGATGCGACGCTAGGCCTTGTATAGATAGATCCTGTTGGGTACTTGCGAAGGTGTGTTAGTTGAGTATACGCCGAATAGATTAGTACCGAAGTAGCTCCCCTATCCGTAGCATAGTTATCACGAAAATAAACTGTAAATAAGACTAAAGGTTGTATCTAAGTAATAATATATAATTAATCACGAAGAGTTTAAATATATATATAAGGGAGTATTTTTATATATCTAGTTTCTTCTTATCGCCCGATAAGTCCGGAATTTATTATTTAGTAGGATCTAGTCTTATTGTTTAATAAGTTGTTCCTTCTTTAGTTTAGTTATTACGTGATAAGACGGTATTAAAGGAAATCCGATACATATAAATATATATATATATATAGTAAATTTCGTTTAAAACGTATGTTTTACTATTAGTTTCCGCTATTATCTAGGCTAACGCTTACTAATTAGTTTATTAGCTCTAGGTGGCCTATCGTCAAGTTACGGGGTCCTTAGATAACTTGTATCTGTAGGGTCTGTAACATGTTCCTTACGGTCGTCTTTATAGTAGAATTTATAGTTATATATTAAGAATAGCTACTACTCTTATTGATAAAATACTTAACAATTTATAAGAAAAATAGTTATTTACTAGATTCGATATCTTAATGCTTTATAAGTTTTGTCTATAATTAATATAATTAAGGACTGTATAAATTAGTTTTTTATAGAACGCTATAGATAACGCGTTGCTACGTATTTCGAAGAATTAGATATATTATTTTATCGGACATCTTTTACTAGACCTATAGCTAATAAAATAGAACCTAATTAAGAGAAGCTATAAATAGAGGGTATTAGATATTTAATAGCTTAGTTCGATTATCTAGAGCTATATATAGCTAAAGTTAAGGTAAAAATATCTATAAATTCGATAAAACTAGTTTCTAATTTAGTCAAGATAAAATATAAAAATATATTATAGCTAATCTATAATAAATATAATAATATAATCTTTTTTTAAAAAAAGGTAAATCCTTAATATCTATCGAATATATTATTATTAATAGCTTTATTCTCTTCCTTTATCTTATTTATTATAGTAAATATTATCTCGAACATTAGTATATAATAATTTCGCTCCTAAATAACTATTATATCGCTATAAGTCCTAAGGGATATATTAATAATAAAATCGGTTTTAACTAGCTTTAGTACTTTAATTTATATATAATATATTATATTTCGAAGAGTTAGAAATAGCTACTTTTAATAAATAATTATAGTTTGTATTTAATATATACTTTTCTTAATTTCTATTAACAATTTAATATTATTCCGATCTATTTTATACTCTATATTACTTATTTTAGCTAGTTACACAATAGCTAACTATTTTAAGTATATAAGTACTATTTTTGAAGCTAAAATAGAGAGCTTTATCGGTAGAGTAAAAACATAGATAATAAAATAGATTTTCTTTAAAAACTACCCGAATTCGATAGTCAGTCTTTATCTCTCGGATAATTCGAGATATTTTTAAGGATCGAGGTATTTATTTACTTATTTAATCCTTAGAAAGTCTTTAATAGAATCCTAAAATTAGACTCATTAGTTATTAAAGGTCTATCTATAACTCTTCGATAATAAGAATATAATTTTTCTATCTCTATGTAGTTTAATAAATTCGCCTTCTTTATTAATTTATTATATATAATAAAGTATTAATAAAGTAAGGACCTAAATTGATAAGAGTCCGTAGCTAAATAACAGTTACTAGCATCGCCTTGATTATCTTTTTAAAATCTCTATTGAAGCTACTAAGCTCCTTTTTTATTTATAATTGGTTCTTACCTAATATATTCGCTAAATTTAACCTGAAAAGTACGTGAAAATTGAAGACAAATCCCTATATTAGGATCTCTTTTTTTAAATATATAAATTATCGAATTATAGACTATATAATAAAAGAGATATACTAAAATATTCGATAGATAAAGAAGTAGGCAGCTTTATAGCTACCCTAAATCCTATAATAAGGTTAAAATAGAGAGATATCAATATTAGAAAAGAGGAAATTAGCTACTAAAGACCCTCCGCTATCTTGTTAATTTAGGTAATAAAATTATTGAATAAATAAGAAATAAAGAGAGATTTTTCTTATAAAGAAAATTAATAAGAATATCTATATTAGTATAGAAGACTAAAAGCTAAAAATATTATAGGTCCGACTTAAAAAGATATCCAATACTAAAATATTAATTACGTAGTAAATTTAAAGTATTACTAATACTTTTTTGGTCGTTTAATAAATTATTAATAAGTTTTATTACTAGATTATTACTAGATAGAAATAAAACCTAAAATTGATATAATATTGGTTATTATCGATAGATTAATAAAATAGAATTATAATATAGATCATTATATAGATATAAAGGGTCTACCAAGATAGCAAGGCATGAAGTTATTCCCAACTGACGGAAGGGGTGAATCAGGTGATATCATATAATCCTGAAGGAAGTCGGAACTTATTGCTTAATCTATCCTACAGTGGAATAATCACGATACATAATAGGGACCTAGTCGTTTACATTATCGATGATACGTGGAGTTACGAAGATACTATATAATAAATTGACACTCCCGTATCCAGCTAGCAAGACAAGATTTAGTCTTAATAGTAATAAAGATATACTGTTTCTCCTACTCTCTCCCCTTGTTTCTTTACCTAATTAACAGGCCTTATACCCTAACAAGTATATTCTTTATAATAGAATTATCTTAAATTAAGTATTATTGTTAATTAGTAAATTATAATTAAAATTATATTTTATTAACTATATTAAACTATATCTTTCGATAATCTTTTACCTATAGATCAATAGCTCAATAGAGAAGGTAAACTAGATACTAGAACAATATTATTCTTATTTTATTAATAAAAAATCGACTATACAGCTAAACTTACGAAGAAACATATATAATAACTCTTTAGGTATAATAATAGAGAAACCCCTATTTTAAATATTAATAAGCTATTTGTCTAATTTTTAATTATATACTAAAGATAATATATGTTAAAAAGAGATTCTAATAGTAGAAAATATACCAAAAAACTATAAAAATTAAAAACTCAATAAAATAATAACAGATATAATAGAAATAGAAATAAAATATTATAATAAAACTTATAAAAAGATATTAGTTAGATATAGAGATCTACTTATATTATTAATAAAAAACTAAAAGTTAAAAATGATAAAGAACTAAGTATCTAAATATATTAGACCTCTCTAAGGCCTTAGCAGAATTAAAGGAACCGGATTATAGATATATTAACTAAGCATACTAAATTAGTATAATTTAATGATATTATACTCCTAGATATATACTACTATAACGGGTG